CAAATAAGGGGTGTCCAAGTTTTCCGCCTCTTCTGTTGATGTCTGTCCCGGCAACCAAAAGACTTGATGCCCAAGAAAGAAGACCATGCTCGGCTGCAAAATAGAGCAAGGTGGTATCACGGGACATTTTGTCGCGCAAGTGTACCCAACGAGACCAATAAGGCCCATCCTGAAGGTGCTTTATAAGCCTAGATGGGTTGCAGCCTTCCCGCTCAGCGGAAATTGCATGTGGAATAATCATCTCAGAAACGACGTAGAGCAGACAAGGTATCTCCTCCAATATTTTCCTCTGATTCTCTAAGGAACTTGCGATTGAGTCAACTTCGAGCGGGTCTTCAGGAGCGGAGACGCATTCGGCAGACCAATCCAAGAACCGCGCTAGCGGTATGGAAACCGGAAAAGAATCCGACATTGCCCGATGAGGCGAGAAAGGCGTACCTGAAGTTGCGATGTCGCTTGGCCTTATTTCGTCATTTCCAATTTCAGACACTGGAGCTGAAATGGATGGACCAGCTGGGTGGTTGCATTTTGAAAGGCTTTCCGTATGGAATTGATACTGTTCCGAAGGGGCTCGTATATCTGGGAAATAATGCATAGAAGCAATCGAGTGTGCATAGTTAGAGGCTGATCCACCAACGGCAGATCTCGCCGAGGCGAAACTCCTCATACTTGCATTGCTGCCTTGCCTCCGGAAGGGCACGCGCTGCCGTGAAGTAGACAGGCCGTGCGGTCTTTCATTGAAGTGTTCTGGCCCTGAATAGCCAGACGATGTGTCAGAAGTTGCAGATGGTGCATTCATCCTTCCATGCACCAACGGGTCCAACTCTCTGACTGCAAGGTAGTCGAAGCATGTTTTCACAATTGAGAGATGGGCCTCGCCTAGTGCACTCGGAGGGGTGTTGTGATAGAAAGGCTCAAAGCCATTCGAGTTGAGGAAAAATTCGCGGACTGATTCGTGGATAAATTGGAGTGTCCCAAACCCCTCTCCGTAAAAGGAGCCAGGTGTCGCTCGAATTGAGTCCTGTTCGTCATTCATAATCTTCCCCTGTGCTTCCCCTCTTTGTATCTCCACCAAGCCTCTGGACAAGCGTCGAATCTGTCGTTGAAGTTGATCGTCGTTGTCAACTGCATTCTCAGAGCGTTTCCATTCATCTAGAGACCTAGGAGGACTGTCGCCAACGAAGGCCAACAATTGGTACCATTCGCGAAGCTGGATTGGGCGGATAGCAAGAAGCACCCATGAGAAGAAGCAAGCAGCTTCATTACGTTCATCAGGGCTTATTTCTTGCAATATCTGCAGGTAAAGATCTCCAAGAGCTGGCGGAACCGAGAGCAGGCGGGATTCCAGAGAGTTGATGCCTTTGCCATTGTCGTAGTCCTGAATAAGCAGGTCCAGGACAACCTTTGCCCACAAGAAAATACCTGATGCTCTTTTGATTACTTCGTTCTTTATACGGACCCAATAATGGTCATTCCCAGAAGAGTATCCATTGACAGCCATAGACAGCTTTTTCTCAACAAATAACGCAATATCTGCTGCATTATGGTCTTCAAAGACCAGTTCAAGATAGTTGGCGATTGTAATGGTCGGGTAATGCCTACTCGACATGCAGATATTGAGCATGGCTCCAGCGGAAGCTGCATCCGCAGATAGCTCACGGAGAAACTGTATAGTGTCACGCGGCCCATCACCCATACATTCGTCAAGTGCATCCACGAATATGGAGATTCGTATCCCACTGAACTCTGAGAGTATAGTGCGGAGCTGATTCTTCAATGCTTGCGCGTCCCATGTTACTTCATCCTCTTTCGAAGGTTTGAGATTGCAAAACTTGATAAAATCTTGCATTCGCTCTCGGAAAACGGGTAACAGTTGGTATAGTACGGCTCGATAGAAACCAACTGTCGTCTTCTCCAGCTCGTTTCCGCGGGCATTGAAGAAAAAGCCGATAACGTGATGACTGTGTGACGATTTGGAAATGGAGGCATGCCGTATGGCTTCCTTCATGAATGTCGATTTACCAGACCCGGGCTTCCCTTTAATCCACAAGAGGCCTTGGTGCTGGTCGAGGTTTTGGCGACTAAACCACGTTTCGTATCGTTCCGATTTCAACACGCGTTGGCAGGTATCTTTGAGTGCTATTTCGATGACATGTTGGCGTTGTCCAAGTTCCGGAAAATACAGTTTTGCACGAGCATCTACGAATGATCAGCTCGAAATATCGATTTAGTCAGCCGCAACTTCATACCTCGGTAGTACTGAAGAAACTTATCGCTGTCTTCTCGAAGAACTAACAGCGATCAGCTAATTGCTTTGTCTCCCTGAACTAAATACTAGCTGACCGGAGCGTTTGGACCATTCTGTAAATGCTTGAGATCCAGACTTCGGGGCCGATAATGCTTGCATGATGGATCCGTACAAACTTCGCAGTTCCCCTCCAACCTTTCGATAGTTTGGATCATATTCGCCACGAAAACGGCACATATCCATATGGTTTGCTTGCAATGTCTCCGCGTGTTCCCTTGGGTCGCCAAGAAGCGATGACAAGTCGGGTACAACCTACGGCAATGCAAGCAATTAGACTACTTGATTTAAGAACCTGATTGGCTGAAGAAACACTGTATGGGGCAGAGAATCAAATACCTTCTCATTCAGTAGTCCAAGGTTTACTCCAGCAAATGGTAAGCCTTCTTGAAACGTCTTGATATTGAAATCAATCTTCTGCCATATTCTCGTGAAAGAATGTTGGCACCTCTCAAGGTCCGAGTTTTTGAGGCCCAAGGAATCCAGCATTGTTCTGCTCGTGTCGACCATGAATGTACTTGCAACTCTGCGAGCAATTTCGCCCACGCCGGCCATATCTTTACTACCGCGGTGCGGAGTACCCAAGAAGACAACCGCCTTAGTCGATTTCGCAACATTTTCAAGGTCCAGCTCGCCAGAATGATAGGACTCCGTGAGAGCCTAGTATGTTAAGTGATATTAGCATAGCCCTATCATGTTCAATGAAACTTGATAGGATGTCTTATCAATTCCCAAAAAGTATTTAAAGCAAATGGCTTACCTCCTTTAAGATGATGCCGCCCAAAGAATGTGCAACAAAGATGACAGGCACGTCAAGTTTACGTTCACGCCGGAAGCCAAACAGTAGATCTTTTCCATGGTTGAATATGGTGTTCTTACTCACTGCTTCACCAAGTGGTCCTGAGATCCGCGTGTCATAGCCCCAGACCAGTATCCTTGCTTTGGGGCAATCTTGCGGGAGCAGATCTGCGGGCCAAAAAATGGTGTTTGAGTCTTTTCTGAGGCTTTCCGGTTCTTGAATAGCTCGACCGTCCTCGGAAAGAGCTGCTTCGATGTGTGCTTTATCTTGGCGTGGTTTCTTGAGATGAGTAACCAAACCCACGATTGTCCTCCCAATAGACCGCTTCTTCGAGGTAGCAGAATCTACATTTGATCCTGGTGGAATGATGTCGGACTGGATTTCCGAGGCCATGTACGTCCACGTCCGGTAAGGATGGCCCTGTAGCCCGTGGATAAAAACAATACTTCATATTGAGATTAGCTTATATGATTCCGTATCTGTGTTGTTGAGACCGGTTGCCTTACTCGACTAGCGGAGGGTCTGAGCTGAGGCGTTCGGGCTCAAAAACGACCGTGAACCCCGTCTCAGAAATCTTGGAACGATCCATGTGTGTTACGGTGTCTTTACCGCTTAAATGTTAGAGACGACGAAGGCACGATCCAGCTATCGTAGACTGCTAAGTGAAAATGAAGAAAGCAGTATAGGGGTTGAGAACTTCGTAGGAGATAGGTGCTGGCGCAAGGGCCATGAGCAGGCTTAGTGAAGGAATCGTGATGGACAGCGCGACGAGGCTGAGGTTGAAAAGTGAGGGGTAATTGTCATACCTGCACGTAAGACCTAAAATTAGCACAGCCTGATCACGTTATCTGTCGGCAAAGCTTCCAGAAATGACCCAGAAGATCATCCAACAGTGAATGTAATTAAAGATGTCGCCATAGGAATACTTTGCGATAAATCTTTATTTAAAAAAACGCCGTAAAGATGGTCCATCTCAGAATCCTTGACGAGACTGGAGCTAATCCACTGTCCGAAGATGATGGGCCGGGAAGGTTACACGGGGGCTCAATCGTATTTCTAGCAGTCAAATTTGAGGGTACAGTAAACATTTAGGGATGTCGGAGCCTCAATTACAGTTGTCATGCACATCTTCATGGCTCAAGATGTGCTCTCTAGGTGGAGTAGATCTTGCTTGTCGCGAAATTGATTGTTTTATCTTATTCTAATTTTTGGCCATCGCCTAATAATTTATTAAACGAGAGCTTAAAGCAAGGTACTACCGATTGGGATTGCGTCGACTGATAGCCCGGAGCCTGCTTAGCCACATATTGTAAGTCATTATTCTGAACAAAACGGTCCAGGCTGTCATCCCTACTGAACTTCGTTCCGATTCTACGCTCATTTATTTTATATGCATCATCCATATCTACTATTAAATGACTATAAACATCAATGAAATTAATAGAAATGACGCGAAGTTGAACAACATACCATACGTTGACCAATAAGATTGAGCCACGGAGACAATGGCAACATATCCGCAAAGCTGGAAATGTTCCATGAGCTGCGCCGCTATGATAAATTATTTGGCCGACAGGGATCATTAATCGCCTATCGCAGGGGCAATCGAGGATGCGACGCAGAAGAATATCACGCATGAGTTGAGAGACCCTGGAGCGTATTCAAAGTAGCAGAAAGCCGTCATAGCCTTAGACAGGACGGTTGAAGTTCAAAGTAGTGTTTAGTGAGGCTAGAGGCCGCCACGACACATGTGGGACCAGGTGCGGGGCTATGTACCTACAGTTTCAGCCTTGCTCGCATCTCACAGCAGCAACACTCGCCGCTCTCACTCCCAGACCCTCACAACTCCTTCTCATCCTCTACCGTAACCTTTCCCACCTGAACAACACGCCGCCCATGAGCCCCTTCCGCAACGCCCTCGCTGGCACCCAGCAATTCCTCCAAAATGCCGCCTCCAACGCGCAGCCCATGATGCGGAGCGCCTACGCCGGCACGCAGCAGTTCTTCCACGACGCGGCCTCGACCACGCGCGACAAAGCCGCCGGCGTCGAGTGGGACAAAGCCCCCAAGCACATCCAGGACTACATAACCGAGCACCCGTACCAAACGGCCTTCTACGTCGTCAACGGCGTCGTCATCGCCGCGCCGTTCGTCGTCGCTGGACCGCTGCTCGGCGCGGTCGGGTTCACGGCTGCTGGGCCGGCTGCTGGTGAGTTGTTGCCTCTAGATGCTTCCTCCCCTCCGACTGCATTGTTAGCGCTCGGGTGCTGACTTGGTGCTATTTTTGGTGCGTAGGTTCGATTGCCGCAGGAGCGCAGGGCGCTTCGGTTGCGGCGGGAAGCGTTTTCGCGACGTTACAGAGTGCGGCCATGGGCGGATACGGGGCGGCGGTTGTAGGCAGCACGGTACAGGCTGGCGCCGCGGTTGGGGGCGGGGCGGTGGGGGTTTGGAACTTCTTTCGTGGATGGGGCGGTGGCGGCGATGGCGAGAACAACAACAATAGAGATGGTGACGGCGACCAGTGTCCCGCGGATCTGGGGGTCAAGGGCGAGGAGCACGGTCAGGGCGAGGAGCACAGTCAGGGCGAGCAAGGCGACCAGGACGTGTGCAAGGCGCGGCTGTGAAATTTTAGCTGATACCGCTCACATGAGCAGAGCAATGGATGTGAGGGTAGATGGGGCTGCGAGACGAAACGGCGGTTCTTTTCTGGATAGATGTCTGTAGAGTTTCCACCGAGAATTCTATTGCTCAGGCTGATAGACGAGAGCCGATGTGATAGGCTGTACCAAATGATTGGTCGGTTAGGCTACCCGAGGAATTTACCATCTTTGGAAAAGCTACACACGCTCGGCACCTTAAAAGTATGCATAAATTGAGGGATGTCTCATCTCGCACCATCCCATCAATTCAGTATCACCGTATGTACGCTGTAGTTTTAAGAGAGTTCAGGTGGCTAGAATTCCTCCCTCAGAAAGTGGAGAGATCATGTGGTAGAGTATCGTCGTGCGTGACGTCTTCTTGCTCCCGCCCCACAAAAGTCGCATTGGCTGAGACAAATTATTTTTTCCGGGTGAAGATATTCTGTCCGAGAGGCAGTCCGGAAGCACTAACGACAAATAGAGCGTCAAAAAGAGATTGTGGAGAGAGAGACGCGCGTGGTGAAGCCGGGTACGACCGGCTCTCGACGGAATGTGCTTCCGAATGACCCGGATCAGAACATCACACTGAACCTCAGTCGATTGAATTCCGCGCAATACGGTTACTGTCGGACTGAGAAATGGAGTGCTTATATTAAGTTGCATAAAGATATATATATATTGTAGTGGACCTCACAATGAAGTTCTGATATTGTCAATCTTGGTTCCAGTTTTAACACACACCACAAAGATGCATATCTTTTATATTTTTGGATTCATTCTCAGTTTCCTCGCCTTTAATGGCTCTGGAGAACCGTTACAGTTCAAGCCTGGTAATGCATCTACCTTTGAAACTGTAAGTATGCTTCACAACGCACCGCGCATAAATCGCAACTAATGCTCGAGCAACTAGCCCGCACTTCCGGCAACCTTCAACATTACTGAGTCCCAATTGACATACCCACTCGACCCTCCAGGAAGCTCATCATACTGGAGCACATCATTTGTCACTGCATCCGACCAACATCAATACCTGATTGTCTCCCACATCCTTCTGATGACCTCGGGCTCAGGTCCGGCCGCCCGTTGCTCGATACTGGACATCACCAACACAACAAACTACTGGATGAGTTCCGTCAACGTGTCTCTCGCCACCAATACATCAACTCAAAGCGTGCTTGATCTCGACTACGGGACCATTGTCATGCAAGGCCTATCAGCGGACAGCACAAGTGTGATGCGCACCTGGGCCTCGTACCCAAACTTCGGCTTCAACATCACCTGGGAATCCTCCTCCAAAGTCCTCCTCAACGGCGGCAGCGGCATGTTCGCCTACGGCGAAGGCAACACGCACGAGTGGAGCATGCCAGCGGGCAGGACGACCGGCACTCTGACGCTCGACGCCAACGACGAACTTACCATCGACACCGAGAACTCGCTCACGTGGTACGACAGACAGTGGGGCTACACCGCGCCGATAGGCGGCAATTGGACGTGGTTCGAACTGCACTTTGCGGACCCGGAAACGAAGGCGAGTATCTGGTCTATTGATCAGCCTGGGGAGAGCGATAAGCGGTTTGCGAGTGTGCGGACCGAGGTCGGTACGCTTGTTGTGCCGTTCGAATTGCTGCCGGACTGGAGTCGTACGTGGACGAGCCCTTGCTCGGGCGAGACGTATCCGTTGGCGTGGACATTGGAGTTTGGGGAATCCGGAACGTTGTACATTGAGACCGGGAGGGATGATCAAGAGCTCTGTGACGTTGGTCAGTTGCCGGCGTATGAGGGCTTTGTGAAGGCCAATGGGACATTGTTGGGTAGAACTGCTTCATTTGGCCTGGTTGAGATGGTCTACGCGTAGACAGACGACCCGGTAAAATAAAGCAACAACGAGGAATAGAGAATCTGCTCATATGTTGAGCTTTTTCAAAGCTTTCAACAGAACTACGCTTCATTCTACGTCAATATGAGATGTAGACGGCCGTCACTCTTTTGTCCATGAAAATGTGGACGTAGAAAAATTGTTCCCGCTTCCTGGTCCGCCACTTCCTCATACTCTTTCTCCGCCTACGGCCTGCGAGAATTACTCTTGTACAAAAATATGTATGAGCCTATACGCAAGACGGTATAGTTTCAAGCCCATTTCTCCCCATAGCACGCTCGTATCAATACATTCGATTAGTCGGTGGCTTAGGGCTATTCTCCAATCTACCTACCGCATCAGCCCGCCATTGCGGAATATTTGACCCGCAAACGGATGTCCATTTGTCCGCCTAGACGATTGCTTACATAATAAATCGTGCGGCCGATTGCGCGCGCCCTCGGAACGATCGAACGACCGGCCACCCCGCCCTTCACACGCCTACAGACAATCCTTTCCAACATCATCCATCCCCCGCACAATACTCAGCAATACCGCTATCTCTTCCGATCGTTTCAATCACGTAATTTCCCTTTAGTAAAGTGCCTTGCCATCGGTATTTCATGAATCATGCACCTTGCTTCATCGATGAAGTTTACCCCAGCCGCTCTCGCCGCTCTAATTATGTCAAACGCAGACCATGTTAGTTTCTCTTCCAAGAGTACCCAAAAGGATGAATGTCTTCACAGACCTTGTAGCGACTGCAAGGCTCTCCAACTCGATGACGCCAAGCATAAGAGCTCAATCCAGTTCACCAAAGACAGCAAACGCCACGCATTGCTTGGCACACTTCGAAAATCATGGTTTGGCCTTCCTAGACCAATGATGATGCCTCCCTCTAAATACAGTGATATCAAGCCATATCAAAAAGTCGAATTAAAGCTTGGGCATGAAAGGCAAGATGCATTTCCTGATCTCCCCGAGCTTGATGTTACCGCTTGTCGAAGATGCGGAATGTGTCCCTTGCTCAGGAACGAGATCTTATCTGTGTGGGAGTAGGGACGAACCAGAAGAAACAGAGTGACTTTCGCCGATGAACACAGACCGGTGTCTGGAACTTGTGGAAGATTTTCATGACGAAAGCCAGAACGAACTCCACAGAGTAACTGAAGAAGCAAACTCAAGAAGGGCAAAGGGCCATGCGAAACTACACAACACGGAGACCACATACGAGTACCGAGACCCCGATGACCCGGCAAATTACAAATACCCAGAGACAGCGTCCGACAAGCGACCATGACTGAACACAATTATGTATTTTAAAGTTTTCTGGGGACTTGTCAAGGGTGTACCTCTGCTGCACTACAATGTTCATGTGGACCCGTCTGATCCGATGACCAAGTCGGTATACATATATTACGAAGCTCACCAAACCCAGACCCGTGCGCATCTTGGTTAGATATAGGGCGGCAGACAGTGGCGTCCGATTTTCTACCAGGATCTACGCTTGAAAGACTAAAATGTCTCATATCAAAGTCACTTGAGCTGATTCCAGTGCCCCAGACACTTTTCTTTTTCACCAAAAAAAAAAGAAATTCAACAGAATTGGGTCATTGAAGCTGTCGTCCGGACGTGAATGTATAATACGAGGACCTTTCTGAATGCGTGGTTGACGTTTCTCTAAGTAATTATAAGAGTTTACCCCAAGTAAGAAGAATCCGCGCCTGGCAATCTCTGATGAGCTCTCTCCCGCAAAAGAGCCCTCTGTAAGATAATACCTGGCATTGAATTATTGCTGAGGGCCGGAGGGCAACACGGAGAAACAACTCAAGACAACGAGAGAAATATTAAATAACCGCCTAAAGTGTATTGGATTTCAGAGGATGCCAAAGACTTGCGGTTGGGATATGCCGGCTCCTCGAAATTCGGTACATTTGGATTGATACGTTTTGTATCTTGCAAGACGATAGGGAGGACTGGAGTAATGAAGCATTCGAGATGGTGAATGTCTATGCAAACAGTCTCCTTACATTCTGCATCTATGATTTGAGAAATGTAATATTGACTCTAGAAAGTTTCTGTCTCTATGGTACCTGTTCCATTTCCTCCAGGTCTTTCAATTTCGACGCCACCTCTCCCGCAGCCTTGTACATAAGCGGCAGATCATTCTGCCCAAGCACAAACCTCGCCCCGTGTCGATGAATGCACGCATGCATAACATCCGGCCTATTATATATCCCCGCCACCCCCAAAATCTTCGAATGCCTCCTCACAGCATCCGCGATCCTCGCAAGAGCTTCCGAGAACACCGGGCTATCCCAATCCCCCGGAACACCCAGCTCGATTGACAGATCATTCGACCCAACCAACACGACATCCACCCCCTCGGTCCCCGCGATGGCGTCGACATCCCGCACCGCCTCCGGCGACTCGATCATCACCACCACTGTCGACAACTCCGCGTTCCCTAACTGCGTCACTTCCGTCAGCGGCGCCTGCCGGTACCCCATGTGCGGCAGCATCGCCATCACCGAACGCTTGCCCAGCGGCGGATACTTGGCCATGCGCACCGCGGCCCTTGCCTGTTCTGTACGCGCATCGCAGGGTCCCGTCAGCGAAACACACACACCTCACACCAGACAGACAGAGAGAGAGAGATAACGAGAGTAAACTCACCAGCACTGTCACAATGCGGAAAAACGACACCCTGCGCCCCATTATCGAGCACGCGCTGCACGAACCCGGCGCTCGACTGCCCCGGCACCCGCACGAACGGCGAGATGCCGACCGACAGCGCCGCGACGCACAGCGTGTTGGCTTCGCGCAGGCTGAGGGCGGAGTGCTCGAGGTCGATGAAGAGGGAGTCGAAACCGGCGTTGTGGGCGACGTGCACGATTTCCGGGCTTGTGATTAGCTTGACGCCGAAGGCCTGTGTGGGGCGCAGTTAGTGAGTGATGAGCCGTATTGGGTGCGGCGGCGGCGACGGTGCTTACTTTGCAGACTTTGTTCTGCGCGCGCAGAGCGTGGAGGGCGTTTTTGCAGATGGACATGTTGTTGATGGTGACGACCAAAAAAATGAATGAAGCTTTTTTTGGAATTAATTTCATCTACGGCTTGTTGATGCCTGAGGTCGTCGCCTTTTGAGGTTGTTGGTGAATGGTCGGCGATTCGGTCCGAGCGCCCAGTCGATGGGTAGGTTGTAGACTAAGAACATGGCGTCGTTGGTCCTCGGTGTTTCCTTTTTTTTTCCCTCGGCCGTTCTGAGAATGAGACAGCTCATCCGAGAAGTTCGGAATGCATGGATACGAGCTTTGATAGGCAATTCGGCAGAGACTGCCGTGGTGGCTGCTCTCTCGGCGATCCACCCCGAGCCTCGGGGATCGTCGCCGAAGCGTTTATCGTGGCCGACAGATGCCGAGGCGCTTCTCTTAGGTAGCGTTGTGTTCCTGCGCAATTAGATGTTTTGTATTCAGTGATCTCCCGACTTTGAAGGAGCATCATTCACCATGTCAAGCCAGTTTGACCACGTTCCCAAAGCTGCCGCGGATCCATCCAATGATCTCGCTCAACGGACCAAAGCGGACAAGCACCCGTTGAAGGTCGATCTCGGAGTTGGTGTCTACAAGAATGAACAGGGCGGGTATTACGAGATTCCTGCGATCTCAAAGGTATGCATCATGAGACCTGTATCCATTCCGTTTAGTGCATCGAACTGAATCGTTACAGGCCAAGCGAGTCTTGGAAGCTGCCAGAGTGGGCCACGATGTACGTTCATCGGCTTCCTACGCTCACGGCTTCTGACATAACATGTAGTACAATCCAACTATTGGTATTCAGCAGTTCATTGAAGGATCAAAGCACCTCATCTTTGGAGACAGCAGCCCAGTTGTGATAGAGAACAGAATTGCGTCGGTCCAGACAGTCGGCGGGACTGGTGCGAATCACATTGCAGCCACATTTCTGAGCAACCATTACAAATCCGCAGACACAGAGGTCTACTTGGGTGTTCCAACATGGGGTATGCTTCGCTCTTGTAACTCCGTAAATCTTGCTGATGGTTTTAGTCAACTTTCAACCCTTGTTTGAGTTCTCCGGATTCAAGGTCAACAGTTATCCGTACTTCGACAAAGAGAAGAGATGCGTGGACTTTGACAACATCTTGAAAGCGGTCACAAGCGCCCCTAGCAAGTCGATCTTCGTGCTTCAGCCCTGCGCACACAACCCGACCGGAGCAGATCTTACGGCCACCCAATGGCAAGAGTTGGCGGACGCAATGAAGGTAAGAATGCTTTCTGTCGTTGCTTATCTTTTAGGCCTTGAGCTGATACGTGTACTGCAGGTCAAAGATCACTTTCCATTTTTCGGTGAGCTACAACAAGACCAAATAATGTCGATACGGGTGCTGAGTACAGTAAAGATATGGCATACGCAGGCTTGGCTTCCGGCGATGTGTTCACTGATGCTCTTCCAATCCGGTTGTTCGCCAATCAAGGGTTTGAACTGGTGGTAAGATTACCTCTACGTAAGCGATTGGCTTGAACTCACATCTCTCATAGGTAGCACAATCCTTTTCCAAGAATACTGGCCTTTACGGTATGGTCTTCAGCTTAATTCTGATGGTGAACTGGAACTAACAGTATCTTCAAGCGGAGCGGGTTGGTGCCTGCCACATAGTGGTGAACTATTCAAGTGCAGCTGCATCTGTCCAAGACCAGCTTCGGTCATATACTCGTTGGGAGGTATCCTCAACCCCAGCTTATGGCGCGCGACTTTGCTCATACCTTATGTCCCATGAAACGCTACGGGAAGAGTGGTGAGTAGATCAGACTGTTTCCTGCAATCAAACCGCACGCTCATGAACATCCCTTCAGGTTCAAAAACATCCACGAGATGCACGACAATTGTAAGCACAAAAGAAAGCTTTTGTATGAGCAGATTACAAAGACCTACGACGTAAGTCTATCTCTCGATACAGTTTTTACTTAGTCTCACTAATAGCTTCCAGATTCCCGGTGACTGGGAGCACATCTTGCATGATCAAGGACTGTTCAGGTAAGAATATATCTTACTTTTCGACATGAGAATTTTCTAACCAGAACTTGTAGCATGCTTGACCTCACTCCAGAAGAGGTCCTATTCATCAATTCTCGCCATCATATCTACTTCCCAGCTTCAGGACGTATCAACGTCGCCGCGTTGAACGAGGAGAACATTCCTCGATTTGCCAAGGCAATTCATGAGGCCGTCGCACAATGAGCAAGTCGATTGGCGCAACACGATTGTAGATAGCACTTTCACATCCTCAAAACAGAATATAGTTGCAGCAGCCACGTCAACCAGCTGAACCATGAATCTGTCGTCTAATTGAAGAAAAAGGTACTGCAAATCTACTCTGCTTTCTGAGAGCCTACAAATGAATGTTCTTGTATTATCCTGTTTTACTCTTCTCTTGGAGTTGAAAACGCATTTTTAAATCATCAATGTGTGGGTTTCGTATAAATCCTACTATAACCTGTTACTTACTATCTAAGCTACACTTTAACTTAAATTTGAAGCAGATAATGGGTGCTGAAACCCTGAAGGTCTGCCAATGCCGTGGTGGAGATAAACGTTGGCTCCCAGTGTATTACGTAATTTCGCCCTCGAGTCGGCCCGTGAAACAATTTCGCCGCCCACTCGGCCCGCCCGACCAGGCTGTGAGCAGATAAAGCGGGGTCGAGTAACCAAAACCTTTTGGTTAATCGATACCGATAGACTTTCTCAACATTTGAATGAGGAGGCATGGCAACACCGGGAGCCTCCTTTCGTGATGAATGCACCGAAATTGACCGCTCAAGAACAGATTCAAGTCGTAGAATTAATGCGTACGTGTTTCCCGGGATGATGGCTGCATCGTGTTTGCTGACGCCAACTTACAGTTGCACCACTTGTCGCCGCCGCAAAGTAAAATGTTCTGGAACATATCCGTGCACTGCATGCGTTAAAAATCAGGCCGATTGTACCTTCGAACAAGAAAAGAAGAAAAATTATCCAGAATCGTACGGACGCCCATTGTCCGTTTCAGCTGTGTCATTGTTGACGTAATAGCTATGTCAACGGCCTCCTTGACAAATTACGGCATTATGAAGATATTTTGCATCAGCGAGAGCGTTGCGGTGCGGCTCCATCTACACCGAAAGTATGACAGCATACAGAGTGCTGATTTTCTGCAGAAGTAATCGAAGTCCAGCCGTCCCAATCGATTGGAGAGAACCCCAACTATACCACATTCGCTGAGCGAATCAATACGCCTTTGGACCGGACTTCATTCAGACAAAACAGCGAGATTGTCTCGCCTTATCCTCCACAAACAGCTCAACTGTCGTCACCCGAAGCTCCAAGCGATCAATTGAGTACACAAAGTGGGAGCCGCTGACCCATCATAACGAGATCAATGAGGAACTAACGTTGTTCAGGCTTCATACTCGGACAGCCATTTGAGAATAGGGTGAAGCAAATTTTGGGAAAGAGATCGCGGCAAGAAGCATTCTTGTCTGAGGAAGTGAGCAGACCGCAGGATTGTCCGAGCGATGCAACGTACGCCCACGTACCATGGAACAACACACCACACGCTCCGTGTTCCACGGAAAATGTCCCAAGTGAAGCTGAGGCTTATCGCCTACTCGACGTATTTATATCATCCATGGGCGTGAGCCAGCATTTCTTTGACCAGCGCGCGTTTTCAGACGCGATGGACGAACTCTATCGTCAAGAGCCCGCGAGACGTGAAGCAAGCGAGGGGCTTTGGTTCGTGGAATTCCTCCTCGTAATGGCCATCGCGAAGCTGGTGGAGGGACAACTGGATACAGGCAGGCCGCCTGGAGTATCAGAACTCCTGGAAGCAACACGGCGCTTGCCTAGCATTGGGGAATTACGACAAGAGGGAGTGTTGGCGGTAGAGATACTAGCCTTGACTGCCGTGTACTACCAGTGTTGTGGTCGGAAAGATGATGCGTATATTCAAGTAAGTGATGTTCTTGTCACACCTGAGCAACGGACCTAACTGGAGACGTAAAGATTGGGCTTGCGATGCGGATCAGTCTCTCACTTGGCATGCACCGCAAGACAGCAGACAAGAGGCTGCGGAGGTCCGAGCTCACTCATATGAACAGACTGATGTGGACAATCATCATGCTCGACAGGTAAATCCATTTGTTCCAATGGGAATGTTGCAACTGACACGTACTAGGCGCCTTGCAGCTGCGACCGGATGCCCACCTGCAATTGATGATGGCCAAATACAAATTGACCAACCGTCTGCATGCCATGGATTTCCATCTCCATTACCTCTGTTAGTCAATATACGAATTGCGAACGTGACTAGCAGCATCATGCGGGGTAAGTATAGATGTCTATTCTGTTCGACATGAGCACTGGCTTAATCATTCGCTCAGTTTCATACGGCGGATCAGAGAGCACAGAGGCGGACTGCATTCGAGAAGTTCAGAGACTTCTAAAGTCCCTTTACGAAATTGCAGTACACATGCCATCTGAAATATCGATTGATTTTGCTCCCACACGTTTCAAGATATCCAGAACAGCAGCTTCGTTGTATCTGTGGTTATTCCAGGTAAACTTCAGACTGTATATGCCTTTCGCACATGAGCTTATCAACGAACAGGCCATCATACTCTGCGTACGCCCAGTTGTCCTCCATATGGTGAAACGCCGGGTTCATGAGCGCCAGAATGGCCTGGAACCTCAGTCCTTCGCCCCAGTCCTCATGAGGCTGTTTCAAACCTGCTTAGAGGCCGCGTTGAAGAGCCTGCAGATTCTGTCAGCATTGAAGGACCAGGGGCTTCTCGGTTTGCCTCCCCACAACTCAGGTTATTGCAACTGGCTGATGAATTTATTGTAGCGGTGTTTGGATATTTCGATCTTGATGCCACGTTTTCCGTAGCTTTCACACTCATCATGACAAATGCAACCCAAACGGATAGCGCACTAGTGCGGCACGCCGAGGTCCAGAAGGCTATTTCCATCCTCCAATACATGGCCAACCACGGGAACGAGGCAGCGGAGATACGATGGAAAGATATCCAGCAGATGTGTACAGCTGTATGGCCATCACACGCAGGTGGTGATGGATCAGTTGTTGGAGAAAACACGGATTCACCGCATCAGGGAATATGGTCGGAATTTTCGGCTCCAAATGCTGGGTCCGCCTCTCGGAGTGAGTCAACACGGGATCGACATTTCTCCAACCTGCGGAATGAAGCGTCCAATCTCACCTATGGATCGGCGCCTCACCGAAGTCAAACGAATGCGGATAATTTTCAACACCAAAACTCCCCCATGCATTCTTCTACTCTACTGGCCTGGGCAGACGGACTCGACACCCTCATCCCTGAAGACCTCGAGGGGCTCGAAAACGCGGAAGGGGGCGGCATCCTGTCCATGTACAACGACCCGATGCTCCCACTCACAGGGATCGACACCTCCGACTGGGAAGAAATGGAAAACATACTACTACGCTAACGCCTTCGTTCTACCTCACTCCGCAAGCCAGCGGGCCGTACACGCGCTGCCCTGACACTGTGTAACTCCTACCCACGCCACCTTTGATTTGGCCCCTCATTTATTACACTCGAGGGGTATTTAAACTGAAGGCTAGTGCTGAGACCCTCGAATCTGGAGGTAACGGTGCCTCAGCTGTTTCTTCCAAAAAAAAAAAAAAAACGAAAACAACATATGAGTAGTTGAAGTTATCGTCCGGACGTGCGTGGAGAGTTTTTAATTCGACATTTTTATCCGGACGATAGCTTCAACTACCCATGACACACGCGAGCCATTCACGCAGCTCAAAACAACCACTGAAAACCCACCCTATACACCTTCCCGAGCATCCTGCGCGCCGGCCCCTGCCCCACCTCCGCCTCCTTCCGCTCCACGGCTAGCCTCGCCTTCTCCTCCGCCACCGTCTCCGTCGCGACGCCCGTGACGAGGTCAACCTGCGACGCCGGAATCGTCTCGGTGCGGTACCACAGCTTGTAGCCGAAGATGCAGACCAGGTACACGGGGATGCCGATGTACTGCACGATGAACGTTTTGTAGTCAAAGCCGCCGATGAAGGCTTCCAGCCCTTTCGTTAGGATGAGCAGGACGAGGAAGTAGATGCCGACGTAGGACCCGTAGTGTCGGAAGGGCGCGATGTAGGCGAGGTGCTCGGGCCCGATGCGTTGGGCGACGACGGCGCGGCGGAAGGAGATGTGGGAGACGAGGATGCCGATCCAGGTTAGGGCGCCTGGGAGGGGTGGTTAGTTTTGGGCGAGGGTTGGGCGCGGAGGCTGAGGGGGAGGCGCGGGTTGTGGGGTGGGTGGGGGGCTTACTGAAGACCGTCACGACGTTGGTTAGGTAGCCGAAGACTGTCTTCGCGCCGGACCTGACGCTCATGTAGGCGAGCAGGCAAAACGCTAAGGCCGTGGCGAGAGCGACGATCGGTACACCGGATTTGTTGGTGATGGAGAAGACTCGGGGCGCTTTGCCGTCGCGGGAGATTCCGTAAAGTGTTCTTACTGCAGTGTAAAGATCTGTAGCAGGTTCAGCCTCCGAGCTTACAACACGGCACTCAGTGAGTACTCACCTGAATTTGCTGCAGAAAATGCAAATATCATCAAGCAGGCATTGATGACATGATCAAGACCTTGGATCTTGGCAATCTTGATGGCCACCACAAATGGAGAGGCGGCTGCACTCGTTGACGACTTCGTAGCGAAGGCGAGGTCTTCACTGTTGTATGGGACGACCATTCCGAGGACGAGGATGGAGAAGATGTAGAAGAAGAGGATCCGGTAGAAGGTCATTTTGATTGCTTTCGGCATCACCACTCGAGGGTTTTGCGCCTCGCCGACGGTTATGCCGACAAGTTCAGTCCCCGAAAATGCATAAAGGCTAAACGGTAGCGTCAGCCTACAGTACGGGTAATTGTCCTGAGGGAATGACTTACGCGGAAACCATACCGCTCCACACGCCCACGAATTTTCCGAGATCGCCAGATGTCTTGTACTCCACAAAAGCTCCCGGGTCGTTCCAGTATCGAAATCCTGTCCGGTCGTGCCTGCGTACTTGTCAGGGGTATTCCACCTCGAGATGTTCCAAGGAAGGGGGTTTACGTCGGGCCGCCGCCTAGGGCAATGATGAGCAGAAGCAGGATGACACCGCAGATGACGACAACCTTGACCGACGAGAGCCAGAACTCGAATTCGCCGAATTTCGCTACGCTCCCGTAGTTTATCAAAGCAATCACCACCAGAATTACGGTTATATAAACTGCGGGGTTGACGCGATCGCCGGTCCAGTACTGGTTTCCAGTAAGCCGTCATCATCCAAGCTCGAGTAAAAGCAGACGAACCTTCATGATCAGAGATGCTGCGGCGAGCTGGTTTGGCGTGGCGAGTAGGTACTTGAACAAATAGACATACCCAGTCGCGAATCCGAGCGCCGGGTCTGTGAATCGAGATGCATATCCTCCGAAGCCATCTAGCGTCGGTTAACGGCGTGGTTATGCGATCAATGTGGAGGTGGCGACGTACGTGGAAGAGCGACGAAGGATGCCATTTCCCCGAGAGCAGACATGACGAGGAATACGACGCATCCGATGACTGTATAGTCGATAAAGAGGCCACCCGGCCCAGCCTTGACCAGGCCAGCTCCTCTATAGACTCTTAGCGGCCGCAATGGTAGTTCGCATTGAGAGAAGATGACTTACGTCCCCACGAGGAGGCCCGTGCCCAATGAGCCACCCAGCGCGATCATAGTAACATGACGGGATTTGAGGCGCCTCTGAAGCTCATGGTTGGATCCAGCACTCGCATGTTGGACTTCGCCATGGCGAATGCTTTCTCGACTTGTGCCATCTGGTCCTTTCTGAATGTCCGTCATGTTGTGGGCCTCCCGACGATGAAAGAGATAGGGAGGCGGAGATTCACTTTGGAGACAACTTCGTCCGCGGTATTGTAGCTTGCATAAGTATTTTCTAATCTCTTATCGGGTCTCTTGTTCCCCAGAAAATGGACGGCTTAGCGCTTCGGGGCCTTGCGCCGATGCGGGGTATCGGCGGGCCTTTAGTCTCGGAGAGAGACGCCGAGCCGGGTGTTGTGCGGGCTATCTTGAATTGATAGAGATAGATGACCCCCATCTGGTGATTGCAGTGCTTGTGAATAGTCTAACCATCGCCCAGCCAGTAAAATACACTTAGGCCAAATTAAGCAAACACGAGAAGGTCGCAGACATGGTTCCATAGGCCATCGATAAGGGGAGCCCGCCGATAGATCTAAACAATGCGGCCTGGCTGCTTGTCCCCGGCCGAGCGCTTTCTGGGAACAGGCATGTCTTTGCGGCTGCATATGAGAGTCACTCCAGCGAATGCCGCGAGATCGCCCTTGCTAGGGGGAGGGGAGGAGTAGGAGTACTCACCTGCGAAACTCACCACCCTCAAATGGAGCACCGTCCAGCCCAGGCCGATGCCGTGGAACCAGATGGACGTCTGCAATTCCGACAGCCTGACCGATATCAAGTTACCAAGCCGCTGGACGTTATGGTTCATCTAAATATGATGTTGCAAGTGCCAAATGTTGAATTAGCAGGCCGACCGGGGTACTGTGTAACAGGAATAATAATGTTGGCATTCACGTGGTAAGCAAACACGTTCTTAAGTAGTCTCTAGTCGAAGTTCGTCAAATATATTGAGCTGATCCCAGTTCAATAACTCACAAGTCAGATTGTTTCCTGGAAAGCCCATAGCATTTATCACTCAAAGCACGAGAAAAGTTATTTGTCGCTAAACGGCAAAATATGAGACAACAGTAGCAGAACGAAAGGCCAAATGACTTCCTCCTGCTCCTCACCCAACGTCATATCCGCCCCACTTATGGCCAGGAGAAATACTAACATATGACGCTACCGGACTTCGATGTCTCTTACCTCAGCCTCTTTGAACAGGTCAGGAGTAAGACACGAAAACTTTCCAGTTCGAACGTAGAAAGAACCAGGAGAGCAAAAGTTCGAGAGAACGAGGCCAAATTGTTTCTCCGACACTTCTTCTTCGTCATGAATTAGACATACTCCAAGAATCAAACAAAGAACTTCGAATTCGAAATTTCGCAATATTGTAGGTAGCGGAAGGTCAACCGGAGTGTTAAAATTCTCTTTTGCTTCTGGGAATCGGACTATTAGGATTCTTCCTTGTCCATAGAATACATCACTCCTGATACGCGCCAGGCCTTTGAGTGCAGCCCCTCTTAGCCGCAGTCGGACATTTGTGAAACAGGTTAAGAACTCTTTAGTATCTGGTCTGTCGGTTGCATCGATGAGGTTGAACCCGAATTTTGAATCTCGTACAAGCATATCTGCGAAGGGAAGGTCCAATGAGTAGAATATACTGGATGAAACACCTGAAGTTTTCAGGCTTTGGATGCATCTGAGCCAGGACCACGTTGGGGGTGTGTCTTCGGATGGCTTCCAATGATATAGGCCATCTTTCAGTGGTTCTGTTGGTGTGCAATAGTTCGCTGACCACAGAAGGCCTGCCAGAAAGTCTGCTTCCCATAAACCAGCTATATAGTGGCTTTTCATCTTTTGTTGAAGTCTGGATGCTATACACAGTTCAGGGCCTGAGGCTCAACCTCAGTTTGACATCGATATACGTGCCTTATATACTTGTTACAATATCAGCCAATCAACCCCCATTCTCTTCATATAAGTGATCCAGTTTTCGTCCCTTTCCATATCGACTGACAGGTGGGTATTTTTGCAATGCTCATACCGCCTTCGTCTTGCCCATATCATTCTTAGCACGGCTAGAGCTCCTTTGACCAAGCCCCAAGGCTGAACTGCCCAGATGTTCTGAAATTGATTCTGTGCCCAGCTTTCCATCGCGCCGTCATTCGCTTCAGCTCCAGCGATGAAGGATGGCCATGCAGTCGCGGCGATGATCGGATCGTTCGGTGATATATTTGAGAGCTGGATTTGGATCCTGACTACCAAATTTTCCAGATCTTGGAGTATTTGTGAAGTAGGTGACTTTGTCAACAGGACACGAATTAGGTAGATACAAGTTGCAGCCTGGTGCGCAGAAGCGACGTGAGTGCGCACCGCAAAGTCGAGGTGGGGAGAGCGTATTTGAACATTGGCTGCCCATGTATGCGGATCGAATGATCTTGCGGACTCGAGTAGCAGATACGCTTGCTCTTCTCTGGCGATGCAAGCTGCGGGGTCCTTGAAAGAATCGTCGCTTTTCGATAGTCGGACTGCATTCTGTATGAGACACAAAAGAGGCGTCGGAAACGACGAGCAATGATTTCCCTCAGCATCCTGCAACAAGGATAGTGCGCCGTTCAGAATCGTATCGCTTGGCACTAGACCTTCAGACGAGGTGAATGTTGTTCCAAAAATGTCATATCTAGGCAGACATGAGTTAGCCGCAGCATACGGAATCTTTTGGAGCTTGCCATACACTAAGCAATTCGAGATCAAACAACGCCTCAATGCAGACATGGGCTCTGCAGCATTGCTTTCTGATCTGTAGACCATGTCGATGAGGGATCTCGCACCACGGATATGATGTTTCCACTCATTCTGTCCTGAGTCCATAATCTCAAACTGGACAAAGAGCAGGACAGTCGCCAATATGCCATCCAAGTCCTCCGGTCCCATGTTGCTAATGGCAAGGTTCAACAGCCCGAGTGCTCGCTGCTTTGCTGTGAGAGCAGAATCACCGTGGTTCTTCCGCGAGAATGCAAGACCGTTGGATCGTAGCGGAGACCGTGGTCCTCCGCAAGTGAAATTAAGGGAGTGTGTCGCTAAGTGTCCTTCGGATGCGTTTGACATGTGTAGAGCTGAAGTAGCAATGATGATTTGCAACAAACAAGGATAGCATTGGGTCAACGGGATGAGCGCTCGAAAAGGGTTACTATACGGTACATCGTATAGAACGAGGTCCGGACACACATTGCTAGCGACTAGTGGAATATGAACATAAGCATTCAACTTATGGCGTACGAAACAACGATGGAGGATAATAGAGACTTACAGTAAGATATGTATCTCCTCGAGGCGTTGCACAAATCTTGCTGAAGTGGATCAGCGACGACTCTACCCGGGTGAGCATTAGTTTGTCTAACAGCGGGTGATCGTTAACCAGAACGAACCGTGGCAATCGTGGCTCCTGGATGCTTGGTCGCTCCTGGACCCCCGCCAAGCTCTCAAATGTGGCACCTCTAAATTTTCCACGGCTCGCCAAACCTTGGCCCCAGCGGAATAGGTTCTGATAGCCTAAGCATTCGTGTCCTCGCTGGACACATTTGAGACAACTCGGCACGTTCCGGTCGCACTTGAGGCGTTTGCGTCTGCAGTTGTGGCATGCTTTGTTTTGAGTTCCGGGTATGGCCATGACAAGAAACAGAAGTGTGTGAAATATACGTGAATCAAAATCAATACCAATAGCAATGATGAGTTGCATGGGGAGGAAGACGTTGAGCCGATGGCGTCTCGGAGGGACCGAGCGGAATGCGCGTTGCGCACGGACGTCAGCTCCAGCGATGACGAGTTTCGATCCCCACAGGAAAGGTTAGAAAGCGCTAGACCGAGAAAGGCAGCCAAGACACTAGCCTACTATCTTGATTGCAGGTTCACAAACGCCACCAACATTGCTTCCATTATCGCACGTGTTGCAGTCCAGGTTACCAACCCCTATTTATGTATTGGCATCAGTACGATATCGATCCGGCCAGGGACTCGGAGCAGTCTTGACGACAGTGAGAGGCTGCCGACCATGGTCGCTCAGGTGCTAGTAATCTCCTCTCAAGGCTTATCGGTGTTGGGTGCCATGGATTTCGCTGACAGCATAATCCCAATGTTCTTAACACTTCCGAGGCAGAGTCGAGTCGTTTGTCGCAACTCCGGCTACGGTCAGCACGTCTCACGATTCCTGACCAGTAATCAATCATATAACACCCCAATTTTGATTTTCACCATTTTGCGGCATCGATAGCCCCGCTAGTGGAACATTTGGACACACTAAGCCAAAGAGGCAGCCAAGATGTCGGACCCAAGTTGTGTTGCATTGAGCACCTACAGTTGTGGTTTTGAAGGAACGCATTTGTAAGCGGTCTGTCAAGTTCTTCACCCTCGGCTTCATGCTCGCATCTTCTCTGTCGCTATTTATCTTGTACGTTTTGCCATAGAGTCGCCTGCGCCGTCTGTTCTTCACGTTGTAATTTCGACGCGCAAATAATTGCATACCCACTCTGCAACGCCAAAACACCGCACTCCAGCGTTGTACGCTAAGCACGGCGAACATACCATTGAAAAAGAATCCAGCTGGATTACTCGATTCTCCCTCGATCATGGCTAGCGACAACAGCCTTGGAGGCGACAACAATGCCTCGCTTGCTTGCTCAATCACAAATCAGCCTGGAACATCTCAACCTCCGATGGAAGAATCACTAGAAGCGCGCATTAGAAGGCTCGGCAGTGAGCGACCGCATGCGTTCTCAAGTACCTGGCATGAAGCAGCTTTCGTCTACAGCATCATAATGTCTCAGTTCATGGCGGAATACTTTGTTTCGGGCTTCACGCTCATCCTCCCGACATTGATCAAACAGCTGGACATCCCACAGGCGGCTGCTGTGTGGCCTGCCAGTGCATTCTCGCTCGCGATTGCCAGCACACTGCTCATCTTTGGCCGTCTGGGTGACATGTGGGCTGGTTTTCCTGTCTACGTTGGGGGCCTCACTTGGCTCCTAGTGTGGAGCATTGTTGCAGGATTCAGCATCAATCCCATCATGCTCGATGTTTGTCGGGCCCTCCAGGGCCTTGGTTCTGCTGCTGCACTCCCAACAGGCATCATGCTCATGGGGTCGCAATATCGTCCAGGTCCACGCAAGAATCTCGTATTCGCGATCTATGGCACATCAGGCGTTCTCGGATTCTTCGGAGGAATTCTTCTTGCAGGCGTCGTTGGCCAATTCTTGCACTGGGGTTTCTATTTCTGGATTGGTGCAATCCTGACAACGACCGCGCTCCTAACCTCCATTTTTTCCATCCCTCACGCTCCCATACGACAAGGTCGTACAACCAGAGTTAAAATGGACTACCTTGGCGCGGCTTCCATTGCATCCGGACTTGTTCTCACCGTATTTTCTCTCACTCAATCAGCACATGCTCCGCAGGGGTGGCGGACGCCTTACGTTCCCGTCTGCTTCGCTCTAGGCATAGGGTCTCTCCTCTTTGCCGCATATATTGAAGTAAGGGTTGCATCTCAACCTCTTCTACCAGCTTCGATCATGATGATTCCTTCCATGACCCCGCTGCTTCTTTCGGTACTTATTCTCTACGGCTGCTGGGGAATCTTCTCCGTATACGGAACGCTCTTCTTCCAGAATATATGGTCCATTTCGCCTTTACAGATAGCCGTCTGGTACATACCACTTGGTTTAGCGGGGATAATTCTCAGTGTCATAGAGGGTTTCATTCTGCACCTTGTTCCTGGCCGGATCTTGATGATAATCGGCACACTCGGCGCTTTGGCATCACAACTTCTTCTCGCTGAAGTCCCGCTCGAAGGTTGGAATTACTGGGCGTGGATATTTCCTGCCACAATATGCAGCACAATCGGTATCGACCTCCCAACAATTTTGATGACAGTCTTTATCACGACGAAACTCCCACGGGCGCAACAGGGTTTAGCGGGAGGGTTGCTCAACTCTGTGTTGCAGCTTGGAGTCGCGTTGACACTTGGCATCACTGATATAATTCAGGTCGCTACTGCGGGTAAACATGGACTTGCGAGCAGTTACAAGTACACGTTCTGGTTTGGCGCTGGTGCATCGGCTGTTAGTGTGGCATTGGTAACGCTCTGGGGAAATGTACCTAAGGCCAAAAGTGATTTGACCGCGGATGAGAGGGCAGAGTTGATAAGGGCGGCTGATAGAAGTTATTAGCCTTGATGAATTTCTATTACATAATATACTATGGCAGCGCCGTAGTTAGGTTAGTCGTCTAAGTAGAATATAAAGGCGCTATCTAGTTAGCTATCTACTTAGTCTTTATACTACTTATTTAGTATAAATAATACTATTTTATTTTTATTATCTACTATGAAAGTTATCAGTCTAAAATTATATTAATATTTTTCACTATTTAAATAATATTTCTATTCAATATTTTATTTAATATAACTTCTAGTCGAGTCAATATTTGTTTCGATGACGCCTAGAGATCTTTCTAATCCGTACTAAGTCCTTAGTCATGGATAAGAAACAAGAAGCAACGTTGTCGATAGAACGGGGCGTTGCCGACAGGTTTCCTAAATGAAATAAAGAGAACAAGGACAAAGATACGTTTAAGATAATCTTTTCGGCTTACTAGAAAGCCATTTCGCATCTGGCAAAAGACGTCCCTACAGGGCCGGGCATCCCAGCGTGGTCCAAACTTTTCGTCGATGACCAGAGACAGAAACTGAAAGAGCACAAGGCCGTAGGTTAAACCGGATCCCTCCTTCGCTTTCGCGCCATGTGTGCATCGGCTAATTCAGAATTCGCAGAAACGCCTTGGTGCCATCCAGCATCTTCCATTCAAATCGGAAGGTGCTCGGTCGATTCGGCTCTTGAAGGTTGACTCGTAGGGGCCGCATAATCTCATCCAATGCTCACTTCATAAGTTCAGAGCCGACAATATGCCACCGTATGTCGCCCTGTCCTATGTTTGGGCAGATCAGGGTCCGTGGATGGCGAGCATGTTTAAGATCGGGTGTCCCTTGGACCCTGACGCCAAGCGAACCATTGTCTGCAACGGGAAGTACCTTAAAGTATCCGCGAATCTTCATGCGGCACTTCTCGGCCTGGGCGAGGCGCTTCACGGTCGTTACATGTGGACGGACGCGATCTGCATCAATCAAACGGATGCTAGCGAAAAGACTGAACAGGTTCGAAAAATGGATAAAATTTACAGTCGAGCTGAAAGAGTCTTTATTTGGCTCGGAAGGAGACATCCAGTACGTAATGCGCAGATTGCCTGGACAGCATCTTGGCTCAAGTTCCCAACTTCTGCTGCGGACTATCCTATCGAATACATGAAGAAAAAATACAACACGATACCAGATTTCTTGATTGACAGCCTCTGCAAGTTACACATGTGGAGGAAGTTCGGCTCTTCTGTTGACCTGCTTCTTCACGGATGGTTTGAGCGGTAAGATCACCATTGATAACACCATGGTCTAGGGCTGACTCAAATCTTTATCCCAGAGCGTGGACCGTCTAAGAATTTGTACTCGCAAAGAAGTTCGCTTTCTTTTACGACGGCAAGGAGATACCGGCCAAAGACATGGAAAATGCCACGGCATGGCTTCAATCGCTGATTGAACAAACACAGATGTACCGAATGGACTTCGTTCCGCCATGGTATCTAACGACAGGGTCGATCTTCCAAGTTCGACGAAAGGTACAGGAGGGTCACTTATTGGACCTCTCGGAAAGCGTATTAGTCGGTGCTCTGCGACAGGCAGGCGATCTAAAGGACAATTTCTTCGCATTGCTGTCGCTGACGGACCCCTCTTCATTGACAATCCCGAGCTTGTCGGGGCCAGGGAGGACACTCACGGCCAACTACGACAAAAACGTAACGGCTCAGGAAGTATACATCGACCTGGCTCGGCACCTACTCTACGGGAAAATGGGCCTCTCAGTGCTCTCACTCGTCAGACACACAGACGAAGCCATGGTCCAGGATCAGCTCAACGGCGACAAAAGCGAGGAGACGAAGTACGACCCAGCACAACCATCCATGTTCGAGAAGATGATCCGGACCAAACAAGCCGAGAAACGCTACACCAAAGAACAAAAGGTGTGGCATACGCAGGTGAAACCAGGGCTCTGCATCGCCAAGACGTGTTTTCACCAAGACGCCACCTACGATCGTCTTGCAAGACAAGACGCCGGCGGAGGTCCGTCTTGCAAGACGGTTTTGTCTTGCTTGGCAAAACGTCTTGACAATGCAGAGCCCTGGGTGAAACCTGACCTGGAAGGCTTCAAGCCAAACGCATTCCCCTCGTGGGTCCCGAAGCTGCTTCTCGAGGCAACTAGAACTTCTCCGCTGCTACTTCGATGCCCGAGTCGTTCAGCCTCTCGGATGATGGCCGCACGCTGAAGACTTCCGCCGCCGTCGTCGACGCCGTCAGGTTCCGCCTGCCCGTCGATGGCAATTGGTCCGCCTCCGGCGGCTTCTGCTTCTGGCCGGTGATCCGGCCCTATTTTATCGACAAGCTGGGCCCGGACTCGATCTACAAGCATACCGGAGAACGCATCTCGACTGCGTTCTGGCGCACCTTGATGGATGACATGTGGAACAAGAAGCATCCGGCACCGGACAGGTTCGAGCAGTACTTTGCGCAGTGTTTGGCGAAGCTGGAAGGACCGGCGAAAGCAAGTGAGTTGCTTGGTCTCTTGTATGAACCGAAGGCGTCCTCGTTTGATTTTGGTGGAGCTCTGTTGTGTACGGCCACGGCGAGGGCTTTTTATGTGACAGAGGGAGGATATTACGGGCTCGGGCCGGTGACTGTTAGGCGTGGAGACAAGGTTTTACTGCTGCCAGGGACGCAGGTTCCATATTTGTTCCGTGAGCACATGGTGAAGGAAAACTCGTGGATGCTGATTGGAGAGACTTACGTGCATGGGATCATGCATGGGGAAGCGTTGCGGAAAGGGCTTGCGTTCGACCCAATTGACATCGTCTGATTCCTATCAACATCTAATTAGTTGCAGGGATACCCACATGGCATTGGTCTTGTACAGGCGGTGCATCAGCATCTTGATTAGCATGAGTGAGGCCTGCAAACGATGTGTACGGGTCAGGAGAGATGCTAAGGCTGAGCACGTTGAGAAGGAACGAAAAGCAGGAGTTCTGTGTACAGGAACATTGAAATGCTCCCAAGCAGACTACAATGCATTGTCTCCGCGGAGAAACAGCTAATGTGGAGCGGAAAAGAGGGGATGCAAAAAAGCATCCGCATTACCCCACCTGGAATGAAAGCCGTCTTGGTTGAAGAATCTTCGCAGAATCGTTACCCAATTACGTAGTACTTGTTATGTCCTACGTCTTTGCATTTTACCACACTTTTTGTAACTTGCGTACTAGAATGAGGCTTTTCCTCTGTGATACCTTTTTAGACAGTGCATGCGTAGCCATAATCCTTGACATCTACTCGACAGTTATCGTGTTATTACCCCTCAGTAACGAGTGGGGGGTATTGTCTAGTGTCGTTCCAGCCCTCGGCCTTCTCTCGGTCAACCTACTCTGTCTCGGTAAACCCCTACTCTCTCACGGAAAACACCTACTCTCTCACGGATAACACCTACTTTTTCCCAGCTAACACCTTAGACTAGTACTATTACAACAAGCTATCCGAGGATCAGATAGCTTCCGTTCATCCGTCCATTATAAAACCTCGGTATATTTACGGCTATGTGATATGTATAGATGGTTTTAAAAGGCTTCCAAACACACTCATTCATGCCTCATCACAAAAACCAATGAACTGCCGCGCAAGACTCCTCTTGCGCTACGTCGCGCGGGGATACAGTCCTTCTTCTACCACCACCACGACCTCCTCATTCAGGCAACACTTCCTCAAACCCTTCTCCTCAATGGCGACTCAGGAGCCTCAAGAGGGTGCTCGCGCCTCCGTCACCTTCCCTGTCACATCAGCGGATCTGGCAAGCGCCATTTCGCCGGACCCGAACGACCGGTTCCCCAAGGTCTTCGCTACCGCACGCCTTGTAGCCATCATGGAAATCGCCAGCGCCCGTGTGTTGGAGCCGTCCCTCGGCACCGGCCAGCTCTCGGTCGGGGTGCGGATAGATGCCACGCACTCAGCACCGACGCCAGAGGGCGAAAGCGTCACCGCGGAGGCAACTTTCACCGGAAAGGAAGGGAAGTTGTACGTGTTTCGAGTTGTCGCCAGAGACGCTGGCGGCGAGATTGGTACTGCGCGACATGAAAGGGCGATTGTGGATGTTGCAAGGCTGGAGGGTGGAGCTAGTAAGAGGATCTCTAAGGCCTAATCCGTCGGATAGATACTTTGAAGAATGCCGGACTGGACTGCAATTTATACTTTCTGTATGCACGCACACAATGACGAGAACGTTAAAAACATGATTACGTCCCGGATAGGTGCGAAAACTCTCTAAAAAAAATTAGATACATATTTAATAGTGGTATCATAGAAGTCAAGGTACACCGCGAGATGTACTTTACCGGAAGTAGCTCCCTGAAGATTACTCAGCTATGCTAACAAGCAAAAGGATCGGGACAGTACCAGCGCCACCATGCAGGTACTACCCGGTCTTTGGAATTCAGCTCGAGAATCGAAAAAAAAAAGCCGCTAACGAAGTCGTAACTTGCGGGCCGTGCGCCGCACCTAAAAACCACTACCATCAAGACCCCACTGCACATCTATGGCGGATGTGTCAGTTTCGTGTCCTGTCGCAGCGCTCAACCACGCAATCTCCAGCCTTTGGCCCCGTTGCGTAGCCCACTATCCCCCAGGGCATATCGTTTGCAGCACGACGTCATTCCTTGATCCCTGCTCCCCAGCGCGTAAATGGCGTGCCTAGGCTTCCACGCTTCCGCAAGCGTTCGACGCAAGGGATATGCGCAACGGTTCAACAAATTCTCCATACCCCACCTCGATTCAGCCAGTTGATCCTGCCATGGCCATGCGATGTCGTACTTGGTGGTAGTAGCGTGCGCGTAAATAGATATATAAACGTCCTCCGTTCGTGTCCAGAGGCGGTTCCGGTCAGCAGCTAGGCATTCATCCACCTTTTCCCTCAACACCTTATTATCCTCTTAGATCGACTTGCACAACAAACAAAAATGTATGTAGAGAGATTTGGCATCAGACAACGCCATTCAGCAAGCCAAAGCCACTGAGAGCTAATCCATCTCCAGGTCCTTCGAACGCACCGTCTCATCCCGCTCCTCCGCCACGCCCGTCCAATACGGCTGGGAGGAGCTCCTGGACCAGAAGATCGACATCCTCAAAGAAGCCAGCCTGAGCGGCAACAAGCACCTCCTCTCCCTCTCCACCATCGAGTTGCAAGACCGCCTCGACCACGTCGCCACCTTCCGCCGCGAAGCCATGGCCCTCAGTCCGCACACCTACGACTCAACCCACGAGATCATGCAAGCCCTCGAGCAGCACTGCCTAAACGCCAGCAAGGACGTCAAGAGCGACACGGACGAGGTCAGGAGCGAGATGGAATCGCGAGCCAGCAAAGACGCCGACCGGGACGAGTGGGAGCAGCTTCTCGACGAGAAGATCGACATGCTGAAAAACCGCAGCGCCGAGCGCTGGGATGACCTGCGGTCGTTCGGCAAGCGCCGCATCCGCGAGCTGCCCGAGCGCCTGCAGACCGCCGCCGCGCGTGCGTACATCGGCGGCCTAAACGCTGTCATGCAATTCGTCCACAACTCTGTTCAGTGGCTGGGCGGCGCTGTAGACACCGTCTCCCAGTGGTACCGGCAGGCGTGGGCGAAGATCAAGGAGTGGGAGTATGCCACCAAGAACTGGTTCGAGGGGGCTTACAACACCATCCGCGGCTGGTTTAGCGCCTATATCGACCGGTTTGGCGAGCCTTGCTCGCCGAGGCCGAACAGGACGACTACTGTTCCTCTGCATAGCGCGAAAGGGCTGCCGGATCTGGAGAACATTACGGCGAGGTTGGAGAAGGTTGGGTTGGATCGGTTTCTCCTGGTGAAGAAGGGTGATGAGTGGGTAGTACAGCTGTCTTTGTAGAGGCCTTGGGGGCGACGAATGTGCTGAATGTAAGAAAGTGGTAGCAGTGTAGCTGCGCACCTGTAGATATACCTCCTCATCATGACCAGTGAGTTCCATTGTAACAATTGCTTGACGCATTCCTCCTGTTTCTATCCTAAGGTCTTGGTTTTCTGTGACTGAATCGAGGGTGCACTATTATTCAAGCCGTGAGTGAGGACTTTTCGAGTAACACTCCGGGGTATATACATTTCCAACTTTGTGAGACCGCCGTCAAACCTTGCGCAACAAAGATCCGAATGAATCAAAGATTAATACCAACATGGCCAATGCGATCCACTACAGTACCAATCGAGCGGACCGTATCGATCTACCGGTGGAAGGGAAAATCTCTTCAGCGACGGCAAAGATTCTGTTCTTCTCAGGATGTAGTCGAGTATGCCAGATGAGTAGCCCACATGACCGTCAGGCGTCATATGTAAAACCATTGAGCGAGCGTTGACACCCTCGATTGACCAATCGTACTCTGGAATGTCGGGCACTTCCGGGTGTTCTAGACTCTGCCAACATTCCCGAAAATCGAGATCGTTCAAGACTTGGAAAGGAATAAGTCTCATCTTTTCATAACAGTGCGGCCATGAGCTATCGTCCCCTAGCAATATGCAGCATCTCAGGGTGACAGACCTCAACGATGATGCAGCAAGCGAGAATATACGGAGGATTGACGTTTCTGAGAACTGAAAGTTTGCCAGACACAGGTCGGTAATGGTTGACCACAGAGCGCAATTGTTTATTTCGGCAAGCAGGTCGATTTCTCCCAGTGATTGCTCGTTCCCATTACTGATACCGAGCTCAACACGAGCAAGACCGCTTGCTTTACTTAGAAACCTTGCCAGCGCTGCCATAAACTGAGGCATTTCCTTCCTTACTCGGAATGTTATCCGAATGTCTGTAAGATAGGCCAAGGCGTCATCCATTAGGGTCAAATTTTTCGCGAAGCCAACCTGCGATAGGCGACGGTGATTTTCCTCGTCGTCCTCTTCTTCAGGTGGGATCCAAGCGTACTTGAGATCTTGCGGACCCCACCAGTCGTCCCCGATCAAGCGCAGCCTAAGCGAGGTTAGGCTACTGCTGGAAGCGTTGCGTTTTCCCAGAGATTGTAGGACAAAGGAAAGCGGGGCTGTTTCCTCTGAGACGGCACGTTTCTTCCCCAATCCATAGAAGTTGTCATAGTGGGTCCCAATTGTATAGCTGCGCCAGGGTATTTCCTCTCTTCTATCAGACAGGATGAGGTCCACGTGGAGTTCTCGTAGATCATGAAACTTCTGGAGCGCGTCCTCAAAGCCGGTACAAGCCTTCTGGAATATTCGCAAATCTTCAGTTGCAGTTTCCAGTCGCGAGGTACTCATGTCCTGATCCTGAGGCACTGTTCCAACACTGTCGGGGATGCTTATGCCGGGCGCGTGTAAACAATCGTATAAACTTGGCTCGTTGCGCTGCGCCTCGTACTCCTGAAAGAGCTGTTCTCGGAAACGAAGGAATTCCTCTCCTTGGTCATCATATTTCTCTTTACTGTGCCTGATTAAGTTGCGAACCCCAGGACAGACTATCCTTTGAGTCAGCTTCCGTTGCAAGCTATATAAAGGAGATAAACTCCTCCGATGTTGCTTACCCCACATCCATGTCGGATTCCCACGATTGATACACAAATCTTCCAATCTGATTTCAGGTAGTCTTGGAGCCTGGACCAGTCGAAGTACCTTCACTGGATCGGCAATCAAGCTGCTGTTTGCGATCGCAATTACCCGCTCTAGGTCTTTCGCGTGCATCTGGAAGCGAACCTCATCGAAGAGATACCGCGCAGCTTCTCTTGCAAGCCATCTGCAGCAGAATCGAATCTTCGGTAGTGATGGCTTGTCCAGGTAGCTGACGATAATGGCCAGTACATCGATTGGAAGCTGAACTGTTGAAGAGCCTAAACCGAAGACAGGCGACATCGTCTAGCTTTAGGAATGAAGGTTGGAATCGAAATTGGATGAATGAACGGGTCCTAAGTGAAGTCCAGATGATGAAGTCGACAGCACCGGGAGGGAACGGAAAGAGCGGTCTGTCGATTACGTGGAAAAATTTGCTCCACCGTAGCGTGCAGGGCCCGTTGTCGTGGTGACACGCCTTGGCACAAGATGCCTGGCCAATCGTTGCTTGGACAAATCTGCTGCATGTTGAAAAAAGGACCTGGATATCAAATCACCCGCACTAAGTGGCGTGCCAAACGATTTTCCACATTAAAACTTGAAGATACTGCCAAACCTCATACCCTTTTATAGTAATTACCCTATTACATTTTCGTGCTCTTTACATTCCCTCTTTAGGAAGCAACGACCGCGAATTTACCCCTGTCGATGCCTCGTCACCAACCGAGAACACCCTAAAAGCCCGCGGGGATGACAACAATAGTCTACTGGTGTCGGATTGACCTATGCATCGTTGCTCTACTGTCATGGAAGAAAGAACCAAGTCCGTGGACGACTTACGGAGGCAATGAAAGCAATTAGCTTCTTTACATATATTTAGTACTGGTTCAGCATTTACTAATTGATCCATTTGCGTGCATCAAGGTTGATACACTATAAAGATATTCTTTCAGCAAAGTCCTGGAAATGGATCGCCCCGTCCAGCCTCAACATCGTTATCCGCCAAAGATGCCCTCATTCATAAAGAGATACCAAAGAATCTCTAGCCCCGCTCAAATCAGACCAAAAAAAAAAAGAATAGAAGACAAAACAAGCCACCGTCCACCGCCGCTCACGCCCTCCACTCACTCCCGCAAAATCCTCAAATCCTCATACGCCTCGCGCTCTGATCTCAACGGCCGCGCCACCCTCATCACGTCGGCCGCATACCGACCCACATGCTTATGACAAAACTAGCGAGAAGCGACTATGGCAATTGTCTCTGTACCTTATTGAAGAATAATATAAGCAGAAGCAGGCGTTATCCATGTAAACTGGGCAGTAGCTATATACTTCTAAGTTTCGAACGCAGAACTCCAGAAATGTTGAGGTATATCAACCCCGCCACCCTCCGTCGCATCCCGAAGAGCCAGCATCAATCCTCCGCAGACTGGATATTTGCCTCGGCCTAGTTATTTGAAGACTTCTACGGAGCTTGGATGGCGGTGGTGACTCTGTTCCGCAAGAAGTGCATTGACCTGCCATCAGCAAGTCCGAGAATGCTGTTAGAAGTCGCCAAACTGTCTAAACACTGTATCCTGATCCAGCACCTTCCAAACCGGCTCACTCAACGTCAAATTCACGTCAATCGCCGGAGGCAGCCCCTCCCCACCACCATGCTCCATCCCCACCAGTTCCTCCGTAGCTAAGAAGAAGGCCAACCCATCCATCGTCGAGATCGGCGTGAAAGGCGGCGCTACCAGCGCGGGTGGCACCTCGAACTCTGCCCCCGCGTACATGCCGAACTTGCACCACTGGCTCACGACGAAGCTGCCCGTCCCGTAGACAAACCCCGCCGCCTTCACGCGCCGTTTGTCCGGCTGCGCCGCGATCCAGCGCAGAGTGTGGCGGATGTCTTCTACGTTGTTGTCCCGGGAGTGCGTGATGTCGTGTATCGCTTTCGTAACCTCCCACAGCGGAGCCTGAGCGGCGAGGACGGCGGCGTCAATGATGCCGTGCGGGCACACGACGGCGTTGGGAAAGTAGCGAGGGGGTAGGTTAAGGCGGGTGGGGCCGCGGAGGTTGACAGAGGTGAGGAAGGCGCGAGACGGAGGAGATGATTCCGCGTCGGAAGGGGAGACATTCTGAGAGGTTGAGAGTTGGAGGCGTGCGAGATGGATTTGTTGGAAGAGGTGCGCGGTCAGCGCGTCGAAAGTGGAGATCCAGGAAAGGCCGGACGGGTCGGTCGCTGCGGCTTTGAGCTCGGCAAGCTCGTGGCCTGAGAAGCGGAGAACACGGCCGGTGATGGGGTGTTGGGCTCGTGGAGGAGCGGTGATGGGTGCATCTGCTTGGTGCTCGTTGTTAGGCTCCACGTAGAGCCATGAAGGCTGGTATGCGAGAGCCGCCTGTCGCTCCTCGGGGGTCATATCCCGCAGCTCCGCCATGTATGAGCGTATGCAAGGTGGATGGGCTAGCAGGGGCGTCCCTGAACCAGTGTCTTCATTGTTCCTAAACTCGGGAGCCCGAAGATGGCGGTAAATTTCGGCTAAGTCGTGCACGAACTGGAAGAAGCCGTCGGAGTCGCACACGATGTGGTGGAGCCGCACACCCAGTGTAACGCCACCGCATGCGAATCGAGTGTGCTGGATGGTAAAGATGGGATCCCGGCAAACGCCCTCGAGGGACGGATCGAAAGGCGCAAGCAGTGCGTTGCCACGCCCTGGAAGATTTGTCACAAGGATGCGGCTAGCGCTGCTGCCCGTCACGTCTGGTTGAGAGCAGAATTCGTCCAAAGGTGCCGGGCACTTTGCTTCGAGAAGGAGGGCTCCGGTGCCTAGACTAGATATCTCAGGTGTCCCGTCCGTCTCATTTATCTGCAAGCGCCCGGTGAGGTGTGGGTAGTAATCGAGCAGCAGCGCCAACGCTTGTCGCAGGCGCACCACGGAAATGATCTCGCCAATCAAGTTTGGCCTGAGTTTCGCTCCGGTCGCTTTGCTGCCCTTCATCCCGGTCGCAAGCAAATGAGTTTTGCTCTGGCGGCTTGTATACATATATCACTGCGATCGGGACGAAGGGCAGCACAAGCTGGTCCAACGGGCCCAGCTTGAATGGTGATTCGAGCGCCGCCAACGATGCCTCGTTGGCAAATTCCAACGTGTATTGTGCGGCAACTGCGACCGGATGATTTGTCGAACTTGAGTTTAGTGTAGTCATGTTGGTTGTCGACCTTGTAGGATGTTCGGGAAGGATTCTGGGATGTGTCATTTGCAGCGCCGAGGTGTGGTGGTTGACGAGGGACTTGGATTTAGTTGACACTGTCACGCGACGTTATTGATCTCTCAGGACGCCAATTATATCCTTGTTTGTGGAATGCATTAGCGTTAATTGAGAATGAATCATCGGTCTCGAAATTTGTGCCAAGGCTTTGGCTTCGTCCGAACCGTCTGAGCGCTCCTTCGGACCAACTGTTAGCCATTCCAGGATGGTTTTCGAGTCAAAGCGCCGCGCACTAGGGGTTGATGACAGCCGCCATTAACTTGGGCTTGCATTGAACTCAATAGTATGTCCTTCATTCAAGACCGGCGCGGAATGCTACCCGCTCGATTCCCCGCACAGAGACAACCTTGGAGGTATCTTCGCTCGTTGTGGTCTCCGCTGAGCTCTTCCTGACAAGTTCATTGACTATTCTGACTGATCCCTTGGCCATCCGCTTCACAACCTCGACGCATGCAACGTCCAGTTTGGAAAGGACTGTGGATGGCATTCCGCCAATGGCGCGCTGATACTATGTTCCCACGGCGTGGATGGATTTCACCCCGATAATCCCCGTGCTCCACTGAAAGTTTTGAGCCCAGGAAGCTACAACAGGTGGTCACTCGACAGCCGTCATGCCAAAGTATGCTTCATTTTGAAAGTAGCTGAACAGGGATAGAGTGTTGGACAGGACGTGAGTGGCGGTGTACGAATGGCCAAAGACGGATGCGGCAGTCGATGCAGCTAAGCCGGAGCCTATCTCTGCGGCAGTTGTCCAGGCGATGGTATTCTGATAGAGTGTCTTCTCGTTGGATAAGTCTGCCTCGACGCATGCCCGAGGCGCGCCGGTGTCGGTATCTCTGATGCCCTCCGTGTCACCGTGAGAGGATTCGAGAAATGAGTGATGCCTGAGTCTGTAGGGAAATAATCTGACATATCTACTTTCCATTTCCGTAGATCAGGCTCACTGAGCAAGTGTAGGCGCAGCAGAATATCTTCTTGCCGCACCACGACTACGTTTAAAATGAGGTTCAGGTTTTTCTATGCTATCTCTACATCAGATGCCTCATTATAGTCTTGTTCAGCTCCAAGTAGCAGCAGTTTAATTGGACACCCAAAAGACTTGACTCTCTGGCGACCTCACTGTGCTGGCGCTCTTCCGCCCTCCACCATCGCCTCCACCATCTTCTCCTTCATACTATACTCTCTCCTCCTCTCGGCAATACCCGAAAGAGCTATCATGAAATCCACCAGCTGCCTACTCTCTGGAAACTTCTGACGCATAAACTCGCACGTCAAATCCACGCCATTCGCAACGGCACCACTTGTCCAGATTTCACCCTGACCGTCGGCTCCACCGCTCTTCTCCCAACGGCATTTGTTGACCCATTTTACGTTCGGAAAGCGCTCTCGTACTAAGGATAGCACACCTAGAGGCGCGGTCGCGACGAGGCCGTCCAGAATCCCAGAAGCCGCCGTGGGAAAGATTCCGCTGCAGATGCTTAAGACAGCCGTGCCATCTGCGACGGCGGACTTGATAAACCGATCAATGGCTGGTCGCGCAGTAGGATCGGCTGAAGTTCCTGGAATAATCATGATGTCGAGCTTTGGCGCGGTCGTAAGAGAGTGCTAAGAGTTAACTTAGCTAAATAAATCACTCCAAGGGGCCTAAAAAAATGCAGCTTGGAAGAAGGGTGCATACAGTAACGACAATCTTAGCTGCCGCGGTAAGAGGGAACAGACCCTCGCCTCTCTCGTTGATGTAGGATATTTTCATGGGCACAGCCAGAGATTGCATTGGTGGAACCGCTGGACCTAATGAGACGAGGAACTCCGGGCTAATCATGTATAGAAGATCGGCTGGTGCGATGTCGTTGAACTGGACTTCTTCACCGACGAGCAGGACGCCAATTTCGAGAGGGGTCGCGATCGTCATATTGATGTATGAGGCGGTGCCTTTCTTGGAGACGTTGTTTGTAAAGCTAGAGAGCGCTATATTTAAAGCGAAGGAGGACTTGTCCCCCGGATCCCGCGGAAGCAGATACTCGTATACAACCGCTTATAATCTCCGGCGTGGGTCCTCCAAGCCTTTCCCACAATACCTCGAATATAAACTTCAGAGCCGGCATCGCCGAATATAGTACGCTTCCTTCGTCAGCGTTAGTACCAATGAGAATAGCCACTTACGCAGCCGTATCCTGGTTGATGGCATCCTCAAACGTGGATTGCATTAGTTATGTTATCAATACCCGAAGGAAAGGCTAGCGCTCGTCGATCAAGCACTTCCCTGATGCGACCAACGTCCACGCGTGGCATGCACGCAGGGATATGGTGCCTACTAATAAGTCTCCTTAGAAATCAACCTTTTCTGACGACTCGATACCGATACTCCAGTGGCCTCCAATGGCGCCAAAACCTTCTTCAGGCGTACATTCGAAGGTGATTGGATGGATCTATTCGTCCGAGGGTAGCCTCGGGCGCAAGGACCTCTCGGACGAAACCCTAGTCAACCGGGAGATGGCTCATAGCTCATTACCTTTCCACGTAATGTGCGCACCGACGCCTAGATCTAAGAAGTCGCAAAAATTTTGCAAGATCCAGTGCGTAACCCAGACTAGGAAGATGTGTGAAAGACGCTGATATGAAACACAGCCTAACTGGACAAGCGGCGCGTGGGGCCGAGCTTCAGCTACACCAACGGCGACTTCACCGTGTGCCGTGGTCCACATTTGACATGTATACCCGATCGATTTCGATGCCGTCTTGCCCGTCCTTGTGCCGTCCTTGTGTGCCCGCCTTTCAGGCCGATGTCGCTAGCTGATAACTTATCATTCTTTTACCTACGGAGAGACAGCCATTGGACCTTAATCTGTGATTGGTAGAGCTGCTTTGGCATCTACTTGGCCAGGATGAAAAGGTCAGAAGATTCTACCACGGTTGAAAAAGTGGCTCGATAATATGTTTTGTGAGGCGCCAAGCCGCGTAACGGGATCCCATCGTGGTACGCTGTGGCGCAAGTAGGTAATGCTTAGCAGCTGCTTACTAGTTCTCTTTCGCAACATTTAGAATTTGAGCAGTCTGTTTACAAGGAGGGATAGAGTTTCTTCATAACAGCGGCACGAATTGAGACGAGCGCTTATTCGATGCCATTATACCTAGTGTGGGTATTAGCCAAAGATTGTGCGAGACTTTCAGATTCGACTAAGGCCCGTACGGACCTTGTTTTGGAGCAGTAGCCACTTGCCCTGTTTGGGTTAAAACCCTACCATGTCCATATTTGCTACAATCATGCTTCGGAAGTAGCCAAATTCATTGACATTTTCATCAACAGCATTCCAAACCGTCATCAGAACTACTTCCTAAGCCAACCATTATGGCAACCACGAGAGAATTCAAAGTTGAATTGCCAGATGCTAGATCGCCAAAAACATTATATGCTACTGGTAGATCGTGCCTCATACACAGACAGCAGTTTATTTTTAATCTTCGATTCTGGGATAACACATACTTGATTCAGAGCAAGCAAAAATTGATCTAGCCGTAAAGAATGCATAGGCATCGCCAGTGAAGAGGGCTTAGCTTAGTGCGTTGATTCGCGAGGGCCATGAGGAGAAGCAGCCTCCAGTCCCTGCTCGGAGTCCCTAGCATCTGGCGCAACTTCCGATTCCGTCGTCTGCACGCTCTTCTCCGGCGTCGTCTCCTCCACACTATCTCCTTTACCCCTTTCAGGCTTCCCAGCCAAAATGTCCTCAAATGTATCCGGCGCCACCTTCAGCCTCGGATGCTTCAAATCCTCCAAATCCAGCACGGCAAGGCGGTCTCGGCCCTCAGTGATAGGGACGTCGCGGTCGCAGTTCATCCATCGGCCCATTCCGAGCTCCTCATGCGCCATGCGCTGCACCTGCAGGGTGTCGTTCATGGTCCATTCGAGGGTGGCATAGGCGTGGCGGCTGCGCTTCCTCCACCTCATAATGGGCTCTAGCGCGTAGGAAATGAAGATGATCAAGCCGCCCACGACTAAGACCGTTGCTAGGCCGAATATTGAGAAATTGGTGTATGCAGTGGTGAGGATCATCTACGGATGCGTTAGAGAGGCGTTGAGGAGTTGTGGGGGATGGACAAACCTGGTTTCGGCAGAGCCGGCGATGATCATCGTTCAGAGGGCCTGTGTAAAACTGCTCGACCTGCGGATCGCTCGGACCGCTTGCTGCGTCTAGATATGACTGCTGTGTATAGGCGAGTGAAATGTTGGTCCATCTTGCGACGTCTCGCTGCCACTGGTTGTTGGGAATGGGTCCCTGCTCTCCGAAGCTTCTGCGGGAGTCGGAGTCGAGGCCCGACTGCATGATGAGCGTGGATACGCTCGTGCTATCCAGATTGCCGGCGCCGGCGGAGAACATGAATGTTGATAATCCGTCTTCATCAGACCAGATGGCGGCAGCCGCTTCGCGCAAATCCAAGGCGGAAACCAATGGGGTGCAAGTTGTGTTTGAAGTCGATTGCGGATCGCACACTTGGTGCTGAATCAAGCAGGCTAGAGGAGACGCTGGCTCATCAGCAAAATATACGTCAGTAATGGCTTCGCTGTCGAATACTGAGTATATGCGGCCGGCGTGGTCGTGCGCAGAGTACCACGGGTCATCCGTCTCGTTTGTGAACATGACGGCATTCGATGAGAGAAAAATCATGTACAAGTCGGCATCAGGCCGCTGCAAGGCCTTGATAGGGGTGAAGTGGGATTGGTCCCTGCTGATTGAGCCGTTGTAGTAGTTGACAGCAAGGATGCTATAATTTCGTTAGCCAAGAGACCTATATCAAATATCGTCGAGGTTGTGGTATACCTTAAACTGTAATCTGCAAAAGCACTCTGGAAGTTCTCGGCATAGACTTGAGATTTTTGCAGAATAGGATACTCGTATGTAAGATTTCCATTCCCCAAGCCAGTCCTTCCGCCAAAGAAGTACTTCATGTATGGTATATCCAAGCCGCCGTCTAACTTCGACACAGATTCTCGGTACCCTTCGGTCTTCAACGGAGCGCAATGGGTTACACGTCGATAGAGCCAATGCTGGTCACGAGGGGTGTTGATGCCGAAGTCCAGGTTACTGTCGAGGTAGCCTGTGTCGATGCGGATATTGGAGTCCTGGCTTTTGCATATGTCCCCAGAAAATGGACATGTCGCATTTGGTAGGGTTGTTACCGGAAGGCTTTCCTTGACAAACAAAGTGCAGCCATTGGAGCCGGACTGTCCGTTGTAGCATTGCTGAACATAGTTGGAGCTTGAGGCCAGTTTTTGAGAAAAATATGGAACCAAATAGACGGAGGAATCAGATACATTTCTTTGTGCCGAACCGTCCAGAACCCCGCAGTTTTTAGACGAGATGAGTACTGCCTTTCCCGTAAGAGTCGAAATGCGGGAAGAAAACGTGCTCGCAACGCCAAAGGCTCCCAACGTGACGAGAGTAAAAGTTACGAGCGGAACGATGCGGCGAAATGGCTGCTTCGCAGTACGTCGCCATGCGAGGAGGACAAGGGCGAGGCTCCACAGACCGCTGGCTCCATTGGCTGAGTTGCGAAGAATCGCTTGTCGCTGGTGATATAACCCGTCTCGGGCCGCTTCTGTGGAGTACGAATGATGGAAAACGAAGCATCCAATCCTCCAGAAGTGAGTGCCAACAAGGGTGATGAAGAGAGAGATGAAGGCGATCAAGAGGGTTCCGTCGGCTGGAGTAGTCGTCAGGGTAGCCCCAAAGATCTTCCCATGCGCCCAGTTGGTCCACGTGCCGGTGTGAACATCATACAGCGCGGAATCCATACTGTCAATGGAGATGTGAGAGCGGTGTGTTTTTGGTGTTCCTGCCCCCGAACACGAATATAAAGGTGATCAAAGCTCGTCACGTTGAAGACGTACAGCCAATCAGAATTCTCGTCACCTGTGATCGTCGCGCACTGTCGTTTCAGCTGCTATCTTTATTTTTATGTTTATTTATCCTCCTATGACAGGGGTCCCAGCAATCGCAAGCCACCTGCGAGCGGCACAGCAGCCCCTTTGATGTTCGCAAGTCGATGAAACGCCGACTGTGCCGCTTGCAAATGGGGTAAATTTATCCGTTTGATTGGAACTGTTCAGTGGAGTGAGAGGCGGGGACCTGCTGTAGTAGGCTTAGCCTATTACGTTAGGGCTTGAATGATTCCGATTCTCACCTTCTGCTCCCTTATACTGTTCTTCGGCTTTATATAAAGTTAGGAATGTTAAATTTATTATAGTAACATATTCGGCGCAAGCGCTTGATAAGCTTTTCATCAATCTAAGCGCTACTAGGCCTGCTTGATTGATCGATTTCAAAACCCCCTGTGTTTGCAAGCGAGCTCAACTGGGACCCCTGTCGTATGATAACCAGGCACCTGGTTCTGAGTTTCCTCGCTCGTGCTGATACGTAACTAATGTGGCCATTCGCGTGACTGATATATGCGCCGGCCCCCACCCATCGTTCTTCGCTTTTTGGCCTCCTGCATCTTTGGCCCCCAAAGTCTACAGAACACAGCCTTGCAAGTACAGTTTCTGCCTAACGAGCAGCGATGGTTGCTTGCTTCTTTTGTGTTCAGCTGCATGTATCTCGTTAAATTAAAACTTTGCAAGTGGGCAATCTGCGGCCTGCCCCAGAGTTGTCGCTGCACTGCCTCGAATAAACAGCGTGATTGTATGCACATTGGAATATGCGGTGAGTGGCGATAAAGTCGCAGGGTGTAGATCTCCTGTTCAGCAGGAGAACGACAGCGAATGCTTTATTTAGGGATGTGAGGAGTCTACCCCGTCGGCTTTGACTGAGCCAAAAAAAATTTTTTTTGGATTGCTATAGGCACTTTGCAACGCTGGCTTGATTTTTCACCACGCTGACCCGAATTCTGGGGCTTCACTTGCCTTGCTATCAGTCCCTGAATCATGACTTTCTGCACGCATGCAATCTCCTTAATGTGCAACTCTCTTCACCGGTCGTTACAATTTGAGGAAGATATGTTCGAGAGTGGTGGAATAAAAATATGATAAATTGTTCGAAGCTTTAGAACCAACGTGAAGTGTCAAGGCGGGGGTCATGAATATTTATGGGGTAATTACCAAATAGCATATATTTATCTGAGGTGAAGGAATAGAAAATACTCAATTAATAAGCAAGACAGCAGCGTCAGCATGTAAACAAGTAGACAATGTGTGGGGGCTCAACATACCCGCCATACATCACGCAATTGTTCTTGCCTCTGTCGCAGCCCTGATCCAAGTCTCCCTCTCCTGCAACCCCTTAAGCCACTTATCTACATTCGGGTACTTCTTGAACACTTCCTTCCACCTACCTCCCTTCAAAGCTGCTCCATTGGGCAGATGAAATAGGTCCACTAAGGTCAGCTCGTCTCCCACCAGATATTTCTGTTTAGCTAAAATCTTATCATAAACCGCGAGAACTGTGTCAAGGTCCTTTTCGGCTTGTGCAACCCTTGCTTCGTCCGGGACACCAAGGCCTTTCATTCTGCAGAACATTTCATCAGGACACGTACCAGCAAAGCAGCAGGAAAAAAAAAGGGGATGCATATGCGTACGGTTTGATCACAAGCTCAGTCCCTAGCGTCTCCGCGGCAGCGGCAAAATAGCTTTGCTCGACAGAACAAGCTTGTTCAAAGCGGCCATAGGCCTCATCGCCCTCCGGAATCAGCTTCTTTCCGGAGGGGTATTTCCTAACGGAAGCATTGGCAAAGTCTCAAAACACGAGGTGCAAAAGACTTTACTGGTCAAGATACTTGCAGATGGCTCTACTTTCAAACATCACAAACCCGTCATCATCCAACACAGGCACCTTGCCGAAGGGTTGCAGCTTCATGTAATCTTCACTCTTCTGGTCGCCTTTCGCAATGTCGATGCGAATGAACTCGTATGGAAGCTCTTTCTCGAGAATCGTGACCAAGACACGAGAAGTGGACATAGCGGAACCATAGAGTTTGAGAACCATTTTCGCAGTGGAAAAGGTAGATGAATATGTAGCTAATGGAAGCGGCAAGCACTGCGACGTTCTTCTGGCGAGTGATGGAGGGTTGATGGCACAGGTGCGGCGCTGCCGGGTATTTAATCCTTCGTCGGCTAAAAAGGTTCCGAGCACCGGAAACCAGCTCTGTTAGCACTACTGCATGGCGTAAGCACTAGTCAGGAGATAAGGCGGGCCCTTGCGGTTGATGCTCCCGCTAGTGCTTAGACGTTCGGGTGGACCCACTGTTGCCGGAATACAGGGTCTACACATGTGGTAAACAAGGTACCGGCGATGACAGGCCTACACGACGTGACAAGCACGTGCTAGGCAGCAACTGCAGATAGACAACTCTGCTGTATAAGCACTAAAATGCACAAAAATCAGTTACGTACATTCAATGTAAGCACTAAACGGCGCTGAGAGTGCAATGGAGGCTTTGACGATATAGATACACGAGAAAGGGAATAGTTACAGCAGTAGTGGTGTCGTAGAACCTGTCGCAAACATGCCTTCAACAAGCAACCCAGCACAAACCCCTATCGCCATCGTGGGACTAGCATGTCGCTTCCCAGGCGACGCTACCTCGCCGTCGAGATTCTGGGATCTCCTGAAGAACGGCAACGGCGAGTGCACCCCCCTCCAAGCATGCAGAACGCCCACTAACAGCCCCTCAAAGACGCCTACTCGCCAACCACCGACCGCTACAACGCCGACACCTTCTACCACCCGGCGTCCAAAGACCGGCAAAATGTGCTGCCCACCAAGGGCGGCCACTTCCTCTCGCAGGACCCGTACGCCTTCGACGCCGCCTTCTTCAGCATCACGGCCGCCGAAGCCGCGGCCATGGACCCGAAGCAGCGCATCGCCATGGAAGTCGTCTACGAAGCATTGGAAAACGCCGGCAAGCCGCTGCACCGCGTCGCCGGCTCGCAGACGGCGTGCTACATCGGCTCGTCGATGAGCGACTACCGCGACGCCGTCGTGCGCGACTTCGGAAACATGCCCAAGTACCACATCCTGGGCACGTCCGAGGAGATGATCTCGAACCGCGTGTCGCACTTCTTCGACATACATGGCCCCAGCGCGACGGTGCAGACGGCGTGCTCGTCGAGTCTCGTCGCGACGCATCTGGGGTGCCAGAGCTTAAGGTCGGGGGAGTCGGAGATGGCGATTGTTGGCGGCGTCGGGATGATCCTTAGTCCGGATGGGAATTTCCAGCTCGCCAATTTGGGATTCTTGAATCCTGAGGGCCACTCGAGGGCGTTCGATGAGAATGCGGGCGGCTATGCGCGTGGCGAGGGGTGTGGGATTCTCGTCATGAAGCGGCTGGATGACGCGCTGAGAGACGGGGATTCCATCCGCGCTGTGATCCGAGGTTCTGGCGTGAACTCGGATGGCTGGACACAGGGCGTGACGATGCCGTCGAGCGAGGCGCAGGCTGATTTGATAAAATACGTGTACGAGTCGAATGGCTTGGACTACGGGTCAACGCAATACGTTGAAGCTCACGTAAGTGGAACTGTCCGATGATAGGTAGTTGAAGTCAACTGACGAGATATGCTCCAGGGTACGGGAACCAAAGTCGGTGATCCAGCAGAAGTGGGAGCAATTCACCGAACTATCGGGCAGGGCGCTACTAAGTCGCGGAAGTTGTGGGTCGGTAGCGTCAAGCCGAACGTAAGTCTATTACCAGCATTTCCCTGAGATACGTGGCTGACCATCAGTAGATTGGTCATCTTGAGGCGGCTGCCGGTGTGGCTGGCATCATCAAGGGTGTGCTAGCCATGGAGCATGGCCTGATTCCACCAAACATCTATTTGTCAAAGCCAAACCCCGCCATTCCTTTTGATGACTGGAACATGGCGGTACCTACGAAGCTGACTCCCTGGCCCATCACCCAAGGCGTGCGGCGCATGAGCGTCAGTGGCTTCGGAATGGGGGGTACAAATGGACATGTTGTGTTGGAATCATTCAAGCCCGGACACAACTACGCCAACGGCTCTCTCACCAACGGCACCACCAACGGTGTCCATACCAATGGTGTCAAGACCAATGGTGCTCTTACCAACGGCGCTCTTACCAACGGCGCTCTTACCAAGCGTATCGCCTTTCACAGCGGAAAGAGATTATTTGTCCTCAGCAGTCAAGATCAGGCCGGCTTCAAACGTGTAGGCAACGCGCTCGCGGAGCACCTGGACAGCCTCGGCCCGGCTGCATCCACCCCGGAGTACCTTGCCAACATTGCGCACACTCTCGCAGCTTCCAGATCCGGCCTTGCATGGCGGGCCAGCTTCCTGGCCGAGAGCGCAGCGGAGTTGCGGGAGAAACTATCATCAGAGCCGGGAGAGAATGCTGTCCGTGCAGCAACCGGCCAAGCACGCATCGGGTAAGTCCATCAATTCGAGTAGTACATTCGCCGAAGCTAACATGTGGCAAGCTTTGTCTTCACCGGACAGGGTGCGCAGTGGGCTCGAATGGGCGTCGAGCTACTGGAACGCCCCGTTTTCAGGGACTCGGTTGCGAAATCTGCCGACATCTTGAAATCGCTCGGATGCGACTGGGACCCGGTCACGGAGCTGTCCAGGGGCAAAGACGAGTCGAGACTTGGCATACCCGCCATCTCGCAGCCCATCTGCTCGGTTCTACAAATCGCGCTTGTGGACGAGTTGAGTGCGTGGGGCGTCGTTCCCTCGAAGGTTGTTGGCCATTCAAGTGGAGAAATCGCTGCTGCATATACCATGGGAGCCCTCTCTCACCACGATGCTATAGCGGCGGCTTACTTTAGGGGAAACGCATCGGCGGGTCTGAAGCACCTCAAGGGCGGTATGATGGCTGTTGGAGCCTCGCCAGAGGAAGCCAGACAGTTCATCCTCGAGGCTGCGCTCAAGAGTGGCTCAGTAAGCATCGCTTGCGTCAACTCTCCCTCAAGCGTCACCCTCTCTGGCGATGTCGCTGCACTTGAAGAGCTGCGCGCCATCTTGGAAGAGCGAGGCGTGTTCGCCCGCCGCCTCAAGGTCGACGTGGCCTACCATTCCTCCCACATGAACTCCGCCGTAGGCAAGTACTACGCCTCCATAGCCGACATCGAGCCCGCCCAGCCGTCCGCCGGGCACCCGGTCATGGTCTCAAGCGTCACGAACAGCGAGGTCGACGCCGAACTGCTGGGCCCGTCGTACTGGGTCCGCAACCTCATCTCGCCCGTGCTCTTCGCCGACGCTGTCAAAGAACTCGTCCGCCCCGGCGACGACGGAGAAAACACGGTCGACCTCCTCGTCGAGGTCGGCCCGCACAGCGCTCTGGGCGGGCCAGTCGAGCAGATCCTCTCGCACCACGGCATCAAGAACGTCGCCTACAGCTCGGCCCTGACCCGAGGCCAGAATGCTCTGGACTCTTGCCTCAAGCTCGCCGGTGACCTCTTTCTCCAAGGCGCACAATTCTCCGTACAGAATGCCAACGGCGACTCCTCCCAACCCCGCCTCCTCACCGACCTGCCCCCCTACCCATGGAACCACACCAAGACCTTCCGCGCCGACTCCCGCCTCCACCGCGCCCTCACGACCCAACCCTTCGCCCCACGCAGCCTCCTCGGCTCGCCCCTCCCCCCCATGGCCGAAAACGAGCACCAATGGCGCTCCTTCATCCGCCTCGCCGACGAGCCCTGGCTGCGCGGCCACGCCGTCGGCAGCACGGTACTCTTCCCCGGCGCCGGCATAGTCAGCGTCGTCCTGGAAGCCGCGCGGCAGCTGGTCGACGCGGGCAAGACGGCGCGCGCGTTCCGGCTGCGCGATGTGAACCTGTTCGCGGCCATGGCGCTGCCGGAGGACCAGCCGACCGAGGTCATTGTCCACATAAGGCCGCATTTGATTGCGACGAGCGGCTCGACGCCGGCGAGCTGGATGGAGTGGACGGTGTCGTCGTGCGTCGGGACGGATGCGCAGCTGCGGGACAATGCGCGCGGGTTGGTGGCGATTGATTACGAGGAGCATCGGAGTGCGCAGATGGCGGGCGAGGACGCGCTGGCGGATAAGGCGAGGATGGCGGAGTACCGCCGCGTGCGGGAAGAGTGCGAGGAGACGTACGATAAGGGAAGATTCTACGAGCAGTTTGCCAAGGCGGCGTGGAACTATGGCGAGCTGTTCCAGGGCGTGGAGCTTTGTCGTCCGGGCCACGGCAAGACGGTGTACGATGTCAAGCTGGTCGACGTCGGGGAGACGTACAGCAGGGGTCAGCTGGAAAGGCCGTTCCTCATCAACGCCGCGTCGCTCGATGCCATCTTCCAGGGCTCGCTGGGCGCGACGTACAAGGGCAACGGCGTCTTCGAGTACGACAAACCGCATGTCCCGACTACGATTGGTGAGATGGAGATTTCCGCCGATATCCCGGCTGATGCGGGCTACGTCTTGCCGAGCGTCTGTCGGGGGGAGAGATACGGCTTCAACGAGTTGTCCTCAGACATTGCCGTCTTCGATAAGGATGTCTCCAAGGTCTTCCTGTCGGTCAAGGACTTCCGAACCTCGGAGCTGGATATGGAAGTGGGCCAGGCCGATGGGGACGGCGTAGAGGTCGATCCGGCTGACATCACGTCTGAGGTGAAGTGGAACTATGCCCTGGGTCTGCTGAAGACGGAAGAGATCAGCCGGGTGTTGAGCAGATTCCCGGCTAGTTCAAGGCTCACCGAGGTAAGTTACTCAGGAGAAAAAGTCAGGACTGTGTTGTGGCTAACGTAGAATGCAGCTTATTCGCCTGGCAATCCATGAAAAGCCGGCGGCAACGGCCATCGAGTTGATCTCTGAGGAAGCTGATTATAGAAACGCAGCTATATTGAAGCTGCCCGAAGGCGAAATTCGTCCAGACCGCATCCGTTATGCTGTGGCAAACCCTGGCCAGAATGATGGGAATGCATTCGGCCAGATTGTTTCCCTTGGCGAAAACAATGCTCCAGTGCCCGCTGATAAGGCTCCCTCCGATCTGCTGATCATTTCGCACGAGCTTTCAGACCCGAGCAATCTAGAGAAGCTCATTGACCTGGCAAGACAGCAACTGGCGAAGCCTGACGCCACTATCGTCGTGACTGCCAGCAATGATGCTGCGGCTTCGGCGTTGGTGAGCAAGGGCTTCGAGATTGTCTCAGACGTCGAGGACGGGAAATCCATTGCTCTGTACTCTAGCCGGGAAGCCCAAGCAGGACCACTCACCAATGGCTCGTCGACTCACGATGTAGTCATTATCCAGCCGTCCACAACCACGTCCGCTGCAGAGAAGTTCGCCTCCGTGCTCCAGGAAACTATTCAGGACCAAGGGTACGCGGTCTCGACAAGCGTTTGGAACAATGGTATCAATTCCGAGGATGTCAAGGGCAAAACATACATCTCGTTGATGGAGCTCGAACGGCCACTGCTGGAGGACCTCTCCGAGCCTGATTTTGAGACTGTCCGAACAGTGGGATTGAATTGCGAGAGGCTCCTCTGGATCACCTGTGGCGACAACCCAGCGTTCGGAATGGTCGACGGTCTCACGCGAACCATGATGAGCGAGAACGCGAGCATCAAGTTCCAAATCCTACATCTCAGCGAGCCGACGGGGCACCAGTACGGTCCCTCCCTCGCAACCCGAGTTCTCACTTCGAACACCGGGGACAATGAATTCCAAGAAGTGGGTGGTATCCTGCAGATTGCCCGCTTTTTCAAGAGCCTCCAGCAGAACGAGAGCATCCGCCACCATCTGGAAGCCTCCGTTCGCAACGAGAATCTCAACGACAAAGGCGAAGCTCTCCGACTCACAATCGGCAACCCTGGTCTGTTGGATACGTTGAGATTCGTCCCAGACGAACGTATGACTCCTCCGCTTGAAGACCACGAGGTCGAAGTCGAGGTCAAGGCTGCAGGCATCAAGTAAGTTGTTGTAATCCCCTATCTATTCAACCCACGACGTGCTAACAAAGAGCGCCCTTAGTTTCAAGGATGTCATGGCTTGCATGGGTCTGATTCCCGTTGAAGCGCTGGGCCTGGAGGCCAGTGGTGTCGTTGTGAAGATGGGAAGCAAGGTAACTGACTTCAAGCCCGGGGATCGCGTCAGCACCGTCCACATTGGAGCCTATGCGACCAGAATCCGAGTGCACCACCATGGATTGGCCAAGATTCCGGACTCCATGTCCTTCAAAGATGCAGCAGCGTCTCCTATCGTGCACACGACGGCGTACTACGCGTTTATCTGCGCCGCCAAGCTTCGTAAGGGCCAGTCTGTGTTGATCCACGCAGCGGCGGGAGGTGTGGGTCAAGCGGCAATACAGTAAGCATCATTTCCACTCCCTCGTGTAGTTGCACATTGCTGACGGTTGTAGGCTGGCCAAACACCTTGGGCTTGTCATATATGTCACCGTGGGCACCGAAGACAAGCGCAAACTCATCATGGAGGAGTACGGCATCCCCGAGGAGCACATATTCCACTCGCGCGACGCCAGCTTCGTCAAGGTAAGAATTTTTCCAGCTTCACACTCCCTCTCCATTTTCTGCATGCTGACCACCCATCACCCAAAAGGGCATCAAACGCATCACCGGCGGCCGCGGCGTCGACTGCGTCCTCAACTCCCTCTCCGGCGAGCTCCTTCGAGCATCCTGGGGCTGCCTCGCCTCCTTCGGCCACTTCATCGAGATCGGCCTGCGCGACATCACCAACAACATGCGGCTGGACATGCGGCCCTTCGGCAAGAGCACGTCCTTCACCTTCGTCAACAACCACACGCTCTTCCTCGAAGACCCGGAGACCTTCTACCAAGTCTTCCACGACTGCTTCGCCCTGATCCAGCAGGGCGTCCTCCGCGCCCCCAGCCCCGTCGTCGTGTACCCGGTCGGCCAGGTCGGCGACGCCTTCCGCACCATGCAGCAGGGAAAGCACCGCGGCAAGCTCGTGCTGTCTTTCGCCGGGGATGATGACGGTAAGGTCGAAGCCCCGGTCCTCCGCAAGGCTGAGGACTCGCTCAAGCTTGATCCCGATGCTACGTACCTCTTCATCGGCGGCCTGGGCGGCTTGGGCCGCAGCCTCGCGAAGGCGTTCGTTGCGTCGGGCGCGCGCAACATCGCCTTCCTCTCGCGCTCCGGCGACGCCACGCCACAGGCCGCAGCCGTCGTGGCCGAGCTCTCCTCCAATAGCGGCGTCCGCGTGAAAGCCTACCGCGGCGACGTATCCGACTCGGCCTCCTTCCTCGCCGCCATGACGCAGTGCTCCCGCGACCTGCCCCCCATCAAGGGCGTGATCCAGATGGCCATGGTCCTGCGCGACGTCGTCTTCGAGAAGATGTCGTACTCTGACTGGACCACCGCTCTCCGCCCGAAGGTCCAAGGAACCTGGAACCTGCACACCTACTTCTCCGACCGCGCCCTCGACTTCATGATCCTCTGCTCCTCCATCTCCGGCATCCACGGCAACCCGGGCCAAGCTCAATACGCCGCCGGCAACACGTACCAAGACGCGTTGGCGCACTCCCGCCGCACCCAGGGGCTCCCGGCGGTAGCAGTCAACCTCGGCATCATGCGCGACGTCGGCGTCCTCGCCGAAACCGGCACGACGGGCAACTTCGCCCTGTGGGAGCGCGCGCTCGGCATACGCGAGCCAGCCTTCCACGCGCTGATGAAGAGCCTGATCAACCAAGCCCTCCGTGGCAGCGACGGCCGTTGTCCGGCACAGGTGACCACCGGGCTCGGCACGGCCGACATCATGGCGGCGCACGGCCTGGCGCGGCCGGAGTACTTTGCCGATCCGCGGTTCGGGCCGCTGGCTGTTGCGAGCGTCGCTTCGGCGGGCGCGGCGGCGGACGGGCAGCAGGGTGGGGAGTCCGTGGCGGCGAGGCTGGGGAAGGTGAAGGGGAACAAGGACGAGGCGGCGGGGATCATTACGGAGGCGTTGGTGCAGAAGACGGCGGATATTCTGCAGATGCCGGCGTCGGAGGTTAATCCGGGACGGCCGTTGTATCGGTACGGTGTGGATTCGCTGGTCGCGCTCGAGGTGCGGAATTGGATTTCGAGGGAGTTGAAGGCGAATATGGCGTTGTTGGAGATTTTGGCGGCGGTGCCGATTGAGAGTTTGGCCGGGAAGATTGCGGAGAAGAGTAAGTTGGTGACGGGGGTGTAGGTTGTGGTGGGGTTGGTGGAAGTTGTTCGAGATGGATAGATTTCGGGGTTTGTCTTGCTTCGGTGGCGTAGGTGGAGTTTGATTTTAGACAGTGAATTTGAATTGTATTGGTAACAAGCGATGCTCGCGATTCTACGTATGGCTTGATATTCCTCCCAATTGTCCTTTGTATGCTACACCTCCGATGTGAAATAGTGGCGGTCACCATTGCCTACCAATATATCATAACATACTCTGAACTCGTATCGCCCCCTCGCGTGCGTACTGCTGTTCTTGCTTACCAGATGGTGCCTTTGTATCGAATGTTGTAGAAACTCAGTAGAGCCTTATGTCCAGTGATTTTACTCCGACAAACAGATAGTATAGATCCATGTCATCCGCATTATTTTATCAAGCATCTCGATGAAAGATTTCTAATGGTGTCGAAGGATGATCGACTAGTAGCTATGGTGGGTTTGGACGATATGCGTCCAAAGCAAACTACATTAAGCTTAATCGCGCAACAAACATGCTGTAGCAAATGCAGCTATCGGTGCCTGCCGGCACGATCCTCAATTTCCCTGTACTAACTGCACAACATACACCAATATCGAAGTTGACGACACACAAAGTATCCGCAAGAGCAACGTCGCATTCTTGACATCTTCAGTAGCAGTCACGCAGTGGTACAAGTTCTACATGTCCATGAGAGTCTACTTCGGGTAGCACGAGATGCCCGCCTCGCCAAGGGATGAGGCTGCAACAAGAGCCACGAAAATGGATAATCAATGTAGCGCTTATCACACCATGTCAACAGAGTAAGCAACATTGCAGGAATTCGGCGAGTAAACCGGGGCTTGAGCTGCTTCGCTGAACTATTCGCACGAGCATGTCGTGCAGAATAGCCTCCTACTTACCCAATGATCCGGTTTCTACTGGGGTCAGCGTCAAACGGAACGCCGTTTTTGTAAGCACTAAATAAGCACTAGAAGCAGATCAGATCTGTGAAAGATAACCCATGTAAGCACTAGAAGCCTACCCGTTAATTCCCGTCCGTGTCAGCACGAAGCGAGCCCTCGGAAAGCGGCGTTAATGGGGCTCTCGGCTAACACAACCACGTCCAGTTACGTAACCGGGAGTCTTTCATACCTCATTCGCATAGTAGCATTTGCGCATTGAGTAACTCGGGGTCTTGAGGAACTTGGCGTCTTGAGGAACTCGGGGTCTTGAGTAACTTGGCGTCTTGAGTGACATTGGCGCATTGAAGTAATTATAAGGGCCTGGTTTTGCTTCAAGAGACATGTCTTTCTCAGGGCCACTACTATCCCCGGTCGAGAAAATGGGTTCTTACAGTTCGGAAATCGTCCCAAAAATTGAGGCTATCCTAGCCAATGCGAAGAAGCTGAAAAATGACGATCTTTCCGCCCGATTAGGCTTGATGACGCAAGTGGACCGTCTCTATCAAGATTTGGAATCGCCCATTGAGTTGGTAAGCTTCACTCAATTGGAGGCACTCTGGAGTAAGCAATAGCTAACCTCAATCAGTTTTTCAGACAATGGACCGATGTAAGATTCACGCAGCATCGTTGATTGCTGCCTAGAGATAAGGTCTGTGCTGACCAGTAGCAACAGGTGACTGTCTACTCCTGCGTCAATATCGCCATCAAGTTGGGAATCTTCGAGAAGATGAAAGCCAAGGACAGCATCAGTGCTCAAGAACTCGCCGATTTTGTGGGCGTAGATTTGGATGTGATAGGTTGGCTATTACTTATCAGAGCCCAATGATGACATTGCTGACCATCGGCATAGTGCGGGTGATGAGAGTTCTGGTCGCGGCTGGAATAGTCGCGTCCCCCGTCGAAGAGACGTACTCTCACACCCCCAAATCTCTGATCTTCGTCAGGGGTAAAGGGACTGCGGTTGGCTCCTTTGAGTTGATGTAAGCCTCATCACTGCATAGTTTCCTATTCGCTGACCAGATTCACTTCATAGCGCATTGTACGCCAAGAGCTACCTCTCGCTCCCCGAATACCTGAAGACGAGGCCATCCGCGGATCTGTATGATGTCTGCAAGACACCGTACGCCTACGAGTACGGCATTGAGGGCAAGCCCTTCTACGAGGCGCTTTCCTCTGTCCCACAGCATCTGGACATATTCAACCGGGCGATGGACGAGCCCACGACCGAGTGCGGCATCTTCCCGTGGTCATCTCTCAAAGAGGAAGTGCAAGCCGAGCCAGACCGGGCCTTCATCGTCGACATCGGTGGCGGAAGTGGCAAAGTTCTCCACTTTGCCAAAGCGGAGACCGGGGATGTCTTTGGGACTTCTGCGAGACTGATCCTTCAGGAAAGGCCGGATGCTCTCGCGCAGCTTGATCCGGCGCAGCAAGCAGGCGTAGAGATGATGGCCTATGACTTCCATACGGAGCAGCCGATCAAAGGTTCGAAAGTTACCCCTGCTGGCTTACGAAATGGTGCTAATCAGCTTCAGGTGCACACATTTACCATCTGGGTCATATTTTGCACAATCATCCGGACCATATCTGCCGGGATATCTTGAAGCGCATCGCGGAAGCAATGTCTCCGAAGTCCCGTCTGTTGATCTTCGATGCTGTCATTCCTGCCCGGACGGAGCCTGGCAAGTACATGAATGGCTACTTGATTGATGTAAGTGAATTTTGAGAATCCTGAATTGGAACCTGGGCAATGATTGCCGCGCTCCCTTGTTTGATTGTCACATTGGCTAACCGGGGATACTGTTACCTAGATTGTTGGGCTGGCAACGGGTGGTAAGGAGAGAACCGAGAAGGAAACTGCAGCTTTGTTGGATGCTGAAGGATTGGAATTCGTCAGGGTGTGGCATGGTCAAGCGGGTTGGCAGGGAGTGATCGAAGCCAGGTTGAAAAGAGGTTGATGTCTGGATGTCAACCTCAGCGTCCTGCCACAAAAGATGTGTTTCATGTCTTTATCTATCTCACGCTACCCTTCGTAATTTTATTATTTCATTTTAAGGTTGTTACATGTCTCTTTATCATCAACCCTTACTCCCATTAACCACAACTGAGTGATGTCGATGTGACCAAAGACAGTCTGAAGCTCTCAGTAATACTAATGCCTGTCTCAAGAGACGACCGTATCCACATTAGAAGACCTGGGTTCAGTGCCACCATAGTGGCGCGATTGAAAGCACCACAGTGAAAGTGGCAGGGTCCTTCGCCACCTAACAACCGATCTCCTACACCCATTTCCTACTCCAACCCGGTACGTTCCGAGCTTCGTAAGCATTAGCAACCCTGTTCATGTGCGCAAATGGAGTATCTGTTGCGTTGGTGAATGCATGCTTCTTATCGCTGCAGACCAGGGTGGGCATCTGCCACTAGGCTATCACAAGCGATCCGGATTTCCCGCTGCATGCCGATGAGTTGCATGTCAAGCAATGACTTGATGCATGCAGGCCTGTCAGCCCGTCTTAATCCGTGCAACTGGATCAAAATGAACTTGGCACGTCGATAGCAATCCAGCAAGCAGGAAAAATCTTTGATTTTGTTCTATATCTACGATAGTCTAGATCTAGACGACGCGCTAATACTGTGTTCTAGTGTAACTTCCCTCTTGTAGGTGGAGAAGAAAGAGCGTCGTGGGCGCAAAACTTGCAGGGACGACAAAGCAGAACGGGGTCAACAGCATAGTAGCATAGGTAAAGACCGCGCTTAGGTCCCAGAGGATACCTGGCCTTGATGGAATATCACACCATAATAACTCTTTGAAAGAGATCATCTGTGAAAGGAAAGTTTGTCGCTTGCCCGGCTAGAGGACCATTCGGGAATCGTGGTACGGATGAGGGATGTCAAAGCCGTTCGCTGATGAGGGATGTGCGAGGGGTGGTGGGTGTGTATGGTTGCGGTGGTGGTGGTGGTGGTGGCAGCAGCAACCGCGCTCAGTCGGCGGTGGCACCGACATGTATGAATGCGACGGATGTGAGGCGTGAGAAAATGGCGTGTTCATGTCTCGTGAGGCTTCTAGTTGACCATACGAAGCGCGCGTGTAGTCTTCCGGTCTGGCCCAGGACGCCCATTGAGGCTCTCTGTCATAGAGATGGTGCATTCGCTGCGTGTGGCACAGAGGGGATCCAGGGGTGGATGTACATGCGCAAGTAGGCTGTGTGTTTGCGAATAACGGACGAGCGCGTTGCTGAGGGAACAAGACGCAGTCGTGGCTCATTGTTTGGCAGTGCTGCTGAGGCGCCCTCTGCGGGCAGCTGTGATGAAAGTTGGGTAGTGCCTGCTCCATGCTGCCACTACTGAAGAGGTATGGCGTAGTTCTAGCAGTGGTTGTGTGCACGCATGAGGGCTGTGTAGTTGAGGCAGATCGTTGCAACGGCGTGATGCAATCGTTGTTGAACCGGGGGGATTGTTGCAGGAGTGAAGTGTCGTAGAAGCTAGGTGTCGGTGGCTGCTGGCCTCTGGAATGGAAAGGGTATGTTGTAATTCCGGGGTTGGATTGTTCGGTCGAGGACTGGGGAGTAAATTGGTGTATGGGCATAGCCCCGTCATCGCTTGACGGCGGGGTTCGCTGCTGCTGCGGAGCATCGGACGTGAAAATGTCGTACAAGTCCTGTATTCCATCCTGCTGACTATCGAGTGGAGAAAAGTCTGGAATAGACTCGGGACTGGCCGGCTCTTCGGGTGTGAGCTCAGGTGTTGGTGTCTTTGCTCGTTCCAACCGCTGCTTTTGCTTTATGCCTGTCGAAACAACGCACTTGATTAGCATATTTGAATACATCAATGCCGTATCCAGACGGTCCACGTGTGATGCTCACTTACGGTAATTCCGTTGAGCGATCCTGCTCTGGATCCGACGACGTTCCCCGAAATCTGATATCTTGGTCCAATCTTCATTTGGGTTTGCGCAAGCACTGAAGGCGCTGACGACGGTCTGAGATGTTCGACGGGGAGCATCGGGATACTGCGGGACCAAATTCCTGGTTGCTGGTTGCATCTTTGATGGATAGTACACGATTTCTGCGGTACTGCAGTATGTATGAAGTTGAAGGCTAACTATAAGTAGCGGGAAAAGGCCAGGCGTCGACCGGGTCTGGAGCATTGCATATGGCACCATATCAGCGTATCTTCGGAGTCCGGCCCGAGACAGGGGACCTGACAAGCGATCACGCAAGCGACTTGTCAGCGGGTATTTTGGGCCCGCTCAAGGGATTCGCCAAGATCGACCACTTGCGCTTGCAGATGCCGTAAATTAACCTACTCGAAGGTCGCTTAATTGATCGCTTACAAGTAGAATTAGGAGTGAATAACTACTGTAATCGGCTTAGTGTTACTAATTTTATAGTTCTTAGTAGCCCCGAGAGTAAGGAAGGGATGAAGTTCCTGATGCATAAACGTACCAAGTAGACTGCCAAGGTCCAATCTTGGCAAGGCAGCACAACTTACGCTGCCCCGTCCTCGACATCTTGTAAGAAAATATTGATGAGCCGCATTATCGCGTCATATCTTATCATCTTGGAAAGCCCTTGTGTACCTTGGATCTTGCCTCCTTAGGCTTAGCGCTTACCTTAAGAGGTATCTTCAGACCTACTCCGAGCTACGAGAAGATGTATATGCTGCTAGACCTGAGCGACTAATCTAATATACTAATAGCGAAATGATACCTGTAGATCTGTGAGTGGTTTAAAAGCGAGATTGATAAGCACATTACTCAGCCTGGACATACCGTTGGGAGAAGCCAAAGCACGTGATTGACGCGAAACTCCTCAAATAAGATTTTTTGCGGTTATTCATTCGCGGGCTTGGCATTTAGATCTTCTCCTCTTTGACTTGGAATTAATTGGAGCAATTCCATGTGGTATGAGCCGTAGTTGCTGTGTTTAAGGCAATGATGGAGAATCAACATTCAACTAGGTCGGTTGTGGAAGAAGCAACTGCTGAAGATGTGAGAATCAAAGCCAAGGCAAGAGGTTTATATACTAAATGGTCTCCCCAAAGAAGGATATTGGCTCAAACGAATGAGCTGAATAGGTTCGTATAAACGCTCTAGCCCACAACACAATTGACAATGCGGTCGCCACCGTATAGAAGGCGAATCGTTTCCAGAGACCCGTTACGTGTCCCCTTGTATAAAACTATTAATGACTCATGCTCCAAGGATGAAACGCTTTCAAATCTGCCGCAGACATGTATTGTAGGCCAAAGTCGTCCGTCTGAATTATTGGAGAAGAAGAAAAGGCCAAGGCTGATGCTTTAACAAGTCATGGAGGATTCAGTGATCATCAGGCTATTGCGAATTTGTACCAGCTGACCAACTCCGGATCGGTGTACGCATACAAGGGCTTACGCATAAAAGGCGCCCAGGTAGGCGAGCATGAAATGATTTATTACCATACGCATGGCAAACGGACAAAGGCGACCTCTCACATGACGGCGCCTATTGTAGGCTTAAAGTGGGGTAATTATAAGCTGTTGTCTGCAAGGTTACACCGAAGATGGAGATTTTGCACGCAAAACAAGTTTTCTACAGTCCTTGGTGTAGGTGAGGCTTCAAGTATGCATGCTGAGCACGGGCTACCTAGCTTCAATCTCGTGCAGAATTTGTTCAGTGTGTGAAGTTTAAGCCATGTACTAACTACACTAGCGGCCTAATACCCGAAGTAGATGGTCCTCTTGATATGTACAACGGTAGAAGCTGTACCGCTTCTATTCTGTTCATTATCCTCAAGAATCATCTGCTTTTATGTGGTGGGCAGCTAAAGTACTGGAGTCGTAACTATAGAATTTCGCACCAAACTAGATATATGGAATGGAAGGAACTTGGAGTTAATTCGTTTTTAACGAAACGTTTCAGTAGGACTGCGTTAAGGAAAAAGGCCCCATTACTACCGTCTTAATCGGGACGTCTTGGCAAGATGGCAAGATAAGACAACACAGGCTATTCTATCCAGGACAGAGCCCCACGGAAATTATTTTTTGTACTACATCGGCAATTTTATTTGCATTTCCTTGTCAATTGGGAATCCTGAGAACATGGTTTTCAGTCACGCAGGGCTCTCCACAAGCGCGCTTGGCAACCTCAAGCGGCCCTCGAGGAGATCATCGATCTGCTTGCTTGACGCTTGCCAAACAAGCGGCCATTTTTGCGTATTTACTAAGCGGAACACTTGATCTGGTAATTTTGATCAAGCGAGCCAGAACGACCCGCTTGCAAGTCGCTTGGTTGTCGCTTCTCAAGCCGCATACATTTCCTGAGAGCCATGCTTCGGTGACCGAGATAATATGGTGGCGAGAACGTCATGCGAGATAGGATTTATGCAGGTAAGCACTAAAGAAATTCGTACATATGCAGGCACCGCAACTGCAGCAGCTAAGCGCTACGTGTAAGCACTAGCGCGCTCGGTTACCGACCGATCAAACCACCCCAGTAATCGCAGCTGTACTTCCAGTGGTACAGGTGTTCTAGCCTCAAGGAATGTGATCAAAGTATATCTGAATTCTCGTACCCTATATAATTTTTTTGGGCTAATCTTTACGAGTGTGGAACGCAAATTCACCACTGCCGCTCGGTAAGATGGCATCCAGTCCGCAGACAATCCTCTACTTTGGAGATCAGACAGACTCCTGGGCCGACGGCATAGACCAGCTTTACCGGCAAGCTGCAACAACACCATGGCTCCAAACCTTCCTCGACGAGCTGTGTCAGGCAGTCAAGGAAGAATGCACAGGAATGGACCGGGTTCTGCGAGACAGCCTCGGCGTCTACTCCAGTTTTCTTGATCTCGCAGATCGATATCGTCACACAACCGATGAAGTGGGTATGGCGCATGCTGTCCTGCTGCACGTTGTGAGAGCAGCAATGCTCCTTCAGTAAGTCCTGGCAACAACATTGGGTGCATGGCCCTTGCTAACTGGCAAAAGGTGGGCGGAACGAGAGCCGCAGCTCGTGAGCACGACTGGGTCCCAGCCTGTACCGCTCGGAGTCTGTGGGGGGCTGATACATCTCGGTGCACTGGCCATTGCTACCGATTTTGCATCATTATATGCCGCCACGCTTGAGATAGCGAGGCTGTTTGTCAGACTGTGCAGGCTCACCTCTGTACGGTCAAGAGCGATAGAGGACCGTCCTGGCACCTGGGGCTGGGCTGTACTGGGCATGGCGCCGAACGAACTCCGAAAGGTGCTTGACCAGTTTCAACAGAGCATGGTAAGAGACAGTGTAGACAACCTTCTGGCGTATTTGCTGATTTCTGTCGAACAGGGCATCCCGCCCATCAAACGAGCAAAGGTTGGTGTGACAGGAGACCGATGGAGCACCGTCATCGGACCACCGACGGTCCTCGAGCTCGTCATGCACAAATGTCCGGCATTGCGTAATCTCCCGAAGAATGAATTGAACTTCCGCTCCGCCCAACACGTCCTCACTGTGTCCCAGGCCGACCTCGACTACATCGTTGGGACTTCAGCCATGCTTGAAAGCCCGGTTCTGCCCGACTTCAAGATGTGGGGCATGGACGAGCCCGAAGCCACCTACACCAGCTGGGGAGAGCTTCTCAGAGCTATGGCCTTTCAGGTGTTATCGAAGCCATTGGACATCACGAAAGTCGTTGGCCAGCTCGTTTCCTGGCTGGGGCCACGCCACCTGGATGTGAAGGTCGTTGGCCCTAGCAGCCATACACCTTACCTGGCCAGTGCCCTGAAGAGCGCGGGTAGCACCGCCTCACTTTACAACGACAACTCCCTGGAACAAACAAAGCTCCCCGGCCCAGACCGCATAGCCATCGTAGGAGTAGCGGGACGGGGCCCGGACTGCAACAACATCGAAGAATTCTGGGACGTCATCATGTCGAAGCAGGACAAGTGTGAAGAGATTCCCAAGGATCGGTTTGACATCGAAGAATTCTACTGCAGTGAGCACGGGGACAAGTGCACGACGACCACGCGGTTCGGGTGCTTCATGGACAAACCCGGCAACTTCGATCCTCGGTTCTTCCGTGTATCACCAAGAGAAGCGCTGTTGATGGACCCAAGCCACCGCCAGTTCTTGATGAGCGTCTACGAGGCTCTTGAGGTCGCCGGATACTCGGACGGGCAGACTGCAGCGGTAGACTCGAGAAGAGTGGCGGCATTCTACGGGCAGTCCAATCACGACTGGCACATGGTGAGCCACGACGCTCTCGGCTGCGACGCATTCACGTTGCAGGGGGGTCAGCTTGCATTCGGTAAGTTTTGGCTTTGTCATCTGATCATTCGTCTTCCAACCTTCTGACTTTTGAAATACAGGGGCTGGCCGCGCCGCATTCCATTTCAAGTGGGAGGGCCCAACCTACTCGCTTGATTCCGCATGCGCATCCTCAACCTCGGCCATGCACCTCGCATGTATGAGCCTTCTCAGCAAAGACGTCGACATGGCTGTTGTAGGGTCGGCCAACATCTTGAGTTTCCCGCATTCATGGACCTGCCTTAGCAAATCCGGCGTCCTGTCCAACACGGGGAACTGCAAAACCTATCGTGATGATGCAGATGGCTACTGTCGAGCCGACTTTGTCGGAACAGTTGTCCTCAAGCGCCTAGAGGACGCTGTTGCGCAAAACGACAACATCCTTGCAGTGGTGGCAGGCTCGGGCAGAAACCACTCGGGAAATTCATCCTCGATTACGACGTCCGATGCCGGTGCTCAGGAACGGCTGTTTCGCAAGGTCATGCAACGTGCCCACGTCTCGCCGCAGGATATCTCGTATGTTGAAATGCATGGGACTGGCACTCAAATTGGCGATCCGGCAGAAATTGGTGCAGTTACAAGCATTTTTAAACAGCGGCAAGGTCCCCAGCCGTTGACAGTTGGCAGTGTCAAGGCCAATGTCGGCCACAGCGAGGCGGTAAGTAGCAACCACTTACTCATAGCTTATATGTTCCAATCTGACATTCCGATCCATAGGCTGCCGGCATGGCCTCACTGCTGAAATGTATCATGATGTTCCAGGTACGTCAACTTCAGGCGAGTTTGATATTCAGGATGCACTGACCCTTTCGCACAGAAAGATACAATGCCACCACAGGCTGGAATGCCGCACACTCTCAATCCGAACTTTCCGTCTCTTTCTGAACTCAAGATTGATATCCCTTCAGAGTCAAAGGAATTCAAGTCTGTTAACCAGAAGCCGAGACGTATTCTTCTCAACAACTTTGACGCAGCGGTACGTTGCTCCCCGCCACAAACAACGCAAGTGACTCTTACTGACGCGGCTACACACCAGGGTGGGAATGCATGCATGCTGTTGGAAGACTATGTGGCTGAGGCCAAACATGGCATTGACCCTCGATCCAGTCACGTCATTGCGACCTCTGCCAGAACTGCGGCCGCACATCTAGCCAACAAGCGTAATCTTCTCGAATGGCTACGAGCAAATGAAACGGTCAACATCCAAGACGTTGCCTACACGACGACTGCCAGGAGGATGCACCACCCCATCCGCTCCGCTTACACTGCATCGACAACCAAAGAGTTGATCGGCAAGCTGGAGGCCGACACCTCAAACGCACAGCCATCCCGCCCGTCACCCATCGTCTTCGTCTTCACCGGGCAAGGATCCCACTACGCAGGCATGGGGAGCGAGCTGTACGCCACCTGTCGCCCATTCCGCGAGACAGTCGACCTGTGCGCAAGCATTTGCGAGCAGCACAACTTCCCCGCCTTCCTCGACATCATCACCAGCAAAGACGTCGACATGTCAACCAAGGACACAATGCAGACCCAACTGGCCGTCGTCACGCTAGAGGTCGGCCTGGCCGCGTTCTGGCAATCATGCGGCGTGCAACCATCGATGGCCATGGGCCACTCCCTGGGCGAGTACGCCGCCCTCCACACGGCCGGCGTCCTCTCGCTCGCCGACACGCTCTACCTGGTCGGCCACCGCGCGCGCCTGCTGCTCGAGCGCTGCGAAGCCGGCGTGTGCACCATGCTCGCCGTCGCCGCCCCGGCCGCCGCCATCCGCGAGCTCCTGGACGCGCGCCCGCACTCGTCCTGCACGATCGCTTGCACGAACAGCCCGACTGCCACCGTCGTCAGCGGGAGCGTTGACGACGTTGCTGAGCTGCGGACAGCTGTCACATCGCCGTCCACGACGCTCGCGGTCCCGTACGGCTTCCACTCGTTCCAGGTCGACCCGATGCTGGACGACTACATCGCGCTGGCGGGCGGCGTGACGTACTCCGCGCCCCGGATCCCCGTCGCGTCGACACTGCTTGCCTCGGTCGTCGACGCGGCCGGCGTGTTCAACGGGCTGTATCTGGGCCAGCAGACGCGGCAGCCGGTCGATTTCGTGGGCGCGCTGAACGCCGTCAAGGAGAAGCTGGCCGCCGACCCCGTGTGGCTTGAGATCGGCCCCAGCCCCGTCTGCAGTTCGTTCGTGCGGAAGACGCTGGCCCCGTCTCCGGGCAAGATCATGTCCAGCCTGGAGAAGGACGCTGATGCCTGGGTCTCCGTGTCCAAGTGTCTCGCCGGCGCCTACACGAACGGCATCGCCGTCGACTGGCTCGCGCTGCACGCCCCGTTCGAAGACGGGTTGACGCTGCTGACGCTGCCGTCGTACGCGTGGGATCTGAAGGACTTCTGGATCACCTACACCGAAGCGAACAAGCGAGAGGCGGCGGCCCTCGCTCCCGCTCCCGCTGCAACCGAGCCGGAGATTTCGACGTGTGCGCAGTACCCTGTCCACAAATCGCTGTCTCCGAAGCTCGAGGTCACTCTGCGGGCTTCGGTCGGCAGTCCGGGGTTCAAGGCGCTCTTCGACGGCCATCGCATCCGCGGAGTGTCGGTTGCCCCGGGCAGCGTCTTCTGCGAAGCGGGCGTGGCGGCCGTCAAGTACGCGCTACAGTACGGCCAAAGCCCGCATGCAGCGAACACGGGGCTGGCGATCAGAGATGTGGCGCTGAAGCGGCCGCTGACGAGGGGCCTCGTTGGTGCGGAAGGGGAACTGCGCACGACGGCCGTTGCCGCCGAGAACGCGTCTGGCAACAGCGTTCGAGTTTCGTGGCAGGCTTCGTCGCAGAAGTCTTCGTATGACCTCGGTGGCTGCGTCGTGGCCGTGGTCGATGCGGACAAGCTCAAGGCGGGCTGGGACCGCATCTCGTATTTCGCGAAGGCCAGGATGGACGAGCTGATCATGACCGTCAAGAATGGGCACGGACACAGGATGCTCCCGGGGATCTTCTACGCCCTCTTCTCCAACACAGTCGAGTACGACCCGGCCTTCAAGTGCGTCAAGGAAGTGTTCGTATCCGGTAATTTCGAGGAAGCCGCCGCTGAGGTCGTGCTTCGCGACCACCCACAAGAGACCAGGTTCGTCGGATCGCCGTACTGGGGCGAGAGCCTGGTGCATCTGGCGGGCTTCGTGGTCAACGCGAACCCTGATCGACCTACCGCGAACACTACTTTCATGATGGACAGCTTTGACAGCTTCGAGCAGACTGTCGATCTGGAACCAGGCAAGCCGTACTTCACATACGCCCGTGTCTCGCAACGAGACGAAAGCTCCGCAAGCTGCGATGTGTACGTCTTTGATGAGGAAAGGCTGGTGATTCAATGTTCTGGCCTCCGTTTCCATGAAGTCAGCAACGATGTCTTGGACCGACTCCTGGGAAACTCAGCAACCAGTTCGCGGGTCCAGGGCAAGACTGCTGCGGATGGAACGCCAGGCACACGTCAGCATATGCCGCCTGAGCCGAAAGCCAGCTCAAACATCCATTCTGATGCCCCGAAGGAGAAGATTGATGAGACTTCGGCGTCGATGGGCGAAGAGAACGTTGGTTCCAACACTGAAATTTTTCAAATCATTCTCGAGAGCATTTCGAAGGGCACTGGAACGGAAATTGCTGATTTGACTGATGATACGGTACTGGTCGAACTAGGTGAGTGTCCAATATTCATTCTTGAGCTACATCGCTGACTTTTTACTCGTCGACAGGCGTCGACTCTATAATGGGAATCGAAATAGCGTCCCGAATCAACACCAGCGCAGGCCTGGATATACTTCCATCCTTCCTCGTTCAATATCCCACCATCGGCGAGCTCCGCAACGCATTCGCGCGACCATCCACACCCACACCCCAGCCCAACCACGACTCCGACTTCTCGATGGTCGAAAACACTCCCGCATCCACCACCGGCACCAGCACGCCCCCCACCGACCACACCCCCGCCTCCCACCACAACACCACCAAACCTCCTCACCCCGCCCCCGCCTCCGAGTCCTCCTCCGACGACCTCGTCCTCATCTCCCCACCCCCGGAGCCCGCCTCCTCCTCCCCCTCCCCCTCTCCCTCCTCCCCACCCCCCACCGCCCGCGTCACCCTCCTCCAAGGCCGCCCCTCGCCGGGCAAGCAACCCTTCTACCTCATCGCCGACGGCACCGGCAGCATCGCCACCTACATCCACCTGCCGCCCTTCTCTTCCAACACCCCCATCTACGGCATCGACTCGCCCTACCTCCGCTGCCCGGACCGTCTGGACCCGACCGCCGTCGGCATCCCCGGCCTCGCCGCGCCCATCGCCGCCGCGCTGCTGGCGTTCCAGCCGGCGGGCCCGCTCGCCATCGGCGGCTTCTCCGGCGGCGCGATGGTCGCGTACGAGGTGTGTCGGCAAGTCGCCGCGGCGGGGCGGCGGGTCGAGAGGTTGTTGTTGATTGATATGTGCTGTCCGCGGCCCATGTCAGTGTCAGGTAGCCAGGAGGTGGAAGAGGCGGGGTGGAAGGTCTACGAGAGCATCGCGGCGCGGAGCAGCGGCGGCGGGATGTGGAGCGTGTCGGCGGCGACGCAGCGGCACCTGCGGGGCGTCTTCGCGTGCGTGGCCGCGTACCACCCGGCGCCTCTCGCGGCGCACGAGCGCCCGGCGCGGACGGCGATCGTGTGGGCGAAAAAGGGGCTGGTGCGGCGGTGCGAGGGGGATGGGGAGGTGATGGGGTTGCTGGCGCGGGTGGGGGTGCCGACGGTGGCGTTTGAGGGGTTCATGGAGGATGCGCGGATGGGCGCGATTGCGTGGGGGTTGCCGGATAAGACGGAGAGGGATTTGGGGCCGAATGGGTGGGAGAGGTATGTTGGAGAGGAGCCGCTGTGTTTGGCGGTTGAGGCGGATCATTTGGAGATGCCGATGCCGGGACATGTGCATTTGATGCATGGGGCGATGGAGGAGGCGTTTGCTTATTTGTCTAAGTAGTCTTTTTGATTAGTGCAAGGGAGGGTGCGTTGATGATAGATCTTTAGTAGACCGAATGTCTTGCTTATAAAACTGCCCCCATTGTTCATCTTGTGATAATACTCATACTGATACTGAATTCTTTATTTCGTGAATCGGCCAATACCGCGGATCATAAACACAAGCTCCCACACTCTAGAGAATGATGATATGTACTTGAGCTCGTGAAATATCACCTCAAGACGTCACATCTTCGTTGCATTTATAGTCTCCGCGGTTACAAGGCCGACTAATGAAGACTCATAGTCCCCCATCAGTAATGCTCAATATCATTCCATACTATGTTCCTCCAGCCTTCACATAGGAGACGAACGCCCTCAGTGCATACATTAAATGAAGGTGGTAGCGAAACTGGCCACACGTAGATGTCCTTCCATTGCCATCTATATTTTTCATCCCACCTTTCCACATGTGGTGCGGAGTATTTGGGCTGCTTCACATGTGTAGCAACAACGTATGACTCTTTCCCTTAGAAGCTCTGGATCCCTCCAGAACGCCTGCCTGCCATCAGCTCTGACCTCACGATACGACACCTAAGCTTCCAACTGATCCTTACCGTAGTTGTCGCCATGGTCAGAAGACTCCTTCGCATGGACTCTTTTAATTTGGTCCAAATTCAGGGTAATGCGGTCGGGTACTTCCATCACGTCAGCAAATAGCTACGGACCACGAACAAGCCTCAACAGCTGAACGCAGCCAGGAGTGGCGCGTGGAGGGGAAGGAACCCCTCACGGGGGTGTCAGAATTGTGGAAAAATGGGCTGTTCAAGCTCTTGGCATGGATCTGAAGGATGTGCTTGGCGGAGCAACACCAAGGATGCTTACCAAGGGCTGGATATTTAGTCCTTCGTGATGGTGTGGCAGTCACATGTGATTATCGACCTACTAATCAAAGGAGAGATGCTCTTGTCAGATGCTCGCCTCGCCAAAAGCGGTACTACTCCTACGTTTTGGCGATGCAGATCTCGGTTACTACGTCCAGAGCATGCTCGGCAGGTGCGGTAGTTGAATGCTTGCTGCACACGGAGTATTCCGTGTAGAAGATGGCACTAGGTCGCTAATTGACTATTGCGGCACTTGACAGGGAACTTGGATGAACTGAAGAGAGCGGTGAAGGTACAGGGTAAGGTGTTTCCCGTCCACCTTACCATATGCGGCTGGACTGTTGCCCGCAACCGTCATTTGCCGTAGCCACATGCGGACGCCTAGATGAGTCTACATTTCCATCTGTAGTTAGAAATAAGACGCAGCTAGCTATTTCCAGTCTATCATGCTATAAAATTGCGGCACGTGTTCTCTATTACGCATGCGGTAAATCAGTAGCGAGTATAGCTGCGGTGTTTTAAGGACTGTAGGATCTATTATTCTACGTAGCTTTTCTGGTTCAGAGATGTTATGGTAAATATCGATAAAATATTAATAGATTAACCAGACTAGCCTACCTCATCCACAAAGATCTACTAGAAATCAATGCCGCATGCAGAAACTTATCGGTGTGATGGTCCTGATCAGTAAGATAAATCATGAATCTCCTCTTTCTATAAAGTACAGAAACATCGCTTCCCTGGCCGATTTCTTTTACAGCCCATTCACAAGCTGCTCAAAACCCCATTTGTTGGTTCGATCACCTACTACTTCGTACGAAGCTCCTACATCGCCTCAACAAAGAACGCCATAATGTGTGCCGCTGTTCTTGGTCAGCATACTCCTTCCACTGTCAAAATTAACGGCAACACCGTTAATTTTGGATCCCACGCCCCGAATGGCCTCTTCTCAGCTGCCGGTCCTACGCTCGATTCGGACTACATTCTCCTTCAGACCAAGACGGACCTGTCCAAAGCCGAACTCAGAGAACTCAATGAGCTAGGCGCAGACTTGCAAGAGTACTACGGTCAAGAGATTTACCTCTTCCATTACACGCCTACCAGTCTCAAGCCTCTCCTTGAGAAGGGCTTTGTTCTCAACGCCGTTCCATACCAGAAAGGGCTCAAGATCAATTACCATCTCAAACAGACCAAAGTAGCAAATCCGCAATCAACCGAGACAATCCATGTTGTCCTGCATGAACGCAAAAGCGAGGAAGTTAACAAAATCATCACTGATCTCGCATCGCGGGCAGGACTCGACAAGAGCGATGTTACGGTGGACGGAAACAAAATTGAAATGACCGTCTCGACTTCGAAGCTCGATGCTCTGGCCGACATGGACAGTGTTCGAACCATTGAGCAGGTTCCTGAAAAGGTCATTTTCAATAATGTGGCTCGGGACATCATGAGCGCCAATGTCATTCTGAACGACACTTCCTATACCGGAAAAGGCCAAACCGTAGCCGTTGCGGATACTGGGCTTGATACGGGAAATATCGATACCATCCACCCCGCATTCAAGGGGAGAGTCAAGGACCTTATCCCCCTCGGATGGTCTGGCCATAGCGAAGACAAAATTGGGCACGGAACGCATGTCTGTGGCTCTGTTCTGGGCGGCCAGGTCACTGGTCACGACAAGACTCTCCAAGGAGTAGCCCCAGGAGCTACCTTAGTCATGCAATCGTTGTCGAATGAGAAAGGTGGCCTATTTCCTCGACAAAGACTCCCCCTTACCGACCTTTTCACTAGCCCCTACAAAAAGCATCAAGCTTACATTCACAGCAACTCATGGGGAGCAACGTGGACTGGAAATCAACTCCCATACAATGATGAATCAAGAGAGATCGATACATGTGTTTGGGAAAATCCCGACTTGCTCATCTGTTTCGCAGCGGGAAACGATGGGGGAATTCTGAATGGTCCAACGATTGGGTCCCAAGCTGCCGCCAAAAATTGTCTCACAATCGGGGCCACTGAATCCACCCGCCCGAGCATCGGTGGAGTATTCAACCCGCAAAAACAGAGCCACAACGATCCGACTGAGATCTCATTTTACAGCAGCCGTGGGCCAACCGTTGAGGGGCGTTTTAAGCCAGATGTTGTCGCACCAGGTACGGCAATTTTGTCAACCAGATCGAGTCTGATGAATCCGAAGGCCCTTGACGCGTATGGGCCATCGCCAGACCCGCTTTACCAGTTTTCCTCTGGCACCAGCATGGCAACACCACTCGTTTCCGGCTGCGCAGCAGTTCTACGTGAGGTTTTGGTCAAAAACGGCATCGAAAAGCCCAGCGCAGCATTGCTCAAGGCCCTTCTTATCAACGGCGCTTTTACTTTGCACCACGCACACTCTGCGAAAGAGGGCTTTGGGCGCGTCAATTTGAATAACGCTATTATCCTCCCGAACCAAACCGAACACGCTGGGTTCGTCGAAGGACAGCCATTGAAGGATCGCGGCGAGAGCAGGACAATCGCCCTGACTATTCCGCCCGCTAGCGCTCTGGAAGCCAAGCAGGCATCGGCCAGCGACAATGTTGTCACTTTGAAAGTCACACTAGTCTATACGGATCGGCCTGGTGAGGGTCTACAGAACGACTTGAACCTCATTGTGAAGACGCCAGATGGAATTGAGCGCCACGGAAATATGGGGACTGCTGAGGAATTTGACAGGTACAACAACGTCGAACAGATTGTTTGGAGGGACATTCCGCAGGGGAAAGTCGAGGTCACAGTCAAAGCAGCCCGAGTCCTTACTAATCAACAGGACTATGCTCTGGTGTGGAGGGTTATAAGGGGGGAGGAATAGGAACATCGACTGAATGTGGAGGGCTGATGGCATCGTACAAGGCTCAGTTGTCTCTTTTCAGTCATTCATTCGTATATTGTGAATGAAGTCCTCTTTTAACAACACTAAATGCAAATCCAATGATCTTCTTCAGCCTGCACATAGACCCTTTTTTCTCTTCGACTTTCGGACCTCAACATGAAGATGCCGCGCGAGAAGATCGTCCCAGGGACCACTTGACAAGACGTTACTTGCCCCCGTTCGTTGTCCAGAATCTTCATCGCAAATAAGCCGCCGCATCTTCCTTTCCTGGCTCGTACGTCGCCATGTCGGCCAGGAGGTGGTAGATGTCACGGAAAGGTATTTCAACTGACCATGCCACGTTAAATACTGCTAGCGTTCGCCCATTATGATTCGTTTTGTTCAGCTGACTTCAGCTTCCTGCTTCAAACAAGAATTATAATAAAAGCTCATATACTACAAAGACCTGAATCTATAAGAAACCCTTCGCCGTTCTGGATCCAGTTATAGGAAGGTTCCTTAACTATCCAATATGAGGAACGTAGTTTGACCATTGAGGGACTTCATATACTCCGACTGCAGAATATGCCAACGCTATGAAACACTCAACCACCAAATAGACCCTTGCAATTAAATATAAAACGATGCAGAACCGTCGCACCAAAGTAGATAAGAGAAAAAACGCATACCAGACATTGCTACGACCTATCAATCTATACCTTATGACGAGTCTCAGGACATCGATGACTGGCATTGATGCGATGACCGTTACAGAAGAAATCCGCCAAATCAGCCTTTCTGTCCAGCACCGAAATGTTGCGAACCAAGCAAGTAAGTGAAGGCCACCATACAGAAATCCAGCGGCGTAAAGACAGAGGTTCAGCTGTTTAGAATATTTATCCCACACCGCATATGCGCCGAAAATTACGCTTGGCGATAGTTCAGGAGGTAGATCGCTCAACCGTTCCACGATATATCCAAGAGAATCTTCTCCATACAGCCCATCATAGGTAATTTTACTAGCTGTGAGATTGTTCTTCATGAGATCGGATGCTAGGCTTACAATGGCGTCGTAGATCGAGGGGTCATTCCATCCTTTCGTAGAGAAATAGAGGCCATCCACCATGCGGACTGGGTTGGCATTCCAATTTGATTCTCCCTCGTAAATTTCCGTGGACTCCTGGATTTGGCTGGTGACTTCTTCATGGTCGAATAATTCTTCTGGGCTTGGTACATTTGTTTGACTCGATATGACTCTAAAACCAACGAGTGGTTCTTCATCTAATGGATCTTGTTCTCCCCAATATTCACCTCTCCTCGTTTCGTATCTTGCAGAGATTCTCTCCCTCAAAGCCAAAGCTCGCGTGCAAGCCTCTTTTGAAAAGAATCCACGTTGGTATAAGTAGTTAATACAGAACTTTCTGATCTCACACTCTCTTGCCAATTCATAAAGCTTTGTCTCACGTGCTCTCTGGTCTAGGGGAGTGATTTCGGTGATATTGAACCTAGTGCCGTTGTGTGATGTCAGCCACAGGTAAGCAGCGTACTTTTTCGCTTCAGGCCCAGTGATCAATGTTGGCTTCTGTATATCTAACGGCTTATGCCACCAGAAAAGGTAGATTATGAGTGCACAAAGCGAATGCCCGAGAGTATTCAGCTGCCAAGAAAATAAGCCACATAACACCCGTAATGAAGTACAGATAACGAACCTCCAGAAGTGTGATTGGAAGCGACATTGCCATGCGGCTTATGCATTGAAAAATGAACCAGGTGGCCTGTACACAGACAAGCGACTTGGCAAGACCATTCGCTTTGCTTTTGTCTTTAATCTCATCATCTGGTGCAATCTTGAGACCATGAGGACATGCTTCCGCAAAGCGTTGTAGAGACTCGCGGTTTAAGAGGAAATGGGTGTGATGGCCAGGAAATGGATTGTCCTCGATAGGGACGCAGATTTGGTACCCGCCCATGATCGCATAGAAGGCCTGAGTCATGGATAGGTCCTTGGTATCCTCTTGACCTAGCGCAACTAAAAATTCCCGCTTCCAGCATACTTAGTCTCAACCTGTATGAGACGGTGTCTGAGATGACATACAAACTTTACGGCCTCGGACCGTTGATAAAATGCAGTGTAGGCCACAAGCTCGGGTGCTACAAGAGCAAAGATAAGCCACGTAACCTTGCTCCATAGGCTCCGTCTGGAAATCCAACGTCGTCCTTCATCCTCTTGATCCGGAATATTCAGGTGAAGTGCAGTCCATACGCAGAGGAGAATGGTGACCACACAGGAAGACAGTATGCTGAATGTTCCTCGTGTTCTTGGCTCGGGAGTCCATGAGACACCATCAGTGCCGTTCCCAAAGACAGTGAACATGTTCGAGGATGTTGAAAGCAGCGAACTGAGAGCAACGGTCGGAGAAAAGCCGCGAACGAGTGCACGGGGTGAAAATAAGTGGGTGAGCAGTTCAGCCTTCTTAAGCTGCTGGATGTTCGTAATCTCGATTTTCAGCTCATGCGCTCTGCATATAAGCAGGTCTTGGCCAAGGCCTCGCCACGTTGATCGAGGGAATGGCTCAGCCTGACCTGACACACTTCCAAGGCAATCCACCATACAGCACAGCACGGCCGATTGATAAGCATAATTAAACTTCCTGAAAAGGAGAAACGTGTTGCAGCATCACGGATCCATCAAGTGCGGGTGCCCCGTTTGATAGTAGAAAGAGTAAGCACATTCTCTAGACCAGCGCCACTTTATGTGTATGGATGCAAGTGGCCAGACAGTCCAGTCGTCGCAGCAAGGCTGCCCAGCAGCGGCCTGTTTTGGGAGCGGGGTCCATCGCACCAGCAGCCAATCACCATTCGCGTCGTGCCTCTCTACATGCCAGGGTAAGAACATCATTAAATTAATGAGGCTGAAGCTGTCGCCAATCATATCCGTTTTTGGGAGAACACGAGCGAGAAGGGGCGGAGGATGCCAATCCTGGTCGCGAAGCCTAGCTCATCTTACGAAAGAGAACGAATCTACCTGCCTACAGCTACCGACAAATCATGAACAGCCTCGGAGATCAGGATTGAACGTTGCATGTGTCTTATGTGTTTCAAGTTGCGATGTGAGGTAGTGTAAGCCTTGCTACATGGGATCGATCGATCCGCATTTCTAGCAAAGTAGACAGAGTCGGGCCCATGGCAGCCGGGCTCGGAACAGTACGTTTGCTTGCTTCTGCACATACAGCGGCTTTAAAACTATTCAGCACCTCACGTTCACCAAAACCAAAACCTTGCGTTGCTAGAGCCTGCCGTAGGTATAATTGCGACAACAAAACGAAAAAAGCGAAATAAACCAACGACGATCTGTGAACATAACTTGAGGAGGGGTTATTCTGCCCAAAGTGATCCTGAGTCTGTAGCGGACGTGGAGAATAAGTTGATTGGCGGCATGACGTCTGTTCTCTTCAAGATATAGTCGTATATAAGAGATGAGTAGCCCATTAGATACTGTTCACCCTCTTTCTGCATGCGGATCAGAACTATAGAGCGAGCGTCCAATTCTTGATAAGACCAGGGCTGAGGCTCAGTGTTGAGAACATCCTGGCGCACAATGTCTTGTTCACAGATCCGAAACTCGGAACGGTGCAAATTTTGGAAAGGAATCCGCCTCATGTCCTCGAAAAGCTGCGACCATCGCGTTTCGCCACCACGCAGAATACAGTTTCGCAGGGAAAAAGACTGTAATGTCGGTGCGGCAGAGGAAAACGTCTGGAGGATTGATGATCCCGGGAACTCGAATCCTTGCAAGCTGAGGTGGCTAAGCATTGGCCATTGGAAGTGCTTATTAATCCCACAAAGCATGTCAAGGCCATGCCACCGATTACTTAGGATATCGGACTTTAGCTCCAGACGACGAAGCTTCTTCGCTTCCGATAAAAACATTGCCAGCGAGTTGAGGAATGCTGTCATGTCATCCCTCTCGGTAAATCGGATGTGGACATCTGTGAGGTGGTAGAAGGCCTCCATCGTAAAGGTGTTATCCCTAGTCGAAATGAGGTGCACCTCTTCTTCCTTTCTGTCCTCTTCTTTCTTTCTGTCCTCTTCTTTCTTTCTGTCCTCTTCTTTCTTTCTGTCCTCTCCCTCCTCTTCGTCCTCTTCGTCCTCTTCGTCCTCTTCGTCCTCTTCGTCTTCTTCTTTCTTTCCGTTCCCTTTCTTTGTCCAGGTGGTAAGAAGATCTTGCAGGCCCCACCAACCGTCCATTCTTAAATCTAGCCTTAATGAAGTCAGGCTATTGCTAGACGAGTTGCGTTTGCCCAGAGCCCGGAAGAGGAAAGCAAGAGGGGCCGCCTCCCGCTTAACAGCGTAGTCTCTGTTCAGCCCATAGAATTCGTCATAGCAAATATCAATATCAAAAAACTCGTGGTTTCGCCAATTAAACAAGCAGAACCCTTCGTTTCTTGTGAAACAGGCTTGGACTTCCTTTAGATTACGCAGCTTGAGCAGCGCCTTCTCAAGGTCGACACAAGCTTTCTGGAGACGCCAAATTTGTAATGCCAAGGTACTCATAGTTATCCTGCAAGGGTGCTCCTGATCCAGTCCGAATTTTGTGAAGGATTTTGTGAAAACGCTTAGCAAGAGACGTGCGTCCTGTGCGTGCAAGCACTCGTAGAGAGTTCGTTCCTCGCGCTGGGCTTCGTATTCCTGGAAGAGCAGGTGGGCTTCCTTTCTCTTCTGCTCTCTCTCCTCGTTCCAGTTGGCCGGGTCATCATAGTGGCTGTCTTCACCTTCGTCTATTCTCAGAGTCAGCCTCTCTCCGTAATGACTTGCTCCAGCTGCACCTACCCGAGTCCCAGTCCCAGTCGCACCCCATTTCATTATACCAACTTTCCTCAGACAGCCTGGCCAACATCGGAGTCTCGAAAAGCTTAAGCGTCTTGACGGCGTCCGCAGTCATGCTACTGTTGGCTATTCCAATGACGCGCTCCATGCTCTCCGCGCGCATGTGGAACGAGACTTCCGCAAACAGATGTCGGGTAGCTTCTTTCGCGAGCCATCTGGAACAAAGTCGCATCTGTGCCAATGCGTCGTGGTCCAGGTAGCCAACAATATAAACCATCACATCGTTCGGAAGCCTCGGTGAAGAGCTCAAGACTGGTGCGTGCGACATCTTGTGGTTCCAGGTGGGTTTGGTGCTAGCTAGGGAAAACGAATGGATTGTGGGCGACAAGTGCAGGTGAATGGTTCGACAAGTGGAGGATGGATTGATCAGCGGGAGATGGAAAGAGGTGGCGCGCGGATGCGCGGGTCAAAGACGCGTTCACTTGGACCGTGCTCACGCGTTGGCTGGAAACCAGGGCCCTTGTCGCACAACAATCAGAAAAGGTTTTCTGCAGTGGCACTGCAGCTGACGGCTACCGCGAAGAGTAGTAAGGCTTTAGAATATAGTGTAGGGATATCTTACTCCTTTTTCCTTTGATAAAAACAAACATTTATGGATAGTGGAAGCTACCATCCGGATGCCAATGAGGAATTGATAATTATGCATTCACGTCCGGATGATAGCTTCAAGTGCCCATTATATACGCGAAAATCAAATTTACAATCCGTGCTGACCGTCAGCTGCAATTCCTCCCCCCCCCTTCCCTCTCTATCTTATTTTTTTTTAAAAAAAAAAGACAGGCACATCCAACGACATATAAAGTTCTTAAAGATGTATTTTCATTGCATATAGCTCTGTGCCTAGACTCGGGACAAGCGAGATGCAATTTCTCAGTCAAAAATGCCCATCCGCTCCGGCATCTCAAACTCGACATGCGGCCTATCCTTCACACTGTCCGGCACCTCCGGCCAATGGTCATCTCCTTCGAACAAAGGTACCTGCATCCCCATGACAAACTGCTTCGCACGGAAAACATGAAACATAGTCATCGCCGGCTGCTCGATCTTCCACCGAATCGCCAACCACCCCTTCGGCGGCAACTCATGGAAGAACCCCATCGGCGGATCAACCAGGTTGACCGGCGCCCCATCCCTCTCCGCCTCCGCCACGTTCTCCCACCGGAACGGCCCGTCCCCGTGGCCTAGGTGGAACGTCGCGTCGTTGTGCTTGTACATCGGCAATTCGACGTCCAGGTCGTTCTGCACCACGATGTCGACAACGCTGCCGAGCGGCAGGTTCTTGACGATCGGGTTCGGCCCCTTGAACTCGGTCGACGGGGCGAGAACGAGGGGGGAACGGAGTACGCGCCAGAGTTGCCAGGGGGCCCCGTTCAGCGTGTAGTTCGTGATGAACGGGTTGATGGGGTCGGGGGCGCCGGTCGCGCGCATGTGCAGCGTGATGTCGGCGTGGCGGGGAGGGGAGACGGGTGGGTAGGGGGAGAGTGTGTGCTCGGAGAGGACGACGGCGCCGTGGATGGCGCTGGCGTCGTAGTGCATGAGGGAGAGGGAGTGGTCCGGGCGCGGCATGGGGGCGCCGAGGCGTTGGCCGGTGCGGCGGTGCTGGTTGGGGGTGTTAGTGGAGGGTGAGATGGAGTGTGGGGTAGAGGGGGGTTAGGTACATACCGGGTAGCGCAGGATGGCGTAGCCCTGCAGGGACTGCTGCTTGCTGAGAGCGTGGAAGCGGATGGCGTAGTCTTCAGCAGCTTGGTCAAGCTTGACCATGACGGTCACACGCTGGCCGTTGCGGAGGGTGAGGATCTGGTGTTGTGTGAGTGAGGTGTTGGGTCGTTGGCATGGGTGATGCTTACGTCCACTTCTTGGGGCTGCACGAAGCCGGCGTCATTTGCTACGACCCACAACTTGTGAGAGTCGATCGAAACTCTCCATGGGTGCTCCAGGCCGTTGTTGATGAAGTTCATCATCATCCAGCGCCTGTTCTTAGTCTCGATGATCTATGGTATGTTAGCATGCTACACCACAGGATAGATAGAAAGCGGAACACTTACCTCGTAGTCCGTGTAGGTTGGAACACAATGACCATAGCCAACAGCACCAGTGGCTTGTCTGACACAGCCATGAGAATCGATGGGCTCGCCATCAATGTCGTCGACGTCAGAGGGCTTGCAATGGACACGACCCTTGCCTGGCGAATTCAATCAGAAACGGCATGGCTAATGTTCGGTGCTATCACTTACCATTGACGAGCACAGACTGGAAACAGTTCGGCTCGTAGCCGTCGTACTGAAGCTGCGAGAGCAGATTGTCGTACGTCCGGTGCTGGTAGTTATACAGGGTGACATGCTCGGGCGTTGCCTCAGCATCAAGCATGTCTTGGATGTCTGCCTCATCGGAGGACACCAGGTGATACGGCCTCTCACGCTCTGGGCTCGGACGGATCCAAATTGTTCCGTAGAAGCCATCAAAGAGAGGAGTAGTGCAGTGGTCAGCATACCATTTGAGGCCCCACTGCCCTGTGGTGTTCAGAACACTGGTCCAGTTTGCGCGAGGAAGGATGGGGTATGTGGTCACACCAGCAGCCCCGTCATTCCATGTCTTGCTTTGGTAGTGGCGGAATCCAAGCCTGCAGTGTAAAGTCAGTGATATGCTCAACTTATGAGGCACAGTGGCATACCAGTGCAAGGCCGATGGAACGCCGAAGTCATTGTGCACATTCAGGTGGATGAGATCGCCTTCCCGGGCATTGATGACCGGAACCGGGCTATCAGAGTTGCCAACGAACATTGGCCGCCAGTGCCCGCCATCTGGGGTTCTGTCAGTGGGGCTGTTGGAAGTGATCAATATGAAGCACGTACCTGGGTTCCGCCATGCTTGCGACATGGTAAGGTTGTAATAAACATCGTGAGGAGTATACGACTCCACCGAGTGGGAAGAAGATGTCCTCGAGTTCGTCCAAAAGTTTGAAGGAGAAAATGATTTGAGAGCTTCGAACTTCAGGCAGCCTCCGAGAAGGAGCAATCCGCCCAAGCTGGCATACAGAACAGCATATGCACTTGGAATCTTACGCCTCTTTCTTTCCTCCGTCACCACGGAGCTGATCTCATGCTTGAAGTCCATGCCGGCGTGTTGGAATGGAAGATGAGGTTTCTGGTTGTAAGAAAAGAAGTCTACCCTTTGCCGCTGGAGGGGCGTGGGAGGAAGAGGGGGTCAGCGGGTCGCCACATGTGTTGAGCAGTGGGGATATGCCCATGCTCGGTGGCTGCGGGATCGGCGTCAAGTGTAGTAATGTTCAGGCGTTAAAACCACGCCACTGATATCAAATGACAAGGCCATGAATCGGAATGACCTCATGTTCAGCTCTAGACTCATATTACTATACACTGCGGGGTTGTTGCCGCGGCTCCTCAGACTGACGAACACGGTCCGTGCGTGCGACCGAGTCAAACAGGCACAAGCGTTTCATGCTTACCGGGAAGGATCGGTGGCGACTTTACCGAGACCGGAGCAGCGATAAGGTTGGGAGGCTGCTTCATTCCCGGCCAATGGGCGGCACGTCGGCTTGACGTTCCCCAGAGCCCCAAACTCTATGCACGGGCTTTCTGGGTACTTCCGAGACCGCAATCAACACCGTATCCCGCATTCACGACTGCCAAGAAGTAAGCACGGACCTATTAATGTACATGACGTTGGGTAGCAGAAGAACTTCGCGTGGCAAGTTTTGATGTGAACCGAGGGTTGCTGTTGATCAGGGACAGAGTAACACCGACGGGGCAACCTCCGCTTGAGAGCATTTGGCAAGTTGAGATACCGCTAATGAATCACGCGAAGCGGGGAAGATTTGGAAGATGGGAGGCCTGAAGCAGTCTCAGAGAAAAGCTTTTGGCTGGCATGAAGTTCCAAATGCTTGCTTCGGCCTACCGTCGGTGAATCACGCGTCAGAAAGTCTCCGAAGCAAGAATGATAGAGAGTTCACTTTGCAGAAAACACCGACTTGTGAGGACAAAGTGACACACCACAAGAGCTTGTAGAACGGCCGACGACCTCCGCAACTGATCTGCAATTCCCAGGCGGGGAAATTCGAGTCTCCACTTGCCAAAGGGGCTCCATCACGATAGCATGAGTCAAGTATCAGAGTGGCGGACTTTCTCCGGCCTTTCTACGCACAACAGGACCGTTTTGTTCGACTTCATGATTCACGGGCCTGTGCTCGGAGCAAGCGGAGTAATTACGAGAAGGAGAGGAGCTATGGCCATGAGGTCTCGGAGACCCCGCCAGGTGCATCACTTCTGGACTTTCTGAAATCCACTCCTTGCGCATTGCTTTGCACTGCAACATTGTCTTCACAGAACCGACATGATGAAGTGGACATGGTTGATTCTGCCTACGCAAGCCCTTTTCGTGGCAGGCGAGTTCTTCAACCAGGTTCGGGAGTACAACTTGACTCTTGAATCAAAATGGATGGGAAAAGGTAGGATTTCTTCCACTTCCTGGCTTTCAAGACTGCTGTGCTCATAGACACAGATGGAAATTTCCGTCCAACGCTCACCATCAATGGTGACACTCCTGGGCCTCTCATCTGGGGCTATGAGGGGGACACTCTTCGTGTTCATGTCACCAACAAATTGCTGGTCGAGGCTACCATGCACTGGTCAGTTCCTCACTTCTGGAAAGCACCATCGATACTGACCTGAGGCAGGCACGGTGTGTACCAATACGACAAATACTGGATGGACGGTGTCCCTGGAGTCACTCAGTACCCCATCGAGCCAAGGGATTCCTACACCTACGAGTTCACCCTCACAAACCAGACCGGCATCTACTTCTACCATGGCCACTTTGGCCCAGCGTTTGCAGATGTGAGCCAACTTCCAAAAGGCGGCACAAAAACCAGCTGACATCCGACAGGGACAACGAGGACCGCTCCTGATCAAACCGGCGCCATGGCGGGAAAGGCCATACAGCCTGATCTCGGACAAGCAAGAGGACATCGCGGCCATGCTCTCTGCAGAGGAGAAGGTCAACAACCTGATGGTGTCTGACTGGAACTACGACGGCATGGACGTCCTCATGCTGATGTACCGCGACGCCGGCGCCACGCCTTCCTGCTCGGCTTCGCTGGTCATGAACGGCAGAGGCCGCACAATCTGCCTGGAGCCAGAGATCATCGCACAGTCTGACGACGGCATCCATCGTGATTCCAGCGGGTGCCTGCCGCCGGACACCGGTGTGCCATATATGAACAAGCGGGAGTGCGTTGACACGTTTGCGGACCTCGAGGTCGTGGAGGCCCAGGATGGAGAGAAGTACGTTTGGCTGAACTTCATCCACCCTGGTGCTCACCACGAACTCCGCATCTCGGTTGACGAGCACGACATGTGGATCGTGGCTGCTGATGGTGATTTCGTGCATCCGAAGAAAGTCCAGGTAAGCTTCACTTCCCCACCATGGAATCCCTGCTGACCCCTCAAGGCGATCAACGTCAACATGGGCGAGCGAATCAGCGTCCTCGTCCCCCTCACTCAGAAGCCCGGCGAGTATGCCATCCGCATGGCCTCTCTTGCCGAGGAACAGCTCATCTGGGGAGCCGGCATCCTCCGGTACGCTGGCGTCCAAGAGAGACGTGATGAGAAGGACATCATGCTTCTGCCGAACAGCAAGCCCCACATTGACCTCCGTGGCAACCTCATCACGCATGGAGTCATGATGGACGAGATGAAGGACCTGGTTCCTTTCCCCCCGCGCCGTCCTCCGGCGAAAGCGGACCACACATTCCGCTTCGCCATTCAGCGGCCAAACCCGAGCACCTGGACGCTGGCCTCGGAGCCCCATCAGGGCTTCCGCCAGCAGCTCCCCCCTGTTCTTTGGAACAAGGACTCCAGAGGTCCGACGACGATCGAGGGGATGAAGAACGGCTCTGTTGTAGATCTCATCTACGAAAATGGAGCATTCGGCATGCATCCGTTCCACAAGTAAGTTAGCTCTCTCCCTCCATGACAGCGCTATACACTGACATAGTTCCAGGCACAACCACAAAGCATTCATAATCGGCACGGGCGAGGGCTTCTTCCGCTGGCCGGACGTCGCCACGGCGATGAAAGAAGTCCCAGAGAACTTCAACATGGTGAACCCCCCGCTGCGGGATGGAGCACGCTTGGCTAAAGGCGAGGGGTCGTGGACTGTGATCCGCTACCAGATCACCTTCCCGGCAATGTCGATGTTGCACTGTAGGTTTCTGATCGCTGAAGCTGTTGGGATCAGACACTCACTTTTCCGCAGGCCACAGGATCCATCATTTCGCTGGTGGGCAACAGATCGTGCTTCTTGAAGGTGCAGATGCTATGCCACCGCTCCCTGACTACATTAAAAACATGACGCATGCTGAGTTTGTACCACCGTTGCGTTATGGACCACTCGATTAAAGGGGTAGAGTAGATTGTCTCAGTGACATGGGGATATTTATCAGAAAAAATGCACACCTCTACTAACGATCGCCTCCACACTGTTCCTCATACTCCTGAAGTACCTCCTCCACGTTCTTCAGTCATGATAAAGTTACTTTTGATACTATAATATAAACTGTGAACTGTTCTGCGATAATCTTTTCGAACAACGTCTCGCGCTATCACGGTGCTCACTAGCTGCCCAACCCGTGTTCATATATTTTGCCGCTTGATCAGGAAATACCCCACATGATAGACCAAGGCATTATCGTGTAAGAATGTGATGATGTTGAAGGATGATCGATTAGTAGCTACGGTGGGTTTGAACGATATGCGTTCAAAGCAAACTACACTAAGCCTAATCGGGCAACAAACGTGTTGTAGCAAACGCAGCCGGCCTACCGGTACCTGCCGGCACGATCCTCAGAATGGTAAATTCCACGCGTCGTTTTATTCCATTTTACTACTACAAGCATTATTATTCACTGCGTTCTTTTATTTTCTCAAGACATGTGAGCATTCCAGCTAGGAATCCCAAGTGATCCAAAACCCTATGTACATCGGTAGCTACCTTCTGTGCTTTTCTTACCGGTGTCGGAGTATCGTTTGTACTTCACTTCATCCACCCTCGCCAGCTTCCTGGTAGATATGTCAATGAATGAAATAAACTTTTGTATTGTAGATTGCTTTAGACCGGCCCAAGTAACGCCCACTGCTCCTATAAAATGCTAAGAATATGACCATTCAGATCCATCATCTTGCTTCATATTTGGAATCCGAATTTCGCATGTAGAGGAGCCCATTTAGGTGCTTCCGGGTTCCTTGAAAGCTCCCGCAGTCCCGGCAAATGTCCAGAAACAAGAGATGAGTGAGATAACAACGCTGGCAGGAACAGCTGCGGTGGAAACATCATTTGGATGGAATACCTGCCAAACCACCCAGAAGGTGAAGGGACACACCAGAGCTAGGATATGATAGATGAGAATGTGAATGAAAGAAGGCCTGTACACGACTTGAAGACCCCATTCTTTAGGCCTCTCTTTCGAGTCGAGCTCGAATTCACAAATTTTCTTAGGAATGCTTTCGACATCTGATTTCCCAGGGAATGGTTGATTGCATTTGTGGAAGATGGGCCATGGGCAGTTCCCGTCGCATGAGCTGAAATGGTGTTGGAATTCGTGTGGGCAGATAGGTACTGTATTAGTTGGTACATTTGGAGGTCGAGGCTCATAGTCGTATTCGTGTTCCGAAGCTGACGGTATAGATTTTAACAGATGCGCCAGCTTATGTGGTTCTACCATCCTGAACTTGGACGAGTTAATACAAATGTTGTTTGGGAGGGGCTTGTTGACTGACCTTCACGAAATCGCAATGTGAAAGCTGCCAGCAAGAGAACCAAAGCCGCAAAGCTCCTCTTTTCGCTCTGTAGCAGTTTCGTAAGCTCCGATAAAAATTCCAATCGCATTGACTATATTCTTCGTCGATTTTGATTTCTGCGGCCTCCATGAGCGGCTGCGACTTGGGAGTTCCAAGCAAGACCCACAACGATCTTTTCGCTTGGCCTACCGGTGGGCTGTCTGCACGAGTATTGCTTGAGGATTGAGGATTGTTCAAATCACCCATGGGTATTGCTGTGGAACTCTGACTCCGATCACTACGAACCGTCGGGAGAGTTTCATCAGTTTGTGATCCTCCTATGAATTGGCGAATTGATTTCGAAACGGAAGATCCAAATGAACGATTTGTTGCGCCTCTTTGGCAGTAGGTGGAACAGCTGGGAATCTCCACTCGCTTTTTAAGCAAGTCCTGTATTACTGTTGCTTCCTCAGTCGTAGTATCTTCCCAGACATGCTTCCCACAATTCTGTGCCACTGTTAGCCATCAAAGCTAGCAATCATAAAAGATAAACTACTTACGCATATCCAATTCAAACGTGATTTATTTGGCCTAAGCCTTCTCATTGAAGGTGATAGCGGCCACCAAAGCCAGGTAGCACCTGTGAAGTCCTCTACAAGTAACTTGAGTTGATTTGACCAACTCAGATGGTCTATATCATCCTCTCCTGTGAACCAGATGCGATGCGAAGGAATGGAGCAAACTACTCTTTGAATGGATGACCGCAGGACTTGAAGTTGGAAGCGTGCAGTATCCTTCTTGCGTAATTCAGGATCAATTGAATGATCGAGAAAGAAGGACTCCGATATCTCGAAATTGCTGACTCCTTCTGCCATATCGTTACCGAAGAGAATTTGGATTATCTGAGATGTTGAATTCTCATCTCGTCCCAGTGTGGCCAACAATGGGAAGCTTTCTCGAACAGTTTCAAAGTCCCGCCGAATCATTCCTTTGGCTGCACGCTTGTTGCCGTATTGTAGCGCATCTCCGAACGAGGTTGGCGGGAAGATCAACTGGTTTAGGCGGCTTCGATACCGGTTGAATGGATCTCCGGAGAAGAGGAACTCGAGCATGGATTCCACATCCTCCATTTCCCCTTGGCCTTCTTCAACCATCTCATCATCGGATGAGCTCCTGTCCGAGTCGCTGTCGCTATTGTTATCATCTTCAGCAGGGTTATCGTCTTGATCAGCACTCTCACGTACTGGCCGGTCGAGATTCCCAGTTTCCGAGGAACGTTGCATACTTTTCCCCATCTCCTTCAGCATGTTGTCGATCCTGTTCATGGAGTCCAGCTCAACGTTTTGCAGTCCGTCCAACGCTGTTCGCAAGCTCCTGTTTGGGATCGATAATGCACTGATTTCAGCTGTTAAGAGCTCTCGCTGAGTTCTTCCACCGAGAAACTTAACGGTTTCCTTTCTAGAAATATCGCTTCCACATTGTTTCCGCAAGTCTGCGAAAAGCCGCCCTAAAAGCCGAATATGATTCTCCCGAAAAGTTTCGTCAAAAGTCTTGAATGCCTTTTGATACAAAGGTTTTAGTTCAGACTCTTTTACCAACCGATCAGCTAGCCATCGGGCCACTATCTGTGGATCCAAGCCTGTGCTAACTAAAGTTCTGCTGGACCCCGTTTGGATGCTAAACGCAGTAGCTTCGGAGATCAATGATTCCTTACTATCGGATGATGCATCGTCGCTCAGATGTCCCGCCTGTGAGATCGATGGATCCTCGCCGTCTGGTGATGCGTCGTCGCTTGTATGTTCCGCCTCGGAGATTGATGGATCTTCACCATCTGTTGATGCATCATCGCTTACTTGTTCCGCCTCTCCGTAGCTGCCTATGACTTCACTGTAATTGTTGAGCTTTGAAAGCATTCTAGCCCAGCCTTCTGTTGAATACTGATCTATTGGTTTGTGATAGCCCAATGATTTGATATGGGGAATCAATTGTTGATATCTTTGCCAATTGTGGTCAGAACTGGCAGGGAACGCTTCTGATATAATTCTGAGACACTTCCGCCACAGTATTTCATAGTTTCCGTGAGTTCTGAGCCAATTCTGGGTTGCCACCTGCACAAGATGATGCATGCGAAACGTGCTGCTGTCTTCACCCAGAGATATGAGGCAATGGTCCCTCAGGATGCGAAGACGTTTCTCCAGGTCTTCGTCGAGATCTTCATTGACACTCCCACTCGGTTCTAAGCCGCTGTGATCATGTAGAAGAAATTCCGGTACTCCGTCGTAGTTGAAGAAGCTCATTATCGACAGCGTTTCAGCAGCTGAGGGCCACTTCTCTCGTATGTAGTCGAAGGATATTTGAAATGTAACAGTAATGGAGTTTGCTGCGCGATCCTCATGACGAAAGTTGATGGATTCGGATCTAAGAAGTTGGATCATCTTGTTGCTGCTCTCGTTGAGTCTTTCAACGTATTGCGAGATTGCGACCCGGCCTTTCTGACGGGAAACGAATGCTGCTGCTTGTGTGATTGCGAGAGGATTGTGGCCGAGAGCTTTGACGAGATCTGACGCTTCTTGGCGGTCCAAACTTTTGTCCAGCTTCTTGAAAAGCAGTTCAAGTGACTCTCCTTCATTCATTTCCCCGACATGAATGATGTTCTTGTCTTGCCCTACTAGTACAAGTGACGCGTCTTCATTACGAGACGTGACGAGTATGGACCCTTTCTTGCTGTTTGGTAGATATCGGGTGACCAACGGTGGGGACGTGAATAGCCCCGGATTTCCCTTCACCTTCTCTTCCTCAGCTTCCTCCTTTCTAGCAATCTTCGATAACATGATTGGATCATCCGCGTTGTCCACTATCAGAAGCCACTTTTCGCATGTGTCTTTGAGCCAATCTCCTACGATCTGGAAAATATTCGTTTCGGGGTTATCCCCGCTAGGGATCTGAAGAATTCTTGCGATCTGCTGAAATCCTTCTTCTATTCTTTCTTGGCTACTTGCGTGTACCCAGAAAATCCATGTTTGGGGGAATGCCTCCCTCACTCGGTAGGAATACTCAATTGCAAGTTGCGACTTTCTAGTTTGGTTTTAATATAGTAGCAATAAATGCCGGTACGATCGTGCACTTACCCTATTCCTCCGAAGCCGAGAAGTGCTACACGAGCACCAGGGTTGGAGAAAATGTCTGATATTTGGGCCATGATGTCCCCACGGCCTACGAAGTCGGGATTTCGCAGAAAGGGAACATTCGAGATTGGCTCCAAGTAAGATGTACCTAGCTGAGAATGCTTGTAGGTTTGAGGTGAAGCAATGCTGGTGAGCGTGCCAATAACCACATCAAATTTTTTGTTGACATCTGGATCCATGATATATGCAATTGTCTGCGTCTTCACTGCTTTCAGATTCTTCCGTTCATTCAGCCCAACATCGTGTAGCCCTTTGTCGACGTCAAATCTGAAGTAAAGGTTGGCAGCATCCTCGTATCGCTGTCCCATCACTTCTGCTGTGTTGCTAGATTCTGTGGCCATCCTTTCCAGGACATTAAGCATATCAGTTGGAAGGATCCTATGGAAACCGGGTGGCTCATCAAAGCCAACGACACCGGCTTTCCCGGTTCCGATGCTGATAATGCAGTCCACCGTCCTCTCCTTCCCGAAGACTAAATTAGCCTCTGCGATCACTTCCTTGATTGGATTGTTACAGCCAAGGCCAGCATCAAAAAACTCTTCGCCGTCAATTTTGATGCCGTTGAAGAGGGTCGGCGCGGCTAACGTAGCTCTTACAGCTTCCCATATTGTGCAGTTATACGCCTCATGCCGGCGCATGCGGTAGTTCCGAAAGCGTTTTCGAAAGGCCATGCTTGATGTCGGCGTAGCACAAACGAACCTTGAAAGCATGTCAGTTCAGCAGATACTGTCGGACATTTCGTGACGTACATTCTGCATCCATTTCTATGATCCTCGTCCTCTATCATTCTTGCATTGAATCTCTCCCATCCAAGTGTTTCTTCGACCACTTGACGTATCTCACTCTCCAACACTGCAGCTCTGGAAACTTCATCTGGCCATTCGCTCTCTGTTTCGGAGAAAATTCGTTCGACGAGGCGCATATACGCGCGTATTGCTCTTCTAGCGGAGAGACCTAGTCTACCGAGTAGAATAGCAATCAGGCTGCGCACTTGCTGCTTAGCGATTCGAGCTTAACCTGCAAAATGTCAGGACAACCCACCCTCCCGTACCCGTGCCACCAATCAAATCAAAGTATTCAGCGGGTCGCGGGACACGTTGCAGGTTTGATTGGTTCTTGATCTGTTTCATCATCTCCTCAATGATGAGAAGTTCTGACAGACCGCGAATACCACCGCCATCTAGGGGTTGTCAGCCGATGCTCTATGCCATCTGGACAACTCTGAACAGCATTACCCAGGGATAGGAGGCGCAGCCCTCGGCCCTTCTCCGACGACCCGGCCATGGTTAAGGGTTTTCAAGGCTGACCGCCGATGACATGGCCGGCGAGGAGAGAGCTAAAGTAGGAAGGTCCCGATGACGAGGCTGAGAAAAGACTGCTCCACTTCTCTCCTCGGGCCAGAATGGGCTGCATCTTGCCTGCTGAGCCCGGGCAGACTCGCATACATAGCTGAGGGCGAGGCAGCGAATGAATGCCGTGTGGCCGCCCTTCAGCTCTCGCGAGAGGCTATGTCTTACGAGGGGGGATTCGATTGGTTAAGCGTGGTCTCACCCGCGTAGCGTGCACATTTACTTGGCGCATCGGCGCAAGCATTCCATTGGACAGGTCATTCGTCCAGGCCGCGGCCTGTACTGCTGCCTCGCAGAGTTTCTTCACACGCACTACAGGGGTCTGTTATAAAGCGGGGTATGGTAGCCGAGCGCCTCTGCGAATTCATCCTTTAGTTATCTTGTGGGTGGTTGAAAAAAACCATCCGAACGTAAATGTAGAAGTAGTATTCGCGACCGGGACGATAACATCTACTGCCTAAAAGTGTGATCCCTTTCAACTTGAAATTGCTAAGGATCAGTTACGTTTTGTTCTTAGTCTCTGCCACAGAGAATGTTGGCCATCGGTCGCAGTGCCTTTCCTCCGCCTATCCTTTGGTCCAAAGACCCTGTGAATTCTTCTCTCGACAGGAATGTTGATTAGCTGAAACAGGAGTGTACACAAGTGGAGAAGATTGGCTGAGCGATAAGGATAAGGCAAGGCCATCCGCGTGGGGTCCGCTTCCTTGTGAGGGAGCGATATCCGCGATTACGCGCGAGGGTGCTCCGAAGGAGGTATGAGCGCGATCTGATTGGCTAGCTGACGCGGTGGCGTTAGCGCTGAAAGGCGAGTAAGCAGCCACAACAACCAGCCTTCTACGAATCAGCTGCCTGTGCCGGCTTGAAGGCTGTCAGAGAAAAATGAGACTGAATTCTGCTCGCGTGTTGCTGCCTGCTAATATTTTCCCCACCTAAGATCTACGCGAGGATGGTACAACGGGGTAGCCTGGCAGGAGCGTCAAAGAAATTTTTAAGCTTAGGACATGCGTAATCGACATCCCGTCGGCCCGTTCCTTTCCGCTTGCTACTGGGATTTTCGCATACCTCTTCGTTTCTTTCCCATTGGACTTTTTGGAAATAAGCCCACAAGGATGGCACACGTCAAACCCTCCTCCCTCAATGTTGTCACCGCCCCCACTTTCTCGTCGGAGACAAAAACTTGGAGCATCAGCCACACCAGCCTGCCAGCCACCACAGGCTTGGAATACGTGCCTGCTATTGCGCGAGATCCATTGTGGCTGGGATTCCAGCATAATGGGTATCCCGTGGTGCCTCTCACGCAGTATCGTGCCATCCGAGGAACGCAAATTCCCTTACAGTTTAACCGCGAGCATGCGGCCTTCGTGCAGGCTTGGTTATCTTTTGGTCTTTTAGAGGCAGTCCTCGAGGAGCCGGTGCCAGAAAGCGAGCTCATTTGTCAATCCTGGGACGGACGCCCTGTACTCAGCTTGCATAAAGTGCCAACGATACTGTCGACTTGGAAGAGCCAGCTCCCCACAGAAGATCACGCCGCCATGCTTTCGTACAGAGAAAGAGCAGTGAAGATGATAAGCCACGCCCACCGAACACTCCAGCATCTCAAAAGCGCACGAGCATTCGAATACGACGGCGCTGTAGCCGATCTCATCCCCGCCACCTTCTGCCTCCTCGGCTGCATCGGCGAGGCCCTGACGAACGCCATGCAATTCCTCAACCCCGACCTCGACGAATCCCTGAACTTCACCCTGCCCTGGGACTTCGTCCTCGCCTTCTACCCGCTCTCCTCCCCGAACTACGTCCCCGTCGCCGACCGGCACGACCCGCGCCACTCCCTCGACGAAGAAGAATGGTGCCCCTCGACCGTCCGCTACCTCATCAAGCGCAGCAACGTCTCCGCCCTCCGCCACGCCCTCCGCCGCGGCCCGCGCAACCGCGGCGAGAGCCACGACAAATGCACCGAGTACACTTGCTTACTCCAATCCGTCGACGTCGACAACTACGTCCCCAAACACGCCGACGGCATCCTCTGCAAGCCCGACGAGGCATGCGCCTGCCCCTACATCAAGCCCCCCCGCGCCGCCGTCACCGCCGCCCTCGCCGCCGGTGCCATCCCCGTCATCCGCCTCCCCCGCGCCGCCGAAGCCACCACCACCACCACCGCCGGCGACGAAAAACTCGCCGTGGCCCTGACCTCCGACGGCCCCTACGTCGCCATCTCCCACGTCTGGACCGACGGCATGGGCAGCAACACCGAAACCGGTCTCCCCGCCTGCCAGCTTTGGAAGCTGGCTGCGCTCGCGCAAGCGCTGCTGCCATCCAGCGAAGGCCGGTTCTGGCTCGACGCGCTGTGCGTGCCCAAGCAGCCAGCAGCCCGCCAACAAGCCCTCAAGCTCATGGGACAGGCGTACCGCGACGCGGAGTATGTGGTCGTCCGGGACGCAAGTATCGAGGCCTGCTCACAAGACGCATCGAGCGAAGAAGTCCTGCTGCGCGTCCTGTCCGCGCCGTGGATGCGGCGGCTATGGACGCTGCAGGAGGCGCTGCTGGCGAGGAGGTTGTTGTTCGTGATGAGGGATGGCGTCGTGCCGTTGGGGGATGTTCTGCCGCGGGAGGAGCAGTTGTTGGCGGATCCGGTGTTGGCGGGGTTGGCGGGGGAGGTGCATCGGTTGACGAAGATGCGGCGGTATGGCAATAATAGCCTCACCTTTGCGGATGTGGCGCGCGCGCTGCGGTGGAGGGCGACGAGCCGGGCGTCGGATGAGATTCCGGCGATTGTGAGTTTGTTGTTGGACGCCGAGGGCGCAAGGCGGGTGCTGGATGCGCCGGTGGAGGGGAGGATGGAGAGGTTGCTGCTGGAGGTGGGGAAGGTTCCAAAGAGTGTTGTGTTTTTGTCCGGGCCGAAGTTGGGGACGCAGGGATTCGGGTGGGCGCCGAAGACGTTTATGACGGTGGCGACGGGGCAGGAGAGGGGTGGGAGGGATATGAATACCAGTGCTTCGGCGGTGGTGACGCCGGAGGGGTTGGTGGATTACTTCTGTGTTTACCGGCTGGAGGGGGGTGCTGGGGTCGATGAGGACGGTGCCAGGGAGTTTACTGGTGCTGAAGGAGAGCACTGGGTGATGCGGTGCGGCGACGAGAGCTTCGCTGTCTCGAGGACGCATATGGAGACGGGGAAGTACCGCTGCAATTTTGTGTTGTGCACCGGACCGAACCTACCGGGAGATGAGCAGCAGCTTTGTCTGGGTGTCTGTGGAAATATCCACCAGACAGCTGGGGAAGAAGATACGCTGAGCTGCGTATATGGAACAAGATTGGTGATCAGGAAATCCCCCCGAAGTGGGGCGAACAACGACGATGAGGAAGAGGTTCACTCAGAGCTTTTGGCCGAAATGCACAAGGTCTGTATTTCGTGATTACTTCTGCCACGGCCTGGTGTTACGAAGCGTAGTGAATAAGAATTCGACTATGATTCTATGTACGAAATGAAGCTGCTAAAGAAGAAAGAGTTCTAAGAGACAGAAGTCTAAATAACAAGAAACACACGCTAGGGGAAAACGAGTAAGCTTATTACAAGTCGTACGGCACTTAGCCGTAATACCTAGACCTGGTAGCTTAGATGACAAGACTATGGAATATTATTGTCATTCGTCTATACCGCATGTATTTGCCAACTACCATACCATGATGGAAAGGAAATGCCAACGCCAAGATTGATATAGTCGAAGTGTACCAGGAAGTCAGTTCATTTCAATCATTTCCCGCCGTCGAGTTACCAGTACCCTGTTCCACCTCCGGCTCCTGTCTCCCTGTCTCGGGATCATTCCTCTTAGGCTCTGCCAGCTCATGTTCAAACCCTTTGGGAGGCGCCACCAGGCGTGGGTGCTTCAAGTTGCCCAAGTCCAGTACGGCTAATTTCTCTCCCCTTTCTGTGATCGGTACCTCCGTGTCGCAAGCGGACCATGTTCCCATTGTCAATTGCTCGTGAGCCATACGCTGTAGCTGGAGTACCTCATTCGTTGTCCACTCCAGACGTGCGTAAGCGTCAAGATTACGGCGCTTCTGAATAAAGGCAACTACAGGCTCGATGAACCATGAGAGTAAGATGGTGATGATACCGAATGTAAAGATCAGTGAAAGTCCGAAAACCGAGAAGTTGGTGTGGTTGTTGGACAAAAACTTCTAAAGGGGTTCGTCAATATTGATAACGTAGAATCTCTGCAGCTCTTTACGGGGATTCATACCTGAACTCTGCAAAGTTCCTTCTCCTCTTTGTTTCGAGGCTTTTGCATCATGTTCCGTAGCTTTGGATCAGATGGGCCTTCAGCTGTGTCAATAGCGGAGCCTTGCATGCTGGAGAGGTATATAGAATGCCAACGCTCCACATCTAGCTGCCACTGATTGTCCGGAAGTGCGGCTTGCAAGCCACCTGATAAGGTGTATGAAGAGGCCAGCGATGAGGACCCCAATACCGATATTATATCTTCAAGCTGCGGTAAAGCTAAGATCCGCGAAGTTAGATAAAAATCCAGTAAGAAAGCCTCGTGCTCGCTTTGCACAATATTTCTGGCGTTGGCTTCCAGGTTGATGCGTCCGTCGAGTGAGGTACAGCGTCGCTCCTTCGGCAACCCGGGACTGCAGACCTGATATTGCTTTGCACATCCAAGAACTGTGACTGGCTCATCGCTCCAATAGACGTGCAAAGCATCACTTTCTGATGTATTTAATCCCCGTACTGATGCAAATCCCAAGGAATCGTGCGCAGAGTACCATGGGTCGTCTACAGGTCCAGCATATATGATTTGATTTGCTGCAAGAAACACTAGGTCGAGATCTGCATCCGGAAGCATGAGGTCGTCATTGGGAATGAACATGGAGGTCAGGCTTGAAAATGTACCATTCTGTGGATAGGCTGATCGAGTCCTAATGGAAGAGGTCAGCTATCACTAGTAATGCAGGGGGGGGGGGATTTTTGCAAATTACTCTATCGTATAGGACATGATCCCCTTGCTTCCAGATGCAATAGGTGAACGGTCAGGATATTCGCACGTTGCATTTGTTGAATTCCCAGCTATTAATGACCGCCCATACATATACTTCGTATATGCTGATTTCATGTACTGAGAGCCATCTGGCGAAGTATCTTTTGTTGCTGGGATATGTTCTTTGTATCCTGTTGTTTTGAGCGGGGCGCAATGGGTTGTTGTCCTGAATTGAAAGCGTTGGTTCGGCGGAACATTCACCCCGAAATCGTCGTGGATGTTGAGGAGACCGGTGTCAAGATAGATGTTCTTGCTATCACTGTGGCAGATTTTGGGTGCGAATGGACAGGACGAATTTCGAATGATCTGCGAGGCCAAATGTGGTTTGACAAAAGCACCGCAACTCGCAATGTTTGACTCATTCGTATAACATTGCTGAGCATAGGTGGTGTACGAAATTACCTGTCTAGCAGTGAGGGGGTATTGCTTCGTTAAAATGTCCACCGCGGACATATTTGTTCTGTCGGGAATCCCAAAGGCGGAGCTGGATATGAGGACTTCATTGCCCATACTGGTGGAGACTTTCGACGAGAAGCCACTGGCTGCTCCGAATGCGCAGACGCAGAAGGCTGCACAAAGAATGACTGGAATCACTCGCATCAGTGGCCTGGTTCCACTTTTTCTCCATGCCCAGACACTCTGAATCAGGTGCCATAAGCCGCTGGCACCATTAGCAGCGTTTCGTAAGATTGCTTGCCTCTGGTGATGAACACCGTCTTGTGGTGCTTCTGAGGAATAGTAGTAGTGAATTGCAAAACAGGTGACTCTCCAAAAGCTTGTACCAACGATGGTAACAAAAAGGGCCACAAAAGCAATCAACAGATCGCCATCTTGACGGTTTAGGGTGAGTGTTCGTCCAAGGGTTTGGCTGTGCGACCAGTTTATCCACACGCCGGTGTAAACACCAAACTCAGACGATGATTTAGTGATTGGCAAAGATTCCATGAAGAAGATTCAGTGATTTCTGTGTGACAAATCCAACAAGCGAAAAGGTCTGATTGTAGCAAGTGAATTTGGGGGCAGCGATGGTAACGGGGATCGTATTTATCTTCTACAGTCGCCTCAGAACCCTAAAGTGTCTCGTTCAAAGTTATTGACCGGTTGGATGAGGGAACACAAGCAAGGGGTCCTGCAAAGGTACAATGCCGAGTGTTCCGGTGTGAAAAATAGAAACTCTAGCTCTAAAACATGACACATCCATTTGAAATTAGCCGTAAAAGCAAGTGTATGAGAATGTTCTTGTACGACGGCATGAGTTAATGCAGTGCTCAAACTTACGTATCATTTTCTCAATGCGTATGTGACGCCACTCTGCTACACTCTGCAGCTGATCCGTTCGAAAGCCTTCCCGTGTTTTAGGAGATTTATACTTCCGTGGGTATTCGAAACGTATTTACGCGCGTAGGTAAGGCACGATTATATCTGGGTAGTCAAAGAGCTTGAAAATAATTTGGCAGCGGATGGAAAATGGTATGCGATGTGACGACATGGCTTAAAACCTGAAGTGTGTATGTACAACCAAAGCTAAGCCAAGCAAGGCTGAGAGGCCGCACCTATCAGCCTTCCAGACTACGCCACAGTAGTACACTCTGTATATCGCCATTCTCAGCTGAACCTAGAATCTGTTCTCAACCTCAGCTATCTAGCCCAGTCATTACAAAATCACGTCCTCTGAACGGGGCCCAGAAGCCACCAGTACGTATCATTTCATCCATTATCCACACGCCGGTGTAGATCCGAGCATCAGGTAAATACTTTTAGCTTGTATCTTAAAGTAGAGAAAGCTATATCAAGAAAAAAAATTTATCTACTACTACTAATATCTGATAACTCGACGTGTAGCTTCGTATATTTTATCTGTAGTTTACTACGCACCTTTCCATATAACCAGACACCTAGCCCAGCTATGCAGATGCCGGTACTAAGAATGAACCCTAGCACCAGCATTACACTAAAGCCACTAAAGTTATCTTGAGCTTGTTCCGGTAGATAATGCGACTTTCCGTCAAAAGCAAAATCAGAGCCAAAAGCTTCCTCTTGCGTTCCGGACCCGCTCACTTCAAAGGTGCTCCAGTCCCCACCACCAACCCGCGGAATTTCCACGCAGCCGTTGAAGTCACAAGCCTGTCTCAGCGTCTCCGACGGCACGAACACCTCAACAACGCCCGACCTCCTCAGCACAACCCCCTCACCATCCACCGCCTCCGCAAACGCCCACAGCGCGAAGCCGTCCCACCGCAGCACCGTCTCGAAGCCTCTTTTTCGCGCCTCGCCAACACGCCGCCACGGCCCCTCGACGCTATCATCAGACACGTAGAAGCGCCACGTCTGCACCGTCGTGGCACCGTTCCACGAGACGTAGAACGTCGTCGCGGTGCCGTTGTACGAAAAGCTCCAGAGCGCCGGGTCGTGGGCTGGGACGGCCGTCCAGTTGTATTTGCGGGCCTTGTAGTTCGTCGTGGAGCCGGTCGGATTGTTGAAGGAGGCGTGCAGCACGGGCGCTCCGCTGAGGGGGTGGTGCTCGGAGAAGAAAGGTTGCGCGCCCCAGCCGAGAAAGGCGTTCCCGTTTGGTAGCGGCTGGAAGTTGCCTTGGGATCCGCTGAGGATCGGTGGCCCGTTGGGGACGTGGTGCATGTACTCGTGGCTGAAGGTTGCTGTTCTGGCTTCGTTGTCTAGGACGAAGACGAGACCGCGAGAGTAAGGATGGGTTTGGTTGTCGTGCGGTTTGAATTCGTCGTAGGCGTTGTCGAACAGAGATATGGTGGTATGGGTTGCATTTGAATGCTGCCATCTTGCGTCGTGTTGGCTGGAAAAGTAGAAATCCTTTTGGAAATGGCTTGAGAGCAGCCAGCCGTCAAGATGCCAGAGAACTCGTCCATCCTGTCCAGAGATCAAGTAAAGAGCGGAGGTGTGACGAGAAGATATCAGGTAGTCGCCATTCTCATTCTTGTCGACCGAGTTGATGTGGAAATAGTCCCAAGCGTCAGATGCTGTTGTCCCTTTCCCTCCGGCAAGCGTCTCTCCAGGAAGGACCTGACCGTACTTTGGCGAAGTTTCCTCATGGTCCAGGCTCCTCCACTCAAATAGTAATTCACCAGTCTCTACTGATATTTCTTGAAAAAGGCTGTTTTGAATCCAACCTATGTTTTCGGACATTCCATACGGTGAGAGGTCGTACGGTTGAGCTTGGTAGGCCGTGAAAAGGGCTCTTTTGCCGTCGTCAATGAGATGAAATTCGTGCATGTCAAATAGCGCAGCCGCAGTACCTGCGAGGCGGAGGGTTTTGACGACTTGGTAAGTACTGTCCACAATAATTCCAACACCTTGTGAGTGGCCTCTGCTTTGCCAGCCTTGATAGTAACAGAGGTGGTCGGTACCGTGATACTGGCAGACGTGCGGACCATGACTGCTGTACACCCCACCGAATGTGCCTGCACCAGACCAAACAAGATTCTATCGACTAAATATCAGCATTCCATTGTCTGGATTTCATCGTGGGCTCATACACCGTCGTTGTCGAAGATGTGAGGACCAACGTCGTGGTCGAGAAGCTTGTAACCCCAAGGCGCGGTGAAGATATATCCGGGCGTGACAAGATCTGGCTCGACTGTCGTGATGTTAAGAGACACGGGAAAGAGATCGGGGCGCTGTATCCGTAAGCAGAGGCGTGAGAATGGAGGGAGGCACCATGGCAACAAACAGAAAAAAAAGGTGTCAAGCTACTCCTCGTATCTCCGAGGTAGTTCATCGCCAACGCCGAGTGACATATGAGGACGATTATGCTCATAAGTGTCATATTGGGATGATAATACATCTTTCCGAAGCTATGCAGATACTCTAAGAGAGTTGATTAGCACAATAAACCTGTATTTCATGCGACCTTTAATACCGGAGTGATTTCAACATGTACGTGAATTTTCTTCTTGGCAGAGTCGCAGGCGTAACCCCGCACCGATATGCGAATCTCCGCCCTTTTTTTGCTCGTTCCCAAAGACAAGCGCTATAATAGCCAAGCCCGTTATCGGGGCTCCACCTCTAGTCAGGTTTTGCGAGTAAGCGAGTTTGCCACTTTACAGGGAGGCGTTGCAGGATCTGAAGGATTCGGATGCATACATGTCTATCAATCCTACGCTGATAATGCTCCCAATGCCTTACCCATGCCTAATCCATTTCGGTTCCATGCACGGAGTGTCATTTCGCAAGCTGTCGACTCGTGACTGTATCCAGCCAGTAAAGAATTCCTTCGAGCCAGCTGGAGGCGCAGGTTTCCCCAGTCTGAACACACGGCCAAGGCCGCACTTGTACCCCCTATAGCTCCATTGAACGCAATCAGCTCTCTCTTCACACGCCCTTCGACAACTCTCTTTCGAGCTGTACGAGTTCTGCTGGATATCATCTCTCCAGGTCCCCGCCTCAAACCGCTCCTGGTCATCGTACTCGTTCCATCTCGTAAGCACCTCATCGTAACCAATGTTCCAGTCCCTACGTTCGGTCGGCAGCTCTTGTCCGACTGTACTATTGAACAGATCTTCCATGAGAAAGGGCGCCGCGGGATCCTCTCTGCTTTGCTCGATCTCCATCATCTGGGTCAGATCCTCCGGCTTCATGTGATGGAGCGTCACCAGCGGATGGCACCATTGACCCGGACCGTACGGCACATCAACCCAGTTGTGACCATTGAGCATCGGCCAATACGACGTGACCTCGATGCCGACGTTCCTCAGCGCCAACGCCAGGCCCGTGTCGCCGCAACACAAATGCTGCAGGTCAACGCCAAACTCTGTGCTGCCGGCCGTCTCCGCGCCGGGTGGCCTGTGATCGAGGAGCCTTCGCATCGTGACCGAGGAAAGCAGGTAGCCGGCGCCGCCATACGCAAAAAGCACGTCGCCATGTAGCATGGGGTTGCCCAGGTACAGGTGTCGCTCCGGGTCCAACTGGCGTATCCATTGCGCAAAGGTGCTCCAGAAGACATACGTGTCCGCCTCGATGAAGAAGTACCACTTTTTGTTCGGCACGAGGGCGAAAGTCTTGTCGATCATGGGGAGAAACTTGTACTTGTCCAGCGTCCACGCCCGGCGGAAGTCGATATTGACCGAGGAGACTGGGCGGCCTTGAGCGAGCGCGTGTCGCAACTCTCGCCAGAGGCTGAATTCTGGCACGAACTTGGTGTACGCTTCTGGGAGGTCGCTGAGCGCGTCGTGGATGTCGTACGGGCCGAGACGTAGAGCCGCGTCGGAGAAGATCAAGGGGTCAGGGACGCACTGCAAGTTGCTAAGTAGATGCGTTGCAAGCTTGTCGTGGATCTCGGAAGTGCCTGTCTTCATGACGATTTGGACGTCGTCGAAGAAACCATCAGGAATAGAGTCACAATACGAGCCAGGCGGTGTTGCGTTCTGGCCAGACCATGCTATCCCGATCCCATATTCGTCATTTCGATTCGATTGCAGAGACGGGGGAGGTAGTTGCGGCAACGAGTATACTATGAGCGAAAGAGAAACTGCGAGGATAATCGCGGCTGAAACAAGAGTTTGTTTCGCAAACGCGATAATGGAGTTCATTGCGCTGGCGCTGTTTGGCTCGTTCTTTTCCCTCAGCATCTCTCGAAATATGTATATCGCTTTGCAGAAAGGGTTTGGCAAAAGAAAGGGAGAGAATGGGTGAAAGGCAAGAATCGCTGGACTGTTTCCTCAATCGGCACGGTATCGATGATACTGCGTCCCACCTGGATCCTACAGGAACGAGGTCATATTTACCCGTATACGAAATACGAATCTGGTCCACCTACAAGGATGTAAATGCAACCCTCTCTCACATTGGGGCTAATATCTTACTCGCCACCTCCGCGGTAACGGCTTGTCACCAGCACCGCTAGAGTTTCTACTTGAAAGGGAATTGGGGGTGCGCAATTACCCAAAGATAGATCTCTTATGTGTATAACCCAATCCTCTAACCGGCATTCAAACTACTTTACCCTAACCACCCAACCCGGACCCTAAAAAGTCGACTTTGGTATGGGACTTAACTCTGCTGAGGTATGCCGAGGTGTGCCGAGTGCTTCCGAGGCGGCAACTACTTGGTAATTCAGGTGAGATTATACGAGGTCGTTCCCACTGTATAGTACGTTATCAGATCCACTCACTGGATGGTACGTTATCAGATCCCCTCACCTTCCCCCAGGTCATGTCTTGGCCTAATGTAGCGAGCTGGGCGCCAAGCCGCACGTGGGTGAGTAATACAAGCTTACCGAGATTCTGCTTAACCGATTGGGCGGCATCGCCTGAAGGGATCGAGATATCACACGGCATTCGGTTGGGATGTCTCAGGGCACTAGAATCCTGTCGATCGCGTACGGTTTATTCGCCGTTATCGGACTTCTACTGGCTACTAAATCAGCAGAGCTTGAGATCTTATCTAGCGCTATTACACATTTGCTTTCATCTCTTTGCCATTCCTAAATGGAAAATACCTCAGCCATGCCATCAGCCGAATCGAATAGTTTAACTGAAACCGCTGAAGGTTCTGATACATCTGACCTTTCTTCGGAACGTTCTCTCCCAGCTCCAGTCATACAGAGCGGGGACCGGAAGTCATCTGTACCCGCTGCTGTATATGTGATGTAGGTCATGGAAAAAATTTCAAATACAAACCGTATGCTGACTATTTTTAAGATCATGGATCGCTGCAAGCTCAGGTGTCATCCTGTTCAACAAGTGGATCCTACACACAGCACAGTTTGAGTTTCGTAAGGACGAGTCTATTTAATAAGAATAAAAGATGAAGCTAATGTAGCTAAGCACTGTTTCTAACAACTTGGCATTTATTCTTCGCAGCTGCTATGACTCAGGTCCTAGCCCACTGCACCAAGGTTTTGGACTCAAGGCATGCTGCGCCGATGACCGCACAGGTGTATCTCAAGGCTATCGTACCTATTGCTATCTTTTATTCTCTTTCTCTTGTCTGCGGTAATGTCGCATACCTATACTTAAGCGTCTCCTTCATCCAAATGCTAAAGGTGTGTTTTAAAGCTCCTTCACACCGTAAGTCTTGAAAAGTGTTAGCTGACTTATGCAGGCTACGACCGCCATAGCAACACTACTAGCCTCGTGGGCTCTCCGAGTAGCTCCAGTAAACCTCTCCACCCTCGGCAAAGTCTTCATTATTGTCATCGGCGTCGTCATCGCATCCTTCGGTGAGATCAAACTTGACATGCTTGGAGTCTTCATCCAGATGTCCGGCATCGTTTTCGAAGCCATTCGGCTGGTGATGGTGCAGAAACTGCTTAGCTCATCCGATTTCAACATGGACCCGCTGGTTTCTCTCTACTACTTCGCTCCCGCTTGCGCTCTCATGAACGGCGTTGCGACCCTTATTTGGGAGCTGCCTACGTTGGCGATGGCAGACATCTACAGAGTCGGACCCTTGATCCTACTTGCCAACGCCTGCGTCGCTTTCCTTCTTAACGTTTCTGTTGTCTTTTTGATAGGCAAGACTTCTGCGGTCGTCCTGACTCTATGCGGTGTCCTCAAGGACATTCTACTCGTCTTTGCTTCTATTATCATCTTTGAGGATCCAGTGACGCTGACACAAGCGTTCGGATATTCGATTGCTCTCTGTGGCCTGGTCTGTCACAAGCTCGGGTATGGAATTCCTGAAGGGGGTTGGGAACGCGTGAAAGATAGGTGGGCTGAGTCTAGCGGAGACTATCCTATTGCTAGACAAATTCTTGTCTTCCTAGGCTCGAAGAGCGGAGATTCCGAAGAATCGAGGGAGCGACTGATTGATGATGTCGCACAGGGAGACGATGAGGGGCAGCATCGTATCAGCCAAGACTACGCACGTGTGGACTCTCCTAAAGATTCTCTTGAAGTAGAAGAAAGAACGGGAAAGGAAGACTCAAGGATAGAGCTTTTACCTCTCACAAGACAAAAATAGCACGGCCTTGAAATCAACTCGTGTCTTTCAATCCACTCATTCTACTAGAAAATACTAAAGACATAGTGATTCAGATCTACACTGCAGCAAATTTCTATCATTATCCGACCTCGCTGGGATCACACTGGCCATTCCATGGCGGCCTACCATGCCGCCCAGTCCGCTTCAATTTCAGAGATGCTACAACACGGTAGCAGAGCGTGCTCTATCTGCTTGTGAAACTCTGCGCGCACGTGCTCCAGCCGGTGGATCCTGACTTGACGCCAACCTGTCGCTTCCCGCAGCATGAGCTGACCAGGTAGTCACCACCATCACTCTCCTTTCAGCATCTACTGCCCATCAACAGTGGTATTGGAAGCGAGCATGGCCTGGGCATCGACGACTCCGCGAAGCGCCGACAGGTTTTGGTCATCGTCGTTGATGGACCAAATAAGGACGCCACCGAGACCCTTCCCGTTTCCCCACTCGATCTTCTGCTTGAACGTGTCCTTGTCATCGTACGCGACCCTGCAGGATTTATTTGTTAGCCAAATCGCTGCATGAGTCGTCTGAAATGCCACTCTACCATTGGTCGTTGTCCCAATGAATGTATTTGACGGCGGCCTCGGTATCCCATTGTGGCGCAAGTTCGTCCGCCTGGATGACACCCATGATATCTTTGTAGGTGAGCACGCCGGCTTCGGAGCATGAGCCTGCTTTGCCTGGGCCCTGGAATGGACATCCTGGTACGGCACACTTTTGCGGGATCAGTATCGACCTGAAGTGGGGAAGTGAAATGTACAGAGCTTACCGAGGTGTCTGACAGTTGGTACGAGTTACCATAGAATGCAAGGCCGAGGTTTATCTGTTTCGAAGGGACGCCATTATCTAATAGATAGGCGAGAGACTTGTTGATCTCGGTCAGATTGGTGTGCGCGTAGATGTGCTTATCGGTGCCCCAGTTGGCGTTGACCACATCGTAGGCCATGAAGTTGATGAAGTCTGCGTACTTCATCATTTCCGTCAGGTTATACATGCCCAGATAATAGGTTGGGGTGGGAGCAGTGAAGGAAATGACGAAGTCTTTGTTGGGAATCTGGGCAAGCGTCGATCTGAGCTCCTTGACCAACAGTACGTAGTTGTCGCGATCGCTGTTATTGCCTCCGGTAGCGGGATCACCGGGGAATTCCCAGTCAAAGTCGACACCGTCGAAACAGTAGCGATTCATGAAACAGATCAGTCGCTCGATGAACTTCTGCCGATTGCAGCTCGACGCGACTATGCTCGAAAACACAGATGTGCTGTTGCCGGACAATTGTGCCAAAGAGATCATCAACTTGACATCCTTGTTTCTGCTTCTGATGCTTGTGAAGTTGGAAAACAGCTGGGCGTCATAACCTTCCTTTGGTTCGATCTCAAAAGTTGAATTATTGATGTAGCCGAATGCAAAGTTCAAGTGCGTAAAGTTCTCTGCAGGGATTTTGTCGAACTCCATGCCGCAGCTTTCATTGTGGTTAAATCCTGGGTAGTAGCCGATGATGCGTTGCTGCACGTCGGCTGCAGACTTTCCAGAAGAGGGACCGAGGCTGGCAAGAACTTGATTGGAGGAAAGGAATTGCAGAATCAGGAAAGGCAGAAAATATCTAAGAAAACTCTGCGATTGAACCATCATAGCGAGCGTTGAATTCAGCGTGAGGGAAGAGTTGATGTCCGAATTGGTCGTTGAGAAGGGACGAAGCGGATTAGGGTCAATTTACGTTGAGGTAACTACCAAACTTCACCCCGATCGTAGTTGAAATCCACCCTTCGTAGCCTGACTCAACAAGGAGATCCCCTCTAGAGCCTTTCCATTACGATGGCTGAGATCTATTCGCACCTTGAGCTCAAGAAGGACTAGAATACGCCGAGTTTGGCGACTGATCTTGACTTGATTGTCTCGTCGGATCGATCTGCTACAGAGAAACACAGAGTCATGGGGTTAAGAAGTGTTGGCCAAGATTAATGACCTCCAAGGTAGCAATGGTGTGAAGGTGTTGTTCGATTGCAGACCCGCCAGAGGATGCGGCTGAAAGCCTGGATGTTGCGAAGTCTTACATCATGACCGATGACGAAATCTGGAGAGCGAGCAAAACCCATTGATTTACTGATAGTGGGATCGAATAAAGGAGGGAAGCCGTCTGATCTACAGGGGGGTTCGCAGGTGACCCTGACGAGGTGACTGTGGCGCATCAATTGATCATTTGCATAAAGAGAGTTCGCAGATGTCTTGAGGTTTGTCGATGCAGTTTGTGTTGCGCCAGGCTGAGTAAGGCTCTGTCTTGAGCCAACAGTACAAAGTGTTGGTGGCGTAGCTGTATTGACACGAACACTCGGCCAGGGCGTTCGGACGGTTGCAGCGTCTTGCGGAGCCCGCGTCTTATTCGCTGCTAGCTATGGAAATAGCGCAACTGAAAAACAATAGCGTGAACGTTATACCAAGGATGGCTTGAGCTTCCTAGGTTCGATTTGCGCTCCCGCCGGCCCGAGCCGAGACCCGTTCCACTACGGGCGATCTTCACACGATATTAAGGTTTGGGGCTATTACCAAATGCACCTCTTTTCAATGCGAAAACCCCAAATGCACCCATCTGGCCCAAATGCACCTCTTTCTACCCTTACTACGTTTGAAGTTGTTTAGATACCTTGTTCGGCGATGGTGAATTACTAGCATAAGCCCCAGCGACGCGGCGCGACGTACCGTTAAACCGTGCAAGCACTAGTTAGGCACCAGTGGCGCAGTAGCTAGAGCGACGAACGGGCAACGCACGGGCGGCCCAGGCGTTACTCCAGCCAAACAAGGTATCTAAACAACTTCAAACGTAGTAAGGGTAGAAAGAGGTGCATTTAGACCAGATGGGTGCATTTGGGGTTTTCGCATTGAAAAGAGGTGCATTTAGTAATATCCCCGGAAGGTTTTTCACCCCGTTTTCCTTACTCTCTAAAAGCTTACGCGTGATAAAGTGGGCTTTGCACAAAACCTTGTATTTTAAGTGGCGAGGTCTTAACTGCCATGATATGACGCATAGAATACTCGACATATCGCGCAGTGATCCCTCCTGGTGTTCGTTCCTGCCTCCGCCACACCCGCCACGTGGCGGTGCCCTCGCCATTTAAGGACCTCCGTGACGTCGTTCCGCCGCCACAATCTTCCGCAATCCTCCTCACCACCGAAACAGTACCTCTGTCGCCCGCGCACAAGGCCTCCCTCTCCCATTCCTCCATCAACCCACGCAAAAACAATGTCACCCGACCCCGTCAAGAACAACCCCGCGCCCCGCAAGCGCCTCCCCGCAACCACCCCACAATGGCACGTCCACCCGACCACCGATCACGCGGGCCGCCGCGCCCACACCGTCTGGCTCAGAAATCCCACCACCACCACCACCTCCTCCTCCTCCTCATCGTCAATGCCGCCGCCGCCGCCGCCGCCGCCGCCGCCGCAGCCCGCCACTTCGCTCCAAATCTACTCCGCCACGCCCATTCCGAATGACGACCCCGCCGCAGCGTGGGAAGCCGTCGTGTCCATCGCGCGCCTCGTCATCGGCGGCGGCAGCGCTGATCTGTTGTCTCAGCTGCGCAACGAGGCAGGCGCCCCGCCGCGCTTCGACGTGTACGACGCGCCGCCGCCGCAGGGCAGTAAGGCGGACGACGTGGATATGCTGGCGTGCGTAAGGCATCAGAAGCGCGAGATTGCTGCGCGGCGCGGGACGCCGAGTAGCATTCCGCGGTTTGGGGCGGCGGCGGGGGAGAGGGCGAGGGGGTTGTTGGTTGTGGTGGTTGTGGCGGGGAAGAAGGAAGGGGGGAGGAGGACGGGGGAGGAGCTGGAGGGGCCGTTGCTGGTGTGGTTTCAGCGGGGTGGGAGGGAGAGAAGTGTGCGCGTGCCGTGGGATTTGGAGGTTGAGATGGGAGGGGAGTTGGCGTTGGAGAGGACGGAGGTGCTTGCGGTGCGGGTGCGGTCGTGGGGGGCGTTGGGGTCCGAGATGGGGAAGGTGTGGGTTCAGAGCGGTGAAGAGAGAGATGGGAAAGATTGGGCGTGGGTGGAGAAGATAAAAGGTGAGGCGGGAGGGGTGAGTAAGGCGGAAGCGGACAATCAGGAAAGCGCGATCGCTGCAGCACCACCTCAAATCCAGTCATATTTCAAGGACGACTCTGCCGGCAATTCTCCTAGCAACTCTCCTGGCGACTCTGCTAGTGAGTCTACTGGCGACTCTGCTGGCGATTTTGCTAGAAACCATGCACTTGTAGTACACAACATGACCACTACAGCATCCCTTTCCAACGCTGAGCTACACTACTTGGTATACGACCTTACAGGATCCACCGCCGACGACAACGCCCTCATCACCTTAGCTCGGTCCTTCATTTCTGACCTCCTCATTCACCTCTCTCCTGATACTACCGTTGTACTGGAATTTCACCGCGCGCCAACCCTCGCCACCAGCATCCAACACTTCCGGGGAGAGCAAGCTGCACGCCCGGACCTCAGCGTCGGCTACCTCCCACACGCCGCCCGAAAACCACGTCATCACCACCGTATCTTTCCATGCAGCCCCCATATCGAGGCGGGTATCGATAGGCATCGTGCTTCGAGCATAGGCGCTGGGAAGCAGTCGCCGGGCTTCAACACGTTTCTTGTCGCCGTGGAGACGAGCAGCTGGGAGAAAGAGGATTCGGTGTTGCTTGTAAGAGCGGATTCAGATCTCAAGGCATCGAGGCAGCTTACTGGCCAGGCGCCAGATGATGAAAACGCCGTCGTGGGGAACGCGGTCGAGCTGTTGGTGGGAAGGCCGCCGGGTATGAACGCCGTTGCCGAGCGGTTGGCTGGTATTTCGTAGATGAGGCATCATATACCCACAGCCTCAGCACCACACAGCACACACAATACATTGCAGGGGAGCACTATTTACTAATTTAAGACTAGTGACGAGACTGACAATTATGGAAGTTTGTCAGCTGTGTCAGACACTGCGACCATTGACTGAAAAAGAGGCTCCACAACGGTGGCCTCCTCGCCTGGTCACACACCAGCAAAGATTATCAGACCTGAAAACTTCTTCAAAAACTGCGCTTCGGTTAATCTCCATTGTTACCCAACCTCGTTGGGCTTACACTGGCCATTTCATGGCGGCGTACCATGCCACCCAGTCCGTTTCAACTTCAGCAATGTAACAACACGGCAGTAGGGCGTGCTGTATATTCATTACGCGTTATCCAACTCAGCCAGAGCTCCGCTGTTTCTCCCCACGAGCATCTCAGCTTACCAGTCTCCCACTCCAGCATAACCTCTTTAATATAAGCTTGCCACGCCCTTCTCTCTTCTGCCATCATCTCGTTCTTAGATATCTTCGACCCTGGTGGTCCATCTCCAACGACAGCAATCGAGGCATTGCTAGTAACATGGCCTTCGCACACGCAGTGCTCACTTCATTGAGAGTCATCGCTTACTCTTACCCTCTTCTCTTACCCTAACCAAAGAATGCCCGGAGGTCTTCCACCCTTCTTGGTGTTTGGAGTTTTAGAGGAAGAAGCCTGCCGTTACATACGGTTGCTACCCGCTGAGCCGCCTTCGGTGATACTCAGGTAGTAGTAGTGAGCATCACAACGCGTGTACCCTGCTCCCCTGGCGCATGACGTGAAGATTTGTTCATCAGGCCCAAGACTAACCATTACAGCTGCTTTTGCTACTTGTAAAGTAAAGGTCCTGTGGGGAACAAGCACCATCAAATCATCGAGTCTCTAAAAAAGCACTTAATCAGGGATAGAGAATAGATTAGATGCTACCGTGTCTCTATTTTACCGGTCATTGTCCAAATCCAGAAGCTCCAGGGATTTGCTCCAAAGCTTAGCCGCCTTTTCTTCATCAAGCACACAGGGTGCATAGCCTGAGCCTGTTATTCCCGTCGCAGGATTCCAAGGGCCTGCGATTTGACAGTCCTCAAGGTATAGGCCTCCCCGGCCTTCAAGGCAAGCCGCAACAGCTCCACAGACTGTGGTGGCTGCTCCCTGCTCGACATTCTTCCACGTGGATAGAAGAGCCTCCGAATTCGCCCAGGCCTGCTTTTGCTCTTCGGGAATGTGGACTTGGAGACCGGTGGCAATTCCGCCAGGGTGAAGGCTCACAGCGTGCAATCCTCTGTGGCCGTAGCGCCGATCGATCTCGTTGGCGGTCCAGATGAGAGCTGTCTTGCTTTGGCCGTAGGCCTTCCAGCCGTCGTACTCGCCGATGAGATTGATGTTGTCGATGTGGACTTCGGAGCCGCGGTGCGCACTAGAAGAGACGATTACGACTCGAGACTGGAACGCGGGAGTAGACGATTCCAGGAGGGTCGGCTTCAGAAGCCAGAAGAGAAGGAAGTGAGCCAGGTGATTGACACCAAACTGCGTCTCGAATCCATCCGTGGTGCGGCCATCAGGAGTAGCCATCACAGCGGCGTTGGAAATCAAGATATTGAGTTTCCGGCCCTTGGACAGAAACTCGCTGGCACAAGCCCGGACACTGGAAAGCGAGTTGAGATCCAAATGGAGAAGATGGACACGGTCTAACTTGGCAAGGCCTCCAAGCGCGTCTTGAGCCTTTTCCAAGGATCGTGCGGTCGCGTAGATGGTAGCTCCCGTTCGCACAAGGGCGCGTACCGTTTCAACGCCGAGACCGGAGGAGCAGCCGGTAATGAGAATAACCTTGTCTGTCAGCTTGCCCCGCAAGCCTTCATCCTCGACGATCTGGAGGGCAGTAGGACGAGCATCGCCAGCTCCCCTGGTGTTTTCATGCGCTGAGGCCCATCGAGAACTCATGTTGCTTCTGTTCCGATTTGTGACACTGGAGGAATGATAAAAGATTGGACTGGAGAGAAACGGGATATTGATTTCGGTGGTAGAAGGCAACTCACAAGTGATTTAATTATACTTTTGGTCTACGAATAAACAGATTTCGACTACTCATAGTGTGGACGACGATGTACCATCTCTTTTATAGGACCGGGCGCATTCCCGCCCGCCTGAGCCCGCGACCGTTAAGCTTTACCTTTCTAATAGGGAACGACTTGGACTTTTAACGCATCCGTACTGAATGTCTCCAACTAACGTTGCCTTCTAAATTTTAGGACTCTTTATTGAATTAATCGGGCCGGCGTGTCTCAATTTACCTGCGAAACTAAGATGCCTGTAACTACACATACCCTAGCAAGGTAACCTAGGGGAAGCTGATCCATTTTGCGTACGTGTGCATAAACTGATCCTTGGAGTGGTGTATTGGCGTTAGCGTTGGCGGCTAGCATGAATCGGTGGGCGGGCGGGTGTCCGCCCGCCCGCCCGCCCGCTGATTCATTTCGGATCACTGAGACCCATGATCTGTACACCAATCGATGCCGCCCAACCGGGCGCTCGCAGTTAAGCCAAGCAAGGTTGCTAACAGTGCCCAGTCCTCAGCAGTGCTCGCTCCGTGCAGAATCGGCCAAATCGTTGCTTAAGTCCGTCTTAGAAGAGTCTTTGTTTTATATAAAAGAGTGGTTCCTGCTTCAAAGATCTCAAAATCTGCATTATCACTAACATCACTTACCAACTACCAGCATGTCCAAAGTCTGGTTTATCACCGGTAGCTCCCGCGGTTTGGGAAGAACACTCGTCGAATACGCCCTGAAGAAAGGCGACTCTGTCGTCGCGACTGCGCGCAACCCAGAAACCTTAAAGCCCCTGGTCGACCAATACGGCTCCAAGAAGATCCTCCCCATCACCTTGAACGTCACCGATTGGGAAGCAGCTAAACGAGCGGTGACGGATGCCGTAGAACACTTTGGGCGAATCGACATTGTCATCAACAATGCTGGATACGCCAACGTTGCATCCGTGGAGGACTTCGACGTCGAGGATTTCCGCCAGCAGATGAACACAAACCTCATGGGAGTCGTGTATGTCAGCAAGGCTGTTCTCCCAACCCTCCGTCAACAGGGATCTGGCCACATCTTCCAAATCTCCTCACTCGGTGGCCGTATCGCCAGCCCCGGTCTGACCGCATACCAATGTGCCAAATGGGCGATCGGAGGCTTTTCTACAGGACTTTCCGCTGAAGTGAGCCCTCTTGGCATAAAGGTCACTGTTCTTGAGCCAGGCGGAATGCGAACTGACTGGGCTGGCCCTTCGATGACGGTTCATCCAGTCAGCGAGCCATACCAGCAAACAGTTGGCGCATTTGCTAGTTTTCTGCAAAGCTCTTCGGGCCAGGAAGTTACCGACCCGGCCAAGGTTGGACCCATTATCGAGGAACTATATCAGTCCGCAGAACCGCCCATCCGCATGCTGGTTGGACCGGACTCGGTGCAATACTGGGCCCAGGCTGCCGAAGCTCAGGCAAAATCAGACGAGACATGGAAGGAGCTTAGCCTGTCGTCCTCTTAAGGTCGGATTCATGTATTTAGTTTTGAGCTTATTCGCAAAGGTTACGCAATCAGGGGTACCTCTCCCATCTCCGTTGCGTCCCTTCTCAGACAGACCCACCACATTCATTCGTATGCCAGTTTATCAAATTTGAAACTTGAATTTTCCCTTCCTTGATGACCTTTGCATTATTACAGGCAGCCTTCCTTCCACCTTTGTTCAGGGTGCCCAGCCTGGTTGAACTGCTGAACTGGTGGGACGCACATGATGCGGGCGCTTGTGGCCTCTTTCTGAGTCGGTTCCCCTCGTGTGTCCACTTTTCAGCTTCCTGCCTTTTGTTGCTGCCTCGGGAGGATAATCCGCCTAGTCCTTCGGCGACGGCCTGGTGGCTTCTTTTCCCGTCGGGGATTCCCTGGTCTGTGCGTCCTTCTGGGACTGCCGTGTCCGTGACTTCCCGTGCAGGATTTGGCTGCTGCCTGTTGGTGAACCAGTGAGGCTACTTGACGCCTTCGCCGTCTCTTCCGGTGCGGGATTCCAGCCCTTGGGTTTGTAACAGTGGTGGGTGCACTGAGCTGGGCTACGTAGGTGGGGCACCCGCTTATCAGATAGGTTAGGTAGTGCGGGCGGACTTGCGCCCGCCCGCTATGACGTTTCTGCGATGGCGATTATCCCACTAGCACAGCCTGGTATCCAATCATATTACGCTGTTTCTCAGATCGACTAGCCGGAGCCGAAGGGCGCATGTCCGCCCGCAATGCTTTATGGACTGCTGCATCCGTCCCTTGGGCCATTTCAACACGTGTCCCTTCTCACCATCCTCGTTACGTGCGCCTGCATCCAATTCGTAAACGACGCTGTCGATTCGGACATTAGGACTCATGCCTAGTGGATCCTTTGCAGGGCTTGCCTCGCTGGCCTGCTCCTCGTGCCGTAAGCAAAGGCGCAGGTGTACGAGAGAGTTGCCGGCGTGTCTACTTTGCCGTCGGCTTGGCAAAGCGTGCGAATACAGCGAGAGCCTAACGCCTCGATCAGTCCAAGACGAGCTTACCTACCTCCGAAACCAGGTGGCCGAACTAGAGCACCGCCTTGCCGAGGTGCAATCCAGCCCCAACTCTAGCACCACGTTGACTGTGGCGAGCTGGACGCACGACCCTCTCTCTTCCTCTTCGGCCGAGTCGGCTCCTCAATTGCATCATGATTTCCCCGCTGCCTTCTTCCTGGATTCGGAAGCTTTTCAGCGTAGCGGCCAGACCATCATTCCGCCACACGTCGAAGTGCCACATGCCCTTACAGATATGCTGGAGGAAGAAAAGGATGTGGCCGCAGTTCTAGCGGCTCACTTTAGCAGCTTTCATGCCTATTTCCCAATAGGTGGGTCCTATAAGCCCTCAAATGAACTGGCCAGGCAACAGTTAACAGCAAATTTACCAGTTTCCAAAATCAGAACTCAACAATGGCTCACAAACTGCGGAGAATCTCTTTCCTTGGACACGAAGCTGCTCACTAAATGCATGCAGCTATTTCAGCAACCTACGCATTCCTGTCCTGTTCCTGCTACCAGACTATACGCATCCTGCAAGGCCCTATATGCTTATGTGGAAGGACAGAATGTTTATTCTGTCCGCCTCTTACAGGCCCTGGTGCTTATAGCAGTATACGAAGTTGCTCATGCCGTGTATCCTGCTGCATACATCACAGTTGGACACTGCGCAAGAGTGGGAATCAGCATGGGCTTGCACGACCAGCAGTCCTGCACACAAATGCTGCCACGACCAGGTATGTTTTTCGGTAATTATAAGCGGATCTTGGTTCTGAGAATTACTTTCACAGCAACTTCGGTCGAGTTAGAGGAGAGACGTCGCGTGTGGTGGGCTGTCGTAATCCTCGAAATGTACGTGAACCTGGGGAGCAGAGCACATCCGCTTGCGTGCCCTATCCAGGGGGATGATTTGCTTCCACAGGATGATGAGTGCTGGGACCGGGGAGTAAGCCATTCGAGGACTGAATCTGCTGCCCAACTCTGGCTGAGTAAAACGTCTAGGAAATGGCCGTCGTGCGACCTATCGCTCTCTCAGCCAGCGCTACCATCCGCACTTCTCCTTTTGCTAGAATATGTCAGGTGGTACATGTTCTCTCTCGCGTGCTCCATCATGTCGACGATAAAAACATCAACCTAACCTTCCGTTACGGCGAGGCTGTTCAACTTCGGAGGACCGCCGAATCTCTTTCAGATGCGCTTGCGCATGAGCTTAACGAAGTCGTACAGCAGCGAAGCACCACACCGTATTCAAAGATGTTGCTTCTAACAGCGCTAGGTCTAAGCTACAGTGCTCAACTAAGCCTTCACGAAAGATATGTTTGCGCGGAGTCAATGACCAACGAGGAGATCAGCAGTCCAGAACAACTCGAGCTGCATAGCACGGCCATGGCGCGGGTTCCTCAGGTCTCAGACGCCATTTTGCACCTGGCGACGTGGATTAAAGAAGGTGCAGTGCAACAAGGGGTAATGAACGTTAGTCCTTTTCTAGTGGACTGTTTGTATCAGTCAGCAGCGACCTTTTCATGGCTTGCTATCGAGACAAGAGCAAGTGAGCATTTCGGGAAGCTTGCCCAGTTGAGGGAAGTTCTTCAGATTATCGGCGCGAGATGGAATTCTGCCAGTAAGACCTCTCATTGTCAATCTGTAAGCTTTACGAGTTTGCCCTATTCTAACCAACTGTAGACGAATACCTCAAAATCATAGACTCCATGTCTGCATGAGGGGAGCGATTGCGAAAGTAAATAATAATATGAACTCGCAATCGAATAATGATATCTTTACCTGGTCTTACTACCGTCATGAATAAATGATTGTTTAGTGGGAGTGTCTGTGTTTGCGCTTTCGGTGGACATGAAAGAGCAGGCAATGCCGTACACATCACGCGGGATTTCGAGACTGATGGGCGCTTTCGAGCTACCATTTCGTTTCAATGCGGTCGAGCTATTAGTAGTAAGGCCGCCGGGCATGAACGCCGTTACCGAGCGGTTGGCTGGTATTTTATAGACGTAGGTGATTGCGAGAAGTAGTATAGTGACGCTAGTAGTTTAAGTTACAGTATTTAATCCAACCACCATTTCCGTACCTTGAAACGTCACGAAACTTCTTTAAGATGGTATGTCACGGCTTCTGCCGGCGCTCCGCCTTGTCCTCTACGTCACACAGAGGTAATACTGTTGAGCGCCAAGGAATCCCGACCCACATGGTATTGCCACGTTGCTCGTATTATCTTCGGCGTCTCCGAAAGAATCTTAGAATCAGAATAGCCTGCTGATGATTGGCTTCAGCATTTGTATTCGAATTTTTTTTTCGACGGTGAAAAATGATTTGTTGCATGCACAGCCACCCCCCAGCCACCCCAAGCCAACACAGCCGGCGTACTTATAGTAGCCGAAAAGTTATACCTCATAGAAGCTACTCAAACGCCTGTCTACCTCCAGTCGTGTGATCCATTACAGCATCAGACACCAATTCAACGCTCATTTGGGCTTCTTTTTTGAGTAGGAACTACCCTTACAACACCGATTATTAACGAAGCAACAATGGCCGTCTGCCAGCTATGCCAGAAACTGCGGCCACCGACCGCAAACGAACCTTTACCCGCGTGTTTTATCGCCTATCCTAGTGTCGAACACCACAAAAGTTTGTCAGAGCTGCAGACATCTTCGATGACTTGCAGTCTATGTCGTCTCATACTAAGCCGAATCGACCTTTCCCTTGCAGATCGTTTGCCACCCTGGGTAAAGGATTATTTGTCAAACGCATCTATCGTTGTGCTTCATGATCGCTCTCAAAAACTCGATCAAGCCACCATCATATCTCCTCGTCTTTGTTTCACCGGTCCTGACGAATGGAAGCTCCGACCCCCATCACCGCTTAGATATTCGGGGTATCTCTTGGACAGCGCGGGCGAAGGATACAATATCTACTCCACTGATTGGAAGTATTATCTCTTATCCAGCCTTGCTGCTGTGGATGATCGTAATGGTTAGTGATCCATCTACGTACCAGTATGAATATTCACATTCGTCGCAAAAAGTTGACTTAGATGATCAGAACGATACATTGCGAGAGCTTTATGGGACGTCGACAAATCTCAGCAGCTTCATGAGAGACTCAGGTTTGCCTATATTGAGCTACAGAACTGCATCTCCAATCATGAAATCTGTCGCGGTTTCTCCTCATCATTGCCAGAAGATCCTCCACCACTCCCTACCCGTGTCATCGACGTATGGTATCCATCCAAGAACGACAATGCTCAAGCTCAATTGATACGGTCGAATGGGTTGAAGGCTCATTACACTGCACTCAGTTATTGCTGGGGGGGCGGAAAGACAGATGAGTCGACAATTCAGGAACTGGAGCAGGGCGTTGAGCCTTCCAAGCTGGCCAAGACGTACGAAGATGCAATTTACGTTACCAGGGCATTGGGGATGAGATATCTTTGGATTGACGCTCTCTGCATTATGCAGAATGACCCTGCTGAGGTGGAATCCGAGATGGCAGCAATGGCCAAGATATACCACAACGCCCAAGTATCGATTTCCGCCAGCGCGTCAACGAGCCTACATGGAGGGTGTGTTTACCCGTTAGAGCCCCCGCTCTGTGTTGAATTCTCTGTCGACTACAAGGTACCCTCCAAAAAACAAAAGGCGTACATTCGATCCGCGCCTCGGTATAGACAAAATGTCCTACGATCGCCCCTGACCACAAGAGGCTGGACTTTACAGGAGGACTTGATTCCTTTGAGGACCCTCTACTGTGCAGGTGATCAGATGTACTGGCAATGCCGACAGAGGACCGTCACCGAAGATGGAGTTATCGACAACGACATGTTTTCTTACTATGAGACGCATTACGATGATGAGAAGTATAGCCACCACCGGTCGTATATCGATAGTCTGAAGGGAATGACCCACCGCCTCCGTGGGCACCAAGGCTGGCGTGACAAAGTCAAAAAGAGGGATGAGTTCGATTTAGAGCTATGGCTCCAGGTTATCAATGACTTTACGGCCCGGAACCTAAAGTATCCTGAAGATAGGCTCCGCGCAATAGCGGGTCTTATCAGTGACAAGGGAGATGATGAGGAGGATAACCTTGCCGGCCTTTGGCGCGAGGACTTGAGATTCGGCCTTTGGTGGAGAGCCCATCCCTCCAGACGCGACTTAAACCTACCTTCCCTTGGAATACCTTCATGGTCTTGGATCTCTTTCAATGGCAGAATCAAATATGAAGACAACGGACGAACAACGGCAAGCCGGCGCCGAATATGGGGATTCTTTGATGTGGTTGATATAACCATGCAGTGGTCAGGGAAACCACTGAGCTCCACACTGAGGCAGGCGACCTTAGAGCTCAATTCATCCCTCCAACCGCTTTCGGTTGACGTGAGAGAACCAGGCCACGCCGTCAAGATCACTCAGAGTTCTGAAGTGGATACGGGATTTCGAGCTAGAATTTCGTCCTGCACTGGAACCTCTGTACGGTTCTTCGACCGCTTTGACCATTTCTCCAGCGGCAGGACTCATAGGCCACGCAATGCTGCTGAATTGGATCGAATGTTGGATAAGGACACCAATGTCATATACGCCATGCACCTATCCTCTTACTGTGGTGACAAACTGAATGAGGCGCACAGTCCATGGCGGCCTCAAGACGTCACATTCCTTTTGGTGGAGGCTACGGGGAGGATGAAGGATGAATATCGTCGGATTGGGTTGGGTAGGGTGAGCCCAAAGCTGGGGTTATTCGAAGGTGTATCGAAGAGAAAAATAACTCTGGTCTAGCGAAGATATAATATGCATCATGTTTGACTCCGGCAGCAAACCACCTTACCTCTTCTCCAACACAACCCTCACCGGCTCCCCAACCCCCTCATCCACCGCCCTATACCGCACCCTACACCTCCCCGCCCACTCATCCACAACAGTATTCGACCCCGTCGCCACCCTCGCCACCTCCTCCACCTCCCCCCTCAACCCGACAACCCCATCCACCAACAACCTCACCGGATCCACCCTCCTGAAACCTCTCCCCGACACACTCCTCCACGCAAACAGCGCCATCGCCGCCGTCACCCCTGCCGCCCCCAGCATACTAATCAACCCGACCAACAGTATCGAAGGCACGTACGTGATGCGGTAATGCTGCTCCGTCTCCGTGCCCGACAGGGGGTAGAAGTACTCGGCCGCGTTGCGCGTCGCGTTGCCGCTCGAGGCAGCGACTTCGTACGTCAGCCGCTGCACCTCGCCGCTCGCGTACAGGAAGTTGAGCGCGTAGTCGCCGAAGGTGTTGTCGTAGTACGTGCTGCCGCGCGAGCACAGGGCCGGGCCGATGCCTGGGTTGTTGGCGGATGGCGCGCGGTAGTTGAGGTTGGTCTGCCACTGTGCGAGCAGCGACGGGATGCGGGTTTTCGTCGTTTCGTCGAAGGTGGGGTTCGTGATGGTCCAAGACGACGACGAGGATGAGGAGCTGGAGGTGGTGGAAGAGGTGTTCCCGGCGCGGACGTAGTTCAGTGTCCCGGTCTCGCGGTAGAGGGAGCAGCTCAAACCGCTGGTCGACATGGTGCTCTGCGTGCCGGTGAAGCTCCACTGCGACATGTTGAAGGCGGCGTAGTGGACGGCGCCGTAGGGGCTGGGCGCCGTGTCGTTGGTTAGGTTGAAGCGGTTCAGCCGGCCGAGGTAGGCTTCTTCGCTGCCGAGGGTGAAGCCGACGAAGGAGTAGTCGTCGCCGTCGCCGGTGGAGATGTCCGAGGGCGTGCCCGGGTAGTTCGCCTGGCGGGGGCCGAGGGCGGTGGTGCTGCTGCCGGTTTCGTTCCAGAGGATGGAGATCTGCGTCACGCTGTGGTATTGGCCGTAGGGCTGCAGGATGCTGATTTGCTCGGCACGGCGCGGGGTGCAGTTGACGGAGAGGCGGTAGGCGGGGACGTTGTCGAGGGAGAGGACGGAGAGGGGAAGGGCGTCGAGGGATGCGGCGGTGGCGTTGGCGCCGATGTATGTGCCATCGGTTAGCTTCGATGAAGCGTTCGCGAAGGCTATCTCGGTGAAGAGCGCGGTGATCTCCTTTGCAATGTCGGCTTGCTGCGTGGCCGTGAAATCGTACAAGTCCAATCCGGGTATGTTGCCTACAAGGAGCCGATTGTTCATGTAGGTGCTTTCAACTGCAGCGTCTCTCTGCATTCGCAGACTCCATGAGTCGGTGAAGGACGTCGTTGTAGTGTAGGCCTCGTATGCGATTATGTTTGCCAGCGCTGTCCTCGTAAGAGCCGATAGTAAAGCTACTATGCTCAGGAGAAAGAGGCGCCACGTCTTCCCCTGTAGGAGGTCGCGGGTGGTGAGGAAATCGAAGCTTCCTGCGCATAATCCGCTGGCTGTAACAAGTGACCGTAGCGGAATAGACTTTTTCTGCTGTTCGTTGACTGCTGATACTCGCGCGCTGCTAAACCATAAGACGTTGACGCTTGCCATTACGAGCGGTGCTAATATCGCTCCGCACACAACGTCCACCGCCTTCGCTTGGCTTTGACTCAACCGACCCCCAATAGCCTCTCCTGCGAAAGTGTCGAAAGTGCTTTTGTCGGTACGCGTTGCGAGCCATACGATGAGAGCGGCGAGGGGGACGATGGCAGTGAGAAGGACGGCGCCAAGAGACCATGATTGCGCTGTTGTTGTGGAGTCTCCGATGCCCTGGCTTTTGGAATTTGTTGATCCGGATTCCAGTATCACAGGGTTCGATTTGCCTTGCAACAGGCCAGACGACGGGGAAATGCCGCCTTCCACCGTGGGCTGTCCCTCTGCAGAATTCCGTCCCATATTGCCAACGTTGCCGGTGTCGAAGGTGTCGGTGGTGAAATGCCGCAGATGTTGAAAGGGTCCGGAATAGAGTCCTGCAAATTTCGCGGGTGAGTGCATGTATTAATAGCAGGCAGCACTTTCGATGACATGGATCGCCTCAGCCACTGGGGGCTGAAAGGCTAACGGTAAGCCCGGCCTAACCGGATTAGCACAACCTGCCATCGTGGACAGAATTCTGGCCAACCATATCATTTGCACCTGCTGATTTTACAACCGGGGCTTTTGCGCAGTGGGTCGGTTGAGCACTTCGTCGAGGATCGCGCTTAGCTTGAGGCTTAGCTACCGCGAAATGCATTGACAAGCTTCATGTGCGTCTTTTACAGAAGGCAATTAGAGCCGAGGGACAGCGGGAATATGGACAAGCCTTTGAAACATGGCGTAAACATAATTCTCTTTTTTCTTTTTGAGAATACCACATGTGGGCAGTGGAATCCAGCACCAAGACGAAGACGCACATGCAGCTGTTCATGTTATTAATGCCACATTTGCATTCGGAGAATAGCCTCAATTACCTAGGATTTGAACAAAAGATAAGCACACGCTAGCATTAAGCTGCGATACCGCTCCATATATTTTTTGGGGGGCTGAGCCGGGGGTTGCATCCTGCTGGATGTGTGGATCCCTCTATTCGGGAAACGCTCTCTCCAGTCAGCATAGACACCGCTGTGTTGTCGTACCACTTTTTCCCACCGGACCATTGTAGATGCAGAATGAGCATCCCTACGAGATTTGCATACACAGTCCATTTTGCTATCACAGTCTATAACTATTTTCGATTTTTTATTTGGCCGTACGTTCCTTTTTTGGGGGTCCAAACGCTGTCAGCGCCTCCGCCTCCGAAGTATGGCATGACTCGGACGGAACGTGGCCCCCAAAATTGCTTGACGCAGGAACATCATGCAGGGGCAAGGCAGGAGGAAAGGGAGGTGTTTTGAGACCGAGGCTATCAATTTGGGAATAGAAAGGGACTATGTAAGCAATGAAGGCAGTTTCAAGAATATTGGGGCGGGTCTATTTTACCATGGCTTCCCAGCAATATTGCTTTGCCTCATAGTAGCCCGATTTCTCCTGTGGAAAGCACAAGCTGCCATGTGGCCGATTCTTCTTTGGCAACAAAATGAGAGAAACAGAAAGTCCAATTTCTTAGTGAGTTCATTGCTGGAAATGTTTCCATTTGCTGGAAACGTTTCCAACCGTGTCAATCTGGCCAATCACAACCTCCGCACGCCGCACTAGCCCGACGACCCTTTGACGATCTGACCTCAAGTCCGCGCCAATGAAAACTAGCTCAGGAAATGCATTACACGTAGCGCCTCCCTCGTTTCAACCGTTTAGAATCCTCGCCGACTACAGTGAAAGCAATCTGTCCGACATTCGACTCTGGCTTCACATCTGCGATTATAACCCACAAATCCTGGAGCCTTCTTGCACGATCGAGTCCATCCGTATAAGACGGTTGATGAAGGCCAGAGTCCAGCACTACGAACGCATTATCGCGGGTGTTGGTAGATGCGTAGCCTAGGATGTCTGGCGCAAGTATGAGATTTTTGAGGATGAGAGACGCTAATCCGGCCGCAAGCAAGACTGCCGAAGTGACGAACAAAAGCACACCGTAAGTCCAATGGAACTCGTAGACTTCTCCATCGTATCGTGAGATGTTGACCTGGCTCGTATTGAAGGAAATGGTGACACTCTTCAGAGTTGGATCATCCTCACTAGTCGTCGTGTATCTCTCCACTGGTGCATTGTCGTAGTAATCGTTGCCGAGGGAGAGATTACCGGTGAGATACTGCGTACTGTAGGTTGTCTGCCAGAAGGTGTTATAGAGTATCTGCAGGCGGCTGCTCAGGACCCGGTTGTCCACAGAAGAAACATTTACGAAACTGATGAAATTGGTGAAATCGGTGTTTGCATCAACAAGCCATTGCTCGGTCATGGTGCTTGAAACCAGACTACCCATTGCCCCGTGAGATTTCACACCAATGGTGGCATATGGCAACTGGTCTTGCATATTGATCAGCGTGACAGATCCTTGGCCAGCAAGCCCGTATGGCGTCTCGCCGACGACTGGCGTGGTTGATCTTCTCATCGCAGTGACATGACAGGCGCCATCTTCACAGCTGATAGACGAGTCAACATCTCGAGTGCTCAGCGAGCAGTTCGCGACACTGACTGACGTGTTTTGTTGCACGAAGTTGACCATTGAAACTAGCCCGAAGTATTGGACTGCAGCTGAAGAGAAGTTTGCGGAAGGAGCACTTGGGAATAGCTTGAAGCTGGATTTACTATCCCAAGTAGAGTTGGCAGATTTACTCATAGTACCAGTATCCTGATTGTAATCCGTGTAGTTTGCCACGTAGGAGACGTTGAAACAATCGATGGCGAAGTAGCGAGAAGTGACATCAAAGGTGGAGTTTCCGGTCGGAGGGATACCGGCGACAGGGATTCCCAGCAGACTGGTGTAAGAGATATCACTGGACGAGTCGATGCTGATCCAACCGTCAGTCGAAGTTGAATCCTCAGTATTGAGAGTGTCAAAGACTGGAATTTTGACGTTCCCAAACAGGTCAGTTGGGGAATCAGGCTGGGTTCCCGATGTTTGTAAAGCAGTCATATAGAGCGGAGCGAATAGCGGCCAGCCCTCTGAAGCCATGGTTCCGCCACCCATGAATGTGAACGCTGCAGCCTCTCGGGGCAGGTAGCGAACGGTGGAGGTGGATGACATTGGCCGCGGAGATTTTGAGATGAGGCGTAAGGAAGATTGGCCTCCGACAGGAGATAGTGCCCAGACGAAGATGATACACACTCCGAATATAGTCGTTCGACGTGTCACGACTTGCCTTTCAATTGCCGCGAATAATGACTGGCATCCGACGAGTCGTTCCAGTTCCTACGATAGTCTCAGGAATGAGAAAGCTGATGGGATTCCTCAACACTTACACCCAATTGAACTCCTCGCTCAGCGCGATATAATGCGAGGCTTTTGAAGAATTTGCCCATGAGGGCAGCGAATACGATTGGGAAGATTGTGGGCAGGACAAGCAGAATTTGCCCGATCGTCTCACCTGATGGTGACGTTGGCTTTTTTGCTAAGGTTCCTGCAATGATATCGACCACTGTACAATGTTAGAAAGGAGGTATTCTGTTAATCATTCGCGTGAAAGCTAGGTGCTTACCAATGAAGAATAAAGGAACCAATGACAACACAAAATCTCCAAGGAAGATCACCCAGTCGACGAATGAATGTTTACCCAAGGTTTTGTTTGGCTGAGTCTTCTCCTGGCTAGCTCCAGTATCCGCCTGACCCCCTTCGCTGTTCAAGAGGCTCATTTCCGATACTTCTGGCGCCGTTATGTCACCAATTTGTCGAGAGTGGCTTCGAGAAGACATAGCTCCGGAGAGGTGGAAATCGAGCAAGCTGTAGATTGTCTGGTTCCGATGGGGAACGAAAAGTATAATTCTCGGTATTAAGTACAAAAGCCTTGCAGTTGTCCTGGCCTTCGAAAGGTGGCGGTGCTGTGGGAAGCTAATGTATGGCCGCCAATACTACGGCGCTGAATGAAATATTGGTCGAGGCTTGCATTGCACTCAGTACCCAGCCAATGACCATAGACGGATAAGATAGTACTTCCTTGCATGCATGCATGCGGGATCAACGCCAGCCGCATACTCCATGAATTGACATAGCAGCTTTCCAGTGACGGCAAATCTAAAAAAAAAAAAAAAGCGGATGGTTGTGGCTGGAGTCACCGGGCCAGTCGTTTAGCCGATATGGGACTAGATTATGTGAGACACCATCCACTTCCTAGGCTTAGATCTAGCATAGGCTCTTGGCGTCTGACATGCCCGGGAGCCTCATAATGGCGAAGGAAGGAAAGCATGAGCCGCGGCAAATGCACATCATGCGCTGTGAGAAACGTACATTTGGTGCCACCAATAATAATTGCCAATCAACTATTAGAAACGATTAGCGGCTCCCCACAGATTTACCGACATTGTGCATCTGCGGAACACAAAAGATCTGGGCGGAAATCCAGACAACAAACTCACTCCTCGAATGCACCGTAGTGCGAACAACAGCAATGAACGAGAGGTACTACCATTATTGAATCCGACCCAGCCGCGGACGTCGTACAATGGTTGCTACCAGCATGGAGGCTGAATGCGGACTTTGCGGGCGCCACGTTTCAGCCGCGGCTGGAACCGAATCCTATCTCTACAGCCTAGTCTACTTTGTGTAACGTTGAGATCCTAAACAGGTAAGGTGCACGGCTATCGTCTTATGGCGCCATGGCCTATCATTCAAGCATGCGAGCCTAACATGTGCCACGTATCATCGCCTTCCTCGCATGCTGCTATGTCAGGTCCCCGCCAGGCCAAGGGCGGTGTGGTCGCAACCACGAACTCCAGGCGGCCTTTTTACCTCGCTCCATCAACAATGAGCAAACTTGGAAATGGCTCGTCGTCTGTCTTTCCGGACGCCGCCAGGACGGATATCTCTCTGGAGCCGGTCACAAAGTTCCCAACGCTTTCTGACCTTTCCATGAGCACCGGCCGAGCAAAGAGCCTCCCAGACCTACGACTCGCATTTCGCGAAGCTAACTCGACGCACAAAGCCTATCATCGCCTTCAGAGATTTTCCCGGCGGCAAACATTCAGCGCGAAAATCGTTGCTGGGCCGGATTACGTTGAAAGTTTGAACATCGGGTTCTCTCAGGAGGGATTGCACAGCTGCTCTCGTTGTCAAAATATCGATTTCGACCTTCGCACTCTAAGCCTTTCGCAAAACGAGGGATGCCTTGACATCACTTATGCGGAGGGAGGAGAAGCAGCGAAAGAAGGCTGTGAATTGTTTCTAAGCCTTTTTGACGCCGCGGATCATCGACTCGGCAAATTTCAGACAGGGCGAGGCCACAGATGGTTCGACAATATACCCCATGAGCTGCTCCACAAGCCAATCGCCTTCTCGATCAATGAAGAAGAGATTAGCGATACTGGTCAAACGAAAACTATGGTGCATTTCAAAGAAATTCGTACCAGAAGGTGTGGTCGCAGCAAATGGTCCTTCTTTCAGCATGATGGTCAGTAATGCATCTCATTTCTAGCAACAGGTTCTAATAAACCTCAATCAATAGCACTGCCACCATTGACAACTACTGGTTCGTTCGACTACGTCCGGTCTTGGTTGCACAGGTGCGACTCCCAACACATATCGTGCTCAAAAACACATCACGAATTTGTCCCGAAACGCCTCATTCGTGTGAACTCGGACAGTCGCCATAGTACCGTTACTTTGGTATCCCCGGATTCTTCTGTGAAGTATGCTGCGCTAAGCTACTGCTGGGGAGGCCCCTTACGATTCAAGACAAATTCGGAAACCCTTTCATCAGCCCTCGCTGGCCTTCCCGTGGAAGTTCTGCCTCAGACTGTACAAGACGCGATCCGTGTTACACGTGAGCTTGGGCTTGAGTACATCTGGGTTGACAGCATCTGCATTGTTCAGGATGATGAAGTAGAGAAGATTGAACAAATTGCTGAGATGGCGAGGATATTTGGGCACTCCTACGTTACCATAGCCGCAACTGGAGCTGCGCGCAGTTCCAACGGATTCCTCTCATCCATTAACCCTTTCAGATTACTCTGTAAACTTTCAATGACGACCAAGCAGGGCCTGAGGCGACCCATAGTCATTGGAAAGGACACCCTTCACTACTTTTCTCTGCAACCCCTTGCACAAAGAGCATGGACATTGCAAGAAACGCTACTATCATCGCGCATTGTCTCATTTGAATACGGTCATGTCCATTGGTATTGCTCAGAAGCTTCAAGCGGAACGTGTGGAATGAGCGTCTTGGGTCCTAGTGGGCGGCCTGCGACTGGAATCGATCCAGGCTTTACGAGGATCCGTCAAGACCTAAGCCCAGAGCTAGCCTTCACACCTCAGGAATGCCGTCAGAATCCTTGGCAGAGATTTGTAACACTGTATTCCGGAAGAGCTCTGACACTCCCGTCAGATAGGCTTCGAGCAGTGTCTGCAGCAGCCGAACTGTGTGGACGGTTTGGGAACTCGGGACGATACTTTGCTGGTCTCTGGGAAAGAGATCTCCCCACTCAGCTGATCTGGAGTCGAAGCAAGTACAGGGGGCGCCAGAAGGTGGGAGGTCGGAACCTTTATGCACCCTCATGGTCCTGGGCCGCATCAGACGGGGCCGTGCGGTGGCCACCTTACTTGGAACGTTGCTCGAAGCCGAAACCCTCTTGCGAAGTCATCTCTGTGGAAGTGGACTTGGTGTCTGCAAATGCGCCTTTTGGAGATGTCAGCGCTGGAATACTCAAGCTTAGCGGGCGGCTAAAGAAAGCGACTTGCGTGTGGGGTGAAGAAAACCGCTTGTTCGACAATGAGGATTCAGAGAAGGAGATCACGGGGTATTATGTTTCTCTGAAGACAGACGGCCACAACGAACAGAGCAAAACTCTTGTCCATTGTTTCGAGATCCTCTCGCTTCAACGACTGACTTACCTGGCAAAAGCTGGTTGCCATCAGGAATACCACACGACAGTCGTTGCGGCTCTCGTCCTCGTACGGATCCCGAAGACTGAAAAGTATAAGCGCATGGGAGTTCTGAGCGGATATACTGGAAAATGCCTCAACAGCTCGGCAATGAAGACGATTCCAAATGAGGCATGGTGGTCAGAGGGTTGGCAGCCGAGAGAAATAATGATTTTGTGATTTTTCAATTTCAGGAGCTTCAACTACATAAAAGTGTCCCGCACGATCCCATCCCGCTATTACAACACAATAGCATCGCTGGGCAGTTTGAAGCCGCCGGGAGCGCGAGCTTGGAATACACGATTCGGATCATACTTTTCCGATACCTCAAGCATTTTCTTTACGTTGTGTTTTCCATAGCTTGACATCACGTCCTGAGACTGGTCAGCGTAGTTTGCGTAGCGGAAGCCAATGTAAGCGCCGACGCTCCTGCTATACTCTTCAATAGCGTCCTTCCATGCTTGCATCTTCCGTCTTGCAAGCGTTTCCCCGTCGACACCGTTTACAGCAAGGGACCCCAGCCATACAATGGCGTTTTCCGTAATAGCATCGACGCCTAGAATGTTGCCGCCCCTCTCGGCGGAGTGCTTGCCCACCACAGCCGGAAACGGTTGGAAAAAGCACTGCGTCTCGAAATCGCCATCAACCACCTCTTGTAGGAGTTCATTGACCAAGGCCTCGTGGAGTTCGACGGCTTTCCTGATAACAGCCTCGTTGTTTCGGAAGGTTAGGGTGAACCAGACATTCCTTATTTTGTCAGCTCTCAGAATTAGGCCTCAGATTCGACGGCACGTACCGGTAGCCCTCCGCCTGGGTCCCAGTTGCCAAGGTCGACATATTGGTTAGACTCAGGGTGGAAGAAGTATTTCCCGGAATAGCCAAAAATCTGTCGAAGGCTGGTGCAGCAACAACGCCTCCCACATCCGTAAGCACAGAATTGACAATGATGGCGCCATCGCTGGGTTTGTATGTCCAGAAGATGACGGCAGAGCCATTCTGGTAATTCTCAATGTTGTCAGTCCAGTCCACAATGGCAAGTATGTGGTCTTCGGTAGCGTCGGCCGCGTACGTCCTCGTGCCACCCCATATTGGCGTCCGCTCGAAGGCCTCCATGTCTATGCGCGTGACGATACCAAAATTGCCTGAGCCGCCTTTCAGCACGGTGTAGAGATCCGCGTTTACGCCCCGGTTGGCCTCAACGATTGTACCGTTGGCGAGCGCAACTTCGAAGCCCTGCACGCTGTCACAGACTAAGCCCCGCTGGTATAGGTAGAATGAGAAGCCGCCGCCCGTCACTAAGCCCCCGACGCCCACGGTGCTAAGACGGCCTCCGAGGACACCGACGTCGAGAGCATCGGTTGTCTGGTACACGCTGAGCCAGCGCGCGGCGGGCTGGATGGAGACGACGCCGCCGGTGGCATTGTAGGTTGTCGTGTTCATCAGTCCTGGATAGTCACGAATCAGTAACCCAGGTGGGGCGCGACCGCTATTTGAAGGGGAGGGGCTTTGACTCGTGCGTACCGAGATCGATGGTTACGCCTTTGTCGATGTTGTTGGCGCCTGCATTCGACGAATGGCCGCCGCTGCGCACAGCAAAGTTACAGGATGTCTCTTGGGTTAAGACCGTGAGCGCTTTGGCCACCTCTGAAGTGTCTGACGGCTGCACAATGCAATATGGATGGAGCTGTGAGGTGAGTGACCAGTACGACTCTATCCGCTGCGAGTAGGCTACATCGTTGGGCATATACACATGTTCGAGGCCAGCACTCCGGAGGATGTTGCACTGAAGCCGATGTCAGCTAACGAATGCTTGGGCGGGAGTCGGTACCCACGCAGCTTGCAATGTCTCGTGGGAGAGAAGCTAATGCGTGAGCGGTACCTGTTGCTGTAAGCAGAGCTAACCCAGCGCCCTTGCTGAGAAGACCGCCTTTGAGCATAGTATGTACAGCTGGTGAGACAGGTAGTGAGGAATTGGAAGAGTATCGAATAGAAAGTTGCAAGCAAACAAGCAAGTTCGTTCCTTCTAAGACTGGACTTCTTATATTCCTCCAGCTTGGATGTCTACAGGCCTGAAAAGCGAAAAGCAACACCCAATGCAGTATTCTCCGCATACAGCCCCGCTCTGATTCGAAACCCATTGGGACGCTTGACATGGATACGTGAGGTTGCATCGCGCTATCTCTGTAGGGAAGGGACCTGCATCTATGCCAAGCATTGGCGAGAGGTATTATCAAAGGGGGAAGGTAATCACCGGCTGGATACGCGCCAGCTCATATCAAAGCTGCAGGAACTTCCGTGTTAGTCGAAAGATCATGTCCGGCGCAGCAGTACTTTTGAGCGGCTACGCTTCGGCCGGGACAGTTGCTTGACTGTGGTGGAGGGTAACCGCGGTTAATCGGTCAGATTTACTAGCATAGGACGGTGACCACAAGTTCTCAAGCTGGGCTCCGAGAATTAACCTCCTTTCGCTTAGTCTCATTCCTTGATTCTAAATCAGGCTTCGTAAGCTTCGCCTCTTCAAGTATACACCTTTCAGGCGCTCAACTGGACCCATGCAGCCCCATGATGGCCGCTGCCAACTACCGCCGATTGATTCATATTAACAGAGAGTGAGATGTGTCCTGCAATAGCAAGGAAGGTACGGCCGCTCCTCTCGTACGCCTTTACAAGCGAAGTGTAGAATTGTTTTTTTTTAACGACGAAAAAGGAGGATTGTTGTACTCGGGGGACGATCTTGAAAAATGTCTAGGGAAATTTTGAACCTTGTGGGTCCCCGAAGTTATGTAGGTTGGAAGTATTTCCCGATGGAGTTAGAAAACCAGCCAATAGGTTGCTGTTTTGGAGCGCAGACGGGGTCTCGGACCGCCTTCCCCTTTGTATGCAGACGAATTCCCGACGCTTACCCGGAGTGTACAACGTAGCTATTCTCGGCTCCACCACCGCTCTTGCGCACGCAGCATATTGGCCACGCCGCTAAAGGTGGGGGAAGCTCCGAATACCTGAGACCGTCAACTACCGCTTAGGGTAATTACCAAAAGCGACCCGTATTTGCCTCAAAATCACCGATTCCGACCCTCCTCGCCCAAAAGCGACCTTTCTACTAAAATACACCATCTTTCAAGCGCTGTAGAACTTTAACGAAACAAGATTTTAGTATTCTCTTTAGCTTAATAGTATTAAGTAAGTATGTAGACAACGATTATGCTAAGAAATAAGTATATTTCATGTAAGGATGTTGACTTGTATAGTAGAGGGGTCGCTTTTGGTAATTACCCTAAGCGGTAATTGACGCTATCGAACTTACAGATTACTGGTCGCCGAGCGAACACAAACGGGAGAGATGTAAATGTATCCTCAGCAAACTATTACGGAGCTAAATCTCTCCTCCAGATTAGGTTCAAAATATCTCCCATAGATCGCATCTTCCGCGAACAGCCCTCGACATTGAGCATCTAATCGGCCGTACGAACAGTGGTAACTTTTTCGTCACTAGCGTAGGCACGTTCTCGCCGAGCTGCGACTGTAGCGATAACGCCGCCGCAGCTGCACAAGCACCATAGCTACCCCAGCGTGACGGCCCCTTTACGAGCTCTCTCATCTCCTTTTCCGCCACTCCAGGCTTTTTCAAAAGGTTTTCCTACTTCGTTGCGTCCCGCACACATTCTCAATCCCCGCACTCCGCATCTCGATCAACCCCTCACAAAGCACCTCCAAGATTCTACCTTGAGGGGTCCTGTAACTCCGTTAACTCCGGACTTAACAATCTCCGCTAATCCCCTTGCCCCCTTTTACTCTCATGGCATACAGGTATATACAAGGTCCGTTACCATTATTTCGGCCACTGCCCGCTTTTCACATCTAACTTCTTGAGCAGCTTAGGTTTTGTGGTGTTGTGAGCTTGAAATCTAGTGACAAAATACGTCGCGAAACAGCTCGAGCTACTCTTACCGTAGGAATGTTCATTATTACTCTCTCTGTGATCTCTTGAATGATGTTTGTTCCTCAAATCTTTCCTGATAGGAACTTCCTCCGAGAAGCAAGGCTGTTGGGGCTGAGAGCCGTTCTCGTTCTACATCGATAAACCCTGTATGTATCATTTGTATCGGCCCTTGATCCTTTGAGATAACGACAGGGGAGGATTATTTCCATGAATGATTTTGTCCTCATGGACGTAGATAGCTAGGTATGGATACCTAAAACCCATAGCTCCCGAATGGTGCCCCGAAATGAGCGAGACATCTGCTGCGTTGTATAGTAACAGGTAACCTGACGGGAGACACTCGTTCAGGTTTAAGGTATTTAACGTCTGCCTGAACAGGAGGACTTTCGGCACGTGCTATTATCGTGCGAAGTCATCTCCGCAGAAGTCGACTTGGTCTCTTCCCATGCTCCATTAGTAGACGTAAGTGGCGGAATGCTTAAGCTGAAGGGGCGGCTGAAGACAGCATATTGGGCGGGGGATCCTATAAATCGTTTATATGAAGACACCGGCATGTAGTGGGAAGTCGGGCAAGCTGTACGCTGGGACCAAGGAACACAGAGCTCCGATTCACATGTCTATTTCCTGGAGATATTGCAATCCGATCGAGAAGGCCACTCGATACCTGCTCAGGCACTTGTTTTGATACAATGCCGTGGCTCAGAGGAATACCAACGCGTCGCGTGTCTCGATTACTACGAAATAACGACAACACGACGACTTTTCTCGAAGGTTTCCTCGTGGTGGTTAGAAAGTTGGAAAGACAAAGTGGTCACAATTGTATAATCTCTCATTGATTCCTCTATCGAGGATGCGCCAAATGGCTGACCAAGCGGACTTGATGTCCTCATTCAAGCCGGAATTGCGTGCTTAGGGCATTTTCTGTATTTTCATGTCAAAGTAGCATCATACACTGAGTTCACAAGCAACTATATCCTCAATCTTGCATGCATTTTCCGCGCGTCCAACGTTTTGCCTATGCCTACCATCACTGTTATCACTCATCTATTTGCGTTCTAATTACCTTTCACGTAATTTGATTAGCAGTGGTATGGTCACCATCACCCGTCGACTTGCATCCATTGTAGACCATAAAATACTATTGGGTTAGAGCGGGAGAGCAAAGTCCTTGGTAAATTGAACCCCGCGTTGTCACATTGGGGGAGCGATGCTCAGCGGAGGTTGATAGGCTGGGCCTCTCGATAAAGCTTCCCTCAAGAATTCCAAAAGCCTCCAAAACATCCGGACTTGCTTCAAAAACGCTCGGAGCACTATGCCACGAAGCCACAAATGCCTTGCGCTCTTTTTCGTACTTGTAAGTAAAGTGAAGCTCAGACCCCAGCTCATCGGACATCTCAAGCTGCATTTCTTGCAGTGCAGGCATGTTCCGAGTGGCCCGCCCTACGGCGGCGAAGAGCACGTTCGCGCGCTCGCAGTCTAGAACGAGGCGGTCTACATACGTTGTATGATCCAGCATGTATTTCTTTAAGTGTGGAGGCAGGGTGCAGCGCTCGTCTTCTTTCTCCAAGTGCACTAACCACTCGCCTAGCGCGGAACCATTAGCGCATGTGAATTCTTTGATTAAAAAGTGGCCAGATCCCTTACCCGAGGCTAGGCTCGGCGCGTAGCGGACCTTAAAATGCTTGAGGCGGGGCCAGTACGGTGTCACGGCATCCTCGTTGTCGTCTGGCCAAAATAGCGAGGGCGATATGGCCAGCGAGTCCAGCGAGAGTCGAACCAACTGCGTGGACATATTGCGTATTCCAATGGACAGGATGTCCAACGATGGAGGGTCGCATGCAGGTGACACGATGATGAAGTACTCATCGGGCTCGAAGGTGGCGTGGAACTCTTCGCATGTGGTGGGGATTTTGCAGAGCGTCTCGCCTAAGGCTACGTTGGCGCGATTGAGTTAGTTGTTAGAAAGTCGAATTAGAGGCTTATTAACGGTCTAGGGTCTCGAACCTTTCCGATATCCTATACGAGTGTTGGGGTTGAGCATCTGCCCGTCATCGAAAGCGATGTCACAGTACTCGAGGCCTTCCATAACCGAGAGCATTAGGGTAAACGTACTCGACCAAACCATAGTTTCTCCATTTTGTGGAAAGATGAAGATCCGGACACAATGGAGTGTGGGCAAAGGCTCGCCCACATAGCGTAGGAGAGTAGAGTCGTACTTAAGACACGAAGTTGGCTTTCCACCCAAGATATCGCGGTAGGATTCTTCATCATCAAGAGCAGCATCGGCCTCCTTGAGAACTTGAACATCTTCGTCTTCAAGGTCTTGAAGATACGAAGTGACATTCAGGTCCAATGTGAGATTTCCAAATCCAGCTCTCTCGACGCCTGAGTGACCTTTCTCCATGCGTTGCAGGAACCGGAACAATCTCAGCAGCCCACTTGAGAACGAAGCATCTCTTTCCATCAGCTGTCGCTTGCTCAAATCTCGCCTGCGGAAGCCGCTCTTCGGACATCTACTTTTGAACGAGATACGTTTCACGGCCGAGAGGCGGGCGGGGTTCTGCTGCAAAACCTTCTCGGCGTATTGCATTCTTTCATTGCTGAGGTTGAGAAGCCGGAAGGTTTCGCGCTCGACAACTGCATTCCAGGATTTGCAGATGGTTGCGTACGGAGAAAGCCGCACATCTGGGTATTGACGTTTTGCCTCCAGTTCAGATTGCAAGATTCGTTTGAGATGGGTGACAATGACTGCAATTATATCGTACGGCAGATGTTGCGCAGCCATTTTCGCACTTTGGTGTTCCTTTCTTGAGTTTTTGATTTGTTGTTGGATGTTGACGCAAAATAATGAGAAGCGAGCGCGCCTGCCTTTAATACAGCACCCAACAGTCAAGCGAGGAGCATGGATCTACCGCAATTGGGGGCCGTTAAACTCCATTGGTCAGACAGTCGGACTAAAAGGTCGTCGAAAGCGGCCAGAACTATGGCCAGTGCTTTCTGTGCCGCATTTGATTCAATCTGGCCTGATGATCACCCGTGATTGCTTATGCAAACATCGTCACCCCGCTAATGACGTGGATGATGTGCCACCTTGATGCCGATCGGTCACGTGGCGGCAAATGAGCATCATGCCGGCCCGCTGCATGGCGTCAATTTCTTCCGCTTCAGCGCTGTGGGTGACGGATCAGAGCGGGCATTGCGCTCAAGGAAACACAATCATCTCGGACATGATAAGCTGGATAGAAGGCTTCCATCACTCAGGTGTTCGGGGACTTCGGCGAGACTCGGCAGTCCCTAATCAGCGCTACGAAAAGCCAGCCTCGCCATTTTGGCCCACAGCTCAGCTTGCCACGCGTTGTTGACTCGCTTGTGGAGGTAGCTCCGGCCTCACCAAGCCTTGGCCGGGAAGCTTTGGTTTCGCCTCCACACCGCGATTTGTCTTGCCACAGCCACTTTAACCGCTATCGTATCGAGACAGGAAATGCGTGTTCCAAGACGGCATTTCAATGAAGCCGAGCATTGCTTCAACCACAAGCCTTTCTGCCCAAGTAGCATTCATTTATCAGAGATTGTAGAGGCACAAAGATGGGGAAAAAATGTGGATCGACCTGCTGTGATGGATAGGTTTTGCATTTGCCAGAGCACACTCCGGATGCGCCGCGCCGCCTACGTTGATCTTCTTAAATAGCTTATCCGTAGTCTTACCAGGTCTGATCTTAGTGAAAACCACATGTCGAAAGGAACGCGGATCAATTATCGCTGTATGGAAACGTTTACTGCGTATACGCTTGGAATATGTGCAGGTCCCGATAGAATTTACGCCAGATAACATCTTAAGGATCTTGGCAGTGGTTGCAAGGTGGCTGATCAATCAGGAGATCGAAAGTAAGTCTGGTTAAATACAAATGACATCTTCATAATGAATGCAAAAGGACTACATCATTCTATCGCAAGGCCCAAATCAACCGAGTCACAATGCAACAAATTGTCTGCAGCTTACAAAGACCGACTCTCCAGATGCATCAACCTACGGGTCACTCCGAGTAGGCTGCGGCGGTGTCGCTCTCGGATGATATTTTGCCAACGAAAACAAACTGTGTTTCTGCTGTCCTTGCGGGGGTTTCTTCGGGTCATGATAACCAACGTCGAAGACAGTCGGATTGCCGTCAGTGTAAAAGCTCCGAACGCCGCCTTGCGTGGTTCCACTACCAGGCTTCCAGGCCTGAGTCTGTCCCGGTATGAGTGGGTGGTGAAGCCATTCCGCAGGCCGGCCGGGGCGCACGTTAGAGGGCGGCGTCGACAGCGGCAGATTGTCTGTATGGTTTCCGAAGGGACTAGGATATTTGCGGCCCCTGCCTGCAGGGACCGTGGCTTGTTGCGCCCTCGCGTCTCTTGCATACATCCATGTTTGAGCGTTCGGAACGTCTTTGTCCCATGGCGTTCCGTTGAAGTCATACTTGCGGGATGTTAGAGTTTGAGCAATGATAACGAAATTGGGAGCTATGGATAGGAAGAAGTACATACGTAAGATGAATCCGTGGGTGTACGCTTAGAAGGTTGATAGCCTAGCGGAGCTGGAGCAGAGGATGTTGGGGTCGACCCATTGGTTCCAATGCTTGAAGCCATGACGCGAATAGTAGAGGGGAACGGAGATTTCTTAAGGTTATTCTGCTTTAAAAAGCTACTCTTGAGGAGCTTCGTGGGAGCTCACCCGCTTATATGTTTCCTCTGTGTAGAAATTTGTACCAAGAGGCATACAGGTCATTATGTTGAGTGAGACGCATAGGCTTGCACGTCAAGGGAAAAAATAGAAGCATCCTGTCCGGGTCCCTTGAGGGCGGCTCATACGACCCCTGTTCTTGTGGTATCAAGTATCTCGGTAGCATGCTTGATAGCGGCGCCGTTGATTGCATGCGTGAGCTGTGAAGTGAGTGATCTTCAATGGCTGGGGTGATACGTTCTGCAGGAAACCTTGATTGGAAGAGAGAAGCGCTCATTGTCTTTACTGGAAGGCCGATACACTCGATGTCTCTACCATATCATGAAAGCCATCCGATAAATAGTTCTAGCCGCGCGCGTTGAGATTGTGGAGCAATAATTGTTAAGACTAAATGCGGGAAAGAGGCACAGTGCGGCACAGCAGCCTCGCCAAATCAGCCCGTGTGTTTGGATCCCACAACCAGCATCTTTGCTGCTTGCAACTGCAATAGTTGGCAATTATGAGCCGGTAGCTTGGACAACATAGACTATAATAAATACTTTTGATGCCTTCAATTATTCGAATGGGTGATGGTTGAGTTGTGCTCATAGTTGGACATAGTCGAGGTGGACTGAGCTGTTTCACAGCTGTACCACGCCGCATCGCGTATGTAGCGCAAGCGCGCGGGAACCATGGTCTACACTTTTACGGCAAGAGGTTGTGAAAGACGGACTCGAGCAGCAAGCTTGTAACCTGCACTGTAAGCGCTGGAATGAAAACCAGCCTGCCCCGGCACGAAGGGTGGGGGTGAATGTCCCCACTCAGACCACGAGAGCGGCACGGTTAACAAAGGCAACAAATTTCCATAGCCTATCGGACCAGTAGCCGAAGAAACTATTGATTCAGCTTAAAGCAAAGGATCCGTAGTGGGGTACTTTTCGGACTATATGGAGTACTTTGGCCTACACAGACAACTGTGCCGCTTCGCCCTCGGTTTCAAAGTTATTTTTGTTACGACCGCGCACCCAGCGGCAAGGAAGCTCCCAGCCACATTCAATCGCGCTTGGCCAACCACACAGAAACCAATCAGCACCTGTTGTAATTTCGTCCAGCCCTTCTGTACCACCCCATTACTTATCTGCATCACAGTCATTCCCAAGGACTTAATTCCTCGCTACCCGCTCGGCACTTTTCAAAATCACCAATTGTCCACTATATCGTCCAATCTACTGATCAAAACCACAATGGAAATCGACTTGCAACCTGTGGAAGAGATCGATTTTACCAACTCCGAGAGAGCCATTTTCAACGTCCTCAAGGCCACTCTACAGTACCCTGCCAATCCGCAAACCAAAGGATTGAAACTTGCGGACGACATCGACTTCTTCTGCAAATCAGCAGAAGGAGAGGGTGCTGTCAGTGCAATCCTGTGGGATGTTTGGGGGGTCATCGTTGAGATAGTCTCCCGAATTCCGCCAGGGCATCCATGGCAGACCAGCCTCGTGCAGTCCCTAGATACTCTACGCCGGCGAGACGGATCCGCTTCTGCACAAAACAAGGTGAGATATAAAACCATATGGTAGCAATCTGATTGAGCTGACTCAACTTCAACGAGGAAGTTGCTTGTATGGAAGGACCTCCCGAATCTGTCGGCCTGCATGAGAGAACAATGGAACGGTATTAAATGACAACCCTTCTACTAGCTATCTATCTATCTCTCGCTAACATGCCTTTCAGATCCGACCTATACTGGTGAGGATGTGGGTGAGGAGTTCACCAAGTGGGAAAACTTGAACTCCTTTGTAGCACGACTTACGAAAGCTGGATTCGCACCTTGGCTCAATTTCCCCATCTGGCAGCTCAGGATGACTCTCGAAGAGCCGCCGGTGAAGGGAGCTGCAATGGCTTGCCGCTTGCGTGTGGCGACAGAGTGGGTCATCCACTGCGCAGATGCTATCTTCGAGGAAATCAACTCGAAGGAGGAGCTCGACGAGAGCTTAGCTCGGGCCCTCAGAACAGGCCCGCTCTATGAAGGGAAGCCACCTCTGAGCATCGAGCGGTGGGACTTCTGGAAGAAGCGGTTCTCCGAGACTGATGACGATCTGGGCAATTTGGAGGTTGACATTGCCATATCTGGGCAGATTTCAGATGCTTTGAGGAGTATGGATGCTGTGGGCAAGTAAGTGAGGTGTGCGAATGACCAATAAAGCTTGATGTCTGTGTCAGTTTGATTGTTTCTCGTTATCGCATCTTCGCTTTCTATAAATTCGGTATTGATGTGAGCGTGTGCGGAAGTAACCGAAAAGGGACTTGTACACATCTTGAGGCCTCGTACCGAAGCGTTCGTATGTTGGGGATACCTACAGATTGGCCCGTCTTGGCAGCGTAGTTCGACATGTATAATTTCCAGGCAGCAGAGGCGGGGCAATCGAAAATTTACAGGGCTGTGTATTATTCTCATTCCATCAAGTCACACCAAAGTGACATGATTCAGGGAGGTGCACGTGTGGCTTGCGTAAGAATACTTAGCCGCCCCCTGATGCGGCACAGATTCATGAATCTTGCTCCGCCCCCACATGGCTGCCTATCACTCCAATGCCTGCCCGCAGTCCACTATGCCGTTTCGAGGAGGTACGAGGGAAGCTTGCCTGCGCAACACGTGTAATCTGTTTCAAGTAGCCAATTTTGTCGAACACTTTCGCTCGTATTTCCGGCCCCACGCGCACGTCGTGGCCCGCCAATCTCTTGGCAGAACGGGATCTTGCCTATCTTTGGTACTAACATGGGGTGTTTTGTTACTTCTTACCTTGCTCGATAGTTTTGGAGGCTGCGGCACAGCAAACTCTATGTGCGTCTTGGTGCACGCATATCGCGGGGTTGCAGATGCCCCAGGGAAGATAAATAGTGGCGCTCATCGCAGGGCAGTATTTTTCTACTTCTGCGATCCTCCTATACCATCGTTATTACATCTTGCAATGTCGCTTCCAAAATCCCCTGTCGTCTTTCGAGGTCCTGTGGATCCAAACGCTAAAAGAAAGCCATCGAAACTTGAAAAATTTGTCACGACAGCTGAGATAGCGACTCGCGAATTTCAGGAGAACCCAAACAGTCTCATATGCCACGCTTATCCGAGAGGAAAGACAAGGTGCCAGAAGAAATGCACCCCTTCACAGCTCGAACTCCAGAGAGCGGCTGAAGTAATCAACGAGAAATCACTCCCCTATGACCCGCATGATGCTGTAGCGGTGTCATATGCCCTTCTTTGCGCAACCCATTGGGGCCAAACCATGTTTGGACAAACGTTGTTCCTCGACCTCATCCTCAATCAATCACCCAAGGACCGTGAGACGCCCAACGACAGTGAGACGCCCACCGCCAGTGTACCTGCTCAAGAGCTCCAAGTGATCTTAGCACCAAGGCCTTCTAAGAACGAGCTTCTACCGGGGGAACTGCTCGATTTTTCTCTCAACGAAATTCGGCGGGCGTGCAACAACCTCGATGAAGACTCAAAGGAAGAGCCCGGCAATGCTTTAATGCAAGCCCTTCCACCGACCGACGGCAGCATGTTAGTACTCCGGATCGAGTCCCGCTTAAGGACCAACCGTCAGCGATGGGAGTTGTCGCCATCCTCAAGCACGTCGTGGCGTGGACCAGCCCATCTAGACTACTCGGTAGCGAGAACAGCTCTCGCGTTCGACCACAAAAGCGGATTCCGATGCATTGCGTACGATGCTGACGAACGCCGCTGTGAGAATGTGCTTCCACCGGATGAATGTGGTTCCGTGCGGGATGCTTTCGGATGCGAGTTCACCATCCATATTCCGCCTCGACTCCTCGAACAAGCCATAACACGTCTCCTCTGCTCTGAGCACCGGAATGCTTATTGGAAGCATGTTTACTACCAGAAATGGGCTCCAAGATTGGCAGGAGGCGAAGAGTCATCGCGGAAATCGCCCTCGTCTGTTGCCAACTTCCAAAATCCGAGCGTTAGCTGCCGAAAGGTTGATACGAGCTCAACCCCCAGTAAGGGTTTTGTGAAGTCGGAAGAGCCCACTCACGATAGCGACGAAGCGGTACTACCCAGTTCGTGCGGCAAGCCGGACCCTTTCGTGTTTGGGAAGGAATCAGAGTTGTTTCCAGGGGTTCCAAAAACTTTTAAATTAAGTGATCCCTTCGCTTTCGTCCCCTTTCTCAAGAAAGATCCATCCACCGAGGGCGCGAATCCAGGAACACCTCTGCATCGTACGACTCCAGATGAGACTGTTCGAGGGAATCATCCTTCCCCTCCGAGACCAGAACCATCCTCTTCTGCCAGTTCGCAAATGCCGAACGCTCCGAAGAGTGATGGAGTCGGCAATGGTATGGGCCAGAGGGCAAATAAACCTGTTTTTAGCTTTGAGTCGACTTTTCCTTCTTCGGGAGCTGCTTTCCGGGTCAGGAGCAACGCGTCTCAGACTTCCGAGACACAGAAAAGCCAATCTGATAAGCCAAGATGGTTTCCAGATTCCCAAGTGGACTCGGCATCGCCCTCAATGCCTTCCATGTTTCGCTCCGATCCGTATCGGGTAGAATACCACTCTTTCGATGATTATGCCTCCAGGACATTGCTGGCAAACGAGCGCGGCCTCATCCGTGACTTGGAAAGGATACAAAAAGGCTTGGGGTTGATCCCATCGCCTGTAAGGGATGTCAGCAAGTTACAACTGCAGGGCCGAAAGCTGGAAGATAAGTACTTCTCCGCATGGAACCTGGCCGGCGAGAGGGAGCGCGGAGGGATGGAAGAACCGGTCTACGAATGGTTCCGCATCTGCGACCTCCACGCTGCTGCATCAGAATGTGAGCACGATCAGCTTTTTGAGGCTGCATGGAACGCAGAGGTTCACTCCACTGTGCTGCGCCTAGCCTTGCAGGGGCGACGGCGCCAGGAAACAGGCGTGTGGTACCGCGACATTACAACGGCAACCATTCTAGAATCCTGCCTCCATCTCTCGCCCTCCTCGGCGGCACGGACGACTGGCAAGAGGGTTGACTATGCCATCATCCTTGAGCCATCAGAAGATCTGAGGCCTCGCATCAAGGACAAGGTCAAAAGAAGCTTCTCGACCACCATCAATCACACTGCCCAAGAGCACATTCGCTACAAGCCAATCGCCATTGGCATAGAGACGAAAAGGTTTTGTCAGGAAAAGTTGAAGTCTGACCAGGACAAGATCAAAGCGGATGAGCAGCTCCTTGTCTGGGTATCTGGACACTTTACCCGACTTCGCCAGCTCCTATCTACAAAGCAGTCGCAGGAGATTCCAGCCTTGCCGCTCTTGCTGGTGCAAGGACATGATTGGAAGCTGTATATGGCGAAGGTTGGTGAGAATCCACTTGAGCGTAAACTGGATCTTTTTCAAGAGATGACTATTGGTTCAACGGCTTCGATTGTGGGTATCTACACCCTGATTACCGCCCTACGAAGGCTGGCGGAATGGGCCGAGAAAAATTATGGACCGTGGTTCGTGGAGTCCATCCTTGACTGAGAAAGATTGGACTACAAAGCGGAACCCTTCACGGTATCAGATGCTTTTGCCGCGCTTATTTGGCAAGAAAGAGTACTTTTGTGTGAAAAGAAAATATTGCTCTCTCGATTTGTGACGCAAGATGTCTCCAATGGACGTGCGGACATGCTCGCCTGTTGTGCATGTTATAAGCCGATGGAACCAAAGTGGGGATAAGCTTTGGGGTAGAGGAGTATTGAGATTGGGGTAGGCAGATGCTGTTGGGGTAAGTGGGGTCATCATGATTGGTCAGCATCATCCATGTGTCCGTGGTGACGCCGCTCGGCAGTGTTGTCACTATTCTCCCGATCCCGTCCTGCAACGGAATGCCGGCATGGAAATAATTACAAAGGCGTATGGGTACGCCCTGATGATGCGATACGTCAAACCTCTGGATATGCTCGCATTCCTACGCTAATTAGGGCAGAACCATAGCTCTCTTTCATAAAGCAAATCCGCGCTAGCCATCGGATGCAGAAAGGGACTGTACTACAAGTTGACGTGGCGTGAGGCACACGGCCAACTCGATTATTATATGTTCATACTACGTAACACCTATAATCTAGTTTCCCAAACGGTACAATTGACACCCTGACTTACTCCAATTCTGATGCTCTCTTACGTTGATGAAACCATATAACCCCAAATGTAGACCGAACAGGCTTCGTTCTGAACTTAACTCCAGCATTGATTTCTAAGATGACGTCTTCATTGGGTTTTGAGTTGATTTCTGAGTTGTTGTCTACGTCGATTTTCAAGTTGATTTCTAAGATGGCCACGGATATTCATGGTGTGCAAGTGAATATATAATTAAGGACATTCCTCAAGAAAACATAGACTCCAGCTCAAGTTGGCTGAGATTGCCAAAAAAAAAAAAGGACATCTTCATCAATCGAATATGCCTCACAACATCCTTATCACCGGCGGCTCTGGCTACCTTGGTGGCACACTGCTCGCCCAGTTCCAACCAGCCAGTCTCCCCAACTACGGAACGCTCTTTGCGCTTGTCCGGAAGCCCGAGCAAGCCGAAGCCATCAAGCAATATGGAGCCGAGCCTTTGATCTTCTCCCCCGAAGACGAACAGGCCACCAAGAAAGCCATCGTCGAGAACAAGATCACCATTGTGTATTTCTTGATGGGCGCGTACTATGCTACCAGCCAGGTAAACTTCATCAAGGCTCTTGCTGAAAGCAAGAAGGTCACCGGCTTGGAGGTACACTTCCTCTATGTGAGTTCTTCCCGAAGTGGTGACCCTTAAATCGGCCCTATACTAATACAACGTATTTTAGACAAGCGGCGCCAAGATGTTCTCCAGCCTTTCTGGGGCGCCGATCGATCGGCCCTTGTTGGACAATGACCCTGGCTTATACGAGCAGCACAAAAATCAGAAGGCGCCCTACGAGGAGGTGCAAATTGTACGTGTCCCTACTTTAGCGAAGATGAAGATAATGTAGGTAGGAACAAGCACTTTGCTAAACAGTTGCATCGCAAGGCTACCAACACGAACATTACGGTCACCGAAGAGGGTTTGAAGCATGGTGTCAGGACCTATATCTTCGTCCCTTGCATCGTCTGTAAGTGCACTGTCATTCGCACTGTATAAAGCGCTACGAGGAGATGCTATACTAATGCCATTCAAGACGGCGAGGGAGAAGGCTTCGGCAACAAAATCTCCATCCAAACCGTTGACATCGTCATCGCCGCCAAACACACGGGCCGCGTCTACAAGCTGGACAAAGAACGTACCGTAAGTAGCACCACTCATATCTTACATCCACACCATATTCACCCAGTCCGCATACTTACGAACTTCAATCGAGATAGACCTGGCCAGTTTGCCACGTCCACGACAACACGACCCTCTACCTCTCCATCCTCCGCGCCATCCTCAACAACAAAAACCCCGACCACGGAAAGAATGGCTTCTACCTCGCCTCCCCCGGCAACGTTGCCTGGGAAGACATGTATGCCGCCATTGCCAAAGCGCTCGCCAAGCGCGGTGTCATCACGGATGCGAAGGTGGAGCTCGTGGATGAGGATGCGTTGGGCAAGATGGCGGAGGCGCTAAAGGTGTCGAAGCCGTCTGTCAGGGTTAAGATCTCGGGACAGTAAGTCTTAGTGTGATGGCTTATACGGGAAAGAGCAAGTTTTGCTGACTCTTTCGTGTAGATCGACCTTTACTGCCGAGCACGGCCACTCGGTAGGTTGGAAACCCAAGTTTGCGCCGGAGCATATCCTTGAGGCTGCTGATGCTGAGGTGGATCTTATCCTGGCTCACTTGGATGAGCGTCACCGCGGGTTGAGGTAGATAGGCGCTGCAGGCTGTCTGTGAGTAGTGGTACAATCTTGAGGAGACGTGCCTTCCCAAACAAACCACAACTTCTATCACCCGATCCCGAACCGGTTAGCCTCCCACTGCTTCGCATGTCTTCTGGTTGCCCGAGAATTATCTCTTGCTTCACCCCCCACCGGCATTACCAACCCAGCCTGATCTGAGCTCTGCCTTGCGTGCCATGTCTCTGACTCAATCTTATCTCTCCCACCTTCATCATTGAAGGTTCCACAGGCCCGTTTCAACCTACCACTCTCACCCAGCAGTTAGAAGCACCTTCTCTCAGCTTCCACACCAAGCACGCCGGCCTCACCCACCAGCTTGCACGCGCCAGCATTGCCACCCGCGTCAATTCAATTCCCACCGTGGCGAAGTACTGAGGACTGACAGCCGCCTTCCGCCTCTGAGCCATCATCTTCACCTTCCCTTCAACGCAGTACCTCTCACCCTTCGCCTGGTGAAAGTCATACCTACCAGAAAGCACTGCCACCGCGACGACACCCGCCTCACCTACGACACTGAACAATCGACGAGACCGCTCACCGCTCAGAAGTCACCGTCCGTTGCAACCCGAGCTCACCTTCAACCCCATCACCAACGACCAGGAAGGCACCGACCTCCAGATCTCTCACTTCACCAGCCGAGACCCCGCCACCAACCTCCGAACCTATTCCGTTCCCGTCATCACAGCAGCACCAACAGAACACCAAGCCGCAGCCACAAGCCAACACGCAGCAACACAAAAACAGATACAGCACATAGCCAATCAACTCGAACCAAAATCAACATGTCCGGCTACGTCTACATCCTCCACTCCGCGACGGTCCCGCACCTCGTCAAGATCGGCTTTTCGACAAGGCCGCAACGCCGCGTCCGGCACCTGCGGACGCAATGCCAGCTACCGGACCTCGAGATTGTGCATCTGACGCCGTATATCGAGGGACAGGCGAGGCGCCTGGAGCGGCTCGTGCACCGGGAACTACGTTGGTACAGGGAGCGGCGGCCGGTTGATCGCGGCGGTCGCACGTCGTTTCAGAGGGAGTGGTTCCGTTGCAGCGTGGCGAGGGCTAGACGCGATGTTGATATGACGATGATTCTCCTGACGGATCCGGAGTGTGTTCGTGCTCTATGGCGCATGCGGTACACTTTGTGATGAGTAGAGGGAAAGGTTGGTGGGGAATAATTCTGCGTCGGACCTGCAAGGCGTCCGAGATCAATGGAGTAAGCCTCACGACGAGGCTTTATCGGTTGGCGTCAAGGAGACAGGTGCGGCAGGTGTGGGAGAAAAGTTATTGCAGTTCTACATCACTCTGCTGAGAACTAAAGGAGCTACGGGTGATGGAGCAGAAAAAGAACACGGTGCTATTTGGGTTCCCTTACGGGTTTACGACGTTGAGGTTGACCAAAAATTCTATGAGATGTAGGGGAATAATAATTTTCTCGATTCCTACAGACATTAATTTACGTATGCGGTTGCTAGAAATTTACATCTCGCTATTGAGTCTGCGAGTTCGGTGTCTTCTAACGGTTTAATTCGCCGCATCGGAAGCCAATACAGGACCACAGCAAACTGTGCTCGAGAGTCTGCAGTGGGCCACCGTTTTGGTGATCTCAAACCATAGGCATTGAAGGATCTATATTGATATTTTGGTTAGATGCCCTGAAGCACCACCGTGGACTGAAGTAAATCTAGGTTGAATATTGTTCGGCATGAGCGAGATATTTTCAGCTGGAGTAACGGCCAATCTATATCCTCCCCAGAGAATGCTACAAATATAGATGCCACCCCTACTGGCTTCAGCAACCGCCATGACCACCGAAACTTCTTCCTCTACGTTCATGTAATAGGATTAATACATCTCGGCCTGTCTGCTCACATCAGTCATCCACATTTCCCCCCGCGTACGGAGACATCATACGATCTTTCTAAGGCTAAACTTAGTCAACGACACAATATTTTTCGGCGTAAGCAATGCCGTCTCATCCTTCTCAAACTTTTACCCAGCCATATGAGTACCTTCAGCAACCAGCTTCCGTCAATGTCACCTAGAGAAACCCCTGCATCTCGAAGAAGCTCATCGACCTCATTCCAGAAAAAGACGTTGCAGTTGGGTCTGCCCCAAATCGGAGAAGCAACTTGACTGCTTCTACATTGTAGTTTCCAGCGGCTGTCATGACCGCCGTCGTTTACCGATCACTTTTCATATTGGGATCTTCCCCGGCTTCAAGGAGTAATCGACCAATTTTCGCGTTGGGATTGTCTTCGACTTTAGTCCCAAAGAGCATTTGGCCATTTTTAGGTCCCACCACTACGATCCGAAGCGTATCCCTGCTCTTCTTTGACATTTAGATTTGCGCCACGTTGGAGGAGTAATTCAGTGAACCTCAATGCTTTAGTTTTCGCAGCAACGTGAAGCGGTGTCGCTTTATCGAGAGGCATCGCGTTTACATGGGCTCTAGACACCATGAGAAGCTTAGAAATCTTCAAATATTTATTCTCGACGGCATGAAACAACGCTCTACCCAGTGGTCGGCCCATCGTCCGTATATTGATGACATGCTCCAGAAGCTCCCTGGAAATTTCGAGATAGTCGGCACGGACGGCTGAGGACAGCATACTTTCCTCTGCCATGGCACCATAGCGACAGAGAAGCTTGACAATTTCCAGTTCCTGTACATGAATAGCTCTAAGTAGCACGGTCTCTCTGTCGCAGTTCTTTACGTTGGGGTTTGCCCCGAGCTGGAGAAGCTGTTTCCAAATTCGCGAAATTGCCTCTGTGTACGGTGGGCTACACTACCCATGCCTATGGTCAGTGATAGCGTGCACGGTCTTTGTTTCTGAAATTCGAATTCAAGAGAATCCACACATCGCGATCAAACCAAGAGTCATCACCGCAAAACCGACCAAGAAGGCCTCTGTTATCGACGTCCTCATCTCTCGGCTACTACAACTTCCTATGTATGTGTTTTATCTACGGCGTTTCCACTATCTGGTCTCATTGCTTTTTGGTATGAGAGGTTTAAAATGTACCGTTTTTCTGACAGGGCAAAGGACGTCGGATATTTAGATGATAGTTCGTAATTTCAATATAGTTGCAACAGCATTCGAAACCCGATATTACCTAGGAAATAAAAGCAAATACACAATTCCATTTGTGCCCCTAAAGAATAACTACAGTTTGTTTTGTGCAATGTTCAAGGAAATCATCACATCCGTTCGACTTGAAGTCAAGTTCTGCGAGCCCAACTCTCTGGTACCTCGTATTTGGGTTCGAAGAAGGGAGACTGGCTTCTGATTTAGGGCGTTCGCACAAGCCATAGGAGTAAGGGGCCAAAATTAAGCAGTAGAGTGTGTTTCTCATACTTCCCTCTTCGTAAAGTAGGGCCAAGCAAAAGGTTGGGACAGTCCCACCACTTGGCAAAATATGATGGCTGTCAAGCTTTGCTCTGCTACCATACGCCAGCTTCAATGGCTGGCCATTGGCGTTTGCGATCTCCCACCATTGAGTCGAGCTGGGGACTTTGGGAGAGAAAGACATTTGAAACAAGTGACTCGATATCGCGATCCAGCCGCTGTCAACCCTGCCATATGAATTGCTACCACACGACGGCTGAACCTGAACGTCTTCGATGGATGCCATCTCACGGAACCCGGTACCATTGTAGTTGCCGAAATCGAGGGACGTAGATGGCAGCCATCGCCTCAAATTGAAGCAACGACTGATCATCTGATTTCGCACGGCAGGGTTGTCGATGACTGAGTCAAGGCTGGCCCAAGACCAGGATGGCGCTCGATATGCCTCAGGTCGCTCGGGATGCTGACTTTCGACTACCCAGCAAAGGCCGAATAGAATATGTTCTCGCCAAAGACCTGCCAAGTAGGTATCTCTTGAAGCGAGCTGCATCTCTGCAGCCATTCCAGATAAGGCGGGTAGCTTGTCTTTCTCTTCTGACAACCTTCCCCATGAGTATTCCCTCACGATTTGGGTCCATCGTTCAAGTGCGTCATGCTCAAATTGAATTTCTGATAAAGGGAAGCTCCCGGTAGGCGTATCGGTGGACAAAGAGGGACAGAGCTCGCATGCGCTGCTTTGCCTGCATTGCCAATACACTTGGTCTTTGGCGAAATGCAAGATCCGCCGGGAGAGGTTTCTTTCCTGGAATGTCCAAGCACGGTCCCCCAGATAGTCATAGATCATTCGGTGGCTATCGGGCTGGAAGTAGTTTGTATCTTCGAGGCAAAAATGTCCGTCTACAAATGGATTGGAAGTAAGCTTGAGGGGCAGGATCCCCAGAGGGTTTCGATAGAAGTAACAGCCACCGTTGTCGTCTCGAGAGCCGGTGGCAGATATTGTGCACCAAGCATTCCGGTACACGTCTGCCATCTTAGATGATTCGCGCTCCCAATCCTTTTCTGAATCTTGGATGATGCAAAGTCTGTCGATCCAAATGTGGCGCAGGCGCAAACGGACGGTGATTGCGCATGCATCGCGGAGCGTTTTTGGTAGGAGCGATACCGAAAGCCATTCCCTCATATCTTTCAAGTTGTATTTCCTCAGCATGAACGACGCTCTCTTTCCCCAACAGTAGCTGAGCGCCGTGTATTCCGGGAGCCTTAGGTATTCTCCTGATGGATTCTGGGACCCCTCTTGGCCCTCTGGTCTTCGATATTCCTTCAATCTAAATCGTTTTCCGGACGACTCAATACAGATCAGCCTTGCTGGCGGGTTTGAAGGAAACAAGTCATGGTTGACTTTGCACTGTGCATGGGTTTTGCTGCACTCCTGTATCCAATTTTCTACTTGAGAAAATGTGGTGTCTGAATCGGTGCAATTTGCGATCGGAATACCAAGTCCGCTGTTATGCTTTTCTGTCGAATACTGTTACTCAACGAACGATGCCCTTCTAATAATGTCATACCTTGGTCGCTGTACGAGTCGAAGCTCAATCTAACTGGATAGTGATCAAAATTGTCGTCCTTTACAGGGAGATTGAGCGTCAAAGTAAAAAAATCGTCGTCCTCATTGAAAGTCTCATTTCTCAAACAAACTTTCAATCCCTGCTCAGGAAGACCGAACCTTAATCCTTTTTTCTCGACTCTGAACCCAGCAGTTGTGTGTTTGATACTCTTCCAGAATTGTTGGCAGAGGGGACAGTTGCCTCTGGGATTATGACAGCAGTTGATAAGATCGAGCATGTCTATGTGAAATGGAATCCAGCTAATGTCCGTTCCCTTATATAGCCCACTACTAAGTTCTAGAGGCGACTTCAAGAGGTCCCGGCAAGGTCGACAGAAGGTTGTGGGGGGGTCAACTCGAAGCTCGCGACCGGCATTCTGAAAGTAGTTGTCATCCTCATATGACAGAGTGTTTTGCTTTACTTGGAGAATGTGGTTCCAATCCAATAGTGCTTGTAGGCTAAGAGAAATTGCAGGGTGGGGTTTCGGCGGAGTCGTGGGCATAGCACCTCCCACGCTTCTAGCCGTGCCGCAAAGCCATACTGGCTCGATCGGCATTGGCATAGATGTTCGTATTTGAGGCGCGATTGAAACAGCTTGGTTTCACAGCATTTCGAAAATGATCGAGATTGGCGGGCGGAGTAACTGAAGAAAAGGATGAAGCAAACACGGTAGTCTTCACCACGGCGCTGTCTCATATCAGCTGCATGGAGCTTGAATGTCGAATGCACAGCCCCGCGCGGGGTAATAGTAGTTTTTCTCAGTATTCATAGTAGTGCTGCCGAGGACCCGCTCAACAGATGATGATTGGTCAGATCGCGATTCGCCTACCCTTGACGTTGGACCAGGCTGGCAGGCAACAGAGTGGAGAACACCACCAGCATTGCCCCATTACATCCTGCTTTAGGCTACGATCTTCCTGATGTTCAAACTTTTGAGTAGGCTGCAATCCTATGGAATACGGCACGACAGCAACTTCGGCTATACCGTAGTGAAGTAAGGTAAACGGTCAATAATCTCACTAGCCGATGAAGCGTTATCATCGGTACCAATGAACTGGTCCAGAGTCCCCAGTTTCGAGTGCAAAGCCTCACTCGCGATGCGTATGGCACTGGAAAGTCACGTACCTAGATGCCTTGTGCCGTCCAGTGCAGTGACTAATCGGCGTGTCTGCCTTGTCAGCCTCGCAGCAAGGCTGAAACTCACTGCAGGCATTTTTTCCCGCTCCTGTTCGTATTTCCGATCGCAAAAAAGCCCCACTCCGTAGGATTCGCAAGGCTGCCGAGACATAGAGAACCTTCCTCGGGAGCAAGCTGAAACGTATTGATTCCAGACTTCTGGGACACATGGCTCTTCCCTGGGATGGCGTATCTCGTTGAAGACTGACAAGTGGAACTGGTCTGCGGTGTCCTTCTCCATAGAAGAATTGACCGTCTTTCAGGGGCGGCGCATAAGTGCATCCCCGCGAGGAAATGTTTGCGTTCAAGAGGGAAAAGGATTTGAGAAGAGGGGCAAGCCGTTAAATCCTCAGAGCTGTGAATAGAGCTTCCCAATGAGCTATGTGATAATTGCACCGTATCAGGCAATCCTACGCACTCAGAATGGGGGTGAGATATCCTCTGTAGCCTTGGTTGCAGGATATATTTGAATGTTGGAATCGTAACATGATTACAGCCGCCGTTGGCGTATGTAGTTGTGTTCAAACGGGAATGTGGGCTGATGATAGTTTCTAGATTAGCTCAGCGCTGTACCATTAGGTCGGCTGATCTTCTCCATGCTTGCCATCTTACACGTGTCGAACCCCGTTAACTATGTGTGCATTCGCACAGGCGCAGAAGGTATAGTATTGTGTAGTTTTATTAATGAGGTAGGACTGAAACTATTACAGCGCTGGTCTGTCTTTGTGCATGTTGGTTGAAAGTCCTATTCCGATGCTCGACAGTGACGTGTACAGTCGTATTTATCCTTGTTTGTTTTGTTTTGAGAGTGGGGCTAACGCGTCGCGCTTGATGCTGCTTCCCACATCCCCCATCTCACACAATTGTCAATTCGAGTGATCTTCCAACGTATTCCGAACTATACAGATCTCTCTGACAGAATCAATTACCAGCCCTGCTTCAACATGGCCCGGAAAAAGGATAGAAAGTCACGGCCGTTGCCCGCAAACCGCTCCGGCAACCGAAACTCCGAATACCAATATTACCCACTACCCGCGGGATCGATCAGGCTCATTCGGATCTTACCTGGTGAACCATCAGCTCGGATCCGGTGCACGATCGTTCATAGGCGCCTGCGGTACGATCCCGAATATGATGCCGTATCGTATGCGTGGGGCAGTAAAGACAAGACACGGCGTATATATGTGCAGCCGATGGATCCCTCTCTCTCAGAGATGACTCTTCCGGTGACAGTAAATTGCTTTCACCTACTAAGGCACCTCCGGAATACAGCAATCCCGAACGGCGAAATCTGGATAGATGCTATATGCATCAATCAGGCCAACGACGAGGAGAAAGAGAAACAAGTGACGATGATGGGTGAGATCTTCAAGGTCGCTGAGCGCGTCCTGGTGTATCCTGGAGATGTTCACCAAGACAATGCCAAGAAGATGGAGGATCTCAGGACACATATTGAGGTCCGGCGTGACGACAGGATCCCCAGGCCACTCGGCTTGATTGCTACTATGGAGAACATCTTGAGGCAGGAGTGGTTTTGGCGGACTTGGGTGCTGCAGGAGGTCGTGCTGGCCCGCCGTCCGGAGATAATTCTTGGAACAGACACGTCACCATGGATGGATTTCACAAGGGTTGTAGAGAAGATCAGCCGTTTTGCAAAGAGATTCTACAAGAACAAGATCTTCAAAGACATGCCACCTATAGTAGGGCTCACAGAATCGATCGACAAAGGCGACGACCTGAAGTTGCACGACCTGCTGAAGAGGACCCAAAGATTGAAAGCCAGCGATAACAGAGACAAGGTTTTCGCATTGCTTGGGATCGCTAGTCCTAATCCAACATACAACTCGCTTGTTCAGTACGGACAAACAACAGTTGGACAGATTTATGCCGCTTTCGCTAGGGCTATTATCGCGGAAAGCGGCACATTGGATGTTCTGAGTTCGAGCGCGAACATCCGGCTTACATGCTCGGATCGCGACGAGTGTTTGAAGGCCACCTGGGCACCTCATTGGAGTGCGCGACCCCAAGTATCCTATGACAACAGTATTGCAACAAAAGGGTTTTTCAATACAAATGCAGGACTTCCCGCTTCTATTTCAGAAGTCACTGCCGAGACAAATATGACGCACAAGATAAAGCGTCCGCCATGGAACGTTTTGGCGGTGCGAGGTAGAAGACTTGGTTTTCTAAGCTCCCCAATTCCGGGATTTTATTTTGGCGTAGCATTTGGAGGTCCTGATAGGACGGAAATTCCAGCAAAGTGTCGAGAAGCTTGTGCCATGGTGGAGAAATGTTCCAGATATCACGGGGAATCTGCGGAACATATTTGCTTCCAGACCTTTAACTTTCATCTTCCTGTTGAGCAGGGTCTGATGGAAACTGAAACGCTGAGTAAAGAGTTTTGGAAGGCGATAGATGATTGTGGGAAGATGTCAGGCAAAATTGGACGACAATCCGAACCTGGGTTGGAAACCTTTTACACGAACGTATCTTACAGGCGGATATGCACAACTGATAATGGTTATTTCGGCCTGGTTCCATCAATCTCCAGGGAAGGAGATTTGGTGTGCTGCTTAGCAGGTGGGAGTGTGCCTTACGTGCTTCGACAAAGTGGCGATGGGAACGACTTCAAGTTGGTTGGAGAATGTTACATTCACGGAGTCATGCAGGGTGAGGCTCTCCGAGGGGCGAAGCTGGAGGATCTGGAGGTCTTTCAGCTTTCTTGATGGAATTGCTAGAGCACAAAGCTTCTTGTTTTCGCACTATTTTCAATCTCATTTCGTCTCCATCACTTATGTAGCGCCAAAATAGTGCGTATCCCACCCGATTACATGCGGTATAAATATGCAGCGGGCAGCTACAGGTCCACTACTCGACGTCTCGTATGGCCGTGCTTGCAGGATGAAGGTAACAGAATGCACATTATACTTAGCTTGAAATTCTTCCAGAAGCGGTTATAGCATTGTCGCATTATTTCTACTCTAAACTCATACTATAGGGATATCAATCAACAACCACTTCCAACCATACTCACCAGACCACCTTACTCCGACCAAATTATCCCGTAGAAGGACGCGGCACGCAAGAAAGCAACACGCAATTGACGCAAAGCGACTTCCGAAACCTGTACGGATCACGCCACAGCCCCGCAACCGCGCTATTGCCATTCCCACCATCACCATCACTAGTACTCATCACCGCAGCCCTGGCCGCCTTCCCAAGGAACACAAATGTATCCAAGTTCTCCACATCCACACTCCACCGCTTCTTCAACGCCCACCGCAGCAGTCTCGCCATGTCTGCAACGTATGCAGCGCGTTCAGCTACTTCCTTGTCCGCCGCAGCTGTCTCTTCCCCGTCCACACCATCTGGATCATAGTAAAACTCCGCTCCCAGCGCGGCCCGGGCATCCAGGAACGCATCAACGTCTGCAGCAACAGCATGCATGGCGCAGGTCTGCAGATGGTCCTGTAAGCGGGGGTGCTCGTATACAGACGAATTGACGGCGAGAGCGGCTTCGACCCATTCGGCGAGGTTGGCAGTCAGGGTGTCGCGGGTAGTGGAGGCGGTGGAGGCGGCGGAGCTACCGCGGCGCGGACGCTGGGCGGAGGGAAGGATATCAGGGGCGACAGCGGTGTCCGGGGAGAGCGGGCGCTTTTGCTGGGTGGTGGTGGAGGGTTGAAATTGTGGTTGGGGTGAAGGTGAGGCGTCGATGCTGGGTGGTGGAATTTGCGAGAAGTCTGTTTCGGAGATGATGGATTTGCTGGGGGTGGATGGCGCTGGTGCGACGGCGGGAGGGCTGAGGAGGAGGAGAGGTTCGCAGTCTAGGAGCGGAGGTGTTGGGCCGAGATAAGGCGGAGGTGCGGATGAGGGAGGATTGTCGGGGACGAGGTCAGGCTCAATGCCAAAGAGGCTCCAGTCTACTTCGGACGTCCGAGTGTCGAGGACATGTTCGACGGCGAAGGGACTTGCGGGGGGCGGAGCAGCGGAATTGCGGTCACACACCAGCTTCAAACCTTGACGGGCATAGTCGCTGGGTTTGATATAGACGGAGAAGGCGCGAGCTTGAGAAAGAGAACGCAGCCCATGCAGGACGTCTGATGTGGTACGAGAAGCTGGTGTAATTTTCTTCGCGGTAGACTTGGGCATGAGGACGTAGCCAAGCTTCGGAAGGGCGAAGTTGGCACGAATTACGCGGCCAGAGTCAAACAGGCGTGCATCTCCAACTGCTGAGAACACGGCGGGCGTGTGGATTTGCGAGATTTCCAGCTCATGAAAAGTCAAGGCATAGGAGGAATGCGGCGGAATGACCAAGGCCAACTCCCGCTGCCGCTCCCGGCCTGCTGTCTTGACCGTGACTGCTAGAATGAACCATGCCCAGACCCTCTGCTGCTCATCCGTCGTGACCTTCAATGTAAACCCGGCATCCCGTTTATGGCAAGGTGTCAGCGAACCGAGGGTGCAGTCGTGGCCATGCGCATCGGTCCATTCAGCGAGGACAGTCTCGTTCACGTCAAGCTTGCCGGGGGCGTACATGGCGGACTAAACGGGTGGGTCAGCAGACGTTAACACAACGAGCGGAGTCGAAACGAAGCCCTGCGCGTAATTTCGCGCAGCAACCCACCCGCCCAGGCTTTGACTAAGAAGCAGCCTTGACTTCGGCACCGCGTCGAATCCAGGAAGCCGTACCCGACAGTAGCAAATGGACCGAGCCGTTGGCGGGAGTTGGTAAGGCAGTGCGCGCAAAGCAGACCGAGCCGTTGCCAAACACCCGCTAAGGCAGTTCGCTTGCTTGTGTTCGGGAGTCCGACGATCGGTAGGCTGGAGGTATCGATGTGGGAAAGAGTGCGAAGAAGGCGACTACACAGCCGTGCCTGCTTACTCGCCGTGTGCTCAAACCGCCGGATCTGGAGTCAGGGATACCAAACGGAGTCTGCGAAGCGCAGCCCCTACAGAGCCCCAGGCCTTCCGTCAAGCGGAATTGCCGGGTAGGCGCTGGAATTTTATAGCGGCCTGCTTGGTACTTGCCCTGGGCTCCCGCAGCGGGGAGCAATACGTACCATAAGCGGGCAACGGTGAAGTGCAGGGGAAGAGGCGATGGTGTTGACGATGGAAGCGATGGTCGGAGGTTGCGGAGGTGGGTCAACGTCGCGTCGGCGCGTCTTGGCGCGCCATGACTCAGCACAGCATTACGTCATCACACCCAACGACTTCTTCCGTCGCGTCTCCGCAACAACGCGTCACCGTCAATCTATAGTCCCCTCTCAGCTCATGTCATGGGTAGCTGAAGTTATCGTCCGGACGTATATGTAGAATTAAAAATTCGACATTCTCGTCCGGATGATAGCTTCAACTACCCATGACATGAACAAAAAAACAAATCCACGGTAGCCATCGGTTGCGAGAGAGGGCGGCTGTATGGATGCAGCTTCTGCGAGCGGCCTATCGGCGTTTTCTGTCCAGCATGCCCGCCTCGTCCTGTGTCACTCCCGTCTCATAACTCCGTCAGGCACGGGGAACATGGAAAACACTAAATTCATTGGCAAAATCTACTTAACAAGACCCATTTCTAAGAGCTTGTTCCCTACCAGAAGAAAGTAGTAATCCGCATACACCAACCCCGTATCCGCCCACCTCCTCAGCGCATGCTCGAAATTATTAATCGTAGCATGCATCACCACCGACTCCAGCTCCCCCTCTCCCTCTCCACCCGCCGACAAACAGCCATCCACAATCCCCCTCACACTCCTCAACGCCACCCTCAAAAACTCCTCCCCCTCCGCCCCCCTCCCCTCCTCCCCCAACGTCTCATAAACCAACAACATCGCCCACACCGCAACCAGCACCGCACTCGAGTCCCTTGGCTCCCCCGGGCCGCGCTCTTTCTCCGCGTCAAAGTCCCACGGCACGACGCCGTCCTCCGGCATCCGCTCGATCCAGTACCGCGCCGTGCGCAACGCCGCGTCCAGGAACAGCGGCTCCTTCACCCGCCGGTAGCACTGGATGAAGCCGGCCATGGCCCACGCCTGGCCGCGCGTCCAGCAGGAGTCGTTTTTGTAGCCTTGGTGCGTGAGGGTTTGCTGCGCGGTGCCGGTGGTGGGGTCGAAGATGACGAGGTGCGCGGTGGACCAGTCGGTGCGGACGTGGTGGCGGAGGGTGGTGAGGGCGTGAGTGGTTGCGATGTGCGCGAGGGAGAGGTCGCCCGTGATGGAGGCGGCGTGGTAGAGGAGGTCGAGGTCTGTTGGCGTTCGTTAGCCCGTTAACCCGTCAACCCAGCAGCGCAGCAGCTCAGCGCCCTAGCATCCTCCCCTGCCTCCAAAATAGATCAGGGCCACTCACTCATAATATTATCAATCACAACCAAAAACTCCCTCCCTGGATCCTGAAACTCATACACCCCCGTCCGACACCCATCCCAGCTCCGCACCGCCCCAACCCTCGCATCAAACCGCGCCGCCAAACTCCGCGCCGCCGTCACCAGCGCCTCCCGACACTCCTCGTCCCCGTCCAGCGCCATTCCCAGCTGCGCCCACGGCTGGATCATGAATCCCAGGTCGTGCGTGTCCGTGCGGCCCGCCTGCAGCTTCGGCTGCGCGGTCCACCACTTGCACGCGAACTCCAATGCCGGCGGGTGCGGCAGCGGTCCGGGGAGGGCGGATGAAGGGAAGTGCGAGGGGTAGCGCAGTTGCCGCTCGCGCAGGAGGTAGAGGCACCCTGGGAAGAAGCCGGAGGTCCAGAAGGAGGCGGGGGAGTAGATGTAGGTGGTGCCGCCTGGCGTCGTGTATTCGGGGAAGGTGGTGGGTGGGGAGTCCTGCTGGTGGGTTAGCGGTGGGATGAGATGGGGGAAACGGGGGGAGAGGGGGACAGGCGGACATCGTGGAGGGCTTTGCTGGCGACGGTCCAGATCTTTGTGATGACGGAGGGGGAGTAGAGGGCGTCGAGGTCGTGGGTTTGGGCGAGTGGGCGGGATGGCTCTGCCTGAGGTTTGGACGTGGTGTCCCCGTTCGTGGCGGCTCCCATTATGTTGTCGTCTGAATGTTTCTAGGAACAAACGCGGTACTGTTGAGGCGAAGGTAAAGTAAACCGAACTGTGTAGTCGACTTGATATTGACAAGTCCTCAAGCCGCAGTCACGGGAAGCCGTATGCACAGCCCTTCATCCTCGGCATTTCTACAAGCCCGCACCTACATCGCAAAAATAATTTATCCACTTCTTCCTCACAACCATGGCCCTCACGTGGTTCTGCGGGGGATCAGCCGGGGAGCTGTCCGGGGAGACAGAATGGTCGCAGCCCGGAGCCCGGGCCCGGTCTCGGAGACGCTCCGGGAACACTGGACCACCCCTGCAACTCCCCCGGACGTGCAGCCCCGCTCCGATGTGGAGCCCCACGAAAGATAAGCAGGTGATGTAGCCTGAGCTTTTAGTGTTGTTTCCTTAGGCCTGAAATCCCGGCTCCTTGCCCCGTCGTACAACCAACCACCACGGAAAAAAACTCCAAATGGCAAAGTCCATGGACAAAGCAGACGACGCTATCGTCCACCATGAGGAGCGTCCGGACGAGCATCCTACTGGTCGGACGGACGTGAAGGGCGATGCGGAGGTTGACCAGTACGCGCAGGAGACGGCGCACCTGCATATCGATGCGGCTACGAACAAGCGGCTGTTCAGGAAGATAAACAAGCGTGTCTTGGCGATCATGCTTGGGGTGGGTTTGGAATCGAAAAGCCCCGATATCTCCGCTGTGCTGACAAAAAAAACGATATCCAGACGTACTTCTGCCAGGCGCTTGACAAGGGAACCCTGGGGTTCAGCTCGATCATGGGCATCAACGATGATGCGCATCTGCACGGCAACCAGTTCAGCTGGCTCGGCACCATTCTCTACATGGGCATTCTCGTGGGGGAATACCCGACCAATTTCCTGCTCCAGAAGCTGCCCGTGGCCAAGTATCTTGCTGTAAAGTACGGTCTCGCGAGGCCCTAGCAGATGAGAGACGACGAGCTTACCCGAAGCAGTGTGTTTCTGTGGGGGGCGGTGGTGACGTGCTCTGCCGCAGCCACCAACTGGGGTGCTTTGATGGCCGTGCGTTTCTTGTTGGGCATCTTCGAGTCTTGCGTCCAGCCTACCTTTATCATCCTGTGAGTCTCGGAGGGGAAAAGCCCGCCACAATCGGACTGACCTATTGCCAAGCACTGCAATGTGGTACACCCGGGAGGAACAGGCGGTTCTGACCAGCCTGTGGTACTGCATGATGGGTGTCCAGTTGATGGTAAGCCCCCGCACCTGGAACACACAAGACTGGGGATTGACTCTTTCTCTCAGGTCGGCGGCCTCATTGCATACGGCGTGTCCCACATCAAGGACGCGCCGGTATTCTCGTGGCAAGTCCTCTTCATGGTGCTCGGCTTGGCCACAGTGCTGTGGTCCATCGTCATTGCGTGCTTCCTGCCCGACAGCCCCATGAAGGCGAAGTGCTACAACGAAGACGACAAGCGCTTGATGTTCGCAAGAGTTCGGGGCAATCAGACGGGAATGCAGAACAAGACGTACAAGCGATACCAGGTCATTGAAGCACTGGTTGATCCGTACGTCTGGTGCTGCGTCCTCCTGCAATGCACCAGCACGCTGATCATCGGCGGTCTCGGCGTCTTTTCGAACCTCATCATCAAATCCTTGGGTTTCACGGTCCTGCAGACGCAGCTGCTCAACATCGCACAGGGCGCAGTAACGATTCTTGTCATGGTCGGAGGTGCCATGCTGGCCAGCAAGACGAAGCAGACGCTGTTGGTCATGTTTGTGAGTTTTGATTTGTGCGAGCTGAGGCAAAGCTGACAGGAAGACGAAAGCTCTGGACACTTCCAGCCATTGCGGGAACAGGGATTCTGATGGGAATAGCCCCCAACTCCAAGAATGCGGGAGGCCTGCTCGTCGCGTTCTACTGCACCCAGTTCATCCTGGCAGAAGGCAATCTGATCTTCTCCCTCATATCGAGGAACGTTGCCGGTCAGACGAAGAAGGGTGTAACGCTTTCCATGACGTTCATGTAAGTCTGCGTAGTCGTGTATCATCGGCTTCATTTGGCTGACATACTGTCAGAGCTTGGGCTGCGGGAAACAGTAAGTGCAATCCCAGAGATCCGGTGGTTGAGATGCAGGTTTATTGTAGCAACGCAGGCCATAGGAAGTAGTAGGCGATTAGCCCTCAGAAACCGCTAACATTCATACAGTGACGGCTCCGCAGCTCTTCCAGACTAGTGATGCTCCTCGATACCGACATGGCTTTACAGCCCACCTCTGCCTCTACGTTATTTACATAGCGGAAATCGCCGTCACGTGGCTCATTCTAACGCGCAGAAACAAGGCTCGCGCTATTAATGCGGCGAGCAGAGCAGAGGAGGTTAGTGAGCTTGCTGTTGCGTCTCGGAATGTGTACGCTTACTCTGCTTGTAGATGGGTTCTGGGGCCGGAAGCAAGACTGATGCCCAAGAACTCGCACTTCAGGACCTTACAGACAGGGAGGTAGGTGCTCTCGTTCTTCGTGCATTAGAAATGATACTGAGATGTGCAAGAATCCGGAATTCAAATATGTCGTTTAGTCAGATGGGAGGGCCGCGGAACCGTAGATACAGAATAATGAATCCACCATTTGCTCCGCGCCACATCAGCAGTTGAAGCAATTACTAGGCCATTTTGTAGTAATTTTAAATTGATTATCTTTTTCCTGCCAAACGCCTTATTCCCCCTCGACACGAGCCTACATGTTTTCCAACACAAGCCATTCAGTGCCAGACCCTCTTAAACCCACCCCACAGCCCCCGTTCCCCCATCCCCTCAACCAAGCCCACCAAACGGCCCCTGCTGGCCCATATCCTGCAAGTTCGAGTACGTACTGACCCTCAAATCCTGCTGAAACGAGTCATCAAAGATACTCCGAAAATCCTCAAACGCCGCATACGAGCTCTGCCCCGTCGGCGACGCAAACGCCTGCTGCGCCCCCGCCATTGCCGCCGCACCACCCATCGGATCAAACGCTCCTCCCGCACCCCCCATTATCTCCCCCGCCTGAAACGCCAACGGCAGCGGCGGAAACGCCAGACTAATCGAATCCGGCGACTCCCCAACATCAGCCGCTTGAAACCGACCATCCGCCACGATCCCCCCTGCTGCACCTCCGCTGCTGTTGCTGCTGCCCTGCTGTTGGCCGGACGGCGTCGCACTGCCTCCAGCGCTCCTCATCACCGTACCCGTCTGCTGCTCCGCGTACGCGGGCTCGCGGATATCCAGCACGGGATTCGACGACACGTCGTGCCGGCCCTCCTGCAAGCTGGCGTGCGCGCTGGCCAGGCGGTCGGCGAAGCGGGACGCCAGGTTGCCGGAGGTGTCACGGGTGCCGGTGTAGTGTTCGCCGCTCCAGCGGGTGGAGATGGCGCGGAGGAGGTGGACGGCGTTGGAGACTTCGTCGGAGAAGAGTTGGGTGTAGTGGGCGGAGTGGGCTTTTGGTTTGTCAGTCACGGGGGTTGGGGAGCGGGGGGAGCGGAGGGGTGGGGGAGGAGGGGGGATGCAGGCAGCGGGACAGTACCGAGGAGGACGCGGCCGGCGATGAAGAGGCAGAAGGAGAATTGGGGATTGGTGATGCCGTCGGTTGCGCGCAGGAATTCCTTGGCGATCATGACGATTTCTTTGGCGGCGGTGAGGCAGGTGCCGGCGGAGGTGGAGGAAGGGAGGATGGCGGAGTAACGGTTCCATTGTTTGGCCGGGTAAGCGATGCTTTGGTGGAGCTGGATCACGGCGGCGTTGTGCGTGATGTGGGCGAGGGTGAGGTTTGGGTCCATGTTGCCGTCGTCGTTTAGAGCGCAGGCGGTTCGCCATTTCGGTGGGAGGAATAGTCTCCATCTGCACGTTGTCAGCCTCAACCCATAGTAGATGTGGCGTCTGCCTACCTGACGAGCCTCAGGTCCAGCTCCTTGAACCGCATCAGCCAGATCTGAATGCTCTGCGGATCTTTGAAATTGATGCCGTGCTGGAGGAAGAACTTGGTGACGAGGTTGAGGCTCTCGGTAGCTTCGATACAGAAAGCAAAGCCACCAATCGAATCGACTTCTTCTTCATTTGCAGGGAGTCGTTCGCTCGTTGGGGTCGGCTGTTGCTGAGACGGAGCCATGTTCTCGCCTATGCCGAAGAAGGGCGTAGTGGTCGGTGTTCCAGCCTCCCAGATTTTACCCTCGCAGGGGAGACGCCGCCGTACGTCATTCCTGGTCAGACTGTTGTTCCAGCTGTTCTACGGTCAGATGGGCGTCTCATGGGCGGAGGGCACTTACCCTGTTCCAATACTGCAGAAGCGGTCCATCAGGAACGCGTTCCAAAAGATGCGTCTACGTTCTTCGGATTCAATCCAGGTATTTGCGCTACTGAGGAAGCTCATTCGGTGAAACAGATACTCGGTGTTTTCTCTCGATGAATCATCGTCATTGTCTTCCACGCTTAATTGGAGTTGTTCAACGGATCTTGTCAATGAATTCACCAGACTCCACGCCATTGGCCCCCGACCACCGCCGATCTGCTCAAAGCATCAGCGGTTGAAAATGAAGAAGCTCGGATAGAAGGGAAAGCTCCATGGTTAGTCAATATGCATTTACTCACTATATCGAATGCAACAATCACCAGAGCTTGCAAGTTTTGGACAGTGGCAACTTCCATGCTTTGAAGGATGACTGTATGCCGGCATTTCGTAGATAGATCCTTGAGGTCTGAGCGTCTCGTGAAATAAGAGTCCGTACTGAATCGAGCGCAAACACTGACAATTGCATGGTATATGCTTGCAAGTTTCGGCTGCTTGCTGGGATCCGCCATCTGTTCTCGGAAGGATCTCACGTGAAGCACAGGTATCCATGGGTGAATTCGTGAGGCATAGAGCTCAAAGAGACGTTTCAGGACGTCGCCTGGAGGCAGAAGCGGATCAGATGTTGGGAGACGTGTTTCCAATCTCTCTGGCCCGCTAATATCATGCGTCATCCGGGGCCTTTTCGCGGGGATTTCAGCAGTGACATCGGAAGCGGACCAATGAATGTTGTCAGACTGGGATCCATTGGCAGTGGCGATGAGCTTCCTCTTCAGTTCCTGGCTTTGGGCAGAAAGGGTGGGGCTATCATGGGCTTGCTCCACATTTTCAAAAGGCGGTTCATTATTGAATGCTTTCTCCAAGAACGGCTTCAAAAGAATGGACTGGCCAAGGAGCATCTGCTCAAGAGTGGCTTGTGCACATTAGTCATGTCTTGGTGTGGGACGTCAAGCACTGACAAACGCGTTGACTGAGGGATTCAATTGCGCCGGTCCGGAGACCAGGCCGCAGTCTGGATTCTTCATAGACGCATTCCAGTCCTGCAGCAAATTTATTAGCAAGGACATGATTGGGGCGATTGAGGAACAGACCCAGGCTGTCGCATTGAGAGCAAGGCTGCTGGCGGGTGCATTTCGCTTTGCGTTTCCTACAGCTTTGGCAGCTTGATCGTCATACTGCAAGTCAGCTATCGTATCGCGAAATATTATTCGTCGAACATACGCAGGGCCCGGTTCCTTTCCCTCCGACGTGTTTTCCTCGTCTTGCACTGGCCATGAACGTTTGTCGGCACCGGCCCGGGACTTTGCGGCGTCAGAAGTGGGGTTGGGCATCTCGACTCCAATTCGATGGATGCGCAGCGCGATAAAGCAAAAGAACTAAGGCGGCATTTGGCATTCGAGCGGGTGATTCGAGAGCGGACAGTCGATATCACTTTGGAGCCGCAAATGCAAGTTTCTTTCTCACGCCGCCCACCGGGGAAGCAGTGCGTGGCATTTGCGGGGGACCCCGCATCCTAGGTGGTGGCCAGTGCGAGCAATCACGCAAAACAAACATCAGGAACGCCTTCGATCCCGTTTCAGCTTGTCGCTCAGTCCAACAAGGAATCGCTCTGCAAGATGAGGATCATTCTTTCCTCAGTCCGAAGTTCGCAGTGGCGGGGCCCGGGCGAGGTCCCGGAGGAGCTCCGAGTAGAAGTTGTGCCACCAATCGCGCGGCGTGCTCGACTAAAGCGGTAGCTTCCACCGACAAACTCCTGCGACGAAGGAGAAAAGCGGCAACGATCATCTCAAAATATACTGGCGGAACTTTCCGGTCACGTCTTTCTCAACGTTTCGCGATATTATCAAGGACTTAATTTCATCTATTAAGCTTTGCGTTGAGGCAAGGATCGACCAGTGCACAGCAAAATACGTTCCAATTATAGACATTTGCCGAACTACAGTACGAACTTCTGAAAAAACAAAAGCACACTGCGGATCCCGCCTCCTCATGCCCAGATAAGATCACCCCAGCTTGGATGATCGCCTCCCGTGGCATGTCCCTCGAAATAGCCATCAGATGATCTCGCCTGAGAAGTCCACGGGCCATCCAATCCCCTGCGTTTGACGTACTCATAGTACAGCGAATTCCAAACTGGCAGAGCGCTCCTTACTCCGAATGAATCTGTCGAGATATTGGCCCAAGGCCCATCAACCAAGACTGCTTCGCATCGGTACCATTTCGGGTCGTATGGAACCGTCTGGTTGAGATTGAACGCTGCCGCGTACTCTGATGCTTTCAGGAGCAAGTTGTCTCCCAGGGAATAGAGATCACTGCCCTGCGACTGCGCAACGCGGGCCCCCATAGCCGACCAAGCGATTCCTGACTGCGTGTGTCCTGTTCATCCTCAGCTCACGGATCAAAAAAAAAAAAAGCGGCAAGACGAGATTCCGCGCACTTACCCTGATCCCTCCCCGCCTCCACCGACTGCCCCGTCTCTGGCTCATACATCGCGCGCACCCCCGCACACGGATTATTCACATACTCATTAACCGCATAATTCCACAACACCACATCATCCAGAAACACCGCAAAGCTCATCAACGCCTTAATACTCACCATCCCGTAATTCGCCTGCCCCACCCCCACACTCTGCCGACTAAACAACCAATACAGCTGCACGCTGAACCCCGTGCCCCCCCTCCACCCCGCCCCGGCCTCCTTCCACCCCCCCTCCCACCGCATGATCTCCGCCGCATTGACGAAAAAATCCCCTTCCAACCCGACCAGCAGCGAGCGGTCTGTCCCGACGATGGCGCTCAGATTCGTCCCCCACGCGTCCAGGATGCGCGTGCTGGCATCCCAGTGCGCGTCGGCCCGCGTGATGTACCACATCAGCGCGTTCTGCCACGCCGCGCGCGCGTCGGCGGTGAAGGCGGTGTAGTTGCTCGTCGCGCCGCGCGAGAGCACGGCGTGCGGCCCGCGCATCGTGTAGTTGGCGAGGGAGAAGCTGTCGGCGCTGAAGGCGGCGTAGGTGCTGGCCCATGGCTCGTTGCCCGCGCTGATGTTGGTGCGGATGGCTTCGAGGTCCGCGTGCGTGTGCCAGATGCCCGGGTGGACGAAGTCGCTGGGGCGGGATTTGAGGTAGGGTGCGAGCGGGAGGGCGGAGGGGTTGAGGGGGTAAACGGGGCCGAAGGCGGTGGGGATGTCGGCGATGAGGGTGAGGGCGCGGGGGAGGAGGGCGAGGAGGGGCCAGTGGAGGGGTCGCATGGTGCCGATGAGATGGGTTGGGGAGAATAGGATTAGAGAAAGGTAGCAAAGCTGAATGCGATGTACTGCTTGGTATCGGTGCGCTAATGGCCAGGTTTATTTAGGGTGGTCATTGGTTAAGTAGCACCAGCAATACATTGCTCGATGCCCCTCCCCGCTATACTCCGGAACATATCCGGGGCATACATTTCAATATGCGAGTCATTACGCGTCCGAGTGAGATCGATATTGTGTTGTTTTCCCTTCCAATGGGAACCGCTTCCGACACCTTCTCCGCATTCCGGGTCGCCTATTAGCACCATTTTGGATGAGGGTCCATCGACGTTTCGACGATCAAGGGTTTCAGTAACGGCTAAACATAAACGCAAGGCCACTGATGACATCATTGAATGCAGGGTCACTGATGGCGAACAGAAGGCTTCATTGAACATAGTAATGCTCATTGCATTTGCACAGCACGGTACGGTAGGTCTCGTTCAAGAATTATCAAATGAGCATCTAGCTCAAGAATTGCATCAATTGGATCTCAGCAGTATGGTAGCTCTGGATTTGAGCAGCTCCCGGCAATAAAGGTTTGAGCAATCTTTGGGAGGTCCTTCTCAAATATTTGTGCAGAAGGGTCAAGAATACGATCGATGATATGAACCACTCCCTGCGTAGTTTGTCTTAGCATACTACGTCTTTTCGACGGTGGGATAACTTGCATTTGTCACCGGTATATCCGCTTCAATCACCCGGGCAACACCATTCAGAGTCAGGGTGCCGTCCAAAAGTTGGGTGCTCACATACAGGTAGCTTCCCGTCTACGAAGACGCTTTAGTACGATGAACTTAGGAATCTTGAGTTTAGCCAATGCTCACCTGGAGTCGGCTCAGTGTACTGTTGAAATCGTCTTGCGTCAAGGCTGTGTTTGGAATGTAATGATGGTTGATGACATTGCCAATCCACCATATTCCTTTCCTGCAAGATAAAGTGAGATCAAAGAACTTTCACAAGGATATCTTCAATCTTACGGTGTTTTCGAGTATGTCTCAAAATATGCACCTGTGTTGTTGAATGCCTCATCGCTCGGAGCAAAAAAGGTGAACTTCCAGGACGGGTACGTGTCGAATGCCTTGGAGAATCCTTGTTAAATTTTGTCAGTAAGAAATTGAGTTGCAAAGAAGAACAGCGTGTATTTTCCTGTGAGGAAATACCTACCAGCAGGCTGTTCAATCACTTCGGCGAGCTTGCTCAAGTCGGAACGAGAGCGTACAACATCCAGAAGGGTAACGGTGTCATCCGATTTCGGCGCCGAATAGATACCGTCGGGCTCAGGAACGTAGCTCAACGGGGCTCTCGTGAAGCACACTGATGCGAATAAGAGCAAGGGGAAGAGGATAGTTCTCAGGAAGCCGGGCATGGTGAGCAGTATCGTGACGGGGCGAGGTTTGACGTTCTCCAAGAAGAAATTCGAAGATTGAGCTTCAATACTATTGCTTATTGAAGCCAAAGAGAAATCCCATGTTCCTCACGTTGAGCCAGTTGAAGCGGGGAAGCCTCAATATGCTCGGCTCCGTCCTCGGAATAAGTCCCGGAGCTTGGCCCGCTTCGCTTCTTTGCCCCGCTCTCATCTTCGTTCCGAGGGGAATCGGAGGCAATCAAAAATTTTAGTTGAATGGCCTTAGTTAAAGCTACGAAAAAATCACAAGCGGCTACATTCGTGCAATTGGCCTCTGGAAATTTGCAAAACTTTGGCGCCCCACATTTGCCGGACCAAAGATGACACACAGATCAATGCTTCTTTTCTTATGCATGTGCATATGCCTGATCCCAATGGCCATGGGCATATCGGCCGATACACCACAAATGGGTTGGAACAGGTGAGACTTCCGACGAATGAACACAGCAAAAGGGTCATCTGACACGGCAACCCTCTACAGCTGGAACACATTCAAGGACACCTTCAACCAGAGCATGATCGAAGAAACCGCAGATCTCCTGGTGTCTACCGGGCTGCGCGATGCCGGCTACACCATCCTGACCCTGGATGACGGGTGGCAAGCCACAGAACGAGCAGCCGACGGCCGGCAACAGGCCAACCTTACCAAACTCCCGGGCGGAATCAAGGGCATCGCCGACTACCTCCACGCTCGGGATCTACAGCTTGGCATCTACAGCGATGCCGGTATCCATGACTGCGGATTCGCCCCGGGGTCGTGGGGCTACGAGGAGCTCGACGCTGCTACGTACGCCGGGTGGGAGGTCGACTATCTCAAGTACGACAACTGTGGCGGCTTTGCTGCAAATGTCGAGAGTCCGCAGGTGCGGTTTGGCATCATGCGTGACGCGTTGCGGAACAGTGGGAGGGAGATCTTCTATTCTTTGTGTCAGTGGGGCCATCAGTTTCCGTGGTTTTGGGCAGACCGTAAGTAATTGCCGCTCCAGTGAAACCCACATTGCTGACATGAAACCACCAGAGATTGGTCAGTCGTACCGCATGTCTGGCGATATCACCGCCACGTTCAGTGATACTGGGAAAGACTGCGCCGTGAGGATACCATCCATGTCTGGTTATGAATAGATTACTAATTGCTTCCCTTCGCAGTGCAAGACAGCATACTGTTTGAATACCGGTTATGCTGGATGTAGCGTGTTGACCATCATACGAAAGATGCGAGAGATCTCCGCATTTCAGAAGCCCGGTAGCTGGGCTGACATGGACATGCTCGAGATCGGCAACGGGAACATGACTCTGCACGAGCAGCAGACTCACCAAAGCTTTTGGGCTGCCCTGAAATCACCACTGATCATCGGAGCGGATCTGCGAGCACTATCCAATGAGAGTCTGGGCGTCCTTAAGAATCCTGAGATCATTGCCATCTCCCAGGACAGTGTCGGCAAAGCCGTGACCTATCTGGAAGCTTTGAGCAAGGAAAAAGAACTACAGGTCTGGGCTGGCCCGCTGAGTGGCAACAGGACGGTAATTCTGGCGTTCAATGAAGCGAACACAACCACTACGGTCAATATCCCGCTCGATCAAATTCCTAACATTGGCGGAGAGCAAGCCTTTAGTGTAAGGGACGTATGGGCCGCTCGTGATATTCTGAAGGTGCAAGGAAATATAACGGCAGAGTTGAAGACTCATCAAACAAGTGTTCTCATTTTGCAACTCAATTGATTCAATGGAAGGAGGCATTTATGTAGCCTAGAAAGGGCGAGTAGGATGTTACGAATGGAAGAATTCCGAGAAATTTGAGTTGAGTCATACCGAAAGATAATTATGTTACATGCTTTAACTTTGATGTTTTACCATCAATCCTGTAGACAGTAACTTCCAATGGGCTTCTGCCATTTTCTACCTCAAATTGCCCTAATAATGTTTGCATTATAGGGTGTTAAAAAAAAGTAAAAGATAGAAAGACTATTGAGCGTCATCATGTCTTCTAATATTCAAAAGGGAAATAGAATTCTCCTGATCATCAATTTGCAGGTGACTTTCGCCAGGCCGTTCGATGTCAATCCCAAACCTCTCGCGAGCGGTTCCCACGTCCCACCACCCAAGCCTAAAGTGGGACTCTTTCAAAACCCCATCTTGAAGCCGCTTCTCCCCATCAGGCATGGACAATTCCTGCGAGATAGTCTGCAGAAAGTCACTGTCGGCAAAGAGACTCATCGCCGAGGCAATGCTGGCCGGGTTCTTTGGCAGAATTCGCGTCGAACGCTCCAGAAAGAAGGAGACGCCGGCGCAGATCGCCATGAAAAGAAGAATACCTTCAAGGAGGCGCGTGGAGACGGCATTCTGAACAAGACGCAGCTCGCTGTTATCGGTAACCGTGGCGTTGAAGGAGCTCCCTGCAGAAGTGGTACTTGCGGGAATACGAAAGTATTCGTTGAGATTCTGAGCCACGATCTGGCGGTAAGTCCGCTCTGCCTTCTCCAGCACCCGCGGGACATTTTCTTCGCCGACTAGCTCCTCGATCGGTGTGCCCTCGAAGCCCCATACAACTGCTTGAAAGAAGGAATCTTCGTATCCGAGCACGTTGAATGGCTTGATGGATGGGCTTGTTGAAGTTGAATCATTGCCTAAAAACCTAGCTGTCGATTCATCAGGCTGTGGTGGGTTCCACTTGTCGATCTCGTAGCTCGGCATTTTGAAGGTCGTGTCGACAAGCACGTACTCCATGAATGGTTGACAAGACAGTATCGTTACGTTACGGTAGTCATAACTATAACCTGTCATATCAGGCTGACTGCCAAGGTACCACCACCGATACGACGCTGGACAGCGGTTCTTAGGTGATTCTGAAGTTTCAACTGCATTCGTTGCGAAGTAGCCTTGGATCTTAAAGATGGTGGCTTGAGAATTGAATGTAGGTTTGACCTTAAGTTGAGCACGAGTGCCGTTGGATAATGTTGGTGAGCATCCCAGAGGCGGATCGAGTGCGGTAACATAGTCGGCGTGGAATTGCGCGGAACAGTTCATCTGAGCACGCACTGCTGGTATCCGAGCTGACAGAGATACGTTCCTCACGATTAGGTCATCGTTCTGTAAGCGAGCAAATGCTAGTCCATCGTAGGTCCACTGCGGGAAGGACAGATTGTAGTACTGGACCGAGCCGGCATTCCATCCACCTAGGTATTCTATTCTCTCTCTGTCAGCCATGGAGATGATAGTGATGTTGAACCAATCAATGCTGCTAAGCGTGGTTTGTTCGGTCCGTGGAATGTACCGCGTTGTGTATAATCCACTTGCACAGATGGTCAACATGGAAGATGTTAAAGCCGCTGCAAGAATTAAGCCCAGTGAGAACTGCCGGTTGACCAGAGCTTTGGCTGCTGCGTGCACAACAAGTTTCTCTGCTGGATCTTCCGTCAACACCTGAACTCTGCAACCACCCCGTCGTAGCGCTTGGAAAGGGTGGAGGGCCAAGGCGGCAGAGCTGAGCGTTGTGAACGCAACAGCCACTAAAGTCATGATTCCCGTCGGACCGTAAATCCAGGCATACCTTATGCGGTCGCTGTCATCGACAGTTGCAAGTCCTTTCCTTTCCTCCGATACTTGAAAGATGACTTCCAGAAGGATGACAATAATGAACAACACAATTAAAAGAGTTGTGCGAAACACCAATAGTGATGCTGTTGGCTGCCACCATTTGCTGTTTTTATCTGTCTTGGTGTCCGATGAAGACGGGTGTGACTTCACCGAGATGTGGGAGTATGGTTCATTGAGCCTCTTTTCAACGGTAAATGTAAAATCAGCCAGGCGTCCCTGTAGTTCTCTCATAAAGAATGAGCCAGTGCCTTGGAGCAATTGTTTCAGGTGCTGGCTTTGTGAGAGAACAACGGCTTTTGTCATCAACAGGCCCGAATCCCGCTTCGTCGCTCCGGTAGGCCATCGAATCGAAGTCAGAATGCAGGCAACGGCAAGCAATCCGAATAACGCCTCCATCAAGCGAAGAGGAAGGTCGACAACAAAAAGCCTGTCTCTAGTGCGAAGCGCGGTTCCTGAGACATTCTTTGATGTAGGTGATAGATGAGCAAGGTTCATCCACTGTGACACCGCAGTGGGGAAGACTTTCCGGGATGCGTCAGAAAGGAGATCGACATCTCGAAAGTCCGCAATTTCCTTCTGTGGAAGTGTTTGATTCAACAGAGAGAACCAGGGTGAAAGTGTCCTTGCATTTTTGGGAATCACCCATCCATAAAAAAAATTCCAGGCCAATTCATTGTTCAAATCAGCCACGCTCATGCTGATCGGCAAGGTTTGCTTGGTCTCGTTTGAGATGACGAGTGAAGCATCCGGGTAAATACTCGGGGCTGGACTTGTGACTCTTCGCCTTTCCAAGGAATAGATTGGATCGCAGATGATCCCCGAGAAGCTTTCTGGATTCCCGTCCTCAAATCCGGCGGGGGAAATTGAGATGAGTATTCTCGAGGGATTTTGGTCACCAGTGAAGTTCCAACATTCTACCTTCTCGATCTCCGAGCCTGGCCGTAGTCCTTGCTCGTAGTTGATCCAGTGGAAAGTGAAGTTCTTGACGAGACAACTGTCGGTCCAGACGTCAAGCCATATCTCTGGATTGAGTTCGCTGGAATTGTACGGGCGGTCTGGATCAGAATATCTCCATTGGAATGGCTCACAGCTCTGGAGTTCGGCACTGAAAACATCCATGTCGGCATAAACCGTTTGATCCAGTACTTTAATCGTAAGCATTTGACCTTAGCAGGAGGAGAGAAAGCTCACCTTGTGCTGGGTGACTAAAAGTCTGTGCAGTGGCCGTCGAGCTGGTACCGATGGGGTAAGAGAGGTTGTGATCTTTGATGGTCCAAACAATCGATGCTGGGTCCAATGGCCCTTTCCCATCATACAACATCTCAATTGCAGTAAAGTTGAACTCGTTCCGCAGCGCCAAACTGATCTGCGTTGGATATGTCCAGTTCCGAAGGCTCAGTAACCCAGTAGATGCGATGATCAAAGCACGAAGCACCAATGTTCCGAGAATTCCAGTCGCGACAGGAATATGCACCGCCCGCAATGCGTCTACCAGGGCTTTTGGTAGAGGCGACGAGACATAGTCCAGAAGAAGACCCTTTTGGGCCGGCATTTCGGGATTGCTCATTGCAGCCCACGGCATCATTTGTTTTGCTCGGTATTCAAACTGGCTCCAGAACGCAGCGATGATTGTAAGAACTAATGTGCATCAGCTTTGAGATCGTAGAACAGTCTAACCGCGTATGAACACGTACCAAGGGATGGTGCATATGTCCAAAGGTAGTGATAGTCCCGAGAAGCGTCTGCAAGTCCGTGTTGACGGTTGGAGACATAACGCAAAATCTCCAGTGTAGCGATGAGAGTTAAGAAGAGGGCGGCGTATGCTGGGAGATAAAAGTATCGGTAGTACTTGGCAACTCGTTCTTCCTCTGTCCCTGCCCCGTTTGTGCCCCGAAAATATCCCTTGGAACCTCTGTAGACGCTCAAAGTTGACTTGCCTTCGTTACTTCCCGTTTGAGAATCGAATGAGTATGAAGAAATCCCAAGAGGTTCCAAGATATCGTTCACATGGTTGAGGTTATGTAAATCGCTATCTCTCGAGTGACGTCCTCGGTCTCCGCTGTCGACGATGCCGCTGCTCGCGTAACCTTCATTGCTAGCGGTAGCTGCATCCAGATGGTTGTCGATGTTCACGTGCATTCTGAATATAAAAGAGCTGTCTGTGTGGCAACATCCCAAGGCGTGAGGGCTGGCTTGTCTTTTAACTGCTGCCATGATAAACGAGCGCTTATCTCGCTGATCCTAATTGGCGAACACCAGTACCTACAGGCTCCCCTGCTGCGCTGATTAAATTTTCTGCTTCAGCCTTGCAGCCCCCACCCGCCTGTCCACACCTTCGCTTCGACGACGCTTACTGAAATCAATACTAGGCACCACTGCTGGGCGGGTGGACACGGAGCACACATGTTTTATGGCTTGACCAGCCGGAAACATTTGTAATCGCTTTCGCCATCAGGGCTGCGTTGGCTACATGAAAGTTACCGCACCTGTTACACTAGAGTATCGATTACTACGGACTGTCCACTAACAAGCATCAGTTCACTTGTAAGGTGACTCCAGTGACATGCAGCCCGTTACCTCTACCTATCTACGCTATGTGCATACGATCGGAGAAACACGGCTTTTTATAAGAATAAGCTACAGCGTGGGTACTTGTTTCCGAGTTAGCCGCACAATTTATTATGGCATTTCATCCTACCTACTATGCCTATCTGTAAGTCAACTGGAACATGTATCGCCGGCTACGGCTTGCACACTTTTTCCCCCTTCTCGTTTTGCTTTACAGGGGTGCCACTGTGGATTTTTACTTCGAATCCCCCTCGGAAATGAAAATGAAACCTCTTACGGACTCCACTTCGTAGTCAAACAAGGCTGATGCGTGTGCTACCACAAGAAACAAATGGTAAAGATTTTTGGCTATGGCGCAATGACTCCAAATGAACCTCAGCGCATTATTAGCCGCCGCCAAGATTGTGGGGGCCAAAGCCTCGAGAACATATAAGCCACATTCGAGTAGGCTGTGATCATGCATCGGCAAGCGCCTATGCGTGGTCGCAAGGCTGACGCGGTCTGGGCATTGAATCGGCTGATTTGTGCATTAGGTCTATCATTGTAGAGAACATCTTGCAAGCACGGAAATGACTTGCACGATGCTCTTGCGTTGATAACAGGAGACAGAAATACCCCGCACATAATCAGTAGAGGGTGTCAGTTTTCCCAAAGAAGTCCTGGAATATCAAAAGGAAATTAGTCGATGTCAGTGACCTGGCGCCTATATCAGCCGCTCATTTTTTGCTATTATGATTCCCTCCGCAATAGTCAATGAACTATGTTCCTATGCTCGTTCTCCTGCACTTTCTTGTGCCGCTCCTGTAAGTTGCACTGTGGGAAAGAACATGGTGGTTCTGAGAGCTTGTTCAGTCATTGCATCAACCCCCACCTTACCAGCTATTCAGCGAAGCCGTCGAAACTTGGCTCGTAATACGACGTAGGAAGATGGGCGTGGTTCGCGTTGCAGTACTTCCCCCTAAGTCAGGGCTCCCAGTCAAGTAATTCAGCTTGACAGTTTGAAACAGTTTCGCAGTTCAAATCACCGCACATTTCGAACTGCCAAATAATAAAATTGCAAGTAATTCAAACCAGTTCTTTAAGATATACGTAAAGTATAAGCGATAGAAGAGTATCGCGTATTAATCTCTTCTTAAATCTATCGTCAGCTTGCTTTATTAAAGACTTTTATAAAATAGCCAATAAGAGGGTCTAAAAGAGTCTCGTATCGTAGATATGTATAATATTAAGCGTGGTGGAGAGGTCTTACTAGGATATGCGTTACCATATACGCCACCCGAAGATTTACCTATCTACTTATAACCTCTATTATACCCCTGTTAGTCACGTGCTAGTTTACCTAGGTAAACTAGTATCAAATCAGTTCGAAGCTCAGATTGTTCAAATTGAGAAGAAAAATAACTTGAACTGTTTGAACTGAATTACTAGGAGCCCTGCCCTAAGTTCCCTCGAAACTCCCGCTTTACCCAAACTCGACCTGCTCGCTACACTATTACTACACGACTTAGACTGAAAAATTAGCAAACTGAGAAACACTTTAGATTCAATCTATCTGCTAAAACAACTGAACGCAAGAACTATATTCTAAGAGTTCTTAACGCCATTTTCTACGCCCGTTTACCCCAAATGCCCAATTTCAACCCCCCATTTTTATGTTGACCGATCCCAATAAGCTTCTTCTGATTAAGCCCCCGCCTAAACCGATAGAACGAGAGCCCCCGCACAATCTCTACTAAACCCTGTAACGAGTGACGAGTATAGGGAGAATTCTATTCATGCCATAGTATTGGGCCTACAACCCACGAAGGGCCTTATAACGCTTAATGTTCGATATCTCCCCCTTCGTGAAATAATTAAACAAGAAGCTCGTGATTAATTCTTAGTGTTAAGAGTAAAAGCAAGGACAGACGTTAATGACAGTGGTAATTGATAAACGCTTAAATGTCTGGCAATTTGGCAAGATTCAGGTTGTGTAGGAAAAGCTGTTGCTTCTGTTTGGATAAAGCGTTCGTTGGCTCATTAGCGAGCGTTTCAGCATATGGTGAATATTGAAGTTTGATTACTCTGTTTTGAACTTCTTGGAGAAGCCAGTGATTGTTGATATCGACATGTCGAAGTTTATTAACAAGGATTTTGCTGCGCAGGATGTCCCTCCGCAGTAGGGAAGCTCTGCAGCCGTCAAACCACAGCGTTTCTCATATGAGTTCCACAATCGGCGCTCCTGCTCCTGATTGGAAGGGACCAAACCACGGTGGTAGAGGATCCTTGCATTCGACATCGCCTCTTCGAGTTTGTTGCATGAAAGATATCCAGTACGCAATTCTTCTGAACCTCCCCCCTCCTGCATCTGCGAGCAACAGCCCTTTCGCGCCCGGATCACCATCCACTTCAAAGCGTCTTACGATAATGGCGCTTATCTGGTCCAGGGGAGGCTGCTCCGAGCTATCAAAGAAGATTGAGATGTCGCCCATGAAGTACAGGAGCGAGCCATCTGCTTCCATGTTCGCGTCGAATGCCAGTAATTCTCCGTTCGAGCGGCCGGTGTCCAGTATTACCTCTTCGGTAGTCAACTCCCCTTTGTCGCTCTGCTTCAATATAGTTCCAACAATTGACACACTGTCCTGATTTGCCGCAATTCGGCTGCGCAAGAGGTTGGTAGGCATGTACAAGCTCAGATAGATCGCTGACCCGACGTCTGGAAATACTACCCACGGCGCCGGCACTGTGATGGCGCGCAACTGCAAATGCGCGGCATCAAGATGACCGTACGGTAGCTTCACATCTCTGAGGGCAATGTGGCATCTCACGACCTCACAAACACAGTTTGCGTCACCAAGCTCCTTCCAGTCGGCATCACTGGGCAGCACGTTCCCGTCAGTAGATGCCCAAGACCAGGATGGGGCAAAAGAGCGATCCAGCCTCGGCCGCAATATATCCTCGGCTGGCAATGCATCCGGCAGGGTTGAGCGAGACCACAGCAGGTCATCCGGCAGGCGCTCCTCCCACAACCCTGCAAGATACTTCCCCGCTCGCTTCCGCCAGATACGATCGAACTGCTCCGCGACACTTGCGAACGCGAGTAGTTTGTCTTCCTGGTTCGTCAGGGAGCGCCGCGTATAGTTTGACACGACCACGCTCCATAGTTCGTGTAGGCTTTCCCAATTAATTGGTGCCCACGTCGATAGGCGAGTTGTGATATCGACCCCGCTTGTCGTTTCGTACATGATGTCATGTAGCTGCTCGCCGATTGGCTTCCCGCTGATGGCGCCCCCAATGTCGGCCTGAGCTGTCTGGCAGTGGTACTGCACTGTGTCGCTGGCATACACTAGCTTCCGCGGAGAGAGGAGCCGCTCCTGGAAGCACCACGCGCGGCTGTTCACCGGTTCCCTCAACGCGTCATAGAGAAACGCGGGACCGTCTTGCGTGTAGACGAAAATGCTGCCAACGCGGCTGTCGCGGCAGTGGAACGGGAGGCGCAGGTGCTCTGCATACTCTGGTGCTGGTGCGCGGGTCTCAAGAAAGCCTGCGCTTGCCTTTGTCGCGCTGGACGCGATGATGGTCAGGTAGGCATCTCGGTAGATGTTCCCCATTTGCGCCAGCTCGTTGGCTTTGTCTTCATCTGAGTCTTGTATGATGCACAGGGCGTCTATCCACAAATAGCGGAGGCGGAGACGGTGTGTTACTTGAATTGCATCGCGGATCGTTCGCCCAAGAACGCGGATGTCGATTCCATGAGTGGAATAGCTGCTCACGTTGCTTTTTGTGGTGCAGTACGGCTGCGCTTCGCCCCAAACGTAGCTGAGTGCGACGTATGGGGACCTAGTCCCTCTGCTGACAAATAGCTTAGGATGCGCAGGATCTTTGCAGTCAATGACACGTGTCGGGAGGCTTTGATCCAGAGCCGGGCTCATACATGCGGAGTGGTTCTTGATGCAGTTGATGAGTGATGTCGAAACCAGTTCGAAAGCCCGTGGGGAGCCCACTTCAAGCAAGGGCGTTCTTGCCACAATCTCTGTAGCCGACGGATCATCTGGAGACTTTGCGTCAGATGCGAATGAATGGGTTATAGTCCACATATTCACTGACCCGCTGCGGCGTAAAGGTAGTAACTCCTTCCGGACCCTCCCACCGGATCAATATGCAAGGATTGCACCCCCTCTGGATTAATGTAGCGGAATCCGGCGTTATGGCTTTCCGTGCGTATCATTAGGCGAAATGCGACGTCGTTGGGTCGAGGGCCGTCGCCTTCAGCAGCGAAGCGAGTCTGGTCGGCCATGTACAAGAGATGGCAGAACGCGCACCCACTCTCCATAGCCAGCTTGATCTTCTCCCGTGTCATGTGACAGATTATTTTGCCACCCTCCAAGAGCCTTCTGAAAGGTTGTGGTGCAAGTGGCCCGTTGCTACAATCATCACAGACATCTACGCCCATTTTGCCTATTAGTGTGAACTTTGTTCTTGCGGATGTAGTACTAAGAATGTCTGAGCTTGCGAGTCCTCTTTAATGCTGCAGGCTGTCCTGACAGAGCCTAGGAAGTGTGAGAGGAATGACTGATGAGAATGTCGGGCCCACTGCAGAAAGATCGTGACCAACACGATGACTCAGCGACAACACTGCGATCGGGGGATGAAGACCTGATCACCAACTCTGAGGCCGCGAAATCCTGCTGCGCGAATCCACGTCGCCACGGCTGGTAAAATTTATCAGAGGAGCATCTCTAGCGGGTAGCGAAGTGCAGGGGTGATTGATACGAACCTTAGAGGACGCGGTTGGGATTATCGCCTAGAAGCTAAAGGCGAAGTTGGCCTTACGATAGTTAAGCGCTTACATCACGTGCGCCCTATAAGTAAAGAGCTTAACCCGGAAAAAAAGATAGTCTAAGCCCGAAGAGGATTTTATGTGAGGACGGAGGCACGAATAGGGCGTTTGAAGATGGCACGAGATGGTTGATTGGCTATTGACAGATGAATCATTAAGGAATTCAAGGTGGCCGCCAAGTGCGGAAGGGTTTTGCGTGATGCGACCGTGCTGTGTGGAAACTCCGCATGGCAGACTTATGCAGCCCCCAAAATTACCCCATGTAACGTTGACAGGCTATCTACAAAGGGATGGCTGCTACAATCGCTCAAATTGGCGACTTGAAGAGCCGCGAATGACTCTGATTGGCGGGGAACCGCTTCACCTTTCCAAGGTGCTCTGAAAGGCTTGACCGCTCACACCACTCCGCGAGGCTGAAAGTCTTGGCGAAAAGCCAATTGGCTGAATGCCCTTGCGTAACCAACGCTCGTGCACCAAATTATTGGTAGGCAACCACTTTGCAGATCAGCTGAGCCTCAGCGCGCAACAGAGGCGCCCTCAGATATAGGTTGCCGGTTCCACCTTGGCCCGTATCTCTGGTCTGTCAGTATCAATTTTCGCCCCCAAAATGCGCAGCAACGTTGCACATTTCGCGCCGCACAATAAAATTCGGGAGCCTGCTGCCTAAATTGTGATACGTGACAAGATGAAAATAGCACCTTTCAAGCATGAGTGGCGCATTTTAAGTAGTGTCGGGTCGTACTCCAGGCTCAAGTCTATGAGTACCTCATCATGGACTCACGTGCATCATTCGAACGGCTATCCACAGACCAGAGCGGTTTTCTACTCCATGAATACCCACCATTCCGACCAGAGTCAGAGCTTTCGGATGGCGAGAGACCAGAAGTAGCTGACGAAGGCCAAGACTATGTCCGCGTCCCATCTCCGGCAGCCTCCAGTACTCACTCAAGATGGTCGGCCATGTTTGAAGGGCTATCTGCAAGCCACACGACCACTCTAGCCTTGCAGACTCGCCCAGGCTCGGAGCAGTCAAACGAAATCGAGCAACATCCAAATGGAGAAAACTATGTTGACCCCTCTCAACAAAGCCTGCTTCCTGACTCAGATGCCACACTTTCGGCTGACCAACGAGAGAGTGAAAGCGCTTCTGGTGACGGTAAGCAACCAGGGTGATGCCTAATATATCTCCGTATACTAAATGGTTTTGTTTGCAGCGGAAAAGGGATTTCCAGACCCGGTCACATGGCATCCCTACGCCCTCAAGCCAGGGCTCCTTTGTCTCGTGAGCACATTAGCGTTGGTCTTGTGTTTGACCGTCACTTTGCTCTCCTGGATATCTGGTCGAAACTACGGCCTAGGGAACGATGACGGCGCTTCAGCAATTCTTTTCGGATGGAGGTTTACTCCATCTCTGGTTGCCGTCCTGTACGTTCAGTTGACATCCATGGTACTGGACGCTGTCAAGAGCACGGAGCCATTCAGCCGTTTAGCAGGGCCTGGTGGCTCGTCGGCCTCATCCTCCGTCTTGCAACGGCCTGGAGCCTGGTGGAATGCCCTCGTCGACGGGTTCTCGAAGAGCAAAAACAGTGGTCACAGGAGTTGGCTGCTCGTCTCTTCTGCACTGTTAAATGTTATTGGCTTCCTTGGAATATCTCCGTTTTCTTCGGCCTTGTTCTTGTCAAAAGATGTCCCGGTCGGCACGGATGTGGAGTTCTCGCGTATGTCCTTACCCGAAAATCTCTCGCTACCTCTACAAGTGGGGAGACAGACGTACCTCAGAACAGTTGGCCACGTTCTACAGAACGTATCGACATCTGCGTGGATCTCGGATGAATATACAGTCCTACCGTTCTGGCCATCCGAAATTCGGAACGCACCGCTGGGACCTTTCCTGTCTGCGTCATCCCAGACTTGGCAAGCCGAAACATTGGTACTACAAACCACCATGGACTGCATGTCCATGTCACTGGTAAAGACAAAATACACAAATACCACCTACAATCTTAATAATTTGGACGATAAACCCATGGGTCCTTTTATAAACGAAACGGCTACCATCACCCTTGAAGCTGAAGACGGTTGCGCTTATAGCTTGTCACTGGAGCCTACTGAGCCAATGGTCTCTCAAGGTGGATCCTCGTGGTCTGATAGTTCCCTGTTCATCTATGGAGGAGGAAGTGTTTACGGAGGTGAAGCAGGAGTGTATGGACCCAACACTTTCACACCCGACTTCGGACACGTTGATTCCTCGCCGGAGTGCAGGCATCGAGAACTTATCCTTACGACCACATCATGGAATTCCTCTACAGAAGAATTCAGCTTCTCCTCTGACCTTCGCGTCTCTGGAAGCCTTTGTGCACCGAAATATCATATGGCGCAAATGCTGGTCAAGGCATCCATGACAGACGCAGTATCCGAAGTAAATTTTGACAAAGATGAGTTTGAACGAAAAAAAGCTCCTATACCGGACACAGCTCTGGACCTTGAAGCATTTCGCAACTTGACACTCACGGGAAATTGGACGACATACTTTGCTACACCTGAAGGTCAGGCACGTCCTACTACCGGTGGTCTGTCGACGGTACTTGCGGCGATGTATGGCTTCGACATCTCAGCCATGCTTGATGCTAACGCTATCGTTCCAAATGCCACGTCAATTAAACAGAGGTTTTTTGGGGAAGTACTTCAGTACTCTCTTGGTAAAGACGACACAGCACCGGAAGCTATCCATGGACGAATCACCAAAATTCAGAAACGAGTCGTCGTGCAAACGGAGGCTTCGGTTGTTCTGGCTATTTTGTTGCTAATTTCACTTTGTTTATCACTATGGATATGGAGAGCCTCCACTTTGGTCTCCAGGCCTCTCAACCTGAGCTCAAATCTAGCAACGGCGGTTGGCATTGCAGCTTTAGTCACTTCCAACGACAATATACGGGCCAGCCTGCGAGATCATGGGCTTTCATCTAGAAAGCAGCTTGAGAAAACACTCGGGAAAAAGCGATATCGGACTAGCCCCGGTGCACTGCACGAGCTTTCACAATCCCCTATTGCAGCTTCTAGTAAGTCACCAGAGTCGCTGGACTCCCCAAGCTAATAGTTAAAATAGAAATAGACGGCAGTAAACATAATAAACCGAAGAAGGCGATTCCAAATAACATTCGCGTGGGCACCCTGGTACTTCTGGTGATACTATTGCTCGCGGTGGCAAGTTCTATTCTTGTCTTGTACTCTTTCGCTCGGCGTTCTCTCCTGTACCGCACAGCATTTGTTTACGAGAGCAGCCTTGCACTACTTGGCAAAACTCTTCCAGCAGTTTCTGCTTACTCGATTATATCCACTTTGATAGCCGTTGGGATCGGCTTGTGGTGGGGTGCTCTGGACGAGACCTTCCGCCGACTGCAACCATTCCTATCCATGGCAGAAAAGCCTACCCCTCTGTCAAAGGGAGCAGCACTGTCGTACAGATCCGTTTACTGGGCTAGTGCATCGTGGCGCGCAGCTTCGAAGGGACATTGGATGCTCTGTCTTGTCACGCTCGGAACTTGTCTTTGCCCCATCCGTACGACCATTCTCCACGCTTATCAATCATGATGGCATGCTGACATGAATAGTCACCATATCGATGTCGGCACTTTTTCAACGTGGCCAAGGAGTCTTTTCCGAGGATTTTACCATCGACCGAGGACTTGAATTGAGGCGGATCCCTTTACTATTCGAAGTTGAAGATCGGCCAACCGCCGGTAGCTCTGAAGCGAGCAAAGGAGATGTACTCGGCAATCTCTTTACTGGACTATCAACCAACTGGATGTATGGCGCCATCATTGAGCTGGTACTCAACGGATCACATCCTTCCTGGAGTCAAGACGGCTGGAACTTCATCCCCCTCGATGTATCAAGCCTTGCTGGCAAAAGTCTGTCCCAGAATCTTGGTAATGGCTCTGATTCGGCAGATTTCGTACCGCAAACTCTCTGCTCGGTGTCAACTCCCGCTCTCAGGGCCCGCATTGAATGCAACCCTTACGAGGAGATCTCCGAACCTATGGACTGGCTTAAGGTTATCGACTTGACAGATTCCGACCTTTGGAACACCAGTGTCAATCCGAAGGACATCACCACAGCCTATCGCTTTTCAATGCCGTTTTATAACACTACACTGCTTGCGGACAATTACGACGCCGACTGTTGCACAAATGCAACAAGCAACGACAAAGGAGAAGCTGCCTTTGGTTACTGGTCACACATAGACAACTCGCCATCCGATACCCGCATGTATGCAAACGTATGGCCGGAAAGCTTTGCAACAAAGTGGGTCCACGGTAACATGTCGAGGTTCCGTTCTGGTGAAGTCATCGACGAATTACTTTTCACCAACGTTCCGAGTATACAAGCTCTTCGATGCGTGCCAACCATCGAGACTGCCGAGGCAAACGTTACAGTCGACATCGCCACTGGCCGAGTCAATTCATACACAATACTGGGATCACCAACCGCGGTTGATGATGCATGGACCAATGGCTTCGTACTGCATGAGGCTCAATTCAATGAATCCATTATGGATGCTCCTGCAATGGTGCAAGAGGCAATGCGCTTGCCGCGCAATTCCACTACCAGGTGAGCCAGAAATCTCCCCCGCTGTTTGAAGCTGACCAGTGCTGACCGGGGGGCATTACAATACAGCTACGGCGTACTGTTCGAAGCGGCAATACTCTCTGCAGCCGCCGTCACCGGGCTCAGCGGCTCAGTATTCTCACGGGCTTATTCGGAAAACTTGGCTGATCAAACATACAACATGCGCGATCCGAGCTCGGGACTAAACCTAGATTTCATGACTTACGCTATGTACAGCATGACCAATGAAGACCCACGCGGGCTTCTAAACGCAACAGCCATGGAAGAACTTGCCCAGAAGACCTTCTCAGTCCTGTTCCAGCATTTTGTGAGCAGCGACGTCTCCTTGGAGACGGGGGGTTGGGCGTATCAGCCGATAAACGCCAGTCTTCCCGCGGATCTGACGGTTCCGTCTGCTGGAACTTCTGTTCAGGCAAATGCCTCGTACTGGAATGCTCTCCATCCAAACTCTCAGACAAACCGCACCGCTGTTGTCCGGGTTGCCACGCCGATTGAACTTTTACAAATGAACACGGTCGCTGTGGTCCTCAGTGTTACCGTGATTGGTTTGCTTGTTCTGATTACCATCATCATATCTGTTGTCCAGCGCCGATATTTGAAAGGGTTGAACAGGAATATCGAATGCATGGCAGACGTTCTGGTGCTCGTATGTGGGAGTGAAAGGCTCCTGCAGTTGATTCGGGAAAGAGGTGTTATCGGCTTGGAGAAAGATGGCGAGTGCATAATGACGAAACTTGGGTGGTTCGAAGGAGCGGATGGCGAGTTGAGATGGGGGATTGAGGTTGTAGAGCCGGATAAGGTCTGATGTAACGCAGCTGACGTATTATCATGATGTATTGATAACCACTCATCCAGTGGGCATAATTTTCCGAAAGCCAACAGCTGTTAATAAAAAAAAACATTGCTACCTTATCTTGTATTCCTGTGTTCAACTCGCACCTAAACCTCCCCTCTAAACCGCCTTCGCCCGAACAAACCACATCGTCGGATTTGACGTAATCCTCTCAAACTGCCCAAAACTCTTCTCCACCTCCCCGTCCCCCATCCGCCACTCAAACGCCATCACCAGCGCCGCCAGCGCGATGCTGACCTCCACATACGCCAAATTCCGCCCTATACACGCCCTCGCCCCCGTCGTAAACGGCATAACGTACTCCCTCAAATGCCCCCCTCTGCGCCTCGCCCCACATCGACTCGTCCACCATCCACCACTCCAACACCCACTCCGCCCTAGAAAACAGCCCCGGATTGCCGTGCAGCTCGCTCAGCGGCGACGAGACGGTTACGCCCGGCGCGACGGCGCGGCCGGCGATAACGGAGTGGCTGGTGGTCCGCCGCGGCAGGCCGAAGTGCTGCGGCGTCAGCACGCGGAAGGTTTCGTCGAGCACGGCGCGTAGGTACGGGATGTGCGCCAGTGTGGTGCTGTACGAGGCGACGGGCTGTTCGGCGGCCGGCACTTGCGCGCGGAGGATGGTGCGGAGTTTGGTTTGCACGGTTGGATGCGTGGCGAGGAGGTGGAGGTTGTTGGTTAGCGTGGTTTGTGTCGTGTTGTTGTTTGGGGTGTGTGTGTGTTAGCGTGGGGCGGGGCGGAGGGGCGGGGGAGGGGAGAGGGGGGAAGGGGAGAGGGCTTACCGGCGTTCAGCATGACGGTGGATTCGGCGACGATTTCCCACATCGGCATGGGCGGTCGGCCCTTGTGGTCGGCTTCCACGGGGAGGTGGGAGAAGATGTCTGGCTCTGCGGGGGTTGACTTGAGGCGTTTGTTGGTTTTGTATCTCGCCATCTATATTACGGTCAGGGGTCGGGGTTTAGCAAAGGTGCAGCTTGCTGGAGGTGACACACGTTATCGAAGTCCTCGGCGGCTTGGGTTGCCTTGTACTTGCAGGTCAAACGGCGCAGCGCTGTGTAAGCCCAAAGAGGGAGGTGAGCGCAGAAGACTTTGAACCACACACTCCGCTAGAACGTTTCCATCGCGTGAACCTCTTTTGTCTCCAGTTGCCGACTCAGCAAGTCAGAAGTCGTCTCCTTTCTCTAGAAAGCCATAGCTGTCGGACCACATGAGAGAGCTGATACCGTCGTACGTGAATATGTTCAACCAAGGACGAACATCGAAGCTTCCGTCCTCCCGGATCCCCAACCGATCGGATTCTGCAACCTTCTCGCCTCGTGCCTTCTTGGCAATGCATTCAACCAGCGTGCATGTGACCTGCTGGATGTGGGGCTCAAACGTACTCACGTTATTGACCGAGAAAATTGCCGCCAAGTACTTTCTCATCCGGACATGGTCAGCGCGATCCGTGGTGTGGGCCATGCTCGGTGTGTCGCCTGCCATTTGGCTGCAGAACCTGTCTTTTAGGATTAAAGAGCTGTCCCCGTAGATGTCCTTGTACACGCTCGGATCGGTGAAGGAGATGTTGTTTGGGACATTTTACCGGCGGTCCCGACTCCTGAGTGTCTAGTGTGCCCGCTAAACCGCCTTCCATCGTGTGCTAAACGAGTTGTAATACATCAGCTAAAGCGGCGTGAAGACGATAATGCCGAGGCGACTGGCTGCGAGATATTGTCGAAGTTTTCCCCTGCCACTTGTACATACCACGTCTCAAATAACGAGGCAGGCACCACCTTCACTCCGGAACGGCCTCCGCCATCGGTAACCGGTCGAAAGGCTAAAACAGCGATGGAGGCCGGACACGTGGGCAGTTTAGGCGGTGGTTCAGTTCTTGAAGTGAACTGCTCAATTATTCCGCCGGGATGGGACTTTTGGGGAGGCATAGCCGCCGCAAGATCATAAAAAGGAGTTGAGCTGAGAAGTGAGACAAGACAAAGAACGGATGAATGGTGAGATGCTATAGATAGGACGGCTTTTGTTTTCTCCATAGAAGACACCATAGCCTTAGGAGATCAATAGAATTCAACCCATATATCTTAGGCAATACTTCCATTTGCTTAGTTATGACGGCTATCCGCGGCTGCATGGGCAGATTCAAGCAAGGTAAACTGTCGGCACGCGTGACGGAAACGATACTAGAAGTGATGATTCGTCGCCGCTACGGTTCTGACAGTGCTGGGGTGGAGCGTGGATTGCTGAGCTGTACTGTGAGAATGAGGAGCCTGGCAAGGGCGGGAGAGTGGGTGGTGATACTTGGTCTGGCCGAAGTGGCTTAAGCTTTTGCAGACATCTGGTTTGACAACAGCAAGGATGGAAGTTTGCATCATACTGGTCATCCCACGAGAAAGGCACACAGAAAAAGTTGTCCCATCAACATTTCCTATAGCTAGAAAGATATCAAACCAATGAGAAGCTGAATGAACGAGGTTGAAATCTGGCTGAAAGGCACCAGGATAAATTGACCAATAAAGAAGTACCTCACGAAGACGAGTACGCTGTCTGGCAATGAGAGATTGTCAGATGCTATGTGGACGCTAGGTATCAGCCTCATCCACACAAACACAACGCCTTCCCCCTGTCTTATGACCAAATCTAAAATGACTTCTAGCAGGGTACCTGGGAGGTTCTTGGATTTCCGGAACTCCGGGAACGGAGAAGTACGACTCTACAAGTCGCGCAACTTCGTCTTTCTTGAGCGGCTCCGGAAATCCTTCTCTTGTTCCATCGGGAAGCTGGATCCTCGTAGGCAACCATTCATTGCTGGGCTTCGGTTGCTTCGGTTTCAGCGTAATCGCGGTGACTGTTTTCTCAGCAGCTTCACGGTTATCTCCCGATGGCACAACAACCTCTTCAACTGATTTCACTTCGAAGCGAGACCCCGGCATGAATGTGTACTCTGTCTTGTCCGGGTTGTCCGACAGCGGTGTCACGTACGCTGCCGATTCCCACACCATGGAGTGTTCGGGACATTCTGCAACCAGCAGTAGTCCATTGGAATAATGCATGGCGTCCGCTATGGAGTCGGTAAAGCTCCATACCATCTTTGTCGTGATTGTCTTGCCTACGGAGAGGTAGCTGGACATGGCACTCGCAAACGCATCTACGAGTGGTCTGTCCACGGGGCCGTCGTTGAGGGGACATTCCAAGAACTCTATGCCAAGGTGGTCGAGCCCAAGCTGATAGATGTCCATCTGTCCACTGAAGAGCCGTGAATGAGACAAAATTGAGGTGCGTGGAAGCGACCGTATGGCGGCGGATAGCATGCGGTTCTCAACGTCGCTGAGATCATGAAGCTTCGAGGCGACGTCCTTGAGCTGTGACTTGACGTCCTGCAGCGAGGTTGCCGGCTTCATCATGAACGATTTCATGAAGTCTGGATCGGTTGGCTTGTATGAACCCCAGTTGCTTGCCCAGATTTGCTCGGATATGCTGCTCTGATCGATGGGGAATGGAGCTTGTCCAACACTCGTGTACTCAAAGATCTTTAAGAATACCATCCGAGTAAAGGAAGCAGTTGTCCAATCGTATACACACATTGCGAGCTCAAAGCTATGAGGAGAGAAAGGGAAGAGCCTTCGACCAAGGGCTGTGATTTCATCTTCCGTCTTTCCAGGGCCATCCGGTATATTCTGGTACGGTATGTACTTGTATGCGATCATATTCCTGATGAATCTGGCGTCGTTGGGAGAAATCGTAGGTAATGGCTTGAGCTTTCCCAACGCGGTTGGCCAGAGAGTAGAGAAATCTACGTTTAGATAAGTCACTGCCAGGACTGCGCTAGATGCTGAAGGGTTTACCTTTCTGAGAATGCGTTCTGCAGATTGCAGTCACGCAGATGGTGAAGCTACTGCCCTGGATTGAGAGAGAGAGGGCGAGCCACGGAACATGATGGCCGCGTGAGGGATCGAACGGGAAACAACCACGTTCAAGGTCATCTTGAGGCCATAGGATCGATCCGTTTGCATCGATCCATTCCTTTCCAATGACTTGCATAACGGTCAGATCCAGAAAGCCCTGTCCATCAACAATCAGCCGGGACGATTCGCCAAAGCCTCCCCGAATGGCTTCAACTGGCTTGCCATCGCTAAACCAGAGATCAGTCTGTGGAGGGGAAACAGAAACGCTGGCAAGGCGCCACATTTTGAGCGCTTCTTGGTTGGGTATTGCAGATGAAAGGAAAGGAGGGAAACGGAGGTGAAAGATCTCAATGAATTTGTAAGGCTCGCACGGGCGCGTGCGGGGTCGTGCTACTTACTCGATCTTGGCATATGTAGGCATGGAGTGATCTCGACCTCGTAAACGACCACCTGCAGGAGGAACGACAACCACGTGTAATCGCCCCGCAACACGCGTTAAACCTAATCACTGGTGATCCGCTATCGCGGAATACCGGATTGTCCGCTATGACGGCCGCCGGCGCCTTGCGACTAGACGATAACCCCCTTTTACTCTACGAACATGCTGTTAAAATACGGAACATGTGGTGGAGGAGTGAATAGAAAGTAGTTCGTTACATTATTTAATCTAGAGCCGAGGGAAGCCGGCTATTAGTTATTTATCCGACTGCTAAGCCGCTGGTCCTGTTACGTAGTCACCATATCATAAGATAATTAACGCTACTACATATTCTCATCCTAAACACTGTTGATGATCAGATCCCGTGACTGGATCATGTGACCGATCCTTCACTTATACATATAGTACTCAGCAATGTCCCTCATCTATAGAAATTAATGAGTCTTCTCTTCTTTGCTTTTCCTTTAACCCTTAGTAAGTACACGTCACACAGTTTATAGTAAAACTAAGTCGTCTTCTTTATTTATCTAAAACCCTATATTTTAAATGCTTAAAGTAAAAATTATTCTAGTAACCTTTTTACCCGTCAATGCTATCCACTTAACCAATAAAAATCTCTATTCCGATCCATTAACGCCGTATAATACTAGGTATTAAAGGTAGTAATACCGTCTAATAACTTCGTTAGCACGTTTCCATGCTTGACTAAGTTTATGGACAAACTTAGAGCTCCCTTCTAAATATACGTGCCGGCTGTGTGGTAGTTAGCCCTTTAATAAAAGTTAAAGAAACGAGCATTTTGGTGGCTTGGGTGAAAAGCGGCGCGGAATGTGATGAACTTGCGCGCTTCTTTCCTCCAGCGCATCTGCGCCGCTCTAGACGTTGAGAATTCCCTGTCTTCCATATCGCACCCAACATTCGCTGCCAAACAAAACCAGCAAAGGTGCATTCACTAAATAAATTGGCCAGGCTGCAACCACAACAAGAAGTTCATCCAGAAATTCTAGGGGTCACTGTCATTGGCCGATCCTCGGCGGCTCCGCAGAGAGTTGCCCGAAACAGGGTATCACCGGATACAGCCGCATTCTTCCCGCACATGCACTGCGGGGCCGCCAATCACGAGATGCGTCGCGAAGCTTTGTGCTCAATCTCCTATGTCGGCTTTGTTTCCGCCGTGCGTTTTCTATGTGGATTGTAAGGGATAGGAGGGTTGAAGGAGTTGAACTTTTGTTGTTCCACGCACGGAGCCCATGAATTGTCCGGAATACTGTCAAACCATCTCCTTCATCTTGTCGGATGTATCGGCGATGTATAACTCGTATCTAGTCCGTTCGCCAGGGGTGTAACGCCGGCACCGCAATCGGCAATTAGTCCGAGCCAGGCCCACTACTAGCCGCCCACTGCCGCCGACTCCCCGACCTATCTTCTTCTCCTGAAAACCGGATGAAAGAGACGTTTCGCGACGTTTACTGAAATCATGGACGCCACTGGTATCCAGACCGGAACGTTATTATGTAACACATGTGGTGCATCATTTCGGCGCGCCGAGCATCTTTCCCGCCACCGATTACGCCATCTGGGCCAGAAGCCGTTTGCGTGCCCACATTGTAGTTCATGCTTCCCAAGAAGGTAAACTGGCCCTGTAGAGTTTATTCTTGTCTCTTTTCCAGGTCATTCAAATAATTATTCCTTCTTAAACCCTTCAATCTATCGTAAGCTGACGTCTCTGGTAAAAACACCACAGAGATACATTGCAAAGGCACATGGGTGTCCACAAGCTCGACTCGTCCTTCTCTGGGATATTACCAAGAAAGACAAGAGCTTCAAAAAGAGCAAAGCAGGCCTGTCACTCTTGCTCGACGTCGAAACAACGCTGTGATGGCAAAGTACCTTGTGCTCGTTGCCAATCAAGAGATATCCGATGCAGCTACTCGATTTCAGAAGCCACACAAGTTCGTATAAGGTTTCCTGGTCTGTGTCCCTTTTTTCTAACTCCGTAAAAGCGGTCGAACGTGCTGTATCAAGGCGATCGGGTAGAGGAAGAGGAACCGAATCAACACACAGCTTTAGTCTCCGCTGCACAGTCCTCTATTCCATCCCCAGGCTTTACGGAACAGTTCTCTGGCAGCGGGATCTCATCACCGCCTTCGCCAACCGGAAATGAGCCGTCATCGTGCTCAACCCTTGATATGGGCATCGACCAACTAGACGGAATGTCTTCTTTGGCTACCGATCCCAGTACTCAACGCCCACCCCCGCCTGTTGAACTTGGAAGCTTTGATCAGCTGGGCAGCAGTATGCATTCTGGCCCTATGAGCCAGCAGCGCCCTACCTTTGAACCTTTGCTTCCTGAGCTTGATTTCCTTTCCGGCGGCATCGAGAATATAGCCCCTTGGAGTGCTTTCCAAGACCTTATACCGCCCTATCTATGGCCGAATTCCGATTGGCGGTTTACTGATCTAGGCGCAGCTGGACAGTTTCCTACCGAACAGGCCGAGCTAACGCCTTCTGAACCAAGCTCTGACCTGGAACCTCCTGATGCGGAGGCTCCCCATCCAAGCTTTGTGGGCTCAAAATCCATCTCAGAACCAGAGAAAGTACTGCGAACAGATACCAACTTGCAGACAGCGACGAGGTTTCAAGGCAAGAAAAGTAGCTCTAGTCGTTTCTTGAATCTTCCATCCGGCCGTCCAACCGGTCAATTTCGACAGGGCGACGAGTCCTATAAACCGGGTTCCTTCCCCGCTGTCCTCAGCGCAACTGAAGGCTTTGAGAACGTCTGGAAGGCAGAAGATCTGGGTCACGTCAAGCACCTGTCTCCAGATGCGTACCATCGGCTTCATCTTAATTTTGAGAGGCTGAACACGGATAACGGATACTTTTCCTCGTTTGCCCAAGGCCGTTTTCCGTCAATCGATGCACTGAACGCTTTCATGCAGCTGTACTTTGAAGAGTTCCATCCAATGTTTCCGCTACTTCATCAGCCAACCTTCGATCCGGGCAAGGAAGATTGGGTTCTTCTTCTTGCTGTCATTGTGATTGGTTGTCGCTTTTCGCGGGTCCAGGGAGCATTGGAGAGCGTGCATCTACTGCAGGAATTCCTACGTCGGGCTATCAAGTTCACGACCGAGCGGGACTACAGCTTGACGTACCAGCCATGGTTTGTCCAGGCGGCCCTGCTGAATCAGATAGGGATGCAATACTCGGGCGACATGAGACTTATTGAATGCGCCCAAATCGACAGGAGTCTGATAGCGACGCTATGCCGCAAAGTAGACTGCTTCAATGAGTCCCCAGATGACCCAAATGACAGAAGCGCAGAGCAACCACTACAGGACATCTGGATGGCATGGGTGAGGAAGGAGAGCATGCGGCGCCTTGCTTACTTAGCGTGGGTAAGTTCATTGCGCTTGGATTAGCATCACCATAACGTACAAAACTCAAAGGTTGCCTGTTAACGCTGACCCGTACCGGTGTTATAGCTAGTTGATAGCCAAGGTGCTCTTTTTGGTGGTTTCCCACCACAAATCATCACTGGTTTGCTACGGGTTCGGCTACCATGCCCGGAAAGCCTATGGCATGCGGCAACGGCAACAATCTGGAAGGATCGGCTTGATGAGAATGGTGCGTTCCTCGATGAGACAAGTGGTACCCGACGTTCTCTGACTTACTCGCCATATATGCAGGTAAACAATGTCATATGGATATTCGATGGGAGCTCTCGTACCTATATAAGAACAGAGCTGTTCGACAAGAGATGGGAGAGCTATCGATTTTGTTGCTGACCATAGGCGTATTCATGGATGCTATACAGTTCCGAAGTAGAGCTGACCTGAGCACCTCCGTGGACAGCACGTTGGACGGGCGATGCCCACATAAGAGGCCAGGATCCATGCCTTCTACTCCTCAATGGGCCACAGAATGTCTACAAATCTTGTCTCCGGAAAACTACACCATTGGAACAGGGCCTAGCCTGAAGGCTGTGATATACCACCACTATCACGTCATATGCATCCTCCTTAACCTTCCCTTTGGAGAGCTCTTCTGCTACGGCGGCTGGCGGGTCACAAGTGCTGCCATTCTGAAATGCCGTAACCGTCTCAGACTGTGGGTCACGGAGTGCGGCGAAGATGCTCGTCGGGTAGCCCTCCACGCTGGAAGGCTTTTTGGCCATTTCCGCAGCTCGGATATGAATGGCTATTATGAATCTACGGCAATGCTTATCGCATGCTTCGCGCTTTGCATCTACGGGGAATTCGGTGCCGGCCAAGATGACGCCATCACTCAACTGGGCAACGACGACTTGGGTTCGGTTTTCCGCCTTGACAGGGCGTTCGCAGCAGGTGAAGTACGGCAGTGGTTACAGGCTGGTTCGAGTATGCGTCCTTATTTGGCAGGGGTTGGCAGTATCATAGGCCGAGATGGTGTTGCCCGGCTTGTGAACGAAGGTGCTCAGATTATGTGCTCCTCTACGACTTGGGGGCATAACAAGCTTCTGGGAGAGTCATTAAGAATCTATCATGAGCTGGGTAGTAGGATAGGACGTTGCTTCTAGAGCTAAGTTCCACATTAGCATAAAATATAGAACGTATTGTAAATATAAAAGCCAAACTGACGAACCAGTTGACTAATGGCTGATGATAGAAGAAGAGCCCCGAGTTTCCGGCATTGACACAGGAAACGTTTCGGTCTGCTTGAAGCATCCCAAGCACGAAACCCCCGCAATAGGTCCAGCTGCAAGGCCCACTTTGCGGGGCCGCGGCAACGCTGTGCACGGACTTTGGCCCAACCATCCGCGCTAGTTGCGGAGCCGCGAAGATACCATTGGGCACTTTGCTTGTACATCGTCTAGATGCGGAAATGTGCACGTAGCCGCGTGGCTACAGCAAAGACGCGGGAGGGGCGCTCGGCTCCGCGCTCCCACGCTCGGCTCCGCGCTCCCACGCTCGGGCAATGACGTTTCCTTTTGCTGGTCTATTCCTGCATAATAATCGACATGCTTTATATACGTGCGTTCTTCCCATAGAATAGCGTCGCGCCGCATAATCATCGTACCTCGTCTTCGGTCTTTGTCCAGAAAATGAGCACAAAAACCCCGCTGAAGGTTGCGGTCTTGGGACCTACAGGCCAATGCGGCAGCTGTGTGGTGGACGAGCTCTTATCGCGTGGCCACACAGTCGTCGGCATCTCTCGCAATCCACCTAAGGAATGGAAAGGCAACGAGCGCTACTCAGCTGTCCCGGTGGACATCCAGGACACGGAGAAACTCGCCAAAGCATTTTCCGCCGGCTTCGATGCTATCGTCTGCGCCTTCTCGCCGTCTCTTTCAGACCTATCCACGACATACGAAAACGGAGTGGAGGGTCATGGAAGGATCAAGACCGCACTTCTCCGATCGGCCCATACGGGATCATTCATCATAATCGGTATGTTGTGGGACCCTGGACAAATATGCGGGGAAGGTTAGCTTACTTACAAACGCCAAAAGGCGGGGCGGGGTCTATCCACGGTAGCGACGGTATCCAGCTCGTCGACCGGCCAGACTTCGCATACAGTTGGTGGTACAACTGGCCAGAGGTTCATTTGAACTACATGCGCACGCGAGCGTACGACCATAAATCGAGAGGACTGGGGAGGTTCGTGACTGGATTCAAGTGGGCGAGGGCCAATGTGCAGCATCCAGGATGTAAGTTCATTGAGATGGAGAAATGTCCATGTCGCTGACCTTGTTCCTCTAGGGTTCTCATGGATGTTCCGCCCTTTTGCCCTTCTTTACCTGCGTTGGGCAAAGAGCTTTCTTACCCACAGACACGGACGGTCGCTGATAACACTGTCTCGGATGGCATTGACCATGTGGGAGGGTGTGAAGGACAAACAATGGTCTTTCTTGTCACCCCCGGGTTTACTCAGGGATAAAGGTGAATTCGGCGACTCATGGTGTTGGCCCTGAAGCTAACAGATTATTGTCAGGAGTACGCACGGGGCAATATCAGCTACACATTGACGGCGAAGGCAGCTCAGGAGATGCTGCAATTGATGGCGGCATATACAATGAGGACATGGCCGTTGCCATTGTTGATGAGGTGGAGAATAAGAAGCTGACGTTCAAGCACTGGAGCTGTACTGGGAAAATTGGCTTGAAAGAGTGGTAGAAGATTCAATAGACGGATGCAGGCTGAGCGTATAGGTAGAGAATGAGACAGGGCCCGAAATTTCAAGATGTTCAGGGTGAAGAAGTCGGTTCTTGGTTGGAGAACTTCCAATATAGAGCCGCCCGTGAATTGCGTTCTCGGCTCGGGTCCAGGAAGCGGCGTGTGTATCATTCATGTTCGTGCGGCGTGGCTGAGATCATCCGATTTAACAGGCGATAACGTGAAAAGTGCATTATGAGTAATCCATTTGATTCTTTGGGACTTTCCACAAAATGATACAGCTTTATCAATAGTAATAAGTGTTAATGTTTTAACGTTCTATTTCTATTGACAGTAGATCTATTTTACTCACTCGGGAACCCACTTTTTTATCCTTTCAGGTAAAAACGGATCTACAAACTCCTTTACCCGCTGATGCCACCCGCTCATCCACCAAAAGTCCCCACTCTGATCCATCAACGCCGTATAATGCAACAGAATAACCAACGCCACGGGCCTCCGCTCGGCAAGAAACCCCAAAAACGCCTCCGGCAACAACACCGGCCAACTAAACACGATGCCCAGCACCGAGTCCCCAGGCGGACACCCTCTCCCCTCGCGCGCCACCTCGCATAGAAAGTCCACCGCGCCACCACAGACCTCGCGCTCCTCGGCCGCCGCCTCGCCCACACACTCCTCCTCGACCATCTCCCTTAGCACCGCCACATCGTCAATCTCAGCGCTGACCCCCCTCCTCAACCCGTTCGCAACCAGCGGCCCCACCACCGACCCCAGCAGCTCCGCCCACTTCGACAGCACCGCCCACGTCACGCCCTTAACCATGCGCACGCACTGGATCATCTCGGCCACCGGATCGGCTGCCGCTTGCGCCTGCCCCGCCGCCAACGCATGCACCACGATCGTCGCCGAGAACGCGAAGACAGCCACGCAATTCCTGTCATCTACCCCCGCCTCGAGCAGCTGCCGGAACTGCGTCAGCGCGACGTTGAGGTTCGCCGACGATATCGCGACCCAGCGCCTTGCCGCCGCACTGTCGCCGTTGCCGCCGCCGCCGGTCGCCAGGTGCAGCGCGGACAACGCCATCATGCCGCGCAGCACGAACGCGTGCTCGAAGCCGACGTCGATGACGGCGCGCTGCCAGATGGGGTATTGTGCGGGGGACGTGTCGAGCGTGGCATACGTCGCCGTCGTGTATTGGTGGAAGAGCTGCATGTCTTCGATGGTGAAGATGGGGGGGCCGCTGGTGGCGCCCGGGTCGGGGTTGGCGAGGCGCGGGGGCGTGAGGTGGGTGTTTAGGTTGACGAGGGTGCCCATTGGGCTGGGGTAGGGAGTCGGGCGCTGTGGCCGGCGGCGTTGGGCGGATGCTGTTGTGCTGGCGGTGGAAGCACGGCTGCTGCTGCTGGTGCTACCGTTTGTTGATGATTGGCTCCGGACGACGACCTCGGGCCAGATGCACGGCATGTCTAGCCGCTTGCAGCTCGCGCATTGCGGATGTACCTCGTCGCACTTGGGGCGGGCATAGCGTTAGTTCGGCCGGCCGGCTGCTGGGTCGAGGGGATGGGATGCTGGTCATGAAAAGGAGCAGGCAGTCCTCGCCGAGACTTACTTTGTTGTGACGTCGCTTGCACTCGAGGCAGCCTTTCCGGGATTTCGAGTGGGGCCTTCTCGGGGCCATTGGCGTGGTTTGTGTTCGTGGCTGGTGGCGCTAAGCGGTAGGGCGGGCTGCACCGTATAGCGTATTCTGGGTTGATGATGAGCGGAAACGTACGACTGGCGGATGATAGGACAGCGATTTAGTGGTCAGGGGAACGAAAATCTCTGCGTATTCATCACGTGGAAAGTGGCTCCCTACTGCGGAGGCGGCTCCAAACCGCACGTGCTATTTATATCTCTAACGTGCTTTGACGCGGCGATGGGATTTTATCTGATTTTCAAATAGACCAATGAGAGAGCAGGATCAGGTGAAGACCGAGGAAAATCCACAATTCACTACGTACCTGTCAGACGGCTCTCTGAAGTGTTTCGAAGTGTCAAGCGTATTCTGATATACATGATTTTTCTCATAGTGGAGTTTTGCCTTCTCCTGCTAGCTGTGTCATAGCTGAGCTACAGGTAACATAGCCTCGGGCTGGCTCATTCTCGCGAACTGGTTAGCACTGCTCAACGTTGACGGCCATTTCTGGCCCATCCGCAAGGTCAAAGCTTCAAATTATCAAATGGTGTTGAGGAATGACGTTAAAACTCGCATTCGGGTCATGTTCGTACTTAGATGCGAGCTCGCCCGAACGAACACGCATCAGCCAATCACAAGCCGCAAAGTACGACGCCCTTTTTCAACCATAAAGGCAGCACCAGGTCGGCAAAAGGAATAATCATTCTTCTGTCACGGCTTCGATCATGATACTTTCTTTAACTCTCCTTCTCGTCTGCACTGCTGCAGTTTCAGCTGAAAATCGCACTCACGGAGTTCTCTCTGATGGGTTTGCCTCGACCATCAAAGCCAATGACGGGACTCTGCCAGGCAGCTTTTACAAGGGAAACATTACGCTTCGATCTAATGGATCTCATGAAGACATCTTCATAATCGATCATGGTGTTGAGTTTGGCGGTCTTCCTACTTTCGAGGTTCTTCACCATTCCGGTGACACCTCTGGATTTGAGATGACCTACAGCGAGACTCGGGCTCTCCTGGACAAATACATGGTATGCATCATTTCTTTTTACTATATCTTTGTCTGATTGGTGTCCTGCCTAGAGCGATGGACCTCTTCCTCTCGCCGCAGCCATGGATACCTACCGCGTCAATCGTTACAACATCACCGAGGACAAAGTATACACCAACCGACTGATCCAGGGAGGCCAGCGCTACCAGAAGCTCAATCTGTCCACTGCTGGTGAGCTCGTGCTCGGGAAAGTCGGGATCAAAATCCAGGGGTCGATGCTCCCTATCGAAGATCTTTCCGGCAAGTTTGAATGCTCCGACGAGACTTTGAACCGGATTTGGAAGACGGGTGCTCGAACCATTCAACGCACCGAAATTGAGGCTGGCACAACACCAGAGTTCTACCAGATCTCGAGTGAGGGCATGCTTTGCGAGAGCCAGGCGCCGCAGCCGTATTCCAGTGTGCAAGCATCAGCTCTTACGAGCTATGACCTCACCTTCCAAGTGAAACCGTTGAAAGGAGGATTTGGATATACCGTTTTGAGTGATACACTTGGGACCGGAATCTACATTCTGGTGAATGTGGAGAATGGATCCATTGCCGCTTATGCTGGCAGCACCGATCTCGACGGATCTCCTCTCGCCGAAGCCACCCTCGGTCCGGACAGCATCGCCTTCGATACCTGGAATACGATACACACGCAAGTCAACCTGACTGAGATCTCGGTGTCCATTAATGACGCCCCTGTTTTCAACTTCAGCCAGACGAGTTCCTTCTACGGCTCATTTGGACTGGGAGCTTCTTTCCAGCACAAAGCGCTGTACCAAAACGTCACTCTTTCAACCGGCGGGTCCGACATCTTCCACTCCAGTCTCACCAGCAAGGAAAACATGGAAGACTTCCTTGCTGGCACAAACCCCCTATCAGTCAGCGTTGACGGCGCCCGAAGAGATCGAATTGCCTACGCCGGTGACCTCGACATCACCATCCGCTCCACCCTAGCATCAACCTACGGCCTCGACTACCTCAACGGCTCCTTCGAGCTCCTCGGCTCCAACCAACTCACCCCCGGCTTCTTCGTCCCAACCACAAAGATCCAACAACACCCGCGCACCGCCCTCATCGACGCCAACGTCACCGGCCTGATCGGCTACTCCTTCAACCTCGTCTCCGCCATGGGCGACTTCTACACCCACACCGGCTCCACCCCCTTCGCCCGCCGATGGGCCCCCGCCATCACGCGCATGCTCGACTGGGCGCACAGCCAGTCCGCGGGCCCAACCGGGTTGTTCAACGTCACCGACCCCGCCCTCGGCGGCGACTGGAACTACTACGACCCGCCGCAGTCCGGCGTCGTCGCCAAGTTCAACGCGGCGTACGCCTACGCTCTGCAGGCTGCCATCCCGCTGCTGTCTGCTGCTGCCGACAACACTGCCAACGACACCAACGAGGCCGAGGTGTATACGGCCCGCCTCACCGCCCTCCGCGCCGCGATGAACGAGCACCTCTGGTCCGCAAACCTCTCCGCGTACGCCCTATCGACGACGGAGGGCAGCGGCCGCACCGCTTTCGCGCAGGACGCCAACGCCCTCGCGCTGCTCGCCGGCGTGCCAGCCAGCACCAACCAGTCCGCCGCGCTGCTCGCCGCCATGCGTGCCGCGCTCTTCCTCCCCTCCAACGACGGCGTGTTGGCCTTCTCCCCCGCGGCGTCGACCGACCTCGGCTTCGCCCGCCTGTCCAGTCCCTACGCTAGCGGGTACCACCTGCACGCCGCGCTGGCGGCCGGGGATGCGGACAGCGCCGCGGCGTTGCTCGACACGGTCTTCGCGCCCATGGCCGACCCGCGCAACGCGAACTACACGGGCTGTTTCTGGGAGACGTTGACGGTGGAGGGGAGGCCGGGATTGGGCGACGCGACGAGCTTGTGCCATGCGTGGGGCGCGGCGGCGACGGGGGAGCTGTCGCGGTGGGTGTTGGGCATCGCGCCGGTCGAGCCCGGGTATAGCGAGTGGGTTTTCAGGCCGGGGACGATGGGCGGACGGGTGGGGTGGGCGAGGGGAGGGGTGGAGACGCCGTATGGGAGGATGGAGGTTGAGTGGAGTGTGGAGGGAGGGTGGGGGGTTATTTTGACGAGTCCGAGGGGGACGGTGGGGAGGGTGGAGTTGCCGGAGGGGGTGGTGGGTGGTTGTGAGGGGTTTGAGGTAAACGGCGGAGTGTGTGATGGGGTGGGTTTCGTTGTGGAGGGGGGTGGGAGGTTTGAGCTCAGGCAGGTTTGAGGGGGAGAACGCTTGGCTGTACATATTTGTCTGTGAACGACTTGTAATTTGTGTAGATTATCCCTTTAGAGCCCCCTACATCCCTTAAGAATATCTTACTGTATTTTACATTCATGTAGAGCAACCATTTACTCCATTCTCGCGGCAAAAACTGCGGATCGCCCACTTCCACACTTCGGGCAAAAGCTCCAACGAGACCGCCAACACCGTCTTACCCCAAGTCTCCGCCCACCAAAACTGCTCAAGCCTCATGAACAAGGCAGCATATTGAGCGAGAAGCAGAATGGCCCCACGCCGAGGCTCCCCGAGATATTTCAGATACTGCTCCGAGACGATGGTGGGCCACGCCAACGTCAAACCAACAGTCTCAATCTGCCGCTGCACTCGGACGTCAAGAAGGAGTTCTGCGTATTCTCGGAGGACCTGCAATGCTTCCAAGTACACAGCCCGTTCCTCATCACCAGAATCCTGATCCTCGACGAGAAACTGACGAAGAATGGCGAAATAGGCCTCTTGCTCTGGAGTAAAGCTCCCTGTCGGTTTGTACAAGAATCCATCTCCGATCGGCTTGAGTGGGCCGTCCATGACCCAGCGAAATACAGAGTGATTTTCGTGCCGCAGGATCGACGGAACGCCACGGAAGAGCCGCACACATCTGATAACGTCATCAAGCGACGCAGTATCTCGCGAGCATCGCCATAACCATGCCTTCTCGGCCAGAGTGTAAATCGACAGAATGCATGCAGAAACATAAAGCCCTACACAATTCTGCTGCGTGATGTTCGTGATGCGATCCTGCAAGACGCGGATACTGTGATTCTGATGCTTGGTCGCTCGGCTGAAATACGCCTGCTGCCGCTCCGGGTTCCGGTCGACATGCGCGCGGTGAAGCGCAGAAATGGCGAGCAGGCTGGACAGTAGATCTGGATCGGAGAACGCCAGCTGCGGCGCCGTCACTCTGTAGATCTCGATGATTTCGGGAAGATCGGCAAACGTCAGGCTCGTGTAGGCCGTGTAGTGGTGGAGCAGTCCCATGTCTTCAATGCTGAACGACTGCCCCACTGAGCAGCCCGGTGGTTTGGGAAGAAGATAGGCAGGCGGAGCGGTCGATCGGATGAGATTTGAGACCGCATCCTTGAATTCTTGGACCGCCTTATCTTGCCTGCTCACCGGCGGCGTGTGCTCGGATTCTGCCGGCGTAGGGCTCTTGTGTCGCTGCTGTGCCTGTGGAGGGTATTCGCAGGACATGCCCTTCCTCTGGCAATTTTCGCATTTCGGCCAGCCTTCGTCGCACTATCAAACAGCTGTCAGCAATCATACCCGCCTCAACAATTTCGTAATCTGGCCTGGGAGACTTTCATGTGACGAGGTCAACCGTTTTCCCTTCAGTTTATAGCCATAAATTGAAAGAAAACAATGGATTGGTGAAAGCTTTGGAGGTTGTTCCTTTTCTTCTTCCTCGGTCAAAACCCACAAAGTAGGATATTCCCGACGGGGCAAGGGGCCATTCGCACCTTCACATGTCGCGTTTTGCACGTATAGCAGCCATTTCGTGACTTCGTGTGCGCTTTTCTGGTAGTCGCCGGCTTTTTTAAATGCTCTGACATTTTCGCATTATGTTTGTTGCAACAGACAATGTTGAGGAGAGGTCTTCTGATAGTTGCCGACAGATAAAGTCAGTTCTGCCCTTTTTTGACGCGAGTCGTATAGTGTGGTACATGATTGGCTACTCGTACCCGCCATGCATTACGCGAATGGGATCAATACATACCTGCATTAATCGTACACGGCCGCCAGTCATATTCGCTAGAATACCACTCCCTTGCTCTGCTGGCTTCCAATAGGGCCGGTGGTTATTAGTGGGGACGGGATTGTTCTCTCATGACTGACTGACGCCGGCCATGATTTTCATGCAGGAAAGAATGGCGAATCTAGCCGAACGTGTAGCTCACCCCTGTCGTACATCTTATGCTGCTCTTTAAACGACTTTTGAAATATTCTTCTCTCTTTCGGCCGCAGCGTTACTAAATGCAGCTTTCAATAAGAATAGTGGCTAAAACTTCTACTTTTTTCCTGCCGCTTCTCAATTCCTTTTCCCTTAGCTGATCAGTCTATCCGCCGTCGTTTTATGCACTCTGCGTAGTCCCACGCACCGCAGAGATTCCACGGCGGGAGGAGATGCGGGCGCGAAACGTGGCGAGAAAAAGAAACGCGATCTAAATGCAAGAGCATCGATTGACGCAACGTGGGTTTCATACTACTGCAGGATTATTGTACACCACACTTTCGTATGGGGGAGGCGGATGATCTGGGCGGTGTCAAACAAATTCAAGTTTGCAAAGAACTTCGAAAATCGTCAAGTGCTATTCTGAGGCATTTGTTTCGACCGCAGCGGTAGTATGGCTACAACACCAAGCTAATACCACAAAAGACCGAGTCCAGGGGATTCCTTCCTTCTTCCCTTCAGCTTTCGTTTCATATTAATTATTGTTTGACGGGAGGAATCTACGAATGAATGGCGCTCCTGTGGACTCCATCGGGGATGGATCGGATAGAGGCTATCATATCGACGGTGGAGTGATAATCAGGCTAACCTGAAAGGGGTGAGCCGCAGCTCCACTCGCTCCGCTGAGGAAGGGTTAGCGTGCTGTCTAACTTTGACATTTCCATGCTCCGTGTCACGCTATACTAAATACGGAATGGAAAACGGTATACGGCGTACGGTATACGAGGACGCTAACGTTACAGGTTCACGATAACGCCCCGTTGTCGGTCTTTAACAAAGTACCTTTGTATACACGAGCCAATGGAATCCCCGACAAATAATAGAGCAGGCGGTTACTTCATTCGCAATCCCCTTCGCTTCGACTTCCCGACATCATGCCAAGGCACTCTACAGTCCGTTTTAAGTTCTAGATCTCGCTAAAGTTAGCGGAAAAGGCAATCGATGCAAGAAATTCAAACAACACTCCGTTTCAATGTGGACTTCCACTAATTTGATTGAAACGCAAGCCACGCACTGTTTCTTTTTACAGCAGTTCAACACGGTCAATAATCAACTGGCAAAGAGGTACAAAAGGACCCAAGGTCGCCATGCTACAGTTCAATCCAGCAGCTTCTACACATTCACTCATTCATCCACCTTGACGGTCGTTCACATTCGTTAGCGCCAGCCGCAACATTCATTCATTCGATTCACCCAACCACCACCACCATGTTCTTCTCCCAAAAGCTCATCGCGGCCGTCGCCGCCCTCCCCGCCATGACTTCGGCCCACTACTTCTGGCCGCAACTCATCGTCAACGGCGAAACCTCCGAGCAATGGGAATACGTCCGCGAAACCTCCCAGGGCTACGAACCCCAATACACCCCCGACATCCTCACGTCCAACGACCTTCGCTGCAACACGGACAGCCTCGCCGCCGCCGCCAACACCAAAGTCGCCTCCGTCGCGGCCGGCGACACGGTCTCCTTCGTCACCGACTACGGCGCCAAGGTGCAGCACCCGGGCCCGCTGACGTTCTGGATGTCGCAGGCGCCGGGCGGCGACGTAACTACGTACGATGGCTCTGGCGACTGGTTCAAGATCGGCGTCGTGGGTTACGACACGCCGTTCGACTCGACGGGCACCAACTGGCGCGCCTACGATGAGGGCACGTTCAACGTGTCCATCCCGACGACGGTGCCGAATGGCCAGTACTTGCTGCGCATCGAGCATATCGGCCTGCATCGCCCGTCGACGCGTGAGATGTTCTTCAACTGCGCGCAGATTGAGGTGACGGGGTCGACGGCGACGGCGGTGCCGGGCGAGACGGCGAAGATCCCCGGCATTTACAGTGAGAGCGATGAGTGGGTGTCCAAGTGGAGCATGTACAGCAGCCCGACCAGCTTCCCGTACTCTGGCCCGGCTACTGTTGATGGTGGTGTTTTTGATTCTCAGGGCTCTGATTCTGCTTAAATGGGCGGGATTTTTTCCCTTTCCATATGTTCTATTCTTGTATAGCTTAGCTCTATTTATCTGTAAATAGAACCAACTTACTTTGGGAATTTTAACAATTTCATAACATGTAGCTGGAAATATAGGAACATTCATTTTCCCAATTGAATCTCACTCCAACAACTAGCGTGATTCAGGTGCCACAGTGATGCTTGATGACAGACCGTCTGGATGTTTCCAATCCAACGAGCTCTATTTTACGTAATTGAAGCTACTGATAAGCGGCCCAAAATCGGAGATGCGGGGTAATTCTACGAGAACGATATAAAGTCGGATGTGCCGATGGGAACGATCCGACGCCGTACCTTTCCACGCCGCTCGGTTTCGCGGTTCACCAATTGCCCAATGGCGAAGGATAGGTGTCTCAGAGCGTAAGCCCGACCAAATCAGTCACTTCTGACTCGGTCCTGACAAGTTGCAGATGTACGCGATGTCGGAACATGAAGGTGCGGTGCTCGGGAACGTTTCCGTGTTCTCGGTGCGCTCGCAAAAAGCGAGAATGTCGGTTCGCCACCGACGAAGGCCGAGTATCTGTTTCGGAAAGGGAAGCACCCACGTCTCAACGCGGACCTCGTGCGTGTTGCTAATGGCCTGGCAGCTACATACGAGAGCTCGAAAGAAGAGCTAAGGAGATAGAAGACGACGCCGCGGGTAGCAGACCCCGTCCGCGCGAGCTGCCAAGAGACCCCGAGAACGTAACACCAGCCGTCGATTCATCCGTACGTGCCCAGGAAAGCGTAGTTACGGCAATCGCTAGCAGCGAAGCCGTCAATACATCGCCGAACCGTATGTTGATCAAAAACAGCCGCGCTTCCGGTAATTGACAGTTTGATCAGCGACTGGCGTTAACGAGCCTGTAAACGAAGAGGGCTCGGATGCTTTATTCAGCCGTAACCCGCTGGCAGATGCTGATGCCGAGACAACATTCGTCCAGCATCCAGACGGGCGATATTGTAAGATCATGTGCAGAACAGTTTGACCAGGAGTACTCACAAAACATACCAGGGTACATGGGTCCCACCTCATCATGGTCTTTTTGTCGACGCGTCCTTTCGATGATTGATCGACACATCCCGGACACCGGTAACCCTCCCGATCCGTGGAACCTGGATGGAGTCGCTTTCAAGCTTGACTGGCAGCGTCTTGGACCCAATGAGGAACCAAGTGTTGATGATCTTCCATCTCACGAATACGCCACTTTGCTTTTCAACACCTTCAAATATCATCTTGGATACTTCTCGGGGATAATCGATGAGCGCTATTTCCTCCGCTGCTTGAATGAGTTCTACCAGCAGCCGAGACTTGTTGTATCCCGTTCGCGCCAATGGTTTGCACAGTACCTTTTAGTTCTTGCCTTCGGCGAGGCATTTGTAAACCCGTCTACTTCGGAATTCGGATCTCAATACGCATCAAGAGCAATACCGCTACTACCGGACTTGCATTTTGTGGACAAAGACCCGTTGTCGGGAATCGAGAGTCTCTGTCTGGCAGCGTTGTATCTCCATTCCATTGATCTGAGAATCACTGCTTTCCACCACGTGAGGCCTGAGTCAAACATCTTCTTGATTGTATGAATACTGACAGGATGCATTTCCAGATAGGCCATGCTCTCCACCTGAGCATTTTCGAAGGAATCCACAGACACCAGCCAGCCGAGGTTGTTGGTCAGCATCGCTCCCTACGATGCAACCGTATATTCTGGATCGTCTACGTCCTAGAACTCGAGTTTTCAGCTCTGGGTGGGGCAATGGGCTCGATCAGGGAAACCGACATTACAACGAAGATGCCGTCTGACATGGAGAAAACCTTGTACACTGAGGCAATGGACCTTCAGATAAGCATCTCTCGGCTGGTATCGACAATCCTCACAAGTGGGTAGTGCCGAAATCTTTTGGGGGGCGATGCCGATGCTAATTCTCCTCGACTCAGCCGTATACGGCGTCGGCGACGGCTCGAGCGGTCCCCTCTCTCTTATTAAAAAGATCCAGTCGGTGCTACACAAGCTGGCGGGTATCTCCCAGGAACTAAACAGCTTTCTCGGAGCTCGTTTCCAAGGCACATCAAGCCGCACGTCGAAAGTTGCCTCCCGTCTGATACTGTCATATCATCGCGTACGTTTCTCACGCAGACGGACCATGGGGTCTCAGGCTGACTGTATAGTGCGTCGTGCTCACGACTCGGCCGTTGGTAATGTGCATTTTACAGAGCCGTCTCGCACATCGTCACTCAGGAAGCTCATGGAACACAGTCGGGTCATTGTTGAACACCAGTGTCGACTCGGCGACGAGCGTGATAAAGACGCTCAGGGGACTCGGTGACCATAACCTCCTCGGTACGTACGGCCGTGCCAGCACCTCAGAGCGCGAATGGTGGCTGACGCGAAAAAAAAAAAAACCACAGACAGCTTCCTGCCGTTCCAACTCGAAGATGTCTTCTCCTCGGCTTTCCTCCTTCACATAATCAGCGCCGTGACACCCAGCCTGGTGCCCGACCAAACATGGACCGTCAACGCGCACGAGGTGCTCGATTTGATGATCGCCAAGGGCAGTCCCGCCGCGCGCCTCCGGAAGCTGGAGCTCGAGCACCTGCAAAAGCTCATCTCTCCGATCGTGGAGGCCGGTGGGCAGGGCGAGCCGTCTAGGTCGAATGCCAACGACAGGTCGCCGGCCGCTAATGTTGAAAATGCAGATGACTTGCTCTCTGCGGCGGAAGATGGGGTTTCTCCCTGGGATCTTCTGGGTGCGGACGGAATGCATGCGCTTTCGCCGCAGCAGATTCTGGGGTTTGCTAACGAATTCGACATGGACAGTGTTATTCAGAGCATGTTTGCGTGAACGGTTATGGTGTCATGGTTAGGGAGGATGGGGGCCTGGTAGGCAGGAAATTGATTTACAAGTATAGATAGCCGGATCGTGACCTCATCATCATCATCATCTATGCATTTGGCCTCGCGGATCGTATTCCACCCTGCTTCGTGATCCAGGTGCATGACATATGGCCAGACCCAGGGCAGCCACTCATTGTGATAGTAGAAACTCCCATCGTCGGTGAATTAAATCCATTAGCAAAAGCCGTTTCATAGGTGACCAAGTGATGTAGTTCGGTCCATCCGAAGTGCAGCAGCACCATCTGTTTCCGAAACATCGGACATGCCGACGCCAACAATCGGCTCAACCCAGCGATCAGTCTACGCAGCACACTCTCTATTTCTTCTCACCACCTTGGTTCAATTCGAAAAACAAACACCCTTCATTTCCCTTACCTCACCCAAAGTCCAAAACCATGCGCCTCCCCACAACCACCCGCACCCTCTCCATCATCGGCTGCCACGCCGAAGGCGAAGTCGGCGACGTCGTCATCGGCGGCGTGCTCGACCCGCCCAACTGCGCCACCATGTACGACAAACTCGTCCACTTCCACACGCACGCCGACTCGCTGCGGTCCCTCCTCCTCAACGAGCCGCGCGGCCGCTCCTCGATGAACACCAACGTCGTGCTGCCGCCCTGCCACCCCGCCGCCGCCGCCGGCTTCCTGACCATGGAGAGCGAGGAGTACGCACCCATGTCCGGCTCCAACACCATCTGCACGACGACGGTGCTGCTCGAGACGGGGATGGTGCCGATGCAAGAGCCTGTGACTGAGATGGCGCTGGATACGGCGGCGGGGTTGGTGCGCGTGAGGGCGGAGTGCGCGGGGGGCAAGTGTCGCGCGGTTGAGTTCGCGAACGTGCCGGCGTTTGTGTTTGAGTTGGATTATCCGGTTGATGTGGCCGGGCTGGGATGCGTCAAGGTCGACGTCGCGTGGGGCGGGATGATGTACGCGCTGGTCGATGCGCGGAGTGTCGGGCTGTCGATTGAGAACCGCAACGGGCCGCGGTTGGTCGAGGTCGGCGAGCGGATTAAGCGCGCGGTGCAGGCGCAGTACACGCCTGTGCATCCGGAGAATCCGCGGATACGGGGCGTGAGTATTCTGGCGTTTACGGAGCCGCTGGAGGAGGGGGACGGGTGCAAGATGGCGGTTAATGCGGTGGTCGTGGCGCCGGGGAGGTTTGATCGTAGTCCGTGCGGGACGGGGTCGTCGGCGAGGATGGCGGTGTTGCATGCGCGGGGGCAGTTGGCCGTGGGGGAGACGCTGAGGCATCACAGTATTATTGGGACCGAGTTCGTTTGCCGTATCACGGGGACAACTATGGTTGGGGAGTACGACGCGGTGCTGCCGACTGTCAAGGGGAGGGCTTGGATTACGAGCTTCAAGCAGATCGTGCTGGATGCTACTGATCCGTTCCCTGAAGGGTTCAGGGTGGGTGATCAGTGGCACATGGTTGATGATGAGCCTACGAGTAACGCTGGAAACTGAAGATACTGGTGTTGTTTACTTGAGTATTCACTGTATCATCGTGCTCCAGCAGAATCATCTGACACTGCCACATCTCTAATACCTCCGCACCGCCATCGCTACAGACCAGACATATCTTGTCCCATCGCTTCAATGAAATAAACTGTAAACCTTCTCGAGAGCAGCCGCCCACGTCCAGTGACACGGAATATCCAACGCCTGATCCAAATCCCTGTCATATCAACTCAGGCTGTTCTCCTACCCGACGATCATGGCCAGACACATCGCGGCTTAAAGAGCCGCCACGTTCGGCTCATCGTAATTGATACGCATCCAATTTACACTCAGCTGAAGCAAGGTTAACAGCTACCATGTGCATGAGTTTACTGTCATATCCGTTTGATTCTGAGTCATCATCCTTGATCTAACATGGCAATATATATACGTATGTATACATTGTGCATTCATAACCACAGGGTTCCTCATCCTTTACCATAATTTCCGAGCATATCCCCCCAGCGCACGGCGTAACAAATACACCAGTCCCCCGCAGGCACCCAGTCCAACGGAGACGAGCAACACTCCGCGGATGATGAACCTCCGCTTCACCACAACCTGGAACGGATCCATTCTCTGCCTCGTATTCTCGCGCGGAAACTCAACTTCAGGAACCGGCAGCCCCAGTATATCGCACAGCGGCTTCCACCCATCCCTGACATCAACAAAGTGCAGCTGCCCCTCCGGCACCACCCTGCGCACATACGCCTCATGCGCATCATACAGCCAATCCCGGTTCCCATCCACCACCTCGACCTCCCCCTCCGTGATGCCCACAGCCTGCGGCGTGCGCCTGAAGAGAAAGCCGTACTGGATATCGAGGAAGCGCCGCAGCGTCGGCGACACCCAGCCCAGCGCGGCGAGGTCGTCGATGCGCCACCACAGATTCTTGTAGCTCAGCCACCACGACTCGCGCTCGCGCCGCGTGCACACGACCGTCGCGCGCGGGTACAGCTGCAGCAGCTCCTCGACAAAGTAGCAGAACGGCACGTCCGTCGCCGCGACGCAGCCTTCGGTCAGCCGCGCCAGGCTGTACATGGCGAAGGTGCGGTCCACCAGCGTGCGCAGTGGGCACGGCCGAATCACCTCGAGAAGTAGACGTTGCTGACGCGCGCTGCCCATCCATGCGAGCGCCCCGCCGTCGACGACTGGCCCGTTCAGGAGGATGGACAGCGCCGCGCCCACGGACGTGGTGCCTGTCCGGGGCAGGCCGACGTTGATAACCTTGAGGGTGTGGTTGTGCTGGAGCGAGAGAGAGGGACGGCCGGAGGAAGCCCCGTTGGTGAGAGGGGTGGGAGATGCTTTGGGAGTCGCCATGATGAGCCTCACGCGTGTCCGTTGTGGTGTGTTTGTCCGAGATGCGCGAGGGGAAAAGCGGGGGGCTCAGGACTGGAGCCCCGGGAGTTGCGGGAATTGCGGGGGTTCCATGTGAATCCGCGCCTACCAAAGTTGCTTGTATGTCTGGTGGAAAGCTTATTGTTGCCCCGTTCGTGGCTCTGGTCCAGGGATCCCCCCGGTTAAGGTTTGCATTCCTGCTGAGAAGTCGTTGCCGCAAACTGTCCAATCATTGAAGTCACCAAGCCTGTCTGCTGGCAAATGGGCAGTCGTGTTTCAGGAAATGATAAAGGCTCGGGGTGGTGGTGTTATGCCACGATGGTGCGTGAGCAAGAAGTGACAATAGGGACCAGGAAGAAAGCGCGGACAAAGATATGCTGTTCCAACACGCGAGATTGTCTCGTGCCCAAGATTTGGTAAGGGAAAGCAAATGGTCGGAGAGTTGGGCCAAAAGTTGAACACGTGTTCAGTCTTGCAGATACGACCGGTGCGAAGGTTGTAGGGATGCCGGAGGAGGTTGGGAGACTGGCTATGGTCTTCAAAGCGGAGGTACTCGTGTTCGATGGAAACGGCCCCGCTATGTTCGTAGCTGCGGGAGAGGATCCGCTCGCAGCAGTCGTGTTGAACTCAAGCATACTTGATTTACAAACAGTGACCATTGATGGCATCATCAGAAAGGAGGAAGAGCGCATGCAAGATGTTGAAGTGGAAAGACCAAGTAGCTCGCATCTCGGTATATCAGAAGGACAAAAACTTCGTTGGGAGGATATCCGCCGTAAAGTCACGAGGAGTTGCAACGTACTTTATGAAAGGATTAGTGGAACCGACACGAGTGCTGCTGAGGAAGCGATCATGGATGCTTTTGGCATGGACAGACAATCTTTGGTACTGTAGATATCAAGTACAGGAATTCAACATCGTTACAGTGATAGCAGCTTTTATAAGGCTTGAACCTTCAGCCCTCGCCGATCTACGGAATAGGCGAAGTTGAAGCTCCAGTATTAGGTGTATACGATGCACCAACTGGCGACCAGGCGCGTAAGTAGGCAAGCAGGGCGGCGTGGGCGGCATAACCGTTTTACTGATTTCCTCGTTATGAAGTTGTAATGCAGCATTATCTACATTTTCAATTGCGTAAAGTCTTACAAGTTTATGCTCTCTATTCTTGACAAAGATATTTTCTCCGTAAAATAATTTAGTCGAAAATATTCATCACGCAGCTTATGATTACGTTTAACTCACGCCTATTTGCTACACGAGCGGAAGTCGAGACGGCGTTGCTTACATTTGCAACCAGCCACCTTAATTTTTATGAATTGTTATCCGCTTAAGATTCGTGCTACGTGCTACCAAGTCGACCACCCGGACGAGGAATGTATTGGCCGGGTGGTCGACGCCACGTTCATCAGGCCTCGGCAAGGCAAGGCAGGGGCAGAAAGCGACATGGAAAACCAAAAAAAGCAAAACAAAAAAACGCGGAGCAGCTCGGCCCGCAGCCGCCTAAAGCAGGGGCCTTTAAACGGCGCGCGCCACCGCTGTCTCTCGTTCTCTAGCTCGCTAAACAAGAGCCTGCCCGAACTCTGTCATGTTTCCGCTTACTTCACAGTACTTGTCGGCGGTGGAGGACCGCATCGCTGGGGAGATCATACCCAACGTTGACGTAAGTATTGCCGGTCCCCCAGATTATGAGTGCATAACGCTGACGGTGAGCAAGGCCTGTAAACGTTGGGTTGAGGCGACAGGCGGCGGCGGCGGCGACGTGGAGCTGGCTCGGGCCGCGCGGAGCCTGCGATGGCGTCTGGATCAGCTCTGCGGCCGCTTGGACGCCTTGCAGCACGCTGCTCGGGTCATCGATAGGCATGGCGGGCCGGAACAAGAATGCGGGTCGTCTGCAACGGCAACGACAACGGAGAATCTGTCGCACACATCCGCGTTCCGCCACGGCATCCCTGCTCGCCCTGTTCGTGTCTCACAGCCAGCCAATAGCGCCGTGCCTGGTATGGCAGCCGTTGATTCTGGAGATTTTGCGCGACTCACTGACGGCTCGCATGGCTCGTCCCATGACGTTGCTATGCAGAGCTTCCAAGGACCCGACTATTCTACGATGCAGCGAATTCCTTGCTTTGAAGGCGTCGACCAATGTGATCAGATACTTCCATCACCTTTTTCGGATAAGGTCGCTTCTATCTTCCCAAACCATTTGAACGCGAATATCGGGGTTGCATGTGCTGAAGCTTCCCTGGGTGCTGCCTCAGGATCACTCGCTGCACATCCGCTGAATGGGTTGGAGAATGAGTTACCTATAAACAACCCGAATGGACCGGAGCCCAATTCCATCCAGCCCCCAGAAATGGAGAACTCATATTTCGTGGCCACTAAGGACGCTATTTCCGCCCCAGCAGAGACACAAGCCGTGATTAGAAACAGCCGCTGTGCCAGGCAACGAACGAACAACTGTAACATGCTTGCAGGAGCAAATGTCGCTGGAAGCGGCTATGATTTCGGAGTGACGAAGATCCAGTCTGCCGCACTTGGTGCTCGCCGCAGCGGCAGGACGCCCATAGAAATTGATTCAGGCTCCGAATCAGAGGCCACTTCTGAGAGTTCCGCCTCAGATGATCAAGATTTGGCGCTACCTGGTGTGGACCCGCATTTGCTGCGTCTTGTCGACAAAGCAAATGGTTTTCATGATTTTCCTGAAGGGATTCTGAGGGGCTTTCTCCCTGAGCGTTGGTTGAATGATATGAACATTACTGAGACCATCCGGATGCTAGTCCCTGAAAAAGCAGAACCGCTGATAGCGGAACATGAAATCCAGAATTTTCCGGAAGGCGGCCTTGCTCGACCGTATATGCCGGCGGAGGTGTCGAACACAACCTTGAGACATCGAATAGACTCTACGCACCTTCTCATTGCTTACAATGTCCCCAAAGGCAGTCTGAACTGTACCAAAAAGGACCGGAAGAATCATTGGGTCCTGATCGTTGTCAGTGTATTGGCGAGCGAAATACATATATTTGGATCCGAGGTAGGACTGGAGGATCAGGCTGAATCGTTAGCGAAAAATATCGGCACATTTGTGAATAATCATCGTACTCGCTCCGATGATTGTCATCTTCCGTTGAAATGGTCGGAGCCTAAGTTGGAGCCTGTGAGTCATATTCCATAAGAGCTTGGGCAAAGCTAATCATTTGTAAGCTCTACCCTTTCGATATCACACCAGATACCTACAACTGCGGTATTGCCGTGATTTCCCGCGCCGAAGCGTTTTTTTACCCCGAGAAGGCGCTTAACGCGCAAGAAAACACCACCCCATTCGAGCTAGCTCAGCAGCTAAACCAGAAGCGATCCGAGTATCTTCGTCTCTTTACAGATATATACAAGTCTGTGCATACAACTGAGATGCTGTATGATCAAATCACTCAGCCAACTATGACTCCAGCTAAGCGGCTGGCATTGGATCATCCACTCACGAGCCGACCCAAAAAAGCTACCAAGAGGTGCATTGAGTGGCTTTCAAGCTATGCAAAACCACAATCCTTGTCTGAGCCTAGACTGTCTAAATCCGAACTGTGGAAAAAGTGCATCATGGATTGTGCGGACGCATACGGCTTCAGTGCAGAAGGACTTTTCCAGGCGTTTCAAAATGCCCCAGAGTACCCTGCTGAAGATGTGACCAGAGTTCTGCAATTCTTTTGCGAGGTTGCGAATCCCGAAAAGCTCATTATTCTCAAGCGGCTTGTGGACCAAGGACGCCTGGATCCGTTTCTCAGGGAGGCGACTTTCACTTCTTCCGACGCAGAAAGCCTATGGAAACTTCATTGCTTGATCAACAAATTTGCTACAGTTGACAAGCCAATTCTCTTATTTAAATCGCTGTTCTGTTTGTTTTGCTATTACGAGTGCCACGAGTTTGCTGTTTCCTCGCGGAGGAAAGAGCTGGAATTTGGGCGGGCAAATCACAAACGTAAACGGGACCGAGAGCGGGGCCGGAATAGACCACAAGCTCCTCCAAAACAAGATTTGAGTCGCCCTGCCCTCACCGCGGAACAGCAGATCAGGGCATCGTTGGTGGAGAGACTGCAAGAGGCGGGAGTCTCGCTTAAGGAGGCACAAGAGCAGATCAGGAAAAATCTACAATACGGGAAACGCCTGAAGCTTCTACTAAACGGTCGCAATCCGCTCTGGTTATTTCTCATGCTGATTCAAGCCGATGGAAGTTCCATCCTGCGCGGAGGTAAAACGCCACCTGCGTTGAATTTAACAGACTTTAAGCCACCAACGGAATGCAGAAAATTCTCAGAACCGATATCTACTGATGAGTAAGTTACAAGTGTTGATTTACATTTCTCCTTATGATTTTAGCTCACGAAATGGCATAGGTTGCTCGGCCTCACGGAAAAGCTTGCCACTTGGTTCGGCAAATACCTTTTCATTGCACGCCCCGAGCTTAGAGATATCGATTTGAGCTATATTGATATATTCCGCAATATCCCCAGCCCCATCAGGTTGTGCGTAACACCAGATGAGGAGATATATGGGACTGCGCCAAAGGATATCGGGAACCTTTTCCACTCAACGGTTGACGGAGAAAGTTGAGGGAGGCCTCATAGCGGGGCGATGTTATTAATTTCAAAGTGAGGTATATTCTATTACGTTCCGACGTTTGCACACGCATGATCATCTTCTACAGGTCTGGCTGTATCATATTTCCTCTGTGGTAATACAGTCAGATATAAAGCTGTACAAGAATCCAACCGAACGAGCAAATGTATATAACGGATCGATTTATAGCATCTCATTCAATTGATAGAGTTGCTTTTATTCTCAGGAACCCACAGTACAGTTCAAGGCATGATTTCTCCAATTGCCACAGGAGAAGACCCAAGCAGTAGGTGTTATATCATTCCACACTCCCAGGTGGTCTGATCCTCTCCGATAATCCTTCCATACAAAATGTCATCCACACCGAAAATCCAAGTCATTCCAAACTGCAAAACCACCTCATCACACCAACCCTTCCCCTCCACACCCCGGCCACCTCCTCCACACCATGGCCTCCCAACACCGCGCCATCACCCTCACAATAACAAGACCCGACACCACCTACACCACCACAATCACCCTGGCCCGTCCCGCCTCGCCCCCCAGTCCACCTGATGTCGACGACCGCACATCATTATCCTCTTCCAGCCACGCCAACGCGCCCAGTAGCGACGCTGCCACCATCGGCCTCGCAACCGGTCTGTCCATTGCTGTGCTTGTCCTAATCGTCTGGTGTGCGGCACGGCGACCGGGCCCTGCGGGTGCCCCGGGGCGCCACGGCCGTGACGGCCGTGATGGAGTCGATGGGCTACCAGGCCCGCGCGGCCGGCGGGGAGCCAGGGGCCGTGCTGGGCACGATGGTGTGGCGGGACCGCCAGGGCCGCCGGGGCAGGAAGGCTTGCGAGGCGCCATGGGGCCGGAGGGAGTGGCGGGGCGGGAGGGGCGGGAAGGACGCGAGGGACGCGCTGGGCGTGATGGGCGCGATGGGCGCGATGGACGGGACGGACGGGATGGCGTTGTCGGGCCTCGCGGTGAACGAGGGGACCTGGGTGAGCAAGGGGTTCGTGGCGAGCGGGGCCTTCGTGGCGATGAGGGCCCTCGTGGGTTGCAAGGACTTCGTGGTGAACGGGGAGTTGGTGGTGAACGAGGTCATCGTGGTGAGCAAGGTCTCCCTAGTGAGCGGGGCCCTCCCGGTGAACAGGGTCCTCGTGGTCTCCAAGGTCCTTGTGGCGAGCAAGGGCCTCAAGGCCTCGAGGTGATGACGGAAATGTTAGGAATGGAATCTTGCTTGTAAATAACCATATAAGTGATAGAGGAAACGTCTAGAAACCCTCTATCTCCGCATTGAAACCTCCAGCACAGCACAGAAGAATGTGTTCTGTGTCCCTCCGCTTCGGTACAGCTGTGTCAATGGCATGATGTGTAGGGCGCACCGCATGCGAAGCATTTCAGGAAGCCCCATTCTCGCTACTGAATCCAGGAGCCCCTCTTCTGGGATGATTGTCCCGAAACATCTTTTTTTTTTACCTCAAAGGCTTTTACTCGTTGCATTGTGGGTTCTGAACAGTAAAAGAAATGAGCAAGGAAGCCATCTCTTACAATTCCATACCCTCGAGCATCGCATCACTTATCCAATTGACTTTCCCGGGGCATCCCTTTCTCTATCAAACGCACACAGGGTAATACTTAAACAACTTGACTGCGGGAAAGCCAGCCACCCCTTCGTTTCCGAGTCTAGTTCACTGTGTTCGCACATGTGACATCGTTTTGATCTAAGCTCAATCTTTGTAAGCCCCATCCACTTTGTACAAAATTCAATTCGTCGTTCTAGTTCACGCCTCATCCCAATTGCGCAAGACACCCCACAGCCAGAATGGGGCAAATTGTCACGAGGATACGACAAATGGCCGCACGATCCATTGCTTGGATCAGAGAACACCCATCGAAGGCCGTCATCTGTGCCATCAACACGGTAATCATAGCCGTACCGACCATTGTTTTCACTCCAGTCCTTGGATTGTTGGGTTTCACAAGTCTCGGGCCAGCAGCTGGTAACTCTCCACCGCATCCGGCCTCAGAGCCCCTGGCCCACCACGAAGCATTCAACAAGCTGATCTAGCTTCAGGTTCCATCGCCGCAGCTCTGCATTCATCTCTTTCCCCTCTGGCAGCAGGTGGGGCCTTTTCTGTTCTCCAAAGCGCCGCGATGGGCGGCTACGGTGTCGGCGTTGCGGCTGGCGCTGTCCGCGTCGGCGCTGCAGCCATCATCCGCCGCACAGCTCGGTGAGTCAGTGCATATGCGGAGGAATAATCAGAATCCGGGGGATATCTGGCGAGGAATGAGATACATCATTGCAGAGGTACACAAACAGAAGTTTTGATGTCTGCTGGTCCTTTGGGCTTGTTTATGGGTTTTGGGATTTGTAACTATATGTTGATTCTGCGTCAGCTATTGCCTCGTCTTTTGTATGCGATGCTCAACTGTGGGCTTCATTGAATGAAAAGCCTCTCTTGTAGCCTGAGCGCAATGGTCGAATATTCAGAGCATTGGCACTCTGAGCAGTGAACCAAACTTGACGAATGCGCCCCGTATATCCTACCACTCCACGATAGGTATGTTTATTCATAAAAACAAAATAAATGATGCAATTAACGGAAAGAGGTCTACGAATGCAGTGCGTTATTCGAGCGCAGTTGAAATAGCTATCTGGAGCCTTGGATCATAGAAATAGTCATCCGATTCTCTTTTGATAGGCCAACGAATGCAGGTTGGACATTCGAGGAAATCCCTTCACTTGGCCTCGAAAACGGAAGTCCATGATGACTGACTGCACCGAGTAAGGTGTGGCATCACATGGTACATTTGTCCTTCGACTTAAATATGTGACCCAAAAGTGCACGTCGATGGAGCCTCAGACAACCTTCACATCCTATCCAGCCTCCTTGAATTATCAATCTCTCCCAGCCACCCCAACAAGATGCCGGAAGTTGAATGTGTTCTTGGTTACGAGTTCGCGAACAAAGAACTCAGGGATGAAGCCCTCCTCGCAGCTGGAACAGCTATCGCTGACCCCACAGTCGACGGAGATCCTCGCGGAAATAAACGGCTTGCGTTGGTAGGGGACGCGGTCCTCCAACTCGTTATTCTCGACCGGTGGTACGGGGATAATACGGACCCAGGTAGGCAATCCTTGATTTTTAGCATACACTCGCTTACTAATCACACGAGAAGCGGTCGGAAACAAACTACTCAAACAAAACGTTTCGAACGCTGCACTTCGAGTTCAGGCATCGAAGGCACACCTAGAAACGATGATCCGCTTGAACCCGTGTCAAAAAGGGAAGGCACCCCAAGAGACACTTGCTTCGACGGTTGAGGCTTTGGTGGGTGCCGTATGGTTCGATTGCGGGGGTGACATCGATGTGGTTCGGGGGATCATGGAAAGGCTGGGTATATTCCGTCACGAATAGCTGTCAAACGCTGAGAATAGGGGTTGCTGCTCAATAAAGTTCCCCGGGGAGTATTACTAGGTGTAACGGCTTGTGTCATTCTCAGTCAGGAATAACTGAGGCAGCTCTCGGTTGAACTTCCAAGGTATTTAGACTATGCTATATGACGAGATTCTAATTAACCGAAACCGAGGTCCGTGATGAGTACTGCCTGTAGTTGTGATGACTCATATTGTGATTCAAGGGAATCCAGCAAGAGTGCATGCCGTCCCTGAATTAAACATTATGCCAGTGGCAGGGGCTCCCTGCTGTGCACTCTAATTCATGTCTCCTCGCTTTTATCATCGAGGTAAACCAACAGATTGATGTAAGGGTATTTATACGGGCACACCACAGCCCACAGCATGGCGATGATGATGCATCTTGAATGTGCCCTTGCTTATCGATCATCTATATATTCAGAAAAGCCCAGCCCTCGGCTTCAGTGCCATCCATCCTCAACGGAGCATCTCTATCTGCCCAGCACTTTGGAAATCTCTTCAACAAAACCATCGCATTCTCAATCATGTCCGCAACATCAACCCACACACTGGCAGACCCATCCATGCTCGCCAAAATCGACAAGCTCTTCGCCTGTAACGTGGGGCATTACATCGACCTCCCCCAGATCGTCGTCGTCGGCGACCAGTCAAGCGGCAAGTCATCCGTCCTGGAAGGGCTGACCCGTCTCCCCTTTCCACGCGACAGCGGGCTGTGCACGCGTTTCGCGACCCAGATTACGTTCCGACGCGCCACGGTCAAATCGATTTCGGTGTCGGTCATACCCGGCAAGGATGCCCCGCCCGACCACGTCGATGCCCTGCGCGGCTGGAAGCGAGCGGACGTCGATAACCTGGGCGGAGAACAATTCGCACAGATCATGCGTGAGGCTCAGCAGTTGATGGGGATCATGCCGCGCAGCGATGACAACGGCAATAAGGAGAGCATGCCGACCAGGGCGCGCAAGACCTTCTCCTCCGACGTGTTATCTATCCAGGTATCGGGCCCGGATGAAGAACATCTCACAGTCATTGATGTTCCTGGAATCTTCCAACGGGTGACCAAGGACGTGACTACGAAAGAAGACAAGGAGTTCGTCCGAGAGATGGTTGCAGGGTACATGAGAAATCCTCGATCTATCATGCTGACGGTCGTGCCGGCAAATGTTGACGTCGCTACCCAGGTGATTTTAGAAATGGCGGAAGAGGTGGACAAACATGGACAGCGGACATTGGGAGTACTAACGAAGCCCGATCTTGTTGACAAGGGCGCCGAGAAAAGCGTGATGGATATGATTGAAGGAAGAACTCATCAGTTGCTTCTAGGATGGTGTTTAGTAAGAAACCCTGGTCAAAAAGAGGTGGAAAGTGCTGGCTTCGATCGGTATGCCGAAGAAGAAAGGTTCTTCCGCATTGCACCACTTTGGAGCAGGCTTCCAAAAGATCGTGTTGGTGTGACTGCATTGCGATCGAGGTTGCAGGAAGTTTTGGCCAGACACATTCGACAGGAATTTCCGAAAGTAAGTTATGACAGCTTTTGGGGGGAGAAATTAACATTCTGATTGACCTCGCAGGTGAAGGTCGAGATCAACAAGAAGCTCAAGAAGAGCAGGGCGGAACTTGAAGCCCTGGGATCAAAACGCGACACGCCGGCTGAACAATCGAGATTCCTCATCGACATGGCCGACAAATTCCAGAACATTGTTGGCAAGGCTCTGGCTGCGAGATATTCCGACGAGTGTTTCGCGGAACACCCGGAGCTCAAGATTGCGACACTAGTCGTTCAGCGCGATGAGGTTTTCTCGAAAGATTTTGCAACCCATGGCCACACTTACAGGTTCAAGGACTTTTGGGACGATGATGAGAAAGAGGCGGACGCTGTCTCTTGCTTCACACAGGACGATGACGATATTGACTCGACTAACCACATCGAAAATGGATGTAATGGGGCGGACGGGCAGCTGAAGAACATCTTCACGAGACATTTCGAAGATGCCGGAGATCTCGTCGATATTCTTCATCCGACAAAAGCCATTGTCCAGCCGAAGGCCCGCGGTATCTTAGACTGGATCACAGATCTCTATGAAGACTCACGTGGGTTTGAGCTTGGGCAATTTGATCCATCGCTACTTGCGACGTTGCTGAAAGCACAGACCAAAAATTGGCAAGGCTTAGCTCTTGGATACACCTCTGATGTTGTCGCTCTGACTCATACTTTCATCCAAACCCTCCTCGAGTACATCTGTCCCGGACCCGGCACTTACCAGAATCTTAACTCCATGATCATGGACCACCTGATGGATCGGTATCAGAAGGCATTGAACGAGGTGGAGTTCATTCTCGTTGTCGAGCGGTTTGGAACACCAGCAACGCAGAACCACTACTTCAATGAAAACTTACAGCAGTGGTAAGCCAACAAACACCTGCCCATTGAGTAGGCAAAATGGAGCTAATAGATTGAGTGAAGCCGACAAGACCGCGACTTGAAGGCAGCGTGTGACAAGGCCTTCTACTCTTCAGAAGCCAAGCAGCGTGTGGTCAGGGTGAACGACCTCAAATCTTCTCGTTCAATGAGCAACAAAGAGCACACCGTTCGGGATCTCCATGACATCCTTGCATCCTACTATAAAGTAGCGCGAAAGCGGATTGTTGATAACATTTGCATGCAGGCTGCGTCCTATCACCTGGTGACTGGCCCAGATACACCACTCAAGGTTTTCTCTCCGGGATTTGTCAGCCAGCTCTCTGATGAGCAACTGGAGGAAATCGCCGGTGAGGATGCCCTAGTGAGAGGGACACGAGCGCGGCTTCTGAAGGAGGTAGAAGACCTCCAGAGTGGGAAAAGGATTTTGGGATAGGTGTTTACGACTGTTTTTTGCTTCTTCGTTGAAGTTTGGTTCATTCAAGTACCCACCATGCCAGCAGTTATGATATAGCGATAACATGTGAATGCGCTTTAGATCGTTGTGCCTTCTTTTGTTCGATTGAGTGACTAGTTTGACGCCAAAGATTTTACTTCGCGCTGGTATCTCAATAAAAAGTTAGATGATCACTCTTCTAAAGCCTGTGATACCTGGCATTCTGTAAAAGCTAACCACCATGCAGCCTTATCAAGCCGGAGTCCTGCTAGAACTGGAATTTTGAGTTTTGCAATACCCGAAATTGCTACGATCGAGAATTCAAGTATAAGTTTGTTACTCCCTTAAAGTCTCCCAATGTCCCTTTTCATCTTAAATGGACCATGATCATCAATCGAAAGCCGTTAGAAAATTCATTGGAAAGCTGAATTCCGTACAGCTCGTGTACTGTACAATATCTTATAACCTCCTAAGACCTGTTTGGTATTTCGGTGGAGCCAGGCTGGGCTTACAAGAGCTTGTTCCAAGTACTTTTGTAGATTCCGCGAAAGCACATGTCTTAGTATCATTTGCTTAAACGCGTGGCATGACATCACAGATTTACCAACGGGTCTATGTCGACATGACTAGCAATAAATCATGACAAGAACGTATTTCAACTTAAAGCCCAGGGATGGCAGAGAGAAGAGATAATTTCATTTTCAATTTAGATAAAAAGCAAATCGTACCAACAGAAGTCTCGGTAAAGACTGTAACGAAGCCCCGTAAGCTCTCTTGTTCTCCCGACAAAATGCGACTTTTGCAAGCCGACACCACAACACCCTGATCATTGCATGGATGGTGATATTTGGCAGTTTTGTCCATGCACGCCTGACGAAGTGTAAGGGTCTTATTTCTTGGTTGAGCCTGTGTTGCCCCCGCCGGTGTTCGCATTGCGGTCTCCCGCGCTCTGGGCACGCGCAGCGAATCCGCCAGCCGACATGTCGCCACCGCCCCGAGCCTTCCCATGTTTTAGTGACTAAGTGACCTCGGATTGTACGGTGATCTTACTTGCGAGGATTGAATCCGAGCGGCGTCGGATTGCGTCATGGGCGAGAAGCTGCCCTTGGATGAGGTGTTGTTGTCCTTGGAAGACATTTTCAGTTGGAGTAGTTGACGGAGATTTCTTTTCGTTCTGAAGTGTTTGATGATGAGTTAGGAAGAATATTTATCTCCCTTTAAATATCACTCACTGGTGACCTGTGCACAGGCTTCCTACGTCCCCAAAGAGCATACCAGACTTGATTGCATGTCTCTCGACCCTTTCAAGTCGATCAACCCTTTCGCTTGGTGCACAAGAGCCAAGCTCTGCACCCCCTTAGAAATTCTTCGAAGAAAAAAGAACAGTAGAATGCGTTAGAATACTAAGGCTACCAATCCGCATTGGAATAAGCGCGGCATCACACTTTTTCCTGGGACAATAATTGGTGATGCTCGTCGAGAATCATTGTGACTCATTCGGTCAGGCATGTTAAACCTCAAGGCCTGTCCTGGAAGATCGAAGATCGGAAGTATATTTTCATCTCCACAATTCCAAATCGGAACTCTAGATTTTACTCAAAGTTGAAACCAACCGGTGTTCAACAATCAGTAATAACAGTCTCAATTTGTTGTACTTACAAAAGATATATCCCTCGCGTCTTACAAGTCCTGCAAAGTGGCTTGTAGTCATCGCTGGGGAAAAAGCCAACCCGCTGGAACTGCGGTCGAATCCTTGGCAGATTAACGTACCAAAACACCCATGCCAGTTCGTTTGTTAGCATGAACACAGCATAAACCTCCCTCTGGAATGCTTTGGTGGTCTCGCGATTAGTTTATCTTAACCCTACTTGATCATCACCACCCTGGATGAGGTTAATGTTATGGTGAAGATGTTCCTCTTTCGTTTTTCTGGCCTCGACCGATCCACTTTTGGCAAGGCTCCAGTGACGTGTACTTTCCTCTTAGGCTGTAAAGAGCTAACCAACGGCATCTTCCCGATGCGTAGGGATACAGATAGCTTAGCGAAGCTTGATTTGAGGCCTCGGATCAAACAGGATGGGAAACTTAACTGGGCCGTCTTCAGCACTCCAACTCCAGGACGGCGCTCGGTACGATGGCGTGTCTGAGTATCGTGGATTGATTCTCAGTTGTATCCCGACTCACGGCATGGGTCTAATAACTCTGCAGCTCCCAAATCAGCTTAAGCGCGAGGCTTTGCACTCAATTTATAAAATTGCATCTTAACTTGGCCTTTCCGTTTCAATTTTCCTTTCTAAAAATGAGTGCTTTTTAGACAGTGAATAAGTGTCATAACAATTTGATTTATGAGTGTCAATTCGGGGATGTATGTTTAAAATTCATGGCAACTTATTCAGATATTTTCTCATTTCGTCGCCGTGGCTGACCAAAGCTTCCAGGCGCTTCGACTTTCCACTTTGCCTTTAGTTTTGTACTACAGGTAAACTCTTACCGAAATCCGAAAGATGGTGTCATTGTGGCCGATGTGTTCGCAACCATGTGATAGAGTTGCAAATACTAGTATTCAGACACAACCGGACGGACAAATTTCACGTCTCGGGGGTTCGGCTTCAAGAGCTATCGCTACCCGCGATCATCTCATTTGCCAACTTTATCAATAATCGGCCCGTGATCTACCAGGAGCGGCGAGGATACTATTTCCTTTAGCAACAATTATTGTAAAAACTATGCTGACTTACAACCGGAATGTTTATTTAAGCAATTTCGCGCGTAATCGGACGGACGAATAGCACGTCCCCACTAAAATTCGGCTTCGAAAACTGCCGCTAACCGTGATCGTCATGGTTGCCTACTTCAGCAATATTCGGTACAAACCTACAAGTAGCCGCATGGACGCTTTCACTTCAGGAACACTTATTGTGGAACCCACAATTGCCTGCCATCATAATGATTACTCAAGCAACGTTCGGGACGGAGCCTTTGACTACCGTCAGCCATGATCGTCAATCCAAAGAGTACAAATACTTAGCCCAAACGATAGAACGGTAGATTAGAGCATCATTCACTACAATCCCCATTAAACTACCAAGCTCCAAGATCATGAAGGTCGCAGTTGCAGGAGGAAACACCAGCGTTGGCCTTGCCATCGTCGACGGCATTAAAGCCCGCGGAAAATACGAATGCATCATCCTCGGCCGCAGGCCGCACGCCGAGCACGATGTCCTCGTAGTCGACTACGCTAACATCAACAGTCTGGCAGCGAAACTGGAAGAAGCGCAGGTTAATGTTGTCATTTCCGCCCTCTCCATGGAAGACGACGCCTGCGGCCAGGCGCAGCTCAACCTCATCGAAGCCGCCAACCGTTCCAAGTGCACCAAGCGTTTCTTGCCCTGCGAATTCGGCATCCAGTACACCGCTGAGTAAGTCGACTGACCCCACAACGTACCATCTAGCTAACGCATCCCCAGACGAGTCAAGAACCTGACCGGCCTCTCCTTCCACTACAAACTTACAGCAGTTGAAGCGCTTGAGAACACAGATCTGGAGTTCTCTCTCGTCTCCTGCGGCATCTACCTCGACTACTGGGCGACATCCGTCATCCCGTCTCGGCTCCGGTTCTGCCAGCCCTACTGGCTCGATTTCGGCCACCGCCTCGCCGCCATCCCCGGCGACGGTAACGCGCCTCTCGTGCTGACGCACACGCGCGATGTGGGGCGCTTCACCGCCGCGCTGCTCGAACTCCCGCGTTGGGAGCGCAGGTACACCATCCGTGGCGATCGCTTGACGCTGAACGAGGCCGTGCGCACGGCTGAGGAGGTTATGGGCGTGAAGTTCGCCGTCGTGCACGAATCGGCGGAGAAGTTGCGGGAGGAGGGCGCCACGATTTTGCCTGGAATGGATGGTTTAGACGAGGCCGCTCAGGCCGTTATGAAGTCCAGGTTGGCGCAGCTGGGTATCAATTGTTTGGAGGGATGCATGGATCTGGATGGGTCGGCTAGCCTCAACGCCATCTTCCTTGACATTAAGCCACTTACGGTGCGGGACGTGGCCGAGGCCTGGAAAGAAAAGTTGCAATGATCGTGTTTGTTTCCGATGTAATGCATGCCGGAAATTAAGGATACCGGGATCCGGATGAGATTTCGATCCTGCCATCAAGCAAACACAGACAGTGCAAGTAGGAGGATTCCATTGTTGATGACGGAGATCACTACTATACTTATCCATAGGTTTTAACACAGAATAATGGAGTGGGATATTTCATTGCGCATGCAAGGGAAGCAGCGATAAAGAAAACAAGATGGAAAACAGTCGAACTTCATGCGAGTGTTCTGACCGACTTTCTTTGCTTTTTGCTCAACATGAAAAATCATCCTTGTTCATGCATATATTGCGAAACACCAACACGCAATGTACCCCTTTTCTGATCACGCGTCTGTTCAGAGTTCTGTGTATATAGTCAGGTAGATTTGCCGCTTCTTCTCAAGTAGCAGCAGCCCACAACTCATACAATCTTTACTTCAACAAAATCAAGGGAAAAAAATCAAAAAAAAACCTATTCCCAAAATCAAGAAAAACAAACTGAAAACCTCATCCCCAAATAAACCAAAAAACAAAAAAAAAAGTCAAAAGAACTGGAAGAAGTCATTCAGAACAGGGCCTACGAATGGCGTGCTCTACCACTTCCTTTCCTCTCGGTTGTCCTCCAAACGAGAGCTCACCCGACGTCCTTGTCTTCGCACAAGACGCCTCGTAGTACGTAGTGGCCAATTTCAAGATTGACGAGTAAACAGCGCTGACTGCAACAGGCGAAGCTCTGCAAGAGGCGAAGCTCTCCAAGGGCCAGGCGCACTTGACGAGGCCATCGCATGGTGCGGTGCTCCATTGTCATCCTTGGGCCGGGCGGAGGGCTGTCAAGGTGCAAGCAAACACCATCCCAACCGAGGGTTCACATCCTGGCAGATGAAATTTGGCTGCGCCGGCTGCGAGGATGGGTGAGGGAGGCTCTGATGATGATACAGATGATGTATCATATCAACTTTGATGTGGCAACCCCGCCATCCGGACGATTGCCGAAGGTACGACCCCCCGCTTCCAGAGCCCGTTCGGGTATACGCCACGTGAAGCGTATACCTGATAGATCCATCATTCTCGGCAGCTACAGGGACTTTGCCGGGGATGTGGAGGCAGTGGCGAATTGCCAAAACACCCAAGGGCTGCACTCGGCGGAGCTGGTTCAGAAGTGTCGAAGAGACAGCCTCAATGGGATATGTAAGTGCACCCTTATCCCCACCCCACGCAACTCGATTCTCACATGTGGCAGGTCAGAAGCCTTCGCCACGACATCGCCCCCTATGTGGGCAATACCGAGGAGATCCGGCTTCCTTCACTGAGAAGCCTCGAAGAGGAATACTGGGACACGTTTCCGACTTCCGTCATTCTCTTGCGTATCGGAACCGGCATCGCACGATCCATCATGTATTCGGCCTGAGACAAACAGGCTAGATACATCAGGCAGCCTCTTACCGGACATCGAAAACAGGCTGGATAAGCTTTAATCCAGCACATCTGAGAGGGGGCTTTCTGAAGTCGATTCGGAGTCCACATCCACGACAAAGTCCGAATCTACTTTAGAATCTGAGTCCACTTTAGAGTGAGTCGAGTTCAACGCCTGAAAATTCCATAGAACGGACGGTAGCGAACGGCCGCTTCCTATTGGCCTAGTAGTTTCCAGTAGTTTGAGCTCCCGGTCGAAAACACTAATTTTGGGAGAACGGCCACCAGCCCTGGCTCCCCATTCAATGCACGCATATTCCAGAGAACCAAGTTCAGAGTCCGAGTCCGGTTCAAAGTCCGCGTCCGATTCAGACTCCAAGTCTAATCTAACGCCCATGCCTAACTTTGAACCAGACGACTTCGCGCTGGTGTGTGTCCATTGCAAGACGCATACCATCCATGTATATATGCAAATACTACAAGCGTCTCTTAAAAGGCAATCGATTGTACTGAATGCACTGGATGGGTGACATGAAGACTGAGATTCTGGCTAACGATGCACACCCTGCTGAGAACCTTGACTCCATTTTCCTGTACAGTACATTCTACAATTAGAAACCTTATGGGTTGCTTGGAATGGGATAAATACATCCTCGATATGACTTTTATCTCAAAAGCACGCAACACTGAAATAGCACGTGGATTGTTGGTGTTCAGTATTACACGGCATATATTGTAGGGCGTGCAGCTAGTGTAAGAAATTTTAGTATGATAATTCGTCAAGAAGGCACACATCTCCAGCTATTCGAGTACCACAGTCTTGAGCTCCTTCTCAGTCTCCCCCCATAGCTTCAGATAGACATGGCCAAGACCAAGACGACGAGCTACTGGTCCGCATCTGTGAATCAGCATCACGACCACCTGCGGCGGCGATTCGCGTTCCAACTCAAAATCAGATGCAGATTCCATAGCGCAAACATGGTTCATCTCTTTACTGAATGCTTCGTTGTTCTCGAAATCAGGGTCTCCCGGCTCCCATGTCCCGCTCGAAGTTTTCTTCAGCCCATCAGCCCGAGCAAAGGTGAAATCCACACCAAAGTAAATTCCCAATGCAAGAAATTCCACGCAAATCTCAGCATCCTGTATGCCGATAGATGATAAGATCTCTTGAGATTCCTGAGATAGCTCTACAAGGCCAATCCACTGACCGTTAGGTCGCCGGATATGGAAATACGATGTAGATCCCTCCACTCCTTGAAGCTGCAAAAGTGCGCATTGAGTGTGCACCAATACTCTCCCAGGCTGAATAGATGCGGTCTTGAGGTCTTGTTGCGAGAACATTTCCTGTTGCCAATTTTCTCCCCGAGAGATTCTCCAGAAATCGTCGTATGTAGGGAATTGCTCGTCTATCTGTCGTTGAATTGAAGATAGAGAAGAATCCGGAGTGAAATGAAACAGCGGCGGCCTTGCAAAGCAGCCTTGTAGCCAGGCAATCATCATGAGAACCCTCACATCAAGCCCTTTTTGAACTCCCCAGCTGTCGCAGTACCGTTTTGGTCGAGACATCACTGGCACCAAACACAGTTGGTCGTTTGCAGCCGGTTCGCAGAACGCCCAAGTCGCCAGTGAGCCGCAGGTCATTACAGTCTCGCCGTAATCCACAAAGTTCTCCATAGAGGCCCATGACCAGGAAGGGAATTTCTGTGGGCTTGCTGGGCTGCGTTTGTGCGAAGTGTTTCCCGTTTTCCACTGGATTGCCTCGTCGAATTCTTCGAATGGTATCCCGAACCGGTGATTCTTGTCGATGTAGCAGTCCTTCTCAATAACCCAATTGAGAACGCCTTGGAATGCTAGGAGGACATCAGTCGAGTGGGTGAATTTGCGGTGCAGGATTTCCCAGACGGCATCGTAATAACTCGGGCTAGAGCGACGCGCTTTCTTTCTTTGAGATACACGTGTATCTCCCTCCGCCAGAAGTACGGAATTGCCCTTGATCTCCAGGAAGGCTCCTTCTTCGGTAAAATAGAGCAACCGTTCCGATACAACGGCTTCTTGATACGTCCATCCGCGGTTGTACCATTTGGAATCCGAGTCACGCATTAGCCATCTCCAGGGCTTAGGCTTACGGAGAGAAGCACTGCGAGAAGTAGCTCCCAAGCCACCTATATCGGGCCTGTAGGGAAACGCTACAGTCAAGCCGTTCCAATGTACAGAATACTTGACTTCCCGTCTGTCAACTCGGACGCCGGGGAGGCCGGACATTGCGTCTCGGCCTAAAGCTGCAACTAAAGTAACGTAAGAAGTTGCGTAAATTCTGTCCATTTGAGAAATCTGGTGCAGTTTGTTGTTCTCGTCATCTTGCACGATGCAAATGCGGTCGACCCAGAGGTACCGCAAGCCCAACATTTTCGTTGCAACTATGGCGTCGTAAATAGTGGTCGGAACATCCGCTGAAAGTAGACTTCCTTCTTGCTCCAGGATCGCAATGGTGCGTTTTCTTGCCTCGAGTTGGACCTCCGTAGATGCTCCCCAAACGTAGCTGAGGGTTGCGTAGTCATGGGGTTCTGATACGCGGACGACGCAATTTCGGACAACATCGATGAGTCTGAAATCGTCGAATATTTTGCCAGGCCATGTGCCTTGGGTAGTGGGCTGCTTTGGATGCTCTGCCAGCCAGCCTTTGATTAGGTCCCACTGAATTTTCCCACAGTCGGGTGGCGTAGGAGCGGTTTCAGGGTCCAGAAGAAGGTCGCCGACGTATTCTTCATTCTTGAAAAGCATAACTCCGGTTTCGTCAAAAGCCATGCCTATCATGGTCGACGGAGCTGAATTGGAAAATTGAGGACGCGTGGCGAGAAAATTGCAAAATCCGCATTGGAATGCGCGACTGCGCAACTCCCTGAGTTCTCCCAGAAGAATGAAAAACACGCTCTGAAACCCGTCTGAACCGAGTTTTGGTATTGATGCGTACTTGGGAAGGGCGTGGAAAAACAGATGTCGAGGACGAAGATGCGTGCAGAATGAACAGATCGAAGCTCCAGACGCGGGAAACTCGGAGCATCTGGCGCACTCTTCGTGGAAGGAGGCTGAGAATATTTCCCGTGGTAGGGCCACTGGCTTGTACCTAAAAATCGTGCCACTTTCGCTCAACCTCACAGCGGAAAGGAATTGACATAGTTCGCAATGGTCTTCGCACGACGCATGGAGAGCAGCGGTGTTATCCGATGATTGATCTCCATCTCGAGGATAGACAGTAGTACTGTATAGCTGGTTAGAGCTTCGGGGGGTGTCCTGGACGCCGGTATGCGTTTCTGATGTCTGCCCGGACCCCTGAATTGCCATGTCTGTAGGTATCGCTAGGGTATCTCGATGCCTGAATGGCGAAGTTCAAGGTGTTCAGAAAACCTCTCATTTCCAGCGAGCAATAAGCCAACGCTTGTTAGGCAGCAGTATCGTTCGTCTACCCCACTTTCTGTGAATCCTTCAATGGAACTTTAAGTGGGTCTCGCCGGGTAATGCTTGCGTACCTCGGATCAAGTTACTGCAGAGGGGTGCCGTAGCCGATGGCTAGCGCGAAGAATAGCAGAGCCTTTGTACATGGCGTAAGTATGCTTCGATTCTTTTTTTCTTCCATAATTGAAAAGAACATGTGTGGATAGTTGAAGCCATCTTCCGAAAGTCAACGAATATCTATTAATTCCACATTGAAATTCGCATAATACCTTCAACTACCAATGATACGAGCGAGAAGAGGATTCACATTAATCGTCGGCTGTAATACACCCTTGTATAATCATGCTTGTTAGGCAGTGGCATGTAAGTCTCATATATTTCACAACTGTGTGTGCGTACTTCTCAATATTCCACTATACCCCCGCCAACTCCGCAGGCTTCGCACCACTTTGCCCCCTCTCCCCTTCCTTATCCACCGGCGCCTCCAGCAGCGCATTCCCATGCAGCTCCTGCGGCCGCCGCTCCAGCGGTTCTTCCGCCGGTAACTCTGCAATCGGAGGAGCAGCCATGTCGGCGCCGGCACCCACAGAGTCGTCGTCCATCGGAGGCAGGGTGTGATCCCGTTGCCTCCGCCTCCGCCTTCTCCTCCTCAGCACGCACGCAGCGATGACAAGCAGGCCAGCAACAGCCGCGCCAACGCCAATGCCAGCTTTAGCACCGGTGCTCAGCGACGTGGACAATCCCGATCCGGATTCTGCAGCGGTGGTCGTGGTTGTGCTTGCGGCGGCGGCGGCGGCGATGGTGGTCGAATCGGAGGAGGAGGTTGTGGATGATGATGATGACGACGAGGCTGCCGCCGTGGCGGTGCGGGTGGTGGGCCAGGTAGGGTCGCCAGATGCGCGGCGCACGATGGGGCCCCACGCAAAGGCCGACAGGCCCTTTGTAGCGTGGGCGACGGTGGTGCCGCCGGTGATGAGGCGGGTGGTGGATGCTGTGGCTCCAGTCGGCGTGGACATCTCGTAGCTGCCGATGGTGAGGTCCGTGGCGGCCGTGAGGACGGAGACGCAGGCGTATGCGGCGGAGGGGTCGTTGCGGCATGCCCAGCCACTGTAGTGTGTGTGCGCAGTGTCAGTCGTTGTGCCAACGCGCGCATATGGACGTTTTTTTTTTTACCTTGGGCAGCAGGTTGCTATCGTTGTTTCTTCGCCGGAGCGTGTGGCGGTCGATGTGCATCCATAGGAGTAGCCCGCTGGACAGATGCCTGGGGAATAGTAGTTGGTTGCTCCGTAGCGAAAGTCGGGTGGCAGACACCATGTTGAGGAGGTGCCGGGCAAGCCCAGAACGAGGTCGCCACCCCTACTTGGATAGCCTCTGTACCACAGAGATGTGGTGCAGGCGGGATAGCCCGGAGTGAAAGTTGTGACCAAGCTTCCCAAGTTTGACATTGTGCTGAAGGCATGGAGTTGGACTGGAGAACAAATTGACGGACGAGGTGCGGTAGTAGTAGTCAGGAAATGAATTTCATACCTAGCCTGTCCGATCGTCACGTCAAGCCAATCCAGGTACTACTGTTTGACATTAGACGGATTGGGAAAGAGTACAAGCTGAACATGGATGGCTGCCGATACGGAAGATTTGATTGGTCGATCTCGTCCTTCCTTCTGTGGGGCATACCATCAGGCCATCCCAGGTACAGGGGGGTGTTGCAGCCGACGGCTATCGTGAATTTATTTTCCGCTCATACCGTGAGTAGCTCGAGCTCTGGTCTGGAAGTGAATGTATAGCTATTAGTTCCGTATTTCCATCCGGATGATAGCTTCAGCCACCCAGATGCTACAGCACTCGGTTCAACAGTGGACACTCGGCCAAGATATTGGATCAGTAAACTCCTTGGCAATTTATCGTTAGCAAGATCGATGGGGGCGCCTAGTAAGCGCTAGCGCAAACGGGCCCGGCTTGAAGGTATTTATTACCTCGTGTTCGCCCCGCTGCTGAACCCATCCTGCTGAAACTGAAGTGGCACGTTTTTTTCCTTTAAGAACCCATATGGAATATATAACACGATACAAAATTAGTTATTTACTTCCCAACATCCCTCGACTCACCGGTATGCTGCCGGCAACTCCGCCGGCTTGTCCTTCTCCACCTCCTCCACTGGCATCTCCTGCCTCGACTCCGCATGCAGCTCCCCCGGCGGTCCCACCCATGGCGGTGCCTGATTAACCGGCATTTCCTGCACCGCAGGGACTTTTGTGCTCTGCTTCTGCCTCCGCCTCCTCCGCAGCACAAACGCCGCGATACACGCAGAAATCAACAGCAACCCTCCGACCGCAACACCCACGCCGATCCCCGCTTTTGCACCCGTGCTGAGACCAGAAGACCCGTTGAATGTTGATGTCGAGCTCGTGGCGGCAGCAGCGGCCGCATTACTGCTCAGAAGAAGCGACGACGAGGCCGTAGACGAGGCCCCTCCTGCTGTGGATGATGCTCCTGCCGTAGCGGTGCGGGCGGGCCAGGTCTCGTCTGTGGATTGGCGGCGCACGACAGGACCCCATGCGTACGCTTGAAACCCAGCGGAAAGCGTGAGGTCCTGCGGGGTACCTTCTCTCAACACGGTCGTGGAGCCGCCCGAGGGCGTGCTGACCTGGTAGCTGCCGACGTCGTACAGCGTCGTCTGTGTCGGGAAGCGCAGAACGCAGGCGAAAGCGGCGTTTTTGTCGTTGCGGCAAACCCAGCCACTTGCAGTGCTGTGAGCTGTTTTTGTTTTTTTTTTTTGCATGGGGGAGTTGGGTTTATTACCTGGGGCAGCAGGTGGCTATTGTTGTTGTTTCATCTCCGATTGCGTCGGTTTCGGTGCATGCGTAGGTGTGGCCGGAGGGGCAGATGCCGGGGGAGTAGTAGGCGCTCGACCAGGTGAAAGACGTTGGCAGGCAGGACGATGAGTGGGATCCGGGTAATCCGAGGACGAGGTCCCATCCTGCAGTATCTTTTCTCCGAATATGCAACGACGAAACGCAATCAGGCGAGGCGGGCGTGAATGTTGTGGTTAACGGGCCGAGATTTGACATTATGGATGCGGTTTGCGGAGGAAAAGAAAACCGAACAACAACCGGCACGCGACGCCAGGGACAGCTGATATATTTACTGTGCAGCCCGGCCGGAAGTCATGTTGAAAAGAATTCAGCAGCCAAGCTACCGATCATTTAGAAGCGAGAACAGGTACAACGGTAGCGGCGAAGAAGAGCAGGGGTGCAATAGGGAGCGATTGCCGAAACAGACGGTATGCTTAGTTGGATTCGCGAGGCACTGCTGTTTTTGGCCAAAGAAAAGGCTGAATTCCGAATCCTTCGGCGGGGCTAATGTAAATCCCGGCAGAACTTACATTCAACAGTGGGCACTCGGCCCCCAAAATTCAAGAAGCTGGGACAGTTGATCTTGGCACATTATGCTTGGCAATTTGCGGTCTTGAGACCAATGACACTTTCAGTAAGCGCTAGGGCAACGGCCGCTCGGCTTGAACGGATGTCGTGTTCGCACCCCTGCACCACCCGTTCTGCCGGGACCACAGCGGGGGTTTTACCACCAGTCGCCTTTCCCCGCCTATTTATATGACGTCTGCAGGCTTCTGCCTTACAGCTGTGCCGAAGCATCCGATTTACCCATAGTAAAAAGGTACCAACATCCCACTTTCATGTTTGTCCCATAGTAAAACTGTTCCCTTTTCAACCCCGTACGCTCTACCTCTCCCATAGGTGGCTCACCATACATGCGCATCGCTTTCGAGGTTGTCTCTACACAGGTAGGAAACAGTACCCTGTTCTGCTGGCGAACGCCTCAAAAGCCCGTAAGAACAATACGATGTGGCAGAATCCTCTGGAGGGCCAAGCCCCCCAAGCATCTGGAATTTTATGGTGTGGAACGAATAATACGAATTCCAGGCGAAAGTGGGTGTGGGAAAGATTCCAAGGGATTGGAGGACCAAGTGACACGGGAATAATCACACGAAGAGATTACTCGGATGAGGTTGAGGACTGGTTCGGCCGAGGATTCTATCAGCAAGCATTGGGCCAGAGCAAGAGCGATGATCGTAAGCACCAGGTATATGCGGGGTAAAGTGCCATCTGCGGCTGGGAAACATGCGCACCAAAAAGGCAGCAGTTGCGAGGCGAAGAGACGAATGCTCACCTCGAAAGGGAGGAAAAGAACACACAGTGAGCCTGTTTTAGAGAATGTATGATGCTTACTTTTTGCGCCACAGGATAAAAAAAGAAACGCGATGTAAAGCGTAGGAGCATCCGATCTGTAGAAACGCTGAAGTAGATGACCATTTTCCGTTCGTTGGACTCTGTAGGAACACCAAGAATTTGCGAATACGCTGACACAATTATTGCACTTTTCATAGACCTGAAACATCATGAGAACCCGTGCCAAATCATGTGTGTGATAGTTATTGAACAATAGCATTACACGACCAAGGTTTCTGCCGCCTGGTTGCTTACGGGCCGCTCACGGTAGTCGGCATCGGCACTTGGGCTGACACGGAACGGCACGGCCCTCGGCCCGGTGGTCTGACCTACTCCTGTGCACTCCGTTGGTCCGCCGACGTCCTTCGCAGTGGAAGCGCCGTGATCAAAGACCTCGCCGATGCCGTGATGCTGAATCATCAATACGATTTACTGCCTCACCTTCCTTTGAGACGTTGGTACTGTTGGATCTACTTGTTGTCATGCTTGCGTAACTTGCCGCACCGGAACCAGTTCCTTTCATTTTTCACCGACAACATGACGGAGACAATTCTGCAACAACGTGCGCCGAGAGTGCCGCCGAACAAGCGAGACGGACACATCTCGAACCATACTTCTTGATAGCAATGGGCTTCTCTACCTGTTGTAGACAAATGTAGGCTTCGATGAAGTGTTTGGGTTGACGTTCTCTATACAGGGAAAAAGGAAAAGCGGCTATAGCATTGGTTGACTATGGTCCACACAGCGTTACGGGCGGAGCCGCAGCATACTAATCAAAGTAGGCGGGTGGCCTCAGCACAAGGAAGATCCTGCTCTCCTCGTCAATGAAGTGGAGCCATGCATGTGTTGGAGCTCCGCAGCTCGGTAGGGGGTCGTCACCCGATGCTCCGTCGAGTTACATTGCCGTGCCAACGACCCACCATCTGGTCTTTTCTCCCCAAAATAAATCCATCTGGTTCGCTCATCACAACGTCGCGAACCGTGAAATCCCAGCGTGGAAAGAGAGAACGTGCGGGAACCCAAGGTTTCAGCCACAGGAACAGTCCAATCATCGCCACCCGCTCCCGAAAAAATGCCTCCCCGCCCGGCCGACCAAGTGCGGCTGTCCTTGATCGAAAAGGTCAAGCTGGTGCTGTTCTACGCCGTCGTCATCACCAAGACGTGCGGTTCGGCTCTGACGGCTCCCTTTGCCGCGCCTGCGAACCGGTCGAAGGTGTACAAGCGGCACGTTGCATACTCCTTAGTCCGGCATCTGTTCACGAACAGCAATACCAGGATCGACCAGTATGACCAAGCACCCGCACCGTATCACTAAACATCGCTAACCACGTGCGGCCACCAGGGCCATCACCGAGGACACGGACTCGGTCTACTACCAATGGGCGAAGAAGCACAAGGTCGCCACGGCCCGGGAAGTGCTTCCTGACGGCACTGAGGCCTTCTGGATCGGCTCCAAGGACGCGAAGACGGTGCTGCTCTTCTTCCACGGTAAGACCTTCGCCCTCCACTGCTCCCAACCCCCATGCTAAAAATAAAACACACAGGCGGCGGCTTCAACCTCCCCGCGCTCCCCGCACACATCAACTTCGCCGCCCGGCTAGTCGACGAGCTCAACCCCCCCTCGCCCTCGTCCTCGTCCTCGGCCAACTTCGCCGTCCTCTTCCTCCAATACGACTTCGGCCCCTGGGGCCACTACCCGCGGCAGCTGGCGCAAGCCGCGGCGCTGTACAAGCACGTCGTCGAGGACCTGCGCATCCCGAACATCCTGATCGGCGGCGACAGCGCCGGCGGCAACATCTCGATCAGCCTGCTGAGCCACCTGCTGCACCCGCACCCGGACGCGTCCGTTCCGAGGATCGATGTTCGGAGCGTGCGGGCGCTCAAGGGCGCGCTGCTGATCTCGCCGTGGGCGGATCCGTTCGGCACGGAGGAGGAGTATCCGTCGTTGAAAAGGAATGAGTTCAAGGATTTGCTGCATGCGCGGTTCTTGAAGCGGTGGGCGGATGGGTGGGTTGATGGGAAGCCGTTGGATGCGTATAATCGGCCGACGCAGGCGCCGAAGGGGTGGTGGGCGGGGGTGGATAAGGTGCTTGAGCGGTTTTTGTTGGTGGTGGGGGCGGACGATGTGTTGGTTGATGGGGCGTTGAAGTTTGCGGAGACGTTTAGGAAGGAGTGGAGGGATGAGCGGGATGCGACGGTGGTGGTGTTTGAGGATGAGGGTCACATTTCCGGGGTCATGGATCCGGATATGGGGTTTAAGCCGGAGGAGGTGCGCATGTGGGTGCAGATTCGGGATTGGATGAAGGGTGTTGTGGGCGTGTCGGATGGTCAGTAGCGCTTGTTCCGGTGTTCAGCTAGTGGTAGTGCCGGAGGTGGCTCCACGGGGTTCACCCAGATCGAAGGGTATCAGGTCGACGGCAGACATGGTGTCAGTCTCTGTAGGATACGGATCAAGATGTCTGGAAGTGAGGCGGCATGGTATGACCATTAGTAGCAGATCGAGTCAGTATAGATACTCATGGCAGTGACAAGAGGAAGGAAATAGCTAGGGCGGAGTGCACGGCCCGATCGGGGAATAAGGCCATGACTGTCATACGACACAGTGGGGCTTGGCCGGCCAGACGCCACTGATGAAAAACAAGATGGATAAGGGGCCGAGGCTGTGGGGCACAAGTTCTTGACTCGCAATTGCCGTCTGCATTCCATACATACTGTGTGCGTAACGGCCGGGAGTCAGGCACACCGCATGCCCAAATTTTCCGATCTGCTCCAACTCTTCCTCTCCTTCCATATCGAGCACCGTACATACACGGCCAAGACTAAAATTTAGTGAGAATATGCACATTTACGACAGCTAGCCTCCGGTTTTTCTTGGCTGCAGCAGCTCCCCAGACCTCCCCCCACAATGGAGATCTCAGATATCTTCGGTCCTCCACCTGACGGGCTCGATCTATCCGAGGACCAATCAGGCACTGTCATTGCTCCTATCGCTGTGGTGTTGGTCTTGGCCATTACTGCTGTTTGTCTCCGCTTCACTACAAGACATGTGGTCGAGGCGCAACGCATGGCGGCTGACGATGTGTGGATCGCCTTTGCATTGGTAAGCGCTAATGTTATGAACTTGATTCGTGCAGGCTAACCCGCGACTCAGTTCTTTAGCTTCGGAACAGCTGCCTGTGTCTTTGCTGGTACGTTGAATGCAAACTGGTGGAAGGAAATGAACAAAGCTAAATGTAACAAGCATTATCATTCGGATGTGGGAAACATATCTGGGTTCTCAGCACCGATCAGTTCAAGAAAATACAACAGGTAGAACCTCACTCTGCTCACAGTCAGCGCACACGCTAACATAAGCACAGGTCGTCTACGCAGCCGCCCAGATCTATGCCGTAACGGTGACGTGCACTAAGACATCGATCGTATGCTATTACCGGCGCATCTTTGACTTCTCAATCATCTTCTACGTTCTCATGTTTCTTATCGTAAGCGTATACTCGTGACTATGCCACATCTTCGATATTGACCCCAACAGATTGGCTATTGTATTACAATCATCACCGTTATGAACACCGGCTGCCACCCAGTCACCTACATGTGGGATCAATACGTCGACCCAACCGCCGAAGGGAAATGCGTCGACCTGCTCACCTTCTACTACGCCAACGCCATCGCCGCAACCCTGATCGACATCTTCATCCTCATCACCCCCATATACCCCGTCTGCAAGCTGCAGATGCCGACGACCAAGAAGATTGCCGTGCTGGGCATCTTCCTCCTTGGTGGCGTGTACGCATTTTACATATTCTCGCACTTCCCATCCCTTATCCCCCGTCACCTGTACCCGTCTAACTGACCTCTGCACAGCGTCATCGGCGCCAGCATCGCCCGCATCGTCTCCCTCCTCAAAATGGCCACCATGAAAGACCAATCCTGGGGCCTATGCTCGGGCCTCATCTGGACCTGCCTCGAACCCTGCGTCGGCATCGTCAGCGCGTGCCTTCCAACCCTCGGCCCGCTCGTCCGGCACTGCAGAGGTAAGATGTCGCACGCGTCGCACAGCTACCCGCAAGAGTCCGGCGAAGCGAACCACACCACCTCGTCGTCTCGCCACAAACACCACACATACTCGTCGTCGAAGAAAGTCAAGACCGGCACGGGGCCGGCGATAGTGGACGAACAGTTAGTGACCCTCGAGTCCGATGAGTACGAGTTGAGGGGCTGCGAGGTCATGACGGCTCACAGGACGAATAGCGTCCGCACGTCCGAGGAGGTTGATTTGGGCGGCGGCGCGGTGACGCAGGAGTTGGGGTTGAATCGGAAGTGAGGGGGGGCATAATGTGATATGAGATTTCTTTTGTGTTGCGCGATGTGCGCTAGATTCCACTCCGAAACGTGCCATGGCCTGGACGTGGTGTCATGAGGGAGATTACCGAATGGTATGAGTAATGACTTATCTGAGGCTGGCTGTATCTGTTACATTTTTATTGACGTCTTGTGTAGGGTATCATCAAGCTTTCGGCACGGACCCTGCCGAGCTGCCAACGGAGATCCTTCAACGAGGCAACGAATCATGGCGAATAATGACACCAATCTGTATTTTTTTTCTTGCGCCTGATGCAGAAGGGTTATTGCAGCCAAATGGCAACAGGGACCCCAAACGCGGGGTAATTGTACCTCAAAGAATAACAACATATGTGGGGACGTGAAGCTATCGTCCAGACGTATATGTACAATTATTAATTCAACATATGCGTCCGGACGATAGCTTCAACTACCCATGACATGTTCTTTTTTTTATTCCACCCATCCATTAGTTGCAATTTCCTCCGCCTATCCATCTCGAAGTGCTGTATGGAGGTTCGTGCCTAAAGTCTCGTACGCCATGGCGCGGAATTTCAAGGCAGCGATTGCCGGACGGAACTTTCAGTAAGAACCTCCGTACACCATCTACACTGGTTCTAATCCTCACAGCAAGAATCTGTTACCGATCTGCAACGCTACGGACAGGCTCAATCCTCGTCTGCCAGCACCGGTATTGTCCCCCGGACCCAGTCAGGGTATTCACCAACCGTGACGTACGCGGTCCCCGCTGGTACACGTCTTTAGCAATTTCCGTCTTCGGGGGGTTGGTCCTATCCAATGGAAAGCTTCGTACCTTAGACGCAGCATGCTTGGACAGCAGATGCGCGTACACGCTCCTTGAGAGCCCTCCGAGTTATTGGCAGTACGGGCCATGGACGTACACCAACACGCAAGGCGGTCATCATGGATGGGAGCAAGGGTACGTCGACCAAGTCGGCCACCGAAGACGACCCAAACCGGCGTACACGGAGGGGCAGCGGCGACCAATTTCCGTACGGCGACTTCAACAACTCTGAGCAGCACCATGGAGGTTCGTACCAAAAGTCTCGTCTGCACTGGCGCGGAATTCGGCAGCGGTCGGTGTACGGGGCTCTTGGTACGTACCTCCGTACAGCACATCGAAGTGGCTTGTTAAACTGCTGCAGATATGGAGAGTATTGCAGCCGAAAGCTATCGTGGATTGAATTTCTATACATGGTATGGGTAGATGAAGCTATCGTCCGGATGCATATGTCGAATTAATAATTTTACATATACGTCCGGACAATGGCTTCATATCCCCACATATGTTTAATTTCTTAGGCTTGCTGTGTGGTTACTCCGTATTCTCGAATACCTCGAACCCCGGTAGCCGCTTTGGGAGCTTGGCACTGGGCCTGTTACCAGCCCGTCAGCCCCCGCCGCAATGCGAGGCTCCAGACGCGGGATAGGAGGTGCATATTCCAAGGACTCTTTCTTTCTTTCAAGCTCAAGTCCTTCGGACGTGGCGAACCATCCCAACCAACGTTTACACCAACCAATCCACAAACTTCTCCCACAACGTCTCCGGCTCCTTCGTCTCCACCTTCTCCGCCGGCGGCAGGCGTCCGGACCACAAATCAATATTCTTCGCCCTCACAAACGTCGTCTTATGCCACAGCTTCCAGCACACAATCGGCACAATAAAAATCGGAATTCCAACATACGACGCCACGAAATCGGCCGCGTTCCAGTTGCCCTTGAGGAAGACGGGAAAGCCCGCGACCAGCGTGATGATGACGCTGCCGACGAAGCCGTACCACGCCGCGTACGGCTGCCACGGCGCGCGCCAGGGGAGCGTCTCCCGCGGCACGCCTTGCACCGCCATCGCCCGGTGGAAGCGGATGTAGCAGAAGCAGAGCGTCGCCCACGCGATGAGGCCGGCGACGGTGCTGAGGTTGAGGAGCCAGGTGAAGGCTTGCGAGGCGCCGCCGGAGCCGAGGCCTGGTTGGGACGTTAGTATATGGGTTTCATGGGAGAAAGGGAAGGCGTTGGAACTTACTGAGGTACGCGAGAGGGCCGAAGAGCCAGGCGACGATGACGGCGACGTAGGGCACGCCGTGCTTGGTGGTGCGGCCGAAGATTTGGGGGAGCTGGTGGTCCGTCGTCATGGCGACGATCATGCGGCTGCCAACCCAGCAGTACGCATTGCTGAACTTATTTTAGCCATATGTACTTGGATAGTAGTGTAGGAAGATAGTTCTTACCCCGCGGACCACGCTGAGACCAAGATACAGGCGTTGACGATGGACGGCAGCGCCTCGATGCCGGCCTGCTTGATCGCGATGACCCAGGGCGCCGAGTTCGCGTTGCCGCTGTCCGACACGAGGTCACTGTTGCGGGGGTCGACAATCAGGCCGATCAGGAAGGCACCAAGGATGTAGAAAAACCCAATGCGGTACGTAACACGGCTAGTCGCCTTCGGAATCGCGCGGTGCGGGTCCATGGACTCAGCAGCACCAATGACAACAGTCTCAACACCAATAAAGGAGAAAGACGCGTTGACGAAAGCCGACAGGAAACCCAGGAAGTGCCCGGTGCTGCCAGTAATACCATTATAGTCAACCCAGGCCCCGGGGTTGTTCCAGTACCGGAAGCCGATGGCCTCGCCCGTCGGCCCGCCGCCGGAGGTGATGACGATGGACACGATGACCAGGCCGAGGAAGCAGAGCACCTTGATGGCGCCGCTGACGACCTCGCTCTCGCCGTAGATGCGGACGGACATCAGGTTCAGGGCCAGGATGAGCACCAGGCTGATGGTGATGACGACGGCGGGCGAGATGTCGGTCCAGAACGAGACCAGCACGGCGGCGGCGGAGCATTCGGACGCGATGGCGATGGTGTAGCAGTAGCCGTACGAAATGGCCAGCGAGAAGCCGACGGCCGGGTCGATGAAGCGGGTCGCCCAGTGGGGGAAGGAGCCGGCGGTGGGAATCTGCAGGACGGATGAGCGTGCGTTTTCTTCCCCGTGGGGAAACAGTTCCAAGGAGTGGAGCACTCACCACTGTCGCCAATTCGCCAATGCTCTGCATCACGCACCACAGCACCGAGCCGATCACCAGGTAAGCAAGCAGCAAGCCGGCCGGACCGGCCTTGGCGTAGGCTGAGCCGGTTCCGATGAACAGGCCCGTCCCGATGCCGCTGGAGAAGCCGATCATGGTCACTTGGTAGTTACGCAGCCGGCGCTGGGTGCCGCCATGGCCGCCGACGTTGAGCTGCGGCTCTTGGATCGAGGCCTCCTTGTTCTGGTAGTCGGGGAAGGGCTCCTTCTCGACATCCTTGACTGAGGCGGCGTCCGTCTGTACTCCCATCTTTGTTTTAGTCGACAACTTTTAACCTGGTTGGGATCAGGGAGGGGGTGGAGGATGGGAGGAGAGGATCGTAGAAACAGAAAAAAAGTCCGAGGTCGTAATGCTCTTTTGACATCTTTTGCTCTATACTGACGAGCGCGGCTCCAAGGTCGTTTCAAGTTAGATTGTGAAATTTTTCTACAGTCAACGGTTACTGTAGCTGGTCAAGCGGCGCAGCACGTCATGCCGAGCCCCGCTTATTTGGGAGACCTGACCAATAGGTATGCCTGCCGAAGCGGTTTCCCGCCTTTAACGCTGAGCGGCCGTGCGTGGGCCGACGCCGGAGCGACCGACTCTGTCGTTCTTGCCCCAGTGCAGTATAGCCCCCGAGCGATGATGAGTCGTCCATCGCCACCTGAAGAATCTCGCTTTTCGCAACCACGCCATCAGCTCATTCTATGATCCGTGACTGATCGTATTCAGTCTGGATGTCGTGTACTGAGGAAACGCCAAGATATCGAGTGTACCACCTTATGCCGGGCTGCTTGAAGACTGCTGCAGCGGCACAGTGCAAGGAAGATTATTCTCAACGGCGTGACAGAGAAAAAAAGGGATGCAGCGCATGAGCATATGTACATATTCGAACCATTACCTCCCACCGTTGCTCTGCTGTGCGACGGTCGATTATGCACCACCTTCCCGTTCCAGCAAAGATGAACCGACAGATCATGTCGTGCAGCCAGAGGCGGGGCAACGTCGCCCAACTGCAAGGTACCATCTGTCCAACCTGCCAGACTGACCCTCTTTGTTCTGAGCCCTCGTATCTGGAACCGACTCATCCTTCGAGGTCGACGTCTCGCGCCTCCAGTCCCGCTGGAGCCTGCACTTGTTGCCATCCGTTCGACTGCCTCAGAATCGTCCATGGCGATAGTAATAGAGATACACTCCACGCATCGTCGCCGGGTTGCTGCGGCGTGCGGAGGTTCTGATTGGCTGTTGGTCGCATGCAAACCGTTCAACTGCCACCACACTGTCAACCTTGGACTCAAACGCAAACGCATCCCAAAGCCACTCACCTACCTTCAAGCCCCACGCTTCCTCCCCTTTGCCCCAGTCTTCCCCCTCCCCCCTCCTTTTGCCTTTCCCCCGGTCTTCCCTCTCCCCTCCCCCACCCTCTTCCTATCCCCCTTCCCCTTCTCCATCCTAACCATCCTCCTCAACCGCCCAACCTCCCTCCCCCCCTCCACCACCTTCCTCTTCACCCCCTCCACCAACCCTCTCATCTCCCTCACGCTCTCCTCCCCCTCGCGCACCGCATCCGCCAACCTGCCACAACTCTCGTCCGCGTACACGTCCATGGGCAGCGCCAGGCTCTTGCACGGCGGAATGTCGGCCATGCTCAGCTCGAGGTAGCGGCAGATGATGCGTTTGGACTCGCGGGCTTGCGTGGTGGCGTCGCGCAGGTGTTGTTTTGTGAGGGCGAGGTTGTGCTCGGCGGAGGTGAGGCGCGCGGTTAGGGAGGCGAGGGTGTGGCGGAGGGAGGTGGTGTGGGTGAGGGTGGTGTGGAGGTGGTGTTGGAGGGTGGAGGTCGGGGAGGAGGAGGAGGAGGAGGGTGGACGGGTGCGTGGGCGTGGGGGTTTGCGAGCTCGAGGTGGAGTGTTCCGGGGAGGAGGTGGAGTGTGGTGGGTTGGAGAACGAGGCAGGGCGGCGGCGTGGGGGGCGGAGAGGTGGGTTTTGCGGGTGCTGCTGCGCTGTGGGTTAAGAGAGTCAGTTGGATGTTGATGGAGGAAAAGACCGACTCGGCCGAGCGAGACGGAAGGACAACGGGATGATTGTTGATGAAATGGATTGGAAAGATACTCACCGTTTGCACCGGCATGATGGGAAGTTGCCGACGTGCTTGGTTTTTTGCCGTATAACCCTCGTGTCGATCAGCAGAGAGGGCGCAGGCTGGGGACTCGGGCGTAATATATCGATGGAAGACGGGACGCTACAGGTGCGTGATCAGACGCGCAGCCATCATGTCTCAAACCAGGAAGAAAGACGGAAAGCTCAGACAAGAGCTACCAGCACCCGCCTCGATGGGCCACCGGCTCGCCACAGGCTGAGATTAAATCCAGCGCTAGAAGGCGGCCGCCCCAGGTATTTTGGGGGCTGCGCGGCACAAAACAGGGCGAGCGACACGGGGAAGTGGGTGTGCGGCAGCCAGTCAGCTGGCCCCCTCCCTGCCACCACTAACCCCATCGGGCATGCAACCACCCCCTGTGCCGTGTCTCAGGTTGGTCAGAAGACGAAGTGTGCCGAGGCCGCTGGTCGGGAAGATAAGCGTTTGGCCCGCCCTGATGCGCTTGCGCGGCGGCTCGGCCCTTTCGACGTACAGCACGGCTGTTGTGACTGCACCTGCGTATGTGGGATGCAAGAAACGGGCCGCCCGGTGATGTGAGCGCTGGGGGATCGATTGGCGGGATGCGCTGCAGCTAGTGCTCCCTTGCGCCATGCATGTCAGCGAGACGAGTCGTCGGAGAACTGCTGCTGGTGTGCCGCGTGGTTGCTGTCGAGAACACCACCATCAAGCAAAAACGATGAGTAGTCAGCTGAGAAGAAGTTTTGCAGGCTGAGTGATGGGCGGACGGCAGCGCGGGGAAGTCTGGCCGAACCCCGAGCCGACCCATGGCGCCATCCCGCGACTCGTGTGGGGAAGGGTGCCGAAGTGTGCCGACATTTGACGGAGATGCGTTCCGACGTTCGTGCCAAAAGTTTCGGCCGCCCGGGCGGCCATCGTGGACACGATCGGCGGACAGGACTTTTGATGTAAACTCAGAGATACGTAAATTCAACAGCGCGATTCATTCCGCCCCGCAAGCAAAGGTTGATGGGGAAAAGACGCAGAGCTACTCATGGACCATATCCACCGATACCTGTTTGACGTCACGGATTACAAATGTGCCTGGTCTCGCTGTGTACATAACTCGCCGACGCCCGCGGAGGTGAAGCTAAAATCTTCTTCTCACCACTCCCGCCATTTATTGCCCAAAAGAAATAGAAAATGGCAGGAAAGTCCGTCCTCATCATCGGCCCGGGCTTCATCGGCTGGCCCGTCCTTGATCTCCTCGTAGCCGAAGGCTATCACGTCACCGGACTCGTGCGCCGCGACGAGCACGCCAACGCCATCCGCAAATCCCGGGCCAGAGCCGTCCTCGGCGATCTGCACAACGCAGACCTCATCGCACAGGAAACCACCAACGCTGACGTATGTACTACCTTCCCATTTCCATCTCCCATTTCGAAACCAAAATCCCCATTTTTAGAACAACCCCTTCCTCTCAACGCCCTGCAGCCTTCTAACCTCCCGCATAGATCGTCATCCACACCGCCACCGCCGACGACCTCCCCTCCGCCACCGCCGTCCTAACCGGCATCCGCCGCCGCGCCGCCATCGGCCGGCGCACCATCTACATCCACACCTCGGGCACCGGCGTCCTCGACGACGGAGCCGCCGGCGCCTTTTCCTCCTCCACCATCTACGCCGACGACGACCCCTCCGCCATCGACGCTCTCCCCGACTCCGCGCCGCACCGCGCCATCGACCTGGCCGTCACGCAGGCCGCAAAGGAGCTCGGCGAGAAAGCGAAGATCGCGATCATCCTACCGCCGGTCGTGTACGGGTACGTCGAGCAGCACGACAGGCTGAGCATCCAAATCCCGACGCTCGCGCGGTTCGCGCTGGTGAATGGGTGGGCGGGGCATGTGGGGAAGGGGCTCGGGGTGGAGTCGTGCGTGCATGTGCGGGATTTGGCGCGGGGGTACGTCGTGTTGCTGCATGCGTTGGAAAAGCAGAGTGCGGAGTGGGTGTTGGGGAATCCGTATTTCTTCTGCGAGAACGGGGCGGAGGGGGAGTTTGAGTGGCGGGAGGCGGCGCGGCGGGTGGCGGAGGGGTTGCATAAGGCGGGGAAGCTGTATAAGGCGGATGTGGGGGAGTTCAGGAGGGAGGATTATAAGCAGTTGTTTGGGGAGGTGACGGAGAAGGTGCTCGGGCATAATTCGAGGAGTCGCGCGAGGAGGTTGAGGGCGTTGGGGTGGGAGGCGCGGGAGAAGGGGGTTTGGGAGAGTTGGGAGGAGGATGAGTTGCCGGCGTTGTTGAGGGAGTGGGATGCGAGGAAGGGCGAGAAGAAGAGTGCTTATGAGAAGTTGGCGGCGTGAATGAGGAACGCTCCATCTTGCATTCATCCCCTAGCAAATGCTGGAAGAATTAGTGTGGGGAGCGCTCGCAATGATTCCAATGAGAGCGCTTATCTTGAAAAATGCAATATTGATCGGAGCCCAATCTAGCGATGATAGAAAGTACCAGCGGCTTGACAATGCGCTGTGGAAGAAGCACGGGGCCGCTGTGCGTGTGGCAAGCAAGGCTCCAGGGAGAGTGGAAAAGTTGATTCGGATTGCCCGAATTTGCGGTAATACAAAAAGGGTGCTAAGTCAAATCCCTCTTTTCCCCTCGTAGTCTTTCTCCATGACCCTCTTGTCACCTCAACTCACCGTCTATGACTTCCTCTCTGCCGCTGCACCACTTTATTAGAGCATCACCTTGCAGGCGTCATCAATGTTCCTCTCCCGTAAGGCCAGCGCGCCCGTCGCGTACCAGGTCAACCCCCTGAAAAGTCTTAGCACATTCTATCTTCTTCAGCGATATCTCTACCGATTTCTACAATCAGAGATCAAACTATAGGGAATTTCGCGCTCTACATTATATATAGTCAATCGACTACTCGGGATTCTGGGCGTGCATCTAAGCGAAGACCTTGAGCTTAAAAAGAAAAGAAAGGGAAAGAAAGTTACAATCGAGTAATAGATTTTCATTCGATTGGTGACCACTGCAATGTTAATACGTAGAATCTACCGGCCACTTTCAGAATTTAATTGTTTATCTCCTACTTATTGGTACCCTGGCAGCCGTGAGTCCATGTCATTCCCTTTTCCTCCACCTTTTACGACTGCGCCGCAATATTAGTAAAACCTTGCCACGTCGTTCAGCGTTCGACCCCGCATCTCAACAGCTATCTACCAGGAAAGCTTACGTTCAAACCACGAACCTTTACGCTTCTCGGTCCATCATCAATTGTGCACCATTGGCGAGTTTCCACATTGGTGTAAGACTATTTTTTCCATGGACGGAGCAAAGTCCAGCAAGCTTGCGGAGTTTACAGCCTTGGCCCATCTCCTGTCTCTCCGAAATGGCGGGCCCATCGAACAACCTTCATTAGATGATTCGGAAGATGCGTACGACGTCTGCGAAGGCGAGAGTGAGGTGTCGAATGTGACGGCGCGTCCTGAGCTCCTCTCCTCTTTCCGCAGTGAAGGCATCCTTAGGCGGTTTCTCGACCGACTGTCAGAAATACTGGCGGTCGAGAAAGGTGGTCGATTCGTCTCTGCTGCTGTATTACGGGAAGGCGAAAAAGAGGAATGCGTAGACATCTGGGTGGCTCGGAATTCGGCTTTCCGCGCCGAGGATTACAACCTGTTGACGACTTTTGAGAGAGCGATGACCTCTATTGCAAAGGGCAGAGAAGGTGGGGGCTCCGCAGTGTGTTACTTACGCAATGGTGTGCTTATTGTTGAGAGTCAGACACGGAAAGTACTGCACACAGCCTTTGGAATGCGATCCTCTTGTATTCCAAACCACGTGCCATAACCTGTCGCAACGATGTCTTGCGGCTTTTCCAAAGCAACCGAAGAGCGATCAACAAAGCACTCTCGAAGACTCAGAGTGCAGGCTCCGAATTATGCAGCGTTCTCCAGCAGATCGTCAATGAATTGACAGACCGTGCCCCAAGCTCGAGCAAAGGCAGCGAAGACGAAAGGCTGGATCGGCTTGTGTGCATGGCCTTCCAGGTGCGGAAGCTAGCCAGGTCAAAGGAAGACCTGGTGGCCCTTCTGGCAGACCCGATATTGGCAGGAAGAATCTATACGGGATTATGCTTTCTGGGTCGCGTGCGTGCGGCATACGAGACTTTCACCACAGTGCTCTCAACCGTATGGCAAGGATATGAAGTGCGAATAAGCCCAATCGAGATACCGCAGCCTATAAAGCTTTACGGTCGCCGGCTCAGCCTGAGTGATACACTCGGCCTTCTTGGCTTACCTCTAGACGACAATACTTTGAAGATGTACATCAATCGGAAAAAGTACACGCAGCGACAAGCAGTCAAGGACTTCAACAAGCTTCAAGCACAGAAAGGCGGCATCCATGCTGAAGTCCAGCTGGTATTTCATTTGTACAAACACAACATTCATGACCACTTGCCGTACATTGGAAGTAGCAAGTTGAACTGCTTTCTCTGTAGCCAGTTCCTATCCGTTGCTGGGGGTTTCGCGAGTCGTGGATGCCACGGGCGGCCATGGTCCGCATGGTTCATTCCAGATACTTCTGGTCTCTGTCCTAATAGTGAGGAAATGATATGGGACATCATCAAAAATATCGAGGAAAGCATGAGAAAGCAGTTGCTTTTGCCGCTTACCAGGGCAAAGAATTTCAAAGCAGAGTCCACCATTGGCTTGACAGAAGCTTCTGCTTCTTTGGACCGCTTTCACCAACTCGATTCTCTCAAAGACCCTGGGGTGCAGATGTTTCTGCGCAACCGAGACAATCAGATTCGGCAACAGCAACTGGCAGATATTTTCCTGTCCCAGCAAGCAGCAGAGGAGAAGGATGAGGACCATTCGAGCCTGGCCCACCATGAGAAAGCCGGCTTCCACCAGTCGATTACCGAGGTACTTACGGAGTACGAGTGTTACGGCTGTGGCAGAATGACGTCTCGGCGTTGCGGTAAATGCAGGAGGGACTTCTTCTGCTCTGAAAGCTGCGAGGCCAAGAGAAGCCCACGTCATGCATTCCAGTGCAAACTAGGCCGTCCTCTCACAACGGCAGACTACCTTCTTCTAGACGTCGTCGCCGATAAGATGCCAGAAGATCCAGATGTTCTAAGCGACTTCGGATTCAAGAATCTCATGACGCCGGACCGATCCAAGCTGATGGGTCTCTACCAGGGTCTCGAATACCTCGGAATTTCAGCTGAAGAACTTCACGAGTGGCAGCAATCCGGGTGTTTGGTTGACCGTATTCAGAGAACCTACTTGAAGATCCCAGAGAGAAGCCGTGGTGGTTACTTTCCTTGGTTCATGGAGAACCATCATGAAATCTTTAGGTCTCAATCGGAGCAGAGGTCATCGGGCAAAGACCTACTTCAGAAATACCTGGACAATGTGAGCATTCATCTGGAACCTCAAGACCGGGGGAAACCTCTAGAGCAGTTCGAGCCTCAGAGCAAACGAGACGCCCTTTTGTTCTTCGCCATTCTTGCGCAACAGTGTCGTCCAAATCCCAGCTTCGCAATGTACCTCGATTTCGGCTTCTGCGTCTGTCATAACTCAAATATGGAGCAAAACCTTGCTGTTCTCTATCAGCACCTTCTGTTTGGTACCACTCTTCACGAGGAATGGACGTCAGGGATGGAAATGGAACTCAATCTTTCGTCGAGCCCTCCATTGCGCACCTTCATGGAGTTCTGGCGGGCATTTGACGAGAGCCGCCTGATCAATCTGATGGACGATAGAGGGTTGAAGTCTAAGAGAGAAGAGTTCCCCCATCTGGATTCTGTGCTCAGCCGCAAAGCTGGCGAACCATTGCCACACGTCTGGATCTTGCAGACCTTCCTGAACGATGACAATGCAACTGTTGCTCCGGATTGCATTCTGTTTCAGTACGGATTCATTGGTTGCGCGAATTCTGTCGACCTTACAGAACTGAAAGACTTTTACCAGGAAGTTCTGATGCATGCGGATGCTCTGGAGTTAGAAAAAGCTTCAAAGGAGCAGCGGTTGTTAACTTTTGCAAAGTCTTACATTGACGTAAGCGGAAAAGTCACGAAGATTCTTGAAAAGTCCTTTCAGCTCAGCCTGTCTTCTATCAACTAGATCAGAGTTAAAAGGCAACAAGAGCGGAATTGAACTTTTTCAAACGGTGGCTAAAGGATTCGCTTTACTTGATTTCTTGGCTGGGAATCCAGTCTCATACCGCGGGCGCGGACCCTTCGCTCTTCTCCTCCTTCGAGGCTGTATTCAGAATTTTCCATGTTCTTGCGGTATACGTACCTTATGCAAATGCCCACATGAGAACAACCAGCGAATAGGAATCCATTCCGATAGTATTCGGCTCCCTTGTCCGTGTTAGATCATGCGTTAAGCGAGGCCTGGGCGGCAAAGGACATGGGCATAATTGGATGACGAAGGAGTGGGGGCGCGCCAAGAATGAGCAATCATCAGCGTTTATCGCAACAATCCCTACAACACCGTGCAGCTGGAGCCGCCATACTTTTTCCTCTGGCCAATCGTAACAGTAGAACTATAACATTAATGGACAGCAGGCGCTAGACTTTCTATTTATCTCTCGGTCGCATGCCTGATTTTTAGGTGTCGTCTGTCATTCCACACAAGCCTCCTCTCGACCACCGTGAACCGCTGAAATCCCTCCGAGAATGAGCAATAATACAGAATGTTTCCGAGTGCGAGGCATACCGTTCGACTTCAGCGATTCCGAGGCTGCAAAGCACGTAAAACATGCTTTGGGCTTACCTGCCGACGCAAAGATGCGCATTCGCTCGCTCGCTCCCGAGCCTTATCCTTGTGATGAACAAATGGCCACAGTAGATTTCGATGCAAGGCCTGAATGCCTTTCCAGAGACAATTCTACTCAGGAATGGAGCTTTTCCTGTGATTGCGACACATGTACGACCGATTACAACGGCCTTTCTTTAACGGTAGACTCTCATTTCAAAGACATAACCGTCCTTCACTGGCCAAAGCAGGAACAATGGGAGATGGAGTAAGTGTTCATGTATCCTTCCGCATTTGTCACGTCTGCTTACACAGAAGGCTAGTCTTGTGGCAGTTACAGGACTCGGTGGGCATGCATTTGGATCCTTCAAAGCAAGAGGAGGAACAGAAATGTGGCTCCGAGATTATCTCCCCAAGCAGCTTCCAGGGGCGCGTATTCTCATATACGGGTACGATTCTCATTTGCCGGGAAGCCATTCCTTCCAGAATCTTGGAGATCTCGGGATGAAATTACGAGGCGCAATGAATCGGATCAGAAGACACTCAGGAAAATCTATTATGAGGAAACCGGTTGTCCTCCTTGGGCATAGCCTCGGTGGGATCGTTGTAAAAGAGGTCAGTCACACTTTCCCTCGCAGCTTCTGTGCGGCCGCTTTCCTGAACGTTGTTACTAAAATTGCACAGGCCATTCTGAAAATGATGGATGCTGAACAGCCTCGCGACGAGGAAGTTTTAAAATCAATCACAGGGATTCTGCTTTTCGGCGTGCCAAATCAGGGAATGGAGATCGAATCTTTACTTCCCATGGTCCAGAATCAACCAAACGAAAGCCTTATTCGTACACTTCGACACAACTCAGAACGGCTCATTGAGCAGTCCCAGCAGTTCCTCAAGCGGTTCCAGGGTGAATGGCGTGGGATTGACCTTGACATTGTCAAGATATTTTGCTTTTATGAAACGCGAAGATCTCCAACAGCCCAAAAGGTGAGACATCATATATTAATTGTCCCTCCGATGATGATTTCACAAACTATACTCAAGCTAACGTTGGGGAAAGATCGATGGCATTTGGAAAATGAATGGTCCAGCTACTCTTCTAGTGAAGAAATCATCCGCGACACACGGGCGGCCGTGGGAAACCGGCAACAACTTCGTGCGGCCGTTTGACACCGACCATTCTGGGCTGGTAAAGTTCCCCTCTCTTCATGATGAGCATTACCTTACCGTCTTATCTATATTGAGAGATTTAATGATGGAGCGAAAAGAGTGGGGAGAAAAACAACCAGATGATCATGCAACCCCAGATGATGCTACAGCTTCTATGGTGACCGACGGCACTACACTTGGGACGCCGATAGAATCGAGTTGGTGGTTACACTTGTGGATGTTACCATGGTGGCCCAAATGGTAGTAGTTTCGATTGATGCAAGAAGCTCAACTTGAAGGAGCTCTTTAATGACTTCAGGAATCAGTGCAGGATCAATGACATTAAAAAAAAAAAAAAAAGACAGTCAAGTTTCTCGGTGCATGACTTCAGAGATTGCGCCCGGCGGAGGAAATGTGCAAATTATGCAGTCCTGACAGGGAGATTGATCAAAGACGAAAGTAATTATATATCTGGGTATAGACTCTTTCTCGGATTGTTTGATAATAGCTGTGAGCATTCATTCGTTTCCATCTGAAACTTCCAATGATTCGCCCAGTTGGGTCTTACTCCGCACTAATAATCTTGACCATCCCAAATGGATGGGTCCCCACAATTTAATGACGCTGTGTTCGCTGATTGGCGAAAATCGTGCATGTCGTTAGGCAGCAATAACTACAACAAGAAAACAGGGACGTGTGGAGAGGTGCGATGCGTTGTATTGCGGGGTAAACGTACCAGTCATATTATATCTACAACAGCTCTCTGCAACTCTAACGATAAACATCGACCGTCTAGATACACCACCCGAACCGTCAACGCATCCCACACTCCACCAACCAGAGATCAGAAGCTAGGGACGCTTTCAAGATCTCCTCTTCTAAGCCCGAGAGAGATGTATTTTGGACACAAGGAAGCTCAAGTTGTGAGAGACTTGAATCACACACAAGGCTCTCATCGTGAAGGACCCACAAGACCTCACTTATGCAACGAATGTAGAGCATTCTCATGTGAGCAGTTGCGTTACGATGCACTCGATGCTGGCCCGGGCAGATTCCATGATCCTTCGAAAGGAAAATTCTTACGACGCATCAGCTCCGCAGTCCTGGACCTTTTGGCATCACAATGCGAAGTCTATCGCCTGTTCCGCTGGCAGTTACTCAGGCACTCGGATGCCGTAAAGCTAGTCCTTGATTGGATTGAGCTTGAAGATCCGAAGCACGTGTGGGAAGACGGCAATCCCAGTTTGACGGTTCAATGCCTAGCCAAATATCAGGAGAAGGAGGAGCCGGAGAAATACAACTTGCGCTTCAATATCTCTGATTCTTCCGGTAAGACTTCCAATATTCATCATCATGAGAGCAGCTGCTAACCCTCGTGAGAATCCCCTGCCCTGTCACTGGATTATACTGTCGGGCACGTACACAGTGCATCACGCCGCATTAGAAGTAGAGCGGCAATTCTGGTCGGCCTCATCCCAGCAGTCATTATTGTAGGACTCCTCACACTTGCTGCAGGGGTCGGAAAACTCGGCACTAGTGTAGGAAGTTGCCTTGTCGGATTGTGCTTGTATAAGCTCCAGATGAGGGTTGATTCAGCAAGTAAAACGCACATGCGCGATGGTCAAGACATTTGTGTCAAACGACACTCATCAACGGCACATAGCCTGTCTCCAGCAAGGGTATCCAAAATAAAAAATTGGGTATTCTCCTCTTACAAAAAACAGTGGCAACCGGCTACCCACTCAGTCGCACCAGCCCGACTTATCTATGTCGGTAGAGACTATTGTCGTCTCATCGGAACTTCGCATTTGAAGACAGTCCAGTACGCCACGTTGAGCTATTGTTGGGGAGATCCAACGAAGGGAAAAGCGCCTCTCAGGACCACAAAAAAGACGCTCAGGCGCTGGGAAAAAGAACAGATCCCTGAAGACCTTTTGCCTCAAACATTGAAAGATGCTCTCCATGTTGTCCGGTGCCTGGGTATTGAACACCTTTGGATCGATTCGCTGTGCATCATCCAAGACAGCGAAGAAGACTGGCAACGGGAATCTCAAAAGATGGCCGCCATATATCAGGACAGCTTAGTGACGATTGTCAGCCTCATGTCTGAATCCTGCCACGATGGTTTCCTAAAGTCATCCGCTTTACCAAAAGCCGAGCTCTTGTACGTCTTTAACGCTTCGTTAGTACCAAAAGGATATGGGTCATATTTTCTGGAAGCATGTCCCATATCCTTTCCGGCGTACGGTCACAACGAGCTGGACGACAAAATATCAAAATCGGTCTGGAATACAAGAGGTTGGACCTTTCAAGAGTTCCATTTCGCTCGGTAGCTTCTTATTTTTGCGGAGTCAGAAATGTTCTTTACCGAAGGGAACTTCGCGTTCTCTGAGGCCGGTGCGAGGTTGAGATGCCGTAGCGGTCCCCAATCGGTAAACTTTCAGCGACGTCGTAAGGTGAGCTGCCGCTGGGATCCCTTTGAATATTCCGGAAACTGGAATTCGGTTGTTGAAGACTATTCCAGTAGAAGCTTTACCAAGGAGACGGACCGATTGCCTGCCATCGCTTCGTACGCGGAGAGTGTGGCCCTGATAATTGGTGACGAATACCTGGCTGGGCTGTGGAGATCAGACTTTCATCGAGGCGTGCTATGGTCTACAATGCCATATTCGGAAAAGGAACTTCGATGCTTGCTCGAGAGAAACAGCCAACAAAGGGTGCAAACGCCGTCTTGGTCTTGGGCACGTCACGGACGGAAAGTAAGCTGGCCGGGTACGTGGGTGTTATGGACTGGGTTATCGCCCGCAAAGTCGAGGGCTTGCACATTGGAAGCTGCCGGGGTCTCTCAGCATGGATTGAACAAATTTGGGCAGTTCAACAGAGCATGGCTTGTGTTATCAGGGACAACAAGGAGACTCAGTGACTTGCGTCCGCGAACAGGCCTGCCGAATGTTTACGAAGGATGGGTTGGTGACACATTGGTGGCACTATGCTGGACCGACTGGGAGGTTCCAGTAGATTCCGGACAGTGGGTGAGAGAGTCCCCGACTGGACAAGTCGAAGAGTTGTTGATGCTTCACACATTTACCAAGGCATTAAAATCCAAAGGCCCGCCCTATCATCAACTGGGTGTTCTCCTACTTCCTACCGGGACCGAGGACGAGTATTGGAGAGTTGGGGTGTTTAAAGTCTGTTCTGATTTGTTCTTCGTGAATGCCGAGAACAGAACAGTGGTAATAGTTTGATACGGGGCGTGAGCACCTGTTATTGAGAGTATGAGAAGATCGTGAGCACAGAGCAGTGGCATAAGAGAGACCTTCGACTACTCCGCGAGTCCGGTTTGATTCTTTTCAGCGCCTAGGAAATCTTTCTCTTGAGCTTTCTCAGTCTCGCAACGTCGCATCGTCTACATCCTTCTACAGCATCGAACATATCCTTAAAATACACCATGCAGTTCTGTAACATCCTTAATAGTGTTTTTTTCAGCCACAATTACAGATAAAGTAGTTCCAAGTCAACGGTATCCTCTCCATACTGCTCGAATAATGGAAGAAGCTGGTTGAAAGCATCTAGCTGTGAGGTCATATGCTGAACCTCTTCAGCGGCGGCTACTGCGCTAGAGCAATTGTACAACATTGAGCAAAGGCCGACCATTGTCCTGACAGCCTTGACGATAGAACAAGGCTCCATTGAGTCAGGAGGAAGTGAATGGAAGGTGAATGGCAATGGAACACGTGTATGCAGGACCATCGGTTTACCATGGGCAAACATAGCCTACCCGATACTCCATCAAATATTTCCAGATGCCACTAAACTATTTTCCAATAGCTTTCCAGCCCTTCATAACATTGAGGAACAGCTCAGCTTCAAACGACCAGAAGCCGATTAGTAAGTACATCTTGGTACAGACAGTGTTGAGTACTAGCCAATGGAGAAGCTACGATAAAAGTTTAGCCATGAACCGGGGAACGTCCTAAATTATCGCACTGATCGAGGAGATAAGATCCCAATAACATGGACTCTTCGGTTCGACAGCGCTGATTCGATTGAGTGGCTTGCAGAAGCGCCGCACATGTGACACTACGGGCCACAGGCGCTTACTATTTTGGGGAGTTGACAAGCTGCCGACCTGAAGGAAAAACAAAACCACGGTAGCAATTTGTCGCAAAAGGGAACCGAGGTGCGGCTGAAAGGCGCATCATACAAGGGAAACAAAAAACACCCATTCAGGGAAAAAGCACCGATCTCTGCCTAACATAGCTGGGCCGCGCCCCACCCCCCACCCTCCAGGAGGAAATGCGGCGCTCAGCGCCGGGCGCTTCGGAAGCCGAGTCCACATAAGCGGGTCCCTTGATGTGACAAGGCTGCAAAACAAAGAGCGGTCCACGCCAATGTATTGGTCTTCTTTTCCGGCAACCTGCCTATTTCTGGTACATATTGCAGGTGACATACATGACCTTCATGCAGCCAGTGAGTCCATATGATCACCTGTTCAGCTGAGCCAGCAATGTCGCTCCATCTCTCTAATCACTTGGTTTTCCGATTTCTTATTATATAATGTTCTTCTTCCCCAACCCCTCATTTCTCAATCATGACAACACGCGACTTCGCACCAGCCACACAACAAAATTGAAAGTCGGATCTATCTACCCAAGAGTACAGCCACCATGTTGCCCGAGCAGTGGTTTGAACAAACTCTGAATGAAAGCGATACATTCCGTCCACAAAACTGCTCCTTCGTTGAGCTATGGGCTATGCCGTCTGGACAAGAGGCTATCAGACGATCTGGTGAGCTAGCGGCTGAAGAAGTCGGAGCTTGGGTCAAGAATGAACCTGAAATCTGCGGGGTGGGCCTTCTTGAAAATTAATAGTGTGTGCGCAAGGCTAACAAAGTTATGGTAGTTATTGAATTGTGGCCGACCAGACCATAGCTTGGGCGGGATCCGCTGTTTGTGAGATCCATCATGGCTGACCCATGTCGGAAAAAGCTAACGGGAACTTGTACAAGGGTTGGATCAGCGAATATTGAACATATTTCGCCGCTCCCTCTAGATCGTTCCACTTTTGGGACAGTGTCGCATGAATTTTCACTGCCTCCAAGCTTTTTGCAGTCATGCGTACGTAGAAAATTCGGAACCGTTGCCGATGATTCAAAAAGGAAACACAACAAAATTATCTGTAAGTTGTTTCGGTTGACGTGGTTGCTAAGCTATTTATTTCTAATTTTCTTAGCGTGGACATCCCGCCAATGGTTCAGTGCTGCAGCATGGTCATATGACGAGAGAACACGAACTGTACTGGCCCTCGTACTTGCTTGGGATGGCAGGGACATACGAAAAAGTTTCGTGAGCGATCTGCTCCATTGCAATGAGCATTCATTGCACCCAATGCTCATCCCCACCCTCCTTGCTACACGAGAGATTGAGCAGCTGAGGTCCATGGCGTATGAAGACGAGCTTGCTCTTATAGACTTTGAGGAACGCTTTGGCGCACAAGCGTGGAAGCCGTCCCATGCAGATGAACAGTTCTTTGAGAAAGCGCAGCAATCGACGAGGGGATTGATGGACTTGGTCATGAAAATGACTGATCGGGATGTCCAGAACCAAAGGTGTCTGCGCCATCTCCAGAACGCCATACTGACCTTCATGGGGGACCTAGAAAGCCTCACACAAGAATCAAATCTGGAACCCAGCGAATTCTTTGAAGAGTGGACACTCTTGATGGAACAATCGCATACCGACCTGACAGTCCGAATCAAATGCATCACTGAGGAGATTCAGTATGTTACACTTGAACTACGAGGCTGGAAAAGCCGAGCTGAGCTTCTTTTATCTGGGGTTAGTTATCTCTCGAGAAGACTGAAAGTAAGAAAAGACAGTACACGAGATCATCTAGCTGACAAATGTTTGATTCACATAGTTGCAAGCCATTCTTTCCCAGAGAGATACTAAATGGAACAAACAAATAGCTACCACAACCCTCCGATTGGGGAATGCGTCCAAAAGAGACAGTTCGTCGATGAAGGCGCTTGCCGTCGTAACCACAGTTTTTCTTCCGCCTTCATTTGTAGCAGTAAGTTACGGGGAATATAGTGCGCCGTATGCGTGCAGAATGAGACTAATTTCTTTTTTGCTTCGCAGACATTCCTTAGCATGCCCATTTTCGAGGAGAATCTGACAAATTTCTGGGTATTTTGGGCAGTTTGTGTCCCTTTAACCGCCCTTACGATCAGTATATGGATGTGTTGGATGGCGTGGATAGATAAGTGGAACGAAATTATGGATGTACATGCAGAGGAGAGTGGGGGGGATTTGGGAAGAATGAAGATACCATTCCGGCGGCAAGTGCTTTCGGGGTTGAAGTTTCTTTTCTGTCAATGGGAAACGGAGCGGAAAGATTTGAAGGAAGGCCTTCGTGACGGAAGGTGGCGCATCGCTGAGGATGAAGAAATGGGAAATATAGAGAATGGACCCAAGTGTAAGAAGGAGTGCTAAATGGCAACTTTGGGAATGGGCAACACAGTTGTTTCATATATACGCAAAATATGTGTGAGAATCATCACGTCTTAGTCTATTACAGTTGAGCAGCTCAAATATAACGTGGAGAAACCAGCATACTCTACGATTCTAGTTAAGATATTTCTTTTGAGGGTTCCCAGTTTTGAAATTTTATAGTCTGTACCCTTCAACAGCATCAAACAAGCTTCTAAAATCCAGCGCGGAATTGTGCGATTGCCAGGTAATTTCCACATTCAAAGCTAGCGACTATCTTGATGCCCGATTCTAGAAGACGAAAAGGTTGCCGATTACCGCGCGGGGGAGAGTTTTCGTCGAAGGTACATGAAGTCTATCTACGCTTATGCCGCAGAGCACCTCGCATTGCGCTACTAAATCTTGAGCTACCGTACGCGCCTTCTGTCATGGTTGCAGTGGCAAGGTCAGCTAATTTTTATAGCGCATGACTGATTAGCACGCTCCATATTCCGGAGATATTAGCCTTGCATCGCGGCTCGCGGGTTTGCTTTGTTACAGGCGAGATAGAATGTCTCCAATTTGGCCTATACGCAAAAATGATTATGATCTCGATGATAGGTAGATACATCCGGCGGCCTCCGCCAGCCGTGGGGACAGGAAAGGCTTATCTATGTTAAGCTACGCTAAGGTTTCAGTTCATTCAAAGCTTGATAAACGCTGTATGCAATCATGTAACAATACATGAAGTAATTATCGGCCATAAGAGGGTTCGCTGGTACGTGCACAATGTCGTAGTTGTCTCCTTTAAGAAGATTATTCAGACGTCCTTATCGCGGTATGCTGATCGTTACGATGCCTACATCTCGAGGGAAGGCGTTGGGGAGGATGATCCGTGAGTGGCGCGGGGCCTCGGGTTCGTACGCCTCGGATCCGTACCCAACAAAACACATTCCTCTTCCTTGCAAGCGGACCAGTCCTTCTTATCAAATCGGTTATCTTGGAGCGTCGAAAGGTCTGCCTGTCCCTGCACCGCCGTTCCGTCACGAGCCGGGCCCCCGCTCGTCCACCAACTTGACTTTGCTCTAGTAAGCCACCTGAGTTGCAGCCGTGTTCTTCACCCCGTTGGACATCTTAATTTATTTTCTCCTGCGCGGTTGGCTTATAATTCTGCCATATCTTCTTACCCCGCGCATCAGCGTTGCCAACCCACTCGTACACTTCCAGTCTTATCACTCCTCATGGCGAGCAAGCGGACAAACGTACTGGTCTACACTGGTAAAGCAATACCTAATCTTGTGTTAATCATAAAAAAACATTACTGACGCACTTCAGGCAGCGGCAGTGCCGCTGAAAGCGTGCGGCACTGTATGTGGACGTTACGGCGGCTACTCTCGCCCAACTATGCCGTCGTCCCAATCGACAATGCCGCACTCATACAGGAACCGTGGAGCGCGTCGTGTGCACTGCTCGTCATGCCAGGCGGCGCGGACCTGAGCTATTGCCGTACGCTAAATGGCGAGGGCAATCGCCGCATCGCCCAGTACGTGAACGGCGGTGGCCACTACCTCGGCTTCTGCGCAGGCGGTTACTACGCCTGCGCCCGCTGCGAATTCGAAGTTGGTGGCGAGATGGAGGTCGTCGGCGACCGCGAGCTCGCTTTCTACCCGGGAATATGCCGCGGCCTCGCCTTTCCTGGGTTTGTGTACCGGAGCGAAGCTGGTGCGCGAGCGGTGAGGTTGGAGGTCAACAAGAAGGCGCTGGCTGGTAGCACCGTCCCCGAGACGTTCCGCTGTTACTACAACGGAGGCGGTGTCTTCGTCGATGCAAGGAAGTTTGAAGACCGCGGCGTTAAGATTCTTGCGAGCTATACTGAACAGCTGCGTGTCGACTCCGGCGAGGGAGCTGCAGCTATTGTATACCGCAAGGTTGGAGAAGGAGGTGTGATTTTAACCGGCTTACACCCAGAGATAGTACCGTACGATTTAGAACAGCAAAGAACCGCACTGACCGCGTATCATAGATTCGCTGCTGTCAATCTCACTAAGGGCGCGGATGTTCCTGGCTACGGTAAGCTGGTTAAAGCCTTGGAAGACGACGACAAGCGACGCACCGATTTCATTACGGCATGTCTCACCAAATTAGACCTGCGGGTAAACACGGAACCCCAAGCGGTACCTCACCTTTCCTACCTTCACCTTACTTCTGCCAATCCCTCGGATGTTGCTCAGCTGGTGGCTTCATGGCGTGATATTATCACTACTCTTGAGGACGGGCAAGAGTGTATCAAGGACGAACATGACACCTTCCACCTGGGGAAATCCATGGGATCTCTCTCTCAACACGCTCTTGCAAGGTTTGGCGAAGAGAGTGACAAGACTGATGACTCTTCTGGTAACGGCGATAGGATCCTCGACTATGACAAAGCTGTCAAACATGTCGTCGTGCATGAGTCGGACCGTCCGTCCAGCAAAGAGACGCCCTACTGGAATCACGACACCTTTTTCTCGAACCTCGATCACTACCACGCGCAGTCAACAAATTCTCACACCGAATTCGGGAGATACTTACTCTACGGAGAGGTAGTCACCAGCACCAGCACAATGATTGAGAAGTACTATGCTCGGAAACACTCGAGCGTCCCTCGTCTCTAATCCCAAACAGAAACCCAGCGCTACTCAAGCACCTCCCCTCCGGCTTCACCGCCACAGCAACCACCCAAATCTCCGCTCGCGGCCGCGGCACCAACGTCTGGGTCGCACCGCCCGGCGCCTTGATGTTCACCACCGTGCTGCGCCACCCCATCACGCTCTCCCACGCGCCCATCGTCTTCATCCAGTACGTCGCCGCGATGGCCATCGTCCGCGCCGTGCAGACGTACGAGCCGGGCTATGCGAAGCTTCCCATCAGGCTAAAATGGCCCAACGACATCTACGCACTCGACCCTTCCTCGCCCGCGTTCGCATCATCGGGCAGCAGCAGCAGTAGCAGCCCTTCGCCGTCCGACTACGTCAAGATCAGCGGGGTGCTCGTGAACTCGTCGTACCAGAATTCGGAGTTCACCGTCGTTGTGGGCGTGGGGTTCAACTTGGCCAATGCGGCGCCGACGACGAGGGTAGATGCGCTGGCGAAGGCGCACGGGCTGCTGCCGGTCAAGGCTGAGAAGCTGCTGGCGTGTATTATGACGCGGTTTCAAGAGCTGTATACGAAGTTCTGTAGGGATGGGTGGGACGGGGAATTGCAGGAGATGTATTATCGGCTGTGGTTGCATCAGTGAGCGTTTCCCACTGGTCTGAGTGTGTTCTGGCTGTTCCGCTGACTACTCCACTTGTCCAGGGACCAGGTCGTCGTTCTCGAGAATGAAGGTGGTATCAAAGCCCAGATCAAAGGCATTACAAGCGATTGGGGATTGCTGCTGGCGGAAGAGCTGGGGTGGGAGGACCGGAAGACGGGGAAAATGTGGGCACTGCAAAGCGACAGTAACAGTTTCGACTTCTTTAAGGGCCTTCTCAAGAGGAAAGTTTAGAATACCTTTTCTGGCGTTGAAGAAGAACAGAGACAACGTTGACAATCTTACGGCTCTTTTTCTTCTCTCAAGAAATAAAAAAGAACAAACTAGGGTATTTGAAGCCAACGTCCGGATGTAAATGTAGAATTAATAATTAGATTCACGTCCGGACAGTAATTTCAACTACCCACGGCATGAGCGGAAATAAATTTACGCTAGCCGTCGGCTGCAATACCCAGAGCAAAGGTGATGAGACGTGAGTGGGAATGAAGGGAGGAGGCTGCTGATCACTATCTGATTGGCTGGGAGGACAACTCGGTGACTGGGGAGTCATACGAGCCAACCTGGGAGCCAAAGGACTTTGGCAATGAGGCACTGGTGGAGGAATGGGAGGAGAAGGAGGACAGTGACTCTGAGGAGTAAAGCGAGGAACTTTGAACTGGGGTTGTGAACCTTGGAGGATTGGCCAAGGCTGGAGGTGCCGAGGGAGTTCCTCGGGATCTTAGACTAGTGCCCAAGTGGCCTGTCGATCGCCGAGGGAGATCTTCGGGGAGTGCATATCCAGTGCGCCGACTGCCCAGGAGGTGCCGATGGCAGGCGCTCGTGCAGTTTCGGCTACGCCTAGCTCTTTTCGCCTTCTAGATCAATCGAAATAGGCGATGGAGATATCCGTTAGGTTTTTGGAGCAATCGAGGCTGGTGTAAGCCGACGGAGGTAGGTACAGGTGTTATCGGATCGGCGCGAGATGCGTTGAGGATGCGCAGGAACCCGGCCCCGCCTCCGCCGCTCTAAACGGCAAAAACGTCGCGAGGCCCTCATCTCAACAACTGCCGCTCCGCAGCTGTTGGCTTCCAGTTCCTCTCAACCCATTTATCCGGCTCCCCGGCCACCCTGCGCGCTCTCACACCCCCTCGTACATCATCTCTGCTATACCATCTACCCAACTTATTGTCATGGATGTTACAACGTAACACTTACCCAGCCCACGCTAGTAATAGGGCTAGTAATGTATACACATAGGACTGTCCGCGAATACCGGAACCATATATCCTCTCCTCAATAGTCTCAGGTGGGGTTTTCTCAGTGCTGGCGAAGCCGTGAGCAAAGCTGTAGCGTCGAACATTGTCCTATGTATTCCATTACGCTTAACCTTCGATTCCCCATAAAAGAGGCATTTTGCCTTCTGAGCAAAATTCAGTTCTCTTCATATGGGGGATTGACCACTTATTCTTTGATTGATTAGTGAATTACGTCATATTTTTAGGAGTTTAGGGATCAGTTTTAATAAGCTTCGTGTTCATCAGCTGCAATACACGGAGACTCTGCGGACGTTAGTGAAAGATTTCTTATCATTTCAAAACAATGCTCTTGCGACGCTGCTTTCTTTCTAAATTTTTACGGGCTACTATCATGCTAAATGGAAGCATTGGTTCTTTTCTAGTAGTACAACACGCTCAAATCTTTGCGGAACCATCCATTAACGTTTCCGTTCCACCACCCCCCGATGCAGCTTTCACACCCCGCCAATTTTTCCATGAGTTGTTCAGATCGTCAAGTAAGCAACAGAGGCGTAGAATTGAAGAAATTTAAGCTAAGTATTGTCCAAAACACTTAAATCTCGCCTCCGTTTGCGCGAAACCGTCCCCTCCACCCCCTCTCACTGACCCCCCAAATCGTTTCATAAGCTCTCCCGGTCGTGTGCCAACCATCAGAGCACGTAGAAACTGTCAAACGAAGGAGCGCAACATATACTACGAGGTAAAGACAGCATCCGGCCTCGACCCATCATTAACGTACGAACCGTTCTTCAACTCTTCCGCAACCTTCTTGAAACCCTCGGCCATCTTCTCGTTCCCATCGTCGTCGAAACGGGCCTGCAGACTATCCCACGTCGCCTGCTGAAAGACCTTGGCCCTGGGGAACATGTCCCTCTCGTACTCCTCGGCCGCGGCATCGACCTCGTCCCGCGGGCGACCTATAATGCTCCGCGCCAGCAACAGAGCGTCGTGCATAGCGACGTTGACGCCCTCGCCCGCGAACGGGGTCATGAGGTGCGCGGCGTCACCGATGAGCGTCAAGCCCGCCTTGTGCCTCCACCTCGTGCCGACATGCAGCATATACAACGAGCGCGGAATAACAGCGCCGTCAACCGCCTCAATCGCGCGGCGGAACTGCGGCGCCCAGTCGGCGTACTCGCGCAGGACGACGTCCTTCGCCTCAGTAGGGTCGGAAGGGTCGACGATGCCGCTGTTGGCGTGCCACGCCTCGTGCTTGCGCATGAGGGCGTAGATCTGGATGCTCCGGTCCGTCTGCCGCTGCAGGCTGAGCATCCGCCCATCCTGGCCGACGGCCCAGTGCGAGCCGTCGCCCGCGAGCGCGGACACGTCCGGGCACGCGGCGTCCGGATCCGTGATCCACATCTCGTAGCCGCACAGCCCGGCGTAGAAGGGCGGCACGGTGCACAGGCGCTCGCGCACCTTGGACCACGCGCCGTCGGCGCCGACGACGAGGTCGAAGCCGCTCTCGACGCGGCCGCCGGCGAAGTGCAGCGTCGGCGCGGTGCCTTCGGTGACGCTGGAGAGCTTGTGGTCCCAGCGTACGGTGCCGGGCCGGAGAGAGTCGAGCAGCATGCGGCGCAGGTGCGGTCGGTCGATTTCGGGGCGCCCGAGGTCGAGGTCGCGGATGTTGAGGTACTCGCGGCCCGTGGAGTCGCTGATGATGTAGGCCTGGCCAGAGTAGCGGGCGTACTTCTGGTACGCATCCCATAGGCCGGCTTCCTTGACGGCTTCCTGCCCGGAGCCGACGTGCAGGTCGAGACAGCCGCCGTTGGTGGCTCGATCAGATGGCGTGGGGTCTTTTTCGAAGACGGTGCACGGGATGTTGTGCACTTGCAAGAGGCGGGCCAGCGTCAGCCCGGCGGGACCAGCGCCGATGATGGCAATGTTTGGAAGGGCCATTGTTGGTGAGAAGAGACACGATATGTTGGGTTCTGAAGTCGGAGTGGCTTTTTTTACTCCAGCAACGAACACTCCGGGTTGTGCGATATATATATACTTCGCCCGAAACCATGTCCGTCCTCCATCTGGAGCTCGATACTATGTGCCTCAACGAGGACGCCTGGTGCACACGACCACCCAACGCTGTTGTGGAGACGCAAGAGCTTCCGGGCGGATCCGTGAGAAAGCTTTCCAGATAGGACGCGTACGGATTGACTTCAGAGGCACGCCACTCACGCGCAACAAGAGTGGAGATGCTGAATCGAGGCACTTCATCGAGTCATTATCTTGCAGACGAGCATACCTTCAGGCCGGATGCTCTCCTCGGTGTTTGAGATCGGTGTTGAACCGCTGCGGGCATTCAGCGCCATCATGCTCGGCCTTTGACCAATTTCCCGATCCTGCATCGGACTCGGCCAAAACCCCCCCGGACATAATCGGCCACGTCGTGTCATGGGCCTGATGCTGTCGGAATATGGAAAATGGAACTGAATTGATAGTTAAGAGTCGAGTATAAAGTTGATGCGTCCACGACTTGGATTTCAAACAGACACTGCGTATCTCGAGCTTCCAAACGACTTTCATATTGCCTTGCACAACAGAGATGTCGAAAGTCTGTCTCGTCACTGGAGGAACCCAAGGCATCGGTCGCGCTGCGGCTGAGCTGCTGGCACGTCAAGGATGGAAAGTCGTCGTCTCCGGCCGTAACGCCCAGAACGGCCAAAAGGTTGGAAACCCGAACAAACCAAACCCGTTTTATCAGCCAAGTTACTCACGCAGCTCAAAACCAGGTGGTCGAAACGATCCGAAGTGAAGGGGGAGAAGCAATGTTCGTCGAGGCTGACATGTGCAGCCGAGAGGACATCAGTGCGCTCCACAGGCGTATCATTGCAGTCTATGGACGTCTTGACGCTGCTGTGAACAACGCTGGCATCATGAACGACATGAAACCTTTTACAGACCTGTCCTCGGATAATTTCGAACGCATGTGGCAGATCAACGTGCTTGGTCTGTTCTGGTGTATGCAAGAGCAAATCCGTCTCATGGTGCCGCAGAATTCGGGCCACATCATCAACATGTCATCTGCCGCGGGGTTGCATGGGACGCCTGGCGCCGCCACGTATGCCGCCACGAAGCATGCTGTAAGTACCGTTTCCGTCACCTCAAACATAAAACTCACTTTTGTCTCACCAGGTCGTCGGATTGACTCGTACCGCGGCGGCTGAGTACGCGCAGGCTGGACTCTATATCACTGCAATTGCACCTGGAGTCATCAAAACCGAAATTCTTGATGGGATGATCAAGACTGGAGCTATGACCGAGGAAAGCCTGTGTGAGATGATGCCAGTTAAGAAACTTGGCGATCCTGCTGAGATAGCAAGGGCTGTCTCCTTCTTGCTAAACTCCAAGTTCACCACTGGAAGTGTGCTTGAGGTGGACGGAGGCCATGGGGCTACCTGAATCTTCCACAATACAACGAGGTCGCGGTCGCCAGTTAGATAGGAGCGTAATGCAGCATTCAATCTACTTATTGCATTACAAACGTGTGAAGATAAAAAGGGCCATTTAACAACACTGGTAACCATTGCGCAAGATCCGCCCCTTAGGATCTTCTTACATTTTTATCCTCGGCTAGCCCTCGCTCTTTTGAATTTTGCAAATCAGAGCGGGTGACTAAGGGCCAGATCGCTGGAAGCGCTGGCAAGTTGGGGACAGAGTTTTCACCTTAGCCCTCATGGCCACTATCATTGAGTACATCCGGTAGCTTTGGTATCATTCATTCAATCATGCAGCAGTGCATTCAATTCCCAGCGTGCTTAGAAATTAACCTACCATATAGGATAGGAGAGCGTAGTTACATTCGATCCCCCTTTCATCTCCTATACCACATCCTTGTGATTTTCCTCTGCCTCATCTTCTTCTGTAGCTGAAAAACGCCATACATCAACGCCTCCGGTGTTGGCGGACATCCCGGCACATATATATCCACTGGCACAATCCGGTCCACGCCCCTTACCACGCTATAACTATAATGATAGTAGCCACCTCCATTGGCACAGCTCCCCATGCTGATGACCCACTTCGGCTCAGGCATCTGATCGTATACCTGACGGAGCGCCGGCCCCATCTTGTTCGTGACCGTCCCAGAGACGATGAGCACATCGGATTGCCGAGGCGACGCGCGGAAGATGATACCGAGGCGATCTTGGTCGTATCGCGGCATCGAAACATGCATCATCTCGATGGCGCAGCATGCTAGGCCGAAGGTCATGGGCCACAGGGAGCCCTGGCATGCCCAATTGGTCATCTTGTCCAACGTCGTCCTACGCAAGCCGTAAATTAGTATAGTGCGAAACGCGGGGAGAACGCTGCTCTTACAAGACATGTTCAGCAGCGGTGCTCTTCACACGCCTCGTCGATAAGTCAACCGACTTGCTGGGGGTGGCTGTTGGAGCGTTTGGATGGGATGGCAGCTGGTGCTTGGGTCGACTACTGAAGAGTCGAGCATTATGAAGCCCCGCCGCGTATATTGGACTGACCGAGGGAACGACTGCGACTGTCAATCTGAAAGCATTTGCTTAATCTGAGGTTGGCGTTACCATTTCGCAAATTACGTCCCAGGAGCTTGTCCATCTTAGCTTTTAAGCAGAGATAATCGATTAGGTTCGATGAGTACTGGTAAGAAGTATGTGGCAAATAAGTTAGCGGCACTTCTTATACGACCGTCTATGTGGAGTCTTCAAGTTTATGGCCGACCCCCGAGTCCGAGCCCGAAGGCCAGGATAAGCGTATACCGTATCAGACCCATTAATGTAAATTACACTTTGTCAGCTGTATCCGGGGTCTCTCATTTGCCCGCCAGCTTTACGTTCCTATTAGGGAAACCCTGGCCTGTGCATTCTTGACTTGTCCGGACAGTACGATTGTCATACATAGTCCATTACATACAACCTGTTGGACTTAAAAAGAGTATTTTACCTTCGGAATAAAATCCACTTCTCTTTGTATAGGGGAATTGACTATTCGTTCTTCTATAGAGCAGTGAAGTAGGTCGCCTTAATTAGTTCTAGTAAGATTCATGTTCATCAGTTGCAATACATAAAGACTATAGAAGACTTCAGTAAAGAATCCCTTGTCATCACCGAGTAGTTTCAGATCAATGGTCTTGAAATGTCACGCTCTCCCCATATTTTCACGGGCCAGTATCATGATAAATGGAAGCATTGATGCTTCTCTAGCAGTATAACACGCTCAAGTCCCGTTCCATTGATTGCGGAACCGTCCCGCAAAGTTCCCACTCCGTCACCTCCCTCTAACCCCACCAATCGTTTCATAAGTTCTCTCAGTCGTTAGAAAACCATCAGAGCACGTAGAAAAAGCCAGCGTTGGTGGTTTAGTGGTAAAATTGATCGTTGCCAACAGTTGTAGCCTCCTCAGGACCTCCTCCATCAGGGGAAGTCATCCCAGGAGCTCAACAACAAGTTTCGATCAGCCCCGGGTTCGATTCCCGGCCGACGCATTCTCTTTTGCTCTCCTGGAGACCATTGTTTTGCTGCGGAGACGGTGGGGTTGTGGCGTGGTGGAGGTGGTGAAAGAAAAGGAGGGGCGGCGCCGGCAGAAAATTTTTGACCCTTGAAGGTCCGTGCGGCCGGCATTAAAGCAAAACACAAGGCCTCGGCGCTTCTGAACTCCTTCGGCCTCTCTCAGAAGTCCATATGCTTCGCTTTCGTACCTCGTGGATTTTTATTGAGCCGACATGCCGCCATCCACTGCCAACGTTGTGCCGGTCACCCAGGCCGCATCGTCAGATGCCAAGTAGCAAACGGATCTCGCCTGATCAATAGCGCGGCCGAAGCGCTTCATGGGGTACATAGCTGCAATGGCATCATGGCCGATGGTGCTGAAGGCGCCTTTGAGGGCTTCGTCCAACATTGTGCTGTAGCAAGCTGTGTATCTCCGTCAGCTCTTTCCGTGGCAAGCGAGAATTTCTCTCGCCGGGTGACTGCGGCGTGCGGAGGTTCTGATTGGCTGGAAGGGGGTACTTACATCCGGGGCAGATGGCATTGCAGGTGATGCCAAACTGGCCAACGTCGACGGCAACGGTCTTGGTGAGGGAGACGATGGCGCCTTTTGACGCATTGTAGCAGACTGTCTCAACGTTAGCTACCGTCGCGTCTCCAGATCTTTCGAGATTGATCCTACCCAACCCCGGTATCCCGACCGTGGCTCCCAGAGACGCCACATTCACAATCCAACCCCGCACCCCGCACGCATGCGGCTCCTGCTTCTTCATCTGCTCGACAGCGTACTTGCAGCCAAGGTACGCGCCCTTGGTGTTGATCTGCAAGTGGCGGTCGAACGCCTCCTCGCTGCTCTCGTCGACGGGCGCCGGGTTGGCGGCTTCGGTGCAGATGCCCGCGTTGTTCACCATGCTGTATCGACACCCCAATCATCAGCATCATACCTCAATCTTTCCGCTCCATCCCCTCTGGGGCCCTACTCACATATCAACCCTCCCAAACTCCTCCACCGCCTTCGCCACCGCAGCCTTCACATCCGCGGCCTTGCTCACATCGACCTTGACGAACAGCGCTTTCGCATCGTACTCCTTCTGCAGCAGTTCGTGCGTAGGGATGTTGTCTGCGTTGCCAGAGGTGGGTTGCAGGTCCGCGCACACGACCGCTGCGCCTTCGATGGCGAATTGCTTGCAGATTTCGCGGCCGAAGCCGGATGACGCGCCCGTGACGATGGCGACGCGGTTGAGCAGGCGGCGGTTGGCGGAGTAGGCGGGTTGGATTTGAGACGCGAGGGCCTGGAGGCGCTGGGTTGGCGGCGTCATGGTGTTGGATTGTGTGGGTGCGGGGGATTTTGGAGGGAAGAACGTGGAATCGACGGTTCAATTGTACTGAGAAGCGGGGGTTTGTAGGTGCTTTAAGTGGGCGGTTGCGCGTTGTCTGCAGGGTAGGTTGACGATGCATGCATGGGTGGGTTGGTTAGTGTTGTTTGGAGATTGTTGATCCTGCTTGTTTCAGGGAATCATCGCCGGCGTTTTTGAGGGGTTGGCCCCCATCTTCAACCGGGGGCATGGATGCAGCTACTGCAAGCGCTGATATACGGGCGGACTTTCCTCTCGAGAAGGATACTTTCCGCGAGAGTGTGGAAAGCAATAGCATCAATGACTTGGCACCATTAAAGAGCCAAGGCCGATGACTGATTACGGGGAAGAGAGTGGAGGTCCAGAACTCGAGACCTGGGATGCGTTGCTTATTTATCCGTAGATTTTGTGGGTATTAAAACTTGATTCTGACTATTCTTTAGCCGCGGAGAATACCATTGCAGCTGTAGGCTAGCGTAAAGAATAGTGCCCCAGAACAGGGGTAATCATGCCACCGAAAAGGCTAACACATGTAGGTATCTGAAACTATCATCCGGATGCAAATGTATGTACAATTTTTAATTCAACATTCATGTCCGGACAAGTGCTTCAACTACCCATGGCACGAGCGAAATACGAACCCACGCTAGCCCAATAAGATGGGCGGGCGGAGAATGCGGGGCACAGCTATAAGACCGCGGGATCGGAATCACCCTTAACGCTATTACCCCACAAAATATGAGGGGACATAAGTATATCGCGTGCAAAGCAGCGTAAATGCTTGATGAATGCCGATAAAAAAGAGAGCCTTGTCATCCGGACGTTCCATTTTTGCAAGCCGCACCGAAGAATAGTAACAACACTTCCAGTTTCTCCCTGAATTTTTCAACGATATGTCAAAACCAGTGGCCATTGTCACCGGCGCTGCATCCGGCATTGGCCTTGCGGTCAGCAAACACCTGCTCACACGGGGTTTCCGTGTCGTCATGGCCGACGTCAACGCCAACGAGGGAGAGCGTATTGCCTCAGAACTCGGTGATGACGCCGTGTTCCAGAAAGCCGACGTTTCGATTTACGCCGAACAAGCTGCGCTGTTCCAGAAAGCCTTCACGTGGGGCGAAGGCCGCCTCGACTTTCTGGCAGCAAACGCCGGGATCGATGACCGGCAGAGCCTTTACGAAACGGATGAGAGCGTGGACGAGAATGGCCTCCCGAAACCACTCAACCTGAAGACCATCGAAGTTGACTTGCTGGCCGTTATTCAAGGCATTTGGCTGTTCAAGCATTACGCACGCAAAAGTCCGGGCGGCAAAGGGAAAATCGTGATCACCTCGTCTGCTGCAGGCCTGTAGTGAGTTCATTCCTTCCGGCCGCGGGAACCTTGGGTCAATGGCTGACAGGTCCAGTTCAATGGACACCAATCCTCTTTACAGTTCAGCCAAACACGGGCTGGTCGGGCTCACGCGCTCTTGCGGACCTGTATTCTTGAAGGAGAACATCACTGTGAACTGCATCTGCCCGGCATTCGTCCCGACCAACTTGTGCCCGCCCCACATGCTGGCCAAGTTCCCGAAAGAGCATATTACCCCCATGTCGACCGTCCTGAAAGCATTTGACACTTTCTTGGATGACGATGGAATGACGGGCCAGACAGTGGAGCTGAGCATTGGGGATCTGTTTTTCCGCAAACAGGTGGACTATCCGAATGAGAGCCAGAGGAAATTGGCAGCACTGGGAGAGACATTCTGGGCGGAAGCTTACGAAACGGTGCCTCCTGCCAAGAACGGGGTTTGAGAGTCTCATATAGCAACTACTTTTCCACTACTATCAATAATTCAGGCCTTCTTTCTCCGCCTCCTCGAATGATGTCCGAATAATCTCAGCGTGTTTCTCCGATCGAGGCTTGATGTCCGTAAGGAAGGGGTTGGGAACGGACAAGAAACCTCTAACCATGCCGCAATCAGGCTCGATCTCCTTCCCCTCCGAGTCTATCTTTTTCGTGATATTGAAACCCCACAAAGTCCGCACAATGTTGATGTACAAAGAACGTTCGGCCAGATGAATACCTTGGCAAACGCGCCGCCCGGCACCGTAGGTGAAATGATCTCGCTCGTACGGATCACTGGTATTGAGGTACTCTGCGGCCCCAAGCGGCTTGTTGAGGTACCTTGCCGGGTCGAAGTGCTCTGGATCTTTGTGGATGGAAGGGTCCATGTGGATTGCCCTGCCCGTTGTCAGCGTTGAACATGATCCTGTGAAGAGAGAAACTCTTACCACCAATTCAGCACAACCACGGATCCTTTGGGAATGAAGAACCCCTCATACCAGTCATCCTCCGAGCTCGCATGCGTCATGCCGAACTTGTTGACGGGTCGCCATCTCAGAACCTCCTTGATCAGTGCTCTCGTATACGGCAGCTTCTGCTCGTCTTCCCACTGCGGCAGCCGATCCGGACCCACAACTCGGTCGATCTCCTCTTGCGCCGTCCGCATCGCCTCCGGAAACAACGTCATACAAAGAATGAAGTTGTTCAACGTCGACGCCGTCGTCTCGGACCCCGCCTCCACCAACCCCCCACACGTATACGCCGCCGACAGCTCATCAATCCCACTCTTCTCCGGATCATTCAGATAAAACTCCTTGCAAAAGCAATCCCTCGCCACGCCCCTATCCACCTCCTCCTTCAACTCCCTCCACAACCCCAAATACACCTCACTATCATGCTCAAACACTCTCCTCCCAAACCGCCTCCAACCCCCCAACAACCACTCCGGCCACCCCGCCAACCCCGGAAAACTATCCACCGCATGCGCCCCCGGCGCCGTCATCTCGGTCAAATTATCAATAACCGCAAACACCCTCCTCATCACCGGCTCATCCCACGACCTCACGCGCTTCCCATACGTCGACAGCATAATCACGCTCGCCGCATACCGCCGATTGATCTGATAAAACTCCCCCGGTGCGGCGAGCATCTCCGCCAGCAGCTGCTTCGACTCGTAGTCCTGGATCGGCTGGTAGCGCGTCGCGGCCGTCGCGCTGAGCAGCGCGTGCCCGTGCCTGCGTATCTGGCGCCAGCGCGGGCCGTACGGCAGGAACAGCTGGCGCCGTCCGCCGCTGGCCACGTCCTGCGCGAGCGGCAGGGCCGCGCGCGACGAGTAGATGGACGAGCGCTTGTCCATCAGGTCTTTGACGGTGCGTGGTGAGGACAGCCAGATGTAGTCGCTGCCGCCGATCTTGGTGTGGAAGATGGCGCCGTAGCGCGCGTGCCAGCCGCGCACTTTGTGGCGGACCTGGTCCGAGTCGGCGAGGTCGAGCATGTTGCCGATGAAGGGGAGGCCGCGCGGGCCGGGGGGGAGGTGCCGGCGGCGGGGGTCCTGGGGCGTGGTGTTAGTGGTTGGAGGGGGGAGAGGGGGGAGGGGGAGGAGACGGACTTTGATGGTGTTTGGGACGTAGTAGAAGTATGCTAGAAGGAATGAGAGGATGGGTGCGGCGAGGATTCCGGCGAGCCAGGCGTAGAGGCCGGGTCGGGGTGCTTCGAACGAGATGGGAAACATTGTAGAACTCATGACGAAGAAAGGATCACGGGATTGTTACTACACTACAGCCGATTGTGCGCATACATTATATGTAGGCAGTAACTTGACGCTTGGACAGTTCACTTCAGAGTGAGCTCCAGGAAGTTCGTGGGCAAGCGATGAGGGGTAAATTTGCTTCGCTGCAACGCCAGTTTCATCTTAGTGCTGCATGAGTTCCCCGGCCAATGCTCTCACTTCCCCCAAACCCCAGATTCGGTTACCCCACAGCAACCCCACATTCACGCCGGGTAGGTGCATCGACACTGGCCAATGTCCCCAACTCGCCACTACATGGCAACAGTATATAGAGTTATATCCAATAAGTGTAGTTATCAAAAGCATGCAAAAGCTTGTCATTGAGTAAATCCATCTTATCAAACATCTGAACAATCTCCCCCCAATGGCTATCACCTCCGTCATCGTCGTCGGTGCCGGCCCCTCTGGCCTCCTCCTCGCCCTCCTCCTCGCCCGCGCCAACATCCCCGTCACCGTGCTCGAGCAAAACCACGCCCTCGACCCGTCCCCCCGCGCAACCCACTTCGCCCCGCCGGCCGTCTACGAGCTGCGCCGGGCCGGCGTCGCGGACCAGCTGCGCGCCGAGGGCTTCACGCCCAAGACCGTGTGCTGGCGCAAGCCCGACGGCACGTACATCGCCGGATTGGACGGCAGCGTGCAAGATGGCCAGCCGGACCGCATGATCTGCTTGTCGCTGGAACGCGTCGGGCAGGTTCTGTACGAGAACCTTGTGAAACAGCCGTGTGCGGAGGTGAAGTATGGGCATAAGGTGCTGGCGCTCGGGCAGGATGAGGGGAGGGCGTGGGTGGAGGTGCAGGTTGAGGGGGAGGGTGGGGAGGGGGGGACGAAGAAGAGGATGGAGGCGGATTATATTGTTGGGTGTGATGGGGCGAATAGCCAGATTCGAAGGAGCTTGTTTGGAGATCTGAATTTTCCGGGAAGGACGTGGGATGAGCAGATTGTGGCGACGAACGTGAGTTGTGCCCGTCAAGCTTTTATCCCCCTGCATCTCTTCGCTCTGGTACCGACGGAACTTGTCGCTGACCAGCAGCCCCCGGCAACCAGACTTACTACGACTTCGACCAGTTCGGCTGGGAAGACTCGAACTTCATTGTCCATCCAGAGGACTACTACATGGCCGCCCGCATCTCCAAGGACGGCATGTGGCGTGTCACCTACGGCGATACGGCTGGGCTGACCCGCGAGGAGCTGTTGGCGCGCCAGCCCGCCAAGTTCGAGAAGATGCTGCCAGGGAACCCGAAGCCTGACCAGTACAGGATTGCCAGCATCAGCCCGTACAAGATCCACCAGCGCATAGCCGAGAAAATGCGAGTGGGGAGATTCTTGTTGGCGGCTGATGCTGCACATCTCTGCAATCCTTTGTAAGTCTCTTAAATAGCATAACCGTGAATCCCGGGTTGACTAATGACCGCAGTGGCGGGATGGGGCTCATGGGCGGGATTGTGGATGTTGGTGGTCTGTATGATTGTTTGGTGGGCATCCATGAGGGGAAGGCAGACGACACGATTCTCGACAAGTACAATGATATTCGGCGGCAGAAATGGTTTGACTTCAGCGACCCCATCTCTTGTGAGAATCTGCGGAGGCTGTGGAAGGATCCGGAAACCATTGGCGATGAGGATGAGTTCCTCCTTGCCTTGAAGAGAACTGCTGTGGATCCCGAGTTCTCGAACGAGTTCCAAAAGGTCAGTTGGGTTCTTCCAGTTAAGGTTTGCTCTTGCTGACGTGTTGAGCTGTAGGGAATATACGCTCTTCAGCATGACTTCACTCAATATTACCGAGAGGAGAAGCCTGTGGCGGAAGTGGCGAGAACAGACGCCAAGGTTGATTCTGGACCAGCAGCAGATTACGTCAGGATCATGGCTGCTGTGAGATGAGCGGGAGTCTGTTACACTCTGTATTTATGTTCTATCGAATGAATATACTCTTTCAATTCCTGGTTTGAGCTGTATGCCTGCTCGCGGTATGAAGTCTGGGATTCTCTGTGCACCATGTTCAGCCCTTTTTTGTCAGGAAATTGACTTTATCACTCGTATGATATCATTGGACTGTGTCTTTGAAGAAACGTGCTTGTTATCTAGACCTACAAGTGGAGGCGTTGATCAATTGCCACGGCAGTGATCTGAACCAAATTGATTCAAAGATAGGTTCCAGTTCTAACGCAATGATATACAACAGCCACTCCTACGAGGAATTACTATCAACGTAAATAGGCAGTGAAATCTGTGATCCTGATGGTGAACCTTTTGAGACCGCTGTTTTGTAACAATTACAAGACCATTGCAAAATGACAGGAAGAACAAATTGGTAAAACCCATCAACAAGTCAACAAGACACACGCTACCGATTTTACCCCACCACCATCCCCTCAGCATTAACCTTCCTCTCCCCCAACCAAAACCCCTCCTCCAGCGCCCTCTCCCACTCCTCCCTCACCACCCTCTCCCTCTCCTCACTCCTCGGCCTAAACTCCAACACATACGGCTTCGGCAGCGTATTCACCCCCGGCTCAAACCCCTCATCCGACAAATCGACCCCCTCCCCCTCCCTCGGCGCGATCTCAAACGCCCACACAATCTTCGCGATCGTGATAAACAAGCTATTCTCCGCCAAATGCATCCCCGAGCAAATCCTTCTCCCCGCCCCAAAACTCCAGTGATCCCGCCCCTCCGCATCCGCCCCCGCCGCGTACACCCCGCTCTTGTGCGGATACGCCAGGTACCTCTCCGGCCGGAATGCCTCTGGCTCCGCGTACCGAGTGGCGTCGTAGTGCAAGGCGTACTGGTTAATCGTGACGACGGTGTTGGCCGGGATCCAGTAGTCCTTGTAGCGCACGGCTTCGGTCGTGTAGTGCGGCGTGCCGAAGTTCGTGATGGGGCGTAGCCGCAGGACTTCCTTCGCGATGGCGCGGATGTAGGGCAGCGCGGGCTCGTCGGCGAAGGTGGGCGTGCGGGTGGAGCCGATGGCGGCGTCGAGTTCGGCGGCGGCGCGGGATTGGGCGTGGGGATGCGCGGCGAGGTATTTGAGGGTGGTGTTGAGGGTGCTGGAGGTGGTTTCGGAGCCGGCTTCGATCATGGCTGGGGTGAAGGCGTTAGTGGGGGGAAGGAGGGAGGAGGAGGGGGGAGACGGACTGCCGGCGACCCAGGCGGCTTGCATTTCGCTGATGTCTTGTTTTTGGTACTCAGTTTCGATGAATTGCTTTACGAAGCATTCGGGGGCTTTGCCTTCTTCCATTTGCTGGAGGAGTGTGCGCCAGTACCTGGTCCAGATGGCGGTTTGGCGCTTTTGCATGGCGAGTGCTGGCTTTCTCCACCACTGCATCCAGGTTGGCAGCTTGGCGAGCGGGGGAACCAGATCCGGGAGGAAGGCGTTGGTCGGGGGCATATTCTCGGTGAAGTCCTTCATCAGCCCGTAGATCTCCTTCGTGTCTTCGCAATCCTGTTGCAGTCAGCACAGTATCCGAACAAGATGCCGACGAACTCACAAACTCAGGTATCCTCCTTCCATAAGTCGAGGTCATCACAACCGAAGTGGTGTAGCGTCTACAATGGTCGTACGTCTTCTCCGGCTCCTTCAAGATGTCATGCAGCAACTGCTTCGCTTCAAACTCCTGACTCGGCTTGAACGTATCCGACGCCTTTGGAGTCAGCAGCTTGTGCACGATCGCCCGCAACCGCCGCCAGCGCGGACTGTAGGTCATGAGCAAGAAGCGCATGTCGCCGGAGATGATGTCGGCGCCAACGGGCATTGGTGGCCGGCCAGACGTCGAGGCCGACTGCTTGTCCATAATTTCCTTCACCGCCGAAGGACTGTTGAGGAAAATCCAGTTCTCCCACCCCAGCTGCAGCGAGAAGACTTCACCGTACTGGTTTGCCCAGTCGATGAATTGGCGTTGAGAGCCTGTGGGTTTCAGGAGGTGGGCATGGCCAATGATGGGAACTTTTCCGCCGGGACCAGGGACGGTTCGAAGTCCTTTAGGTGGAATTGATCCGCGGCGTGACAGCAGATGATAGAGGAGAAAGCCGACGACGGGGAATAGCAAAAGTGTGATGAGGGCCATGGTTCAATTCAATTGAGGTATTGTGTAGTGTGGATGGAGATAGAAATGCTCCAATCCGTGGAAGCGGTTTTCTGAGCACGTTTATTGGGGCTTACCGCGGGGCTGAATTAGCCTTTACGGTGGGTGCCCTCTAGCCTTTTATAGCAGGTGGGGGTGGATTGCGGGGTATTTTGCACTACCTGAGAAGGTGGTTGCAATACATCCTGTGTACCACTTTTCCCACATCCTGCATTCGTTTGACAGCTTGTGGTTGAACAGAAGTCATGCCGGACTTCCACCAGACCTATGGAATTCTAATTACATGCGGGATAAAGCTGGGTGTCTGCACGCACTTTTAAGGTTTTAAAGTTTAATTTGCGTCCGAATACCACCAAGACTATCAATGACCAAGAACTGTATCGTCTTTCATATGCCACAAGATGCCCAACTCACCACCACGAACCACTGTCAGACCATGGCTCATCAATATTCACTCACACATCCGCCAACGTAACATAACTCGGCGCCGGCTCATCATCCCCCATATCCGCCACCCACGCCGACCAATGCCTGCCAACCCTCTCCCTCCCCTCCGCCTCATCCGCCACCGCAATCGCCAAATCCGCCGCCGAAATGCCCTGCAACCTCCCCTCCAACACCCGCCCATCCATCGGGTCCTCCCCCTTCAACGGCAAGTAATCCACCCCCCACTCATACCCCCCCATCCGCCTCCCCGCCCGATACAGCGCCGGCGGCGACACATACGTCCAGTCAAACGCCCTATTCCCATCAAAAAACATAAAACTCGTCCGCGCCCCCGTCACGAACTCCTTCGCCGCATCATCACCCCTCCTAATCCCCTCCTCCACCTCCCGAATCACCTTCTCCGTCTCAGCCGTCGCTGTCCCCGTGCGGGCGGCGATGCGGGCGTTGCGGTACGAGCGCAGGCGCGCGCCGATGGGGCCGAGCCGCTCTTCCATGTACGCCGTGTGCGCGGCGCTGTCGGCGATGCCGCGGCGGTAGGCGAGCCAGAAGTCCGGGGTTTCGGCGACCGTCTGGAACGAGGCGTTGCGGCCCGGGATGTGCAGGCTGCCTGTGCCGCCGATTTGGATGAGGTAGGGGCGGGTGGCGACGCGGGTGGCGAGGATGATTTTGCGGGTTACTTCGAGGAAGGGCACTTGTGGTGTTTGCGGTTAGAACAGGTGGTGGGGAATAGGTGGATATAGCGGGGGCGTAGTACTGTATTTCAGGGCGCCGGCGCCGGCCGTGTGCGGGCCGTAGGCGTTGATGAGGACGTCGAGGTCTTTGAAGGAGGCGGCCAGCTCGTCGATGGTTTGGGAGTCGACGTCGAGTTTGCGCGGGGTGTAGAGCGGGTGCGTGCCGATTTTCTCTGGGCTGCGGGAGAGGCCGATGACGTGGTGGCCGCGGCGGATCAGCTCGACGCAGAGGTGGGAGCCTGTGAAGCCCGCGGGGCCAATGACGCCGACGGTTAGAGATTTGGTCATTTTGGGTTGCGTGAATATATGTTAAGCTTTGTCGATTGAGTTGATGATGTACTTGTCGACGCCTGCAGTCATTCGTCGGGTTTTATGGTCTCAACGTACCCCGCTCTGGATTGCAGCTTGACCCCACCTGTTGCACATATTTTCGTCTGTTGAGACGATTTCGTGGATGGATTTGTACTATGGTAAACTGGTAGAAATCCAATTACGGCCGCTCATCGTTGGGTATCCTCTCTACTGCGGCACGCTTCATATCATCTCCCAGCAAAGTCATAAGAACCTGATTGGAGCCTTCCTTCATCCACTCAGCATCATGAGCAAGCGCTACATGGGCTCCCATGTTCTGAAATTCCTTGATCCTTCTCAAGGTATCTTTAGCTGCGGGAATGTCGTGCTGTAGACACATCTTCTGACCAGTGGGGCTCTCGAAGACGGCGAAGTCGCATAGTCCATCAAGCAGTTTCCTGGATAATCCTGTTAGCCATAATTCTTCTCGCTGGAGGAAGCCCTACTTTGAATGACAGCAGTCACTGCCCAACAAGACCCAATCGCCTCCCTGCACGCGTGCAGCGGCGCAGAGGTTCCCCGGCATGTGGCCCGGGGCTTGGATCACGTAGAAACTGCCATCTCCGAAGAAATCCATGGCCTTCTCAAAGGGACCAAAAGGGGCCCAGGGCCCAGCAAGTTCTTCCCAATTTTCTGTCGCATTCGCAGGATCGAAGAACCTGCCATCCCACTGCATTGACGGATCTTGCATGTGACCAGGGGAACAAAAGTCCTTGGTACCGGGGCCGAAGTACCCCTTTGCCTTGGGAAATACCTTTGCAATAGGCCTGCAATGGTCCCAGTGTGCATGACTATCGCATCGTCAGCCCAGCCGCATCGCAGCCACTAGAGGATCAGCCCAAGCCCCACCTAAACACCACCGCATCCACGCGCTCAGCCGGCACGCCTTGCCCGCTTAACTGCTCATCAATCGGCACCCTCGGGCCCACGGGATTGACCAGCCCGAAAATGACCTTCTGCACCCACGTCGAGTACATCTCCGGGTCCTGTTGTTGCTATGTTAGCGCAACACGATCGACAGGGATCCCCGCCGCCAATGCGGAGGCGGAGGCGGAGGCGGGGGAGAGGGGAGGTTAATCTTACCCCTTCGACCCCCAGGTCCCACAACACGTGCCGATCCGTCGCCGGGTGGTGGACGTGGAAGGCCCAGTCGTACATGCGGAAGCGGTTGTTGGGCGCGCCGGCGTGCAGCTTGTCTTCTTCGGCGACGAAGCTGCCGCCGTCCAGCAGGCGGAGTTGGACGGTTGGGCCGGCGCAGGGAAGGGTTGAACTGGCCATGTGGGCGGGTCGTGCGTTGATGCTCGCAATTGGGTTTGTTCTGGTAGGTGGAGTACTGGGTGATGGAGGATAGTTTGGTTGGTTGCCTGGCTTTGCGCCCCCACAACGGTCCGGCAGTTCGGCCATCTGCCGGCCGAAGGAGAAATGAGGGGCGCGATTCAGGGACCACTGCCGAAAGAGGCAAAATGAGGGGTATGCTTAAATCCGGGTGCCCCTCTTTTCGAACCACAACGGCACCATCATTCCGCTGTTTCCCGATTGGCGTGCATTCGGGGTAAGGTTGTGGTGGGCATGTGCTACTCCGCAACGGTCGAGCTACTTTTGGAGAAAGCGAGGCTTGGAGAGAGCTTGGAAGCAACACTGCTACACCATCCCGAATCATCAACCACCGTCCAGTAGAACCCATCCCACAATGCCAGACACAACACCAGCACTATCCTCTCCCTTCGGCTTCATCGGTACGCCCACCCCAATCCACCACCACCACCACCACCCCCACTAACCCAACGACCTTCTCCACCCCCCAGGCCTCGGCGCAATGGGCTTCCCCATGGCCTCCAACATCCGCCGCCACCTGCCTGCGTCTACACCGCTCTACATCTTCGACCTCAACACCGCCGCGTGCGAGCGTTTCGTCCGCGAGCACGCGCCCCTCCCCGTAGTGATTGCGCAGTCTGCCCGCGCTGTTGCTGCTCACGCCCGTACTATCGTCTCCATCGTCACTGCGGCGCCGCACGTGCGGGCGGTGTATCTAGACGGGGATAAGGGCGTGATTGCTGCGGGGAAGGACGATGGTGGCAATCATGGCGAGGGGAGCGGGCAGAAGGTGGAAAGGCTGATGCTCGAATGCAGCACCATCGACGTCGAGACGACGCGCGACGTCGGCACCGCGCTGGCCGCCGCGGGACAGGGCGTCTACATCGACGCGCCGGTGTCAGGCGGGGTGCCAGGTGCGGCGGCGGGGACGCTGTCATTCCTGATCGGCGCAGCAGCCGACGCAGCAATGCGGGCACGGGTCGACGCGGTGGTGGGCATGATGGGGGATCCGGCAAAGGTGTTTTACCTGGGCGGCTTGGGCAACGGGTTGGCGGCGAAGCTGGCGAACAACTACTGCTCGTGCATCATCAACCTCGTCACGTCCGAGGCGCTGAACTTCGGTATCCGCGCCGGCCTCGACAAGCGCGATTTGGTCAACGTCATTCGCGCGTCGACCGGGAATTCGTTTATGCTCGAGAAGGTGTGCCCCGTGCCGGGGGTGGATCCGGATGCGCCGAGTAGCAGGGATTATGAGGGTGGGTTTAAGATGGTGATGATGCCGAAGGATGTGAGGTTGGCGGTTGAGGCGGCGGAGAGGTTGGGAGCGAGGGCGGCGACGGGGAGGGCGGCGTTGGGGGTGTATGAGGAAGCGGCAAAGGATGAGAGGATAAGGGAGAAGGATGCTAGTAGTGTGTATCGTTTCTTGGGAGGGCCAGAGTAGTAGTGCTGGAAATGATTCAATTTGTTCGAAGTGACTCTGTATGCTTGCATGTTTTGCCTACTCTGTGCACATCCTCGTTCATCAGCGAAGTTCCCACATCTGCGGGGAAGTTCAAGTAGCGTGGGGTACGGAGGTGGGGCGCAGCAGTCAAAAGAGCATGTAAAGAACGATCATTGAACGACTTCAAAACATACACAACGCTTGCACGCTATTCAGCCAGATAACCAAGCAAACAGTCAACACAAAAACAAAACAAGAAAAAGGTACAGAAGATCCACAATGCCCCCCACCACCGACTCCCAGGGCCGCACCTTCATCCACCATCCCAACGGCCAAACAACCCACTACATCCTCTCCGACTACACCGACCCCTGGAAATCATCCACCACCACCACCACCACCACCGCACCCCAAACCATCCTCCTCCAGCCCGGCTTCGCCCGCCACTCCGCCTTCTGGTACCACTGGATCCCGCGCCTCTCCTGCGCCGGCTACCGCATCATCCGGCGCGACCTCCGCGGGCACGGCCTGTCCAGCGTGCCTGAGTCGGGCTCCTCCTACGCCTACACCCTCTCCACCATCCTGTCCGAAATCATCGACACCCTCGACCAACTCGGCCTGCGCAAAGTCCACTTCGTCGGCGAATCCACCTCCGGCATCCTGGCCCTCGCCCTGGCCGCCCGCTTCCCCTCCCGCCTCCACAGCATCACCCTCATCTCGACACCCCTTTACCTACCCCCCGCCGCGCAGACCCTCTTCGCTTTCGGCGAGCCAAGCTGGCCGGCGGCGCTGCGCACGCTCGGCGCGCGCGGCTGGGCGCAGCGACTGGCGGCCGTGCCGGGCACGATGGCGCACCCCGATCCGGGGTACGAGAGCTGGTGGCTGGAGCAGATAGGCGTGCAGAGCGGGGAGGGGTTGGCGGGGTATGCGGAGTTCCTCTGCAGGGAGGAGGTGGATGCGAGGGGGTGGGTGGAAGGGGGAGAGGTGGCGGGGGGCGGGGTGCCGGTGTTGGTGCTTGTGCCGGAGAGGAGTGCGGCGGTCAAGGTGGAGGAGGCGGGGTGGTTGGGGGAAAGGGTGCCAAGGGCGACGGTGGTGGTGGTGAAGGGACGGGGGCATGAGATTGTGAGTTCTCCCTTGCCTGTTGTTCTTCTTTTTCTTGTTGGCTGACGGGCGGTAGTATACGGAGATGGCGGAGGAGTGTCAGACGGAGTTTTTGAAGTTCTTGAAGGATGTGGATGGAAGTAGGGAGAAGGGGGAGTGAGAACGATGGGCGTTTGTTCCTGGAGTTCATGAAAGGGCTGCTTGGTACGCGTTGTCGTACGCAGTAGCGAGCTGCATCAGGATGTAGCCCATCCGCGGCGTCACTGCCACACGCACAAATATCAGCCACCATCCCCCAAATCATCTTCCCGCAAAGAAAAGAGCAACTCACCACCCCAAACCCACGTATCCGTCAAAAACCCCGCCCACGCCCTCGTCACCGCCGCCGCCAACGACCCCACCCCATCATACCCATACTCCATCTCCTCCAACAACCCCTCCAACTGCGCCACAATCCGCTCCTCCTCCCCATCCGCCGCACCGCCCTCCATCTGCACCGCATGCACCCACTTCGACACGAACAACACGCTATCCCACGCCGCCACCGCGTGCTCGACGCTCCAGCTCAGCGCCGCCGTCTTCTTAATCAACAAATGGCCCAGCCTGACGGGGGTAATGAACCCCTCATACGCCTTCGCAATCGACTTCGTCAGGAACGCGTTGCGCGGCTGCGGCGCCGCGACGTAGTTTGCCATGGCAGCCGCGATCTCGCCGTCGTCGGACGCGAGCAGGATCATCTTGGGGAATGCGCAGCTGTTGCCGAAGAGCCGCACGTACGCGATGCGCAGCAGCGCGTGGCAGTTGAAGACGAGCGGGATGCTGGACGCGTTGTTGTAGTACGCGGCCTCGGGCGTCTCGACGCTGTCGTGGCCGAGGGCTGTGTGCCACCGGACGAGCGAGGCGAAGGTTGTGGTGAGGATGGAGTGGGAGAGCGGCGCAGGGAAGGACGCGGAGAATTGGATGATGCTCCACATGTGGACGTTGGCGGCGTGCGTGATGAGCAGGGCTGTGAAGCCTGAGATTTGGGGTGGCGGTGCAGGGCCGGAGTCGGGAGGCTGGTTGAAGAAGGTGGCGACAATGGCTTCCCGTAGGGTTGTTGGTGCGGAGGCGGCATGGCGGGATGCGCGGGCGTCTTCCCATAGCTCGGCGGTGCGCGCGTCCCAGAGCTTCTCTTCGCTGGGCGTTTCGAAGGTGAGGTCCTGCTCGATGGAGAAGAGGGGCGTCGTGCCGTACGTGACGGAGAACAGGTTGGTCATGATGAAGATGCCGCAGAGGAGGCGCTTCGACGATTCTCGCCGGATCCATTCGTCCCAGCAGGGGCTGGACTGCTCCAGTGCGGATTTCTGTAGCGCAGTCCGCTTGAGCTGGAACTCGATCTTGAAGAAGCCCATCTTCTCCACCGTGGATAGGACTGCAGCTGACTGCCCGCTGAATGCGGCGTACATGGACAATAAGAGGCAGCTCTGGACAACCCAGAGCGGCCGCGCCGAAGCCGGACTGGAGAAGCTGGATGGCTGGCTGGAGACGGAGCGGTGGAGAGAGGAGCTGGCGATGTTGTGGAGCTGCACCGCGCGTCGCCGGTCAAGCCTGTATAGGGCACCGATGGCGCATATCGACAGTATGAGAGGTCCCGGAGCAGTCGACAGATCCAGAGATGCGATGTGGATGATGGGAAAGTGGCAGTGAAAACAGGAGACGTAGGCTTCCATGAGTCTTTCCAGCTCTTTACTCTTTGGTATTGCCGTGAGATCAGGCTCCTCCTTGGTTCGGCTGCGGATGTCTCCGCATAGATGCTCGTAGACAGCATCATCTGCTGTCAACTTTGGGGGGCTGGTGACTTTCTCTCGCATTACCCGAGGAAGAGGTTGAGAAGCAGCATCGTTTTCCTGATGCATACTGGGAAACGGACCGCCTGGTGGTTGCGGGATTGTTGAGGGGAAATTTGACAATTGTGGGATTGCCAGTGGGCTGTCCGGGATAAAGTAGAGATCCCGGAGGACATCCAATGAGACACCATCGGGTACCATTTGAGCTGTATGGTTTACGAAAAGATCATTCATCTCCGTATCCAGCAGAAGATCTTGTCCAGTCGACGCGTGTGCGGTGTGGCGAGAATCTTCTGTTTCGTCTGTTTCGGGAATGATGGAAAGGGTCTCAGATGCTCGTCTCTCAACAGCTATGTCTGCCAGCGGCTGGGATATATTATTGGCCGCGTCCGATAATGACATTGTTGTTGTAGGAGAAGAATGCGCCGAGGCAACTTGTTTTTCACCTGACCCAGAACTCTGCGTTTGCAGACCATTACTGCCAAGGTCTTGATCTACATCCCATGTCGGAAAATCCATATCGTTGAAGAACGATGGGCTCATCATTCGAGATAAAGTGATGGGGTATGAGTTTCGTCTGGCATGGGGGACGCTGGAATCCTCTGGTGTTGGTGGCCCGTCTTGCGAAAGAACATCGTCTGTCGAGGTGCTTTCACCAGGGCTTTCATGAGACGTTGCTTGCGCCTGCCGTTGAGCTTTGTTGTTGGACGGTCCGGTAGATCCGCTGTAGGACGACCTGCGTGGTCTAGGATCTCCGGCAGCGGCATGCTCCTCTGCGTGAAGAGAGCGTTCATGCCGACTGACAAGGTCTTTTCGTGCGTAGCTCTTCTTGCAGAACCGGCAGGCGAACGGACGCTCTCTGGTATGGACGCGTTCGTGGCGCGCACAGTGCTCGCTGCGCTTGAAGATCCGGGAACACTCTCGGCACTTGTAGACGCGTCTGGCTCTGCCGGTCTTGGTGAAGCCAAATGGATGATCATTTCCGCCGGCCGCTGTGGGGATGAGGGGAGCTTCCATGGTTGCCGTTGAAGGTAGAATAGCACAAAGTCCAAAGGAAACGATGTTGAGGGTAGAATCAGTAGGTGAAGAGCGCATCCGATGGGAGCGTGGGGAAATGCGGGGAAAGACTGTTTCGGTACTGCCCGCCGATGAGCCGCACATCCAATGCGGGGAAAAGCGCTACGAATTAAGATCCGGGCAGGATCATTATCCATTCGGCACTTTGCATAAATCCGATGGCTTTAACTGTGCTCTGATTGGATTAAAACCCAAGGTTGTGGTCCAGTGGCGACCAGTTCATTGGTCATCGCGTCTCATCCTTCGGCCAAGTCCAGATCTTGCCAGCCGTAGGCTCACCGAATGGACCCTTCGGAAGTGAGCATTTCCGAAACGTAGATCGGTGAAAATAAAGTGTGATCTGTCCTGTGAGATGGTCCAGGATGCTACCCAAACTTCCCACTACAACACCAACCATTCCGACGAATCTCCCCTAAGACGCGCAAGCGTGAGGCTTGCTAGTACTGGCTTTTGGAGAGCTTCTGATATTGCTTGAATTGTTATTGTGACTGGAGAACTTCCAGACTAACAAAGGCCTGTAGAGTTTTGGATGAGCTCTTTTAAGCCAGAACATTGTTTGAAATATCAGCGGCTTGAATAATTCCCTGTTTAACATATTCCAATTCTAAAGTAAGCAATTTATAGCCCAGTTCCGTCTGTTTCGCCGTCACCGGCTAGCAAAGATGGAGTGCAACAGGTGACAAGATATTATTTTAACAATTCCCTCCTACTGAACTCGCAGCGCCTGTTTTGTCACGACTTAGGGCAAATTATAAGGTACAATTTAGGAGATACTCTCATAATTTGAAAACTACCTGTATGCCTTACTGTTTTCTTCGAGTTCCTATGAGTATGAAACAAAGCATCATCTGAACGTGTGAAGCTTAATGAGGTCAGAACTCTCCCATATTATTGCGGCTAATCATTCAAGCCGTCTGGTCATGACAGCGCCAGTACCACTGGCTAGCGCTATGTCACCTGCCACCTGCATCACCTCTGTTGCGGAGTACCACTGCAAGCATACACTTTCCTCTGAGCCGAGTAATTGAAGCCGTACTTTCTATCACTTGTCGATATTCCATTGGCAAGCGGTGAGAGCTTAATTAAATCTACATGGCATCTTCCTACACCGCCAACTCTCAATCCTCACCGAGACGAACTGCCGGATACGCTGTGATATTTCCCCTTGTGACTCTGCAAGCGAGCCCGGTATTGAGTCAAGCTTTATCGATCGCTAACAGAGGATAGACGTTATGCTGCACGGAGCTTCTAAGTAAAAGCCGCATAGAGGTACGCTACGTGTGTAGTACTTAGCTAGCAAAAGTAACGAAGCAAAGCAAAGCCACATCTCTACTCATAAACCATGTAGAGCACGATGCCACGTGGAAAGTACGCAATGGTGGTGACGATTCAGTTCTCGTATTGAGGAGATTTTCTAGAGGCTGGCAACGGTTTCTAGTCTCCTTCTCTACTTCTTTGACTTTTCCTTTTGTTCAATGTGTATCCTGTGATGTTCTGGATGTGAAGAGCGTATTATATAGGATTGAAGAGTTCTTAAAGGTCTCCGTGACAAGCTTCAACATATACTGGACTATATAGACTAGAGTTTCGGCACTTGAGATTCATGAAAGAGTTCTAGAGGACTAGACTATCAATAGCCGAGCTAAAAGCTGTCACTAATCAGTATACGACGTCATGCGAGCCGCAGATGCTTCTCATCGGGTTGTTGTTCTTCACTTTTCTTTCTTTTTTTGCTTCCTTATCATTCTTGATTTGACGGAAGAAGCTCCTTGCAAAAGATACGAATACGGATGGCAATCACCGATGGTTGAAAAATAACAGGGCGAGCAAAAGTTCACAGCAAGTCAAGACCAGCGGAGGGAATTCCGGTCAGCACGAAAGCGTATGTCCGCTCGGTCTCGGAGTTACCGAGCTGCTGAAGGAGCAGAATCGTTTCATCTGTCAGCAACAGGCAATACGAACATAGGCCTGGTACTGCTGTCGCATCGAGCCGAAAGGGGTATCGGCACTGTGGATGCAAAAAGAAAAAAGCGGGTGTTGTTGAAGAGTGTGGATAATCGGGTGGTCTGATGAGTGCTGGCCTGACGACGAAAAAAAAGCAGGGGGTCGATCATACATCAACGCCACGCGCGGGTCCGACACGCGAAAATTGCGAGCTCTCTTGCGAGTGCGCGGGAGTGGCCGAGATACGAGGCGCGGAACATGGCGACAAAGGATCCAGGAGCACGGAATCGCTTTCGCAAAAAGCTTTTGAATGAGAGAGCATGGCTGTGCTTCAGGCCAGCAAGGCACGCAATCCGGCTGTTGCATGTATGTTAAGTCATTATTTTCCCAACTGCTCTAAAGCCGCAGCGTTGCAAGACTAACAAATGGTGGGCCAAGAATTGTAAGCCTGCGGAGCCGCTTGCCACACCACAATGCACTGCCACGGAGGTCGTCCCGCAGCTCCATTCGCCACAATCCCTCCAGCAGCCGTCACACTTCGTTTCGCGCTCCTCCTTGGCGCCGTCTCGAACCCCTCCATCATGCCATGGGTAATCGAGGCCGCTGCTGTGGGACCAGGATCATCCGTTCATGCTCGTCACCGTGCACTGACAGTCTGGGTAGCAATGCGTTACTAGTTCGCAAACACCGGCAGTTGGTGCAAAAGCCGACAGCCGTGTGGCTTGAACGACCAGTCCCAAAAGAAGACAAGTGAAGAACCCCGTGCTGCTTCTCCTGTTGAATCCTTTACGGCGTACTCCGAGGGCTGTGACAGAAAACAGTTCCTGCGGCTGATGCGCCGGCACCAATAGAGCGCTCTGAAATAAAGACGAGGGATCGACGCTCTCCAATCGGAATGCGGGAGGTGAGATTGGGCTGGCGATTGACTCGTGGAGCAGCCGTGTGGGGCGGCTTCGGCATGTGGGGTTCCTCTTCTCCTTTCGGCCTGTTGATCGAAACACCCCGGTGTCCTCCTTCTGTAAAAAGTGCTGCTCATCGGTATAGCATCACAATTAATAGCTAGGGATTCCATTTCGCGACATTACCTATCGCTGCTCTGTCGTTTATCACAGTCAAACTTTGGATCTACAGCGGGGAGATTTGTGCTTGTGGGTTCGGTAGGAGTGGGGTGTTCGCTGGACGCCACGGAAGTGCATCGCTGGGTAGGAGCGAAGCGATTTCAACGAAATTAGATGCTAGGCCTGGATATCTTTATCCTGAAATACAATGCGTATTAAATATGATACCGATGAACTCTTGGACGTCTCCACCTTTCATGATTGGTAATGCTCTTGGTTTTGAGAGAAAGGCAGGTGTAATTCAACTATTAAGACTCGTGACTTGACCGAAATAGAGCTGAACGAGTTGCTAAACGTTAGCGCTACCCGTCGCACTATGACTGCTGTTCTGCCCAATAATTTAGAGATGTAATTCATGCCCTCGGCTCTGTTCCGGCTGGGCGTCAAGGGTCTGGCTCTCCCCGGTAAAGGTTACCAATCGGCTCATTTTGCTGCCGAGGTTGTGGTGAAAAGCCATGTAGTCCTAGCCTGCATGTAAGCTTCCCCTCCCCCTTCCAAGACAGCGGGGGGAAAGACATCCGACCGCGGGGGGGAGGCGGCACGAAAGCATAGCCCCAACTCTATTCATCGAACCTTCTTCGTGCATTCCGGCCGCAACGGACATAAGATGGCGCAAGAGAATGGACGTTGCACCATTGGCGCAGGGGCATTCGACCGTACGTTCTGGGCCGGAGAATGCCCCACAGGATTGCAGCCCCAGCTGGATCATTGGTCTGGCCCTCGTAAGACGCGGCACGGCAGCGCGGAGCCACGGCAGGCGGACACTAGTGCGAATGGCAGGTAAGAGGTAGAGGATTCGTGCCTTGAGTCAGGGCGCTGCATTCTTCTTAAATGGCTTGAAGGACGTAGCATCCGAGTATAGCGCCGACGGTATGAGCCGCGTAAAAAATGATCCTAAACACGTGTTGATGGCGTGAGATTGTGGGAGACGGGATGTGTGTGAGGAAGCGGATGACGGTATCAAGAACCGCTGCGATCTCAGTGGGCAGCTTTGGAACAGGAAGGTAGCTGCAAAGTAGGTGGAAGACGTCACCACGAGTGCCTCAAAATAGGATCAGAATCCCGCATCAGATCAACAGCTAAGACTTCGTAGCGAGAAGCATGAGTCGGTCAACCGAACCTGCCAAAAAATCACGTTTGAAAAAGAACAACAAGTTCATGCAGGGGCACAGCAGCTGAGTTCCGCACCACGTGGAAGATGCCAGGGTAAATTCCAGGGCAAGTGCCAGGGGGTCGGGACCAATGTGGCCGAGGAGGCGCGTCTGGCGCTGGGGAACGCCATCCCGACATGCCGACGGTTTTCAGAACAGGGGCGGAAAAGGCTGACCTCTCGGGGCCGAAAATGCTCCCTACTCGGAGCTGAACTATCAACATTTTTCATAGACCGAAGAGTTGTAGCAACTTTTTGCAGAGCGACATTGACGGAAAAAAAGACCGTAGGTATGTGCCGTCGGGAGACAATTCCATTTGGGCGTTGCAAAAATGGGACCTAACGAAGAACGATGGAAGATCGCTTCCTTTCGCTGCAGGGTGATGTAGTAGATCCTTCGGAAAACAACCGAGGGCCTAAACTCGTGGGGTATGAAAGCCGAGGAGTAGCGGCAGAACTATCAGCGGCAGTGCCTGGCCCGTAGACACAGCAGCTGGAAACTAAATCCGCCGTCCTTAAACCGTCGTCTCGAAAAAGCGCTCATAAATGCAATGCCGAATCACAGCGGCATTATTTTTGTGGACGCACTGCCGTCGGCTTTGGGAGGGAAATAATTGGATCTTGGATCTATAGAAGTGGCAGAGATGGAAGGGGTATTGCAGCATTCATCTACATAACGAAGATAATCAATCGCTTACCGGAGAAACCACCAAAATGGTGGAGAGATGCGAACGGCCGGATGGGGAAATGGAATGTGGGGCTCTAATCACTAGCACTGTGACGCTACCTGGAGAGTCATGAACCATGGCCTCGCACACACCAGCGCTTCCTTGAACTTCAGCTGACGCGCGGCACACATGTTTTTCTGCGGCAGGTGGCTGGATCGCGATCCTGCAGCGCCCCTGTGGTGCCTGGTTGGGAGATAGGGGAGGCGTGCGCAAAGATTCTACTGATGGCAGGAAGCTGGAAGCAAGTCGACCTAGTGCATCACCATGATTGTCGTATCGATAGTGTCGGCAGTTGACGATCGTTGACGATCGCAGCAGGGCGCCCAGCAGCGTCAACAGCGAGCGCCCTGACGAGTCGACGGCTAAGCTTCTCCGGGATTGGTGGGTCGTTGGTTGGGCTGGTACCGAAAGCGCCGAACGCTCACGAGGCGGCCAGGATCACCCTCGGAGTGTGGGAGTCTCGAGCTGACTACCAAATCTGCACCCGAGGCGAATCAGCAGGCCCCATGTGCATGCGGGGAGCTTGCCGCCGCCCTGACTACCCCTACTGCGCATCTTCATCATCCAATGCACCTCGCTTGGCTGACGATAGTACCAACGCCACCCCGTACCCAAGCCCAGCCCGTACTTTACGGCGGGCGCCGCGCCCTGCCGTCTAGTTAGTGCTGGGCTTGCCGGGGCGTCGAATTTCTGGATGCCGCACGTTCAAGCCACCCCAAGGAACGCCCTGCTGTCCCGCAGAATCAGGGTGTTCCGTGCTCTCTCATTTTCTTAGCCCCAGGCTGCTCATCCATAACACTGTTGCGTGCCGCTTCCTTGGGAATCCACAACTGACTCTTTCCCCACAAACTTGAGCTACTCTCGACCACATCCGCAGCTTTCAGCCAAGCGGCGAGCTTGCATTCTCTCCGCCATGTCTGAGAACAGGGGCCCGGGTGCGCTGGCCACTTCGGTGACAGTCACCTGTGTCGCTGCCGCCATCGTCCTCATACGTCTATGGATCCGCATACGCATTGTGCGCGCGTCGGGCTGGGACGACTGGATGATCACCATCGCCTGTGTAAGTTGGATCTTGAGAAGACATCGGGACGTGATAACTGACAGTTGTAGGCTGGTATTGCTGGAATGACCATCTGCATCACCCAACGTAAGTCATCTCCTCAACCCACCGCTCGCAAGACATGCTAACCACCATCCAGAGGTCAAGTACGGACTCGGAAGGCATATGAATGAACTTGACGACCACGAGAAGGAGTATTTATACTTCGTAAGCCATGCATCCGACCATCCCAACACCAGCATCCGTCACTGACGCCAGCACAGTACTTCTGGCTCTCCATCATCTTCTACAACATCGCCCTGGGCCTCACCAAGGTCTCAATCCTGATGCAATACCTCCGCATCTTCGCCACCGCCCGGGCGATGCGCATGGCCATCCTAGCCACCATGGCCTTCATCGTCCTCTACGCCTTGGAAGCAATCCTGCTCAGCGTCTTCAGCTGCACGCCCATCCGCCGCTTCTGGAACCGGCCCATAGCCGGCACCTGCGTCGACTTCAAAGCCCTGTGGTTCGCCCACGCCGCCATCAACATCTTCTCCGACGTCCTCATCATCTCGCTGCCCATGCCCGTCATCAAGGGCCTCAACATCCCCACCAAGCAAAAGCTCGCTCTGATGGGCATCTTCGCGCTCGGCGCCTTGTACGTATACCCCAACAACACACTCCCCTCCCCGACCCCAGCTAACCACCACCCAACAGCGGCTGCGTCACCTCCATCCTCCGTCTCAAATCCCTCTACGCCGTCGCCGACAGCGTCGACCAATCCTACGACAACGTCGACGCCGCCGTCTGGTCCAACGTCGAGATCAACGTCGCCATCATGTGCGCCTCGCTGCCCACCTTCAAAGCCCTCATCAAACGCATTTTCCCGCACCTGCTCTCGACCGACCCGGCCTCCTCGCGTTCGCCCGCCGGCAAGTACGGCAACACCATCGGCGGCGGCACGAACGGTGCATGGCAGCGTTCGCGGAACACGCGGAAGAACGGGACCGTTATTTCGCTCGATTGCATGGAGAGGGGCGAGGGCGGTGGTGGGGTGATGGGAGGCGTGGTAAAGCAGAAGAAGGAGATGTTTACGACGACGATCGAGAAGGGGGTGAGGCATCATGGGTATGGGGGTGATGGGTCGGATGGGGAGAGTGAGGGGAGTGGTGAGGGAATTAAGGTGACGACGGTCGTGTCGCAGCGGGAGGACTCGAGCTCGGATAAGAATATGCTGGATCCGGATGATGTGCACAGCATTAGTGAGAGTGAGAGGAAGTTCTTTCCGCATGGGCATGCATGACGGGAGGAGGAGGAGGGGGTTCGGTGACGCATTATGGGAGTTCTACTTGGCGGCATTTTCCTTTGTTATTTTTTTTGTATTGATCGGGAAGGACGAAGTACGGACTATATCAGCTTGGAGTCAAGAAGAGGCCAGACTTGGATAGCGCTGGAGGGAAAGCGCGCGGAGTAACGATCTTTCCATTCTTGCATTGATAGCGGGAGCGAGAAAAGGATACCCGAGACATCATGCTAGATATATACACTGCTATAATAGCGCAACAGTGCGTCATTTCAGACATGTTCCTTGTCGGAAACAGGCTTTGCGGCATCTCTCGCCGTAATGAAGCAGCAATAGTGCGGTCTCCCCTGATAAGAGGCCCAACGCCATCCGCGCAGTCTGAATTATAAGCCCGCAGCCTTGTTCAAGCACATAATCCATGTATTCGTGCAGGGAAAATGCAGCAGCTTTGCTGCCCGTTCGCGATAAGGGGATGCAACTCTACGAATTTCGTAAAGTTATTTTTCACACGGTGAGAGCGCCTCATTCTCACTTTCTATCGAGTAGTTACGCGAACGGTGAAATAAAGCCAAATTACATTCTTGCTATCAAAAGAGAATGGTGCGCTATTAACTAAAACTTTTTCCGGTGCCGTCTTGGTATACTTCTGAAAAGCTCGGGTATCTAACGTCTGTCGCAGTAGTGAAACAAAAGCGCCCCGGGCTCAGTTCGTCGGTTGGGACGTCAGTAACAAAACCCCAAGTTAGGGGGAGGAAAGAAGCATCTGTATCTTGCTTGTGTTTGTGGCACGCGGCGCTGATGGCAGCACTGCAGGTGGACACAAGAGGCATAGGGTACGCCTCTTTACCATTTTCAAGCCTCTTCGCTCTATACCTCTTAAATGCCCCCACCCCGAGTACCGCGATGACCAACGTGATACCAATCGATAAGGAGAACACAATACCAAGGCTGGAAAAGCCAACAACAGATGCATCCATGGCCGGTGCCTTTTCGAATTCAGCTTTCGCAAGTTTCCCTACATCCGGCTGTGAATACCCAATTGTCTGAATGACGAAGACGCTCTGTGAAATCATCCAATGAAGGAGTCCAGAGCTGACGATGAGGGGGATCCCGTAGGCGAAAGGTAGCGAGAGGAAATATGATGACCGCTGTATCCCCTGAGGAAACGAGAGACGAAGGGTCTGCCGCCCTAAAATAAAGCCATTCCATTCTTCAGCGATTAATAGTACCGTGAGAAGGTTGTTGATCAGTAGATAGAGGCCACTGACGACAACCTGGAATACGTTAGCGAAGAGCAGAGCTACGAAAAAGCCCGTGGTCTGGTCCAATTTCCGCATAAAGCTCGCAAAAGCAATTGCCCAAGTTTTTGCGTCACCAAGACCGTAACGCCATATGGAGAAAAAGCCACCTAGATTCGTTTTTGTTTTTTGTTCATTGATTGCGATGGATAGAAGGACAATTGAAATAGCGATCATGATGCTGCACCTATTTCGAGTCAGCATACTTCTTACACTAAGTTGGAAGTCTTACAAAGAAATGGTGACAAGCCATCGTCTTTTGCTTGCCGCATAATTCCATTGCATAGACACTGGTTCTCTGGCTGTCGTGGAATCGTCGGGCCAGTTTCCAGTGAAGTCGTCTTTACCAACAACAGGCATTTTAATAGTGTTAGTGTCCTCGACCTCTAGAAAGCTGGCGATGGCATCTCCGATTGTTACTAAGTAGTCCGGGCCACGGCTAGTGGGGCTTTGAAGTTGCTGAGGAGCCTCGGTGGAAATGACTCTAGCCCAAGGCGACAAGAGTGCGAAAGCGCGTCTGTAAGATGATGTATGATTCGGATTGGTAGCTTTACTAGTCTGGCCATGGATATGTGCTACCCAACAAATGCATATGCATTTGAAAAGATTCAGAATGCACACTGTGAATAAAATGACAGTGCTTACTCTGAGGGCGCAACTCCCGTCCATGTCATGTGCATCTCCTGCTGGTATGCAATGGTCGATCTTTGCCCAGAACTCCTTGGAGCCCGTTCGGAAATCAGATTGATCCCCGTGGTACGTCCAATTATGCGATTGTGGCCCCAAAAATTGGTCGGTGCACCAAACCCGCAACCGTTCGCCCGGCATTTTCCAAGCTGAGCAAAGCCAATTGTTGCTAGCGTACCAGTCAGTCGGTGGACCGGGAGTGGTGAAGTTTGACAGCAGAGATGAAGTATTGTCAACAGCAAAAGATTGCTGGTCTTCCATGGTCAGGTTCGAAGTGACAACTATAAGGTCCGTCAAGCCACCGTCACGTCCAGCATAGCGCTTGATGCACTCAGCGTTGTTGATGGGTTCTACTTCGGAGGCGTTTGCCATCTCTCGTAGGCGTTGCAGCCGTGGACTTGTGTATTCCCAAGGGATTGGATCCAAGTAGAAGTCTTTAGTAACAATTGCAACTTTGTAAGAGCTGATAGGAAGGGCGGCAAATATTGCAGAGTTCCATCTGTTGAAAGAAGGAGGAATATCAGAACAAGAACTCCGCAGCAGTATTTACAAACTTACATAAGATGTAGAAGAGCCGAACTAATCATCAAACAACACCAGAGAGTCTTCCGTTTGAGGTCAATCTTACGAAGATTTCTTAGACTTTGGACTCCGATATCGTACCATTGTTTCTCACCGTGAGCTTTATCTAGCTCCGATCGTGTTGGTGCCACCAGAATCTGAGCGCAGTAGTTGCTCGAGCCTAAGAGAATTGTTGACATGACGTTGATAGCAAGATGCAGGAGTTTGTTGTAAAGCTTCACATCGTCGCAGGTGGTAGTGCCGTCGGGGCCTAGGAGGTCTCCGCCATTGCTTCTAAACCCGTGCTCGTGGATGGCGAAAGACGCGAAGACAAGGTTGAAAAGGAAGACAATACATGCAATGATTTGATGAATAAGAAGAGCAGCGTCTCTGTCTGAAAGCCTCTTGAGGTAATTTTGCTCTAACACGCTCTTAGGCTCAACCTTCGGAAACCAAAGTTTGAAGTTATCGATCAACGCAAAACGGTCACGATAACTCGGCTCATGGGGGGTTTTTGACGAGGAAAAAGTGTAAGATGAGGCATTAAGCAAAGGAGACTCGTCGGTTGGTTCAGGGCTCGGTGCACGCTCCGGGCTCGCTTCCAAGCAAGACATTTCGTGCGACGCCATAGCAGGCAGATTTCAGAAGGAATTGTGATAATGCACTGCTTATAAGTAGCCTCAGAAGACGTCTCGGATCTAAAAGCAGCTGTTGCAGCCTTGCTTCAAAGACAAACCTAGACTATCACGCAAATTTAGTAATGCTTGATCAGCATTGTGGCTGGATCACAAGGCAGCAGCATGCAGGAATACGGGAACGCCAAGGCCCACACCGAAGGCGTTGGTGAGAGACATGCGTCGTCGAGAACGCAAGGCTGGCCAATTGTAGCACACTACGTGATTGCATCAGCTACCATATTATTAACTTGATACGGCTCGGAGCCTGAACCCATTGAGGTACAGTCTGGTCGGATAGAGAGGATTGAGTAAGGTTGTGAATAACAAACACCTGCTGCCTTCGGATCTCACTTCATCCTGAGTCCGCAGTCTAGTACTAGAGGTAAGTACCCTCCCTCGTTGCCACTTTATTTCACTCTTGTGATGGGAATCTGTTTTTCGGTTCACATTTGCATGTAGATACGGATACCGGGGACTCACATAGTAGTGTGCGCTTGTCTGTATGTAAGAGAGTGACGGCCTTGTGTGCAGACGTCGGGGCCTGATTACGACACTTGTAACTGGCTTAAGCGCATCTGTCACTTTTGCGCCAGCTTTAAGCGAATCATTTCCTATTTATATCAGCTTTGCAGCACCTGACGTGAGATTTCAGCTTGTGTAACTCCATGTCCAGTTGCTCCCATGCCATTTCAGTCCCCCGTTTTCACGCCGACTGTTTGATTCACGCACCTACTACGTTCACTCCACCGTTCACGTCTCCACCGTTTCAGCCTCGCTGGCATAGAGTGAGCCCTAACACGACCAATTGTGTGCCTACACGTAGCCGTAGGGCAGCTTAATAAGCAAAGTGCAAAACACCGGCCCTGGGTATGAAGTAGTCTCGCTGCCTCCTTTCATTTGAGATCTACCCATTACAAGGCTCTAATAGGCGGAATTTTGGAAAGACTATACCGCGAGCTTTCAAGTCTGTGCAAGACAGCCGAAGATCTTGCAAGTTTTGCGACCTTATCTACCGCAGGGTTCCCCGAAATCCAGATTTGATTGACCAACAGCTTGAGTATGACTTTAACTTTAATTCATCAAACGGGGTCCCACACCATCGCAACCTGTGGTCCGGATAACATGAGACGGGGCACTGGAGTATCTCAGTTCATTTTTATTCCCACAAGCTGTGAACCAAGCCAGAAAATGAAAAGTATAACTGACTAGACGTAAATCTGCGGCAGGTGTCCAAGCTGGGTAGCTTTTCCCTGGAAGGCTTGACTTGACAAAAAGAGCCTGGACGAGCGCAAGAGTTGGTCAACAAGTGGATGGACGACTGCACGAGAAAACATGTCAACTGTGGTAATTTCGCCGACAGGAAGTGGCGCCCAATAAGACTGTTAGATATAGGCGAAAGTCCTGACTTCAATTCCTTGCAACTTTGCGAAGGAGACGAAATCAAGCCAGGTGTCATTTACACGACTCTGAGTCCCTGTTGGGGCGGTACCCAGCCTACCAAACTTACGCATGAAGCACATCCCCATTTCCGGAACCCCACCGCTTTTAACAGCCTGTCTACGACATTTTAAAATGTCTTAGAAGTTGTGAGAAAGCCCGGAAAGCGCTAAATTTGGATCTATTCTATATATATACTGCAGGTAGGGGTCCCACTTAAACCCGCTTGCAAGTTTAAGCGGGGACCTAGGCCCCGCTTATAAGTAAAAAGCCATCAGCAGATCGATTGATTAAGCAGCCCTACTTACGCTTAGCTTGCTTAACTGCTTAGTAAGCGCTTGTTAAGCGTAAATACGTTCTATCTCTTAGATTTAGTATATACTATAAGAGATATACTCGGATATCTTAGATATCTTGAATATTTTCGAATATCGTAATATCTAAAAATATATATCTAAGAATACTTCTTCTAGCACGCGCTAAATCTAGTATAGTAGAAATATACTACTTAATATATACTTGTTAAGCGTTAAGTAAGCGGGGGTATTTACCTCGCTTGCAAGCTTAAGCGCTTAATCTAAGTAAATCGATTAAGCGGGTCTAAAATGCCCGCTTGCAAGCCGCTTGATTGATCGCTTGTCAAGCCGCTTGCGCTTGCTGGGACCCCTGACTACAGGATTCCATTGAGGATTGGAACAAGGAAGCTGGCATGATGTGCTCTGTCTATCGCAACCCATTCTGCAACCTCCCGGCGACAGGCGCATCTTTCCCAACTGAGGGCTTCCTCATCGAAAGCACTGATGAAGTATTCCGTATTTCTGCGGACTGGGAAGGAACGTACTCAAAGTCTGACCGAACTGAGTTTTACCATTTTGACCAACAAGAATGGGAACAAAACATTCCAAACAGCCCCTCTCCACAAGCCAGCATGACGCTTGCAAGAGAGATTATTGGCTCCCCGGATGCTTCACTTTGGTCTTTCTCAAGTTGCCTGGGAGTGCAATGAACTCCATGCAACTGAGCGCTTCCCTGTCCATACCTCACAATTCTGGCCTCTCGACTTCATCGCCAAGCGTCTCAATCCTAGCCAATGGGGGAATTCACCGCCACAATTTTCTTCCTAATTGAAGGGGCAGTTCCGGAAGACTTGGAGTGGAACAATCGCAGCATACTCAGAAAATCGTCTGACAGTAGATTCGACCGGATTCCTGCGTTCACAGATATTGTCGACAAGTACAAGGAATTAACCTCGGACGACATCTTAGGCAAGCTTTAGAGATTAAACATTGAGTGGAATCTTGTTTGGAGGGCCGAGGAACCAGGACAGCGTTACGATTCTTACGTCGCTCCGTCATGGTCAGGGCTCTCACTGAAAGAAACACCTATTCGCGGTGGACCAGAATTGACAATATTGGAAGTGGAACTGGGTCATGTCTTGCAAGCCGAGGTGACCCCCTCTCCTGGTAAATTCAAGTATTGTTAAATATTAACCTAAAGAGGCAAGAATATAATGTAAGAAGATAGAACAAAGGGAAAAGAGTCAACTATTTAACTACAGGGTAATGACTAGATATTTATATACAACGAGTGAAGCTTAAACACGTCACTAGCATGTAACTTGCTACTTCAACAAGTATACTATCATGGATGGTCATATTCGGTGCTGGGGCAGAGTAGCTTTGGCGACCTTGTCTTCGAACGGACCAGGCGACTCAAAAGGAAAACTTCTGGTTCAGACAGATGCGAATACGACAAAACCATTGTACGCTCACTTTGATGCTAATACACCCGAGGCGATAAGTGCTACGGAGTTGCTTTTATTTCCTGTTTTCCTTTACCCTTTCCACTTGGAAGACAATATCATTATTTTCCTTTCCACCATTAAGCCACAGTGTTTCCCCACCGTTAACCAAATACCGGACCCATACAAGTGAATGAGTCTAAATCTAGAGAAAACAAGTCATTCCGTGACGGGAGGCCAAGCCGCGATATTCAAATTACCAGGAGCAGAAAATGGACGCGGCTGCCGCTGAGCTGGATTCATTGATCTCCCGCATCACTGGTAGACACCAGCGTAGTGCTTGCGCAACTGCCGCGACGGGTGGCTGTCTGGAGCAGCCTAGCGCGGCGACGGCGGCAGCCGTGGCGACGAACCGGCAGCACTGGCGCCATTCCGACTCCTCCAGGGGTCGAGAATCTCTCGGACCCAGCAAAATGGCGTCTCAGACGCATCGAGAACTGCGCAACCGTGGGAGTTTCCCATGGCGATGGAGTTGGCTCCGGGAATGTTGACGACATGACGGGAGGTCGTTGGGCCGGCTCAACGTTGAGGGCGCGGGGGCCGTCTCTGCTCATTTGCTGGAACACGGGGGCGCTGACGACAGCGCTTGCGCTCGAGGCCGCGTGCGTGCGCGCGCGAACGTTGGAAGGTCGAACGTAGCGGACCTCGTGTTCGGTCGATTTTGCCGGCCCCCGCTGCGTGTCTGTCGTGGTGGTTACGTGGTCATGCGACCAGATTTGGTCGTGGTGTTTGCGTGGCGCGTGGCTGGAAGGTTCTCCCGTTAGTCTACCGGCCCCCTCACCGAGCTTGAATCAGCAACACCACGGATACGACTTGGCTGATTTTGTTGTCGCTCCGCATTTTTCATGACCTGCTATTTCTGCTGCGACTTCAATTTGCTTCGCGCCAACTCATTATCATCCTTCTTTCCTTCATCCTCGTGCTCCTCCCTCCCCCCAGTTTTGCTCTCTATTGCGCCATTCGAATTTAACCTTTCATGCGCTAGTCTTTTTCCATCTTCATGTCGACCATGAGCACATATACCAACCATTTGAATGTTCCCCTTTCTCTTCCCCGAGACATCCGCCGTATCTTCTTCTCCACATAGCTGTATTTTGCTTTCTCTTACCTCCTCCTTTCCTCAAGCGTAATAGTTCCACAACTGGCATAAGTACCAACCCCAATTCAGCTCCTCAAGACAAGCTCATCCTTCTCGAAGGGGTACCGAAGGTTTCAGTAGTCAGACGGTTAAAAGTTTGTTTGTCTCCTATCGATTTGGTGGAGAGATATCGTTTGCTGGGCTTTGATCGGGCCGCATGCCAAGTGAATGCCGAGCCGACGACTTCCGAGCGGTAGATAAGAGCTGGGCTGACAGTAGATCTGCTTCTACCGAAACAAGGAGGCTCTCCGGCAGTGGCTTATGCCAAGATCCACCTCACCGTGGGATGTTACTGTAGGCGTACTTCAAAGCATCGAGAATGCCAGGTTTCAAGTGGGCCAAGCTGAGATTGTCTCGTGAACGATGACTAGTGAGATGATTGGAAGGCCGGAGGACGCACTCGGGTCTTTAAGTACTAAATTGGCGCCATGTTTCGTGCTTCGGTCCACAACAGGAATTAGCTGTAGTCAACAACTTGAACGCGTTAGGCCACCCAGGTGCTTACTTGCATGTCATCGTCGACTGCGATGGCAAACCCCACTTTCGCGTGGTGCGCACAGGGCATGATCTGCGGGCAATCGGTGGTGGTTCCTGCCCCTCATTCGGTGCAAAAAGCATTGCGGCGAACATCCCAGCCCGTCGGAACCAGGTGCCAGGATATGCGGCAGGGTAGTCATAATGACGAAGCATTTTTGGCGTCCTTGCTGAGCTGAGAATCCATCAATCCTTAGCTGAATGCAAGCTGTTCGTAGAATAGTACTGTACTCGAACATAGGGCTACAAACTATTGCGGAGAGGGTGTGACAAGGTGTTACCGTTGCGGGCTAGACTGGCCGAAACATGTTCGCTGCCAAGAGACAAATCACGCCCGCCGCGCTGCAACAAGCAATTCATCCGCGTGGGAAGAAGCACACTCACGCCGTCTTCCGAGCACCTGGTCCATCCACGCCGAAGGCCGCGTCACGCACTCGGACTCAATCAAGCCTCGGCAAAGCTGTGCCGATGGACTGCTCCAGTGCAACGGCCCGGGAGATGCCAAGACCATTCGAATCTGCGAAAGCAAGCCTTATCAACACTGTAACACGTTGTACGGCCGTTCCTGAACAGGTTTAAGTAAATTATTTGCGCCTTTGAGTCTCATTTAGACGCAAAACTAAGTAGAGTACCTGATGCATCTGTCGTGCCTGCTGTCGTGTTCTTGTCTGACTCTGCGACATTCCAAAGTATGGGCCTTATCGCACCATACTGCTCGAATATTGCAGCGGAAGCACGCCGCACGTTCCCCACACAACCGCCACCGTTTTCTTCCTGAGGCCAATGTGACCTGCCACATCCAGCGACGCGCTCTATACTCTTGGATTCTGTGCAACCTGCTTCCCAGAGATAAGGAGCGGAGGTGCATGTCTTGTCGTTTCTTGGCTTTGGGCCCATGTCTCGCCATACCGATAGGATGCTTGGCTGCCAAACTTAAAACATTGCCCTCCCCGAACACCGGCGGCGTGCTCGCATGGCCGATATTCTCGATCCGCAAACGTGATCCTTGCCCTTTTGACATCCCGCTCACCCGCGTCCGGGTGACCGTCAACCCCACATGGCGGACACGAACGAGAAAAGAGATGCGGGAGGTCTAGACGCCCCCGCATACGAGAGTGGAGGGAAAGACCCACTTGTATGCCGCCGAACACGAATGGCTCCTTGCACGCACAGCAAGCTCACGAGGCAAAGTTTACCACGGCAGCTGTAGAACTCGACGCCAACCAGGTTGAGACGGATCTGAACATCACAGGAGATGACCTGGCCATTGCGGAAGAGTACGCCAGGACGCTTAGCCTGGAAGACGTGCGAAAGGTGAGAAGTACGCGTACTTGCAGCGTCGTGGTTGTGGTGCTTACTTGGGGGCGATGCAGATCTTCGAACAAGTCGTCAAAATCCACGAGAACGACCAAAACTTCCCCGTCGCCGTACTGGAGAAAATGAAGGAGTTCCTCGGCAACGACGACATCTTCTCAAACCCCGATGCGCATGAGAAGCTTATCCACGAGATGAAGGTCGAGGCTGCTCTGATCTACAACAACAGGTTGGCTGGGATGTGTGGAAGGATCATTAGAGTGCTTGCTAATCTTGGTTAGTCCTTACGCCGAGGTCCGCGCTGTTGTGGACAATACGGATGATACGTCCGTGCCTAGCGTAAGCATCCCCGCAGTCACAGGTGCGAATGCGCGCTGACTCGACATAGTCTACAATCCGGTCCTGGACTATCGGCATCTTCTTCGTCATTGCAGGCGCGTTTGTGAACCAGTTGTTCAGCATTCGTCAACCTACCATCAACATTGAAGCAAATGTTGCTCAACTGCTTGCTTGTAAGCGAATCCCAGACGCGCATGTGCCGTTGACTGATGCGCGATAGTCCCACTGGGTAAGGCTTGGGAAAGGTTCCTGCCTGATTGGCGCTTTCGAGTTTTCGGCAACGAACTCAGCCTCAACCCCGGCCGTTTTTCCAAGAAGGAGCACATGCTTATCACCATCATGGCAAACGTTGGTTTCAATGTGCCCTACACCAACTACGTCAGTAAGTGTCGACTCCCACCACTCTTTTGCTGCAAGGTACTGATAACTTCAAGTCTGGAGTCAATACCTGCCCAGGTTCTTCAATCAAAGCTACGCAGGCAATTTCCTATACCAGATCCTCATTGCATTGGGCACCAACTACATCGGATACGGTGTCGCAGGAATTTGCAGGCGCTTCCTGGTGTACCCGGCGCATTGCGTGTGGCCATCTTCTCTGGTCACTATTGCTTTGAACGCGTCTTTCCATGATGGTCAGCTTCTCCGATGGTTTTGTGCAACTTCTTCCATGTTGCAAATTTACTGACTCAGCATTACAGAGAAGAACATGCCCGTCACGGGTCCATTCAGGCGAGTGTTTGCAGCCTCCCGCCTGAGGTGCTTTCTCTTCTGTTTCGCCGGCATGTTCTGCTACTTCTGGTTCCCCAACTACATCTTCCAAGCGCTGAGCTACTTCAACTGGATGTCCTGGATTGCGCCCGATAACCTCAACCTCAACACTGTTACCGGCATGGTCAACGGCCTCGGCATCAACCCCATCCCGACTTTTGACTGGAATACGCTCCTATTCATCGAGGGCAACTCTCCGCTGGTCTTGAGCTTCTTCTACTGGGCCAACCAACTGGGTGGAATGCTCGCAACGGTACCCGTCGTTCTGGGCATGTGGTACACCAATATCTGGAACACGGGATACTTGCCGATCAACTCGAACAGAATCTGGGACAACACGGGCCAGGAGTACAACATCAGCCGGGCCATCGATGAGCGCGGTATGTTCGATGCCAGCAAGTACGAGAACTACTCTCCAGCGCTTATGTCGGCTTCAAGTTTGATCAAGTATCTTGCCTTCTTTTCCATCTACGCAGCCACGATATCGTACGCCTATCTGTGGCATCGCCATGAGATCTGGATGGGACTGAAGGGCATGTTCAAACGCGGCGAGAAGACGGCATACCAGGACGTCCACAACAGATTGATGTCAGCCTATCCGGAGGTATCCGAGTGGTGGTACCTTGCGGTACTGCTGTTCGCTGTCGGATGCTCAATCGGCGGAGTGGCTGGATGGGATACTTATACAACCGTCGGCGTTGTGTTTTACGGCTTGGCTCTTTGCCTCGTCTTCGTCATTCCTGTCGGCCTCATCTTCGCCATCACCGGCCTGGAGGTAACACTGAACGTGCTCGCCGAGTTCATTGGCGGATCCTGGGTTGCTGGAAATGCTCTGGCTATGAATTATTTCAAGTCTTTCGGGTAAGTACAACCGCCGATGACAACACTTCCGCATTGAAGCTTACAGAGCCACCAGATATGTCACCTGCGCCCACGCACTTCGCTTCTGCAACGACCTCAAGATGGCCCACTACGTCAAGATCCCACCCCGCCACACCTTCTGGGCACAGATCGTCGGCACCCTCGTCTCGAGCTTCATCTGCACAGCTGTCATGAACTTCCAGATGAACAACATCGCCGACGTCTGCGAGTCTTACCAGGCCAACCACTTCACCTGCCCAGGCATCAACACCTTCTTCACCGGTAAGCAATCGGATTCTTCTCTCTGCAATATACCAGGGAGTGCTGACCACCTCCATAGCTGCCGTTCTCTGGGGCACCATCGGCCCGATAAAGGTCTTCGGCAAGGGCGGCCAGTACACCTGGCTTCTGATCGGGTTCCCAATAGGCTTCTTCCTGCCCATCCTCGTTTACTACGCTAGGAAGAAGTGGCCCAAGACGCACTGGCTGCGGTTCATTCATCCTGTTTGCATCTTCAACGGGCCCATCCAATGGGCGCCGGTACGTGGATCCCCCCTGCCCCTTCCGTCCGAAGCAAACGCGGTCATGAGTTGAGTGAAAATCTAACGATAAGTCTGCACTACAGTACAACGTCAGCTACATGTGGCCCACCGTGCCAGTGGCGTGGCTCTCGCACGTCTACCTCAAGACGCGGTACACGGCCTTCTGGTCCAAGTACAACTACGTTGTTTCCGCCGCATTCTCAGCCGCCATTGCCATTGCCGCCATCGTCATTTTCTTTGCGCTGCAGTGGTCTTCCGTGTCGCTTAACTGGTGGGGCAACAGCGTCTCATTCCAGGGCTGCGAGGACGATGCTTGCACGAGGTACACGGTGGCGGATGGAGAGTACTTTGGGCCTAGGATTGGGCAGTTTCACTGAAAGAGGGTTGGAGATATGTCTAGTCACGAATATCATGAAATCGAGATGAATGATGATCCTTTGGTGGAATACTTGTAGTAGTGACATTTTTACACAATCTATCTGCAAAGTGAAACAATTCCAAGCAAACAGCTGACCCTAATCCTGGAGATCTCTCCACCAAGCCGTCAAACAAGATGACGGCTGACTCGACTCGAATTCGCACCTCACGCCGAAGCAGAGGCCTCGCTCGGCGGAGCGCCACCCGCACCAGGCCCATCCGCATTCGCATACCCACCATTAGCGGAGTAGTATGCAGCCGGCGAAACCGTATAATTCGCCGTCGGGTCAATCCCGACCGCAATCCAGCTAAAAATGCCATCCGCAACCGAGTCGCCGAGCAGGACGTACTCCGCCACCGGATCCACCTCCTCCGCCTCCCCCTCCATGATACTGTCCTCCTCATTCAACGTCAGCGTCTGCTCGTTCGAGCTATACGGCGCCTCCGCCTCGACCGCGTAGATCAAATCCTGATCGAAGAACAGTTGCCCCACGTGCGCCGTGCTATCACCGCCGGTGATGGTGCCGTTCGGCAGCAACGACCACGTGCCGGCCGGGTGCGCCGCGATGTGAATGTGCGTCGTGCGCCCCGTGTAGTGACCCGGGAAGATGGATTGGAATTGCAGGGACCCGTCGGAGTCGGTCGCTTGGATGCCGCGGCCGTAGGTGGCGTTGAGGTTGGAGGTGTCGCTGTCGGAGTTGCCGTTGCCGCTGGCGGAGACGCCGGAGTAGACGCCTGTCGCGTTGCAGTGCCTGGGGGGAGAGCGGGGGTTAGCGGGGGAGTAAGGGGAGAGGGAGAGGAGGAAGGGGGCTGGCGGACCAGAAGTCGAGGGCGACGCCCGGGAGGGGCTCGCAGGTGTTCGTGTCGATGAGCTGGATGTCCATGTAGAGCGGGACGCCGGCCATGTCGTCGGTGACGTTGGAGCGGAAGAGCTCGCCAACTACGTCTTTGGGGTTGTCAGTGATCCACCGGAGCCCGGATGCGTTTTCTCGTGCTTACAGTATGGACCCTCGGTCGTCTCAGGCGCAAGGATGCAGGAGTTGTTCCCCACGAAAAGCGTAGCTGGGTCGGTGCTGGGTGTGATTCCAGTGAGGTCGGAGTGGTGGGTGGTGTTCAGAACCGTGTCGAAGTCGCGCTTGGCCAGGGCGGTCTTGCGGAGCTGCTGATGCATGGCATGGCGACGCTGGACATTCTTGGCTTCGACACCGCGAGCGGCCAACTTGTCCTGACAGTGGGAAAGTGAGCGTTTGCTCATGTTAGACACGGCAGCTCTGCGCTGGACAGCCTCAGCTTTGTGGTTGTGTCCCGGGTGAGCCATAACCTCAGTGGCACTAAGGAGAGACAGTGCCGTAGCACCGAAGAGCTTCATGTTGACCATTTTGAAATGAAAGTCGATTAATTGGGAGCGAATGAAGAGAGAGTGGATTGTTGAAGATGAAAGGAGCAAGTATGACAGCGACGACTTATATACATCTTCTGCGGCTGAAACCTTCAAGTATGCATCGTTGTTAATGCCTAATGCCTTGATCTCCAATGAACAGGGTTCAGATGCGCAACACGTAAGCCTTTTACCTATGATAGAGAGTTGTCGAGAAAGCATAGACGGTTTCGAAACGTTCGCGGAGGAAGCAAAGATAGCGGTATGGCGTATGCTTACGCTGTCCAATCATGTCTCTCGCATTGTGCCTAATAGTCGAATAAGCTAAGAGATCCGCAGTACAGCAAGATATTGATTAGGGTCCCGAAAAAAGATAGTAAAACACGCGGCCTTGATCGGCAGACAGGGTTCCGGGGGAAACCTACATCTTTCACGGGATATGTATGTAGGTCTTTTGTAAACACCCGAGGCTACTCAGCATACTCCAAAGTAATTCCTCCTTCTTAAACCCTGAGTCTTAGTCCTCTTGGGGTTTTGTCGAAGGGAAAATTCCCCTGCTGACACGCAGCAGTAGTTGTTGAGCGGAATATTTAGCCAGCAGTTCTATAAACTACAACTTGAAACAGGGAAGCACACCACGTCGTCAGCATTCTTGGCAAAGATTTGATTGGTCAATATACGGATAGCAGGGGCAGCGGATCCACCGAATGCCACCGAATCGATGATAGCGTAAAAAAGTGCACACTAGTACTCGAGCTCGAAGCTGCTGATTACCAACCCGCTGATTGGTTGCATATGTCGGAATCTGCAAGGAATGCATTCGAATGCAGCATCGCTTGTGCCTATGCTTATTTTACTCACCGCTAAAGTTGCTTGAACAGTCCTCATCGCATCGTATCGTGTGAGGTACTTGCGGGATCTGAATTGAATGCTGAATGGGCGGCAGACAGATAAGAATACTACTCTACGTATATGCTCCTGGCTTGAATTCAAACATTCTATCCATGTTGTTGAGCTTGTAACACCGTTTTCCATCCAACTGGCGGACGCTGTCCCCCGCATGGCCAGTGCTGAAAAGTCGTAAGCTGTCCGCGTAAGCGTCCGCATTGGGCACAAGCCAAGACCGCGATCCCACCGCGTCGCAAATGTGGTACTACATACGGTATACGGTGCTCACACAGGTCTTGCCAAGAGAGATCTTCACAGATAATAGTCTCATCGCATCTTAAAGACCGAGATCCGATCAACTCCCACAACGCTGCGTAATTCAAACACGCGTTCACTTCCATGCTCTCTGCCGCGTTTCAACCTATTCAGGAAACCCATTTTGGTTCTGCTTACATAATGCAGAGGCTCCCGGCATATTGAAGTCCAGCTTGACCAGATGCACGGTTCGAGAAGTAGCGGTTCGTCTAAGGAGAAGATACAACATCATACCGCTCTTCCTTGAAAGAATGCAGTTACGCGTCACTCAAGGCAGTGCTTTCGCTCTGTTGTTGCTGTAGCTGCAGCCAGCAAAAGGGATAAGGGATTCCAATCAGATCGGTATTTAAAGAGGACATGGCTCGTCGTTTGATTTCTACAGCAAACCATCCTCAATCCGACCAAGATGATGTTTCTGAAACAGGTTGTGGGCATTATACTTTCCGCATCCCTTGCAGCTGGGAGCAGCTGCACGACAAAAGCCCAGCGCAAGGCCTGGTGGGTGCTACAACTGGTAAAAAGAATTATGAGCTAATAAAATGCAGGCACAGCCTTACTACCGCGGAAAGACATGCATACATTGATGCAGAACTTTGTCTGATGTCCTCTCCACCAAAGTCGGGGTTGGAAGGGGCCAAGTATCGATGGGATGAGCTCCACTGGGTTCATGTAGTCCAGTCCAACGTAATCCACGGAGTGGTCAGTAAAATCGACAAATGGCGTGTCTGAAAGCTCACTGATACAGGGCGGATTCCTTCCGTGGCACCGCTACTACGTGCACTTACACGAACACCTCCTAAGAACCGAGTGTAACTACACAGGATACCAGCCGTAAGGATTCAGCTCGCGCTGTCACTGCTTGACTGACAGAGTTCAGGTATTGGTATGAAGTCGAAGATGCAAACAACCTGACTGCATCCATCGTGTGGGATGTGGATACAGGTTTCGGCGGCAACGGTGTTGGAGATGATGGTTGTGTCGTCGATGGACCATTCGCGAACCACACCCTCAACATCTCGCCAGCCACAAACAACACCCCGTACTGCCTCAGCCGTGATTTCAATGCAGATATATTCACCGGAGCCAACCAGACCTACCTGGATGAATGCTTCGCCATGACCAACTACTCGGTCGCCTGGGACTGCTGGGCCACACAGCCCCACGGCTCGGCGCACGCCGGCATCGGTGGAACCATGCAAGATGCTATTCTCAGCCCCGGAGGTAATGTTGCTCTTGCGAAGTGAACCAAGCTCCTTCTGATTGTGATACAGACAGCATCTTCTTTCTTCATCATGCGAACCTTGACAGGCTGTGGTGGGAGTGGCAGTCGGCAAACTTGTCCAGCCGGCTTTACGACATCGCCGGCCAGAATATACCTACCGATGAATTCCTGTCTGTCAATAACTTTACCTCTCCGCCGGCATCTATGACGGATTATTTCGGAGACGATGGGAATGTGACGACGTTGAACCACAATCTTTGGATGGCCGGTCTGATTCCCAACGTTACGGTTGGTGATGTTATGGATTTGGGAGGCGAGGTGATTTGTGCAGAGTATATTTGAGCGTGTATCGTTTTGTTATGTGAATGTTCCGCGCAAAATATAGTTTAAGGCCATGTTCCATTCCTCTACCACTTATGTAATAGCGGCTCGAGGAGGTAGCTTATTAGTCTTACCTTAACCCTTATGCGTAATGGCAGTCTCTGGATTAACAGTAATTCTGTAGTTACGTGCTACGGTCAGCAAATTATCAAATGGGCGGCTTTCCATCGTCTTTCTTTCTCCATCTAAGTTGGGTCACTTACTTCATGTCTCAGTGCTGCTTGAGGAGTCCGTGGGTCTGTAGAAAAGCCTACCCATCTTATTAAAGCGAAGAGTGTAACAGCCACTTAAACGCAGGGGCGAAATTTGGGCGTCCGCCTCAAGTGGCCGTGGAATGTTTTCAGCCAGTAGGCGTGTTCGAAGGAGATGACCATTGGCCGGAGTTTCCGGACAGTGTGAGGGATAGGCCGCATGTCGAGTTTGAGATGCCGGAGCGGATGGGGATTTTTGACTGAGTAAGCTGCTCCTCGGGTCCGTTAAATTATATACTAAAATAGGTTTTCAAGAACTTGACAGATTGTTGAATACGAGTAGTTGTTCCTTTTCTTTTTTCGGGGCGATCACATGGACTTGGCTTCTTGGTTGAGATTGTCCCTACTGATGCGCGTGATTATAATCCCTCTATTGCGAAACCAAAAGTTACTACATATACAACGATGGATCACGATGCCAACTGCATCGGTAGAAGCCTCAATTCCATATCCAGTCGTGATCCAAGATGCCAAGAGAAACTACGTCAGAATCCAGCGCACGAAAAAATCGTAAAGGGGGCTTCGTCTCCGTTCTTTTCAGGATGTAGTCGTAGATGTCAGACGAGTACCCTATTACCAAGTGCACTCCTACAGAATCAACCATTATGTGTTTAACCTGCCCAGAAATATCTTCATTTTCCGGTGGAGACCAATCTGAACTCTCAAGCAGGTCTGTGTGGACAGTCTTCTGATAACACCACTTGAAATTTAGATCGTACAAGGCTCGGAAGGAAATAAGCCTCATTTTATCGTAAACCTTTGACCACGAGCTCTTTTCATCCAGGTTTTCATCCCAGTCGTCATCCGAGTCCGGGTTATCCAACAGAAGGCAGTTCTTTAGTGATAATTTCTCCAATGTGGGTGCAACAAGGGAAAGCATACGGAGGATGGATCCTTCCATGAATTGGACACTGTCCAAATTCAAATGCCGAATCATTGGCCATCGCGCAAAATTGTTGATTTTGGTGAGCATGTCAAAGTGTGCGACATTCCATAGGACGTCATGCCCAAATGCGGAGAGGTCAAGACGGTCGAGCTTTTTTGCCTTCTCCAGGCACCGGCCCAGGGCTTCCAAGAACACATGATTGTCGTCCTGTAGCCCGAAGCCAATGCGGATATCGGTGAGATGAATGAAGGCCTTCTCTGCCATGTGACAGTTTTTCTGTATAATAGACTCAGAACGGCCCCCGAAGGTTTCCATTCCCTCATCTTCATCCTCGTATTCATCCGCGTTCGGTGCCGTCCAAGCATAGTCGATATCCTGCAGGCCCCACCACTTGTCCCCATTCAAATGCATCCGGATTGAGGTCAGGCTGTCGCTGGAAGAATTGCGTTTGCCAAGAATTCGCAAGATGAAGGCGAGAGGGGCTATCTCCTCCGCTATGGCCATGTCCCAGTCGAGTCCGAAGCAAGTAGCATATGAGACATCGAAAACATAGCCCCGCCAATGTAGGAAATGGCCAGACTCACGACCTTTGATGCAGACCCGGAGCTGCCGTATGTTACGCAGGCTGAGAAGCGCTTCCTCGAAGTCGACACAAGCCCTCTGTAGCCGTCGCCCTTGTTCGTGCCAGTTTCTCGGGCTCGAAGTATACGTGTCCTCGTCTGGAGACGACATTGTGAGAAGGCTCTCAGCGACACTGGGGGCCGGTGCGTGCAGGGCCATCCAGAGACTTTGTTCCATCCGCTGGTCCTCAAACTCTTGAAAGAGTTGTCTTGTTAAAAGAGGCACATTGCCATTTTCTTGGCGCCTTGAGACACGTTTATTCAACTCTGCTCTCGCTGTCAGCTTCCTCGTCACGTTGGATTGAAGGATTCGCGGAAAATCTTTATTCTAGTGGCTTTACTTACTCCCAGGCAATCTTGCGGTTGCTTTCCATTCCTTGTACGTGAGCTCTGGCAGTCGCGGAACCTGTTCAAGGTGGAGTTCTTTAACGACATCGGCTGTCGTGCTGCAATTCGCTATGGCAATCACCCGCTCCATTTCGACCGCACGCATGTGAAAAGTGACTGTTGCGAAGAGATGCTTTGTAGCTTCTTTCGAGAGCCATTTGCAACAGAGTCGGACCTGCTTCAGCGCAGGCCTGTCCAGCATGCTGACAATAATCACCAACACATCGTATGGAAGTGTTGAAGAGGCTGAGCCAGACACAGGGGGTGGCATCTTCTGTGTTTGTCGAATCCGATCAAGTCGGCCGCAGGAAATGACACTTGAGCCAACGCCAAAAGGCTGGGTGGAGCCAAGATGCGACGAATGCAGCTGATGAGTGGGGATGAAGGAAGCGGCAGGTGGACGCGAAAAACGAAATTCCAGACGCGTTGGGCCTTGAGTCAGGTTCACGCTTAGTGATCACGATGCCTTGTCATGTAGCGTATCTACAGGAAGCTGGGGACAGCCCTCGTTCCAGTCCTGCAACTTTTTCATGCTTGATTCCGATGAGAACGTCTTAATAGAAGTTGGAATCAATGACGCCTTAGACTGGATGGTTGTCTAAAATGCTGGACTGAGATTGATGTTCAGAGAGCATTTGAAACTCGGAGAGGCTACACTACTTGGTTCGGAGATTCCACGGCGATACATCAAGAAGTACAGTATATTTGTTTTCATCCCACCGCGGCCGAGCAATACTTTTCACATCCAAAAAAGGTACCGTTCAGCTAAGGGTCTCTGTTGCGACCTTATAAATAGACCGCAAGAGCGACAGGCTTTAGTTACTGCGCAATCTTGGCTCCGGCGAAGCACGCAGATTCCTCGGACTCCGTGTATCCGTGACAATATCTCCAGTAAAAACTCAGGCACCAGCGGTCTAGCACATTTACAGGGCTCTATGCCCTACTGGAGAAACGTTTGGAGGATAGACATTCCGTTAAGGCAGACCCCCACAATTAGCGTGGCCCCCACACGTGCAATACGAAGTCCCGCAGGAGCCGAACCGGTGTACACGTACCAAGTTAGGGCCAGAGAGTACCCGCTTCTTACTTATTCCGGACGTCTGGGGTTCTGAGCCACCCTTTTAAGATCATTTGGCTGAACACATCACCTTATCTCAGAGGTGGCGCAGCCACAACGTGCAACTGTAACCGTGCGAGATCACAAGTGTAGCTGTGGCTGTGGATTGTCATGACACATCACCAACACCGCGTTTAAGGCTGTTTCGCCTGAACGTCTACCCTGGTGTCCGCTTCGTTCGTTTCTGCATCATCCCGGCCGCTCTTCCATCCCGCGGCGCAGCCTCCCGCAAAGGCGGGCGGGTGGAATATTGCGGGTCCTTCGGTGACCGAGGGAATGAGGCGAGTGCGGCGGCTGAGCCGCACCGTGCCGGAGTTCCTGGACCCTTGCATTTCGTTTTCTCGCCTGTCTGGGGCTGCACCACCTCTATGCCTACACCATTTTTCCTTATGGGAGATGCCTACGTATCTGGAATGTGTACAAGTCAGAGTTTGTGGTTCGCTTCACGAGACGGATATTATTAGAGGGTAGAAACTTCTAATTGATCTAGAGGCTCTAAGCAAAGCGGAAGTTGCTTTACAGAACGTAGTCCCAACCCTGTCAAACCCACCCTACCGATAAAAACGACCGTGTCCTGAATCATCACTCATAGTTTCGTAAACAGCTGCTAGAATCCCTTCTCAGCTATCCTGACCGTTTAACTCGATCCCAGCCTGTTCATTTTGTCAGCTCAGTTGCTAGACGCCGAGATTATACTGTAGGGAACACCAACCTATTGGCAAGTGTAAGTTGCCCTGCCCTTGTCCATTATACAATTCGAGCCAGCGCAGCATGGGCCGTCGTTGATGATGCAGTCCGCTGAATCACCAAATGTCGTTAGTAGATGTATCAAACTAGGAATTCGGAATGATAAAAGGTCAACGTACTGCCCTTGGCAAGGCACCTCGGCATCAAGAGGCTGGCGTCCTCCGATGGCTCGCCCGTTGGAGCGGCAATGGCGGCGGCAAGGAAGAGGGTGATGACGGAGAAGGTGAAGCGCATGTTGGCGGATGATTTTTTGGATTGGAGGGTGTTGGAAGATGTTTGATGGACTGTGATTGAGCTGGAGAACTTGGTGAGGATGAAGTTCAATTCGAGGGGAGAGGTAGGCTGCAATTTATATTCATCTTTTGAGGGCCAGCATACCATCAGATGTGACTTTGGATGACAGTATCCCGTGGTCTCAGCGGGGCGAAGGATGCAGTTGGGGGCAGTTAATGCATCCCTACTGCCGTAATAGTAAGATGACTTGCTCTACGGATTCACATCCTCGAGGTACACTAGCTAGCAAGTCAATGAGAAGACCCGACTCACTGGAATGCAACAGTAAGAATCGATATTTCTGACCAGATCACTACTCTACTTGGAGAAAGACACGAAGGGCTGAACCATAACCATCCCAGGAAAAGGTCTTGTGCTGCCAAGCCAACACTGAGACCTCGCCTTGTATCTCAGGATTCCATCAGAGACACAGAATATTGTCTCAGTCACCTCAAGCACCACGTATATGAAGAAGGACGACGTATCCTATAATTGATTCTCGTAGAGGAACCTGCTTTGAGGAACGTAGCCGTAACATATGCGTTTCTGTAAACCCCATCGAATTTCGATCCCGCTGGATATGGTACCCAAAGCGTGCCAAGTGAAAGTGAGGGAACATTCGACGTGGGTGATGCTTACGGCGGCCTTACATCTGGTGGGGATGGTGTTCAGGCAGCAGTGGGGAAAGGCGTGGCTATGGCATATCACACGCAGCGTGAAGCTATACTAACGACTCAGTGCCGAATCCTTAGCCAAGAACAAGCAACCCCGGACAAGCACCCTAGAGCCCGTATTGACCTTCACTCATGTTACATTCTGGAATCGATGGTTCTGTGACATATTGGAATATCAGAGCTGCGCATGCTCGCTCTTTGCTGCCTAACTTCGTGCCAGTTTGAAACATGTGTGTCCGCACACCTCACACACATAATTGACCATAATTTCGCATCATCAGGTATCTTGAATGGAGCCAGCCATTTCAATTTTTGAGTGACCTCCGCGTGTATCAGCCTCTGCAGCTGCAGCGCTCCATCCGCGCCGTTCCGTCCGCACTCAACTTCAGCTGAATGTATGCAGCGTGCATCTGATCCTTTGACGTTGTTAACCTTGGCTTGGGCGGCTTGGCATTGGTCCTTCCTCTCCCCGGATAGCCGGAGAGGGCATACACTACTCTTCTCTTGGGATCAACTGTTCCAATGGTGATATGAAAAAGAAGACTAAACCAGGAACCCGGAACAGAAACATAGATTTGCAACAAATAGGCGCCCATAGCGTGACTGCACGTGGGGATCTTACAGATATTCCCGTCTGAGGCATGATCGTCTGGATTAGGGCTTGATCCATCTCCGTAAAATTTTCTTTATTTTTAAATGCCGACCCCACATTATTCGTACGAGGCTTGCGCCTCAGCCGGTGCAGAAGAATCATTACCTGCGAATCAGTAAGCAATGCTGAGGAGTGATCAGCGCTGATCAAGTGGGCCGAGCCGAAGCCTCGCCGCCAATCGCTCAGCCACCATCGCCGACGGAACGCCGGCAGCTGACGGAAGACCAACCTCCAAGCCCTTCCTGTCCTTGGCATTGAAACACTCCAGAATCTCAAATCAACATACGCCAGACAACAATGATTCATAGAGATCGGCCGCTGACTACCTATTCGGAATCAACGGAATCAAGTATACGAGCGTGGACAGATTCATTCACGGATTGCCTGTTCAGGTCTACATTCAGGCTCATCGTATTTTGCTTCAGTGGTGAAACCACGGAATACCTGATTGGGTACTTGCAGAGTCTGGCATCAGAGGGGGTGCTGTGGAATATGAAAGCGAGATGTTTTTACGTCTACAAACGACACCATTAATCAACACCAACTACCCATTAAGCATTACGTAACTCACCATCCTCTAAGCCATGCTTTATTTCTCAGAACGCTAAAGTTGGATTGGTATTTAGAAGGCTTTTGTAAGTCCGGTCGCTATAACATATTAAATGAAGTACTTTGAGAGACGGGGAAATGGTAAAGCCAAAGATGTGCTGCGATCCCACAGGGGGGATTTTCTCGGGTTTTCAGTGAAACTCTTCTTAAGTGACTAATTATTGCTTTTTAATTGGTTGTCCCACTTGCCAGTTTGACCCAGGACTCCGTCCGCTACGCTACTAAGATATCACGGCGATATACAAGTAGTATTGCATAGCAGCTCCGACCTCGCTAGCGCTACTAATAGTGTAATGCTTTCTGCAACTTAGAAAGATGACATTTGAGTTGGGGCATGAGTTTCGACCTTAATATTAAACCTGAGAGAAACGGGGGGATGTTTCCCTCTACACCGTCTTGGTTTAAATGCAACACGAGAGAAATTTAATTGATGCTCACCGCAGGACTGATTCCACAGAAGCTTTGTTCGTCGTTCTCTCGGTTCAATAGTGTCCGACAGTTTTGGGTAGGTGGTTGCGGCTAGAGTAGTTCTTAGTACAGTCCGTGCATCGTAAACTCTCGTACTCGTACATCTCAACCCCTGCCATCATGACGCCAGTATATAGAGGTCTGCTTCGATACCACTATTTAAGAGGGCAAGAATAGAGCCCGATAGCCGTATCTCTGCAAACTGCTCACCAGTCGTTGGTTTGACAAGACCATCAAGATGCGGGAGTTGATCGTCACCGCAGCAGGCTTTCTCGTCACGTTCCCCCTTGTGACAGCTTCTAATGCTGTCGATATCTTTAAGTCTCCCCCTCTCGAGTATCGGCCCAAGTTTCGCTACTGGTAAGCACCTGATGGCCCCAGTCTCTGTACATCCAGGGTGCGGTTGTAAGCTGACAGGCTCTATGCGATAGGCTTCCCGATGCGAGCGCCTCGGTTGACGCAGTAAAACGAGACGTTGCCGCGGTGGCAGCGATCGGAGGCGGCGGGCTCGAGCTGATCCCCTTCTACAACTACGGATGCGCCGTGTGTACCCCCGACGTACTTCCGGAAGATTGGTCGACCTATGCCTTCGGCACCGAACCTCTCCACAATATTTACAGGGGCGCTCTGGAAGCGAGCAGAGACCACGGCGTCTTGTTGGACTTTGCTCAGGGAGGTAATCAAGGACAAGGGGTTCCGGCTGAGCCCCAAACTACCGGTCTCGCCAAACATATGGTCAGTCGATCATTGCGTTGCCTGGGCTGGCTTCTGCGAACGCTGACATCTCTCAGGCATATTCCAACGTCACTGTCAAAGCTGGAACAACCTTTAACGGCACCCTCCCCCTATCGACTCAGCCTCTAGACCAGTCTGGAGGCGGAAGACACCAGATGGAGGACTGGGGTGAGCAGAAGCTCTTTGCTGTCCTCGCTGCCGAAGTTCTGGAAGGTATGAGAGATTTCTCATGCGTGGAGGAGTGCCTATCTAACTGTAGTCATCTTTAGACACGAATCGCGTCGTCCTTGGGGAGCCTTTGGACTTGACTCAAGATGTCTTCGACGGCCGTACCCTCTCATGGACACCACCTGCAGGAAATTCCACTTGGCGGATATTCTCATGGTACGAGCGATACACCAACCAGCGGTCCGTCGCTGCTGGGCAAAAAATAACGAACTTCATCCACAATGGCTCCTGGATCGTGGACCATTTTAGTGCTGAGGGTGAGTGCATTTGGCGTGTCGTTATGTGACAAGTGCTGAGATGGGTCGGCTCAGGTGCAAAGCTCATGACCGACTTCTTTGATGAATACGTCATCAGGGACGATGAAACTGCCCAGCTGGTTGCCTCTGCTGGAAGATACGGTATGTTTCACCCAGCCTGGTGTTAGCTTCCAAGAACTTTGCTGAGGACCTCTTGCGAGCGTAGCATGGGAGGATTCCCACGAGATGGACAGCTGTGTCTGGTGGACGGAAGGTATGGACGAAATGTTCCGCAAGCGGAACAACTACAACATTGCCAAGTGCCTCCCCTTTCTGGTCATCAAAGGCAACGGGTGGGCTGGCCAGGAGGTCCCATACGGCGAGGAATTCGTTTCGTCCAACTCAACCTTTCAGTCAACCTGCAACGGCGACTTTCGTGCCACACTCAATGATGGCTACCGGAGCTATCTCGCCAGCCGCATGTCATGGGCGCACAGTCATGGCATTAAATTCTCAACACAGGTCGGGTACAACGTCCCAGTTGACGTGGTACGTATTACATATGACAGATCCAAGGCGAAACGTTGACTAAATTCTGTTAGCTTTCTGATATTCACCTGGTTGACGTACCCGAAGGAGAATCTTACGGATGGAAAGACAACCCGGATTTGTATCGGCAGTACTCTGGACCCGCTCACTTGGCGGATATCTCAGTTGTATCATCAGAAGCCGGTGCTGTCGTTGGCAATCCGTATGGATCATCGGTGAATGACCTGCTCTTCACCGTTCGGCGCGGACTGGCTACCGGCATCAACATGAATGTCCTCCATGGATTTCCGTATTCTGGACCATACAAGAATACCACATGGCCAAACTGGACACCATTTAATTTTTACTTGAAAGAAATGTGGTCTCCGAACCTCCCCTCCTGGACACACCTAACCGAAACAATGCAATACATCTCGAGGAACCAATACATTTCGCAAGCAGGAACTCCCAAACTCGACCTGGCATTCTACAAATACACGATTCCCTGGTCTGACGCGACGGGCTACAAAAGTTCGAACCTGGAGACTGTCGGCTACACCTACGACTACCTGGGCCTCGAGAACCTACAAAACGCTTCCGTCAGTGACAGAGTTCTGGCTCCACAAGGACCAGCGTATCAAGCCTTGATTTTCTCGAACGCGACACAGATAAGCAACGAAGCGGCCAGCAAGTCGAAAGAGTTTGCCGAAGCTGGTCTCCCGGTTTTCTTCGTCGGCAATGCCACTTTCACAGGCATCCGCTCAGCCGACGCAGCGGCGGCAAGCACCATGGCGGATATCATTTCCAGCGGTCTGGAAAACGTCTTCAACGTGGGCTCCGCAAACGAACTCCCTACCGCTCTCTCGAAGGCCGCGATCAAACCCAGGGCCGCGCTATCCAACGGCACCGCTCCATGGTACTCGTTCTGGCGCGAACAAGACGACTTCACCCACGTCTTCCTCTACAACGACGGCCCGGACACCCAAACCCTGCGCGTCGACTTCGCCATCACAGACTCACCACCATACACCTTCAACGCCTGGACCGGCGCCGTCGCCCCGATCCTGCACTACACCACCACCCCCACCCACACCACCATCCCCATCACCCTCGCCGCCAACCAAACCACCATCATCGGCTTCGCCAAACCCAACGGCGCCGCCGCATCCAACCTCACCACCCCCCACACCCACGCAACCAGCACCGCCGGCGCCCTCGCCAACCTCGTCTACGCGGATGGCCACCTCCTCGCCCAGCTCTCCGGCCCGACCGCCTCCGTCACCCTCGCCAACGGCACGCGCGTCGACCTGACCGCCTCCGCCGGCGGGCCGCTACCCCCCTCGCACCTCACGTCCTGGAACCTGACTGTCAGCGACTGGCAGCCCTCCGCCGCCGACCGCACCAGCATGGCCAGCACCGTCACCAACCACACCTACACCGATGTCCCACCAGGCTCTTGGCTGGCGCTGGACCCTGCTCTGGCCAACGTGAGCGGGACGGGGCGGTACGTTACAACGTTCTTCACACCCGCATCGTCGTCGGAGCAACCGAGTAGTCTCGGCGCCATCCTGCACCTCGGCCCCGTGCAGCACACGCTGCGGGCGACGCTGAACGGGCGGGCGCTGCCGGCTGTTGACGTGGCGGACGCTGTTGTGGATATTAGTGGTTTCCTGAGTGAGGAGGGAGAGGAGAACGAGCTGGTGGTCGAGGTGTCGACGAACTTGTTCAACAGGGTGCGGGTGGAGGCGGGGTGGCTGGGAACGTCGGGCGCGACGGCGGACGGGGCGACGGGGGGTGCGTATGGGAACGCGGCGCCGCAGGGGTATGGGTTGCTCGGGCCGGTGTGGGTGGAGTGGGTGGAGGTGGTGAGGGTTGTTTAGGGTGGGTGGACTGTGGACGTGAAAGCGAAGTGTTTTGAACGAAACCATTGGTAATCACCACCACCTTCAGCTTCATTGAACTTGATCAACCCGCACAAACCTTTAGCTATTATGTAGCTCTTCATCCTCGTCGCTATGCTTTGACATCTTGGAACGCTAAACTGAGATCAAAATTCCGGAGGGATTGCAAAGTTTTTCCCACAAAGTGACAGCGACCAACATGGAAGTGGATGAAAGGGCTCGCCAAATACAAGGGAGCTAATCTTATAATTAGAGCTTTTGAAACTGCTTTGGTGCTCCGGTTTTGATTTGACACAAGTATACCACAGCAAAACCAGGAAAACTGGGTTTCGAAAGGACTTCGAATATGGTTGCTATCTCGTCTAAAGACATAATTTAATGTTTCTGGGTTATCGAAACGCTCGTGAAATCAGTGCAGTGCATTTACATAGCCCATGTTTGGACGTGCCATAGTTCCAGCTTTGTGCATATCGAGAATTGTTGCTCAATTTTCACGATGACAACAACCACAACTGTAACCGCGCCCTTGGAGTCGGCAGTCTTCAATGATTTTGAAAAGTCTTCTGCGGATCCATTGAAGTGAACGCGTTCGTAAATCTTCATGATTTCTGCTCACAAAGCTTGAAGGCTTGTTGTGTATCTCGGTCATCATTGAGATCTCTGTGCCGCAACGTTGTTGTTCGCATTGCAAGCGAACATGCGCCGGCGGCGCGACTGACAACACCAATTTGGATCATTTCAATGTCTGCAAGGTGAGCCACCATCTGGAGTATTTTTAAACAGATGAGGGAATGACTCCTTTCAAGGAGCTTGGAGTAGCTCGGCCTTTTACTAGTCATTCGGCCGAGAGGACTGATGGCCTGAACAAAATTCCGCCAGTAGGAGATAGATTGCAACTAGCAGTCGGTCGACTTTTCGTATTGTCCTATTTTACGTATTGATCAGTACATGGTTGGACGCGCCCGTCGCTTTCGCGTAGCGACTTAACCATACGGAGTAGCTACGGCAACATCTCCCGAAGCTCAAGCTTTCATTCGACGGAAACATTAAAGGCGGCTCCAGAGCTTGTTTCAGCCATCCACCAATACGAGATGATTGCGCCCTCGTCTCCGCGGAAGTGGCCTGCAATCTGGCCCCTGCACCCGCTCGCCTACTCGATCCCCACCTATCTCTATTTCCACTCACCTAATAGATGCACTTGAAACAAACACACACCACGTTCCGGGCTTTTCGGGGCCTCCCGTCCGCAGAAGTTTCTCCGGTCGGTCCTGAAGGGATGAAACGGTTGATCAGAACCACAACCCCGTTGGCCTTATGTAGGTATAAGGAAACACAGTGACTCCTCTTGTTGAGCCTCCATCCCACAATACAGTCTCTCGTTCTTCACCACCAGCCTCTCGTTCTATCCAAAATTCGCAATAATGGTCCGCTACACTCCCGCAGCTCTCCTCGCCCTGGCGGCAGGCGCCTCGGCCGCAGACTACTCTGCTTGGGCGTTCGGCAACATGTTCTCCGTCGGCCCGTCGTCCGGCGACGCCTACATCACCAAGGCAACCTGGTCGGTCGTTCCGCCTGCGGTGCCTACTGATGCCACCGAGGGCGCGAGCGATCACCCCTTCCTGTCGCTGTGGATTGGTATTTCCAAGTCTATTTCGGACCAAAGCGCTGCGCTTGTTCAGCCCCTGCTGAACTGGTCGACCAACCAGGAGTCTCAGTGAGCACAAACACCTCAATTCACGCAATCGTTTTCCATCCCCGCTGACAGTGAGGACAGAGGATGCCCGGCTTCGGCTACGGAGTGGTGCGTCGATGCGTCCACCTTCTCGAACGGTATGAGCCAGATCAGAATGCATCATACCTATTACATTTTTCTGACATGGCCCTGTAGACCAGCAGACTGCGCAGCCGTACGTCCGTGTGGCAAATGGGCAGAAGGTCGACTTTGAGGGTAAGCAACAGAAGTTCTTCCGCTCTTATCGCTTTGCAAGGGATGTTCTACTAACAGGCAAATATAGTCACGGCAACCGCCCAGAAGACCACCCACCAGAAGGTTTACATTAACGGCGAGGTCATCAGCGAGCAGGATGACGGCAATGTGGGCTTCCTCCCGACCTACCTCTACTCCAGCAACGAGTGCTACCAGAACACCTGCGGCAGCGTTGACGGCTACAGTAAGCAAAGTCTTTCTGATTTGTGAACGCAACTATGCTAATCCTTTAATCTTACAGCTTGGGAGGACATCACCATCACGCTAAGCACCGCCGACAAATCTTTCGGCGATACGCTGGAGCTCCGCGGCGCGTCCGGAAGCCTGGACTCTTCCGATGGTGGCAAGACCTGGACCGGTTCCATCAAGATCGACGCGGACCACTTCCCCCGCGACTAGACAGTGAATACAAGATCTATCGTACAAGGGGCTATCAAGTGGGTCTGTAGACGTCACACTGACTCGCGGCAAGCCTTTGGACGTTGTTTCTGCATTCTTCTATGACTGGGCTTGAGTCAACAATCAAACAAAATCCAAAAGCGGAATTGATTTTCCCGCATCGATGTTCCAAGACTTAGCCCTGCTACGTACATTGCAATCCACATCATCCATCGAAAGCTTCGCCAAAGCCCCAGTACTACCATGAAACTCGGAGTGACTCACGCAAACTCCACCGGCACGTCTGCCTTCCTCGCAGGATCTCCCCTCTTACAACGTCTATTTGGTTGCACCCGTCGATGGTGCCACTGTACAACCCACAGTTCAGGCACCAGTACACCCGCACTTTGTGTCCTGAAACGTCAAAGTTAGTGGTTTTCGGCGTAACACCAGCAGTAGCTTCGAGCCTATCGCAGCGCCCCCAGGTCAGGTGGTCGGAGCTCGCCGCAAGGTAAGCCGGAGACATGGGCATGCCGGAACGACGAGGTGCAGCCGGGTGGTGACATGCGGCTGATGAATGACTTCGGCTTTGCTCCGCCCCCGGTCGATCCCTCACTGCGCAAGCGGCTCCTGCGGCGGCTCGGCGACCTTGACGCCTGAAATGCGCCCCAACGTCCTTTTTTTTTTGCGGGCCCGTCAACGAGTTCCGCACTAACGGTTCAGCACGTGGCTGATCTTCACTAGTGGTACAGCGCGCTGGGGAGGCCGCCGTGGCGGCCTCCGGGCGAACATGCCGCAACATCGTACCATTATGTAACACGGCATGTGGGCCCGCATCATGTAGCCGTTTTTGATCAGGCTGAATTCACCTTACACATGCTTTGAACCATTGTTCCAATGTAATGAAATTAAATTAAGTATTTAACAATTTGCCACAATTGACGCGTATAGACCCCCTTTACACAGCCTCGTAACCATCTGTCTGGATTAGCCTTGTCCGCACACGATACATGGAGGTTGGCTACCTTAGTATTGTCTGTTCGGGCTAGCTCTGTTGGACCGGTTGGACGTCGCGCGGCTCTCCTTGACAGGTCGCTCGTCGGTTAAGAGACTCAATCGGAAGAGAGTTTGAGTAAAAGGTGCCTCTTTCTCCCCCTCGTGCATGAATCTCTCCATCGGCGTCTGGTCGCTCTGGACGCTAGAGAATGCGGTTGCGGGGGCTACCATGTTGGCTTATGGCGAATGAGATGATGGAGTATGCACGCGGGCAAGTTCTGCACGGCGGAGCCGTAGATTCGCGTCCACTCGAGTGAGCGGAGCAAGGTGGCGTGGGTAGTATGCGTGGATGCAACTGATTCTCGCCGAATCGTCGCGGGTATCGTAAAACGGCGGTCGCTGACCGATGAAACAAAAGGGCCAGCCTTGGGGGGTGAAGGGAATGTGTCTCAGGAGGTTTTGCCACGGACTAAGAAAAAAACGGAAAATCAGTTTAGCTTTCGATTCTTATGTACGCAAGAGGTCCACCGCGCTCTCCCGTTGCTGCCTCGACGTGGCCGGCAGTAGAGCTGCAGCCATGTCCTTTGCCGGTTTGCTCTGATTGGGCGAGGCGCAATCGGCCAAGCATCGATTCTCGCCGGTCGGCGCTGATTGGCGGGGGGCAACCATGACCCTGCCGCCGATCAACAAAGGGCTGAGATGGGAATTCTCGCCGGTCAGCTGTGATTGGCGCAGCCGCCAACCGGCGAGAAGCCGATTCTGGCCGCCACCAATCAACAACTGCTCCGTAGTCGTCCAAGCCACATCAGATTTCACGACGAGAATAGATTTCTGATGATGATTGCATGTGAAGGGCTTGGGGCTACACAGTGGGAGTGCCTTGACCGCTCCTTGCACTTCGGGGCCCCGACCTTTCTTTTCTATCCCGCCGCTGACCGCCTCGGTTGCGTGCAAATTGGCCCCGGTGCCTGGCTGTGCTACATATTCTCCTGTCGGGCAACCCCGGTGAGCTAAAATCTGTTTCCGCCCTTGGAACAGCTATGATGACGCGCAAAACTAGGCAACTCTCTATAGCGTCGGTGTGGAAATGCGCAAGCGTGCAATACGCAGCGCGCCGGGCACGCTCTCGCGATGTTGCGAGATGCAAAACCCACATAATATTTCGCCTCATTTCTCAATCCGCAGGTGCGAACTCCCGTTTTAGAACAACAGCTCATACTTACAGATGAATACAGTCCCTTTACACCGCTGAAGCCTGGAATAGTCTTGAATCGACCAATCATGCCCACAGCCGTCCGCATCGCGAGTGTTTTCCTGCGTATGGAATTAGTTACGGGACACTCCCAAGGTATGCCTCGCGAGGCGCAGGATAGTTACTCCGCCGCGCTGCCTCCTTAGTCTCCTCGTGGCGATGACAGAGTCCGCCCCAGCGTCACCTTCTCAGTGGACAGTGGTCGGTGATTGATGCCTACCCTGCCTTTCCCCCTTGTGGCTGTGGTGACAGTGGTCCGAGGGAGGACGGCCTCAGACGTTGTTCATGGTTTCCAGTCACCGTTCGCCTCATGCACCTGAGGCTCAACAGGCAACGAGGGAATATACATAAAAAGCTCTGGATATTCCCTTGGCTCAGAGGTTCACCATCACACAATCACTGGCGATCTACACCACCACATTCGCATCTTCCTCACCAAGCACGATATGAACTTTCCAGAGGTCCTTTTCCCGCAATGCTTCAGTCCTGAAGTTTTGGCGGGCAAGATTTTCTCGTCCATTGAATCCACGAAGCCTGTAAAGAACACACTTCGAGGATTTCCTTTACATCTTGACGCAGATCTCTGCTGGACTCCCGCCGACATCACGCCTGAGCAGTACTTGATCCTGCTCAGTGTTGAGGATATTGTGGCAATCGAAAATGCCATGGAGAGCTTCAAAAGTAGGACCCAACCATTCGGCTCTAGGACAGGAATCGAAAATCTGACATATAGAACTAGGCTTGGCATTGCCACTACCCGCTCTCGAACCGTCTACCTTCGTTCTGCCCGCTGAACTTGCTGATCGCCTTCGCGTTGTGAGCAAAATCGTTCACACTGGGATCGGATTCGCTGTCCTCCGCGGCCTGGATCCAAAGAAGTACAGCGAAGAAGAGAACACCATCATTTATTGCGGTATCGCCAGCCACATCGGCATCCAAAGGAACGCCAACTCACGCGGAATGGCCATGGGTATGTTTTAATTCTCTGAAAGTTGTAATCATACACTAACTGGATATAGTTCACATTCGCGACGCCACAAATGATGCAAAGCCCAAGGACATCGCAGACGGAGAAGAACTTGCCCCGTCGAAGCAGAAACGCGGAATGAAGTTTCATGCAGACCGCATGTATGCTGACATGCTTAGCCTCTACGTTAGGGGCCAGGCAGCAGAGGGAGGGGAGCAGTACATCGCAAGCTCTTGGACGATCTACAATAAGCTGATGCAGCAAGCACCGGAGGTCCTCCGGATCCTTGCTGGTGACTGGAAGTGGGCTCCCGAAGACAAGTACGTTCCTTCCACCTTTATTCCGCCGCAGTCCGACAGGTTACTAATTTATCACAAAGCTCTGAGCCGGGCACACCAAACCGGATGCCTGCCCTCTTCCACAAGGATGGACGAATCATTCTTCAGCTCGTCCGGACGCCGTTCCTCAAGAACCCTGGCCTCGCGACTCCAGCTCAGCATTTCGCTCTCGACACCGTACAGCAACTTGCCGAGGAGAACTGCATCGAGCTGGATCAGCAGCTCGGCGACATTCAGATTATCAACAACCTCGCCATCCTCCACACTCGCTCCAAGTTTCACGATTCCCCGTCGCAGAAACGCCACTTGATGCGCCTCGGCCTCCGAGACCCAACTGAGGCGTGGAGTCTGCCGGATCGCTACGACGAGCTGTTTGGGAAGGCTTTCGTCATTCCCACCGACAAGCAGACCATCCCCGTCACTGATTTTGATGCTTGGCGCGAGACCACCACTGAGGACGCCAACCACGGCTAAATGAGCATCACCCGCTCCTTGTACGATATGGAGTTGCATGAGGTCCGGGCCCTTTCGTTTCTTGCCTGTTTTTTCGCAACCTCGTTTGGCTGTTTGGGTGCTTCGGGCCTTGGTGAGATCTCTAGTCCCGCCAGGGCTCGAACAGCCGCCGAATCCATTTATCGTCCGGATTTTCGCTCGCTTTATTAGATGCATTGTTTGATTTTTCTGTCAACCAACCTGTACATAGACAGACTTAGCATTTGATCTTTGGTAGCGTTTGCTTATTAACTAGATTGGAATATCATTACCTTTTTTCTCTAGCAATCTCACTGCTCTTTCCAAATACGAAACACCATGGCCGTCTAGGCTGCCCAGCTTCTTGACATCGGCCATATTTTCTTTCTGAAACGGGAGGAAGGCACGAAGGACGTAGCGGAAGTGGTAGAGCATATTTCCCGCCGAATTCTCCCATTCGTGAACCATTGATCTGACAACGAAGCTGACTTTCACTTCTGTATTCTAAGAGCCAACAATCAGTAAGAACCTGATGCGAGTACGTTTGAGCGAAGTCGCCTCATATGCGCCGACGGCACAATCGGGGAAGTCGACCTCTTCGAGTTCTTCATTTGGGAACTTACTGTCTGTTCTTGGGACTTCATGAATCCCACAGCTTGCCCATGAATGTATTTCAAATGCCACATAATGACGAAATAGGTCAGGAAGATTTCGTACCACGGCTTGGGATTCTTGCGGAAAATAGCCTTCTTCAACTCCTTGACCAGCCTCTGTTCGTCACGTTCCATCATCCTAAGAAATACAACATCCAGCTGATGGCAGAGTGCGGGCGAGATTGGCCGGGTGCCACAGTAGCCTTCCTCAGCGTTATCGACCTCCGGCGTGCCTAGAGTTTCGGGCCCAGTTATACTACCCCAGCCCTGGCAAAACGCTGCCGTCGAACGGATACGTAATGCCAGTTTGATCATCTCGCTATTGTGCTCGTGTGCATATCGGTGCGCTTCATCGAATGTTACTCGAGCGAGTGGGTCGGTGATACTCTCCTTCAATTTCTCTTCCACGGCTGCACGGTTCTTTTCAACCATCTCCTCGACAATCTTTGCGAGTTTACTATTATCTGCACAGGCAAAGCGGGGTAGGTCAACAGTAATAACCTTGCCGCCGACCTGCCAATTCTCTGCCGTTATGTCGTCGTTTGATAAGATGAACTCATGGCAGGGCACACTTAATGTCAAGTCTTGCATCGATTGCGAGATCTTGCCAGGGAGGGTCCAGTATATCTCGATTGTCCTCGGCCTTGACCTCAAGTTGATCCAATAATACTTTCGAAAGGAGACTCTTTCCTGGCCGAACTTTCCGTTTCCTTTGCAGAAAGTTGTTAGCTTGAGACACAACACTAATGAAAATAAGTAACCTACCATGACGGACCAAAATAGCATCAAGTATTTCCTGCCGTGAGCACGGCTGGAAGAAGAGACGGTGAGTTGTCTCGTCGCGGCAGCATCTCTGGCAGGGATTGCCCTCATCACACTTTTACATCGTCAGTAGCCCTTCCAGAACTTCTCTTAAGAATCATACCTTGAACTTGTACATGTGGCATCTAACGCAGGCTCCGATTTTCCTGACTCGTTTTGCATCTTCACGGGACTCTTCGGCCTTTTCCTCTTTCTTGCGTTTTACTGCTGATGCCTTACGCTCCCAATCCTGGCGAATAAGCGGTTGCGAAGATCCACTCTGTTTGTGCGATACTGGAGGAGCGGAAACATCCGGATTGTGAAAGATCGGCTTTGGGACGATGCGTGTGACTCTTGATTCCGACACGACTCTTTGCTCATGGGATGCAGGTGAGCTCGTATCAGAGGCTTCGTGTACAGACTGGGGACGTGAAATATGGACAAAACTATTCGGAGTGTTCCCTTCGCTACCCCCAGTTGACAACGATGCACTCTGGCTTCCCTGGGGGGATAACATGTACCAGGGAGAAGTGCCTTCCGATGTGACAGACAAATGAGTGGATAGGTTCTCTCCTGGTGTGCCACTGGGCGTGCCAAATGGCGTCAGGTTGACCCATTCATCGAAACGGAAGTCTTGTCCACTGGAGATAGGCGACGATTGTGGATCGGAAAGCTGGCTTTCATCGAAGCCTCCACTCGGAACAATGTTGTTCGCATTTTCTTCAAATTGAGGTTGGAGGGTCACCATCGGCGGATCAATTCGAGGCACGATGAGGCTCTCCGTCGATATTTCATCGCTACCAAGTGTGGCATCATCAAAATCGAATGTGCGTAGCTGACTGGTATTGTCCTGAAGCTGAAAGCAATTCTCAAGGATGGGAGGGAAATCGTTGAGCGACCAATCGAGCTGTGCCGATGAATTGTCCCCCATTGGATTTGCCAGTGGGTCAAGAGTGGAAGAAATGTCGGTCAATGTTGTGGCCGCCTGATGGTCTTGTACGGCGCAGAATCGTGCCGCCAATAGGTTCAGGTAAGTCTCGTGAGACAAGCCATCGACGTCATCGATAAGCGGAAATGGCGCACCATATGGGAAGCCTTGTTGTGTGCTCATGGTGGAAATGGCCCCTTGACCCTCGGCAAGCCGACTTGGCACCACAAGGTCGTTGCGATGATCGTGGTCCATCGCCAAAAGCTAAGGTGCGATTCTGAGAGAGACGACGTTGAAAAGATGAAGACGTGGAATGTTGAGGAGCTGGACAGTGCGCGTATTATTACCCCGCTCAGAGCAGTGAGGCTGTGTTGCCTGGAGGTGCCAACACATCCCTGCATGACGCTCTGCACATTCTAATTCGTGAAAGCACATTTTTAGGAAGATCACTCGGAACAGCCTCAGCTTATCTGCAAGGCGACCCCACCTTCCGTGTCGTGCGACGTGCATTCTCAGAGTTTCGCTGACTGGGTGTTAGGCTGACCGGTCGACTGGGTGGAATGGAGCCCTTTTATTGGTCGGCTCAAGTCAGCCAGAGGGCATGCTCACTTAAAGCCTTAACAACGGGGCGTCACCGCGTGCGGAGAGGTCCATTGATGGCGTTGATGCTGGACGCCGCTAGAAACTTGGAATGGCCTGCCGGGGAGCAATTGCTGCCTGAGCCATCCGCATCCGGCGAAGATGTCCACAAGCTTCTATAAAGCCAGCCAGTCCTGCAATGGAGTAACCAGCGAGATTGTCAATTGCATTCTCCAGCATGCCATTTCCACCTCTGCCAGAAAATCTTCGGTTCGCGAGACTTTCCGATCTGAAACGAATTGGCATTGTCTCTACGGCGGCATTCTTCAATTCCCCCGTGTTCCATTACTTCCGGCCCGAATACAAGGATCACCTCCAAGACACGGTGGCCAGTTATCGGGCCAGCTGTGCGAAAGAAATTTTGGATCCTGACACCGTTGTTGTCGTGGCTGAAGACACCCTGAAAGAAGATGAATCGGACTCGGTGTTTGATGAGTTGAGGCGTGCATACCCTCCTTTCCATGATCAGATTCCAACATACTCTTCGGAAACACGGAGAGTGATCGTCGGAGTCGCTTCCCTTTCTTTGAAGGCAGTCCCAGCGCTATCAGGTCTATTTCTGCCCGACGGTAAGAAATACAGATGCCGTTCGGGGAGAAAGGCTGCGGGGGTTGACCATTACTATAGATGAAAACCGGGAGGAACACTACCATGACCCAGAGGATCTTGGTCGCGACAAATACTCTGAGGTATTCAAACTTTCATTTGTGACAGAGGAGGAAAGGGCCAAAGAAACGTGAGTCTCATTTGCGCCAAAAGGCACCATTGGTACAACGAAAGTGCTGAACGATGCTCAATCTCCTAGATGGAAGTTCTGCGAAAAGATGGAAATTGCTTCTATAGCAGTGCATCCGGCTTACTGGCGCCAAGGAAATGGTAAAAGGATGGCTGAATGGTTCATGGCGCTTGCTGATAGATACGACCGTGCCATCTGTGTCTCTGCGGCACCAATGGGAGAGATGCTCGCTAAGCATCTCGAATTCCAGGAATGTGCCGTGGTCACTATTGACGGTTACGAGAGATATCCAAAGGCAATCCACTTGTGGTTTGGGTTTCGCTTAAAAGCTGAGCAAATCCCGAGAAGGAAGCCGCATTGTGTGTTTGATGTCTGCCACATGGTTGTAAAGCAGCCGAACAGGTTTGACGGTCTCGAAGCCTCGAGTGGTTGTATAGCGGCGTAGGAAACAGAGCTGATAGCGAAGGACATGTACAGTTAAGCAACAAATACGTAGCTCGATGGCTATCCCGTACAGCAGTAATATCTCCACCATGTATAGAACTTCAACTGTGTTCTGCACGTTAACATGTCCTTCACCCATACACCGCATCACCAAACCAGTTTGCTGCGTCATCAACGCAAAGACCTGCTTGAAATCAGATTTTCCCAGCCTTTAGGCACATTTTCAATCGTTGTTCTACCTACCAAGCTTCAATTTTCCACTTCAACCTGCGCCCACGGTGATTCTTACAGGGTTTTAATAAACCTCAATGTCAGATGTATCCCGCTCATTGCATGGTATTTACCAGCAAGTATTCTTGAAGTCAAGCAATTCAAGTGACACTTGCGTTGGGCGGCTACAATGCGACTACGAAACAAAGCTTGGTCCTCAAACAGAAATCAGGCGCTGGCCATCTAAACACACTCTTGCTATGGGAACCCTGGCTCACGGCGCAGTCTGTTCACGCCTTGCCTTCCTGATCCTGTGTTTCATCCGTTGTCCCCCTATTCTTTCTCGTAAGCTCCCCATATACGGCAACGGCGACGTACAGAAACCACACAATGCCCGCCACAACCCCATAGGCGATGTAGGCACCCTTGCCTTGATCTGCCAGCTCCAGCCCGAGGCCGCCATTAACTATTCCAAGAGTTATCACAATGCGCCCAAGCCACAGATGTCCGTGTGACCAATATCCCCGCCGGGTATTTTTCTTGAAAAATCTGTGGTGGAGGTGGCCAAGAATAAATTGGATGAAGAGCATGACAAGGACGACTTTGCCGATCGTAGGGTGCGTTTCACTTGCCTGAGAAGCCGGTCAGCACAGCCCGAGGGAAACAAGCTCCAAACTCACATAATTATCCTTTGTAAGGTAAATGCCCATTCCGAACGCGATGATGAACATCAAGAACGCAAAGCCTTGCATACCCACGTGGACCCATACGGCGCCGCGGAAATGTAGCATGCGCAGGCTAATTGCGCCAGTAGGGAAGAATATGATGAATGCCATGCACGCGAGCACGCCGTGAGCCGTTAGGATACGACGTTTTGTTGATCTGAGGTCCTTATTGTCGATCTGTGTTCCAGTGTTTGAGTTTTCTTCTGCCGAAGTGAACGGGTTTGGACTGTCGCCTCCCTTAGCATCAGCAAAATCCCACTCGAAGGTGCCATATGATGGGCCATGAAATGGGATTCCTTGATTAGGATCATCCGAGTTCAAAGGGTCTCCTGCTGCTTTTGCGTGCATCCATGTTGCCGACGCACTCTGAAAAGACATCGATCCGCTATCGGACCAGTTCTGGCAGTTGGTGCCTGATTCAAGGTTTAGCATGAGACGCTTACGTGGTAGAGAGCAACTGACATCGAATATTTGCCGTCATGGTTCCATCAGTCACCCCCGACCCTTCGAGAACAGACAGTTGAGTTGCGTTGTCGAATTGTGGAAGATTGTAACCCGTTCCAAGCCGCGGTGAGACTGTCACATTGCTGCCATCTGCAGAAGTATACATGACAAAGAGGCGTGACCCCGTCATTGAAGACCCTTGACCAAGCCCGATCCAGGTGTAGTTTGTGGGGCCAGTGATCTGGAAGTAGATATCTCCCACACCAGAAGAGGCCGTCTCTTGAGGTATATTCAAACTGTAGCAGACGTCATCCTTGCACTGGCGAGAGACTCGGGCGTAAGTCGTAAGGACTGGGAGAAATTAGTATCGCGAAGGCTGTGAGAAGAAATTCGCAATGCAGACTCACCAAAGCCAAAAAGGGCAAGCTTTGACCACATGGTGTGTCTTCAAGTGAGAAGAGAGTCGTTGGTCGGTCTGTGGTTCAGAAAAGGACTGACAGTGACCAGCTGCCTGACCTTATATACTCGCGTACAAAGCGGGATTTACTGGGCGGTAATTCCTCCACAAACTTAACTTTATTAAGCGAGGCAGTGCTTCTATCATTCATGTTCTCTGTTTCCGCTTGGCTTCCTCGCGGATTGCAGCGGTTATGATGCTGCGCAGTCTTTAGATTGCCGAATGGGGAATGGTGCCAAGGAGGTCGCTCAACTTGCCAAGCTCTAAGGGGAGGACTTAAAAGGCAACTCCTCGTAATTACAATGCTCTCATTTGTCGGCGGATCTGTTCATGAACGCTGGAGCAGCCTAGATAATCCACACGTGCAGAGCCTGGCCTTGGGCATTACTTAGCAGACAGTGGCTGGGTTGGCACCGAACCATGTAGTCGCTTAAGGCTCGTCTTTCTCTTATAACTGGTGCTGATTGGCTAGTGTTAAACGAGCGAGCATAAGGTTTCCCGCATCGCTTATCCTCTGATCCGCACGGACAGAGTCTAGCCTCAATTATTTCTTGACAGACAGTGGCTGAGCCGGTACCCGTCGTTTAACCCTCGTATCTCTTTTGTAACCTGAGTTAATTGGCTAGTGCTAAACGAGAGAACATAAAGCTGCCCGCGTCGTATCCCCACCTCATCCTCCAATCCGCCCGGTCATCCACTGTTTGGAATCAACGTCATGATGGGTGCCACGCGACGGCCGCATAAGAAGTCCAAGAACGGCTGTATCCGCTGCAGACAGCGACGAGTCAAGGTGAGTCGGAAGTTTGTACCGACGTTGGAGCGTGCCAACGACCACCGTCTTTTTGTGGAGATGCACCTTTCATTTTTAGGCAAGGGGAAAAAAAAAGAACGCAGTATGGAGAGCGGAAATGGATTGCATCATCTGCGTCGTTCAGCTTGTGTCTGATACTTCTCCGTAGTGTGACGAAAAGGTGCCCTGTGGCAACTGCATCCGACATGGAATTGAGTGCAGCTTATTGCGCCCGTCAGCACCTCAAGCAACAAAAGGCACAGCACAAACGGGATTGGGAGCGCATGCCTCCGAACTCCAAAAGAGCGGCAATCAACAGACAAGACCGATTGTCGTAATCAAACCCGCTTCCCCTCGACGTCTTTCCCGGTTGCTTCCGGCGAGCTCGTCCAAGATTCAAGATCAGGCCATCAAAGACCGTGTAAAGAGTCTGGTTAACCAGGCCACAGCACTGGAAACACACTTGAAAAAGTCAGAAGCGATCACTCTTCCGCGGTCATTAGACCCCATCCCTTCCATAACTTGGACACAGGACTTGCAGCTTGTCTCGCATTATCACGATGTCACATGCGAGTCATTCTCGAAGGATGATTTGCTGCACGATCTGTGGAAACACACAGTGCCGAGGCTAGCATTCGCCAATGTAGGTTTTACCCGCCATGTCGAAAACACAAGAACTCAGCCCGTTTCCAGGCTCCGTTGATGCATGGACTCCTTGCCGTCACGGCTCTTCACCTCGCGCATGTCAAAGCGGAAAAACGCAGTGTTCTGAGTATTGTTGCCGCGAGGCATCAATCTAAAGCGTTGTCATCTTTCACGTCTCGGGCGCAGAATGTGACAGCGGAGAACTACCCTGCCTACATAATCCTGGCTTCATTTATCTTCATAGCGGATGTATACATGATTGTTGATTCGCGTCGGCATGGGAACTTGATGACTGTCAAGGACGTTGTTCAGTCTTTCCGCCTCATCCGAGGTATGTAAATGCCAGCTCACGCATTTCATGGAACGTCAGATCTGGATACCAACTGATTCTGAACCCAGGTGTGAAGGGGATTGTTTCGCATCCGGGCACATCGAACTGGGCGAAAAGTGGTCCTCTTTCAGATCTCTTGAAACGGCAGGATCTGGCGGTGAACCCGCTGGATGAATTCCCGCTCCGCATTGAGCAACTCGCTTCTTACATCCGCAGCACCTCCATCGGCAGCAAAGTGCAACAGGTGTGCTTGAGCGCACTCGCAGCTCTGAAACTTACCTTGGCTACCATTTCAGCACCTGGAGGACGGATGGCCCAAGTCTGGAGATGGGCGGTACTTTTAGATCCACTCTACCTGGGGTTGCTCGAAGAATGCGAACCGACTGCACTAGTAGCCTTAGCGCACTTTGCTGCACTTGTGGGGCGTTGTGAAAACAAGCAGTGGTATTCGCAAGGTTGGAGCGAGGGTGTTATCGCTGCTGTGCACAGATCTGTTGACCAGGACGAATGGAGGGAGTGGCTCAAATGGCCGATGAACTATAGCAAGTCTGGATGAGTTTGTTGTTAAGCGAGACTTGAATTGGCCAGTTTCTATCTCTGGATTTTAGCTCTACCCTAGTTTCGAATACCGTACCTATCCGTTCTCTCGACAACGCTTAGATCTACCTACCGCCGACATCCTCGCGACAAGGTAGAGCTAAGCCGGAAGTAGAGGTGGAGTAGCATCTCCTGGACGTGCCTTTAGCGACCATCGATCCACGTTGGCCCGACGGGGAAAACGCGGGCCAGCTTCACATGCAGGCCACGGTACCACGCTAAGGTACGATCCTGTAGGATCGTCGCCACAGCGGCACAGCGGCTGAAAGCTGGGGCGCAGTCGGGACTCTTGTTCTGGCTACGGGTTGTGGCTGATGAGGCCTAGACCGATCGCTTCGAGCGGCTGTGCATAGCGGCCGCGTGCTTGTGGTAAACCTTCTTCTGGACGGTCTTGACCCGAGGATGTGGAACGAGATGACCCCATTCCTTGGTGTTTGATTCGGGCTGTCAGCATCTCTAAGGTACGACGCGGGCTTCCCATTGCTGCTCTGTCTTCTCCGAGGATGAGTTCTGTGGCGTCTCGGACTCTACGTATAATTCTTATATACGATCTAGATTCTTCTTCAGGCGTAGTGTATACTACATGTAGCTAGTGTTGGATAATTAAGCGTCTATAAGGAAGCGCTTACGGGGAAAATCTTTTTTTAAGTGAGCTAATAAGAGCGCTTGTAGCAAGCGTTTACCAGCAAAATATTCTTAAGCGAGCGAATAAGAGCGCTTATTAAGCGCTTGCTTAATGCCTTAGCGCAGCTGAGGCAGTGCACGCCAGCCACTTGAGCTGGAGCGGAGGGCTAAGCTAGAGTGGCTGGAAGCTTGTCGTTTGTCTGCATGCGAGCTGCAGCAAGGTGTTCTCCCAGTGTTGCCTAATTAAGGTGGCGCACTTTTCATGCGGTTAGGAACACTTGTTCTACGGATCCGCATCCTTCGCGCAAAGTTTCGGACGTGTAACACCTCTGTTCAATTGGATGGATGGAGAAATTTTCTGTTATAGGCTGAGGTGAGAGCAGCGTAGTAATACGGTGTTTCCGTCAATGGTGGTACTTCTCACGGCAATCGGTGAGGCGCAGTGAAGCCCCTCTGACATGCTTCGTCAACCACATCCTGCTAGGATACGGTAGACGGCAGGCGTAGCTGGGTTTGCTTTGGCAATAATGGTCTTTGAGAGTTGTTATAGACCTGGAAGAGTATTTAACGGGCTTCGTCGCCGCTCCAAATCCGCCATCCAGCACTTCACATTCTACAGCCTTCCAGCACTTCACATACTACAGCCATCCAGCCAACGCATCAGAACCCGACAGATCTATCCCGATAATCACTCAACTCGTCCTCAAGATGCAGTTTTCCACCATCATCATCTCCACCGCCCTCTTCCTTGTGAGTGGCTCTCACGCTTGGACCGACGGGGTCGCCAACAACGTCTTCTACAACATCGGGGGCAGTAAGTAGTAACCTTACGCCGACGACGAGATGATGTAAGGTTCAACCAGGTTCAAGACTAATATTGTATATAGTTACTGTTCATGAGGCATGCACCTATGCGAACACGAACACGATCCACTACGGTGACTGTGAGTACTGGACTGACGATGCTGGTCACACATTCAAAGGAAGTATGTATCCCTTAACCATGAAGACCTACAACAACTTCGCATACTTACAAAGTCTCTTAGCCTGCACTCCGTACGCGAGCCAGAGCCAGCTTCTTTGTATTTGAGAAAATGTCGCAGGGGTGGTGGGCATTCTAGACGATGGTTGGGTGCCTACCACTCCGAGGGATTAATGTTACCCGGATTACGCATGGGGCAAACTCGAGTCTCTCTTTTACACGCGGCCTTCTTTTCGAGTCTCTCATTTCCGTGCTGTCTTCTTTTTAAGTCTCTATTTTACACGCTGCCTTCTTTTTAATCCCCCTTAAAGGTGAACAGTTGTAGACTAGTACTTACTTAGAAAACATTCATTACTTCAACTACTATATTCGCCTATATGACACCCTAGCGACTCTATGAGGAGGGGCCTAAGATCCATCAGACATCGATGCAAGCATGCTGTTCTAATTGCATCTCCCCGATCTCCACGTTGCCATCAATGCCATCTCTGGAGGATGCCAAGCATGGAAGGGGCCGCTTCACGTTGAACAATCAATCGAAAATGCGGCTTGGGGGCTTCTTTGGAGCCTGAAAGGAGAACGGGAGATGAGCTTGAAGCATTCTCTATATGCCACATCAAGCTGATAAGAGAACAGAACGCTATGCAACGGCGCATCGTGTTCATCGGCCATAGCCCACTGCGTCATTAATGACAATGAAGTATTTTCCCATATAATTATAGTAGAGTCTCTCCTAGCGCGCAGCGCAATATAGAGCAGCCTGCTCGGACGGTTTTATCCACTTCCTTTTAAATAGATCAGTCTGGAGACTCTGCAAGTAAATAGGACAACGCACCTCTGGAGCAATGGTCGGGTTAATCTCAACCAAATCAAGGCCAACCAAGTTGCCTGTCGCGGCGATAGTTTCGGCGATGAAGTTTCCCTCGCGCAGCGTCAGGCCTTCCCACACTGGAAAGCCGGTGCTGGGCGCAAACGAGGGATCCAAGCTGTCAATGTCAAACGACAAGTGGATAGGCGTGTCGTGCCCCAGCCATGCCAGCGCCCTCTCCATGACTTCTCCAATCCCGTACCTACATCCCGTCAGCAACGCCGCCATCAAAACCACCTCGGTCCAACTCTTACCTCTCCACATCCCTCATCGTATACGCTTTGATCCCATTCTCCCGGATAGCCCGCTTCTCCGCCTCGTCCAGATCGCGCAACCCGATATACACCAGCTTCCGCGGACTGACGCGATGCTCCTGCCCCATCCACCCAAACACGTCCTCCTCCTCCTCCCCCTCCTCCCCTGTCTTCTCGACCAGCCCGAGCAGGAACGCCAAAGGCATCCCGTGCACATTCCCGCTCGCCGACGTCGCCGGCGTGTTGATATCGCCGTGCGCATCCACCCACACCACGCCCAACTCTTTCCCCGCGCCGAACGTCCCCTCGCTCACCGCTCGCGCCACCCCCGACACCGTCCCCATCCCGATCGAGTGGTCGCCGCCCAGCGTCAGCGCGACGCGGCCGCCCAAAACGTGCGCGTGCACCTGGGCGCTGAGCGCGCGCGTCGCGGCCGACACGGCGCGCGGCCGGTGCATGCCGCGCACGTCTGGATCGTTGTCCGGGATGAGGCTGGAATAGTCGTGGAACTGTCCGTCCCAGTGTACGGAGAGGCCGAGGTCGTGGCGGAGTTGGGAGAGGAGGCCGCCGGCGAGGAGGGCGGCGGGGCCGCGGTCGACGCCTTGCTTGGCCTGCCGTGGTTGTGATTAGTATATGGGTGAGGCGGGGAGGAATGGTAGTGGAGGTAGAGCGTGTGTACCTGGCCTCCAGAAAATGCTGCGGCGGTGAGACCGACGGGCCGACGGGTGGAGGGGGATGGTAGTTTGGCGGCGGTCATTTCGGTTGTGGTCAGGCAACGGCGCAGTGGGGAGGTGAAGCGAGGGAAGTATTTCGTGACCATTGCGAGGACGAGAGGAGAAGACGGCAGAAGAGGAAAAGAGCCGCTTTATCGTCCGTTCATCGTCAGCTCATTCGCCGAGTATCCCGGGCGTCTGCCTACCCGTTTCGGCAAGGCGGCCCGCTTCGGCCCTTAGCGCCCGCTTCTACTTAACTTTAACGGACATCTGCCTTGTAGCGCGTTTACGGTAATTGCACTACCGCGTCTACTTAACTTTAGAGGACAACCTTCCACGGATGTCTGAAAAATTTTCACCCGAGGGTAATAGTATCCGGATGCCGGATGCTGACTGGATCCGCATCTAAAGGGGAGGGTTTCCATGCCGGCCCAAAGAGAAACAAACTCATGTAAGATCTATGTTCTGCCGTAGAGGCAATTGGTCAAATAGTGGCTAGACTATTTCGACGCGTACTCTAAGCTTCAGTAAAGCGGTGCTGAGAGTGCGCATAATTAACCGCATCTCCGCTTTCGCACCATGCACACATGCAAGGGCTTTACCGGTCTTGCCCGAGCTGCCGAAACCAGAAATTAGTCATCTGAATCAGGGTTGGATAACTGGCGGGTTCGCCTTTTTGTCCTGTGGGCTGGACTTGGCGCACACTTTCTAGGCAGAAGGCAGCCTCAACTACATCCATCTCCTCTTCGACCGCGGCGCAGACACTCTTCGCCCTCGCTCCCACCGCCGCCCCCCTACGACTCCGTCCTCGCCGCAGCTCCTCACCTCCAACGACCACATATCCATCTCCCGCATCCTCAGCGCCCTCCGTATCGCGAGCGCGCCACTCCCCATGTCCCGCGACCCTACCACCCGCGGCACCACCATGCACATCGCCGCCGCTACGCCCCTGACAAGCGCTTCCTGGCCTAGCTCCTCGACTACACTGTCGATTACATCACGACAACCACCACATCAACGCTATCGCCGGCCCCCACGACACGCCTGCTTCGCCGCCTGCCACCGCAACGTCTCCATCCTACTCGCCCGCGGCACCAAACCCGGCACCACTGGTTTGCGGCAAGCACGACAGCGCACTACAAGCGGCGGCGACGCCAAAACGGCGATGGTGGGCAGCACGCGGAAGCGCGGCCTGCGGGGCAAGGACGGAAGCGCGCTGGGGGCGGCGGCGGTAAGGGCGGATAGCAGTACGGAGGTGTTGGAGCTGTTATTAGGCAAGTGCGGGTGCCGAGGGCGGTGAAGGTGGCGATGGAGGTGGCGGTCGAGTGGGGGAGGGAGAAGGCGTTTGAGGTGGTTAGGGAGAGTGAGGTGGGGAGGAAGGTTGGGAGCGGGGTGGTTGAGGAGGTGGAGGCGAGGACGGCGGAGATAGGTGATAAGGGCGAGAAGAGGGTGAATAGCAATTTTAAAGAGAATGGGGGTCAGGATTCAGAGAAGGAAGATAGCATTTAGGAGTCGGAGTTTAGTAACGATAAAAGCGGAGATAAGGATGAGGATGACATAGAGGGGAATAAAGGTAACGAGAAGATTGATAACGTAGTAAGCGAGCTCGCAGACGGCGTCTTTTATACAGTATAAAAAGATAATATCACAGCACGGATCTAGATGCCTCAGGATAGAGATGCCGTAGGCACCCAGCCAGCGTAGCTAGGGAACGCGATCCGCGCGGATCGTGATCTACTATGATCATCAGTTTCACTTTCATCACCCACGGATCCCAATCCGCTGTATTGTGATCCCTTGTCTGATATCTCCGCTTGAAAGTTTTACCATCGAAGCTTCTCTTTATTTGTCCTATCAAGTACGAATGAAATTCGCACTCAACCGCTACAATAATCTGATGAATGAGTGCGTTAGTTCTTGTTTCAATCTTCTTAGTGTTGAGCTCAGTATCGTCTGAGAATGCACGACTAAGCCAATGAACGTATTAAATAACAAACAACCGAGTGATTGAGCTCATTCTCGGTCAAGAAGTATATCCGGGCTGGAAATCCTTGGCTGCAGAGGGAGTTAGCTGAGTAGATAGCTATTAGCGAGGTAGGTGGGTAAGGTAAGGGTGAGGAGCCGTCGAAGAGGGTGCGCATGAGTGCAGGTGCGAGACGACAAAGGCGCTGTGAGCGCTGTGGTATTGCAGGATACAACTCACGTACCTGGTCTGTCTACGTGTCGAGAGGAATCTGTGACTTTAATCACGACCAGTAGGACCCGACTCGATGTGAGTATAATCGATTGTGGCGTTACCGGTTGGTCTACCGTGAGAATAGCTCTTGAACGCGAGGATTCCTTGTGTAGAGTTTACATCTGTCTTGACGACGAAGTCGAGTTCGCAAAATGTTTTACCGTAGGCCGGGTTATACCGCTTTCGAGACCGTTTCAAATCTTTCGAGGAGAAGTGAATGGTTATCTGGCCGACTCGTTCGGCACCACAACCCTGCGCATAGTCTGGCGGTTGGTCAAGGCTACAGCAATATAGCGTCACTTCGCACTCTGGGAAGAGTTCATCCTGTTCTGTCGTGAGGGCAAGGTTGAAACTTGCGTTTGTAGCCGGGGTAATGGCTTGACCCTGTTACCACGTGTCAGGCAGACTTTCAGGATACATGATTTTCCACGAATCCCCTGAATGCTAACCTTGTGTATGACCCAGTCCATCCTTTCTCTGCACATTTTCTCCATTGAGAACTTGTCGATAATGCCGTAGTCTTCTGGGTCCACTCCAGGGCGGAAGGGCCTACTAACAGCAAACCCATAGTGTCGACGAGCCTTACGGTGCAGTGGCACAAGGCTCTCAAGACCACGGAGTGCAGCACCCTTGACTACTGCTGCCTGGCATTGTGGGGGGCAAATCAGCTTCATGGTGGAGCTGCCGTTCTGCATGCACCAGATCCTCATACGCTCATTGAGATAATCGGAGTCGCCGAAGCCGCCGACAAGGATGATGCGACCGATGTGTTGATTTTTCTTTTTCGCAAGGTCGACTTGGGAACTGACGAGGCGAATGATGTCGTTGATCACGGGATCAAAGAATCCTTTCATCTCATGCCTTTGTAGGGTTAGTTCTTCTAAGCGTAGAAAAGTGATGGGGATGTACAACACATACCAAGTCAGCTTGACCACCCCTTCGTCGCTATCATAGTGTAAAGAAGGGTGAACACCCGCCATGTAGATGTTCTCAACCTCAATGAATTTCTGATCACCCACACTGAGAAGCTTGCTCCCGAAAGCTTTCTTGGCACTCTCAAAGGATCTCATGAACGAGCTCCCAGGGCCGCGTCTTTTTGGTGGAAGTGATGTGTAAGAGCAGCCAAAACGCTCGGCCATCCACTTGCTGAAGTTGCGATCAATGTAGGTGGAGCCACATTTGCCTCCAACACCGACGCAGAGTTCCTCAAATTGCAGCTTGGGTCTGGTAGCTAGCACTGTGTATGTGGTAATGTCGACCGTGCCACCTCCGCAGTCGCAAATCAGCACGCCGTCTCCTGGAGAGACAGGGTCAATCCCATGGTGAGAACCATAAACCTTGAGAGCTAGTATTGCTGCTGCTTCTGGCTCGGGGATGAGATTGACCTGGTCGAGCGGCCGGCATCCGAAACCGGCTTCCAGCGCTGCTGACCTGGTTGCATCTTTTGCTGCATCGCTCCATATTGCGGGAATAGTGATCCAGTATTCAACAGGGGTGATAGAGTACAAATCAGTTGAAAATCTCTTGCAGAGCGTGTCGACCATATAGGCATGCAAGCCCTTGAGATAATCGGAGCAAACCTGCCTTGCCGACCTGTTGGGTGGTAGCTTCAACATTCCCTCTCCAGAAATGTCCTTCAATGCAGGGTCATCGAACTCAGTGAGAGGAGTACTACCATCAAGTAGCAATTTGGTCCACATGTAGGACACCATTGTTGCGGTTACGGCGAAGCCCCACTTGTCAACGTTGATGTTATCATTTTGAGACGCGTACGCAATCTTGGTAGGGACCTTGGAAACCGTCTCAGAGGTACCGGGCCATTGATTGATGACTTCAATATTGTCAGCACCGGTCTCATTTGATGTAACGTAGCTGATCCCTGAGATGTGTTAGTAGATAATCAGTACCGCATGTGCAAAATCTCAATTTACAGAATGAAGATGAATGAAAAGGAAAAAGTATATTGTTTGTGCTGAGTTATGAGAGATGCTGTGAAAATATACTGAATTGTGCAACGATATCGAAAACAAGACACTGACTGATTGAAGTGGTCGAGGCGGTTGAAGTTCTACGCAGATAGCATATAGAGAGTAGAGATGAAGCATCGCAATGTAGCATACCAGAGAAGGTCGTGCCGTAGTCAAGCCCAACAATAATTCTGTGGCGGTCGTCTGCAGTCATGCTGAGGACAGTTTGGGTCCAGTATGGGTGGTAGGATGCTGCTAATGCTTCAAAAGCTGCTTTTGCGCTATTTATAGACTTCAGAGATGGAAGTCCTGTAGAATTGGATGACGCGGAAACCAGTACTGTCTGGAATTCAAGGGGGAAGGTTACGATTGCAAGGGATACATTCTTCTGTGTTAGCATGTAAGGGCAGCAGCCTTGAATTGAGAGGTACAGATGCCATCTCATCCTATAAACGATCAGTTTAGAATCCCTTTCCCAACAGTTCCGATCCCTTTTATCATGGCAAATTGGTCATTCGGCTACGTCTGATACCATAAGCCTCCACTGCTACCTGAACAAATCATGTTCGACTTTGTTTTACGATGGCTCGAGAACAGCTATCGCATCTTTCGCCAAGGCCAGCGTACGTTGATGCTACGATCAGTACTACGTTCACACTCACTAATATAAACAGGCATCACTTTTGAGTCCAACGCTGTCAAAGGACTCAGGATGAGCGACGAAGAGAATCCGGATTCGCTATGTTCACGATGCGCTGTGGCCGAAAGCAGAGTATCTGATTTACAACACCAGGTCAGGGACGTCACAAGAAAAAAAGAACGGCTAGCAGCAAAGGTGGAATCTCTTCAAGTATCTTACGAGAAAAGAGGGCGGGATGCTGTACATTTGGAGCGCCAGCTCGAGAAAGCACGATCCGATTATAAGGCCACTAAAACCGCGCATCGTCGGATCGAAAAGGACAATGAACGTCTTAGATGCGACCTTGAGGCAACAACACATCAGCTGGAATCCTGCAGAGCAGACCTCCGTGGAGCCCAGAACAGCGCCTTCAAACATGCCCGATCTGGTGGGTATGCCGAGGAAGATAACAGCGTTCAAGAATGCCTCGATGGGTTTTACAGGCATGTCCGCCAGTGGGCTAAGTCGCACTGCATTCAGTCATTCGAGAATGTCCCATCCTTTCCTGAAGACACGAGGCTTCGCCTTCAAAACGCCGTCTCTGAACGAGCACAGTTCCCAAACCAGGACGCACTCTTTGGCTTCAAGCACCCATTCCTCATACTAGCAGCCCTGCTGTCCTCTCATCTGGAAAATTTCATCTTTCGAAACCAGTTTTTCGTGTTCCAAGAGCTTGGATCAATGCAGAGCTCCGATTCCTTTTGCCGGAAGCTGCAACACACGTTCCATCAATTGGAGACAAGTAAGAGCCATATTGCGTCCCTTGGTTCCCGTTACCGGCTTGGCTGATACCAGATTCATTACAACGAAGTAGATCCCGAGGTCCATATGTGCCGTTCCCAGTTCATGAGATTGATTTTCCCCAAAGCGAGGAACAAAGACTACACCGTGGACGGCAATGCCATCACCATGGAGCGTCTCGACGCAGTTTACAAGGAAATCTGTGACGGTTTTCTTTCTGGCCCTGCCTGCCTTTTGATGGCAGGGCCGAGTGACTGCGGAGTTCAGGAGAGGGATCATGACCTTCTCCAGATCGTTCGTGATGCTGGGAGTATATATAGTCGCTTGTTGACTCAAGTTGTGAACTACAGCTGGCTCGATCCTGAATATCTTCTCAGAGAGCCGTTTTCTGTCCGTTCAACCACAATGAGAGCTGATCGTCTGCACAAGCTTGTTGACGAGGAAGATGAAACTTGTGATGGGTGGCGAGTTGGCATTGTTGTTAGTCCCACCATCGTCTGCCACGGAAACAGCAACGGAGAGAACTACACGGAGGGACGCATAATAACCAAGAGTGTTGTATTCCTAGATCACTGATGAAACTGCAGTCTGATTTTCGGTTAATTAATTCTTTATTATATGATTTAAGTTTCTCAAAGGGTGTTTAATCGTTATGACAGTGTGTGCTGTTCTATCTCTTATTGAGATCCCTATCATGAAGCGTGCCTGACCCGCCTTCTTACACTGGTGTTGGCCTTTGGGCACGCGCGTGCATCCATGCACATCCAGTCATAGTGACAGACCTGCCCAGTGTGCATTGTTGCCGCCGTCGTCCCCAAGAAGCCCCTGCCAGTCTCGGAGCACTGGCTCGGGCAGGGGGCTAAGGGTGCAGGATACGCATATGCGAGTACGCCCCGTCATGAGGGGGCTGGAGTGTGGCAAGAATCCGGTAATGTGTTCCTTGAGAGACGGAATGCGGCCAGAGTAAAGGATATATACGCGCTAGCTTGTTCAGATAAGAAAGAAGAGGAACTTTCCGCTGATGGCACGCGGAAGGGGCTCCGACGCAGAGGCTCCCCCCTTCATGTGCTCGGCTGCCGTGTGCGCAGCCAAGTCCAAGTCCGCATGGTTGCACAACGGGCACCCCTCGCGCTGCGCCGCTCGCACGTCCAGGCCCACGCTCTCTAGATCCTTAGGTAGCTCCTCAGCGAACGCAGCCTTGCTGCCGCCGAGCCCGAGCGCAGCGTGCGGCCAGTACAGCGGCAGTACCAGCGTTTCGCGATCGCCAAGGATTGTATCGAGTGCTTTCTTCGGGTAGCTTAATGCATCACCCGTTTGCCTCCTCAGTTTTGCGCCTTTGCCTGTGTCAATGGACCATGTCTTGCACTGGACGACCTGATCCACCTCTTCTACTAACCAAACCTGCATCCCCCCCTGTTATGAGCCGGCCTGCGTCTCCAGCTAGTTGAGGCTCCGTGTAAATAGAGTATGATTCACCAGGCGCCTCTCCTTACTACTGTCCAGTGCCATCGTTGTAGGTTGACTGCACGGGGGAACTACGTGACTGACGGGAGTATTGAGCGCATGGTCCACAAGGAGAAACTGCAGATCAAGCTCAACAGGCACGGCATAACAATTATCAGGACCGAGCACCGCATGCAGGAGAAGACGCAAGGCACCAGGCGGATTCTCGTTGATGTCATCAACCCTAAGGTCGTTCATACCATGGCGTGGTATTCCACTGACATAGAGATCGCCGTGCTGTCCTCTGCCTTCACATTTACGGTCTAGTGTATGAGCCCATCCATTTTTTGTTTGTAGCCCAGAACTATCTAAGTCTGCACAGTTTTGGAAGCATTCTAAACGGTATTGCCGTCGCCATCAGCTCGAGGGGCCGTCCGGCTGACACATTCGGCGCAGTGCATATCGCTGGTGACACCCCGTCTGTTATTTTTTCGTATAAGGCTGAAGAGATATCTTATTGGCGCATGCAAATAAAAGGGTAAATGTTACACCCTGCCGATAATGCAGTCATCTTATTTTGTATCAGCTTCCTATCACTACTATTTCTACGGACGACCTGGTGGTCTACGTCAGGCTTTTATTTATTTTTTTTTCCGACTCATAGCGGTCTAGAAATGTGACCTTAGGAAAATTGCAACCTTTGGAGTCGATGAAGAAGTGGTGGTTTCTCCATAATATTCAATTGAAGCTGGGAGTACAGGTACAAGTAATAAGTACTCAAACTTCGACGTCTTCACATTTTCCGTCCGTTGTTGTGGATCCTGCGCAGCAGCCATTTCAGGAGCCCGCCGGTGTAAGCATCTTCCCTTGGAAAGTATCGTCGGTTCTCTGTTGTATAACCTTTCAACTCAGCCTTTGACCTGAAATGATGCACTGATGATTAGGTCCGATAGCTATCAAGTAGATCCACCAAATTAACATATGTTTCAACAACCATCTAGGTCAGCTGTCAACCATCGCATTGCATCCAGATGGTTACTAGTACATACCTTAGGGCGATCTTCCATCCTTAGTGGCACAGGTACGATACAAATCTACACACAATGCCGGCACCAGGACTTGTTATCATTCGGATCTTGTCCAAAGGACGAATTGAAGATTTCGACAACTGCCACCCGAAACATCTTTCAGAAACCAATAAGGGTTTAGAAGTCAGTAACAAAACAAGGCACTACGCAAGATTAGTAGTGCAGGTTATTAGGATCGCCTCCAGATCTTATAAGAACTGGGCATGGCGAAGCATACTAGTCTTATATACCTTGAAGAGACTTTAGACCTAGAGGCTGCAAACCCCAATTTACATCCATGACGGTCTTGTTGAAAACGGCAGCTCCGAGAAAGGAAGTAGCTATGGCAGCCTTGCGGGGGACGACAGCTCTGAAGTGGGTAGTAACTATTAAGATGAAAAAGTGCCGCCTTGCGAAAGCTTCGGATATCTTAGATCTATGTTGTCCGTTGCACTTGCGGGCGACCCTGTGAAATCACCGCCTATACAGGCCATCCTCTTTCGGTTCCACTATGTAGGTTGCTCTGATACCAGAGACCGCATCTACGGCACGATGTACTCCACTGATTGGCAGGGCAAGCTATTGCTAAAATTCGACTATTTATTGTGAATGACAGCGCTTGCAGTGCATCTTTTCGTACTTTACGACGACGGCGAAACCGCTCTCTGGTTTGCACGGATACTATTTGAAATCAACGTCACACACGCATTTCCGATTCCATTCGACGCTGCGAAACATTTCGAGCAATAAATTATCGACCCGAACAGCACTAAGACATCATCTGACTACAATGATACCCTGTAGTTTCCGGATGCAGAAGCTCCAGCATTCTACTATACGAAGACATTGTCATGGTGAACTGCTTGAATTGTAACCATCCCGGGTTCGTTGCCAAGCCTTGTGGTGTGGCAAATCACTACGTATAGCTTGGCGATCTTCTTTTTTCTGATTCAACTCTTAACGTCCCCGCTGCTGGTATGGTCCTCGAGCTTCGGCACGGGGGTTAGTATGCGGTTGTGGATCTGGCCGCTTTATTTATCGTGCTCGCGGCCACTGTCAAGTTTACCTCTACCCAAAATTTCAGTACGGAGAGGATCAACGTCCCACGCCATGCACCACACTCACAGCATTTGACCTCTTCATGCTACTCTGTCGGGTCTGAGACGTGACAACACCGAGTGGTCATGAGATGAGTGGCCACTTAAGTCTTAGGATTGACTTGACGGCTCTAAGACGGTTGAAGTCTGCTGACCCAGAGAAAGTACGGCACCCCACTGAATCTAATGCTACCTATTAGCCTTAATATTCAGACATAAAACTAATGACAGACGCATCTCCATTGATCACAAATTGCACTAATAGTAGCAAATAAGAGCAATATGATCGAAAGTACACACTGGAGATTCTTAGCCGCGATTGTTCAGAAATCCCCCCTCGCGATCTCGAATTCTTCCTGTCTCTTGGCCAATAACTCTAGAAGTCGCGTAATCACTCCCCGGGATATCTCTTGTCTCGCCTTCTTTTTCCCAAATATCATCTTGATTTCACCAACTGGTTCGCTCGGCAGCGCGACAGCCGGGTCATTCCTGAAGTACGCCGCACCAGACCACATGCCTATGACACATGGGTCGGAGGTGAGTTTATAGGTAGGCTGAGCGCACCCAAGCTTTCGACAGAGGACTTGATTCACTGTGAGCCTGATTGCACCATGTATTTTGAAGTCGAGTTTGCGTGCGAAAAGATTGTGTAGATGTGGTAATTACACTCACCCATAATTTGATCTCCAAGACTCGGACCATCCTGGTCACGCATGTCTAGCCATGCTTCGAGCCCAGTGTCGCGAGTGTCCGAAGGAGACTGGCCGGCTTTGGTGACGTTTCCAGCAACGGAGTTTCCACTTCCGAGTTGGATAGTACCCGCTTGAACAGCGGTCGTGTCCACCGACGAACGGCTCTTTCTTGACATCTGCCCGATCTCACGAAGCCACATGACAGCCTCACGTGCCGCATGCATCTTGGCCGCCTTCTTGCTGCTGAAAAGGTTGTTGCGGCAACCAAAGGGCTCATCTGGGCGATCTTGTATCGTGACTTCCATTGAGTGACTCGAACCGAGTCCAAACTCTTGGAACATGGGCATGCGCTTGCGCCTACGCTGGCAATACTCTGTCATACGAAATTTGTCAGTGTGAAATCAGTGTGATACGTGCATTGGAATAGCGAACGTAGTCACCTCCAAGTAGACTAATCCAATCCTCATTCGCCGTGTCGTCGCTGTTGCTCTCCATTTCCTTGCTTATGCATTCTCTATTTCTCTTTGTTACGGCCTCAGTAAGGATCTTGAGTCCTTCTCCTGCAGCTGCAGCTTTGGCCTCCTTCTTGCTGTAAAAAGGGCCCGGAAGGTTAATGCTGAACTTCTCGCCTTCACCGCTTAGTGTCATGAACCCGAAAGTGAGCGACACTGCCCAACCTGGCGGCATCTCTCGTGTTTGTTCGAAATTGAAGGTGCTCGAGGCTGCATTCTTGATGCAAAGATTGCTGAAGTTAGAGACGGCCTCACTAGACCAGATTTCGCCAATCTGGAATTGTAGCTGACTGGAGTTTGACATCGACATCCCTTGATGTGTAGTGCGGTAGATTCACTCGATTAGCTCTAACAGATGGCATCCTTTCTTGCGTTATATATAGTGGCTAGCACTCAAAGCGTTGCGTCAAAGAAGAGAGCTCCTTGCTTACGATGTAAGTTCTTTGTGCTGTAGGTGCATATTTAATTTTACACGAGAAGTCGACCAGAAAGAATCGGGAATGTAAGGGGCGCAATCCTTTTGTGTCATTGAATAGCATACTTTGAAGTGGAGATTGCCGGCTTACTGTAAGGGATCCACAGAGATACGCAAGGCAGAATAATTATCAGAGCAATGCCGAAACGTACCAATCGTCGCATCGAGGTGGCTTATTGCCTGTATTGCTAATTGCGAGACCTCGTATGGCTAAACTACAAACAAGTGCGAAATATGTTTCCCTTTTATGGTTGTTCTTGTGAAGTCCATATGACTGTGGGTAGATATAGAAAGCTATAAGTGGACGGTTCTCTCACTTCCACGCCATACGCATAAAGTAGGTTAGATTCGATACGGACAACCTTAGTTGCTTGTCTACGAGTCCTTTCTTGCGCCCTAGGAGTGTATGTTAATTAGCTCATTATCGCTACTATAGCGCTTGTGCTTTCTTATTGGAATGTAGTAACGTTAGCGCTAACCTGAAATGAGATGTTGCGATTTGTGTCGAACACAACCCTTCGAAAAAGGAAAGGTGCATTGATGCTAGGAATGAATAAATTCTGTGTTACATTAATTTCGTTTCCTCCTGCATTGCTCTTAACATCCGCCCAACTGTTCCTGTCTTACATAACTTTAGTAATCTCGAGTCTGAATTTTACGTAAAAATACACATACCCGCCATCTAATCCGGACATACGTTCAAAGAAGATGCGACCGATCATGTACAGGTTTCTCTATCGATGGCATGAGATGCTCGGCCTCCCGCGACAATCACCACTAAAGTGGTATCGGGATCAACTTCGGGAGGAGTTTCGAGAATGCCACAATGCAACAAGGCACCGGCAGAGGCGTAGCGAAATATTGGACGTCTTCTTCTCTATGAGTTGAGCCCAGCATGACGGGTTCCCAGTCAGAAGGTTGCCGTCTCTTGATTCCCCACACCATGCGTCCGTATACGGTTATATGCTAGCAAAGTACACATTCCGATGGTAATTCTATCGGGTAGCTGTATTGCTCTGCCATGCCCCTCATTACGCTTTGGTACGCGAGGTTGCGTCTCGCCACCGAATAGTAAGCTGCGACGCTTTTAGCCTCTTTTACCATAGGTTATCGCTTTCGGAAACTGTTAGACCCAGCTGCGGGGCTATTCAGGTCATACTACAGATTAGAGCCTTACGTTGTAGGTGGCGATAGGTGAATAATTCCTCACTTAAAAGACCGGATGCATAAGGACGGAAGGGCGATCCAGTTAGGAGATTGTTATTTAAAGAGAAAGAGGTCGTGTTAATCATTCTATAGTATTGAAACATACTATTAGCCCAGCTAGCCAGTTGAGAAGTATATAAATGCGGGCTATTTCCTAACTCTGCTTGGTATTTTCATTTCCACTTCTAGACTCCTCGAGTTCAACTTTCACGACAATTTATCTATAATGTTTCGCATAACCCTTCGCAAGGACACAAAAGACATCTTATTATGCCTCATCTAGGAAAAACTGAAGCGGGCACCCACCCTAGCTCGACAGCGGTCCACTGCTCAAACCGACCGCCTAGCCTCAAATAAGGCCATTCTGCCGGTAGAAGGGCAAAAGTCATTGGCATCTACGGAACCCCCAGATCTGAGAAGGCGTTCCTGTTGAACTAGCTGAAGTATGTATTGAGCGATAAAATCTCCTCATCTTTAAAGGGTCTAAGGTCCTTGCATAGCTTGCTGCGGGGGGTCTAGACGCTTTTCAGAAATTAAACGAAGAATACAAAACGCATTTTTGGCAGCTTACTACCGAGAGTATCGGAAAAGAACAGACCATCAGAGGGAAGTCTACAGTCGTCATGGGATAAATTATGTTCTAGGTAGAATAAGAGAACGAATGGACAGTCTGTTGTTACAAATCCCAGGGGAAATGGGCTTCATGATCCCAAGGGCAGAAAGCCCGCACGGGAAAAGGCACCGCAGGGGCCAAGCAGCCTCATGGGCAAGAAAGCCGCACAGCCTCAAATTTCACACGGGAATCTAGAAGGCACAGGATAAGGGCGCGTACGGGAACACTAGTAGCCAATAGCCCAAGCTCGTACAGGAAGAATGCCGACAAGGATGCGACAATTCTTGAAAAAAAAAAAAATACGCACCAGAGAATCCCCTATCGGATAAAGAACCATAGGGCTAAGGTACTTCCGTACGAATCGTATAGTTACTCGTTTCCTACTTAGCGTGGTTTTCTTTACTACTTAAAATCAAGTTTTATGGAACTTTTTCTTCTTTTTCAGCAGCTTCTTTTCGTACGTAAAATCTAGTCGAATTCTTATGCACTACGTTTCGCAACAGTATCTACTACAAACGAGCATGTTATATATATACTAAGTGACCATGGTGATAAGGTCCTTCACTCGTACTTCGCGGATGGGTTTTCCAAGCCAATCTAGATTACGGGTAGACGTGCCCTATGCCTTACGTGGGCGTTAAGTCTTATAAGTTCCGAAGCCCCCGCCTGCGCTGGTTTCGCTACACTATAACAACTGGAAATGTTTTGAGTAGAATACATCAAGTCTTCAAATTACTCCAAGAGATCCGTTGAGGTTCTCTTAGCAACATCAAACCCAATTCAAACCTGAATCTCCTCGGCCGGAGCCAACCATTGCTGGGCAACCACATCTAGTACGACACATTCCTCCTCACAAACTCGACTCCTACAGACTTTGACTCACCGGGGGTGAGGAGAACCTTCTTAAAGCCGCGCAACTGCCATACTGGTGTTCCCTCAGGTGCCCACGCGGCCAAAAGGTTGAGGTACAATTGGGGTACTGCGGCACTTGCAACATCACCTACATGCGTGACCGTTGCGTTGACAGTATACACGACGGTCCAGAGATCCGCATTGCCACCTAAAACCATTGGCGCGTCGGCTACAGGCGCACTGCCTCTGATAGACGCCGCAGCGACGGCGGACGCGGTAATGTTGGATAGGGTAAAGGTCGTATAGCTGAGGCCATAGCTGGAAGGGTATAACACATTGGCAGAGCCGTTTCCTGCAGTCATGTAGTACCGGTAGTCGGTGAAGTTGCCATCTGTGAAGTCAGACTGCCATGAATCTGGATCGGTGGGATCCTCTGGTGCGGTAACAAGAGTGTGGGGAAGAGCGGCGGCGAAGGCGGGGATGGTGCGCGGGAGGTAGCCTAAGGGATCGATCGCCCTGTACAGCACGTCGATAAGCGAGTTGCCACTCTCCTAGCCCGGCATGTGGGCCATGATGATGGCGGACACGTTTTTGTGCGAAGTGAACGGCAGTAGCATGGGGCCGGTGTCGTGGTGGACAAAGATGGTGTCGTTGCAGCTAGCCGCGACAGTCTCGACAACTCCCGTACCGCTGTGGCCTGGAAGGAGAGATTGCCGGTCGATGCTCTCAGTCGCCCAGGACTTGATGAACAGGAGGCATACATCGGGTACGGGGTATATATTGGCACTAGAAATGCCGTACTTCGTCATCGTCTTGTTGTCAAGCATATACTGGATGAATGCACCATCCTGGTTCGCGCGTGCTTGGATGGCTTCAAGAAGGAAGACAAAGTACGAAAAGCGGCCAGTACCGCTGCCTCCGCCGGAAGCAGTATTTCCAAACTTAGAACCGTCGGGATTGAAGGGGTCGCCGCCAACCCACAAGTATAAGCCTTCAGCGTACTAGGGGGCACTGTTGCCAAACACGGCAATGCCTTTAATCTTTTCAGATGATAGCGGGATGGCTCCATTGGCATGTTTTTTCTTCGCAGAATGGTGTTGCTTGATGCTGATTCTCGGATGAACCTGGTGTGCCCCTCGCTGCGGACATTAATGATATTTCCGATCTCAAAATCGTAGTACCAGTCTCTGTCAGTATTCACAGCAGCTGAGGCTGCATCGGCCTTCGGGGAATCCTGGTCTTGGTTGAGATGGAAGTAAGGAGTCATGACTCTCAGCACCGTGCTATTGATCCTGCTTTCCGGAATGGTGCCGTTGGTCACGGCGGTCGTAGCGTTTTCGCCCCAGTATGGCGGCTTTGGCACGCCGAATTCCATTCCACAAGGCATATTCATGTCCAGACCAGACTCGATCGTTGCAGCCCCCGCATGTATGACTACCCAGTCGGATACAGCGTATCCCTGAAACCCGAGCTCTTCCTTTAGCAAGCCGTTTAGCAGTTTCGAATTCTAGCATGCGTATGATCCGTTCAGCCTGTTATACGAGCATATGATGCTTGCGCTGCCCGCCTGAACGGCGTTCGCGAACGGCCAGAGATATGTCTCATGCATACTCTTGTCATCGATGTTGAATGAAATGGCCTCCATGACCGTACCGATAGTGGTCTGTTTCCGTTTTGTTTACTGTTCATTGGCAATGAGGTGTTTCATGCAGGCCTGGATACTTGCATCCTGGATCCCTCGAATCGAATTCTCCACCGCGATAGCGCTGAGGTACGGGCCCGGGGAGAAACCTTCCCAATTGCCACCGCTGTACGGCTCCTTGCCCAACGGTCCAATACTTGGCCCAAATCTCTTCGTGGGCTCGAGATTTGTGAGCACGGCGCCATCGGCGTGGACGAGAATGGAAGAGTCAAATTTATAGAGCGAGGAGCAGCGAATGCACGATTAGACTCTGTGATCTCCAAACACCAACGCTGGTCCAACGCTGCTGTCATCCGAATCAAAGACCAAGGCTTTTTCTTTCCTGGATTTGTCGACGCGCACATGCGCACCGCACAGTTCCCAAGTGCAGGCATCGTTGGAAACATGAGCCTGATGGGATGGCTGGACAAATGCATATATCCAATGGAAGCATCCATGTCCGATCTGTTCGATGCACGCCGTGTTTACAGTCGTTGTGTCTCCCGCGCCCTCGCACACGGCATAAAGGCTGCCGCATATCACGTGGCGCTCGACGTTGAAGCCACCAAGCTGCTTGCAGACATATGTCTCGCAAAGGGGCAGCGCGCCCTAGTCGGCCGGGTGTGTATTGATTCAAATATCTGCCCCGAGTGGTATCGCGACGAGAGCCCACACAACGTGATTCGGAAGAGCAAGGAGGTTGTCGAGTACGTGTAGAAGATTGGCAAGGACATGGTCGCGCTAACCATTAATCCGCGTTTCGCGCCCAGCTGCCGCCACGAAACCATGTGCGAGTTAGCCAAACTCCAGCAGGAGAACGGTGCTATGGCCCAGACACATGTCTCCGAGAACATGGGCGAGGTGCTCCTCGTCAAGGATATGTTCTCGAGCTCGCAGCACTACGTCGATGTATACGACACGGCCGGCCTCCTAGGCCCCGAACACCATCTTTGCCCATGCTGTCCATCTAAGCGACCAGGAAAAACGCATAGTGAAGCAGGGTGGCGCTAAGATCGCCCATTCGCTTCTAGATGTTTTCTTCGGATCCAGCGATTTGTTTGACGTCAAGTCAATTGAGAGTTATCATCTCGTTCCATTTTGATCCCCTGTCTACCAATGTATCTCACACTAACTCTCTATATATCGTATAATTATATAATTCTTCTTTATCTAATTATTATCATCTCTCTTGATATACGAATCTCAGCTCTACCACTTTGCCAATTCTCTCCTGTGCGAGGTGCTCAACGTTGCGGACTCCAGGGGACAGATAGGAACACGAGAACCCGGCACGCACGGACTTAGTTAGGAAGCTACTGCCAGGTCGCACCTGCAGAAAGCCCGGACAGGACCTTGAAATACAGACGGACCGCTCATAACGCAATCCTGCAGGGGATGAGAACGCACAAGGGACGAAGATCCGCAGGGAAGGGAAACCCTAAGACACCTTCCTAGATACCGGCACAGCACGGCGATAAATGGCCAGTGGTCAAGGCGAATTATCCTCCTGAGTTAGCACGAGGAGGCAGGAAGCTGGAAAGCGGACAGACGAAGGGAACGAGTAAGATACAGGTCGTAATCATAACAGTGTTATCTCGGCTATGTCTCCCGATTTGCGGCACAGCATACTCGCCCCCAAAGTTTCGCTAAACGTGGGGTAGATATGGTTGCCTAGCAATACCTAGAATCCCGGTATCTTAAATGATACCAGACGTTCAAAAAAGCCGGAGCCGTTCGAGTCTCCCACAATCTGCTATTCCCTCAATTTTCTCACAAAAGTTTCACCAAGATGACTTCTACCTCTACGCCAGACGTCCGAATGAAACTAGCTCCACCAGCAATGGACATGATTCGTGCGCTCGGGTGTGTGGCTAAGAATCGCAAAATTAAATGCCACGCTGTTGTACCTGATGCCAACCACCGTTGCCGGAAAATGTACAAACCCTGGACCGAGGACCTTGAGCCCACGCTCAGTGCCATACGCAAGTCCAAACTGCCCTTCACCAAGGAGAACTCCGCAACTTTCGCTCAAATACTCCTTTGCCGGAAACATAGAAAAGAAGACAAGCACGTAACTCCCCTCAGCCTCGCGGTATTGCCTGTACAAAGGAGCCCGAAAGGAAGGATCTCGAAAGGATTTCACGATGATTCAGACCTCCCTAGTGATCATCAAAGTTCTTTGTATCCACAAAACTACACCAATCGAGAGAACAGATCGAAAAGTGCCGAGCCGGATCTGGAAACGCCGTCATCTTTCCCTGATACGGACCCTGTCGCGCTTGTCGACGCAGTTGGGGAGCTGAAGTGCCCAGAACATGTGAGATGCATCGCTTACGATATGGTGACTGGGCGCTGCCGTTTCCTTTTGGACAAGGCCAAACTCGCTACCGCTCGCAGGATCTGTCCCAGCATACCTGTGGACGGAGAGTCGGATAGCGAAGACGGAGACGAAGAATATCAAGAAGATGGCGACGACTACGTGTCACCACTAAGCCAACTCCGCCCGCTCATCTACCATCTGCTTTGCCATAAGCACCGTCACTGGTTCTGGCTGGAATTCTACTACAGCCAGTGGAAAGATTGTGTTGCATGTGCGGATGCTGCCGGTGGAGTTTCAGAGCTGTGCACGGATTTTGAGATGAACATCAACGGTTCTTCAGATGAAGAAAGCTTTCAAGAAGATGGTCCACTGGCCCAACGAGGTTCCAAATCCACTGTCAGCACCGCTAGCACCGCTTCTGAACTCCCCTTCACTCCAAAGCGACCCGCGTCAGAAGTTAAAAAGAAAGCCCATACCGCTCCTGGAAGAGTTCCCCAAGCAAATGGAGGACGCCGAAACCAGGATGATGAGACGACATCCCTTTCGTCGGATGAACCAAGCAGCCCCAGCATCCGTCGTCCACCAAGCAGTCAGCATGGCTCCGCAGCCATACGGAAACGACGATCAACAATACAACACACGAGAACACCATCCATCTGCATTTCCATGGCAGCTTCATCGCCTTCACTACCCTTAAGCCCAGTTCCTCAGCTCCGGCGCAGCCCCCGCCTTGCAGCGCGTAGATCACCCTCCTACAAGGAGGACAGCAGTCCATCTGTGTCGGAAGATGACTTGGTGGCTTGCTTGGACAATTTGACTATCGGTGACAGTCTTCCTGTTCTCTCGGAAGCCTGGTCACTGAAAATTGGAAATCTGCTGTATGAAGAAGTGAGAAAGCCTCTGCTCGGCAACAGCAAGCCCGCCTGTTTATACGTAGTGGTGTCTACGTCCCATCCAGGACTAGTCAAGGTGGGCAGGACGATACATCCGTACACACGCCGCCAGCAGATAAGGCAGGATTGCAAGCTTCACGACTTGGATGTAATCCAGGAGTTCAAGGATGTGAGCCACCACGATCGCGTCGAGTCGCTAGCGCATCGCCATCTAAGGCGTTTCCAAGAGATTTTGCCCTGTATTCACAAGAAAGGTGTGAAGGATCATCGAGAGTGGTTTAGATGCTCTCCAGAGCTCGCGACGCAAGTTGTTGAAGCTTGGGTTGAGTGGATGAAGATGATGCCGTACAACGAAGATTTTCTACGGCGACCATGGAAAGGCGCAGTGCAAAAGTTGAAGGAGGGCCCAGAGGGCAGTGAGCGGGAGACATTCGAGCAATTGTTCCAGAGGCATAAACGGTGGCTGTTACAATAGCACTCTCCTCGATAGTTGAAGGAGTAAGTGAAGTATCCCAATGATCAAAAATTGTCTCCGAGAATAGCCGGAGTCGTACGGGTAAAAGGTCGATCTTTCTTCGCGTTTTTTGGTGTGCAAGTCGAAGCTGCCGCCGATGAGGCTCTGCAATGCAGTAATCAGTGCAGCGAGCCAGTAGCCAGAGTGTGGCCACACGGCGTACAAGAAGCAATTGCAGTGAGGGGAGGTTACAAGCTTGAGGTTCGAGGGCGAAGACGGTGAAATTATAGGGCACTATTGCTTCACCAGCGACGAGGTTGTTCAACCGGAGGACGGAGGACTATATGCATAAATGCGCAGAGGCGACGATGAGTTGGTGAATTGGCAAATCATAACGTCGCCAGGGTGGCAGCGAAAGAATGTGGTGTCCCGTCACATCGCCTGCTCATGGCCGGCCCAGCAACGTTTCCACAAACCCCGCAACCGGCGCGCACTCCGCTTCCTATCAGCGTCATCGCTAAATCAGCCAACACCGAGCACGTGTCATCAACTCTGAAGCGAGATCAGCTCTGGTAACTATAGCAATTTCCGCGTCAACCACAGACACGCCCGCATCGGCTACTTTTCTTGCCATGCTCAGCTGTTATTCTTCTGACTAGATACTATGCGGATTCTACTATTACAGTCTTGGAAGGGTATTGGAAAGATGGCTACACGGCGCATCTATTGGACTTTCGCCAAAGCCGGGGCAGTACTCATAGTCAGACAAGGAAAATATATTTTCCTTGTGTATAGTTGAAGAATCAATGATTGAATTGACCAAAAAGGTCCTGTCATAAACGAGTGTGACCTTTCTCTGACATACTCTCTCAACCACTCTACCCGCTTTCCAGAGACTCAGCGTAACACGCTGCTTCTAGATAAGCCTGCCACAACTACTACTACTCTCGCCTCCTCCTACTTTAAGCTCGTCAAGCCCTCAGCGCGAGAAAGGACACTCGACACAGCGGATTTTCCAATAGCCCTTCTCATCGCCACAGTAGGTGCCGTCCCCGCCACGGCCTCCGCACTGCACGGAATGTCAGTATTCTTTTGTCTGACTCATTGCTACATCGTAGGTACCTACCCAGTTTTTCTGGCAGCATTTGAAGTTCATCCCCGAAATTTTGCAACTCCTCCCATTGCAGTGCTAGCCGAGTAGAGTGTTAGCTCTTTTCTAGATTGTAGGCATTATAAGGGGAACGTACACCGCAAGCTTCATGGTCGGGTTTGCAGGCTTGGACACCAACGGCAGCGCTGAGCAGGAAGAGAAGGGAGATAATATTATAACGCATATTGTCGTTGTTAGTAAAGACTAATTTTAGGGTAGTGATAAGTATCTAAGGATGTATTAGTAGAAAGCTTAGGTTAACAGCCTAGAGAGGGGCATATTTGTAGGAAAATTACCAATCCCAACACTTTTCTTTATTAAACGGACTTAACCTACTTAAGAAAAATCTCTTTTAAAATAATAAACATTTTTTTAAAGTACTATAAAGCGTTAATTTAGTTCGCGATAGTTGGGTTTAGTCCGTTTGGCGAAAAAAATGTTGGGTTTAGTAGTTACCCCGAAATGCGGAAGAGGCTGTGCTAAAACGGGAAGAGTCGCACCCTAAAATAGAAAAGGTAACCGTAATAAGCATTCGTCGTTGTTGCATGTGAGAAGAAGTATTTGCAAGATTCTCAGCCGGGCCTGACCAAAACGAAGCCCTAAACATCACAGTTCTTGGATTAGAAAAAGTGAGGGTGGGGCGGGCGTTACACCGGGGAGAGACTTCGCATGCACCGCCTAGCCGGATCAAGCTCCGGGTGAGGGTGGAGCAATACCGAGAGCTGAAGGACGGCGCTCGCAAGGAGGGACGATTTTCGCGGGAAGGACATCCCTGCGGCCCTCGATCCTGTATCCCGCATCCTATGAATAAATTGCTAACAATGGTTCGTACAATGACCACGCTAGGTTGATGTTTTTCTTCCTACTTGGGGGCTGGTCTCAGTATCAGTACGGGCGTGAAACTTGTCGAAGTCCCAGTCAACCACTGCAACGCTATCGCTTCGCACCAACTTGCTCGCAATAAATACGCCATGCCATCGCTCGATATGACTTGCAGTGCATGAGAAGACTTCTAAGCCCAGCGAAAACCAACCTACCAGTGAGTTCCAAAACTGTGCGCAGTGGGACAAGTGCCTGGCCTGTCTCGCTGTTTGAGAAGCTAACGAAACGCCATTGATCCCTCAAGCTGATTCCAATATTATCAGAACTAACTACAAGACTCATATTCGTGATGGTCGTATGTTGGATAGTAATTTGGACCGATATTTCACCCAACTTGTGAGGAGTTTCGACCATGTGAACCACACACCAATAGTGGCAGCCATGAGACAGACCGAAAGGATTACGAAGCTTACTATATGTCCTTGCGCAGCTTCTCCAGTGATATGACGAATATTCATTCCGTAGATCCCCTGGACCCCAAGACGCCGACACCGATTATTTAACAGTACAACTGAACGGGCAGTCACGGATGCTGAAGTGTCCGATCGCTTCTCAAAGATTCAGAAAGACACCCTTGCCGATGCACAGGCACTCATCACCTCGTCCAAGATTCGTGAATTTTCTCTTTCAGATAAAAAGTGGATATTTCTTCTTGTGGACTCCGTTCAGGAGATCGAACGGAAAGCCGACGCTCTGGAGAGACTGGAAGTTGACCAAGAGAAGAAAGACATCATGCAACCTTTGATTACGGCCCATGTAAATGCCGCCATTAACCGAGAAAAGAGATTCGATGACATCATTCCTGGGAAAGGCCTCGGTCTCGTGTTCCTGTTTGCTGGCGATCCTGGCCTGGGAAAGACACTTACGGCAAGTTAGATTCTTCTTCTCTTTCGAAAAGTAGTGATAGTGCTAATCTCAGAAGAGACACTCGCCGAGCCCAACCGAAAGCCTCTTTACGCTATCACGAGTGGTGAATTGGGCACGGATACAGAGAGAACTGACAAGACGCTACGAGACATATTCAACAGAGCAAAGTCCTGGGGGGCATATCTACTCCTGGATGAGGCGGATGTATTCTTGGCTAAACGTGATCGTGCGGACCTAGCAAGGAACGGATTGGTGACAGGTAAAAATATCCTTTAAGGAATCTACTTTTTCAACTAATGAACGCACAATAGTCTTCCTTCGCTTGATAGAGTACTACGAAGGTGAGCGAAGTCTTGAATCCAATTATCTTATTGCGTCAGCTTATCGTAAAACAGATGTCATCTTTTTGATGACGAATAGACTGGGTGAGTTCGATCCAGCTTTCGAGTCGCGGATTCAATTCAAGCTCTTCTACGATGCTCTCACTCCAGAGCAACGGAAACATATCTGGCGTTCGCTTCTTCCTGTCCCCGAATCTGGCCGGCCTTGGGGTGAAGATTTCCTTCAGCAGCTTGGAGACGACTATGAGGTCAATGGCAGAGAAATCAAGAACATGATCAAGACTGCACTCGCTCTGGCGGGCCAACTCAACATGAGCTTAGACAAATGTCATCTTGAGCAAGTTGTGCAATTGAACCGCAACTGAAGTGAAAAAATTCGGGGCGGTGGAAAGGATCCAAAGAAGATCTAATGTTGGAACATGTGAATCCGCACATACGAAGAGCATGACGGCGTGGAGTGGGCAGTATAATGGGGTTCATAACAGTGTGTGGTCAATGAACATCAGAAAAGAGCGATGGGCTCAAGTTTGTTCTATATCACGAGTGAGCAGAGCTGAATACGAGACTCTAAGGCTAGTAACTAAGGTGTTTAAAGCTTCAATACATGAGGCAAAAAAACATTTATTAGTTACGTATTCAGACTTATTCCCACCAAATACCCCCTAAAATAGCCGAAGAATGCTCCCATTCATCGTGGTCAAGGCAATACTTGGCGAATTCGGCCATTTCGCGACCTGCACAATCATCAGCATGTACTCAGAAATTCTTTGCCTGACGCACCTGTAGGGAGCTGGCCCTGCTTTCCTGAAAGGTCCCGCCCCCGTAGTCGAGTCATCCTGAGACAATTGTGCACTCGTTCGCTTCTGCATCTCTGAAAAAGCTCCAAGCGCGCAGGCACTTCAGCAGCAGTGGCCCCCATTGGGAGCAGTACAGCAATTGAAGCTGCATCCTCAATCGCCCTGAGGGCGTTAGCAATCATGTGTTGGACCCTTCCGGGCAAACTCACATCGCGCCGCCCTGGCCCATGTCTGCACGGCAGTCAGTAATGTAGTCGAAGACATCAGGAGAACCAGAGGAACTTACAGGGAAGAAATGGATGAGCAGCGTCACCGATAAGCGCGGCTCTACCCTTGGTCCACTCCTCAATCTCCGGGCAATCAAACAGATCCCATACTTTGATACCATGTTCTGGGGCTTTGGCCAACAGTTGTCGCATGGGAAGTGGAAAGTCGGAGAAAGAAGCAAGAAGGTCCGCCTTATTCCCCGAGCGGCCCCAGCCTTTGCCTATCGCGATATCAGCATGAATAAAGACATGAGGATACCTTATCCTACCTTCTTGTGTCGGCCCGACTTCTGAAGTGGGCAAGAATGCACCGACATACATGGACTCGTTGGAACATGGATAAAATGTGATCCTCCGATCATCGCCTATGATCTCGGTCATGGTTCCCGATGCCTCCACAAGCCTTGCAGTCTCCGGATCGCTCTTGATGTCAGCGATAGAGGCGAAACAACGGTAGCAGCTTTTCTCCGTGTGGATTGGTTGAATTTCACAGCCTGTGACATCTTTCCTGATCTTGGAATGACTGCCGTCAGCAACCACGACGACGTCTCCATACTTCTGCTGGCCATCGGCCAGCGTCACGATGCCCCTGTCGCAGTCAACTTGAGACACCGTGCACCCCGTACTCAGCTGGACAGGAGGCCCCTTGCCGTCAGCTGCCGTGGCCTTCCGCCTGAGTTCGTTGTGTAAGTCCACTCGACGTATACAAAAGTAATCCTGCTGGAGGTTAGGGACGGTATATTTGAAGTTTTGGTAGGTTTCATACCGCCTGTGTAGCATTTTTGACTTTCTCGTAGTCCGCCTCGAATAAAACCTCTCCCGTGGGAGTAATGAAGCAACCCTATGAGGACATAAGTTTTCTGCTAGTTCGCTGGCCGACTTGAACTGACCTTCCGAAGTTCTGTTCCGCCAGCAGACTTGAGGTCGACGTCGAATCGCTTGAGCAGAGTAGTGCAGTTTGGCGAAAGGGTTATCCCCGCGCCATTTTCTCTCGTTAGGTCTGATTTCTCGAAGATCTGATAACGTTAGGAAGCCATAGTAAGATGAAAAGGTTTCAGTGATACCTCGACGTGATGCCCCTGCCGACGGAGTCCAATTCCTGTCGTTAGCCCGCCGATACCTCCACCAACAATCAATACATTCAGCGGCTGTGAAACCATTTTCGACCGATTTATTAGAAGTGGGGCGTTGGTGAGTCCTAGCCCTAGAATGTATGCGTATTTAAAAGGCTCTCGTCACGAGTTGACATCCAGTTTCAATGTACCGGATACAGCGGAAGTTTAGAAAGTATACTTGGCGGAAGACGGCGGCAAATGGCGGTTTATGACGGAAAATAAGGTGTCCGGACAGGAGATGATTGTTGCTGGCACGCGCTAAAGTTTCTACTCGCCCTCGGACATGCCGCCCCCGAAGTATGTTTGGTGTAGTCCGCGTCTCGGGTTCGTAGTTCGTGTCTCGGAAAACCCGATCGGACGAGTAAGCAAACTAAAGCGATAGCAGCCAGTAGAGGTTCAAATGCCAGCGCTTGAACTGCTTCGGCAGAAGCGTCGGTGATGCAGCTAAGAATAAAGTTAGCAACAGCATAATTTATGACGGAACGACGCTGTACTAGACTCGATTCTTTGTGCCCGCTGGCTCCTTGCAGCGGCGTCAGTCGGATGACTCAACGATTACAGCAGATGTACGACCTGGCTTGTTGATAAGGCCTATTACAGCAGATGCTGATGTTGCAGTTTCAAAGGGCTGCCATAGCGATGATCCACTGGTTGCTGCTCCAGAAATGTAGACGTATTTGTCTACTTTGCAGTGGTCACCCGGATGTTGTTTGATGAAACTCTCCAAGACTTTGAACGACAATCGGCTGGTTGATTGGTTCCAAGGCCAAATTTTGTGCGGTTCTTGAGGACTTGAGCTTGCCGTCGGCTGTGGAGCTTGTGGCGATGACTGCATCCACCAGGCTCGTTGAAGCGCCATTTTGGGCTGAGAATCGCCACAGTGAAGGAACCAAAGTTGCAGCTTGCTTGAGGTGCAGTAAACTATATTTATAGGCGCGGAATCTGCCTTTACAAAGGCTCATCTCCATTATCACATCACATCGGGGCATGTATGGGCCGTGCACCAGACGTGGCGCGGCTGGAATCCCCAGCGAATGAATTATGCGATTTTGGAAAATATCTCAGCACACTCTTGACCCAGGCCGAGAGCAAAGGCAATGCATGTCGCACAAGCTGAAGTCAGATCGTGGAAGGCCAAGGCGCGGCACGGGCTGTGGAGCAAAGCGGGCACTGTGAGTGGCTGGCAACGTATCGACGGACATTCATTCCAAGAACAATGGCGCTCGAGGCTGAGCAGAAATTACATATGTATACTGATGTTTAGGACTGGCCCATCCAATAAACACGCGAGTAGAGCGCCTGCCAACCGCCAGCTGACCCTCATGCGATGTTGCGGTTTGAATCGGTCAGGTGGCAAAGCAAAGTCTGCGGCGGTAAGTCAGAAGTCTAAGGCTGTTGCCTGATGCTGCCTGCGTTTCCCTACTTCCACCGGCTTTTCTCTACTGCGGCCCGCTTTTTCCTGCTGCAGCCCTGAATTATACTGATGCATATAGATGAGAATAGAGGGCCCTTCTGAATATCCTTCTTAAACAAAAATTCGACGTCACCCCTCTCAGCGTTTACGTTGTGCACTATTGAGAACTTCAGCGCACGGGTTCCCACTTCGGATGTTGGGCTCCAATGAGTCCACCCATTTCCTCCGCACCTCCGCATCAACCCCGCAATGACGCATCTTCTTTGCCCACATCATCTTTGTAGACCGACGTGATCCCGTGCGATTACGCGCTTTCAACTTCTGTCCCCTCACGAGCCTCTCCGCCGTCCCACTTCCGCCCTTCCGCCATTTTTTCTCACGCGGCGCTGCAGTGCAATTCTCACGAACGGTCCCAAGTGTCCCAGTGCGGAGCAAGATTTAACTAAGAAATGTATGGCTCGGCCAATATCCTAAGCGTGAAGGCTTCGAGGCCTGGGCGAGCGGATATCTACACGCTGTCATCATGTGGAGCATGGCTTGGCAGCCGCCCCCGACCTTCCACGATGTTTTCTCTGTCGGCGGTAATTTCTTGAAGACCCTCGTTACTGTTTAATTAACGAGTGTACTGTCATGGAATGATCCGTTCCCGACGCCGGTCAGCACTGGTCAGAACTGCACAATAGGCTCCGCTTCATGCTCTAACAGACTGTTGACGTGACTTACATCTACGTTATGTTCCAATACTGTCCGCCTAGCTACTATCGAATCTCCCGAAAGGCTGATATTGAAGATACCAGTACTTGCGCACCAGGACAGAATCTTTAAACCTTATTGTTGGCTTTGAATGTTGAAGTACGAAAGAGAGAGAAAGAAGAATTAATTATTCTAAGACTAAGGTCTGCTGAGGATATATATATAATAAGTGAAGGCTCGATCACGTGTTAAAACCACGTTACTTCGTCACCTGATCTGATGTACCTCAACACTCCTTGCCCATCAGCTTCTTCAGCTGCTCCTTCGCGTTGCCTTTTTTCAGCCGTGCCCACCGGTCCAGCCGCTCCTCGTCCGCATCATCCTCGAACGTGCAGCGCTTTCTCTTCCTCAGCGCCGGCTCCTCACGCTTGAAAGCCGACTGGAAGCCCAAAAAGCGGTGCCAGTCGGTGCTAGAAGCGCGGAACAGCAGCCTCTTTTCCGCCACCACGCCCACCTGCTCCATCATCCCCCGCGCGTAGATCAAGCCGGCAATGTGGGTCGTGTGCCCGGCCTGCTCCTCCGCTATGGCTGCTGCTGCCTGCTCCTCCTCCATCTGCTGCTGCTGCTCGTCCTCCTCGCCCTCATCGGCCCGGAACGCGCTGGAGCCGCGCATAAACCGCCTACTGATGCCGATGGCAACGTCTCGGTACGCCCTGACTGTTAGCTCTTGGCCCAAGCCGATCCTGCTCTCCCGCTTCATCACCTCCCTCATCCGCTCCGCTGTCTACCGCTTTTCCCCGGCCTCTAGAGCCACATGTGGGCCGAGATCTGCTCGTTTCCTCGCACTGCTGCCAGCATGCGCTGGTGGAACGACAAGACCAGCCACAGATACTATACTACCAGCTCCCTAACCTCCCTGGGCAGATATCTATAGATGCCTTTTATATCCCCGGACATGGCGTAGCCCTTGTAGTAGCGCGTTGCGAAAACGACTAGCCCATCCTCGACGAAGATGTTGCGGTGCCCACCCTTAGCTATATTACTGTGCCGGATGCTCAAAATCTCCGGCCCTCTTGCTATCTGCCCACTAGTGATGCATTAGTAGCAGCAGCTTCTCCCTTAACTCGGCCACCTGCGCTGCGTAAGCGTCCACTGCCTGCCTGCTGACGCCAGACTCTGAATTCTCTCGCGTGAAATTGGCCCTTGTTTGGACATCTCCCATGATCCTGTTGAATAGCCAAGTTCTCCCATCCACTGGCAGCTGGGTGCGCTGGTCCTGTAGAAAGCTCCATCCCCTGCGCTCCTCAGCCGGGTTGTCTCTGATCGAGTCTCATGGCACTGCTGGCACGCCTGTCTTCCATCTCTGGCTGCTGCTGCTGCTGCCGCCGCAGCTTCCACCACCCATCAGCAAGTCGCTGATCAGCAGCTGGCGAGTGTCGTGCAGCAAGCCATGCACCATACCGCGGAACTTGGCCATGGTGAACTGGATTCCTTGGTACAGCAGCTGCTCCCGCCCGTTCCATCCAACATGGCACTTTGTTCTCCAAGCAGCTCATCTGGCCACGCCTGTTGCGCCCACTGCTGTCCCTGCTGGCCCTGCTATTGCCACCGTTGGCGCTGCATGGGCACGCATGCCGGCGGCGAAGCCAACACATACCGCAAATCCTGCCTCCTCCACAATCAGTCCATGAGGTCGGGGTGTCAGCCAATGTGTTTGCCGACGAGAGATGGGTCGCTACCCGGAGCCCGCCATGGAGGTGCAACCGAGCAGTGCGACCCTAGACGTAGCGAGAGGCTACCACGCCACTATATTTCTTGATACATATTGATCCTACGCATCCGAGTAAGTGGCTACGGGAAAGGGGCACGATTTCGGGGCATAGCCCAGGCTCGAAAATCCTGCATCCTGCGAAAATTTGGGGGTCGTATCTCAAGAGGGCATTGTATCTCAACAGGAGTTTCAATTGTTCTCGGCCACAGAAGCCGTTTCTGCCGTCCACGACTCTATTAATGGCAGGTGCTATAATTCGTCTCAGATCTTAGCCTGGAAGTCAAAGGGCAAATGCTCGCCAAAAGCGGAAAATAGCATCGATGTTTCGAGCGTAGAATTTGGGGGCGAAGACCCACTGGAATGTTCGCCCCACTCGTGTATACGCCCCACCCCAGCTATACGAGAAGCTGGTAAAGATGATTTACTAAGCGGTAAAAGTCACGCATAGTCACATATGGAACGCTTAGTTGGCATAATTTCTTTACATATACTCATACAGCCCGTACCAATACGCACCTGCTCATAGTGCCTGCAAATTCTATTTTTCTATACGCCCTACTCCTTACTCCCTCTTTTCAAGCCAAACCGTTGAAGCCCCGGGGATTATCGCCCAAACTATACAGTAAGCATTCGGCTGGGGAAGCGGCATTTAATGCAGAAATTTAGCCGACATGTCCATGCACGTCCCAGGTCAGGACAGCGCCCCACGCTAACACGCTGGCTGGCAGAATTCTAGACGGATGACACGAAGTCAGCACTGATCAGAATAGAACCAAGGCACCGGGAACATTCCGTGTTGTGATGTCCGAGCCGCTTCTGTCATGATGTGGGCGCCTGTAGCCTGTAGGGCTGCAAATCCAGACGGATGTTGGCACTCGGCTCGGATGACCAAGGTGAGACTGTCTGTGTAAAAAACCTTAGGCGAATACGAAAGGAAGTGATACCCCAACCGACCTAAAATGGCCCCCACCATGTGTTTTCCCGTTCGACGGAAAATTCATTCGCTTGCTTCGAACAACACTGTATGCCATCTTCACGATATCTTCAGATGAGGCTGACGCAGCTCCCCTACGTCTGGGTGTCACGGCCTTCGCTATGACATCTCTCAAATATCGATTGAGGAATTGCGCCAACAGTGGCTTTCTTCTTGACTTTGATTGTTGTAGTGATGAGGAAGTCTTGTTCATTAGCCAGTTGCGCCTCGGGTGGTTTCCATTTAGTGGATCCGCAAGCTGTAGTCCCGCCACATTTCCAGTTCAGCCAACAATATCTATTTTCAAAAACGCCGCCAACCACTCTAGTAACATCCGCCGTGAGTCTTCCTTGGGAAGGATTGACCCTAACCGAGCCTGACGCACGGACACCAGTGGCTCGGTCCGGCCCACATGCTATCAACTACGCCACTACGCTCTCACCTTCCCATCCACCCACCACGAGAGCATTGAACCGAGACTTGAGCCTAAGCGAGTGCTATCCACCCAGCACGAGAGCATTGAATCGAGACTTGAGCCTAAGCGAGTGCTATTGCCAAGTCTGGGTGTGACCATACGATGCTGCCCTGACATGAGCAGGCTCTGGAAGAGGATGAGTCCAAAGTTGTATAAAGCTGGCCGTCTGCTCCATTGCTGTTGCTCAAGTCACCAAGCTTCAAGTCAAAGCCTCACCGAACAACCTCTTTCGAACCCTCTACATCTCTCAAGCACTCCCAAGCTTAGCCCAGCCACAATGCTTGCCATCTTCCCCCTCCTCATCTCCGCCGCCGCGGCTTTCGTTTTGCCAGAGGGCCTGTCCGACGGCTTCTACCGCGCATCCATCGACGAGCGTGGCTACGAGATCCACGAGCTGCTGTCCGCCGGCATCGACGACGCCAACCCGACCATCGTCGCCCAGATGGCCCCCACCACCGAGAACGAGACGTACGACCTCCCGGCCCAGCTGCAGAAGCGCGCCGGGACCAAGTGGTGCGGGTGCGGCTTCACCCTCGACCACGCCGGGTGCGACGCCGCCGTGGCCGACATGAAGGTCCAGGTCAGCGGCGGCGTCCACATCCAGGCGCACCTGGCCTACTACTCCATCAAGGGCGGCGTCGTCTTCTTCGCCTGCAACACCGGCAACGGCCAGCTGTTCATGGACGCCCCCACCGTTGCCTACGTCGCGAGCGAGATCACCAATGCGTGCGGCTGGTACATTGCTGGTACCTTTGCCCGAAGCGGATACCCGTCCGAGGCGTCTGGATACATGAGATACTCCTCTGGACTGGACTTTTGCGGTGCCGCTAAGTCTTCGTCCGCCCATAGCTGTTGAGTGTCCAGACTCTAGGACCATTTTGCTGGGACATGTCAGAGAGGATGGGCATCACGGGTGACCCGGATATAGCATCGCTCGAGGAGGTTGTTGTGCTGAAGATGGTTCTACTTATTTGTACCTAAATCACGTTGTCAGGCCTGAAAATGAAATCAAGTTTCTTGAACACTGTGTATTGAATTGACGAGAAGTCCATCAGCTAAATCTCTGCTAGCTATAGGACTACAACGGTGTAATGTTGTTTTAGAGTGTATAAACGTATACTTTAAATCTTCCTCTTTTGTACTGCATAGTTTGAGTTTTAGACCCCCCTTGTAGTAGAGATAGTAAATATCTTTTACTTATCTAATATCTACTAGCGAACTAAATCTTGTCCAAAACTTACAGTTTGCCAGCTTGCCCGAGCCATTCCCGCGGCATACTGGACACTCTCGGCCATGTACTATAAGCTGGTAGTGCAACTCAAACTTAATGTCATCAGGCACGCGGATGTTCAGATGAGCCTGGGCATCGCCAACGCCGGCGTCATTCGGGCGCCACCCCCAGAGACCAGAGATGCGGTAAATGTGGGTGTCGACAGCGAAGCGGTTCCGGTGCAGGCAGATGCTCAACAGGCAATGGGCGCATTTCAAGCCGATGCCCCAGTAGCTCACAACCTCCTTGACGACGTCTTCGTCGGTCTTGTCGAACAGGTACTGGAGGTCCCAGCGGCCATGGCGGGCCTTGACGTCGTGCAGCAAGCCCATGAGGATCTTGGCCTTGCGGTTCTGCATGCCGCCGGGCCGCAGGGCGTCGCGCAGCTTGTCGGCGCCGCCCGCGACGATGGCGTCGTAGGCGAAGGTCGAGCCGTAGACGTCGCTCATGCTGCGCATGGCCCGCTGGGCGTTGGCCCAGCTCGTGGCCTGGCTGATGGCGGCGACGACCAGGGCGTCCATGACGATGGGGTAGTTCATGTCCGTCTCTCCGAAGTTCTTGCGCACCGTGTCGCCGTGCAGCTCTTCCAGGATCGAGTGCGCCGTGTAGCATTCCTCGCGCGTCGGACGGGCAAACGATGGGAACGGAGGCGAGTCGGCGTGGCGAGACCAAGCTGTCCATTTCGCGTCCGAGAGCTTCTGGGGGGCGCCGAAAGACTCGGCTTGCTGGGAAGCCTCTTTTTTCGGTCGAGGTGGGCCTGCGGTGCTCGGCTTTGCTCGTTTGCTATGGGTAATGGTCTTGTGGCCTGATGTCGTTGCAGCTCTCTTCATGCCTCGGGAGGACCGGGAAAGCGTTTGGCGAGTCATGGTATGATAAAGTATCTTGGTTGCTGCGGGAGCTCCTTTGTAAAAAAGTAAATATTAGGTTGTGATTGTGAATGTGTAGGAGTCGAGTGGTGCATTATTTAACGCCGAATACGCGGGTGGGCCCGTTATGACGTGCTCTCGATGCCAAGCGGTTATCTAGCCCATGTAGATCGGGCCTCGATGGACAATCTTTGGCGCTTGGTACATTCTAAATACCATTGTCCGCTAGTCTCGGCGAGGGCCCACTAAGATCCGGTTTTGCACATCGAAACTAATAACACTGTCAAAAATGTACAGTTGTAGCTCTTCGATCAAGGGGGGATTTCTAGAGCCAGGTAAGATTGTAGGTATAACTTTTTAAACGTCTCCTGTTTATATCGTCCCTTACTCCAGCACTACGAACCAAAGCACAAGATCAAGACCCATCAGCCCCAACTCGCATCCCAACCTCATCCCGATCCCCTCTCTTGCCCGGCCCATCCTCCAATCCAAACAAAGCCCTCAACGCCTCCACCGCGCGTCCCACGGCCGGCGACATGTCGACCAGTTCTGCGGCAGGGTCGGCCAGCACGTCGACCAGGCGCGCAACCAGCTCCCTATTACTGCCGTCCCGATCATCATCGACGGCGCCCAGCAGCAGCGCGCAGCTGAGCGCCCTGTACACGGCCATCCACGTACGCCGGGCGAACGGGGTGTGGTCGTGCAGCTGCAGGAAGGCGTCGACGGTGGCGGCGAGGGCGGCGAGGCAGGAGGAGCGGAGGAGGTCGGCGTCGACTGCATGGATGCTGCCGGCGCTGGTGGTGGTGGTGAGCAGCAGCACGGGCCGGGACAGCTCGGACGCGATGTGCGCTTGGTGCAGGTGCACGGCGGCGGCCTCGAGGCGCTGGCGCCGCGTCCGCGCCGCCGAAGGGTCGCGCAGGTGGGCCGCCGACGACTCGCGCGTGGCGGCCTGGATGTCCTGGCGCAGCTGCGCGAGGCGGGACAGGGCGCGGGCGTCGTCGAGCGGGCGCCGCCGCCGCCGCCGTTCGCCGAGGATGGCGAGGGCGGCGCGGCTGAGGAGCGACATGGATTCGACGTAGGGGTTCAAGGGGGCGCCCGGTAGCGGCATCGAGGCCGTCGTTGCGGCGGGCCGGTCGAAGGTCAGCGAGATGAGGCTGTCCTGCCAGACGACGAACCACCACAGGCGCCGCGCGGGCGGTTCGGCGTGGTCCTGGTCGCAGCCTTGGGCTTGGGCGAGGCGGATGGTGAGTCCGAGGAGCGACCAGGCCACGCCGGCGTTGACGTTGTTGGAGAGGACGTTGGTGAGGATGACGAGGGTTTGGATGGTGGCGTGGTTCGAGTAGGACAGGAAGTTTGTGATGCGCAGGCATTCGGCGCTGCAGCAGACGTAGACCTTGGACGTCAGTTCGCGTTCGCCCCGCGACAGCCCCGAGCACTGCGAGCCCGACGCCAGCACGGCGAACAGAAGGCCCACCCAGTGCAGTCTCCGGCCATAGATGGTGCGCTCTGTTATCCCCGAAGATGCACGGCGGGCAAGCAGGAACTGCAGCAGTTCCGACTCGAGCTCGTCGACATCCTCGATGACGGGGAACAGCACCCATGATGTTTCTTTGTAGGATTTGAGGAGGGTCCAGCAGTCGGCATCGCTAGGAAGCGCGGCGGCGAGCTCCTGCACGCGGCTGAGCGAGCCGTGCGGCAGCCCCCAGAGGTCGACAAACGGATACGTGGCCGACTCGTTCTCAAGGCCGAACAGTGGCAGCACGTCGTTGGCAAATAGCTCTCGGAGCGGTGCCCTGGCCTCGCCGTCTCTGCTGATTGACGTGGCCACGGCAGGGAAAGAATTGCTGCCCACATACACCGTCTGACCACTGCAGCCCGTGGCGACGTGAATTCCCTGGCTGGGAACTAGCCCAAGCTCTTCTCCTTCGTCGTCGTCGGCACGTGATTGGCACTGGCAGTGCGAGCAGCAGTGGCCCTGTTTCTGGCCAATTACACTCTTGAGCTGGGCGAGCTCCGTGACAATTGTTTTCAGTGTAGAAACAACTCCCTCCCAATCACTGACGCTGATCACCTTGGCTTGTCCACTCTGGGCAGGGGCTTGAGTAGCGCCCAAATGTCCATGTCCAAGGTCCATGCGCTTGGCAGAGGGCTTCGAAATGCAGAGTTCGGGATGTTCTCTATCTGCGCCGCAAGGTCAAACAAAGAACCTTATTCCACGGGGAGCCAACACACCTATGCATGTCTTGCACGGAACACCCTGATCGCATTTCACCTTTCGTTGCCGGCACGGGTAGCATGCTTTGAACTCGCGAGCCTTCCGTTTTCGCCGCAACAAATGGTCCATCTCGGCCGGGTCGAACTGGACCGGGGAAAATGACGTTTCTCTGCCACTGTTCGCTTCCATTGTGGTGAAGTGCGGGGGCGCTTCGTTTTGAGCTGATTTCGAGTCGGGGGAAACAACCATCAGTCGTTGTCCTGAGTGGGGAGTTGTTTCGGCTCAATGACGGAATCATGCACCGGTTCATGGTCCGCCAGTGCCGATTGGGCCAATGGTCTCTTCCAGACCCGCGCAGATCCACCTTTACGAACGCCCTGGATCCACGATCCTGCTAAGGATCAAAGGAAAGGCGAAGAAGAGAGAGATTCGATTAATTACTATAGATGAGGGACATCGGTGAATATATACAAGTGACGGCTCGGTTACATGATTGAGTCACGTGATCCAATCTTTCAAAGATCCATCCGTGATGCCGTCATTATCAAAGTAGTCACCTGTAGTAGTCTTGTCTATTTTGTACAGCAAAATCGTTATAAATTTTCAGTCCTCACTCCTCGTCTTTCGTCACTTCATCCGACTCGTCCGAAGTCGTCGCTTTCTCTCTCAGCCCACGCGCAAATTCCGCTGCTTCCCTTGCGAATTTGCTTCGCTTCCGAACTACGTGACCGTAGCGATAGAACAGGAACGGGAAGGGCAAGCAGACGACGGCGAGGAGCGCGGGGACGGTCGAAGCCCAGTGAATGCCTGCAACATGCTGACTGTCAGTCGGACTTCAATGGCGATAATCTCGAGCATCTTCACGTACCCAGGCCGGCATACATCTGCGTGGTGAAGAGCGGGAACGCAAATCCAAAGATGCATCGCAAGACCGAGTTCGCGGCGAGAACCGACGCGGCGTAAATGGTGTAGGAGTCGATCAAGTAATTCATTACCGCTTACAAGATTGTGGTTAGCTTCAAGCAATCCTTATCGAGTAGGAACGCAGGGGTCTTACATAAGAAGACGAGGACCATGGCAAAGCCGAACGGTATCCCCGCAGCAGTGCTTGCCGCCCAAGGCAACGAGGGACTGTTGGTCCAGGCAAACCAGAACAAGCCGATGGGGAGGGCGACGGCCCCGACCAGGCACGGCGGTAGTCGATCTTCTGGAATGGTGACTCCGCCTCCCTTATCCACGTTGCGGAGGTAGCGCGGGTTTTCGATAAAGACGTTGTACACGACCGATGCGAGCATCCCGATGGCGACGCCAATAAAAGGAAGGCCAGCTACTCCAGCGCTCCACCCTCGCTGCTCGCGATAGACGATGGGATAGGCGCCGAACAGCATGTAAAGCGTCCCGTAGATGACGGCCATGTAGAGACTTAGGAGAAAGACTATCGGCTCTCTGAAGAGGAGAACCCACGGTCGCAGAAGGTTGGTCTGGAGCACTCGCCCCAACGTCGTCGGCCCGCGGTCTTTCTCAGCTTTGCTCAGGTAAACCATACCTGTCATTTGCGATAGCTTTGCCGCGCGCCGTTTTAAGAGGACCGGGGCGTACGTCTCTGGCGCAGCGAAGGTTCCAAGAACCCACACGACGCCAGAGAGAATAGCCATAACGCCTTCGATCCATCGCCAACCCACAGATTCGCCGATGAAGCCTCCGACAATGGGCCCGAGAACTGCCGTCGTGTTGTTAGCAGAGCTGCTGGCAACCACGCCGACGAAAACGGACGAACCTGGCCCCATGAACGGCGCCGCCGAGAAAAGGCTCATGGCCAACCCACGCTCGCGTGCGGCGAACATGTCGGCAATGACGCCGGCCGCGTTGGTGAACGGGGAGGCGCCGAAGCAGCCGCCGAGGAAGCGGAGAACGAGCACTGTTTCGACGTTCTGGGCTCCCGCCGTGCCCGCGTTGAAGAAGGCCAGAACACCGAGTGTCACGAAGTAGACGTACTGCCGGCCGTAAAGCTCGCTCATAGGCGCCTGGTGCCGAGTCGTTAATCGTGTGCCTTGTTCAACCAAGGGGATTCCGATCGCTCACCCAGATAAGCGGCCCCACGGCCCAGCCGAGAACAAATAAAGATAGGCCGAGCGTAGCAATCTCCTGACTGACCTCAAACTCTGCCATGATGTCCTGGACTCCTGCGCCAAGTCAGCCAATCCCAATGCTACAGCCATGTAAAAGGGTCAGGGCCGCAAACCTCCAGAAAACGCTGAAGAGCAAAAAGATACAGTTAACGTGGCAGAAGCCATCGCCAGAGTTATCATCCATTTATAGCCTTTCGGCCACTCCAATGGGTTTCTTGGGTCTTGATCCAACCATGTTACCACGTAAGGATCGCTCTTTGTGCCACTGCCTTCATACTGCCAATCGCGCACCTGGGGAGTCACGAAACCGTGATCCACAAGTAGCCTCCAATGCGATTCAGACTGGCTATCGTAGGACAGACCCGTATCCATACTGTCGGTCGGAGATTCAGAAGCTCTAGGAAATGCAGGGGATGGAAAAGAACGCCCATGCATAGAGTTTGACAACAACAAAACAAAGCTTGTGTGGCCAGAGCATGGTGCTTTTTATTCTGAGTTTTGGCAACATATTGCGTGCGCCCCTCGCTGTTCCGATGCAAAACAGAGAGGACAAATAGCGGAGCTGTCGGAGCTGAGCTCCACTCGACTCGTGGAGATTTGTCCTTCGCATGGCCTACGTAGCAATTCCACGTCTGCTTCTCCGTGAATCATCCCCAAATTGGGCCGAGGCTTGTCGGCAAGCCCGAGGCCCGAGATAGTTGGAGCAAGCAATGAGTTGGAAAGCATATGTTTTACGAACAGTGGCGGAAAAAACCCATGGGCGGGATGTGGGGAGCGTGACGTTCGGGCTTGGCCATGGGAATGATTGCCAGATTGGTCTTTTCACCCGAACAACGGCCAGATTTCGCTTGTCTCCATTTGGATTTTTGCCGAAAGTCGGGCGAAAAGGCCCGTTGCGGAAGGGGGATCGCCAAGATTCTCACGTCATCAACCGCCCGATTGGATCGGCACTTCCATCGCGGGGCGCCAAGTAGTGCATGCTGCGGGAAGGCGCATAGTATGAGTCGTGATTGTGCATCAGTCGAGATAACTTGTAAGCGTCTTTTTCCTTTTTTCTTTCCGTAAGGCCAGATCTATTAGACTTTTTTTTATCTTAGTAGCTTCTCCACTACGAACACTTAGCTAACCATTACTTCGAATCTCTCCAGACGTTTTTCGTTGATTCTACATCTAAAATGTGCAATTCTGATTGGCTCTTAGTTAAAGTTTAACGTCTAACTTGCACGTTGACAAGTGATCGAACATAACAGGTAGACTTACTCTCTGTCGAAGTGCACGGTGACGGTACGGACCAGCCTCGAGTCAACTCCCGACCATATGCTACACTAGTGCATCGCAGGGGCGTGATGAAGGCCTAGCATATTATTAGATACCGGTGAGAGACGGTAGATCACCCGCTAATAGAAAGCATGCTTGCGAATGTGACGCATTACAGAGCAATGCAATCCGGACCGAGACTACATTTAGCCTCTCTCATAGCAACATATAACGGACCCCGTCCTCTTCCGTCTCATCATCTACTGCAGAGCTACTTTGGCGGGCATCCTTTACTTCTCAAGATGGCCATCGCCGAGTCCAGGGTAGACAATGCCAGCTTCGACGATTGTCCACCATTCCCCAACAATGTTCCTACCTGTCCCCTTTTACGCATCTCGTTGAAGAAGCTTCTTGAGGGAGATTCAGCCGAGCAGGACCGACTATGGTCCGCCAGCTGTGATGTCGGCTTCTTCTACTTGGATCTTCGCACTGGTCCAGCCGAGCTTGTCGACAAAAACGAAGGGAAGTATGTCGTTGATGGAGAGGCTTTGATTGAGGAAGCGGACAGGATCACCAAAGAAGTCGTCATGGCTAAGGATGGGTTTTTTAACCTTCCCTTGGAGGAGAAAGTCAAATACGACGCCAACTTTGAGAAAAGCTTATTCGGGTGAGCTTCCAACCAATGACGCCACCCTGAATGACAAGTTCTGACAAGTGGTTGTAGATACAAACGGACCGGTGTGCTTAAGATGGACAGGGACCAGAAAGTCGACCAGAATGAATTCTTTAACGTACGTGAGCTCAAGACACATCGCCCATGCCGCAACTGACATGACCAGATTTCCAAGGACGATCTTCTAGGATTCCAATCGCCCTCTCCAACCCCGGAGAGCATTGCCCCCCACCGGCCCCTTCTCGCATCTTTCGCCCGTCACGCCCAGGCCGTCAGCACGTTCCTCCTCACCCGGCTCAACGACCGTCTGGGCCTGCAACCCGGCGTCCTCACCTCGATGCACCGCCTCTCGCACGAATCCGGCGACCACGTACGCTTCACCTGCGCGCAGCCGCCGTCCGAGACGCAGGAGACAACGACGCTCGGCGCGCACACGGACCTCGGCAGCGTCACCGTCCTCTTCAACCGGCTGGGCGGCCTCCAAGTCCTGCTACCCGAGCGCACGTCGCCCGAGCATCCCAGCGACCCTGTCGATGCCAGGGGCTGCGAGACGGTGCTGGAGGACGGCCGGGAGCGGACGTGGGCGTGGGTGCGGCCGCTGGCGGGCCACGCCGTCATCAACCTGGGCGACGCGCTCGTCAAGTTCACGAGCGGCGTGCTCCGCAGCAACATCCACCGCGTCGCCGCGCCGCCCGCCGCGCAGCGCGCCCACGTCCGCCACAGCCTCGTGTACTTTGTGCGGCCCGAGGAGACGCACGTGATGAGGGTGCTTGAGGGCAGCGCCTTGATCGATGCGAAGAGGAAGGAGGTCGATGGCTTCTGGGACCGCGACCCCGCCTTGCCCGGCCATCGCTGGATTTTTGAGAGGAACAGACATGCGGCTAAGTTTCCTGGCCAGCCGGAGCATGGGAAGGTGGGCGCGGCTATGGAAATCTCTTAAGTTCAGGTCTCGTGCGCTGTAGGTATATCCATTCTTCTGGCTCGAAGATGAAGCAGTTTGCAGTTTTTGAAGTCGACAGCATCGGTAATCCAAGTAAGAACATGCCAACGCTAGAGAATTAATCTCATCCATGCGTGATGCGCCATTGCTCTTTCATCCTTTTCTCGTTCCTGCAGACGTACTGGCAGTCACTGGCGTCCTTTTTGAATTACGGCAGCTCGGCGACGGGCTGTTGTACCCGGGCTGGGACTTCTAGCTCGCTGGGAAACGCGATCACGCCGTGCCAGACTCTAACCTCACTGCCGATTGATTCTACCAGCTTCTGGCGCATCCGGTGGTGTCTGCCCTGCAAATGACCTTCTACCTGGTCCGGCCACACTGTGTGCCTGCACTCCTTGCAAATTCGACTTGGTGGTGAAAGTATGCGGCCGCCATTGGATTTTTTCCCATACAATCTAAATCCGGTGCGGTCGCACAGGATTTGCGTTTTTTGGTTAGGATGAACAGATAAGTGTAGGGGAAAATGAAAGGGTGCGCGAGTCTACTTAAGCGAACAGAAATAAGGGGCTCGAGCGTTGGGCGGTGTGGTGCGCTTTTTGTTAGGTCCATATGTATAATGTCGGACGCTTTTGAACGGGAACCCAGCCTGCGAGATAGACGGCGAAGCAGTATGGCAAGAAAGACGCCGGCGACAAGGCGGATAAACGGTGCGGCGAAGCAACAGGCGTGACAAAGGCATTGGCGTGGCATGATGCAGCAAATGATTGACCGCCCAAGCGTCTGCTTGGCGTTTTAAAACAGCGGCGCCATTGGTAGACTACTACTATTTGCAGCCTCCTTGCTAATGTCCGCAACCGCCCGCCATTGGCCGTGCTCACTATGCCGCCAGATCAGTTGCCCTTTTGTATGTCGGAAAAGCTATTCTGGGCACCACGCCGCTATCGAATTTCGCGGAGAATGTGGGGCACCGGGCTGGCTTCATGTATTTACTCCCCCTAGCCCAGCATACTTCCGCCGCCGACGACCATCCACCGCTGCCTTGCAGCGAAGCCGTTCTTTTAGTTCTTTTCCGATCCCACCCCGTTCGATCGACCGTGCCGGCCATGGAACTCACTCGTTTCCTGATGCTCGCCGCGGGCGTGCGGGCAGCAATCATTCCTTTATCGCTTCCTGCTGTGACCCCTCTCACGCCTCGTATGCCTCCACTTCGCACTTCCGACAAGTAGCAGACGCTGATTTGCACCAACAAAGTTCCTACTCCGCTTGTCAATGGCGCTTCAACGAATTCTTCCTGGAGCAATACCACGGTCGTTAGGGGCGGTTTCCAGCCCTCGGAAATTGCGGCCAAAGCTGAGACCACCAACCAGCCGGCTGAGCCCTCTACATCTGATACCAAACTCTACATTGGAACGAGCGGCACCCACTGGTTCATCGTAAGCGGCAGCAATCCTCTGGCCACCCAGACAGCCAACAATGCCACCGGCACCAACTCGCCCAAGGCAACGGCAGCACCGCATGTCACTGGAGCCCCCGAGGTCATGGAGCGGGTTTTCGAAATCGGCGGCGTCACCATCTCCGACAACTCCGAGTCGAAGCTCGTCGTCGGCAGCCAAACCCTGGAGCCGGGATCGTCCATCGTCGTTGGCACCGGCGCGTCCACCACGCCCATCGCCATCCACACCGAAAAGGGCACCACGCGCATCGTCGTCGGTACCACCACGGCCATCGTCCCCACCCCCACCCCCATCCAGACGAAGAAGCCTGCACCGCAGACCATCGTGACCATCCCGGCCGGCACAATTGCCTACAACTCGAAGTCGCAGATCATCGTCAACGGCCACACCCTGACCCCTTCTTCCACCCTGACTCTCGGCACCGGCACCAAAGCTACCGCCTACCACCTGGCTATCAAACCCACCGCTACCTACCTGGCCGTAGCATCCGAGGGCTCCGAGGGCGCGTCGACGACCATGATTGACCTCTGGGGATCCAAGGCTGTTCCGACGAGACTGGATCAGAATGGAAGCGGCAGCTCCGGCACCGCCAAGCCGACGACTTCTTCCGCAGAGTCCACCGCCACAAGGAGCGCGGCCAAGGAGACGCTCACGCTCGGGGCGTCCACGCTATCAACCATTCCCACGGCGACGGCTGCCGCGTCCACGGCAACTGCCAATAAAGGCAGCGCCGCCGCCGTGTTGACGGCCGACGACAGCGTGCCGACGACGACAACAACACCGGCTGCCAGCAGTGTAGCGGCCGCGACCTATACTGGTGCGGCGGTGCCGAGCGCGATGATTGACTACTTAAAGATAGGAGCTATAGGCCTACCTCTAGTTATTTTTATCTAGTTCGAGTATTAAAGGACGACTAATATAATAAATACAAACTATTTAAAGTAATAAAAATAAAGAAGACTAAAAAGTCTATTAATTGTTGCACTGTGTCCTGAGCAGATTCGTAGCTAGCTTAGTCACCACGAGAGGGTAGAAAGTAACCACCCACTCAGTCCACACGTCACTCACTCACAGTAGATAATACCATCCCGTTGTCACTCGACTATCAGCAGGATCATACATAGTAGCTAAGCTTTACCGAAAGCTATATAGACGTGATTCCAACAATTTAATCCCTTCCATCCGCTACGAATCAGCAATTGAAACTATTCCTGTCGAAAAACACCCTCTGATGGTCCTGGAGGTTGTTCCAGCGGCCGAGATCCTCGGACAGGTACACAACACGGTCTCCTCCCGCGGGCTTGAGCATAATCTCGCCCTGTGGCCCTTTGGCGCGCCTGATGTTGCGACATTCGCGTGCCACGGTGCCCAGCATCGCCGCGCCAGCTGTCGCCAGCACGTACGGGTTGAGGCCTTGGGGCAGGTATCTCTCTTCTGCCCAGATGTACAAGTTCCTGAGCTTCAACACGTCGGCGGAACAGTGGGGCAGATATTTCTCTTGGGCCCAGTTGTACATGTTCTCAAGCTCGATTCCGTGGCCAGCATTGGAACTGGGCACGTTGTTGTTTCCGTTCATGTCCTTGTTTCCGTCAACGTCTTTTTTCTTCTTCAGGTCCTTCTTCTCCTTCTTCCTGTTCAGGTGGACGTAGAACTGGGTTGAAAGAAACAAGCTTTCAGATTCAAGTGTCAGTCGTTGCTCTTGCTCGGTCCATAAAGATCGAAAGGGAGAGCAGCACCCGGAGTATGGGCGAAAGGGAATGTGGGCAACTAAATCAGGGACATGGGGTAGGTGCTCACCCTTCCAGAACGCATCTCTTCAGCTCCTCAAAGTCACCCTTGGGGCGCGCGTGCATGGCAATTTTGTCCCAGTGGGTGTCGTTGGCCGATAGATGGAAATGCATCATTTGGGCCCACTGTGTGCTGCTGTTTAGTTCGGCAACGAATAAAAATGAGTTGGAAGGATTTAAGGAACGTACCGCTTGGGATTGAGCCACAGCAGCGGCTGCGGCCGCTGGGATGATCTCTCGTATCGCATCATTCACGTTCTTTCTTTCCGCAAGTCTGGCCACCAGCTCCCGGCCGAATCCTGGCTCCGGGAAAGGATCACACTTGTGCCGATTCGATCTGAAATAATGTGCTGTTTTGATCACCTCCTGAATCTTTCCCTGCAGGTCATCCTTCGCTTTATGGGCAAGGATACGCTTTTTGTATGACTTGGACGCTTCCAGGTCCAGGTACACGTATTCGAATGCATGGGCGAGCTCCTCGTGCAGTTTCTCTACGGTGCGGGTGTCTTCAGGGTAGTGGATGGGGATGGCAAAGCACCTGGCGGCGAAGACTGTGTGCGCAATGTTGCCAATGCTGCTGTTTTTAGCGGGTGGATGATTAACTACACGGTCATGGAGGTATCTTACTCTTGGACAATGTCGATCTGACATTTGTTATCCTGAAGCTGGAGCGCCTTCTCACAGATTAGATCCCGGGTGATTCCTTCGTAAAACCTGCTGATCTGCTCATCATTCGGCCAAGCCATGCCCGAGCTGATTTTGCTGGACGGTAGTCCGGCGAAGAGACGATCCCCTGTTTATTCACTGTAAGTACAAGGAGAAAAATAGCAACGTTGGAATTGGCTATACGCACATGGGTCATTGAACTGTTGCACCGCGCCTGGGAGTGGATCGGGCAGCAGCTCAGGGTCCCTGTCCAGCAGCTCAATCCCATTAGGCATGCCTATCTCCCCAAATACCTTCAGCGTCTTCTGAGGAGTGGTGAACGGGTAGAGCGCGTAGATGCTGTTAGGGCGGTACCAGCCAGGGAATGCTCTCATAAGCAACTTGTACAATTGGCCGCCCCCAGCAACCTCTTTATCCGCAGCGAGTTGCTGAAATCTTTGTTTGTCCACAGCGATTAGCCGCATGTCCGAGCCGCATTGTGGATCCGAACTTACCCGAAGCTGGTCAGGCCCTCAGGGCCAAAGTCGATGGTTAAAAACCGATCTCCACGCACTAGAGCTACGGCGTCGGCGAGAATAGCTTCGGAAATGGTGAAGCCAGGACACAGCCCAGAGCCTGGAGAACAAACTTTCTTGGCCTCCTCGCACATGAGCCCGGGGTAGAGCTCAACGTTGTCCGGGTGGCCGTACAGCGCCTTCACTGCGCCTAATTTCAGCTCGCGGCCATCCGCATCGATGAGATTCGATACTTACAAGCTTGGGCAACGCCTGGATCCGGGTTGATCTCCTCGAACGAGCTGAACTGCTTCAATCCGAAGAAATTTCTAAACTCGTTGAGGGACGCAAGGCCCCAGCGACGGCCCTGCTCGATTCCGAGGACTTCAATGACCTTCAGGGCAGCAGGCGTGTTACGAGCCCCGAAAGCCCCGGCGCACGTTCTTGTGGCATTCGTAAGTAGCGCGACCAGTTCGTCGTCTCGAAATTTGCCGGTCTGGCCGTGCTCTCTTGTCATACCGTTGAAGGTCCACTTCTCCGGTTCTTCCTCCTTCGCGTTCTTGCACCTCCAGGCCTCAACATGCTGGTAGAACTTGTGGGGATCATCATCTGACGAGTCGTCAGCCGGAGCCATGAACGATGGTGAGAATACGGATGCATCTAAAGCCGCTGACGGAACTGTAGGGGCATAGGCAACGAGAACTCACCGACTTGCCCCTCGGGAAAGACCTCTTTCATGAAGGTGTTCATCCACTGCTCGTCCTTGTTGCTGATGGTTGCATGCCATCTGTAAACGAAGTTGAACTCTGCGCTGACCTGATTGCCGACACCTCTTGGTGTTCCGTCATTCGGCCCATGCATGCGCGGGTCAAGCGTCCAGTCCGAGTCGGGCTTCAACTTGTTGTCGTTGAGATTGAGGATAGTGCGCACATAGTCGCCGAGAACGATGCTGGCGTAGAGGCCGCAGGTGATGCTGCAGAGGAATGGCGTTAGCAGGACGTGTGGAGTTCACGTCGGAGGCGAGCCAGTCTCTTACAGTCTGCCGGTTTGGAACAGATCGTTGTCGCGCTTTTTATGCGCCTCCTTCAGGAAGTGTTTCTCATCTTTCGCTTGGTCCTCGGCACTCTTGCTCTTGTCGGGCACGTAATGCGTTTGCAGGGTGAAGCGTCCGCCCTCGTTGATCCTGGCCAGCTCTTCAACAACGTAGTTGTGGAAGCGATTGAATGCAATCAAGAGAGCGCAGACGCCAGGTGGCTGGGTGAGAAGCCGCCATTCTGAGAACGTGTCGTCTTTCAGTTTTCCATCACACCCAGTACGGACCCTCTTCTGCTGTTCCTTATTGTGGCCGTACAGTGGACCGAGATCGACGTATGAGGAATTCTTCAACGTCCCTTCCGGGCCTTCGTGGTCAGTGACGAAGAGGTCATGGATGACGATCGTGCCGAAGTAAAATAAGAAAGAGGAAATTCGGGCAGGGTGCTCCCGTGCGGGTCCGTTCCGGCGCAAAAGAGCTACGGTCGATTAGTTTGGTTGAAAGGTACAGGGCGCGGGTGCCGAACTCTCATAGACATCACCGGGATCAGGCAAGCCGACTGTCCGCACATGCTTCGGAACCACGCTGCGGGCGTAGTAACTGCCGGCAGCTCCCAAATCTGGGTACATGAAGTTCTAGATGGCAGTCAGCAAACAGGCGCGCTCGTAGGGAACACAGGGGCGGTCCACGTTGTTCCTTCCATCCGGGTCCCTGTACTTGTATTTATCTCCCAGATACGACGTCGGCGGGTGTGGGAGTTCTTGCCACAGCGTCTTAACAAAGGTGCTGCTCATGAGATTCCGCGCATGGGAGTCGTTCGGGAGTGATGCGGCCAGACGGATGACTTGTTCGTTCTGCACAGCTTCTTAGCGCTTCAGCGTCGAGCTGCTGTCGGGAGGAACTCACCAAGTATTCACGATCATCGATGGCTCCAGTCGAGAGCTTGTCGTAGAGACTGTGGAAGACTGTGGGCCAGGCATCAAGCCGAGCCGACTCCCACAGGACGTTGCGCAGGTCCCACACGGCGCCAACCGCGCTTTTCCCGACGTCAAATGCATACTTCTGCGTGTCAGTCGCGCGCTTCCGCGCACGCTGCGCCATCGTGATGGTTTCAGTGAGCTGAGACATGCCTCGAGCTCGCTATGATTTGATGTGTTCGCTTCGGAGCAGCCTGGGGAGTGAAAAAGGATGGCGATCTTTTGATGCTCCAACTTGACACTTTTGTTCTCAATGGCAGTTAGGAGGTTATTCTTGTCTCGATCTACCTCCTTTAGTGCGAATGACTTTAAGAAATACGGCTGGAGCTCATCATTTTTGTTGGGCATCTGCACGATGCAAACATGCCATGCTTGTTTCAACATTCCAAAACGAATGCTTATCCATTTCTTTGGCGCACGGACGGTTGAAGACATCGATGCAATCAGCAGCGCACATGTGAAAAAGGCATGTCATGTTCGCCCCTTGATTAGAACGGGCAATTGCTTTATTCAGCCTGAATCGCCGTTTCCGGACGAGCAGCGTTGGGGTTGTAAGGCCAACTGTCAGGCATGTGTATGACAATTACCAGCAACGAAGACTTCATACCTAGTGGTTGTCGGCCATTGTCCAGGCTTCTATATCCACATACCTGCCGTTTTCGTCTTTGAAATGGGGCATCACTTGAGCGCATCTAGTGTTTGTTCGACCATTCTCTGGGTCTTGATAGAGCAGGAGCCAAGAGTAGCAACGACTGATTAGCTTGACAGATTCCGCAAATTTTTTTATATCGCATCACGAGGTTATTGGTTCCAATCGAGGTTGTAAATACCTTTTGGTTGCACTATGAGCTATAGGCCTTTTGACTATATCTCTAGTTATACAAAGGGGAAAATAGTAATAAGATAAAAAGAATAATTTTTAATCTTCTCCATCTACACGACGGTAATCCTACCCTCAAGAGCTGGAGAAATAATTAGATGTTGGCCAGCAACGGAGAGACTCCTCATTCCATCACATTGCGTAGGCACCCAGCATCGGCCAGACGAGGCCGACCTCGCTGTACAGTGACGCATCTCCTCAGAGCACTCATGAATCCTCGAACACGTTTCACCGCACGGGCTCTGAAGTCGACTAAAAGCATCGAGCACGATCTTGTAGATGCGATCCCCCTCCTCCGGCCCGACAACGACCTCAACGTCGTCCCCAACGAGCGACGTGTAGCCATCCTTGCCACGCGCCATGTAATCTCGAGTCGCTAGTAGATACTTTGCATCCAGCTTGATAGGCAAACCTCCAATGCACGCAGACTTCACCCGCTTGAAGGGCGGCATGGATGCGTCGAAATCGAAGCTAATGGCGGAAACCTGGGGAAAGCGGCCCTCCAGCGCAGGATACAAGCTCACAGAATTCTCAAGAGCCGCCCAAATGGCCTGCCCACTCACGCGGATAACAACAGTCGGATCTTCGAAGGGCAGACTGAGATTTGTCGATGAGAAAGAAGCCGTTTCAGCGAACCAGGGGGGGTCAAGACTCACCAGTTCCGAATATCCCCCACCGTGAGCACGCCCGCGGCATACACCTGATCGCCCCGCATGGTGCCGGAGCTGATGATGCAGCAGTCGGCGCCGTACGCCTGGCGCATGGCGTCGGTGATGAAGTTGCCCATGTTGCTCTCGCAGCGCCGCACCGTCGTGAAGCGCGCATCGAGATCGACGCCCGTCACGCCGACCGGCTTCTCCAGCTGCGCCCGCAGCATCGACGAGACGCCGTCGACCCAGGCCCTCGTGTCGGGGTCCTCGGGCACCGCGGCCGTCACGTCTTCCCGGACCACCTTGATGTCCCACACGCCCCGCGGCCTCGCCGCTCTAGCAACCGCAACCGCACGGCGCGGGCTCCTCCGCCTGCCCCTCCGCTGCCGCCGCCGCAGCTCGATGTAGCTCAGCTGCTTGAAGTCGGTGCCGCTGCGCACGATGCGCACGCCGTTGACGACCGTGTCGCTGTAGAAGTGGTCGTGGCCGGCCAGGATCACGTCGATCAGGCCGGGGCCGCACTCCTGCGCGAGTCGCACGTCGTTGGGCTCGCGCTGGTGGGTGAGGGCGACGATGACGTCTGCGCCGGCGGCCTTGAGCGCGGGCACGAGCTCGGCGGCCGTCGCCGCAGCCGGGCGGAAGACGAGGTTGGGCGGCAGCACGTTGACCGTGGCCAGCCACTCGCGCTCGACGAGCCCGATCAGCCCGACCTTGACGCCGTTGACGTCGACCATGGCCGTCTTCTTGCAGTTGCCGAGCGGCACGTCCGGGCCCAGGGCTGGGTCGAGCACGTTGGCGCAGAGCCAGGGGAAGTTGCATTGCTGCGACAGCTTTTGGAAGTGCGGGACGCCGAAGTCGAGCTCGTGGTTCTGCGGGCCATGGTTAGCAGTGCGGGAGATGGAGTCAGGGGGGACGCACGCCGAGGCAGGCGAAGTTGACGCCGATGTTGTTTAGTGCTTCGACCATGTGTTCGCCTGTTTTGAGTCAGCCTTGTTGTAGCATCGGTTGTTATGCGCCTCACCTTTGGTGAAGATGCTCTCCAGGCTGGGGTTCAGGGCGTCGCCCGAAAACAGTGTCAAGACCGGCGGCTGTCCTTCATGCTTTGCACGGTACTTCTTCATTACTGTTTGGAACCTGGCAATTCCTCCAGCTGGCTCTCTCGTGTCGGGCTGGATGTTGTATACATCGTTGAAATGAATGATTCTCAAGTCAGGTTGCAGTTTGGGAGCTGCCTTCTCGCTTGGCAGAAGTCTTCCAGGCATGGTTGTTGATGAAAAGCGATGAATTGACCATGTTCCCAAGAAGCATCATCTGGAGGCCCATCTATATACTGTAGCTCCTGATTCCACGGGCTGTAGTTGTACGCCGGCACCTCAGACTCCCACGGAAAGGACAGCGGGAAAAGCATCACGAAACAATATGATTAACTCAAATCATCCTATCGTTATCGTTGTGAATGAATCCTTCCGGCACACCCAACATGTTTCAAATCCTTCACTGCGGTGCAGGTAGGTTGCGGAGCATGGGTATCAGTGAGGTTGCCGTATTAGGAAATAGGGCTTGGTAGCGTCGGCTTTCAAATATTATACCACAACATGGCGCTACAAGCTGACTATAATTCGCTGCATGTTTGATAGTATTCGATTTTGGGTGGCGGATACAGGTGTTGGGTAACTCCGTTGGGCATTATCTACCGCCTCCTGCATCCATTGACCACGCCCATAGTCGGCGCGCCCGTGAATGCAGAATGCAAATGAGACTCGAATCCTTCGTGGCAAACACGGACAAAAAGCCCCGACCGGACCGTGTAGGTAGTACGTAGTCAACCTTCCGAGTCAGATCTGTATAGCGTGGATAATATAGCCTAGACCATTCTTTAGCCAGGAACTTCCTCAACCGGAAACCATAGGAAAATTCTCATCGATAATACTGCAGACCGCTGCATCTTGGCGTGCATGGGTGAGCGATAAGCCGTACGGTAGACCGGCAAGCTCGGGCCCTCCCGAAAGCTTTTCCCAGCCGCCGCGCATGCGTCTCACTGCGAATAAGCTGACTGGTGGCATATCCCACGCTGTTACACGAGGAGGATTCGCTGAGGGGCAATGAGGAGTTGGCCCACTTCCCTCGCCGAGTCACATTATGCAAGTTGCTTTTCTTTTTCTTTTGAAAAAAAAAGAGAACCGAGGCCCTGCGTTTCGGATGCATGCCGAAGGATTACAGCACAGTGGGGCAGGGCGTCGGGAGGCGAATCCGCCCCCAACGTTCTGGCCCACAAACGGCCTGACACCCCGCTTCGCGCTGACTTTGTGCTGTCTCATTCGCCACTGGCTTCGGGTCGAATCTCAAGCCGCAAGACCCGATCTGCTATCCGGCGCGTTAGGAGATTATTCCGACGCTTGGTCTAACTTTACGAGAAGTTGGTCTTGCACATCACTGAAATGGAGACGAGTGTCACACACGGTAGAAGGATTTTACACACTGAAAATTTTAGATTGAATATCATGCACCGTTTTTTAAACTGAATTCAAGATAACGAAGAACTACAAATCATTCCCTGCGAGAAACGCAAATACGCAAGCCATTTTTAGCACACAGCGTGAAACTGGGCAAAAACTCCATTTCGAAGCCCGGTTCAAACGCCAAATCATAGCGGCGGAACAGCGTCGCCAACGCGAGCGACATCTGCAGCATGGCAAGTCCTTGGCCTGATGCTTGTCAGCCCGGATCCTGCCAGGAATCGGATAGTAAAGGCACTCACCGAGACAGTTCCTCGGCCCGTAGGAAAACGGGAAGTAAGACCCGGGCTTGGGGGCCGCGTGGTCATCGCCCCACCGGTCCGGGTTGAACTGGTTCGCCGTGGAGCCCCACACATTGGGGTCGCGGTGCACTGCAACCAATCAGCTGTGTTACACGAGCATCGGAGATGAATCGCATTACCTTGAGGATTCCAAAGCGCGAGCGTGGTGTTGGCAGGAAGCACGACGCCGTCGATCTCAGTGTCTCGGGTGCAGTACCGGAAGGTGCCGAAACCCGGGCCGTGCATGCGGAGCGTCTCCTTGATGACGCGGTTCAGGTAGGGCAGCTTGACTTGCTCGATGGAAGGCGTGATGCAGTCGGCGGGGATGACGTTGTCGAGCTCGGCGCGGAGCTTTTTCAGAACTTCCGGGTTCTTCAGGACTTCGTAGATGCAGAACGTGATGGTGTGAGCTGTGGGATCACCCCCAGCAACCAGAAATGTTACTGCAAAGAGGACGTAAGCATCGGGATAACAAATGTTTGAGGAGACTCCTCACCGTAGTTGTCAACCAGTTCCTTCATGTTGAACATGTACTGGCCATTACCATCACGTTGCCTGCACTCGTTAACTTCTGCCTTGGTTGGAATGCCGTCTGCTGCTTACTTGGCCAAGATCTCAAAGATACGCTTTGCTGGCTTGCTGTCAGGCGTGTCGTTCTTTCGGCATGCCTGAACAGCCCCGTTGGCCAGTGACCGCAGCTCCGCAATAGCTGCATGCATCTCACGCGTGCTCTTCAGGACTGGGATCTTCGCGCGGAGAGGGAAGAGACCGCACTTCATCAGTTCGGGGAGGACTGTCTGGAATATTTGCATGACACGGCATTTCTCTCCCTGCTCGATGGCGTGGAGGTCAATTCCAAAGGCAACCTCGCCCACAAAGTCCAGGGTGAGGAGAACGTTGAGAAGCGAGAAGTCAACGACCTGGCCGCTTGACGCCGAGCGGTCAAGGAAGCCGACGTATTGCTGTCAACAGTCAGTAACTGGGCAGTAGAGCCAAGGAAGAGAACCGTATACCGTCAGGTATTTTCTCAAGCTGGGGAACTGGGCATTAACGACAGCAGGACCAAAGGCAGGCGCAAGAGCCTTCCTCTGTCTGTGCCACCTCGTGTGGTCCATCTGAGCAAACAACGCGCTTCCACTCAAGGGCTTGAAGCCTTCGTACTGGGCCGGTGCCTTGGGCCAGTTCTGGTTGGCAATCTTGGAGACGAGAGAAGGCTCGCCAACGTAGATGGTGCGGTCCCAGGGGCCATTCCACTTGCCGCCGTCGTTAGTTTGGCCAATGGTGTGTTTGCAGCCAACTCACAGTCTGGAAGACAGAGCCATATTGGATGTGCCATCTGCGCCACTTCTCGTGGATGTCATCTGCCATGGTCTGATCTAGGTTCCCCGTCCAGAATGACTTGACGGGAGGACCAGGGAACTGTCTCAAGGCTTTGCGGTACCTGTAGAGAAACCGCACTGCTAGAAACACTCCCAGGGCAACAAGGCCCGCGGAAACCTTCAGGAACAAAGAGTCATGGAACTGCCCCTTTTGGAGGCTGGGAGACGAGAATGTTGCGGCCATAGTGAAAGACAAAGATTCGGGGCAGTGAAAATTCGATTTTCGGTCTACTGGAGGCAAACGAAGGTCAGCACCGTGGATGATATATTACTGCCTCATCTTTGCCGTCTGTAAGATTGACTCCAAACTCCATCCTTGCCCTTCAGAAGGATTCTGAGTCCCCCACGCGCCCGTGGTATTCGGCATGGCTCCGTATCTACGAACATGGCAGGACGCCGACGGCCTCGGAGTGTAGTGCAGGACATGTGCAGGCGCAGGAATCCTTCGAAAAAAAAAAAAAAAAGCCACACAGACCGGCAAAAGCTTGGAGTAGCATTACACGATAGCCGTGGCACAGGCGCATTTCCTGTGCACCCTTGCAACCTGTATAAGCGCGGCACAATATGGAGCCGAGTGTTGTTGGAGGATTGAGTACTTTCTAGTGGTTGGAAGTTCACGATGTGGTCTAGACCCTTGCGCTAATCATTAACAGGCATCAAATGTTCCGTGTGGGTTTCACACACGGAGATGCGCGACTGGCGGCGGTGGCGAGGCCCCTGCAGAACGCAGTGAGATCCTACCCAGCGGACCGGGCCGCCGACGGCCATCCACCCCTGTCCCTCTTGCCGTGCCTCCAAGCGCCCAGCGGAGTGGCAAAGCTTACCGGTTACCTTCGCCGATTATGTACGTGTTAAGCTGCAATTGCCAGTTCAGGAAGGTTCCGTTGCGAAGCTTATCTCGGCCCCCACCAATCCCGTTTTCACTTTTTTTTTTCCTTTAACCTTGTCGCACACGGTCCTTGCCACTTCGAGTAACCGACGTCCTTGACTTTCCTTCTACTCGCTTCGTTTACCTTCACCCCCGTTTTCTCTCAACCCTCTCCGCACTTCAATTTGGCGCCGCCATGAAGGAAGAACCGCGCGACGCCGTAGCCACAGATGCCGTTGACGATGCAGTCATAGAGGAGAAGGAGCCGGAAGAGGGGGGTCTTCGTGCATGGCTTACCGTTGTTGGTTCGGCGCTGGTGTATTTCGCTTCGTTTGGCTTCATGAACAGCTTTGGTTACTTCCAGGATTTCTACCAAGATGACTACCTGGCGAACTACTCTTCGTCCACCATCGCCTTCATCGGAACACTCCAGATCTCTCTAATGTACGTCGTCGGACCTGTCGCTGGCGCACTATTTGATGCGTATGGATTAAAGGTAAATCACCCACTACAAACGACACGACCACCGAACCCTCTACTAATAGAAATAGTGGCTTTATCCTGTCGGAGCTCTCGGTTGCTGCGGTTCCCTCATCGGCCTTTCATTTTCGAAACCAGGAGCCATATGGCAACAATTTCTCTCACAGGTAAGATCCGCTGGTACTGGAGAATGAATTCCATTTTCTAATCAACTTAGGGCGTCCTTTTCGGTTTGACGGTCGCATTTGGGGTTCAGCCCGCGCTCGCCGCGGCAGGCCAGCACTTCAAGCAGCGACGCGCGCTGGCCATGGGCGTGGTCGCTGGTGGCAGCAGCATCGGCGGCGTCTGCCTACCAATTATGTTCTCGCGCATCGTCCCGAAGATCGGCTTCGGCTGGTCGATCAGAGTCGCCGCGCTGCTTTTCCTGTTCTGCTACCTGACTGCCATTCTCATATCGCGGACCAGGCCAGCCACCAAGAAAGCCCAGGCCGCCCTAAGCGGCAACCTGCTTGATTTCCACGGCTTCAAGGATCCCAGATATCTCACTCTAGCAATCGGAAGCTTCGTCGCCAGCCTGGGCCTGTACGTCCCGTACTACTACATCGGTGCGCCACCCCGCCTCCGCCTCCACAGCATCATCCCCCCCACCGCTAACCACCTGCACCCGCAGAATCCTACACCGTCCTCCGCCACCCCTCGGCCTCTATCCACAGCTATCTCCTGCCGCTTATCAACGGCGCCAGCTTCTTCGGCCGCATCATCGGCGGCTTCCTGGCGGATCGCGTGGGGCGGTTGAACCTGCTGTACCCGATGACGCTGGTGTCGGGCGTCTTCTGCCTGACCATGTGGCTACCGACGGGCACCGATGTCGCCACTGTTATCGCCTTCGTGTGCCTCTACGGCTTCTCGTCCGGCATCTTTATTAGCGTTACGCCCGCCGTCGTCGCGCAGATCTCGCCCGACGACCGTATTGGCGCGCGGATTGGTGCTTTTTTCACGCTGGCGGCTATCGCGACGTTGATTGGGACGCCGATTGCCGGGAGTTTGGTGGATAAGGAGGCGCAGGATGGGTATAGGAATTTGATTCTTTTTGCGGTGAGTCGAGACCACACTGAAATGCGCTCGACATGGAGCGGGATGCTGACCTGAATTTAATAGGGTCTGACGCTGACGATTGGCGGGGCGTTTCTTCTTTTTGCAAGGATTCTGTGCGAGAGGGACCTGAGGAGGAAATTTTAGTGTATAGCTGCCACTATGCGTCGGCTATTGATCCGCAGTCAGACGTTCCGTCAGCCTGGGCCAATCTGTCTGAGAATGATGAAGGGCCCATCTTCGTATCCAACGGAACTCCAAATGCAGCCACGGTGTTCAGAATAAGAGAAAGTTGCTCTTGTTGCCAACGAACCAAGGTCTCATATCATTGCATTCGCTATTCGTCAAATATTAACTGTTACGGCACAAGCCTTCGTAGGGTGTGCAACATGGAACAAGAAAGTGGGGTCGCAGGCCCCAAGGCGTGGAAAGAAGCCATGACGGGTCACGAGGATCATGTCACGCTAAGGATTGATCTCGTTGCTCTCGCCAAGAAATAACAGATCAAACAGATCGAGGAGGAGCATTTGCTCTAGCTATCGGAAGACTGATCGCAACCAGAGACTGAGAAATCAATAATTCTCAAAGCCAGTCAATTCCTTCTCCAACCAGCCGTCGCGCCGCTACGCGGAATAACAGTCCTAAAAGTAGTTCAGCCCAGCTTGTCCCCTCTTATAACCAGCACGTCGGTGAGTGTAAATAGATTCGAGCCGGCGGAGAGCTCTTTCCCACGCTAAGCCTTATCTAGTGGCGATACGAGACGTTAATCCTTCTCCGTGGGGAAGTCCTCTCTAGCTCTCGTATTTATGGCTCTGGAAGCTTCTGGCCCTTGAATGCGTCCGCCACTATTTAAACATAAACTTAGTGGACTATTCCTTCCAGGGTCTGAGGCGGAGGACCGCTAGCTACATGACGATTCAGAATTTATACGCTAATTTCTTTTTTGGGTTAACGTCGTTCTAGTCTATGTACCGGGTAGTTCCGTTCTCGTACAGCCTCCTTACACATAATCTAGAGAAGATAAGCACCACTACGGTTAGAGTTGGTAAGCCTGTGTCAGCCGTGATGCTGTGTAGGGAGCGAGTAATAGTGTCCCCAGCCGTAGGGTCTCTTTGCGGCTTGCTTCGTCTGAGGTTTACTTAGTTAGCAGTTTTTCCTAAAATCTCTCTTTACGTATATACGGCTAGTGCTGTTGGGGTAACAAACTTTGCACAGTGTGTGCTTTCAACAACAAGTCATCTTCTGATAAAAGTGGCTGTTGATTCTCTGGCCTGACGCCCGGTTGATATCAGCCGGCGTTCAGCACATCGTGATGACTGTGCGTAGAAACGGCTAAGAGAGCTGGACTACAGGTATGATGAGCGATAGGAAGGAGCGGAAGAACAATTTGGTGGCGGAGCTCGAATCGTCCCGGCAAAACCTGCGATATGGTAACATCGTGGAGTGGCCAGCTATTGGTCCTTGCCGCTCTACTACTCAGATCACGAACGGTAACACGACTCTAATCATATTGTATCGCTTACAGGCTGCAAGCGATGGGGCATTGGGTGAAGTTTCCCGACTCGTTGCAATGAGGAACCACTTGGTGTTGCTGACTCGTTGCATGACTCGGTACGATGAATACGAGAATTCCTACCTATCAGCTGAAGATGCGCCGGGAGATCTTCCATGGTGCCAACTTTCATAAGGATCGTTGTTCAAGTCAGCAAGATCATACCTGCGTCTACACCGTACAACAAGGGTTGTTCAGCAGCCCAGCGACTGTGCGCGCGGGCAGGCTATCCGCAGTGAAATTGCTTTGGTTTCGAAAAGAAGGCAGCGGATAGACTGGCTACTAGCGTACTTGAACGTAAGGAAAGCGCATGATCCGGCGAACGAGAGGGTACGCTACTCGTATACCAGGCCTGATCGAGCGATGTGGCGTCCATCCGCTGTGTGGATAAATAATCCGCAGCGTGGGTAGATGGCGCCTGGCACGGTGTACCCCTAAGACGGACGTAGCTAGCCCTGTCCTATCCGCTGGTTATCCGCCACTGCTGAACAACCGTATTGGAACTGCGTCCCAACCGAAGTCCCAAGTCAAACTTACGAGAGGCGCAGACTGCGTATAAAAGATCACAGCCAGGTCGGCTCAAACTGCACACACTCCAGGCTACCTTCACACTTCGACACCTCGGCATCGCACATATAACAGGTACGTCTTCAATGATCCATTGCTATCCTGAGGATCCGCCTCGATTGACATCGCCAAAAACGCCCCAGACCACCAGCATCCACAATGCAGTTCACCATCATCCTCCTCGCCATCCTTCCAGCGCTGGGCTACGCTCAAGACGCCTACGGCCCGCACTGCGCGAAACACGACGCTCAAGAATGCGGGCTCGGGCGCTGTATTGATCCGATAGCCGGGTAAGCACACTTCATCACTTGCGTTCCACTGTTACTAAAAGTCAACACCAGCTCTTTCTCATGGTCCAACAACCCCGTCTGCGTCGTCCCTTGCAAGAACAACGACTGCCTCAACAAGTGCAAGTCTCAATTCTATGACAGGAAGTATCAGGTCGGATACTGTCACTCTATGTAAGTTTTGGCTCAGCTGTGTAGTGTGTACGTTGTTAACTTTGAGTAGTGGCAAGGACAACTTTTGTCTCTGCACCGATAAGACATTCTTCTAAAGATCTGTGGTGGGATGTAGGGTGTAAGCACTGCTAAAGCGGTGGGGTAGCGCTACGTGTATACTGTAAATAATACATAAACTGTTTATGTTATCTAGCTCACTTACTCCCTTGATCTTTACCGCTCAGAACGCACAAGTTTGCAATAATACTTGCTTTGCTTCACTACATTGAGTTTGGAGATGATGGTAAAGTACCATTTTAATGTTACTCTACGATAGTATTGCCTCTCTACAAACTACACCCGCTGTTTACCTTCTGTACGAGCGAAGCAGCGTGGTCTCTCCGCCAAAGCTCTGCTTGATATCACCATTAGAACGCATGAGCTTCTGTATACATCACTGGCCTAACTTCGTAGTTAGCTTACTAACTTTAGCCTCGGCGTCGCGTCGAGCGACAGTCTACCGGCACTAATACACGGAAGGTATATATACATGTCGTTAAAGTAGCCGTTGTGGCTACACTCTATAAAAGAGCTGACGGCAGCTTAGAAATTTCCGAACTCCCAGCATTAGACCGTCCTCTTTTCCCCAGGGCGTCTCTGCCTGGAGGAGGCTGCATGGATGGGATAAATGGCATGTATGCCGTAAGATTGCCCTAAACTTCAGCTGACTGTCGCTCACTTTCCCCACTTGGATTCTGCTAAAAGCCCAATGAGGCCGGGCCATCAAACTCCTACCGGGCTGAGGTCAGAGCCTCGTGCTGGGTATATAAGTCCCGCAGTGTAGTTCACAAGCCTGGGCCGTTGTGACACTCTCCAGAACTTTGTTCGATTTGAAAATCCGCAGTGTTGCAGCCATGCTTGTTTCTGTATTGTTTCAGGCGCTGGCTCTGGCTCTCTGTGCCGCAGCTCAAGAGAGCAACTCGACGACTTCAACAACACCTGGCAAATATCCACTTACCACCGATGCTCATTGCGGCACCGGCAACGGAAGAATGTGCCTCATCAACGGGACGTCGCCATGTTGCAGGTCAGGCTGAGTGCTCGTGTCCACTTGATGCAGAATTTGTCTGATGATTGAGCAACAGTTCCTCAGGCTATTGCGGCAACGGGGATGAGTTCTGTGAACCATCAAATTGTCAGGAAGACTACGGCAAATGCCAGCCCAACAACTTTCCGCTCGACAACTTTCCTGAATGCAGCTGGTCACCGATGGGGACGAGTCCTCGATGCGACGGCAGGTGTGGCACGGCATACCACAATGCCATTTGTTCTTCCACCGCCAGCGCTGACGCGTTTGAGATGTATGGCGTCTACAATTATGGGCCATGTTGCTCGAGTACCGGGTCAGCCTTTCCCGACAGACTGGGACAAGTGCATTTCGCTTACTCTTGGCTTGCAGGTTCTGTGGAAGCTCGAGTGATCATTGTGACGAAGGGTGCCAGAATGGCTGCAGTGACAATAGCACGCAGTCCTCCACAACAGCTTCACCGCCCGCGTCCACCGCTTCGGCCTCGGCGGCTAAACATAACGATTCACCGCCTTGCAGCATCGCGTTTGCAATCTTTTCTGTGCTGGGGCTGATGCTTGGATTTTAAGCAAAACAAGACACGTCGTTCCTTTACGTTGCGAAATGACTTGCTATTGGTTTCTTTCTAATAATTCACACCATCTTTCAAGGGATTTCTTTTTCTGGGCGAAGGTTACCGCCTCTTATTCGACTCCACCTTTTCATTAAGTAATCTGTGAGAGGAAATCCAGCTTGATGTGAAGATAGTTCTATTGTATAGCGTTGGATAAATTGCAAATGGTTATTGCGGATCATCAATGGCGATGGCGGGCTCTGCCTCCAGTTCGTTCAGGCGTCGGGATGGAGAAGTCTTCGGTCCCGATTCTCCCTTGTAATCGAAGGCACCTGGACACCCCAGGGAAATTGCGTGGCAGATGCGCAATGATCTCATATACATGTGGCGTCTCAGCCTTCTCATGCCCCTCACTCTACACATTGCCGGCATTGGTCTCATTCCGTACCCGGCTGGATTTGCTCACCTGGCAGAGAAAAGACCCTGCCAAAGCGGCGAGAACGATAACGGTCACCGCGATACCTGCCGATGGCCTACTGGACAAGAAACGGGTGTGTGGCAAACCGTTGCTACTGGCTGTATTACATGTTAACTTCTTGATGACGTTCAACCACAGCACGAATCCTTGGTGTTGTAGAGCGACAATCCAGGATGGCTGCATTTACCGGCCGCTGGATCTGGTCTAGGCCCGGCCCCATTTCTGTGTGGGGAAAGAGGCCACGGGTGGTTGCTGCAGCAGGTGATGACGATGCATACGCTAGTCGGATGAAGAGGGTACAGAGCATGAGAGGCGCCAACTCGCAGAAATCGGTCACCAGACTGACAAAAAGAAAATGCGACAGGGTTCACGATGCGGGGCCGGCCCGACCCGGCCATTGTGGCGGCAAGGTGCAGAACAGAATGCTGACTGTAGAACCTGATTACCTCAGCTCAGCCCCAATGAGCTGATGCGTCGCGCAGCATTCCTGCCGAAAGTCAGCTGCACTGCAGACGCTGAGCTCCAGCCTTGCGTTCGTCGAGACTCTGCAGTAAGATGCAGCTGTGCCCACCAGTGAGCCCACCTTCACATGGCCGATCAGCCTAGAAGTGCTAGTCGATGCTCCCACGTTTCGTCGCTGTTGATTCTGCCGCCGCAATCTGTCTCTGACATGGAGAGGCTGAGTCCAGCATATCCACTCCCCATGATCGAGAACAACGGAATGCGGGGGACACAGATTAGATAGCTCCTCATTTGTAACGAAGCTCGTCTTGTGTACATGTAGAGTCGGCGGCTATACACATGCCGTTCGCAATTATTTCATGAAGAGTCTTACTTCCAGTCACAATTGACGTATCTGCACTTCGGCCATGTGTTACAGGATCATCAGGCAGACGTCTCCACAACGAAGCATCTTTGCCCACGTACATCGGGTCATGACAAGTCCGTGTCATTATTACGTGCCTCGATAAATCCATCTCGACAACAACGATTCATACGCCCATGGTACCGAATAAACAATTTCATTTCAACCTTGCGTGAATTGATGATAGCTCCTCCATCGCAAAATATTTTATTCTTCAACATGGTAAAGTTTAACTCTGTTTTGGCTTGTTGAGTAAGTGACCTGGTGTTGGTCAGCCCACTCGTGCAGATCAGAATGAGAAAGGGTTGGAATATTCGTATCTGTAATAATGCTGCTTTGCAATCCATCAACGCTGTCCACAATCAGCCGTAAGGTATCCACTTGACGAAAACTCCGAGCGCTGTAAGTGTTAGATGAGTACATCGCCATTCCAAACGTTATTGCTGCTGCCGCAAAAAGGCTGACCAGGCCAGTGAGCAGGAGACCTGGGATGTACGTGATGCGATAACGATCCTCCACGATAGTGTTGTAACAGTGGTAGGAGAAGTCCGGCTCGTCTCGGGACTTATCTGCTGCGGCAACTTCGTAAACCTTTTTCATGATTTCGGCCGACGCGTATAGGTAATTGAGAGCCAGCAACGAGTAATCTGTGGTATTGTAGTAGCAGTTCGTGTCATTATGGCTGCAGTCTGGTTGACCGTCGAAATTCGACCCAGCAGTCTTGGCAAGAGCAGGCCCTATTCCCGCCACAGTTGATCTGGGAGAACGGTAGTTGAGAATGACCTGCCATCGCACAAGAAACGACGGCACTTTCTGCATCTTGTTTGAGAACTCTGCTGTAGATATTGACCAGCTCTGATCAGACGCTCGCATGTACTCAAGAAATCCTTCTTGACGTCGAAGTGCACATCGTATTCCGTAAACAGACATGACAGCTTTCGTCCCATTAAATCCGGAGCTCTTCATGTCTATCGCTTTGGGTCTGATGTCGCCATATGGTGAGAAGAATGTCCTGTTGCTCCTGTCGGAAGGTACCAGGCTTCCCAAGTACACTTCGGTGGCGTCCATAGAGAACGCCGCAAATGGATACTCGTCATCCATGCTGCCTTGCATATCTTGCGGAAGACCTGAGTACCGAGCGTTGAATTTGCGTGACTCCCACCCATCAAGCAGTGGTGCATTGTCCCAGAGAGTGGAGATGACTGTGGTGTACGGTCCACTGGTAGAAATGTTCACGCTACTGGGCAGGTCAGGGATGCAGTCCACGCTGAGGCGGAATCCTGGAACATGGTGCAGGCCAACAACATTCGGCGGCAGTCTGTCCATGGCGTTCTCGGTTGAGTTCACACAGACGTATGTGCTGTCGTTGAGGTATGTTCTTGCACTTACGAAACTCAAGCCGGTCAAAAGTCCAGTGACCTGGCTCGCGATATCTGCTTGTTGTTCCCTTGAGAATCCAAATGCGGTTTTAGGATCCATGGAAAAGATTTGATGCATCAGCGAGGTGGAATTGATCGCGCGGTCTGAGAGGTATCGGAGAACAATTTTCTGTTGATTTGCATGTTCCTCTGGAAAGGCCTCATACGCAATGAGGTTGGATAGCGCTGTCTTTGAGAAGGCCGATAGTAAAGTGAGTGCTGCCAACAGGTAGAGCCTATGAGTCTTGCCTCGGAGGAGGGAGCGAATGTTCAGCGGATCGTAGGTGCCGCTCGTCGAAGTGCTTACTGCCACCAACGTTGAGAGGGGAATCCCGGCACGATCTGAGGGTCGCTGATCGTTGAAGGTAGAAACCCGAGCACTGCCAAACCAGAGGAAATTGAGTCCGGTCATGATCAAGGGTGCCAGAACCGCACTGCAAGCTACGTCGATAAGCTTGGCTTCCGGTTGACTGAACTTTCCACCAATTCGTGCCCCAGAAAACGTCATGAAAATTGTATCCTTTATACCAGGCGAAGCAACCCAGAGACTGAAGACGACAACAGGGAAGATGGCCGATGCGATGACAAGGCCGACTGAGATAGTCCAAGTGCGGGTTCTAGGATCATTGGATGGTTCCTGCGCAAAGAGGATGTCTCTTTCCGTTGACGTGTGACTCCGCTCTTGTGGCGAATGTGACCGGAGTAGCTGCAGCTCAGACTCCTTGGGAAAGTTGGCCATGGCTGTCAAGTCAGTGAGTGAGGATCATTCTACTCGCCACGCGCTCAGTAAATACTCACTGCACTGTTGTCTGTGAATACGGAGGGATGTTCTTGAATACGCATTAGAAGTCGACTATAGCTTAGCGTTCTTCAACGAAAAAACAAAATCGAAATTTGCATTCTATCTGACCTCGAGCGAAACATTTATAGATCAACTATGAAGCATCCGTGTGAGTATCCTGTAGGTAGGAGGCTCATCTGTTATCGCTAACCAATGACGTGGTGTGAGGTACTTAGTAACGGGTGCCGCGAGTTCTCTGAGCCCCAACAGCGCCTTTTCCAAGATTCTGTGCAGCCTTACTGCTTGCATGACGGAAAGCAGCCACATACCAACTGTTGCAACGCAATCCGTCTGACATACATTTCTCATTTTTCGATCCGCAAGGCTGAGTGGTTTGCAGAATGATTGCGTGGGGTTCGACCAATATGGGCTTGAGGCGTGCAGCATTTCGACTGTCTTTTTTTCAAATGGCCACACCATTTATCAGTAAGCATTGCATAGATCGTTCGAGTTCTCACATAAACGGGCTTTTCAAAAGATTGTACGAACTATGTACAGATTGATCGGAAGTAAATTTTTGTCACTTATCTAATGAAATATTGAACCTACTCCTATGGGAACCGAAAGAGCTAGTCCGATTTCCTATCCGGCCTCGTGAGAGATAGCGTACTGGTATCGCGGGACTTAAGCCTAGGAGCACAAGCTCCGCAGTAGCATGGGCTGCGCACGACGGTCATGTTCCCCATCGGGTGGGTGGGCGACAAAACGACACGATTTGTCTCCGTGCCCGCGGCGACCAGCCCTCCTCGGAGACGGTGCCAAGAAACCAAAGATGTGCATGACGCGGCCCACAATCAGGCCAGCAGCAGGTTCTGCCTCCAAGTGCGGAGGACTTTGATGCAGCTTATCTCCCCGTTTGTGAGAATGCTTCATCAGGCATGGGTTCAATGCTGTCATCTGTTGGCATGTACGAGCGAAGCAGCCTGGTCTCTCCGCCAAAGCTCTGCTTGATATCACTATTAAAAAGCATGAGCTTGTATACATCATTCCCCTGGCACAGAGAATCGACTGCCAATATGGTGTATGCCTGAAAACTCTTGGGGTGCTGGCTGGTATAGAAATCCATGACCTTGAAGCCGTCTTACAGGAATCTGATCTCCCAGAATCAGTAGAATGAGCCACCAGATATGTCCATCACGTAGAAGGTACCAGTAGACGTTCAGCTGTTACCCGTTACTGGCCGTGTGAGATGCTGTCAACCTACAATTATAGCTCCGTGTTGCCGGTGTTGCACGTAAGCCGACGACGCACAACCGTAATGGTGAACTCAATGCCACCGCTCTTCAATCATATGACGTTTAAGACCGCCTACAATTTTTAGCCATTGTAGACTTTCCACAAGTCATCAATCAGACGAGGAAAGGCGATTACCATGCAAGTGAGATGCGGATGTCTGTGCATCTTACTGTTTTACCGACCAACATAATGCGCAAATAGAGTATTTTGTCGACGTGGAGGGCATTTACCCATGGTGTTCGAAGGTGGTATTCTGATATGATGGCTGAACACTCAATCGTTTGGGTCTTTTGCGGCCCAGATGCACGAAGCCCTCATCGAAACTCCTACAAATCAGCTCACGTAGACCACCACAATCAGCCTCGCCATTCTAGGTGAGCTGCAGGAGAGAGATGGGATGGGATGCAAACTGAAGTAATCATTGCTGAAAGGCAACTTCTGCCCCACGAGCTCATCCCTGCCATCGGTCCATGGCAGTATTCTGGCCACGTCTCTTTCCGCGGGCTCCAAACCAATGAATGCAAACAAAATATCTCGCCAGGTGTTCAGCCGACAAAAGCATGCGCATGCGCCTACATTTCACTTGCCCCAAGTGCGTGCTGCATCAAAGGTTGATGGCCCCGAGCCCGTTTTGCTGACAGTCTATCTTTGCCTAGAAGTCACGACGGCCCACTGAATTGATAAAATCATCATTTTGTATCTGGCAAGACTGATGGTTGGGTACAGGCGTGTCCCAGGAGGCGCGATACCGTCGGCCATGCTGTGAGGTTGAAAAATGAAAGCAGCTGAGGGCTTGGAAACATCACTCAGATATCCTTCTGCTAACAGAGGCTATGTGGTAAGACGCTAGTTAATTCTATTCATACCGTAGAGCTCGATCGGCATGTTAAGTTGCGATATTCAGGTTCACAAACGTGGCGTTGGAGCCTGTGAATGCGATAGCAGCGGATATGACGTTGCTGGATGACGTCTGATAGACGCGTTATTTCACATTCTACACGCTTGTTGTGGTGTATGTTTGAGGGTTCCAGCAGGATATTGCTGCTGCTGCTCGTACAGTAGATGACGGTGTCCTTCGGGGAGCTGTTCGCTCTGTCGGAAAGATTTCATACTCATTTCACACAGCTATCGTCGCATACCTGGCCAATCGGGGTACAAATATGATGCAAGGTTCTGATACCATGAGTAATTCAGAGGCTAAAGTGCCACTCTCCATCGTGTACTCAACTCCGTCTCACCGATTTCATCTGCATCAAGCACTAAACCAAAACAAAAGCCCAAGTTCCTTTGACCGTGGTTTCACTGAATTCCCCGTGGCGCACACCGCATTAACGACAGGCAATACTGTAAGCGCCGTGCTCGCCCGTGTTCCGCGACTTCCGATATGCGATGACGCAAGCTGCGCGACGCCAGCAGCCGAACATCGACACCACATTCAGTAGTGCACCTCAGCGAAACACCCCTCGAGCGCGGGAAAGTCGTCGCCATCTCTTATGTCTGGGACGAGTTCGACCGGAGCCGACACCTCATAGGCATTCCGCTGGAAAGTAAAGGGATTCTTGCCGTCGAAGGACACTGCCAAGGAATCCTTGCTATTCCGTCTCGTGCCGCTTATACATCGGCGCTCGTGATATGCTCGGCTAAACGGAGCGTGCAGACTGATATATATTAGCCAGCCTTGGCGGCTGCATCTCATGACATATGTACACTCTGAAACACTTTACAGCGGTGTCTATTCGCTTCGCTAATTAGGCTGCTACCAAGCTGCCAGAAGTAGTAGATAAATACGAGACATTTGGACCAAACAGATTAAAGAAAAATATGTCCTGCCGCGCTTGCCACACCTTTGTCGTATTAATATCCATCAGCAGTGGTGTGATACAGATGGAATATTAGGCTGTTTCAATACAGTGTTTAGTATTGGCATTTTATCCTTTCGTGTACAACGTCGACCGTAAATATGCGTGATGGCTTGCATCAAACTCAGAGACGCATGGTGGCTTAATAATTATTGCCCACACTCATGCTTATCAAACCCAAGGGACGGGAGCCGCCTCCGCGAAAAAGCACATGGATACTCTCCCGTTGCGCTGGGATTTAAATTCAGCGCGTGCCGCGCAATTTCCGGCTTCCGGCTAACGATTCTTTCTATAAATTCTCTTTGGGTCTTCCAAACCACACCTCCCGCCGGACTTGAAAATGCACTTCAACATCAGCAAATTTATCCTCTGCCTCTGGGTTGGATTTGCATACGCGCTTTCATCCAGACAGGAGCAGGCCGACCAGAACACCGCGGTCGAGGTCATTACCCGTGATGTGGCCATCATCGGTGGTGGCTCAACCGGCACGTTTGCTGCCATCAAGCTGCGCGACGAAAACCGAACCGTCAGCATCATCGAGCACAAAGGCCGGCTTGGCGGTCAGACAGAGACGTACACCGACCCTGTTACTGGAACTCCAATTGACTACGGCGTCGCTTTCTTCCACGACCTTGATATTGTTCACGAATACTTCATCCGATTCGGCGTTCCTCTGACCTATATTCCTCTTTCGGCCTCAACCGGAGGGACTACTGAGTACTTTGATTTTACCACCGGCGTACGGACTAATTACAGTCGGTCGGACTCAGCCGCCGCATTAGAGGCTTACGCGGCTCAACTAGCAAAATATCCGTACTTGGAAGAAGGCTTTGACCTCCCTGACGATGTGCCCGAGGACCTTCTCCTCCCATTCGGCGAGTTTGCGAGCAAATATGGTATTGGTGATATCGTCTTCAGCATATTCCAAGTTGAGCAAGGCTACGGCGATTTTCTCCAGCTCCCTACCATATACGCCATGAAACTTTATGGGCTTTCCCTGGTTCAAGAGTTGCAAGCTGGGAATGGGGTTTTGGGCACGCTTCGGGGGAACAATAGCGAGATCTACGGCCTCGCGGAGGCAGAGCTTGGTTCAGACGTCCACCTACATAGTACAGTGCTTAATGCGTCACGCGACGTCTCATCTCCCACGGGCCATTCGACAGAAATTCTCATCCAAACTCCGACGGGCCAGAAACTCATCCAGGCCAAGAAGCTCCTCATCACGATCCCGCCCACGCTCGCGAACCTCGAGCCCTTCGACATCGACGCCAACGAGCGCGCCCTCTTCTCCCAATTCCACTATGATTATTTTTGGACGGGCCTTCTCAACCAAACCGGTATACCCGTGAACGTTTCAGTCTCAAACGTCGATCCATCCCGCCAATTTTGGCTACCCGCGATGCCCGCCGTTTATGCATTCTCCGTGACGCATGTACCTGGGCTTATCGACTGGAAGTACAGCGCACCGACAAATTTGTCCGTCGACTCGGTGAAGAGAGAAACAATCGCAGCCCTCGATAGGATTCGGGATGGCGGACAGTTGAACTTCACCACCTCACCGGACGTTGAGCCCTCTTTCGTGGCGTTTGCGGACCACTCGCCTTATGCGATGAGGGTCGACCCTGAGGCAATCAAAACAGGCTTTTACCAGATGCTCTACGACCTGCAGGGATACAATAATGTTTTTTGGACGGGTGCGGCATGGCATACGCATGACTCGGGCTTGCTGTGGCGGTTCACGGACAAGATAGTTAATCAGCTGCTAGAGACTCTATAAGGCCTCCAACTACAGTGCTTAGTATATATAACACACTCGAGACTCTCATCTCAATTGCAAAGTTTTCTTCCCGGCTGCAAACTACTCGAGAACTTGCCTGAGAAGGGTGATGTATTCCGGATGCATGCAAGAATCGTCGTGAGCATAGATAACTGCCGACTGATTGATAGATTGGAGCCAGACTGCGGGAATTACTTAAGGAATTTCTACGTAGACGATGGGGTTTTAGTCCTGCTGAATTCCATGACGGAACCAAGGTAGTCAATGTGTTGACTCCCTGACGGAGCTTAGGCATTGTCTTACATACGCTCATCGATCAGCGGCAGCATTTGCTTAACCGGGAACTCGAAAGTCTCATCCGTTCAGTGCAGTGTTTGAATAACGAGTGGAACAGGCTATCTGTAAATGAGCTGGAAGGTCATTGTAGTTGAAAGAAATTCCTCGGGATGCTGCGCAGTACAAATGTATCTCGTTGCAGTTGCCCGCTATCGAACCATATACGACAGTTAATACTTCCTCTTTGGGATATTTATATGCCAGCTTGGCGACGCTGTATTGAAAGACAAAATCCAGCAGCTGCTTCTCGAGCAAAAAGTTTACGGTAAGGAAATGTCTTAAAATCCAACTCAATAGAGGCATTGGTTCAGAGTAATCAATCCATAAAAGATAAGTAGCATGCATTGTCAGCGCAAATTGGAAATGATCTTGTAAGAGTGGTATGCCTTCTGGGACATATGCAGCACCGCAGTCGCAACGGAATACAGCAACGAAACAAATAATTTGGGGTGAATGATGGTCATCTTGACACTTTAGAAGCTGAGACTGGTGCTGAAGCGGATGGCTAAGTGCGTGAACTTCGCGTCGCTACAGGTCAGGGGCTGCAGTATTGTGATAGGTCGGTGCGGCACAGCAAAGAGAACCCCGGCAGCATCCAGCTGCAAGACATTCAGACATCATGCACACATGGGAGCCTTGTCTTGGTGTGTAATCGCACGCCCGTCACATTGATGCGAGGAGACCATAATATCTGCTGATGTCCAGTGGACTAGCTTCGCATTATCACCTGAGTGCAGGTGAGGTAGACGCGGCACAGGATTCTCAGCCCGGAGAAGCGGCAAGGCAACAGCGTGCGGCGCAGCAAGTGAGCACAATGAACTGGTTATTTAATACTTGAGTGTTCCCCTGACTGGTCTCCTCTTATCTCATTCATCTTTACACGTTTCGCTGTTCGCATCGGCACCAATGCAGCCTGGCAAAAGTCTTGGAGCAGTGCTCATCACTGGCGGATGCGGCTTCTACGGTCACCATCTTATACGCCGCATCCTCGAAGTGGAGCCGACATGCGCCATCTCGGTGCTTGACGTCGACATCTCGGAGGACACTTTCCCTGGCGTCTCTTACCACCAATGCGATCTCGCCCACGGCGCCGGCGTGCGAGCCATCTTCGAGCAGGTCCAGCCGCCGCCGCGCGTTGTCTTCCACCTTGCATGCCCTCCCAGCATTGTCGTCAACGACCAGCGCTTCTTGCGGGTCAACGTCGAAGGCACCCGCCACCTCCTGGAGGCCTCCCGGAAGGCTGGCGTCAAAGCTTTTGTCTTCACATCCTCCTCGGCTGTCATACACGACAACGTCTCGGATCTGATTGAGGCCGACGAGACCATGCCCATACTCAAACCACCGAAACAGAAGAGCGTCTATACCCTCTCCAAGGCCATTGCCGAGGAGGATGTGCTTGCCGCCAACCGCAAGGACGGCATGCTGACCGTCTCCCTCCGGCCCTGCACCACCTTTGGCCCGGCCAACCCCGGATTCATGAGTCGCATCGTCGAAGTCAGCAAGGCTGGCAAGGCTCGCTTCCAGATGGGCGAGAACAACCCGTGGGACTTCGTCTACATCGCCAACGTAGTCCACGCTTGCCTCCTCGCCGCTCACCGTCTCTTGATGGCCGCGAACTCCCCTGCTCTACCAGTCGGCCAGCGTGTCGAGGGCGAAGCCTTCAACATCACCAACGACGAGCGAATGACCTTCTGGGACTTCACGCTAGCCACATCTGCCGCAATCGGCAAGCCGGTCGACAAGAAAGCCATCGTCAAGGTCCCGCGCTTCATCGCTATCCTCGTCTGCTTCTTGTCTGAGTGGGGCGTGTGGCTCTTCTCGCTCGGCCGCAAGCAGTCTAACATGGTCCGCGAGGGCGTTGTTTTCGCTTACATCACGCGCACGCTCAACACGGACAAGGCCAAAAGAGTGTTGGGTTATCGGCCAATTGTCTTGCTGAAGGATGGGATCCGGGAGAGTGTGGAATGGTACATGGAGCAGGACAAGAAAGCAGAGTGAGCAAGGGCGGCATCGTGTCATTATCTCTTCTTGCGTACATAGATTCCCTCTCTTGTACGCGGGTAGATTTGGACATGGATTTGATTATTTATATTTCCCTTGCTTCATCACTAATTGATTTGAGCCTCTAGAATGGTGGTAGAAACGAGATTTGTATTATCTTTTCAACTACATTTTTAGTACAGGAACTTTCTATACGTGCGGCCGGTGCAACCCTGCTCAACCATTTAAAACCTTCATTCAGACTTTCCCAAAGATTCAAAATAATCAATTTTGATATTACTGAGAGCTCAAGAGAAAGCCCAGAACCAGCGGGCAGCAGTATCGTGTTCGACACTGCACGTGACCTTAGCGTTTAGCCCCCACACGCCCTTCGAGAGACAAGTGAAATGAAACGTAGGGCAAGACACCCCGCAACGCTACAAAACGGCATCTGTGGCCCAACTGAACTCTCAGCTCCCCCCCGTTCACCAAACCTTTGGAAAATGAGTGACACAATCGAGACGATGCAAGACGCTCAGCCGAGCCCAACAAATGAGCCCACAACACCACCAATCGTGCCAATGCAAGTCGAAACAGTGGATGAAGAGTCTGCGCAGCCGCAGCGGAGCAAGATCCGCCTCACTGCTATTCTCACTGCCCTCTACGTCCGTCTTCCTCTCTCCCGGCACACTTAACACGTGACATCACTGACCACCTCTGCTGCCGCCACAGCTTTCGCTCTTTGTCGCAGCTCTTGACCAAACGATTGTGGCAACCGCTATACCGACGATCGCCGCTCACCTCCACTCCGCAGCTGGCTACACCTGGATCGGTGGCGCGTATGTTCTCGCCAAAGCCGCCACCATGCCTCTCTGGGCCAAATTCTCCGACATTTGGGGCCGCAAGCCGATTCTGCTCGCAGGCCTCGCTATTTTCTTTGTCGCATCCGTTGTATGTGCCGCCGCACCGAATATGGCAGCCCTGATCGCCGGTCGCGCGCTTCAGGGCGTTGGTGGCGGCGCCCTGATGCAGCTGGTTACGATTACGATCAGCGATCTGTTCAGTATGAGGAGGAGGAGCTTATGGATGGTATTCACAGACGTAACGTGGGCGGTGGCTGGCGGCGTTGGCCCCGTACTGGGAGGTGCGTTGGCGCAGTTGGTCAGCTGGCGGTGGGTATTCTGGATCAACTTGCCGGCGATTGGAGCTGCTTTTGTTTTGGTGGCCGCATGCCTGAACGTACATGATCCGAAGACGAAGATGGCGGATGGCTTCAAGGCTATTGACTGGTATGGGACTGTGGCCATCTTGGGATTGACCTTGATGATGTTGCTCGGGTTGGATTTCGGGGGTGCCATTTTCCCGTGGAGCTCACCGAAGGTGGTTTGTTTGCTGGTGTTTGGGGCACTGATGCTGGGCTTCTTCGTCTTCAGTGAAAAGAAGTTGGCCGTCTATCCTCTCATGCCCATGCGGTTGTTCAACCAAAAGTCAAACGTTGCAAGCTTGGTATCAGGCTGCGTCACTGCCTTCGTAAGTCTTTCTTCATTTTCTGCCGCGATAGAATTTCTAACAAGCTCGTAGGTTGCCGTAGCGGCTGAATACTACTTACCACTTTACTTCCAGTCCTCTAAAGGCGCCTCACCCATTCGCTCTGGCGTGCTAGTTTTACCACTCATTTTGACCACAGCCTCCGCTGCAGCCAGCTCTGGCATGCTCATCCACCGCACCGGCGAATACCGCTTAATCCTTCAAGTGGGTATGGTGTTCATGACCCTGGGCGTCGGTCTCTTTACTTTGTTCAACACAGATACCTCTATTGCAACCATTGTTGGCGTCGAGGTGATAGCAGGCATTGGTATCGGCCTGTGCTTTCTGCCTCCTCTGATCGCATTACAGGCCCACGTTGTGCAGGATGACACGGCTACAGCAACATCGACGTTCGGCTTCTTGGGTAACTTGGCCAATGCTCTATCCATTGTGATCGGCGGTGTCGTTTTTCAGAACAGCATGGAGTTACGGGTGAAAGCTCTCGCCCGTGCGGGGCTGCCGGCAGTTCTGAGCGACCAGTTATCAGGACATCATGCCGCTGCGAATGTCGAGCTTATTGGAACCATCAACGATCCGGTGCTGAGGCATGCTGTCAAAGATGCATTCTCTTGGAGCATGAGGAACATGTGGATACTGTATGCCTCCATGGCGGCGTGCGGAATCATTGCCAGCTTCTTCCTTTCAAAGGTGGTTCTCAGTAATGAACATACGGAAACGAAAACTGGCATTAAAAGGAAAGGACCAGAACCCGTTGCTGCCAGCAGCTGAAAGACTCTGGTGCGTTTTCCTCACGGGAAAATGGCTGTTTTAACGGCTTACATGCGCGGATAAATCAATGATACGACGAGCACATTGACACTATCAAATCTGGCACGGTGTATTATTTGGCCATAGCAACAGATGAACGCCGTTCACATTTGGGACGAAAAGTCCAGCCATTACCCCAGAACCAACTCAATAGCCTCCCTCTCTTTCGACTCCCACACTTCCCTGCTCACCTCTCCCACGCCCTTCCGGTACGCCACTCCATCGATCCATTCCACCCAAAGAACATTGTACCACTGCGGCACTTCAGCCCCCAACGGCTGCGCCCAACGCCGCCCACCCTTTTGCCTATACATCATCGACACTGCAATGAGCTCGACACGCACCGGCTTGCCTTTCTCATCCCCAAACAGCACTTGCCTATCAAGTTCCTCAAGACCCGAAGGGTCATGGACCCATAAGAATCCATGGTGGTCGTCCCCACAATTCCTGAATTCAGGATCGATGAGGCAGTAGTCTTTTGAGTCTGAGGAAGAATACTCAATTTCAAAAAATGCACGATGAGTGGAACAGCAGAGATAGCGGCCGTCGGAAAGATTATCTTCGAAGGCAGTATCATGCACATCATCTCGGCGTCTACCTCCCAGTGGGACCGGATAGCTGAATTTTACTCCCTCGATGGAATCATGTGTGTAATAGAACCGAGGAGGAAATGGGTCTCTCTCCTTACTTAGGGTTGCAGTTTTGTTGGAAGTGAAATTTGGGTCGAGTGTGTAGGCATCGAACTTTGAGCTCCAGCATTTTGGATCCTCGAGGTCGATTGGGGAACGTTTCCATCCCAGTGGCAGCCGCTCTTCGCTTGCGTTGGGGCCAGTATAGCGGGCCTTATAAGAAAAGCATTCGTTGTGCAGAAGTTCCATTGGTGCAGATTCCTTGATCCGTTTCAGTGACCATTTCACGAGAGGAACCACTCGCTTGAAGTAGTCTACGGAATAGAACCAGGTCTCGGGATTCCACAGAACGAAGTCCTCGTTTCTCCATAGGGAGCTATCTACCATGGTGCCTTTCCAAGCAACCCATGACCAGGTCGGGGCGTGTTTCAGAGGCTCATATGACTCGTGTGGATCCCAACGACGGGAGAACGGTGGGCGTCCATCCCCGTCAAGATACCAGCTTGCAGATCTCCAAATCAAGCACACGTCAAGGAACATCAATGGGATTCCCCAAAGAAAGCCTCCTGGAAAGCTTCGCGTCAGAGCTGTCGTTATTCCCGCGAATGCATTGACCGCGTCCTCGCTGCACGAGAAGTCTCGCTCACTGTAGGCGAAGGCCAGCGCTTTGAGAGCTTCCAAGTCTGGGAAGAGCGGTATTCGCGCCAGAGATGCCATCCGAACCGCTGTTACATCATTATCATATGCAGCAGATGATTCGGGTGTTGGTGGATCGCCAGCTTCCCGGTGCTCTTCCCAAAAGCATGTCTTCCGGCATTCCCACCTCACAGACTCGGCCACGAAGACGAGCCTTCTGCGAGAGAATAGATACTCCTGGAAGGTCCAACCACGTGTATTCCATGTTGTGTTGCTTATGCCACCTTCACTGGGCCAATTAAGTTGGGTTCCATCCGGCCAGGTGAGGATGCACCCGTTGCTACGCGGTGCAGATATGCCCTTCAAGCCGCTCAAGCCAGCTTCAGCGTCTGTACCCTCTGCAGCTACAATGGTGAGGCATGCGTTGGCGTAGACTGCCGCCATGTTATTGATGAGATGGGCGAGAGTCTCATCATCTTGGATGATGCAAAGCGCATCGACCCAGAGATATCTCTCCCCGAGGAGGCGGACAACGCTAAGTGCGTGGCTGATGGTTTTGGGGAGTTTCAGATCTGGCTGGAGAAAGGCACCTGGTTCTCTCAACCTTTGTAGGTTCTGTGTGGACGCTTTCACCACTTTCACTTGGCCCCAAACGTAGCTCAGCGCGACGTACGAGACTTCTTCTCCAGCTGGAACAAGACACTGCTCTTCCACGTCAATGAGCCATGTGAGCTGTGGGCGCGGTAGGCTTTGGGCGTTAGCTGTGGAACACTCTGCGCCGTGCTCTTGTTTGCAGATTTCTTTCCAGCTCTTAAATAACTCCTCGTCAATCCACATAGGGTCTAACGATCTTGAAATGCTGCCTTCGACATCGTATTGACCCACTCGGGAAATGAATAGCTCTCCATGAATCGTCCTGGGGTACTGGGTAATAGGTCCCCCAAGAACAATCTTCGACCCGTCCTTGGTAACAGTAATCTCGCTGTGGTTGCGGAAGAAGTTGAAGAACCATTCGTGCGTACTACAGACTTCACTTTCGAGAAGTGCCGCCGGCGGCCTCAGTGTAATGCTGCGTCCCTGCTTTCCTTTGGCGAGGTCAAGCATCTGCACACAAATCTCACATTTCCCACACCCCGTTCTCGCCTGTGTATCGTAAGCACTGTGCTCTACTTCTCAAATAATCGGTTTCCACTGCCTTTGAATTTGCCACACGATCAAGGTCTATTATACCCGAGCTGGCATTGCCACTTTCCAGTTTCATAGCTAAGACGTGTATGCAAAAGAATGCTTTCCGAGATGGAAGTTGGGTTGGTCGCTCCCAAACGCGAAGTTGCGGTGAGACGGCATGGCGCAACGAGGCGGGGTTTTTCTTCGCCCCCACGGAATCAAAAGTAAGCCACTGGCGTGTCTAGAAGCTTCCATCTCGGTGGGGTATAACTCTGCTTAGTTGCTCAAAAATACGCGCAGGACATGGGAGTCAATCATGAAGTGCGTATTTCTACCTACAGCTTTGATCTCTCATTTCATCTCCTAATAAGTATATCGGAAATCCTCCTTTTCTTTGTCCGTTCGGTCCGAGAACGCGTCTACAGTCCCTGTTGCCTTTCCCCCAATGCTATCTCTTCTTTTATTCTCAAAGGCACACATCGCACCGTAAGCCAGAATTGCAGCCATTGCCACAACCAAGCATGCCAAGAGGCCAGCGTATCCGTGAGGGTAATCTGGTGCGTCATTCGCGCGAAAGACTTGTGGGCCGATGATATTCCCCGTGCAATAAGCAATGAAGTAGATTGCGTTCATCGTTACCTTTTTGGAATGCCCTGAGGTGTTCACCATTGGCAATGACGACCCTATCACGTAGGGACCCCAGTATGTGTAGAAGATGTAGTAAGCCGCAAGTAGACCGGACTTGTTGGTTCGAGGAAGCTTCCACATGAGTACCGCACACATTATGGTGACGAGATTGCAGGATGCTGCGATGATACACCGGACATTCTTATAGCGCCCTGCAGGATACGCCAATATCCATGCCCAGATGGTAGCAATAATTCCAGTTGGAATCCCGAGCAAGGTTGTAATAAGCGCAGAATATCCGAGGCCAGAAACGATAATCGAGGCGAACGTGATCAACTGCAACAGTTAGAAGAATGCCAACACAAGAGCCTGGAGAACATACACCACCGTTGGGAATGTTTTGAGCAATTGAGAAGACAAAGAGCAGCCAAGTCTTCGGGTCACACAAGCACTCTTTGATCTGGTACCATTTAATCTCTTTGCTCTCCACACCCGTGTTGTTGTCCTTGATGCGTTGCAGACAAATGAACTTTTCGCGGTCGGTCATGTAGCGGCATTGAGCCGGTGAGTCTGGTAGAAATAGAAACACAACTACGGCCCAAAGAAGGGAGAAGCCTCCCAGGACCAGAAAAAGTAGCCTCCAGCTTGCGAGTTGTGTGTCGGCGTTGCCAATTCCGTAGCTAACGATTCCCGTGAAAATGGAAGAGAACTGAGACATCCAGCTAGACTCGCCACATTAGCATCAGGCCGTCTTCTTTCGTGAGGAAAATGTCTTACCAGGCAACTCGAATGGGCTGTTCTTGATTCTTCCACCACATGACGGTTATGATATTGCAGACCGGAAACAAACAAGCCTCAGCCATTCCCATGATAAAGCGAACAGCTGCAAGGCCAGCGAAGTTTTGCGTAGCGGCTGTGCAGCACATCATGATGGCCCAGACCAAGACCGTGACAGAGAAGAACTTCGCCACGGGGAGTCGTTGGATGAGAAAAGAAGTTGGATACTCAAATAGCAGAAATCCGAAATAAAAAATGCTGGTCCAAAAGCGTTAGCGGTACGTCATAGAACTTTTCAGAAAAATGCTTCATGTACCTTCCAACCCAAGCGTACTGATTTCCAACAAGATGCGTGTCATCCTTCATGCCATAAATGGCGGCGTTCGATATGACGACTTTGTCAACGGCAGCAACGATAGTGGAGATCCATATTATTGGAAGAATAGATAGATCAATCTTCCACAGGACCTTTCGGGCTTCGGCGGGCGTGATCGGAGTCTCTCTGATTTCATCGTCCAGGGTTGCGAGGAAGCGTGCGGCAACATCAATTACTTCACCCGTAATGTCTTCCGCGCTATCATGCACCGAGCCTTCGGGCGCTTTCTTCTCCGTGGTCATTTCGAATCGGAGTGACTGCGTGAAGCGTAATAAGGCACGAGGAATTGGAAAGAGTGTGCACCAAAGCACGGGAGAATTGGAAGTTGGATCTCTCGAGCTCGCAATGAAACGACTGGTAGTATTGAAGAGATAAAGCAAAAGGCTGGATTGATATCAAACTTGGCCTATCAACAGTGAACCTGCTCTTGTTCTTGGAATGTTACCCCCATGTATGCGGATGCAGGGATGGAGAAACATGTGCCGTTATCCGCGGCACAAGGGGCAAGACAACTGCGGGGACAAGATCCCGATGACGCGGGGATGCGTCGCACGTTTCCGTTCTGCGGGCACCCCTCAGCACAGGCCGATCGGCTTCTTTGAGGGTGCTGCCGACCACTGCTGACGGCCACTGGAGATGTGAAAGTATATCTTATCGGCAGAATGCGATAAGGATGGATGGACAAGCGAGGGAAAACGATAGCTGGAAGGGGGCTCGTTTTCGACCACCACTTTCGGATCGGCACACGGGCGGCCGACCCTCGCGATCATCGACCGTCAGCAGGCCACAACACTAGCGTCAAACCCCTCTTTGTGTTGCCTATCGATAGCCAACTCGGCCAATGTGCCACTCAATGCAGCATTCCTCCGCTGCCGGTGCCGCCGACACGCAGATGGACTCAGAACTCCCGTATCGACCATCCATCCTGGGCGCCCACAGTCATTGCCTTCGCATTTATATACCGTCGGACTTCTTGGGTGGGCGGTGAGTCAACAGCTTACTTCTTTGTCCATTTTGTTTGCAGCTGCGTTGAACATGTCTCCACACCACGTTGATCTTGAGGTAGATGGCTTGAAGATCAAGATTGCCATCGGTGAGTTTCTTTTCCTGCCGTGACACATGACCATACAAGTTGTGGCACTCCATGTAGCTTGGCATTGTATTGATTCCGTGTAGACAGAGGTGGCACATTCACGGACTGTTTGGGTATTGTTGAGGGCCGAGAAGATGACATTGTCGTCAAGCTCCTGTCTCAAGATCCTCAGAATTATGAAGACGCACCTATCGAGGGCATTCGACGTATCCTGGAGCAGGCTACGGGCAAGCCTTATCCGAGGGATGAGAAGTTGAACATCTCTGGCTTCTCGGAGTTTTCCATCCGCATGGGAACCACCGTTGCCACGAATGCCCTGCTGGAACGGAAAGGCGAGCGAGTGGCGCTTGTCATTACGAAAGGTTTCGCCGATTCCCTACGGATAGGCAATCAATCCCGACCTGATCTCTTTGCACTCAAGATTGTGCGGCCCGATGTTCTTTACCAAGACGTCGTCGAGATTGATGAGAGGGTCACAATCGAAGACTACCAGCAGAACCCGTTCCGAGATGACGACAAGATAGCTGCTGCATTGGAGACAGACCCGGACCTGGTAAAGGGGTTGAGTGGGGAAGTCATCAGAATTTTGAAGAAGATCGACGAAGATCAGGTCAGAGAGGACTTGCAGCGACTCTATGATCAAGGCTACCGCTCTATTGCCGTTTGCCTCGTGCATTCATACACCTTCCAAGATCATGAGTTGGCCATCCAGAGAATTGCAAGGGAAATTGGCTTCCCGCAAGTTTCACTCTCAAGCCAGTTGTTGCCAATGATCAAGGTTAGCTTCGTTTTTGCTCTGAACGACCAGACAGACTGATGTTTCCCAGATGACCTCTCGTGGAATCTCATGCACTGCCGACGCCTACCTCACTCCAGTAATCAAACGCTATGTGGAAGGCTTCCGGGAAGGCTTTTCTGATGGCCTACAATCTGAAAACTCGCGCTGCGAATTCATGCAAAGTGACGGCGGTCTCGTTAGCTACGACAAATTCTCTGGCCTCCGAGCCATCCTTTCTGGGCCTGCTGGTGGTGTTGTCGGCCATGCACGCACATCTTTCGATCCCGCCGATCCCACGCCAGTCATTGGCTTCGACATGGGTGGCACTTCGACGGATGTCTCACGATATGACGGCAAGCTTGAGCACGTCTTCGAGAACACAACTGCAGGCGTGACCATTGTGGCCCCACAGCTGGACATCAACACCGTTGCTGCAGGTGGTGGCTCGATCCTCTTCTGGCGGCACGGTCTTTTTGTCGTTGGACCCGACAGCGCTGGAGCACACCCAGGACCCGCCTGCTACAGAAAGGGAGGACCCTTGACAATCACCGACGCCAATCTGTTCCTGGGCCGCCTCCTTCCAGAATATTTTCCTAAAATCTTTGGCCCAAATGAGAACGAAGCTCTGGATGTTGAAATCACACGGAAGAAGTTCGCTGAGTTGGCCCGCCAGATCAACGAAGAAACGGGGCAGAACAAATCTGCTGAAGATGTTGCGCTCGGCTTCATCGATGTGGCTAATGAATCCATGGCAAAGCCTATCCGAGTACTTACGCAAGCCCGAGGATTCGATACATCAGCCCACAATCTGGCATGCTTTGGTGGGGCTGGCGGGCAACACGCCTGTGCCATCGCTTCATCATTGAATATTCGAACTGTGATAATCCATCGCTACTCCTCAATACTTTCAGCGTATGGAATGGCATTGGCAGACATTGTACACGAGGCGCAAGAACCATCTTCGGGAGTGTTTGATCAGGCTGCCATGGGGACTATTAAGGAGCGAATCATGGCACTGAAAAAGGTACAACACTCGCACGTCATGACTGCTTGATAATATTGGCTCACATCCGAACAGAAAGTAACCGCACAGCTTATCGGTGACGGGATTCCGCCCGACAGAATCGACTATGAGGTCTATCTCAACCTGAGATATAAAGGCACCGACAATCTTCTCATGATTCTGGAGCCCGCCTCGGGTGATTTCACGTCGGAGTTCCTCACCCAGCACAAGAGGGAGTTCGGGTTCAACAAACCTGGCCGGCCTATTCTCTGTGAGGACATACGCGTCAGGGGCATCGGAAAATCTCTATCAATCCCCACAGAAGCTCCACAAGCAGAGCTGAAATCCATCGCGACGACTGCCATCAGTACTGACAGGCAGGATGACGAGACTATTGTGTACTTTGCCAATGGTGGCCACCTCAAGACTCCCGTATTCTTCCTGGGTAGCCTCACGGCTGGTAGTAAGATTGCTGGACCGGCAATGATCATCGACGCCACGCAGACGATTGTTGTCGAGCCTTCGGCCACGGCAACAATCCTTTCCAAGCACGTTGTGCTTCACGTTCCCTCAGCAAGCAACAAGGATAGCGAGGGTGCCGATGCCATCGACCCGATCAGATTATCCATCTTTGGCCACAGGTTCATGTCAATCGCGGAACAAATGGGACGAACTTTCCAGAAGACGTCGGTCTCGACTAATATCAAGGAGCGTCTCGACTTTTCCTGCGCGCTGTTTTCGCCAGACGGTAAGCTGGTTGCTAATGCACCACATGTTCCAGTGCACCTGGGCTCGATGGAATACGCGGTCCGCTATCAACACGAGACGATGGGCCCGTCTCTCAAGCCTGGGGATGTCATCTGCAGCAATCACCCTCTGGCTGGTGGTACGCATCTCCCAGACATCACCATCATCACGCCAATCTGGGACGACGCCGGGAAGGAAATCATCTTCTACGTAGCGTCCCGAGGCCACCACGCCGAGATCGGTGGGACACACCCAGGGTCGATGCCCAGCGACAGCAAGATGCTGTACGAAGAAGGGGCGCAGACGATGGGCTTCAAGATCGTCAGCAACGGCGTCTTTGACGAAGAGCGGGTCCGTCAATTCCTCGTCGACGAGCCAGCCAGCTACCCCCACTGCAGCGGCACCCGCACCTACAACGACAACGTGTCGGACCTCATCGCCGCCATCTCGGCCAACCAAAAAGGCGCCTCCCTCATCGCCGCCCTCGTCGACGAGTACACGCTGCCCGAAGTGCACAAGTACATGCGCGGCATCGCCAGCACCTCGGAAACCGCCGTCCGGCACTACCTCAAAACCCTCGCCGCCTCCCGCGGTTCCTCCAGCGGCGCACCCCTCACCTTCACCGACCACATGGACGACGGCACGCCCATCACCCTGGCCATCACCATCGACGCCGCCACCGGCTCCGCGCTGTTCGACTTCACCGGCACGGGCCGCGAGACGTTCAACTGCCTCAACGCGCCCATCGCCATCGCGCACTCGGCCATCATCTACGCGCTCCGCTGCCTGATCGGCGTGTCGATCCCGCTGAACCAGGGCTGCCTGGCGCCCATCACGGTGCGCATCCCGGAACACACGCTGCTCAACCCGTCCGCCGCCGCCGCCGTCTGCGCGGGCAACCCCATCACGTCGCAGCGCATCACCGACGTCGTTCTCGGCGCGTTCGCCGCGTGCGCCGCGTCGCAGGGCTGCTGCAACATCCTGTCGTTCGGGACCGGCGGCCGGGATCCTGTCACCGGCGAGGTCATCCCCGGGTTTGGGGTTGGCGAGACGATTTGCGGTGGCAGCGGCGCGGGGCCCGGGTGGGTGGGCGAGAGCGGCGTGCATGTGCACATGACGAATACGCGCATTACGGATCCCGAGGTGCTCGAGCTGAGGTATCCGGTTGTGCTGAGGCAGTTCGCGCTAAGGCGAGGGTCTGGAGGCAAGGGGGAATGGGATGGTGGCGATGGGGTGGTAAGGGAGATGGAGTTTAGGATGAGAGTGAGTGCGAGTATGTTGAGTGAGAGGAGGGTGTTCCGGCCGTATGGCATGGCCGGAGGAGGGGCGGGTGAGGCTGGGTTGAATCTGTATGTGAGGAAGGAGAAGGGGCCGGACGGCGTGGTGAGGGAGAGAATCGTGAATATTGGAGGGAAGATGGAGTTGGATGTGCAGCCGGGAGAGCGCATCATCATTCATACGTAAGTGCTCCACTTCACCCTTCCCTGACCGGAGTCATTGTTCTTGAAGTCTGACAAATAATTGGAAATAGCCCTGGAGGTGGCGCTTGGGGTGCCGCGGTGGACAAGGAATAGATGGGTATCCATGGACAGCTTTCATGTAACGATGCGCAGATGAGGTCAAGGGCAGTAACAACCCTCATTTCTACTGGCTTGCCCAAGGGTGCGAAGAGACTTACCAAACTACACATTCTGTTGATGACACAGCAGTCTTGTGTACAATGTGCTGTGGGTGAGTTAATCTTCGACATAACAGCAGCTGCAGGGAGCGGCTGAAATGCACGCTTATTGAATATTAAATTTACTTGTTGAGTGCGTGAGGAGCATCATACTCGAGCTGAGGAAAAGCAATACTGTTGCAACGCTGCGGGTGACGGCCAGCCAAATTGCGCAGAGCTTTAATGTGGGGTTCGCGCCGCCGGAAAGCGGGGTAGTTGACGATGGGGGCGTCGGACACGTTCATGACAGCGCTGGTGCCTCTGAGGTACATACAATTGAAGCTGGATGCCTAATTGCTGGTCATGGGATCGAAGTCGTTGCTGCTCCGAAGTTATAAAAGATGTGTTCTCATGGTTGAAAGTTGGCAGCGGACCGGCGTGCAGCTGCGCGCTTTCAACCGTGTTGGCGTTTTTAATCATCTTGTGGCAGCTGAAACGCGGGGCTGTCTTACTACCACCAGCCACACGTAGCAGGCAGGGTCATGATGTAACATTATTGCGAACTCGTAAGAATATCTAGATAGTCTCGGAAAATGTCCAACTAGCAAAAGACGTCATAGACACTGAACCTGAAAAGAAACCAAATTTCCCCGCGGCTATAGACATATAGCTTCATAGTCTTTCAAGAGCGGTGCAACAACTTCCTCTACAAATCGTCTTCTAAAACGGTAGCTTGCAAAGCTGTACTCTTTTAGCGGCTGATAGCCGCTATCCACATCAACTTTCGGCTCGAAACACCAATTAACCGCACAGGTATACCTCGAGGCCTGTGCCGGCGCATGGCAGTTGAGTTCTTCGACCAGCTGGCCAACCGTGTCTAGTCGAGCCATTTCGTCTTGCGGGGCATCTTCTTCCATGCAGCCAGAGAGCTTCTGCGCAAAGAAGAGCTCGAGCAATACGACGCAATGGGAGAAAAGCGTCCGTTTCTTGATTGTGAACACATTCTTCCGACATGGCTTTGTTATATCATGCGGTTGCGGAGGCTGGTTGAATTTCTCGTAGATGAAGAGACGATATCCGTTATCTGCTTGCCTAAAATGCAGGTCTTCGAGCCCCCAATCGTTCCCGAGCCACGGCGTATGGTAGAGCTGCAGTACTGCTGAGGCCAGTGCAAGGGCAACGGAACTTCTGTTTGCATATCAGGACTTGGTACGGATAAAATTGGTTTCAATATACCTTTCTTTTGGACTCAACAACTTTCTTCGCCTTCTAGAGATTATGCTCGAAAGCCTGTCTAGTTTTTCGTGCCATGCCCAAAGCACCCCTGCTTCATGGGCGTGGTAGTGATAGTGTTCGCACACGAATGATCCAAGATGTGATGTGTCTGAGCATTTCTCGCCAAATGAGCTGCACAGATCATTAATGATGACTCTGGTACTGATCTCTTCTTCATCTGAGCTTGGTTCTGATGAATCCCTCGTGTCTGGAAATTGGAATCTGACATTTGAAGGCCTTCTGAACATTCAGTAAGACGGACCATGGTGCCGTTTGAGAACTTAACCCACTTTTTGGCAATACATTTCTGATAGTTCACGAAAATATCGCGTTGTGTCCAGGGAGGTGTATGAGAGTCATCTCCGATGCTTTGTAGAATGAACGAGAACTCAAACGATGCTGTGACGAGATGTGGATCTTTTCTTCCCGGGACGCGGAGCAACAGTCATGCGTCATGCCTATGTGAAGTCTTGCAGGACTGGGGCCAGCTATTCGCGATAGCGTCGCACAAGTTAAGGCTATACGGTTGCACTTCGAGCCATTGGTCGGGGACGTCCAAGCTGTCGCTATCATCCCACTGGCGTCGCACTTCTTCAGCAGCCATTGATCCTTTAAACAGTTGGTCAAGTTGATCAATATCAGACTTGATGTCGTTCATGAGATCTTGATGGCGCCCTTGCATAAGAGCTCGCTTAACATTCTTGTGTTTTTTGAAGAAGCGCGCGCAAAGTTTCTTGTCAATCCTATTATGCGATCCATTCTTGGACAAAGATGGAACACTGAAGTCCTCATTCAGACCCAGCTTCCGTCCGAGGCGCTTGAATTTCTTCAGAGTTCGGGTGCAGGAGTTCAAAAAGGCTTCGAAACCATCCTTTCCGAGTGCTCTACGTAGCTCCATTGCTACTTCTTCGTCTTTCCACGGTTCAGAACGTTTAGTCAGTTCCCGGCATTTGGAAGGGGTGAGCTTCAGTTTCCTTAGGTAAATGTCGAAGCCGTTCTTAAGGTTTACCATGTTGACAGTGAACGTGGTGTACGATTCATGGAATTGATCTTGGTAATTCATCATTTCCTTGACTGTCGATGCCTACGGCAGATCATCAGTTTGAATCGGCGATGGGTTTGCGGAATGCCTTCTTACGCCTTGTATGTACCTAGAGCTAAGACATCTATTACGCGCCCTTTACTAGCTCGTAAGAGTAGAGAGTTCCTCCGGAAGAATACCCGAGTGGCTGCATTAGGCGAGCTGAAACCCGGAGGTCCGGTTCCCTGCTGCACCTTCTTCTTTGGGAATCCTTACCGACACGTTGTTGGACTCCACCCACGCTGTTGGACTCCACCTACTGTGAGACTCCCCCCACGCTGTCTCCACACCACTATCCGTTAAACGGATAGCAAGCCGTCCGCGGTGGATCCCTGTCACGTTATTTACTGTCCCGTCTCGTTATAAATTGCTCTTTGTAACGAGAAACTAAGCCTTATAAGGCAAAATAATTGGTTTTGAAGGATTGAAATTTGGGTTGTAAACTCGGCCCCCATCCCCGTGAAAATATCGTCTACTACAGCTACTGGCTGCTTCTCTTGTTTCTTATAACGTAAACTGGGTCTACCCTGTCGTCGTCATGCACTCGCATTCACAAGGATGCGGTGCCGATCTCAGCCGCAGCTGCCTGCTGGTGCTATCGATTAGGCATTATAAATCCAAGGCTGGGTACGGGAAACATGTAAGCTGGGCGATCGCACGGGTCGGAGAAGCCCGACGGGCTGATCTGGGTCGGTTAAACGGGAGGAGGAGGAGTGGGCCAGAACCGGGGGAAAGGGGTGGTGTGAACGCGATTGTCGTTAATGCTGCAGCAATCGATGGTGAGCCAGGTCAAGAAGAAATGATTCAGGGTCTCGATGTTGAGGCTCTCGGTATCGGTGATTGCGGTGTCATGAACGTGTATACGTCCGGCCCTGCCATTGGTGCATTTCGAGAAAATGAATCGTCCGCAGTAGTCGTCATTTCAAGGCTGGCGAATGCACGGATGGGGCTCAGTGGGGTGTCGTGATAGTCGTCATGGTCGTTGGCTCTCCGGGCTATTCGTTCGGTGGTGACGATGCGATCCCCGTTAGCTGTTAGTCGATCCACCGGAGTTGTCGTTGCTCCGTTTGTCCCGCCTGTTCCCGGAGTCTGGGCTGCAAGGGGCTCTGCATGTGCTCCAGGCCCGAGCGCGGCGCAGCGTACCGTAGAATTCTTCGGAAGGATTCCATTCGAAACTCGTTTAATTTTGGATTCGTGACAACGGCCGCACGCATTACAAAGGGTCGTACGCGGCATGGCGAGTATATCTGCGGTTGCAATCAAGGCCTACTGGAGAAATTGTAAGTAAATACAACAAGTTTCAATGGGACCGGAGTATTAGTGTCCAAACCGGAGTTGTTGCTGTGGCATTTCTCTGTGAAAATTCGTGTAGGTCTTCTGCATCAAAAATTGCCGCTTCTACACGCCGAGGCGTTCCATATCAAATGCAACACTTTCCATGTTTGGCTAGTACCCTTGGTGGTTCTGAGCAGATAGCTTGTTGGATCACAAATTTCATAGCCCGGAAACGCCAGTGAAACATTTCCTCAGATGCAGAATGGCAGGTTCACTGACTTATATTCATTTTTTACTTTCCATATTTGTTCGATTCATCTTAGTGCCGGCGTTCGAAGAAAAAGCTACCCGGAGAAGAGTTTACTGGAGACAGCAAACTGAGCACAAATGGGGTCGCCCATATCTCAAGAAGCCTTGGCGGAAGTTACCAGTAGTTTCGACGGTAGCCCAATACGGGCGCTGGTGTGGCCGGGAATGTGTTCCTTCAATTGATAAGAAGTAAAGTCCGGCTCGAGCGGTGCAGCATGCAGACCAATTGGGCAACCCCCGGGCTGGCCAATCAGGGCACGGTTCGCGGACCACATACGAGCTCCTTCGTGCACCCGGTCCGGGCCGCCTTGCATATCAACCGACAACTCGCACGAACGCACGCTAAGCCGGACGAAATAACGTCCATGGCATGTGGAGCTTGATGTGCTCGCAAACCCCCACTACTTGCACCCCCAGACATTTGCCTTGCCCGGTTTCCTCCACCCCCGGCTGGTCTGCGATTACGCGGTCCGTGACCCTGAGTCACGGTCTGCCCATAAGCAGGCAATGGAAATTACTCTTTCGGGCAACCGCAAATCCTACAGGAATGGCCGTATATATAGCACTGCAGTTGTCTAACGCACTTGCAGGAACTAAGCATTGGCTGCTGAATCGACATAATCAATGTTTGGAACCCTCGTTTCGGACGTTCGGAGCAAAGAGGCACTGGTGTTTGTCGAGAATACCGATCAAGCCTCAGCCCTCAGTCGCAGTCGGCGCGAAAAGATCCACATTTCCTGCGTGGCATGCCGAGCACGGAAGGTAAGAATGTTCCACCCATGTTCTCCTCCAGATCAGGTTTTGTTCAGAATGGCTGAGAATCAACGCAACTCCAGGTCCGCTGCAGCGGCCAGCCATCGGGGTGCGATCGATGTGCTGCAGTCTTTGCCGAGTGTCGATATCCGGCCGGTGAGGGACGCAGGCGAAAAAGTAGTACCAACTCGTCTGCTGCACCGTCACGGCAGAGCCCACAGCCCGTTACCACAGCAGCTGGCCCAATTGGCACCGTGAGCAATTCTCCACCACCACATACGAACATTGACGAGATGCCTGAAAACATGCAAGACTGGTTAAACATGGACACGGACATCCCGGATGCGCTCTCGATGGCGCTGCTGGAACCATCAGGACTGGAAGTCGGCATGGATGACGCAACATGGGACTCGCTCACGCGAGAAGCCAGCCGCCTCATCGGTACGTCAGCGAACATAGCACCTTTCTCCTCACGAACGACACGGCCAACAAGGTCCAACAGAATCCAGCGCCGACACCAGCCCCGACGATGCACTCTCCACCAACCCGGCGATCTCCCCGCTGCTCCAACAACAGTCCCTGGGCGACCCAGAGCGTTGGCACAGCGCTCCCGACCTCAATCGCTGGTTCGTCGACCAGCACCAGCAACCTCTCCCGACCCCCATGCCCTCGACAACGTCATCCCATCACAATCAACCCCCACCACCACCACAACAACGCCGCCAATCCTACGCCTCGGCGCCGCCGCCCCCCAAACCCAGCTGCCACTGCCTCCAACTCGCCGCCAGCCTGCTCGAAGACCTGTCGGACAAACGCGCATGCTCTTTCGACGGCCTCTCCCCCCCGCTCGACGTCCTCCTGCACTTCTCGCGGCGGGCGCTCAACCGCGCGGCGGCCATCGTGGCGTGCGAGCGTTGCGCGTCGCTCAGCGAGGCCAACATGCTGCTCGCCATGGCGACGCAGTACATGAGCACCATCTTCGAGCGCGTGGTCAAGGGCTGCATCGATATGCAGCGGGCGAGCAGCAAGAGCGGCGGCGGCGGCAGGCGGGGGCGGGCGTCGCGGAGCGCGTCGCCGCTAGGGGAAGATGGGGGGTGGGGCAGCGAGAGCGGTAGCAGTGGTGGTGGGGCGGCAGCGGCGGACCACCACATGTGGTTCTCGAGCTACTGCATTGAGAATGTGGGTGAGAGGGCGGCTGCCGTGCAGGGGTTGGCGTCGGTGCAGCTGGGTGAGTATTTGCGGATGCTGCGGACGCTGAAGGCCCGGGCGGCCGGGCGGCCGGGGCATTTGGTCTTGCTAAATGAGGCAGATCAAAAGATTAAGGCTGTGAGGGCCATGATGATGCTGCCGTCGTCGGATAGGCCCGGTTCGAAGGGGGGCCAGGAGCGGGGAAGTCTTCTAGATCTGTAGTGGGTGATTCTAATGCGAGGAAGGCTGTTTGTAGTTTTTTTGTTCCTTTCGCGCGTTCTAAGATAGATGGCGATAGGGGATTGTCTGGTTTCAAAATATCCTACCCGGCGATATGGGCTCATTTTGCTCGCAAAAGACTACCGAAAGAGTTCTACAGCACGAAAAGTCCTCTTTCAAAACACATGGTACGTAATTCATAATATTTTTGAGTCTATTCTCAACATAGAGTGACAAGATCAATCAAAAAAAAAATAATAGATGCTCATAGATGCAAAGTTGCCGTCCTCTCCGACATCCTTATCGCCCACTCCATCGCCCTCACCACAGCCTTGACCTCGCCATCCTTCTGCGGCGGCTGATGGCCCCCCGAATGCTCCAACCGCCTACTCAACCTCTCGTCGCAAATCCCATGAGCAACGTCGGACATATTCCGCATGAAATCGTGATCCCGCTTGCCCACGACGTGCACCGTCGGCACGGCGATCTTCTCGCGCAGCAGCGGGCCGCACATCAGGCGCGGCGCCTCGCTGCCATCTCCGTCGGTGTACACGCCGACGTCGTAATCCGGCAGCAGCGCGTTGTGCTTCTTGGCCGGCAGGATGGTGCGCCGCAGCACCTCGACGAACAGCGCCGCGTCGGCGCTCAGGCCTTCTTCAGCGGCGCTGGGGTACGACGAGGTAATCTCGCTGCCGGCTGGGAGAGCCAGCAGCCGCTGGACGACGTCGTGGCAGTACTCGGCGTCGCCGGAGCACGGGATCACGCTCGAGAAGCACAGCGCGAAGCGGAACGGCGGCGGCTCGCGTCGCGTCTGCTGCTGGTGGATGTAGGAGAGGGCGAGCGCCGCGCCCTGGCTGAAGCCGAGGACGCCGTCAAAGGGCCCGGCGTCGGCGATGAGGTCCGAGAGGTGGGCGAGGGCGTCGGAAATGGCGCTGGGAGAGTAGGAGGAGGTGTGCGAGAAGAAGTGGCCGTCGAGGAAGGCGGCCATGCCTGTTGCTTGTTAGTTTCTCTCTCTCTCCCTCTTTTTTTCTCTTATGCGATGCTTACCCGGGCCGCGGGGTGACGGCACGGGGCCGTCGACGAAGACAAATTCGACGCACGGGTCGACAGCACGCATGAAGGGCCGCAGCTGGCTCTCAAGGATAGCGGCAGAGCTGCCGACTCCGTGGAGACAGAGGATTCTCATGGTGGGCAAAGAGGGAGAGAGCAAAAAGAGGAAATGGTTGGCGGCGATGATGAGTGGCAAGTACCACTGTGACGACCCGAGGCAGACTATCGACTTTTTCATGTGCGGCTGTGATAGATACATTTGGATGTGAAGTGGATGCTCGCGCTCAGGCCCGATTTGGCACGAGCCGAGCGGCTTTGGGCCAGAAGAGGAAATAACTTTCGGCACGTCGGCCCGCTGCTAGTACATTCCCAAGGCGACCTCGGCGAATGCCGCGGGAATGGTTGGCCCATTGCGGACGTCGAACGGACGGATGGAACTACTCGACCAAATGGGGATTGTGTTCGAGCAACGGGTGTGGAAGGCCCAACTTGGTAGCATACCCGTTCCGTCCAACACCACCGTGTAGATGGTTTGGATACGCTGCTGATACTTAATTCATGGCACGAGCAGTATACTTTCAGCCAATCGTCGCTTTCACTTCCTCACGTCCATCAGCCAACGATTCCACAGCACTTCAGGACAAGACAAACAACAAGCTCAAAGATGGACGACAAGCAAGAGCCAATTGCCATTATCGGTGCTGCCTGCCGCCTGCCGGGCCAGGCTTCGTCACTGGGCAGTCTGTGGGACATGATCAGCAATGCTCGGACTGGCCACGGCAAAGTTCCTGCGGACCGCTGGGATGGAGACATCTGGCACCACCCAGACCCCGACAGGAAAGGAGGAGTAAGTGCATCACAAAGAACCTGATGATGGGCTGTTGTTTACAGTGAGCAGATCGCAGTCAAGCATGGATACTTCCTGCAGCAGGACATCAGCCACTTCGATGCTCCCTTCTTCTCGACGACGGCCAAGGAGGCTGCGGCAATGGACCCCATGAAGAGATTACTGCTCGAAGTCAGCTACGAGAGCATTGAGAATGGTGAGTTGGCTCCGAAATGATGAGATGAGACGGCTCAACTGATGGTGCAACGCAGCGGGCATTCCGGTGGAGTCGTTGATGAACTCGTCAACGGGCTGCTACGTTGGGTGCATGACCAACGACTACGAAATGATGTCTCTGCACGACATTTACGATATCGGCCACAACGCCGCATCGGCCACCAGCGAGGCCATGACGGCGAACCGCGTGTCGTGGTTCTTTGGGCTGCGCGGGCCCAGCCTGACGCTCGACACGGCTTGCTCATCCAGCTTGTATGCGCTGCACCTGGCATGCCAGTCGCTGAAGCTGGGCGAAACGAACATGTCACTCGTGGCAGGAGTCAACCTGATCCTCAACCCGAACACGATGCATCAGCTCTCGGCCATGCACATGCTGAGCCCCGAGGGCATCTCGCACGCCTTCGACGACAGGGCCAACGGCTACGGACGTGGAGAAGGTATCGGATGCATTGTGGTCAAGCGTCTGTCGGATGCTCTGCGCGATGGCGACACGATCCGAGCCGTCATCCGCAACACGGGGGCCAATGCCGACGGCAAGACGCCCAGTATCACGTCTCCCAGCGCCGAGGCGCAGGCGGAGCTGATCAGGAAGACTTACGAGGCTGCGGGACTCGAGCAGACGTCGACGCAGTACTTCGAGTGCCACGGCACCGGCACGCCGGTTGGGGTGAGTTGGTCCTTGATTTTCCCTCTCTTCAGCGTGGTTAGTTAACAAGACTCGCAGGATCCCCTCGAACTGGAAGCCATCGCAAAGACTCTCGGAGCGAGCAGAGCGGCGGCTGGGCTGGGGCCGCTCTACATCGGCAGCATCAAGCCCAACGTCGGGCACACCGAGGGCTGCTCGGGGCTGGCAGGCGTGCTGAAGGCGGTGGCGTGCCTGGAGAACGGCATGCTGGCGCCGACGTACGACGTGCAGAGGGTCAACCCCAAGCTGAAGCTGGCCGAGTGGAACCTGGCGCTGCCGGCGGCGACGATGCAGTGGCCGACGCGCGGGCAGCGGCGCATCAGCGTCAACTCGTTCGGCTTCGGCGGCGCCAACGCCCACGCCATCCTCGACGACGCCCACCACTACCTGACGGAGCGCGGCCTGGTCGGCAACCACAACACCAAGGTCTTCGACGACGACGGCTCCGAGTCGGCCGTCTCGCTCGGCTCGCAGACGCCGCCCGACACGGCGCCGCACAAGCGCCTCTTCGTCTTCAGCACCAAGGACCAGGCCGGCATCCAGCGCCTCGCCAGCGCCTACGCCGACGCCCTCGGCGGCGGCCCGGACAAGACGGACGCGCGCTACCTGGACAACCTCGCGCACACGCTGGCGGCGCGGCGCTCGGCGCTCGACTTCCGCAGCTTCGCCGTGGCGTCGTCGGCGGCGGAGCTGCGCACCAAGCTGGCGGGCGGCCTGCCCAAGCCGAAGCGCGCGCTGCGCCAGGACAGCAGCCTCGTCTTCGTCTTCACCGGCCAGGGCGCGCAGTGGCCCGCCATGGGCCGCGAGCTGCTGGCAAACGACGTGTTCCGCGCCAGCGTCGACGCGTCGCAGCAGCACCTGCGCGCCCTGGGCTGCGAGTGGGACGCCGTCGAGGAGCTGGAGAAGACGGCCGACACGGGGTCGCGCGTGCACCTGCCCGAGTTCAGCCAGACGCTGTGCACCGTGCTGCAGATTGCCCTGGTGCAGCTGCTGAAGTCCTGGAACGTGGTGCCCGGCGCGACCGTCGGCCACTCGAGCGGTGAGATAGGTACGTTGAAGTGATGATGCAGATTGCCCGTGGTCCCCGCTGACAAGACGCAGCTGCCGCCTACGCCGCCGGCCTCGTCTCGCACGCCGATGCCGTCAAGATTGCCTACACGCGCGGTCTCAGCTCTGCCAGCGTCGCTCGCAAGGGCGCCATGCTGGCCGCCGGCCTCTCGCGCGACGAGGCGGCCGAATACCTCGCCAAGGTGCCCGCCGGCGCCGCCGTAGTTGCCTGCATCAACAGCCCGTCCAGCGTGACGCTGTCGGGAGACGTCGAGGCCATCGACACGCTGGAGCGCCTCATCTCGGGCGACGCCAAGTTCGCCCGCAAGCTCAGGGTCCAGACGGCGTACCACTCGCCGCACATGCGCGAAGTGTCGGACTCGTACGTCGCCCGCCTCGGCACCCTCACGCCGCCGCCCGCCCAGCCCGACGACGTCCTGCCGACCATGTTCTCGTCGCTCACCGGCGAGCCCGTGGCCTCGGCCGCGCAGCTCGATGCCCGCTACTGGGCCGCCAACATGTGCAACCCCGTCGAGTTCTCGGCCGCCGTGTCGGCCCTGCTCGCCCGCCGCCGCACCAACTACGCCGGCTTCGTCGAGGTCGGCCCGCATGCCGCCCTGCAGGGCCCCGTGCAGCAGATCGCGGCCGCGAGCGCCAACAAGGCCGCGCGCGAGGCCGTCTACACGTCGCTGCTCTCGCGCGGCAAGCACGGCGTCGACACGGCCCTGGCCGCCGCCGGCCAGCTGTGGGCTCTGGGCCAGCGCGTCGACCTGGCCGCCGTCAACGGCGTCGCCGCATCGCCGCTGGGCGCCCCGCCCAAGGCCCTGGCCGACCTGCCCGCGTATCCCTGGAACCACTCCAAGGGCTACTGGCACGAGTCGTACCTGATGCGCGCCACGCGCTACCCGCTTGCTCCCCGGACCGACCTTCTGGGCGTGCCCGAGCCGCTGCAGAACCCGCTCGAGCCGCGGTGGAGGAACCACCTGCGCGTGTCCGAGAACCCGTGGATCGAGGACCACAAGATCACCGGCACCATCCTGTACCCGGCCGCCGGCATGCTGGTCATGGCCCTCGAGGGCGCCCTGCAGACGGCCGCCGAGAAGCAAAACGTGCGCGGCTTCCGCTTCCGCAACGTCAGCTTCGAGCGCGGCTTGGTCGTGCCCTCGGGCGACGATTCTGCCGTCGAGACGCGCCTGAGCCTGCGGCCGCTCGAGGGCAAGCCCGCCGGCCACTTCGGCTTTGTCGTCTACTCGACCACGACCGGCACCTCGTGGACCAAGCACTGCTACGGCACTGTGGCGCTCGACGTCGTCCCCAGCGCGGCCAGCGGCGTCGAGGACTCGTCCGTCGACGCCCTGTGGGCGCGGCAGTCGGCCACGTTCAAGCAGCTGCAGGGCGCCGCCGGCACCGAGGACGTCGACGTCGACGACTTCTACGCGCACCTCGACGCCATCGGCATGGAGTATGGCGACACGTTCCGCAACGTCGTGGCGCTGGCGGCCGTCCCCGCGCACCACGCCGCCCACGCCCGCGTCGTGCTGCCCGACACCAAAGCCACCATGCCCGCCGACGGCTTCGAGTTCCCGCACGTCATGCACCCGGCCACCATGGACTCCATCTTCCACATGGTGCTGGCCGCCCTCGACGAGGGTAGGCCCGTCAGGGAGGCCGCCGTGCCCTACCACATCGACGAAATGTTCGTCGCCGCCGACCAGCCGCACACGCCCGGCGACATCTTCACCGGCTACGGCAAGCTCGTGTCCAAGAGCGGCGACGGCCACGAGCTTGTGGGTGATTTGATCGTGTCGGACGAGGCCTGGTCGGCGCCAAAGCTGACGGTCAAGGGCTTTGCGCTGCGCCAGGTCACTTCGGCTGATGCGGCGAGCGGCGACGCGGCGGCCTATGAGCTGACGCAGACTGCGGAGCTGGCGTGGGAGCAGGATGTCGACTTCTGCAAGACGACTGACAGCGAGGAGCCGCTGGCCCGCTGGCTGGACCGTCTCACGCACAAGACTGCCGTTGGAGAGGTCCTGCTCGCGGTTCTCGACGGCGCAAACCCAGCTTCCGTCCCGGACGCCATCCGCGATGCCGCCAAGCTTACTGCGAAGTTGTCTGCAGTGGCCACTACAGCCGAAGCCGTCGAGCGCCTCGCCTCGCAGCTCCCAGCGTCCGCTCCCGCACCGCGGCTATGGGATGTTTCTGCCGGCCAGCCTTTGCCGGCTCCGCAAGAGGCATACGATCTCGTCATCGCCGTCGGCAGCGAGCCCAATGCTCTCGCCCATCTGCACCAAGACAAGTCTCTGGGCGGCTACATCGCCACGGTGCAGGGCTCCAAGCCCCTCATCACCGTATCCGCAACCGCGTCTCTCGCCGCCTCTCAACCCCCGGCCACGCCCCCCGCCGACGTCTACCTCCTCCTCCCCTCGACGCCCTCCCCCGCCACCACGGCCGCCGCATCCGCCCTCACCGCCGCCCTCTCCACCACCACGACGGTCCACACGGCCGCCTTGACGCCCGCCGGCGTCGCCCCGCTCGCCGGCAAGCACGTCATCTCCCTCCTGGAGCTGCACTCGCCGCTCATCTACGCCTGGACCGCCGACGAGTTCGCCGCCTTCAAGCAGGTCATCTCGACGGCCACGCACGTCCTCTGGCTCACGGCCGGCGGCGTGCTGGACGAGTGGTCTGGCGGCGTCGAGTTCGCGCCGGCGCAGGGCCTGCTGCGCGTGCTGCGCAACGAGTACCCTCTCGTCTCGCTGCCGCACCTCGACGTGTCGCCCGGCTTCGACGCCGCGAGCGCCGCCGGCGCGAACCTCGTGCTCGCCGTCTGGCGCAGGAGCCTTGTCGAGAACGGCGCCGAGATGGAGTACGCCGAGCACCGTGGCGCCGTGTACGTGCCTCGTGCCATTGGCAGCGCGCCGTTCGATGCCGAGCTGAGAAGGGCCGAGGGCGTCGTGCAGCCCGTTCCCACGAAGCTGGCTGAGGCTGGCCCGAGGGAGCCGAGCGAGGCCTTGGCTGGTGGTGAGTTCCTGTGGGTTGAGGATGACGAGGCTGGCCGTCCGTTGGCGGCGGATGAGGTCGAGGTCGTCGTCGAGGCGGCGGGGGGCTTGAGTTCGGGCGAAGAGAAGAAGCTCCCGGCCCTGGCGAGCGAGGCTGCCGGCGTGGTGGCTAGACGCGGCGAGAAGGTGACCAAGTTCGCCGTGGGACAGCGCGTGGCTGTCTTGCAGAGCGGTGGCTGTCTGAAGACGCACGTCCGCCAGAAGGAGTCGCTTGTTGCGGCACTGCCCGACGGCGTGAGCGCTCAGGATGCGGCGGCCCTGCCCGGGGTCCTCGTCGCGGCGCAGTACGCGCTGCTGGAGGTTGCCCGGCTGCACAAGGGACAGACGGTGCTCGTTCACACGGCCGCCAGCGCGCTGGGCCAAGCTGCCGTCCAAGTGGCGCAGCTGGCCGGCGCTGATGTCGTTGCGCTGGTGAGCTCCAGGGACGAACGCGAGCTCCTGATGCAGCGGTACGGCGTGCCAGCATCCCGCATCTTCGACTCGGCGCTGCAGACGTTCGTCACGCACCTTGAAACCACGCCCGTCGACGTCATCTTCGGCAGCGCGCCGTCGCCCGCCGTCGAGCCGTCCCTCGACGTCCTCGCCGAATTCGGCTTCTTCGTCGACCTCGACGGCACGAGCAGGACGCTGGCCCTCCCTGCCTCCAAGCGCAACGCCTCCCTCGTCCGCATCGACATGGCCGCCGTGCGCCGCGCCAAACCTGCCACCGTCGCCGCCCTGTTCCAACGCACCTTCGACCACGTCCGCACCAGCGCCCTCAAGCCCATCCCCGCCCACTCGACCCCCGTCACCACGGCCGCTTCGGCTCTCACCCACCACGAACCCCAGACCACCACAACGGTCGTCACCTTCCCCACCTCCAGCACCGTCCTCACCACCCCCGCCCCGCCGGCCCCGCTCGCCCTCGACGCCAGCGCCACCTACGTCCTCGCGGGCGGCCTGGGCGCGCTCGGCCTGCGCATCGCCGACATGATGATTGCCCACGGCGCCAAGGACCTCGTCTTCCTGTCGCGCTCGGGCGGCCGCAAGAACGAGGCCGACCTGGCCGCCATGCGCGAGCGGGGCGCTTCCGTCGAGGCCGTGGCGTGCGACGTCACGGACGCGGCAAAGGTGCAGGCCGTGTTCGAGGGCATCGTGAGAGAAGGCGGCGTCGTGGGTGGAGTGGTGCAGTGCGCCATGGTGCTGCAGGATAGCATTTTTGACAACATGGGGTGGGAGAAGTGGAACGGCGCCTTCGAACCCAAGACGCGGGGGTCGTGGAACCTGCTGAACGCATTGTCGTCTTCGTCGGCGGCCAAGAGCAGTGGCAAGCAGCCCTTCTTCATCCTCCTCTCCTCCATCACCGGCATCATCGGCAACACGGCCCAAGCCAACTACGCCGCCGGCAACACGTTCGAAGACGCCCTGGCTCGCCACGCGCGCACCCGCCTCGGCGTCGCCGCCACCAGCGTCGACGTCGGCCTCGTCACCGACTCGTCCCACTTCACCGCCGCGGGCGAGTTCGGCGAGCTCGACGGCTACATCAACCGCTACAGCCACGGCTGGAAGGGGCTCAAGACGACGGTGCCAGAGCTTCTCGTCATCGCCGCCGCCCTGATGCGCGATGCTGCCGCCCCCGCCCAGCTCGTGCTGGGTTTGGCCGACAACCTCGTGCGCAGGCCTGCCGCCGGTGGCTTCCAGAACGACCGCAAGTTCGAGCTACGCATTTCCCGGGCCACTGCAGCCGACGAGGGCAGCGGCGGTGATGGTGCGAAGAAGGCCGCCACGGCCGACTTGTTGGCCCAGGCGGCGACGCTGGCCGAGGCGACGGCCGTCGTCGAGGAGGACATCAAGGTCCAGATTGCCGCCGCCGTGGGCGTTGCCGTCGACGAGGTCGATGCGCAGAGGCCGTTGTTTGACTTTGGTGGTAAGTTTTACTCAATGGTTGAGATTGTACCTGGCTGACGCTTGTGAAATAGTCGACTCCCTCAAGGCCGTCGAGATTCGCAACAGGTCGCTCAAGGAGCTGAAGAGCGACATCTCGGTCTTCGAGCTGCTGAGCTCGACGCCGCTGGCCGAGTTGGCGGCCAAGATTGCGTCGAGGAGCGGGTTGGTTACTGCAAAGAAGGAGGATGCGTAAACGATGAGTTTCAGATGTAGCTACTGTGATGAGAGACTTGAGAGCGGCTTGTTGGTATAGATTGAGATTGGATATTTCAGTATTTAGATTTGTTAGCGTTGTAGAGGTGGTGGAGTTGGTTGTTATTCTTGTACTCTAGCTTTGTTATTGATTTTGTCCTCTTAGTTATTTTCTTTAGACTTCTTCGGGATGTTATTTCGTTTAGCTACGCAATATAAATTAAATATTGTTAAGTCTTACCATTGCTTATGCTTATTGCCATATGCCGTGTATTTGATTTTCATACAACACCTAGCTTGACTCCCGTTTATCTCACGATATATATACACTATTCATCAAAGTCTCTTAAACAACATCACTACAACAGCTAGTATATACAATCGAGTAGTTTTACCGCTCATTCATAAGGAGTACCAGCGCTTAATTTAACTCATTTGCACTGTTGAATGATAGTAATCGAGAGAGGTACACCAGTTTCTATTCTGCTTAAAGCCTTATCATTAAGATTCTACATGCTCTTAAATTTGGTAATCGTACATCTGTCTCAATTCACGTACACTGCCATTGACTATCGACCATGGATACAGAGAAACAATGTTATGAATACTGAATGCTCTCTTGACTTGAGACGCTTTCGCTAGAGCTATGAATTCTGCGATTTATTTTAAAAGCACATGGTTTGATTGTGTGGCAACAGCATGAAAATTAATGAGTACTTCACAGTGCCGCAAAGAGTAAAAGGACACGGCAGTATTGCCCGATCAAGGATTACAGCAAGGAACAAGCATACGGACCATGAAAGCAAATACCAATCATTCATCTACACTACGCATCAATCATCGACCTCGGCACTCTCCGCGGAATCGTCGGCGGATAGGCGAATACCTCCTTCTCCATCTTCAGCGTCTCGTGGAACCGCGAATACACCACCATCAATCCAGCGACGCTCACCGACGACGCCAGACCCAAGCCAGTCAAGAAAGACGTAACCGATCCAATGCCGCCGACCTGCATTCCCTCATCCTCGGCCACTTCCCCCCGCTCCCTGCTCGACAAGCCCACCAGCAGCGCCGCCATGCCCAGCAGCGGCAACACGACCACCAGCGCCCACCCCGGGGACAAGGCGCTCTGCAACGAGCCTTTCGTCCGCGCGGACAGCGATGGCATCGACGACATTGCCGCCGCGGCGATGGACGAGCCGCGTCCCTTTTTTCCCGGCTCAGATCCTTCGAGCGGGCCGACGGCGTAGGCCTGCATGGTCTGCAAGGCGCCTTCGCTGTGGCCGGCGTAGTCGTACGTCTCGGTGGCGTCGGTGCCGGCGGTTTCGACCAGCACGTCGATGCCGCCCGGGTGGTCCACGGCGAAGGCGGTGAGGTTGTAGACTGGTCATGGTCGGGTGATTGTTCGGGTGTTGTCAGAAAGGTGGTTGGGCTACGTACCTTGGCCGTGGACGGCGAGCCACAAGTCTTCGCGCGTGCTGTGCGCGCGCAGCTGGGCGGCGGTGATGACTGCCATGTCAATTCAAGTTAAAGATGTCGTCGTCCTGTGCAGGGTGTGGTTTCGGTATATGTCGGTCTGCCGGACGTCGCGAAGAAGTTTCGGCCCGTCCCGATTTGAACAAAGGCCGCCATGGCCGAATGAGGAAGTCGAAATTGCCCGATGCGGCCTCGCTCCGTGGCGCGGCGTTGGCCCGATCCAACCATCCACGGGCCGAGCGATGTATAGGCGTAAGATGCAGCCCAAGGTCCAGCAGGCGTCCTGCTCGCGCGCGCGTTTCCACCATGTATCAGGAATTCTTCCTCGGCCAAGCTGGCAGCGAGTATCGCCGCCTGAGCATCGACACGTCCGTGTTTTCGACTGTGGCGCAGTTGAGGTCTGCCCTCGGCCGCTCGTTTTCCTTTGCAGATCCAGACGGCAAGTCGTCCGAGTCGTTAGTGTCGGCGCAAGCAACATTCTGACAGTTTCCCCGCAGCAACGCGCATCTACAGCAGCGAATATGGCGAGCTCGCGTCGCTGGACAAGATCCAATCGCACCCCGGCCCGCTCGAGCTCCGCGTCAATCCGGATGGCCCCGTCAAAACGCCCGCCGGGCCGCGGCCGCTCCCCGTGGTCGGCAACCACTACGAGGTGTACCCGGATGCGCTGGGCAACTACGACCGGCTCTTCGCGCGGTACGGGCCCATGTTCAAGACGACCAACATGGGCACGACAATCTACCACACCAACGACCCGGAAATCGCGCGCTTCGTGCTGCGCGAGGGCGCCTTCTTCACCAAAACCACGTCGGACCCGGCACACCCACTCTTCTACATGCAGGAGCAAACGGCCCTCTTCACGTGCGACTCAGCGTCGCCCGCCTACCCGCTCGCCCACAAGTTCGTGCCGCCGGCCCTCTCGCCGCGCGCCGTTGCGCACCACACGCCGCTGGTGCAGGCGGCCGCGCGCTCCATCTTCCCCGTCCTCGACGCGCTCGACGCTGACCAGCGCGCCTTCAACGTCTATCAGTACATGTTCAAGATGGGCGGCCAAGTCATCTGGCGCGTCGTCGCGGGCCAAGACGTCGCCCACTTCGCCGCCGTCGACACGCCGCCGACGCACGCCATCCGCCTCTTTGGCGAGTACCTCGCGCTAATGAAGAAGATGTCGCTGCGGCCGGCCTGGTTCGGCCGCCTCCCGTTCGGCGACCCCGCCCGCCTGCGCAAGGTGCGCGAGGACCTGTTCGCGACCGTCGAGCAGGCCATGGACGCTGCCGTGACGCCCGGCGCCGGGACGCTGCCGCTGCGCGACCCGCTGTCGCAGCAGCGCGCCGCGTGCGTTGCCGACTTTTTGGCGAGGGCGCGCGATGAGAAGGGCGAGGCGCTGCCGCGGGACGTGTTGCTGGGCAACGTCACGGTGCTGCTCGGCGCCGGCTTCGTGACCAGCGCGTCGCTGCTGTCGTGGGCGCTCTACTCGCTCGTCGCGTACCCCGGCAACCAGGAGCGCCTGTTGCAGGAGATAGCCGACCACGGTGGCTGCGCGGGCGACGGCGAGGGCGAGAGCCGGCCGTGGTCGTACGACGAGGTGCACAGCTTGAAGTTCCTTGATGCCTTCGTCAAGGAGACGCAGCGCCTGCACAGCCCGAGCTTCCAGACGGCCCGCAACGCGAAGACGGACGTCGTGCTGCCCGGCGGCTACCTCGTGCCGCAGGGCGCCGTCGTGATTGCCTGTTTTCCCAGCATGCACAAGAATCCGCGCTTTTGGGACAATCCGGCTAGGTTTGAGCCCGAGAGGTGGATGGCCGACGGCGTGGCGGCCGAGGCGGCGAGGAAGGGCTTGTATACGCCGTTTGCCGCGGGCGCGAGGGGCTGCGTCGGGTTTAATCTGGCGCTGTTGCAGGTAAAGATGGTGCTGATTGAGCTGGTGTGGAGGTATCGGTTCGAAGACGCTTCGCCCGAGCCAGTCGTCTATGACCCCGAGTTCTTGGTTACGAGGCCGCTGAACTTTTATGCTAGCGCTGTCAGGCGGACGAAGTGGCCGGAGAAGTCGAAGGTCTAGGACGGCTGGGTCTGGGTTTGCTCGGGAGCTTTGGTTGATTGATATTTCATTCTTTTTCCTTTTTTTCACAATGGTTTCAATGCTGTCTTCGGATTTTTTGAACATTAAATTGAATAGTGAGAATATCTGTCTGCCTTCTGCTGAGCCCAACGTAAATATGGCTCCAACAACAGTAGGAGTTACTACTCTACAATGCTTGAACCTACGTCTCGCTTCCATTCCAGCAGCTTCTCGGTACACGCAAGCAATTGTCTCTCATGGCCTTCCAGAATTGTTCGAGTATGTCAACGACTGCTTTGCTGCTCAGCTTATCAAACTAACTACTATCTACGTACATGAATGCCATAGATGGGCTGTAGCCAGACAGTTCTGAAGAAGTCGAGTGTATGGAAGCCGGCACCAGACCGGCGAAGCTTGAAGGAGGTACCAAGCACACCACTGTCTGACTGTTCCAAAAGGTAGTGGTGAGGGCGAGGTTGCCGCCGAATGAAATTTGTACGTTGCGGTCAAAGTTTTCGCCCAGGCAAACGACCTCGCACCCTCCATGCTTGGGACTTCGCGGCGGAACAATCTTGTATATCCGGGGTGACCTTTCTTGAGACTGCATAGGCTTCTGTGATTCAATTAATAATGGTAGCTGCGGTGGTCCTGTTGATGACATCAAAGCCTGAATTTGCGAGTTCGTATCTTTGAGAGATCCCTCATCATGCGCATGGTCACTTGATGAGGTTTTCAACCGCTTCGGCTTCCTCATGGCGGGTGCGCTTGGCCATGGCTCGTGGGGGATGGCCTGAGAGTCAGTGCTCGGCGAGAGGTCCCAGGATGAGCTGCCCGATGAGTCTGGCATTGTAGTGGTCGACGGGCTGGAACTCATTCGATTCACACTTTTGTGTCGGTCCGTCACAAGGATCGGGCTCGTCATGCGCTGAGCAATCTGGTTGCCTTTGTGATCGGCGATGGTGAAGATGACACTGCTGCGGCGCTTAGCATCTCAGGCAGAACACGCACGGAAGTTCCTGTACTGTACCAGAACCCAACTTGCTCTTTGTGGTGGCGGCAGTAGCATGCTATCCGCATCCGCAGCTCCACCTGCATCGCTCCTTCTGCTGCACCTGACGACGACGGCTGCTCCCATCTCATGTACTCCGAGTCGTTGAAAACCACGACACGATCTTCCTCGTCCTCAGCCCATGACTCCTGTCCCTTGTCGACCCTGATCTTGCGCGACGCACGCTTGCGTTCGCGGAACATGCAGCGGTCACAAATACGCACCTCTCCCCCAGCCTCGGTCGGCAATGCGTGGGTTTCCTGTCTGTGTGGTTCCCGGATCCGTCGGCTCGCCTCTTCCAAAGCTCTCATTCTCGTGTCTTTGTCCTTCATCGCGCTGCCTCGGACCAGGAACGTATGGAGTTCCAAAGTGTCGGGAGACTTCACCCTGTGTTCATCTTTTGCCAGCAGCTTTGGTCTCCCAATTGTGTTGCGCTGTAGGTGCAGCTTCGTGGCGCCTTCTGGGAGAGGAGTCAGGGTCAGCCGCACCCAAATCTGATTCTCCACCCGCGACGTGTTGACGTTGTGGTGGATGTGCAACTCAGGGAGCTGCCAGTGCGCGGGTGGTGTCCAGAATGGTTGGAAGACATCGTTAGGACACTCCTCTGCGAAAGGAAACGGGAAGTCGTTCTCGGGCGAAGGGAGAAAGTTGATGGGGCTCGTATCCATGTTCATTGGCGTCTGCTGTCATCCGTCAGTGGGGATACCCAACGATTTCATCTCCATAACCGTCGACTGCGCCTCGAAGCCCGTCTTGTTGAGTCCCGTTGACTTCACACCCACCTTTCTCTCTTATCTTTTCTCTTGCTTGATTTGTTTCCGTTATATGCAGTGTACTTGGATCTGCCAGTCAAGTGCTCGAGCTACTCCAAGCGAGCACGGGCCAGAGTTTCCTTCTGAGGAAGGTAAATGGAGTACAACCGACTGAAGCAACTGAAAAGGCTGGAGATTGGAAATCTGGTTTCCTGCATATCTCGACTTGAAAAAGTACCTCATATTGTTCCTTCGCCCACAATCTAAGCTCTGCACTCAATGAATTACTCATCCATCTGTCCCTTTTCGTCGATTACCGATATTATTACCCTCGCCTGGAAAGATTAGATGGGAAATGGTTTGGCCGCGCCTAAGCCCGACTACACTAGACATCGGAGTCGACCTTTTGGGGAAATGTTCAGCGCCGGGAAGCACCCAGACGCCGGAATCTTCGCGCAATCATGCAGCAGCCAATCACTGATAAACTAGCACGGCCACCGATCCTTTTCGCTCGCCCCCAGCCTCCCCTCCACCTACGCCCCGGCAACAGCCCCGTCCATGCTCAGCCTCTCCCTCTTCAACAACAGCGCCACCAACGTCCCCAGCGCGCCCGCCACAATGATCAAAATAAACGAATCACAAATCGTCGCCGCAATCCCCTCAATCACCTTGTTGCGCACCGCCTCGCTCATCCGCTCAAACACCTCCGCCTGGCGGCCCGCCAGCGCCGACGCGACCTCGGCATCAGTAAACCCTAGTCCGGCCACGGCCGCGCGCACGTGCTGCCGGCCGACGTTCTGGAAGACGGCGGACGTGATGGTCAGCGCGACGACGGTCGAGCCGATCTGCGCGGTATTCACGAAGCCGACGGCGTCGGCCACGCGCTCCGGTGCGGTTTCAGTCGGCGCGACGCTGTAGGCGACGGTTTGAGAGAGGCCGGCGGCGATGCCGAGGAGGGCGCTGAAGCCGTAGATGTGTGAGGGCGGGGAGTCGGCGTCCAGCTCGGCGTAGAAGAGGGCGCCGCCGATTGTGCCCAAGATGCTGGCGATTAGGAAGAGCGGCATGTAGTAGCTGCGGTGGGCGGTTAGCGTGGGCTGGGGAAGAGGCAGATGGAAGGGGGGAAAACGAACCCAACGCGAGAAGCGGTGGCGCCTTGCAGGAGGTTGGCGAAGACGGCGATGCAGATAAAAGGCAGGAGCCGCACGGCCGAGCGGACGCCGTTGTCGCCGTAGACGAATTGGCAGAAGAGCGGGATGTCTGGCTGGAGGTCAGGCGGGATGCTGGTGGAGTGGATGGCGCGCTTACAGTAGATGGGGATGAAGAGGGTGGTCGTGGCGCACGACTGGCTGATGTAGAGCAGGATCATGTTCTTGTTGCGGAGGAAGTCGCCGGGGAAGAGGCGTCGTTCTTTGTCGGTCAGGATGGTGAAGTACTGGCTGGCGACGAAGGCGATGATGAGGACGCCGAGGATGACGAACAGGGCGATGGTCTGCCCGGCGTCCCATGCCCACTCTGAGCCTGCAAATGTGAAAACCGTTACGAAAATGGTGTACACAGCGGCGTTGAGCAAGATGCCGAGCCAGTCGAGGTGCGCGAGCTTCTTCAGGAAAGGCTTCTCCGGTTGGAAGCTGAATGGATGCAATCCGAAGAGAATGACCGGGAGAAACAAGCCGTAAAGGATGAGGTTAAGGTAGAAAGCCTATGATATGTTAGTAAGTAAATCAGTATGACTGTTCCCTGACGCTTACCCATCGCCATCCTGCTGAGCTGTCGGCAAAGGACCCTCCAATCACAGGACCAAGAATGCAGCCAGCGCCCCAAATAGCGCCAGCAATGGAAATGTAAATTGCTCGTTCGTGTAAGGCAGTGTTGACAGTGAGAAGATTCATAACACTGTTGTTTGTTAGTGCGTTTGTTTTTCGCAGCTGGCGCTGAGATGCTCACCCAAGATACATTCCTGCTCCGCCAGCTCCTGCCCACACTCGGCCAACGATGAGGGCGTTCATGCTCTTGGATCTGTATCAGCATGAAGCCTATATCAAGCAACATGAGTTGCACTTACAGGAGCAGCTCCACACAGAGCACTGCCGGCGGTGAACATGGTCAGGCTGCCGGTGTAAAGCCATTTGATGTCGAAGATGCCGTAGGCCTTTCCACTGAAGACTGCGTTAGATCGGCTTGTATCACCATGGAGCTGTGTATACTTACAAGGTGAGGATGGTTGCAACGCTACCCAGTGGGTACCCGACGCCGAGCCATCCCAACTGGCCAATCTGATCGAACTCGCTGACAACGGAAGCTTGAATGTCTGCAACGATGGTGGTGTCTAACCCGTACAGGAACTGACTGGCGTAGATTGCCGCCAGGATTAGCGCCCACTGCCATGTACTGTAGGTCCGCGCCGGCGGCTCATCCGCATTTTCGCCCGGAGAACCTTTCTCGGCGTCTGGTTCGACACTGCTGCCGTTAGTCGGACTGGGACCACCCTCGTCGGCGCTTTTGGTCCCAGCGACGTCGATATCGAGCACACGGGAGGAGGATGCCGATGTGCTGTCCATTGCTTGTGAGTTTGCTGAGAGAGGATGCTACGCCAAAGAGGTATTCAACTTTACAGAATGGCACGTAGAAGCCAGCGAAAGTAACGACTGTTATTGCTGACGATGGCAAATTGACCGCCCTGCCTCAGTGGCAGCGCACCGCTACTCGTCCGCAGATTGCTAATCAGCTAGTACAGGGATCTCGGCATCGTCCCGATTTGGCGTGATACCGCGCCCTTGAGGGAGATGAATACCGAGCGGTCGGGTGAAAATCACGAAAACCTGCCACTCAATTGATGCGGTGATGGCCCCCACGCAGCTTTTGCTAACGGTGCAGAAGCTTGTGCGCTGTGCCATGTTTGAACCGCGGTTACCCTTCGTTCGTTCTGTGCCGAAATGCTCTTTCGAGAATCTGCCGCGAGCTACACTACTCTTGTTTGCCAGCCGCGTCCAATGTGGGGACGCGGATCCGATATGTAATAGTATGCACCGCCCAGGAAAATGTTTTGAATGTTCCCTTGGCTTCCATCGTTTTCGCATCCCCATTGCCCGTCTCAATTCTTTTTTTTGACTGTCGAAACTTCTACATCCTACCCGAATGATGGAGTCGTGGACAGCCAAGGCGCTTCTTGCTGGCTATCAGTGCGTGCTGGCATGGATCGGGTACGACCGGCTCTGGAGGGTGCCAGTTCGGAACGGGTCCCTATTGGCCATAGGCCGGGTCGCGAAGACGGGCCGCTTCGCCAATGGCTCGCCGCTGATCAGGCGCTACACTGGCGTGGCCGCTTTGGATCGCCGGCTCGCGACTGCTGTCGTCTTCTACACGGACCTCGTCGATCCAAGCAATGACAGTGCGGAGCGCAACCGGCTGCTGCTCGTCCAGGTCCACTCGACGATGCAGGCTACGGCCTTTTGCATGCTGGCCGCCACCCGCCGCGGGCCGTCGCTGCCGGCCGTGCAGCTCCTGTTAGTTCGATCCTCCTCTGCGAGCCTAAATGCACCTCGCTAACCGCTGCAGCATTCCTGCCGCATGGGGCATGATCAACCAGTTCTGGGGAGCCGCCTTCGTCTATCCGTTGTATCTCGCGATCGACAGCGGCTCCGCATTGCTGCCTTTGAACCAAGACGCCGTGCCAGCGCTGCTGCTCTCCGCCTGCATTGGCGCGCTGATTCCGCTGGCACTGCTATACCCAGCCTACGCTCCATCGTGCTCGGCCGAGCTTCGCCAGCGCTCCATCGCACTGTACCGCCTCGCACCCATTGCATTTGTGGTCATGCATCTGGGCCTGGAACAGATCACGCCTGCATTCTTCCGAGCCACATCCGTCCCCCCTGCGGCCCCTTACCTTGCGGCGGGATTGCTGGCTGCAGCCGCGCACGTGTACAGCGTTTCGGCGGCGCTCGTTCGCGGCGGCCGCAAGCTTCTGGCCCTTGTCTTCTGGCCGGAAGGACCGAGCGCCAAGCGGCCCGCCGCCATGGTACCTGACGCGGCCCACCTTTTCCTGTGGTATGACTTGGCAGTCATTGCTCCGTCGTTTTTCGTCCGCGCTTACACAATCCTCCTCCCGGTTGCTGCTCCCCTGCTCGGTGTGGAGCCCCTCGCCTTGGCATTGCTTCTGTTTGCGGCAACTGTGGTGCTTGGGCCTGCTCCTGTTCTCTGTTTTGCTTACGCTGCTCGGACAACGATTTATTAAGATGTTCGTGTGCAGCATGGCGGATAATCACTTCACACTTGTTTCAATGAGCTGGAGGAAAAAAAGAAATTGTTTATTAAAGTTTAGGATCATCTGTCGATTGCGGTAGCTCTAGATATTTTTCTATAACAATGTCGAACAGAATAAACAAAACCTTTAACATGCTTTAAAATCTCTACTCTCGACGTAATGCTCTACAAAGGACGTATTAAAGCTAAGCCCCACACTCGAATGACCATACACATATACTCAGTGACTTTAACATCTCACGAGAGCGCCGATCCAAAGGAACTCAAATTTTTTAATTGCTGGGAGCAACTACTAGTGCTCCAATTCACACTGGCCCTCCGCCACCGGTAGATTACCTTCCACCGCAGTAACGGCTACGTGGTATTGCTGCTCCTCCTCGTCTTCAACGCCGGCGCGTGTATCGTACTGGGCTGCCGCGAGAGCGGGACGCGCGTCGACGCGTAGTCGGCCGAGGCGGCTATAGTCATCATAACGAGCATCAGCATGGCCGCCGCGTATAGTGGGTTGCCCCAATAATCCGTGCGCCGTGCATCGCCGGCTACCACCCCCAATCTTCGCAGTCTATATAAGCACTACAGATGGCGTTGGATTGCTACAAGATTAACGTAGTTGACCCTGTAGCGGTCGGATTACGGACGGCTATGTTACGAACCTCAGGGAACACGGGCTTTATAACCCTAAGGGCAGAGGGCCCGTACGGGGAAAAGCACCGTAAGGGCCGAAGAGCCTCGTAGGCGAAAGAGCCGCACGGCCGCAGATCCCGCACGGAAATCTAGAGGATACGGGATAACGGCGCGTATAAAAACACCAGTAGGCAGTAGCCACGGCCCGTACGGAAGAACCGCCCTCGAGAACGCGATAGCTGTTACGCTGGGACTCGGAAGGAGTAGATAAGGTAGAGGCGTCGGGGAGGTGTATAGCGTTAAGGGTTTACTACCGCTATCTAGAATATTACTAGACACTGTATATAGAGGATAGCAGCCGTAGTTAGGCAGAAAAGATATAAGAGGGGTGTAAGGCAATAATTAGAATTGACCACGAAGGTTCTATCTACTATAAGTAAGTGTGTTCTATATACTATAATTAGCCGCTGGTTAGCTAGACTGTAGTATTGGTGTAGATAGTGGGATGGCTAGTGGCTAAGGGAGATCTACTTCGTAGGGTTAGGCTATTAGCTACCTAAATAGGTTAGGTGCGTCCGGGGTTTCGGTATAAGATAATTCGGTCCGCCTATAAGTTCTACTACGCCGCTTAACCCGCATTCTAATTTCGTAATACTATTCTTTCTCTAGATAGCTTTTAGCTTAAAAGCTTTCTTATAAGTAGATATATCTTTTTAGATTATATTAGAAGTACTAATTTCTTATTATAGTTTCGGCTCGCACCTAGTATCGTATTACTTTAGTCTAGCGTATTGTAGTTTATTATTATAGAGTCCTCGTAACTTTTTTCTATACCCGCTACGTTCGTTTAAATTTAGTTTATTACGCTACTTTCTTCTATCTAGCTTATTCTAGATATACTAGAGAAAGTCTTATATCGTACGAGGCGATAGCTTCTTCGATTAATATCGAGTATAAGTAGAGGCTTTCTTTTTTCTTTAGTAATAACTAACGGTTTATTACTAGTTTAGCGCTTAAATTAGACTCGTAAGAAGTTAGAGCGTTAGCTTAAAGAGGTAGCTATAAAGATTAATTAGAATAAGAAGGCCGCTAATACTACTATAGCTATCTATTACGCTAGGACCCGGAAAGGGGGATAAGGTAGAAGCGTCGGGGAGGTGCGTAGCGTTAGATGTTTACTACCGCTATCTAGAATGTTACTGGATACTATATATAGAGGATAGCAGCCGTAGTTAGGTAGAAAAGATAATAAGAGGGGTGTAAGATAATAATTAGAATTAACTACGAAGGTCCTATCTACTGTAAATAAGTGTGCTATATATATAAGAGAACATTTATCTTATAACCGTAATTTCTAACCGTTGTGTAGAGGTAGGTTATAACAGGCGGTTATATTTATAAGGGTGTGGTCTTAGCGTTATAACCGTTAGTGGTGGTGCTAAGTAATAAGCGTGGTTACCGATTCTCGGCGCGGGGATTTACTTGGCGCCGCGTTTCTAACTTCTATCCTTCTGTAGGTGTTCCGTAATACTATCCCCCCTCTAGACAGCTTTCGGCCCGAAAGCTTTTATAAGATGTACTGCTTCTATTCTTATTCTTTTTTCTTTAGTTCCGAGATATCTTCTACTCGTATCCTTCGTCGTCGCCGTTAAGCTTAGCGTATCGAGGCGTGGGACCAGCGTGCTAACGTATCTTATTATCGTTGTTAGCAGCGAGAGAGATCTCTTTATATTATCGCTAGGTTCTATTCTGCTTGTTCTTACTATGCCGCTGTAGGCCGTACGTTATATAACGCTATAGCGAGTTCTCTAGATTCGGAGTGTAAGACGATCTTTGTTATTATTAGCGGTTCTAACTAGTTTTTAGTTCGTCGCTTAGATCGTGCTCGTACCGACTTACTTTAGCGGTTGGAGTAGGCGGAGAGTTAAGTGGTTGCGGAAGAGGAGGGTACTAATACTGCGGCTGAGGCGGTAGATTAGGCTGCGGAGGCTACTTCTCGGGCCGCTCTAGCTGCGAAGGCTATAGCTTATCGGTTTCGTGATGCTTAGCGGAAGGAGCGGTAGATTCGGCGCCTTTTACGGCATGTAGAATAGCGAAACGCTACTTTGTTTACTCGGGAAATGTCTGCTTTGGAGGAGGAGGAACGTGCCGAGAGGGAGGCTGCTACTCGGGAGGGTCGCTCTTCTCGGGATGTTTTTATGGATTCGGACGGTGAGGCTGCGCCGCATTCGCTTGGCGGGTCTAGTAGTAACGTGGCGGACGCCGATGGCGTGGTTTCCCGGCAGGCTCCCGTAGATTAGTTTTAGATATCTCTGACTTCTTCTTCGGGTTTTGCGTTATAGAAGAATGCTCTAGGTCTAAACGGTCCGGGTTTTATCGGTAGAAGTCCTCGAGAAGTTCTAGGCAGTTAAGGTTCGGTAAGGACTTCTAGGTGTTTTCTAAGTCGTCGTAATTCTCCTACTTAACGAGGTACTTAAGCTGACCGTCGGGGTCCTATTTGCTGTCTAGGATTTTTTCGACGTCCTATTCTTATACGTCTTCGGGTTGGATTTCTCCCTCGAGGTATTCTAGTGTTTGGGCGTTTTGTAGTGCTGGTTTAAGGAGTGCTACGTAGAAGACGGGGCTTCGGCGTATATTTTTAGGTAATTTAAGTTTGTAGGTAATAGAAGAAAGTTTTTATTTAATTTCGAAGGGACCGATTTTTTTATGATTTAATTTAGGGCTCGGTCGTTTGGTTTTAAGGTTTCTAGTAAGAAGCTAGACTTTATCTCCCTTCTCTAGGGGCGGCGGCTCCTAGCGTCTGCGGTTATAGTACATAGCTATACGATGGTTGATAAACTCTATATCTCGGGCTAGGCTTTAATGTAGTCCTTTTAGCTGTTCTGCCTAGAGTATTTCTTTTTATGCGATGTTTTCTTATAGAATCGGTTCTTCGTAGGCTTGAAACTCGAATCTAAAGTTAACGTAGAACGGCGTTTCTTAAGTAGTCTCTACTAGTATACTGTTATAAGTAAATTGTGCTAGAGGTAGAAGTTCTACCTAGTTGTTTTGCTAGTAGTTTACGTAGCTTCGCAGGTATTTCTCTAAGGTTTAGTTAAGTCGTTCTGTCTAACCGTCTGTCTAGGGGTAAAAGGTAGTAGATAGCTTATACGTCGTTTCTAATTTATTTATTAAGGTTTACTAGAATCGAGCGCGGAAGCGGGTATCGCGGTCGGAGATAATTATCTCTAGTATTTCGTAGTTTGCGAAGATGTATCTTAGAAAGATATAGACTAGCTCGGGGACTCCTAATACTTTCTTATAGGGAATAAAATACCCCTATTTAGATAGTCTATTAGTAATGACTAGGATTACGTCGTAGCGTACTCCGGTGAGTAGCTCTTTAGATTTTAGTAGCTTAGTGATGAAGTCTAAAGAGATAGATTTTTAGGGTCGGTTGAAAGGTGTGATTGGCTGTAGCTTCCCGTAGGGGGCGTATCGTGCTACTTTATTTCGGGCGTAATCTTCGCAGTCTACGAGGTGCTATTATACTCGCTTTTTAAGGTGCGGCATATAGAATACTCTTTCTATTCTTTTTATTATGGGATTGGTGCCTCTATAGCCGTGTGCTAGGGCTGCGTGGATTTTCTTAATGAGTTATCGTCGGAGTCGTTGGGGGATATAGACTAGTTCTTTAAATAGAATCGTCCCTTCTAAACTTAGTATAAGGTTAGGGTCTTCTTTCGAGTGGTCGTAAATTTGTTTTAATAGTTGCTGTGCTATAGTATCGTTCTCGTAGGTTACCCGAATGTGTTCTTCCTATATTAAAAGTAAGAGGTTATTTTCTTAAGGGTCCTTATTTTCCTATACGCCTGGGTTTTCGGAGGGGGACTCCTAGAAGCTATTGTTTTCCGGGACTTAGTTTCTAGAGTTTTCTTTTCGGGTTGGTTGTACTTCTAATGTGTTTACCTTCGGAGTTTCTTTCTAGAAGAATTGTCTTTCTAGGTTTATACTTCTAGAAGAGGCTAATTTCTAGGCGCCCGGCGCCTCCGAGAAACTAGGTCCTAGAAGTATTATATTTCTAGAAACTAGTTCCTAGGGGTCCGCAGTTTCTAGGGGTCTCTAAGGCCTAGAAGATTCTTTCTAGGATTAGAGGTTCCTTACTTAGCTTCGGGTAACCGGGGCTAGAAGGCGGATTACTATTAGGGTTAGGGTTAGGGTTAGGGTTAGGGTTAGGGTTAGGGTTAGGGTTAGGG